GGGTGATTCATATAGCTAGAAAGAAAATACTATATCATGTTAATATTCTTATAACGTAGTTCCCAAGCGAGTGACGCAGCTCACCAAAAATTGCGTCCTGACGTGTACCCACTATCTTCAACTACCCGCTATATCACCAAACCAGGCTCAATCAAGCCATGATTCGACTGATCATGAGGGCAGGGTCTACTGGCCTCAATACCCTTCACAATGATAAATTTCTGACCAGTCGCGCTGCTGCTAAGATATATAGTATATCTGAAGCTACAATCCGCCGCCGACATTCAGGCCAGTCTCTCGCGCGAATACATGCGCTAATAGTCATAAATTTACTAGGTTTAAAGAAAACTCGCTTGTACGGTGGATACTCTCAATAGATTTCCACGTGCAGCGCCTACGCCCCTAACAGTGAGGGATATAGCTAACTGTATTCTATTTGCTGACCGTGGAAACAAACTCCTCTCCCCCAACTAATACTTAGAAACAACCTAGGCATCAAATTAATTAATCGCCAAAGAGAGCTTCAAACATACTTCTTAGCACGCTACGACTATCAACAACGTGCTCAAAATGAGGACCTAAAGGCCTTACGTGAGTGGTTTAAAACCGTCCAAAACGTGATTGATAAGAACAGGATCTAATTATATAATATCTACAACTTTAATAAAGGCTACATTTACGATAGGTCTCATAGTAGCACAAAACTTGGTTACTTAAGCAAAGTATTATACTTGACGGGCAATTCCATAGCCTAGATATTGTGAATTGGAGACTATTATTAAGTTAATTAGTGTGGCTACTTTTGCTCTCTTATAATATACAAAATTTAAAAGGTAAGAACTCTAATATTAGTTAGCTTGATAGGCTTCTAAAAGACTAGCGAATCGAAGTCTCTCTAAATAGCTAGACTCTAATTAGAATTGGTATCTATTGGCGTCAAAATCTATTTATCCTATTCGTCTTAACTCAGATAAAAGGGCACTATTTCCGTCTGCTTCTCAGTAGTCATAGAAGCTATCAAGTCCTTGATTTTGATCGAACTTTTGCTGGAAATACAGTCATCGCACTCTACACATCCCACTACGTACCGTCATATTTATCCTATCTTCTCAACCTCTGGCTAGATATTAGATATTATACTGTTCTTAAGCGCTCTTATAGTTATCTAATTACTAATTAAGCATGGCTATAATTCAACTATATCAACAAGCTAGATTTCCTAGCAGAAAACCATCAAATATATAAAGATACCTTAAACTAGAGGCTATCCAAAATAGTTTCGCAGCAGCAGGTCTAGTCCTATTAGACCTAGAATGAGTATGTTCAAAGCTCAATATCTCTCTCTCCACACTAACACACCCACATAACCGATATACTATAGCTGATTAAGTCAGTTCAGCTCAAAAACATTGCAAACAGTGGTATAGCTCCAAAGTATAACTATATCTTCACTCAAAGTATTACTAAAAAACGATCAAGGCCATTCCCATGGCACGCCGTCCGTCGGCATTCACAGATGACCATTCAACAGCATCCTTGAAACCCCTCTCACCAGGACCACCGGCGCCGGGGAAGTCCCACGGCGGAGAGTAGAAGCCCTTTTACACTATCTAAGATCGCCCTAGATCAGATAATTAAGTATAGCTATCTATCAATACATACTACTATATTACTAGCACAGGAATATGCTAATGTACGGGCCGCATATAAGAAGAAACGGGAAAAACGAGCACGAACAAATCGCCTAGTTCAATGCGAATAGGGCCTACCACCACTAGTACAGCCAGTGCAGCCGGTTAAACAGCCACTACACACCTAGTTAATTCAATTATCGGCTATTTAGTTACCTGGTACCCTAATAGATTCTTATTTGAATTTAAAAGTGTATTTGGCAGTTTATATTATTTTAAAAAATAGAGGGGTAGGCGGTGTGCGTCACTGCTTGGGAACTACGTTGTACTAAAATCATCTAATAATGATGAGATAACGTATTCAACCACCGAGCGGCGAATCCCAAAACACATAGTAAATAGGATAAAATACAGCATAATATCTCAACAGAACCAAGGTAATTTTGCCGTATCCTAGATTTGCTAATGTTTTTTAGTATCGAAAAAAATATATACCAATGCGGAGGTCATCTAATTTATTATTTAATCATGTTACTAAAAATTACGTGGTATGAACTGTCGAAAGATATACATCTTCATATTATGATAAATATAAATCATTTTAGACCTCATCGATATATCAGGTATGCTACAATAATGAATAAGGTACAATAAGACCCTAAAAGAACTCTTAGTTGTGGAGATATTATGTTATATTCTATCGCATTTACTATGTGTTTTGGGATTCGCCGCTCGGTGGTGTTCGCCACTCGGTGGTTGAATACGTTAAGTATCAGTGATACTAACAATATATAGTTTAGAAAATGAGAGTTTTAAATGAACCCCACTCTATAGTTCAAAGAGTAAAAATTATCATGGATAGCTTTGATTTCCTAGAGTAATTAATTATATTTAAAGAACTACGAATACAGAAGACCTTTAGTTTATTAAAGTATATGTCGACATTCAGGGTCTATGACTTCGCTTAGTCATGTGCTGGACCCCACATGGGATAAAAGATAAGATGGGTGAGAACAGATAGACTGAGAGAACTGTCTGTCGGTCTAATCATGGGATAATTCTCGTATAAATAAACCGAAATGGGAACAAACAGGATAAACACGGTGAAGAAAGCGGGGTAAAGCGGGGTAAATCACTCATAATAATAGAAGTTCACCGTTGTTCTCATCCGGGGGGCTCCAATGAATCTCGAGAATTGATCAGGATAATCTGATGGTAGCCTTAGAAGTTGGGTGTTGAACTGTCTTAACTTTTAACACCTAAGATATATAAGTAGTACCAAAAGATTTAGCTAGGGCAATAGAAAATAAAATATATGAAGAGAGAAGAGATAACAAAAAGGTATGATTATAAGTAGCAGAAAAGTAAGCTGTAAGTGATTCATAAATAATACTATATTTTTTAGTGGGGTTACAATTAGATAGAGGGGTGTTATAGGATTTAGTTCCTAATAATACTAAAATTTAAATGTATAATATTTGATAGAAATCTTGTCAGCATTCGCTGGTATCCGATGACAAAGCAAGTTGACTGATGCTAAATCATATAACCAGGAATGTGTGGAAGAAGAGTGAGATCAGTCAAAGAGATAGAAATTGTCTGATTAACTAATAATGTAACTAAGTAGGTATGTATAGACCGAAAATAGAACAAATAGTGCAAACAAAATATGCAAGTGAAAGGGGGCACGAACAGGGGTAGTTCGATACAAACGCCATGCATCTAAATGTGCTTCAATATATTGGACGCCACTCATAGGGAAGGTTCAGTATTCAGAACTTCGGATGAACCATCGGCCGTCACTCCCAAGGGTAATCACGTGTGATTTCCCGACAATAATTATATAATAATAATTACATGAACATGATAAGAACATTGTTTAAATAAATATAAACTAGAAATTATAATATATATATAGTGTTGGAAGTTAACACGGTTCAACACCTAACTTCTAAGGCTGCGATCAAATTCACCTGATCAATTAGTTTGGACTCGAGATTTATCGGAGGGTCGGCCCCCGGATGAGAAAGGCGAACTTCTTCCTCACTATGTTTATCCTGTTTGTTTCCATTTCGGTCTATTTCTACGAGAATGATCCCATGATTAGTTAGACAGGCAGATTCTTCCTGGGACAGTTCTCTCTCGATCTATCTGTTCTCACAATCTTATATTTTATCCCATTTTGGGTCCAGCACATGACTCGCTTTGTCATAGACCCCGAATGCCGACACTTATCTTATAACTAATAGTATAGCCTATAACCAGCAAAGTATTCATATATAATTATATATAGTTATAGTAAGTAAGACTAGTACTTTAAAGGTCTGTAGGTAACTATGATTTAAAAACAGTATATTTTATCTATGATCCTATATATGGCCCCCCTAAATATTATCAGTACTAGTTACTAACAGAAAAACTTCTTAGAAGTATGTATCAATATTATAAGTTTATATATAGTATATATTGATTAGTATTCTCTACTTTAATTCTGATGCCTTAAAGATATTAGTCTGCAGAGTAAAGTAAAGTATGGAGATTGATGTTTCCGCACCCCTGTCCTGGGTTGCTCGGATAGAACTTAAAGAGCCTTGGCCAAACATGGTACTAATTTCGACGCCTATACTGCATGCCGCATCAAATATGTTCTTGAATATTGATAACCTAAAGCCCTTATGTAACCTACTGCCAGGTTCATTGCTCAGTGACCAGTCATCTATCTGGTCAGCTATTCGGTCATCTATGCGATCGGCTGTCTGGCTAGCTAACTAGTACTCTGGAAAGTGATCACGCTATGCTAAAAGGAATAGGCCTAGGTTAAAAAAGATTATTTCCCCCAGAGAGCAGATTCACTTTTCGACACAAATAGCCTGGACACCCAAGTGTAGAGAAAATAGCCAGGTTGGCTGGCGCCAGGTGACTAGGTGGTAGGCAAGAGGGACTTAGGTAGGATGCGTGTATTCTTGTAAACACAAGATTAACGCTCAAAGAACTCAGGCGTATTGGTCTCTAGGTGAGGAGTCTGTATCAATTACCTAAACTAAATTAGAATAGTTCTTACAAAAAGTTAAAGTAGTTAGTCCACATAATGCTTAAGCAAGGCATTAAACAAAAAGAGGTTGGCCAGTAAACATTTTCACTCATAACATCTGATATTCTATCTAAGTAACTTCTCACTCGCAACTAACCCATCGACCCATCCAGATTTCCAGTCATAACCATAGCTATATGGCAGAGAAAACTCAAGATGGACGTGGTATCCGTTGATGCGGAATGCCATCAGGCGACTCAGCCATCAGCGCCTCTAGATCCAACCTAGCCCCGTGGTCGACGTCACCCTGCCCAGCTCAGGGATATTCTCACTCCAAATCATGAATCCCCATCAATGTCCATCGGATCGTCACCACAGGCGTTAGTAGAAATATTAGAAATGTACCCAAAACTCGAAGTGTTGTTTGATGGTGGCCGCGAGGTGTCATTGCCTGAGGAAAGGTCTAATTTTTGGCTCTTGCTCGCCCGGGAGCGTGCCCTTGATTCAATAATTGCTCTCCGTACACTATCCTGCTCCCTTGGAACTGACAACGAGGATGGTTCGGTGTACAAAACCAGCTCCTTTCCTTGTGACGAATCATTTGCCAATACCGAGTCGGGCACTGAGAGCATACGTGCAGCAAGGGGAGAGAGCACGAGAGAACCTGGAGCAACATCTGAGTCGGCCAATTCCCGGTCGAGATCATGAATGTAGGTGGTATGTTTTGTGTCATCGAGAAGCATGGAGTCGCCCAGAGTTGAAGATGAGTAGTCCGGGAAGGGATTCTCGCCGCATCTGGCCCGAGCACCTGGGCCTGACCCATCATTATGACTGTCTACAAAGCAGAGACGCATGTCAACTTCCACTCTAGTCGTCCAGTCCATTTTAAAGACTTACCTAGTTGGAGACGGCCAAGTCTCTTGGTCAGTGGTTGAGCACCATCCGGGTCACCTTCCGCGGGGCGCTTTTTGCCGTGTTGGGACTTTTCATCACTCCGCGCCATCCACAACACCCCCCTGGTTGATTCTTGAGGTACCCTGAACAGGCGGCGATCAGAGAGAAACGTGTGCTGGACCGGGGCGTGGGAAGCAGGACGCATTCATCACCGGGGAGCTCGATGCGGGTTCCTGGGGTTCTGAGGGGGGAGCTGGCTTTGACTCATATCTTCGCGCCCCGACTTCCCAGAACCTTCCACCCTTCTCGCTTTGTCCACACTCCAACACCCACCCCAACCCAGCCACCCACGCTTGCCAGGATGGCTTCCGAGAATGGCAGTCCTGAATGGACAGCCCCACGGGTCCGTGAGACTTTCCTCGACTTCTTCAAGCAGAATGGCCATACATTCGGTGAGTGATTGACCCCGCGATCGTTTCAAGCCCCTCCTTCGCCCATGAACATGGCTGACCAGTCGCTCATTTTCTGTCAACAGTTCCTTCCTCGGCCGTTGCGCCCCTTTCTGACCCAACTCTCCTCTTTACCAATGCTGGAATGAACCAGTTCAAGTCCATTTTTCTGGGAACAGTGGATCCACAGTCAGACTTTGCAAAGCTTCGGAGCGCGGTTAACTCACAGAAGGTAACGGAATTCCTTAACATTTGCCAGACATGAACCCTGAGCTGACAACATGACAAGTGCATTCGGGCTGGTGGAAAGCATAATGTGAGTCGTGAAGCCTACACGCCTCGATATCTATATTTTTTCCTCGGCTCACTAACCCGCCATTTACCTTGACAGGACCTGGATGATGTGGGCAAGGATAGTTATCACCATGTGAGTGTTTCCAATCTCTACACTTTCCACGTCTCCTCTTCGGATGTGCAATTAATGCCTCTCGCTTAGACCTTCTTCGAAATGCTCGGTAACTGGAGCTTCGGTGACTACTTCAAAAAAGAAGCTATCTCGTACTCTTGGACTCTTCTGACCAAGGTCTATGGACTGCAACCCGATCGCCTCTATGTAACCTATTTCGAGGGTAACGAGGCGGGTGGCCTGGAGCCTGATCTGGAGGCAAAAGAACTATGGAAATCCGTGGGAGTTCCCGAGGACCATATTCTTCCCGGCAACATGAAAGACAATTTCTGGGAAATGGGTGACCAAGGCCCCTGTGGACCTTGCAGCGAGGTGCACTATGATCGCATTGGTGGTCGCAACGCTGCCTATCTGGTTAACCAGGATGATCCAAACGTTCTGGAGATTTGGAACAACGTCTTTATTCAATACAACCGCGAAGCAGATCGCTCCCTCAAGCCGCTCCCCAACAAGCATGTTGATACTGGACTGGGATTTGAGCGGCTGGTGTCAGTTCTTCAGAACAAGTCATCCAACTACGACACCGATGTTTTCACGCCCATTTTCCAGGCTATCCAAAATGTCACTGGTGCTCGAGAGTACCGCGGCCAGTTTGGAGCCGACGATCCTGATGGCATAGATACTGCTTATCGTGTGGTTGCCGACCACGTGCGCACGCTCATGTTCGCAATTTCTGATGGAGTCGTCCCTAATAACGAAGGCCGGGGCTATGTGATTCGTCGTGTTCTTCGTCGCGGGGCCCGATTCGCTCGCAAGTACTTCCAGGTCGAAATCGGTGGCTTCTTTTCGAAGCTTGTTCCCACCGTTGTTGAGCAGCTTGGTGAAATGTTCCCCGAACTGACGAGGAAGCAACAAGATGTGATGGAGATACTGGACGAGGAGGAATTGTCGTTCGCCAAAACACTGGATAGGGGCGAGCGTCAATTTGAGCAATACGCCCAGCAGGCCAAAGTCAAGGGTTTCGAAAAGCTCCACGGTGCAGACGTCTGGCGTCTTTATGACACGTTCGGATTTCCCGTTGACTTGACTCAAATCATGGCCGAGGAACGTGGCCTCCGTATCGATGATGCTGAATTCGAGGAAGCGCGGCTGAAAGCCAAGGAGGCTAGTAAGGGACAGAAGAAAGCTGCCGCAAATGCTTTGAAACTCGACGTCCACGACTTGAACAAACTGGAGAAGATGAAGGATGTTGTCAAGACAGACGACTCTGCTAAGTTTGGCAAAAGTAATATCACTGCACATGTGAAGGCTATTTACCACGGGAGGGACTTCCATGACAGCACAGATTGTGCCTCTGAGGGCGGACTACTCGGTGTTATACTCGACTGCACTAACTTTTATGCCGAGCAGGGTGGCCAGGAAAGTGACACAGGCAAAATCGTCATTGATGGACAGGCTGAGCTAGAGGTTGGAGATGTCCAGACTTATGCAGGATATGTTCTCCATACCGGTTTCATGAAATATGGTACTCTCTCTGTGGGCGACTCTGTCATTTGCGAATACGACGAGCTTCGCCGTTGGCCCATCCGCAATAACCATACCGGCACTCATATTCTCAACTTCGCATTGAAAGCGATCCTCGGTGACGGAGTCGATCAGAAAGGCTCTCTTGTGGCAGCCGAGAAGCTTCGATTTGACTTCTCTCACAAGGCCGCGGTGTCTGATGCAGACTTGGAAAAAATCGAAGCCAAGGCTACCGAGTACATCCGACAGAACTGCGCCGTGTATTCTCAGGATGTGCCTCTGGCAACCGCTCAGCAGATAACCGGTGTTCGGGCAGTTTTTGGTGAAACCTACCCAGACCCTGTCCGTGTTGTTTCTGTCGGAGTTGAGCTGGAGGAAATCCTGCGAAATGTCAAGGACCCCCGCTGGGAAGAAGTCAGCATCGAGTTCTGTGGCGGGACCCACGTCCAAAAGACGGGAGACATCAAGGATTTGATTATTCTGGAAGAGAATGGCATTGCCAAGGGAATTCGCCGCATCATTGCTGTCACTGGTGAGGATGCTCACGAGGTGCAACGCCTCGCTCATGACTTTGGAAATCGTCTGAACAGGCTGGACGCGATGCCTCTTGGCCCCGAAAAGGAGCGTGAAGCCAAGCAAGTCCAGGTGGACCTCAACCAACTTGTTATCTCAGCGGTCCAGAAAGCTCGATTCCGTGAACGTTTCACTGCTATCAACAAACAAGTCCTCGATGGCCAGAAAGCCCAACAGAAGCTGGAGGTCAAGCAGGCTGTGGAGGCTATTAACTCCCACTTCCAATCTTCAGAGAACAAAGATTCCTCATGGCTTGTTGTGAAACTTCCCATGCCAGCCAGTGCGAAGGCTGTCAGCGAATCCATCAATCACGTCAAGTCGAAAATGCAAAACAAGAATGTATACGTGTTGGCTGTTGACTCTGAGCAAAGCCGCGTTGCCCATGGTTGCTTTGTCTCGAAGGTAAGTCACCTCATCAACCATTCGCTTTCTGATGAAAGATTTGAGGCTAATATTGGATGTCTAGGAGCTTGGTGACCAGGGTGCTTCTGCGACGGACTGGGCTGCTGTTGTTTCTGGTGTTGTTGGAGGCAAGGCTGGAGGGAAAGGGTCGACTTCCCTGGGCAACGGTACTAACCCGGACAAGGTCGACGAAGCCGTTTCTCTTGCCTCGGACTACCTAAGCAAGTTCAAGCTCTAAATTAGCTCGTTGAAAGCACTGTGCAGTTGCGGGTCAAGTTGTGAAGCGCGGCAGATCAATCGACCAAGAAAAAAAGTTTGAGAATATAGCTTAAAATTGAATACTTGTTAATGGCAACTATAGCCCAAATCGCCAGGCCGTGATGCTTTCGATTTTTATTTTTGCAATCTTTTGGAGTATTATGTATTACAGCAACCCCTTTCCTGAATTTTCAGATCAACTAGTACTTCAGACTCCCTATCCTATGAGTAGTAAAAATGAATAGAATCCTACTCTGCTTAGGAAATCTTGTGTGTAGAGTGGGTGACTAGGCTGCTCGTTAAGTCGGGAAATGACCAGGTGGACAATTAAACAGGTGATGAGCAAGGGGTCGGATTATAGGTAGATGATGATGAATTCATTTGCCCGATGTAGCTCGCTCTATATATATGCTGCTATGCGGGAGTGCTGTCAGGCCCGCCGACAACTGGAAAGTGGTCGCTAGCCCACATGACGATCAAAAGAGACTCGCAACCCGAGCCACTGTTTGGTCGCATCGAATGTAAAGTTGAAAAAGGACAAAGGAAACAGATGCGTAGGTGCGTAAAGCACTCGAACCACATGAAAATGAACGTCGCTGGTCCTCACCTTCGCTGGGACCATTCCTCTTCACCCAAACTCTCTCGCCGTATCTCCTCATTCCTACTTCAACACACTTCTTCATCTCTCTCACGCAACCTCCTCAGCGGTTGGCTGCCGCTTGCGCGTACGCTTGGATCAAGGGAGCACAGCGGACCTGGCACTGCACTCCTAACGGGCACCATCCTTCTTCTTCCACCACACTGTTCTAAGGGGTCATTTACTTTCTTCTGCTTCTTCTGTACCCAAAGCAATTGGATCAACTGCTTGGAATTGGCTCAAGAGACCTGTTCTGGCCATAACCTCAGCTACAACTGTGCGCGCCTCCGGCCGCGTCAGGGGTTCGTCTCGTCGGAGAGCGATCTTCAGTACGGATAGGGCACTGCGCATCCAGTCGCGCTCCTCTTGGTGCAACGGGCACTCAAGGACATGAATCGCCGTCTGGTTGCCTAGGTTGCAATCGCACCGTGCCGACTCTCGTTGGTTGATACGAGCCAGATAGGCACCCAGACCTATTCGACCAGAGCGTAACTGTATCAGAATTGACGCAGTTGCTTTGCGTATACCTGACCAATATTCTAGTGTCTTCTTCGTCGGTGCCTCGATCAGCCGCTTAGTCGGTCGACCGGTCTTCTCCGTTGCCCACGCTCTGCCACTCAATCTTTGCCTCAGTGCGAAACCGACGCTTGGCCGCGGCTGCGAGGCGAATATATCGGTTGTGAGGGTTCTGTGGTTCATGGGGTTCTTGGGCAGCTTCTTTTGCATGTTGGTCCACGATCTCGTTGCCTAGCACCCCTTGGGTGAGCTGGAATCCACCTGAGTTCGGTTCGGATTCCCCGCCCCGCCAATCGGTGGATTAAGTCCAGACATCCTGCCAGGTAGACTTGACCTGAGGGCATGTGCGGTCGGCTGAGCGCTTTCAATGCTGCTTGGCTATCTGAGAAGAATACCAGGTCATTCCTCGACTGTCTGGCCCAGGGGTCTGCACTGCTCAGAACCGACTCGAGTGCCATCTCTATGGCGCGCAGCTCCGCAGCATACACGGCAGACGTGTTGTCGTCACCCATCTGACTATGGACGACGTGATCTTCACGATCAATCACTGCGGCGGCTCCTACCTTCCGTTCGATTCCACCTCCGTCGGTATATATAATCAAGGGTCTTTCTCTTGAAGCCTTGATTGAGATCTGCTCATGATGATCTACAGCGATCTCTCTGTCTTCGATGATCACCTCCGGCGGCGCTTGCCATGGTGCCAGGACGAATGCCTTCCGACTCTCCCAGTTCCCTGCCAAAGTTCCCGGGGGAGCCGTGAGGCATCCGCCCATCTTCCAAGCTTGCGCCTCCATCGGTGTCCATCCGGCCCAGTCTCTCTCAGCCGCTGGTCGACGTCGATGCATTGTTGGTGGAACAGCGAATACCGGTCCCGTTCGTAGCCGTAGGGCCGTTTCTTTCACGAGTCGGTTCATATGAGTCGAGATAGGTGGCAGATGAAGCTCTATATTCAGAGCTTCCGCTGCTGTAGTTCTGAAGGCTCCACTTATGAGGCACGCAGTCTGCTTTTGGATGGCTACAAAAGGTTGGCTGATTGTGCGTGCCTTGGATTTACTAATGAGCAGAGGTTGATACCACGCGGAGACACCAAAGAGCATCTGTGGGACGATAACTGCTTGGTAAATTCTGCGCATGGCGTAGAGTGAAGCTCCCCATGTTGAGCCTGCTAGGCTCCGTAGTGCTTGAAGCGAAACGCGTGCCTTTTCCACTGCATTATCACGATGATGGTGAAATTCCAGACCGGGAACCAGCCAGTAGCCGAGGTATCGCTCAGCAGTTCTCGTCGCCATCACGGTGTGTCCTCGTAGAGGCAGCGGCGTGTATTATAGGTAGATTACAAGGAAGATCATTCAGAAAAGCAAGACTGTAGCTGGCACTATGTTTGGGCTGGGTTCTTGATGCTTTAATGGAGGGAGTGTGGTGGTAACATTCCATTTTGCTTAATTGATTTTTGTTCTATTTCATTTCATTTCATTATCCTATCAGAAAAGAATAAAACTCTTATCAGCCGAGCTGTTTAGGATACCAAGGCGACTCGGTTTGTATGATAGCTCAATTATATGGTAGCAATCAGGCACACAAGACAAGCTACTCTGAATGGTAATGGAATGGCCGGCTGATGAGCTGGTTGTTTTCTTTACATTTCCCCGCACTGCACAATCGAGACATCTTGGTTCGGTTTGTCCCTCGTTGTTCGAGTGTGCTCAACCATGCGGACCACATCCATTCCGTCGATAACTTGACCAAAGACCACATGTTTATTGTTCAAAAATGGAGTGGCTGTGGTTGTTATGAAGAATTGGCAGCCATTGGTGTCCGGGCCTGAGTTCTGAAGATATTGTCAGCCTGAGGTATTTCTCGAAGACGGGGATAAGAACGAGCTGGCAAAGGAGACATACGGCCATGCTGAGCAAGCCCGGTCGGTCATGCTTAAGTGTGAAATTTTCATCGGCAAACTTTGGGGTGCCGAAGATAGTGCAGCTTCCTGTCCCATCCCCATTGACAAAATCGCCGCCTTGGATCATGAAATCTTTGATCTAAAAGCCAAGTCAGTTGATCATATGCGACCTTTGGATCAAAGGGGATGTTGTATTATCACGTACAACCCGATGAAATTTGCTCCCCTTGTAGCCTTGGGGTTGTCCCTTGGGGTTCTTGCTCTCCCCCGTGCAGAACTGACGGAAATTCTCTGCGGTACGTGGTGTGACACTGGCAAAGAGCTCCATTTTGACTCGACCGAGTGCCTCTCCTACGACCTTGAGTTTAGTGGGTGTTATACGAACGATTAAGACTTTTCTTGGTATCGAGCCTACCTGCAAGAGCGACATCAAAGAAGACTACCGGGTTGGCAGCTTCGTTTGACGGTACGGTTGAATCGGCCATGACCAGGTAAGGTGAAGGGGTAAAAGGATGTAGTGGTACTTTCAATGGGGAAGATGCCGACGTCGACGGTAACATCTCCCGCCATCACGCACTTCCATACCTTCAAACCCTTGATAGTGTCACCTCCACCTCCCTTGAAAATATCGCTCGAATTTCAGTGACAAAGAGGGATCTTGAAATATTATTGCTTTAATTTATTATTATTATTGTTATCATTAATTATTGTATTTTATTTCCACACGCTCTGGGCCGTTTCTCCCCCTTCGGTTGACCCAGCCCCAGCCGAGTTCCCGTGACCTTTCAGCCTCAGGCCTCCTCCCCCATCGCGATCCGCATGCGTCCAGCCTTCCCCGTTGCTTGACAACCTTTCGCGAGATCCACCTCGAAAGTGGCGGTATGAACCAGGCTGGCATCGCCTGGCTAAACAGCAAGAGTTCGGCTGAGTCCTCTTGGTGCTTTGTGTATCCCTTACGGCTCATCCTCCACCCGGAACGCCTTTACCTTTGCCTTCACCCTTGACCGATTCTAGGCTTTCCTACCGTCTATTGTATCCAGACTATTGCAAATTGAACAGCCGCTCACAAACTCGCCCTGCTACGCCTTACCCTTCATCTTTCTCGAGCCTCGACGGACCCTTCAGGCGATCGTCCATACCTTGTACGCTTCGTCGAGCCCGCGCCCGGAGGAATGGTCTACGTATCAGACGGTGCATCATCCAGACATCTAGTGGGATCCGGCATTTGACGTGCGCTCCTGCGATTCCATTTCAAATTTAATTCCTTTCGAAATGGCACCGTCTACCACTACGGCTGCCAGCAGCGCCGCGACTACCACTGGAAATAGCGGGGACAGCTCAGGCTCAGGCGCGACAAGCTCGCCGCTGCTGTTTTTTGTCGCGCTTGGTTTCGGCGTAGTTTTCACCAATTTATGGTACGTTGAATCGACCACATCTCTGTTGTTGCTGAAGATGCACACTCGCGCCTTCACCTATTAGCTTTCATCAATCTCGAGTTCGAGACTGACATGATTTTTTAGGATTATTGTTGGCGTCAAATACTGTTTCCGATATAACCAGCGAAACCGCCAGCTGCGCGGCGAGGAGACGGGTGATCCGATAGATCTCGTAGCCATGCCTCGACCTCATCGACGACGTCGAGAGAAAAAGTTGATGACGATGGACGAGGTCAACGAGCGATTCCCCCTCGTGAAATACAAAGTCTGGAGATCATCTCGCGCCAACCAAGGTCTTCCAACCGAAGGTGGAATTACGGCCCCGAACAGTAGACCGCAGAGTGTGAAGGATGAAGGTGATGTTGTAACGACACCGATTGCCGTTACGACGCTCGCAAACTCGCCGTCATCCGCAGAGCACGAACAAGATGAATCCAATGCCCGTCGTGCCCCCCTTCCTGACCCATCAACTAAGCCAGCTGCAGCACATGCTGGCGAGAAGGCTTCGCCCGATTTGGCAGAGGCCTCCACGCACGAGGATAGAGATGCAGCTATTGCAGAAGACACCTGGCGGCATTCCTTGGTGAAAGAGAATATTGAGCTTGAAGAAGACGACGATGGTGATCAAATCCGGAAATCTGTTCCTTCTGAACTACTGCCAAACCCTGGTGATTCTTGCGCAATCTGCTTGGATATTATTGAGGATGATGATGATATCAGGGGATTGACTTGTGGCCACGCTTTCCATGCGTCTTGCGTCGACCCGTGGTTGACAAGTAGACGAGCCTGCTGTCCCCTATGCAAGGCTGATTACTATGTGCCCAAGCCTCGCTCTCAGGCAGCTGAAGGTGCATCCAATACTCACCGCCATGGACGTCGTGCTGTCTCGAATCGTGGCGATGTTCTTGCTCGACCCCCTAGGGCAGCTCGGCCCGGGGGTCCAACAAACCTGTTCCGAGTACCCATAACACTCCCTGGCAGACTTTTCCAATCATCACAGTCTCTGCGAGATGGCTCCCCGCGGGCAGGACCCCGCAACGGGCCAGCACATGTGGACCCAGATGCTGCACCACAACAACCACGCTGGTTGCGCTTCGTCCCGAGTCGCCTCCGTCAATCCTCATCTCAACCAGCTTCAACAAATGCACCCACATCTCCTGTTGGGGGCTCATCGGTTTTTGCTGGCACACACAGTCGTACGCCAGGGCAACTTGAAGCTGGCACGTAATGATGATTTCGTGATGTTTGCAACGGACTACTGACGTGGTCTACGATTCACTGATTTAATAAAAGAATTATAAAAAAAAAAAAACCTCTACTTTGCATGCTGGATCGACATCTGGAATGTTTGGTCAAAGCAACCGCTTCATTGTCGATGAATTTATTATGTGTAATTACTGATTTCGGTTGTGGATGTTGGGCTTATAGTGTCAGGGCCCCTGTGATTTTATATTCGCGAATCAGTCTCGTAGATACGAGCACTGTACGAAATTTGTTTTTCTCGGCGCTTGTGGTATTGGAGGATGGGAATTTTATCTGTTATCAATTTCCGAGCGATGATGACACTGACTATTAAGAACCAGAACGACCAAACCAATAATTTCGGATGCTGTGACGCAATTGCGGGATCTAGCGGTGCCATTGACTATTCAAATATCGAGTTGATTATTTCCTTGTTGATCCTTCGTAGGGTAATACATATGGTATTATGGAAAGAGTTGTCAAATCCACTTTCTTCGCACTGTCAGAAAGTGACATCAATTCTGACCCGCAAATGGATAACCAGAGAAAGCAAGTAGCAAAACTATACAAAAGCGTAGAAAAGGATATCAAACACCGAAAATTTGAGATAAAATCTTAAAGAATCTTTAGGACTGTGGTTTGGAGGTGCCCACTCCAGCCCCGATGACACTTGGCAGCTCTTCTTGGCCCATGCTAAAGAGCATGCCGACGGCACTGCCCGCCAGGATGACTACCAAAACAGTAACACCGGCGATGAGGAAGAAAGGAGAGCTGATATCTTCCTTCTGACATGCTACTCCACCCCACTGTATCTTCTTGGTAGAGCCATCACTCTTTTTCACTACAGTCTGTCGGCATCGGCAGGCGTAGCAATTCCCGGTAGCTCCCTCGCTACCAGACCCGTACTTCAAAAAGCAGGATCCATGCCCGGAGCAGTCATTTGTTGCTTCGGCACAAGAGGAGTTAGAGGCGTGGCATACGGGTGCAAGGTTTAAAGATAGCGAGAGACTCTGCGCCGATCTCTCAACCAAAGGCCTCGTGTTCGAATCGGAAACTGAGTGGCGAGATCGGTTCTCTAGGGTGCGTCGTAGTGTTCGGGTGGAGCCCTGAGAATGATCGATAGCAGGGACAAGTACAACAGTAATCTCCGTGTTGATGGACTTGGCTCTCTTGTCCAGGCTTTGGAAGGTAGACTGCAGGTACTTGGTAAGGAGTGCATTCTCGCGCGAGGTCGCCTGCGATAATCAATGTTAGGAAATATAAAGTTTTACCTGGAGAGCCAGCCATAATGATTCATACCTTGATCACCAATCTCGAAACAGACAATCGTGTATCATCGCTCATGGATGTTTCCATCGAATCCACCAGGTCAATTATGTCACGGTTCAACAAGCCACGGCCATGAGAAAGAACAGGGTCGTTCGCAAGACACTCTTGAATAGACTAGGGCTTCTTTGTTAGTAGGTGCATCATTGATGAATTGGAGAGTAAGAATATGATACCGGTGAGTTCTGTGACTTGTGATACAGGCAATGCTTTCCATTGTCGTTGTTTAGAGACGCATCGTTTGTGAAATCCGAGAAGACACCTGGAACAAATAGGCTACGAAATTGATCACTCCGTAGGCTCGAACCTAAAAAAGGAAATTAAATTAGCACGTTAGCGAATCGTCCATCTCGCGGTTTTGGAATTCACGTACCTATTTCTTGGTCCACCCCCTCCAAGAAGAGAATGCTTCTACTAGAGCCATCCTGATCAGTAAGCCCCCCAAAAAGTGAGGATTGGCCACCTGCAAAGTGATTGAGACGATCCACGGTATCTGTTTCAGCTTCCCCGAGCATTGACTCCAAGGGTGACTTCATGCGAAGCTCCAAAATCAGACGAGCAACATCTTCCGACACGGTTTGTTGACCAGGGATTTTGTCTGCGAGGTGGTTTCGATCGTGGAACGTGAATATCGAAGTCTCAAAGGCGTTCGTGCCCAGTGCACCCGTGGCCGCAGCAGCCAGCAGCGTGGAGGCCCAGCGCATTTCTGATAGATTCAAGGGACAAAGGCTTAGGCGAGGGCGGTAGTTGTGTATATGACCATGCGAAAGGTTCCCCAGGTGTGTTTGGCTGGGCAAGAGATCCGTGGGATGGCCGAGTGCTTTGGGCGGGGGAAGGCGACGGAGACAGCACCAGAGTACAACGTAGCTCTCCCTGATGGGGACTCGGGACGACTCCGACGCGGTCATACATCACGTGGCTGCCGGTCCCGCGAGCCACTCCTTCTCTTTCCCTCGTTTGTTCCCTTCGTCGTCAATACCCTGCGGCGCTTCTTCTGGTCAAAAATCCCCCAGGCGGGCCTTTCCAAATGATTCGGCTCAGGCATTTACTTCGAAGTCGAGTCCGTCCGTCCCTCCTCAACACCGGGCCTCAAACCATCACTGCACCACCAACTGTCCGACGTGTAAGATTTCGACGACCTTGGCTGAGGTGAGTACATATTGTTTACCGGGCACGAGATACTAGGTTCTCAAGAACCAGCAAGCGGAAGAACTTGGCTCTCCGTTTGTCTTTGTCTGTACCGATCTGGCATTTCCTTGGCCCCACCTGTCGCATATATTCAATCGCCCAGATCCAAGTGCACTCGCGTTGGTAACGTCGCGCGAAGGGGATTCAGTCATCGTGAACCCCTGCCTCCTATCTGAATAGCGGCTGAGAATTTATTCGACTGTCTTTTTTTGTTTCAACCTTTTTTTTCCCCTTCGTTCGTCGCTAATCGATCCTTGTACCAGATCTTTCATCGGCAAATTCCTACTTTACGGGGCCGCCTTTCATATCTGGAGCTCTTTCGTGCTGATTCGGTTCGACGATGATACTACTGATGATGATGAGTCACCCCGTGAGGCCATAAATACTGCAGAGGACAACTCAAACCAGCCCCTCCATCGGAATGAGACGGGACAGGACGATGAGGAGAAGGATGATGATCCCTTGTTCATCCCTCTCTCTTGGTCTCGGGTGCAGGAGGGTGAACTTTACTCTGCTTCGGATCCTGAATGGCAAGAGTTCGTGAAAATATCGAAGGACCGGAAGCAACTTCAGAAGCTACGAGGTAATTTCTATACCTTCCCACTTGTCTGGGCAAAGCTAATCGTTCCAGATGAACTTGCCTCGATCGCCCTCCAGAACGCCTCGAGCCAAATGTCACAGATTCTTGGAGGTCCACTTTCATTGACTGGTTTCTGGCTAGTGCATCAATTTCCACACCGTGCGCCTCCGGGCTACGTGCGATCCGGGTACGTATTCCAGGTCTAATTGTCCATGTACTTGTACTGACTTAGTATAGGCTGGAATTCACTGATAATGGGACATCATGGGTGACGAAGACTATGGACCCCGATATGGGCGATAGGCTGCAGACTTTCATGAAACCAGTACATGTGGCTCTCGCAATAAAGGACGCCTATTTCGTCTTGCTTAAGAGGCAGCTGGATCGCCTCAGGAACCCCAATGGGCAACCAGATGCTGTGGAACTATTGAATGGGAAATATATTCTGTCCAGTCATGAGAGAACCAATCCGATGAGTACTCATGAACAACCCAAGCTACAACCGGATGTGTCCGATGATCCACTGGAAACCATGTCATCTAGCGATGACCCAGAGCTCCATCCATCATCTATCATATCATCACTACAACGGCTTCCTTTGCCCGACCTTGGCCCTGGATCCGATCTACACTTGGCATCGATAGCGTTCAAGTTGCGCTTGCACGAACACCGAGCTCAATCCCCACGAACCCCATGTCGAGGTTCATTCTTCATTTCTGGTCCGGTTGGCATCAAGGGGCCAAACGGGTTTTGCAGATTTGAAGTCAGGGGGGAATACGACCCAGCGAAGCCCGGGTGGAGAACAGTGGATATGAAACTCAAGGATTTAAATCTCCGCAGGCAAGCACCACTCGGGCGGCCGTGAGATGTGCACGCAACTTCACCCTCAAGGCTACTCTGCTCGCATGCACGTGCCATGGACTGCACACAAAAGTTGAATTTAGCTAGGAATACCCCTTATACCCATTTCATATAAATTCTTTTCCAACATGTTGATCCAGTTGAACCCTCGGTGGACTTGGGCTAGTCTACAGGTGTTACTCCAGTCATGGAGGTTTCGTGCTTTCCTTGATGTACTTGAAGGATGACGCCGGCTAAACATTTCCGTGATACGTAGAATCTGTGAAGGAAACATTCTCCGTGCATCACCTGGTCACATGAGGATGTTGTATTTAGAGGTAATATGCTCCAGTAGGACTATCTACCTCTCCAGCTTGCACCCGCAGTGGGCATTGGTACATCATGTAGTCCACCTCGGCGGTGAGAGATGTCAACGCTCTCCACTGGCGGGGTAAAAGGAATGACGACAATGTCCCGCATGACTTGGCTTCCGCAACTTAACTACCGATCCAGATCATTTACAATCATCAACATGGCCGTTGCTCCCAAATTTGCCGGAATCAAGCTCTCTGAGAGCAAGTCCGAAGAGGCGCAGCATACTCTAGAACTATGTTCGTATATTATTCAGTGAACCCTTGTGAAGTCCAAGTTGACGCAGCCTAGATCTCGATTATGTGTGCCCGGTTTGTTTTTCCATAGCACATTGTTCGTTCCGATTGTCCTAATGGGGCTTCCCAGTTCTCGGCAAAGATGTTCAATACATTTTATACGCTGGGTCCTATGATTACACAAAAGTACAGCTCTCGACTGCGAGTGATATTCCGCCAGCATATCCAGCCGTGGCACCCGTCTTCCACACTTACCCATGAAGCCGGCGCGGCTGTCCTTCGCCTAGCGCCAGAGAAATTCTGGGACTTTAGTGGCGCACTATTCAAACGCCAGGCCGAATTTTTCGACGTGAGCGTTGTAAACGAAACGTAACCAGACATACAAGCGACTCGCTCAGGTTGCAGGGTCTGTTGGCGTGGACGAAAGGAAGGTGCTGGATCTTCTGACGATCCCCGAAGCCTCGGGGGCGGATGGACAATTGAATGCAGGAAACCAGGTCACCAATGACATTAAATGGATCGTGAAGGTAAATTGTGTAATTCCTTTCGTCGTCAGCAGGCCCTCTAACATCAACCAGACGGACCGAGTGGTAGGAGTTCATGTGTCGCCAACTGTATACTTCGATGTGAGTGCATTCAACAAGGGAATGATTCGAAAAGTTGACATGAAGCACAGGGAGCGGAAGAACGTGGGATCAGCAGTAGTTTCAGTGCTGCACAGTGGGAGGAATGGCTGGCAAAGAACGTGATGTGATTGCCCGGAAACTGACAGGCGCAACTATGCTACCCTGGTTGACTTAGCTTTATCTTTTCGCACAAACACAGTCCGTACCAGTCGGTAGCGACAAATGAAGAGTAAAACGAATCGTATCTCATTCTAGAACTTCCGTTACGAAGCTGACGTTGGCCCTAGAGAACATACAGGCTATGCATGTCCATGCGATAGTAAGAACACAAAAAGAACCCAGATCTTGAATGTCTGGGGGGGGGGGGCGGAGACGAATGGATATCAATGTGCAAAAACATCAACTAGTAGTGAGTTTATTGCGCCAGAGGAGGCTGGTAGTTGAGGGGACGCCTAGATCACACATTCATTAGCAGGGGAGTAAAGGGAAGAGGTTGGATTCAATAGCACTGACTTGAATAGCAGGATATGAGGCTCCGGTTCGTGCACCTCATAGTGCTCCCAGCCCAGACTCTGAGGACACCATAGTTAGTACATTTGACTCCCAGTTGATATTGTCACAGCGAAATATACCTGTGTGATGCCCAGCGCTCGCCATTCTTCCTCCCACAGGAGCTTCAATGTTCCCTTCGCACTGTCAAAGTAATCTTGGGGGATCTTCTTCAGCATGTTCTTCGGCAGCTGCACGTGGCGATACTCGAATTTGTCGTCGGAATACCTGCAGACTACTCAGCTCAATTCGTCAAACTGCCGAGGCGTCAATCTCATACCTTGCCGAGTAGTGAATGGAATCTATGAACTCATCCAGCCGCTCGCGCTCCGACTCTAGCAAGAGGCGCGGTTTCTTGTTTCTTCTGGTGGGATCGATGTCCATTGGAACGGGTGTTGGGGAGGGAGACGGTCGGGTTCTTGGTGTGGGTGTGCTGGTAGTTGGAACAGAGCTTCCGGGAATCTGCTAGTCGCCGGTGGCAGAAACCGATCTGGAATTTGCGAATCGCCAGGCAGTGATGGGGGCCACCCCCTGTAGCAGTCGGTGGTATTGTGGAAATGAGTGGGGGTACCGATTGAACGTTTCGCGTGTGGAGGGCGAAGCGGGGAGTGAAGGTTAAGGTCGAGGGGTTCGTGTTTTGCAGAGCGGTTTGTTTTGCGGAAAATGGAGGGGTGGTGTGGAGGTGCCTGAGGTGTCGGCGCGGTTGGGATTCTGTCCCAGTTACTTCCCATGGCGCAGCTGAGGATCCCGGGCCTGTTGAAAGGAAGCCAGCTGGAAGCACAATTGATTTATAAGAATGACATCGCCATTATGGTGAAGCTCTGACGATATTGTTGGGACATGGTAGCATGAGTTGCTGCCGATTTACGTGATATATTGGGACTTCCAAAAATTGCATACATTACATGTATATATATGTGTACAATGTACGGTAAGTACCAGGCATGTAGGTACAACAGCCAACCCACCACTCTGAAGCAGATATTCACACCATAGCGCGACACCTATTGATATGTTCGGAAATTCCACATCACCCAAATCAAAGTCCATCTACCACCTTAGCTGCCCAAGCAAGCGTTGAATGCCACTAATAACGTGATAACGTATTGCCCGAGCGACCGAATTGACCGAGCGACCCCACCAAAAATCAAAAAACCTTCAATTTTTCACCACGACTAATACCACAAAAATAACTCAAATTTTGTTATTTAATACGTGTAGGGCATTTAACATAAGTATGGCCTTTAATCCCACATCCAGAGCAGGTGACCTGCCGCCTAACCATAGGCATGGAAGGTAAAGCAGGTTCTGCAGGTGGTTCTCCAGGTACATCTAGCAAAGATATATCTTCACTATCACCATCATCCTCAACAACCACATCATCCTGACCATCCTCCCGACTCCCGAAAATGCCCCTCTGGCTAGTAAACTTATGCTTGATTGCTCGTTTTTTGATCTGTTTCTTATTAGAAGCCTCCAATTGGTCGCAGCGATTCTGAAGAAAAATATGATGATGGACCACTTTTATGGTCATTTCATAGTTCCTCTCAATCTCCCGTTTGGTTGGTGAAGAAAGGATTGAAGAAGAAGATTCTAGACCTTTTTTGATCCGAGATTGCGATTTTGAGAATTTTGAGAGAGTCCAGAGAGTATTTGGATCACTATCACTGCCAGAAGAGGGTGGTCGTGTAGGAAGGATCTCAAGAGGAGGAAGTTCATCCAGGCATACATTAAGCTTTTCCAAGACTCTATTAGCATCAAATGGTGCTAATCCAGTAGCAGAAAAGCTATTCTGGATATTAGAGGTCTTAAAAGCTCCCTTTCTTGCATCTGCAATCAATTCAAGGAAATCTTCCTTATCAATAGAATTGACTCCATTCCGCATCATGGTTGAAACCGCTCCTCCATAAAGCCTCTTCAAAACCGAAAAACAACCCACATCTAAAGGTTGTAAAAGATGAGAAGCATGAGGAGGCATACAGATCGCGATGATATCATTTTCTTCACAAATTCGATCAAATTCAGGGGTTAAATGACTCCCATGACCATCAAGGACTAAGAGGCAGTATTTTCCCACTCTTTTCCCAATATTTGGGATAAAATGAGATTTCAACCACCATAAACCAATTTCATTGGTAGTCCAGCCATTTTTGCTCACAGTCAGACGAGATCCAGGTTGATTTGAATCAAGGGGGATGCGTAGATGTTCAGGAAAGAATTTCCCCTTAAAAACGAAGAGTGGAGGATGGACACTTCCATCAGCTCTAATACACTCAATTGAAGTCACCCACTCGCGATTTCCAGCTTGTAAGAGAGCTCTTTTTCCATGGTATTCGGCTGAGGTAATAATCCTTTGTGTGGTACCAACTCCCATAGCAAAACCAGACTCATCAAAGTTGAAAATATCATCCGAAGTGATACCCCACTTTTCAACGGTATTTTGGACCAAATCAAACCATGGTTTGATAATTCGAGGGTCCTCTGAAAGAGCCCTCTGATAGTCGTATTTTCGAGATAATCGTGTGGACAAATTTGGATGTCGTTTGACAAAGTGAGATGCCCAATCTCTACCAACAGTAGAGGGGTTGTTTTTTGGGCATGAAGGAGTAAATTGGCCATATCTCTCAACATAGGCAGTGTAAGAGCAGCACCTCTGGTATCCATATCCAATAGCCATTTTTCAATCGATTGCTCTTCAATTTCAGAGAAAATAAAGCGATTGTGTCGTTTTTCAGAAGCAGCTTCACGCCCATTAAGGCGGGCCTTCAAAGTTGAGACTGGTAAATCAAAAGACCGCGCAGCAGCTGCAGCAGAGGGATATTTACCATCTTTTATAGCTTTAATAGCTAATAAAAGACGGCCCTCCTGCTCTATTAATTTTCTTTTTCGATCAGACCGTTGGGGGGCATGATTATTGTGGTAAACAAGATATGTTATTTTTTGAGATGGGTTTTTAGTGGGGCCGCTCGGTCAATTCGGTCGCTCGGGCAATACGTTATCACGTTAGTTGCTGATACCACTTACCTAAGGCGGCGGCGGGTGGGCCTCCGGGGCAGATCGCCACGCGCGCACGCGTCTGCTGCATCCGCACCCGTCGAGGTATAAACCCTCATGCGTCCTTGTCGACCCAGTTAGTTGGCACTTACTCTTAACAAGACCCTGTGCCCCAGGTATCTGATGTCAACATGAGCACCAAGCGCCGTGTGACTGGAGCTGGCCCCCCGGAAGTGGCTCGCGGTCAAAAGCGTCGGAAAGTGTCTGTAAGTCGTTGCGTGCTGTTTGTGCTTAGTCGATTGTTTGCGATTACCGAGAGCGACCCCACGCGAGCGTACCTCCCAGGCATATAGGCTGTGATGTCTCATCCTTGAAGGACGATGCTGGTGCCTGCGTATGCGACGCGTGACTCCGGTTCACGACAAAACGAGCAGATCGACGAGCTCTGCCCGTCACAAACCCGTCCTCCCATCCATATTGACACCGCATCTCGTGTCGCGTTGCTAATAGCCTGGGACTTCTACTAGGATGACAACCTTGCGAACCAAGAGAACTCCCCGCCGGCAGATGAGGTGGAGGAAAATGGCAGCTCCGACCCCCATGACGGAAGCCCCGAGGCGGATTTTGAAGGCGACAACATCCAAACTGCCCAGGACAAGATCATGTCGGAGCTTCTAAAACTAAAGGATTCCGAGTGAGTGTCGCGGGATAAAATGCGAGAGATTGTGAAATGCTGACTTCCAAAGTGGCGAAGAAGTTGCTTACCCTTTCATTGGAAAGCCGGATCGCAATCTCTATCGGGACTATTATGAGATCATTCAGCATCCAGTATCGCTGCGAAGCATTCAACAGAAGGTGCGCGGCACCGAGAGCCGTCGAAAGCCGTCGAAAACTACCGCGTTCCCGACCTGGGAATCCTTTGAAGATGAAGTCAGCTATATCTGGCGCAACGCAAGAGAGTACAACGAGGACGATAGCGATATTGTTGTTCTGGCGGGGATCCTGGAGGCAAGTCCTGCCCCTGTCGAAGTCTGTCTTCAGCGCTAACATCAAACCAGGAGTATTTCAACCGGCGACTGGCCGAAGCGAAAAAGCTAGTACCGGATTCCAGCCAGGTAGATGGTGACCCTGAAATGCCTCGTATAAAATTGAAGATGAGCGCAAGGGATTCAGAGCAGGTGGCGCAAAGGTTAACATTGAAGATGTCTGGGCAGGCATCTGAGACACCCACCAAAGATGGGCCGTCAACAAGTGTTGCAGTTGATAACGAGTCACTGAAACGACAACAAGAGCTCGTGAGAACTGGATCGATGAGTCAGGATGCAGATACGTCCTGCATGTCTCCTCGGACACGATATCTTCGGCGACTCGGCAGCCCCAGATCTAGTGCGGCCACCACACCATCTGCCCCGGAGCAATCGTACGGAGCGCTCATGAATGGGCGAGAGGTCTCCAGAGCAATTAAAGACGAGTCTTCCATGGCCCCGTCCCAGAGTGCAGAGCTGCGTTCTTCCCATGGTCTCCATGGCGTTCCCCTTGAGTCAACTAGCTGGACTCAGTACGATGGTATGGCAGATTCTCTCCCTCTCTCGCTCGTGTTTCACTTCATCGCCGCAGAACTATCTTCCCCGCAATCCATGCTGACACATGCAATCTCAACCCCAGCATCAATTCATCAAACAACCGATGCGTCGTCACCTATGGATTCTCTCCTTAGGCGACCGGGTCAAGGTGAGTCTTGGTGATCTCGACCCTGAGTGATGACCCTCAGGTAGTTAAGAGGGACAAGATCGATGGCTGATCACGTTTATAGATGCAGCTTCTGCCCTGATCCGCAATGTACGAATCCTGACTCACCCGTCCCTGTCCCTGCAACAGGATCTTTGCCTAGATATCCCCCCCCTCGGCGACCGTTTGTCAACAGACGATCACGATCAGTCTTCCATCCTCGCATCACGTGTTGACCATCAAGCCTATACTAGCGGCTAGCACACCCCAAAAACAAACGAAGATTGTTGCCCTGACGGGCACCCATCGACTTCAGCCATCTGGGGATGTGTCTGCGCTGGCGTATGACATCCAACTCCACCCGGGCACCACGAAGGTTGACCTTGAAGCCATTGCTGGCCCGCCAAGAGGTGTTCCTAAAACCGGTACCCCGGGCTCAGATGTTGACTATGAACGAGTTACTATCCTTTTCAATCTGCTGCGATGATGCCAGGTGTATACGTTGGGTCTTTTTATTTTCAGTTTTCCTTTATTTTTATTTTTTATTTTTTGATACGCTGGGTATGGAGAGTTAGGCGATGGAATGGTGGGAAGGGAGCTGAGACGATAGTATCAGTTAGGCCCTCATCCAATCTATGTATCTATGTTTCATATATCATATCATTTTAATCTTGCTCTTGGAGCTTTCTGCGGAGTTTACCCACAGCCTCGGGACCGCACAACCGTTCCCACTGCACTCCCCGACAACACGTGACTTACCGCGCCCGAAGAATTTTCTGCCCTGGATAAAAAATTATTTTCTCGAGTCACCAACCCCTCCTTCCACCATTTCCCACTCTCTCAATTCCACCACATACTTTCACAATGGCCGACCTTCCGGTTTATGATGGTGCGATCGGTATCGATCTCGGTATGTTTCTTATTCAATCCCCCCAAACCAGGAATATTTACTGATCTTTTCTTTTTTGTGTGCAGGTACCACCTACTCTTGCGTTGCCAACTATGAGGGCACCAACGTCGAGATCAGTGCGTCTACTACATATTGAGACGGCCTCCCTTGCACCAAACTAATTTTCACTCAGTCGCCAACGACCAGGGTAGCTACACCACTCCCTCTTTCGTTTCCTTCACCGACAAGGAGCGTCTGATCGGTGAGGCCGCCAAGAACGCCGCCGCTATGAACCCGAAGAACACCATCTTCGATATCAAGTGAGTTTTGTGGAGTTATTGCGAGATGTCTTCGGTCTCTCTTCTCAGACAGCGAATGGGGCCCGAGGGAATTCGAGAAGGAAATTTCTAACTCGAGTTAAAAACAGGCGTCTGATTGGTCGCCGTTTCGATGACCCTATCGTCAAGAAGGACGTTGAGTCGTGGCCCTTCAAGGTTGTTGACCAGGGTACTAGCCCTGCCGTCGAGGTTGAGTATCTCGGTGAGAACAAGACCTTCACTCCTCAGGAGATCTCCTCCATGGTCCTCATGAAGGCAAGTTATTATATGTCAAGTTCTCGCTCACTACAATCCCCTAACAAAGAGAGAACAGATGAAGGAAGTTGCCGAGACCAAGCTCGGCAAGAAGGTTGAGAAGGCTGTTATCACTGTTCCCGCCTACTTCAACGACAACCAGCGTCAGGCTACCAAGGATGCCGGTGCTATCGCTGGCCTGAACGTTCTGCGTATCATCAACGAGCCTACTGCTGCTGCTATTGCTTACGGTCTGGGTTCTGGCAAGTCCGACAAGGAGCGCAATGTCCTGATCTACGATCTGGGTGGTGGTACTTTCGATGTCTCTCTGCTTAACATCCAGGGTGGTGTCTTCACTGTCAAGGCTACCGCCGGTGATACTCACCTTGGTGGTCAGGACTTCGATACCAACCTGTTGGACTTCTTCAAGAAGGAATTCCAGCGCAAGACTGGCAAGGACCTCTCTGGCGACGCCCGTGCTCTCCGCCGCCTGAGAACCGCTTGCGAGCGTGCTAAGCGTACCCTGTCCAACGCTACTCAGACCACTGTCGAGATTGACTCTCTCTTCGACGGTGAGGACTTCAACTCCTCTATCACCCGTGCCCGTTTCGAGGACCTGAACGCCAAGTCATTCAACGGCACTCTGGAGCCCGTCCAGCAGGTCCTGAAGGACTCTGGTATTGAGAAGATTAAGGTCGACGAGATCGTCCTTGTCGGTGGTTCTACCCGTATTCCGCGTATCCAGAAGCTTCTGAGTGACTTCTTCGACGGCAAGAAGCTTGAGAAGAGCATCAACCCCGATGAGGCTGTTGCCTATGGTGCTGCTGTCCAGGCTGGTATCCTCTCTGGCAAGGCTACTTCTGCTGAGACCCAGGACCTCCTGCTTCTTGATGTTGTTCCCCTGTCCCTTGGTGTCGCTATGGAGGGTAACATCTTTGCCCCCGTTGTCAACCGTGGTCAGACCGTCCCCACCATCAAGAAGCGTACCTTCACCACTGTTGTCGACAACCAGACCACCGTCCAGTTCCCCGTCTACCAGGGTGAGCGTACCAACTGCGCCGACAACACCTCCCTCGGCGAGTTCACTCTGGCTCCCATCCCCCCCATGCGTGCCGGTGAGGCCGCTCTGGAGTGTGTTTTCGAGGTCGATGTCAACGGTATCCTGAAGGTCACTGCTACTGAGAAGTCCTCCGGCCGCAGCGCCAACATCACCATCTCCAACGCTGTTGGCAAGCTGTCCAGCACCGAGATCGAGCAGATGATTGATGGTAAGTCACATATTCTCGATACTTGTTTATATGATTTGCGACAAGACTGACTAGTTTCTAGATGCCAACAAGTTCAAGACCAGCGATGAGGCCTTCACCAAGAAGTTTGAGTCTCGCCAGCAGCTCGAGTCCTATATCTCCCGTGTTGAGGAGATGATCTCCGAGCCCACTATGTCGATGAAGCTCAAGCGCGGCAACAAGGAGAAGATCGAGTCTGCCCTCAGCGACGCCATGGCCCAGCTTGAGGTTGAGGACTCCACTCCTGAGGACCTCAAGAAGAAGGAGTTGGCCCTGAAGCGTCTTATGACCAAGGCTATGTCTACCCGCTAAGCGAAGAGATGGGCATAGGATCGGCCAACATATGAACCCCTTCCTCGAACTACGGAAGGTCTGCGCCGCATAGATCTTGGGGCAGTGTTGGTCCATGCTTTTTATGTTTGAAGCCGGGCACACTTGGGCGCAGTATTTTCTTTTTTTCACCCTTTTCTTTTTTTGTCTTTCAAAAAGTATGTTCTGTAGACGAAGATCTGACGTTGCAAATTTAATGTGTGACGACCTCTGCTCTGCGTGTCGTTCCGGTACCCTTAATTGTAGCTTGTGTATTGGTAAGCTCCGCCTTCTTCCCCGGTCTGGGCTTAATTTTTTCCCCTTCGGGTCTGCCGCGCAGTGACTTCTTCTCCACTTCACTCTGCTCGAACGCCTCGCCCTGTCCCTTCCTTCACAATGCTACGACACGCTGTGAGTCGATTGTCAGTTCGCGCTACTTCCCAATGCCGACCCGCCTCTTGGGGCTCACGGCCTCTTCTCGTCTCGAGCCGGTCCTTGCCCGTCGTCCATCGCAATAACTTCGCCAATTCATCGATTTTGTACAAGAAGAAAGACAAGGGGAAAAATGCAACTAGCGATTCGGAATTGCAAGGGCCCGCAACATCCCCAGAGGACCCTTTCGACCTTGCGCAGCTCCAAACAGGCATATCAACTGCTGTTACGCGATTGAAGGATGATCTTTCGAAACTTCGTGCAGGGGGGCGGTTTAACACTGCCTCCCTGGAAAGCTTGAAGGTCCAACTAGGGAAGGACAGTAGTGATTCATTCAAGCTTGGGGATCTAGCACAAGTAGTGCCTAAAGGAGGACGGATGGTGACCTTATTAGCGGCCGAGGAGGAGGTGAGTTGATTGTGCCGCTTCGGGCTCTCCGGATGAGAAGGAGGTGAATTGACGCTTTAATAGCATATCAAACCTCTCGCGTCGGCCATCGTGTCCTCAAATCTGTCTCTGACTCCTCAGCCGGACCCTTACAACCCCCTCCAGCTCAATATTCCCATCCCCCCACCGACAAAAGAATCCCGAGACCAAAACGTCAATGTCGCTAAACAGGCCTTTGAAAAAGCCGCCAACACCGTCCGCGATGCTCGGGGTGTTATGCACAAGCGGTTACAAGACATGCAAAAAAGAAGACTGCGCGGCCTGATGATGTGCGCAAGGCCCATGACCAAATGGAAAAGGCCACGGACAAGGGGCAGAAAGAAGTGAAGGATTTGTTTGATGCGGCGAAAAAGACATTGGAACAGGCTTGAAAGGTCTTTGGGCACTGGTAACATTGTAACACTAGATACAAGAGGAAAAGATGGGCGCAAAGGGAACAAGGCGCCCAGGGATAGAAGAGCGAAAAGAAACTATGTGATATAATACAAACGACTACCAATCCCGGCCGTTAAGATCTGCTCAAGAGCGTTTTACCCGGCTCGAGGCGAGTAAAGACTCGACCTTGGCCATGAATTCAGGCCGCTTGCCCGCAGTCTGATAAGTCCCATTGTTTCGCAGGTTTCGTGCCACATCGCCCAAAACAGCTGGCTGGTCCTTTCTGGCATCCAGTGCAGGATACCTTCCTTGGGCGAATGTCTCTACCAATGTCTTGGTGTCGTGTGTGCCGAGAGCGTTAAACTTGATAGCGCGAGGTTCCACGAGTTCGCCCTTTCGTTGCGAGATCTTATCAGCGCGCTGCTGTGACAGTCGCTTCACTTCTTCCATGGCTGCGGTTTTCTCGGCATCATTCTCAAACAAAACGTTCTGCCCCTTCCAGAGTCGCCTTCCGAGCTCGTGGGGAGGAATATACCCGTTCGCAAAGCGACCGCTCAGGCTGGAGAGCTTTCCAAGAACTGCAGCAGAGCGGGAAGCGGAGTCGGATGGGAGAGAGGGCCAGGTAGCCTGCAGTGTGGAGAAGTCGATGTTCCGGGGTTCGTAGCGGACGGGTGTTGGACGGTCCTTCAGCGCCTGTTCTTGTTCAATCTGTTGGATGGCAGCCGCCTCGGCCTCCTCAAGACTCTCGTCCACATCTTCTCTCTTCGTGTCGCGAGAGCGCTGTTGTCGACGACCTTTCCGATTCTTGGAAGCTGCGGCCTTGGACTTGCGGTTCTGAGGCTGATTCCCGCCCCGGACGGTCCGTAACCGAGGGCTGCGGACAACACGAGGCTGGTCATTGCCAGCAGTGGGCGCTGCGAATGATCTTGCATCAATTGCCTTGGCAGGGCGTCCTCGGTTTGGAGTACCAGAGGTAGGGCCACGAGACTGCGCTGGAGACTTGCGCGGTATGGTTGTTGAGCTCTTCTTGTAGTCGCGCTGACCTGATCAGAGGATCGCTATTAGTTTCTGTAGACACAGGTAGCATAAATCGTTATCAATGCCTCGAGGTCTCCGCAGAATATTGACGTGATGAAATTACGGGATTCACGTACTTGACGTTTTGTTCTCGCCTTCCAGGGCGACAAGGGAAACAGAGAAGGCGCGGACTGTGACCGTTCGACCCAGTCGCCTGGGGTCCGCGTGTTGAGCGAGCTGCCTGAGCTGAGGCCGCATCATCTTGTTTGGTAGGGAGGTGGTACGAACCCAAGTGAGCGGGAACAACTTTTGGGAAGACTGTGTTGGTCATGTGATCGGACATTCATATGCTGAGTCAGCTCAGCCACTCCAAACCCCAATATTTCGCGGATGAAAGAGCACTTCCGTCCAGTCCTCCAGAAGAAACATATTAATTATATTTGTTGCTGGCCTGGCATATGAGGGCCTTCTTAATATCTGACCAGAGCTTATCAGCCAAACAAAGAGCCGGCTTATCACATAAACCGTCACCTTCACCACACCACACTTCGACCCGAACTTGCTTTGGAATTCAAAGAGATCAAACCCTGTCGGTCGCAGAATGCTTCGAAGAAAGCCTACGGCCATTACCGTCACCAGTGAGGACATTGCTGCATTCGAAGAAGCCAGAATCCGCAAGCAGGAGGAAAACAAACACCCCGAGCAAGGGCAGAGCGGCGGCACCGCAAACTACGACCCAAGTGATGAATTGAAGCCTCTACCTGGAGATAAGGCGAGAATCGTTCGCTCGCGCGAGGAAAGAATTGGGGTTGGCCGCCATGGTTGATGGCTCGAAAACTTTGAAATCAATCAGCAGACTCTGAACAGCCTCTGTCATCCTTCTTAGGAAGAGGGTAATGTGCTCAAGGAGGTTTTAACATGCAATGACCTTATCTGTCTTGTATTGTAGCCTCTTGGTGATTCTACTTGTGGCTGGCTGTGAATTGAGTGGTTAAAATATGTCTCCAGATAACTCGCACTTAACTTCAGTGGAAAGTTACATTTACAGGATGAAGTGCTAGCGTCACAGAAGTCATGCATAGACCATAATAGACACCATCCATGTTAAACAAAAAAAGGACTGCCTTGGTTTAAAACAGGGGTAATTAACCCCATCATGATTTCAATTGACCAAACATTTGGTCCTCGTAGTCATAAACAGCTTCAGCAAGTTCTGTCCCGATTAAAGTTGTAGTTCTATGACACCGCATATCGGCTCCTGCCTTCATCCCCGCGATGCACTGCGAGGCAGAATAGACATAGAATTTGTAGAGGAAGTAATGAACACGGGGGCTTTTGAAAGGGGCGGAAGCAGTGGACGCAGGACTAAACAAATGGCTCGCCTCATCCTCGTTGTCGCTTAGCAACATTGTCAGAGCCAAGATCAACAGAGTAGTTCCAACGACGTTTCAAGCCCTGCGGGTCATACACGCTGGCCACACTTTGCTGCCATTCCCGAGCGCTGAATATGACAGGAGGGGTCTGGAACTGGGCCGGAGAAACGGATTGGGATGGCGGGACAGTTACTTTGGAGGGCGAGTCGTATTGGATTGGATATTGGTGGTTCACCATATTTGTGAGGGGTTGTGTGGTGTTGTTCATAGACATCGGCGGAGAGTTTGTGCTAACGGTAGATGGGTTGACAGAGAATGCCATGTCCCATTGACTGAGAGGAAGTAAAGGTCAGCATACAAGTTACGTCACCGCAGAAGGTACCAATGTAAAGCAGGATGATTACATACTTGATGATGCGCGTTGGGTCCCAGTTATTTTCGTCCACTAATGGGGCATCAAGGGGATGGGTCGTCGGTGGCTGGTGAGGGACCATTCCGAGCGATTGTAACTGGGAGGATGTATCGGACTTGGAGTCTTCAGCACCAGCGGAAATCGGAGGAGTAATTGGATGTGCGTTGAAACCCACTCTGGATGAGACATTGTTTGGCACTTGATTGAGGTGCGGATGGTAGTGCGTGTCCATAGGGGGGCTGGGCTGATAGGGCTCTGATGGGCTACCGTAAGGGAAGCTAGGCTTCAGCTCAAATGGTCGGTTGGTGTCGGCAGAGAAAGCGAGTCGCAATGAGTCGATTTGCGCTTGAATTTCGGGCATAGGCCAGGCGGTCGAGCACCGTTCCAAAATACGCATATGCCGGGTAAAGAACTCCCGCGCATCAGAGTTGAATTCGGGATCTGGAGACGTAATCGCAATCTACTTGAGTTAGGACAAGGCATTGTTTTAGGTTATAATCCGCGAAACTTTGCAAGCCTACTTACCAAGTGTAACATTGTGCATGTGAGGATGCAATAAATCGCAAAATTGATTCCACGCTGCATGTAAAGAAGTCCCCCAAGTCCGAATCGTTCAAGGATTGCTTCCTGCAGTCGGCAGATACTTTTTGCTGAAGAATAGCATAAAGAGAAGTGGATTTTCCAGTCACCACCGGCTGCGAAAGATTGGGATGCCAGGAGTTGGGGGCGGTGTAACAATATAATCGCAAGGTGACAATGAGAATGCATATTACCAACAAAGTGTGTTGGAATCCATGGCGGAGAGCCGTCAGCCGGGTAATTAACCTGAAGGTCAGGAGGGAGGTTATGCAACCAATCTGCAAAGAGCGGGTTTTTCTGCACAAACCGGGGATCGGCTCCCCAGTCTTTCTGCTTCTTGACTTTGTGATATATATCTGTGATGATGCGGATATGGTGCGCGTTGCGTACAAAGTAAGCATACTGCCGGGAGCGATCCACCTCGTATGAATCGAGACCCCTGATATCCATTGTGGGCCGCATATCCACAGTTTCGGGGTCAACACCGTAGTCCGAACGACCTAGGATGGGTCAGTTATACTGAGGCGAGCCAGGTAGATTCGTTAAAGTAGAGAAATCACCTTGGGGTGCACCGATCATTACTTCCACCACCAAAAGGGCTTGCCAAACTCGTGTGTTTATCAAGCATTCAATCGGGCTCAGGTCACAGGGTCTTCCCTCGGCATGAGTGCTGTAGTGTTCGTGTATATCTAGATCCTTGGCCATTGATACGATTGTTTTGACCGTCTGCCAAGACCGGTAGTAGTAACCTTTTTTAGGCAATGACTCTCTTGCTTTCAACAGAAGGAGCAACGCCTGAATGGTGCTCAGGCGCGGAACATCCATGAAGCTGGATTCGTGTCCTGGGGAAAAAAGTCAGCATACCTTGGCATGGATCTCTGATCATGATAAATTGAGGCTTACTGTTTGCCAAAGCAAGCCATTGAGCCCCTTCCGCAGGCTCATCGGAGAGTCGTCCGGCACACGCAAATAAGGCTTCAAGAAGCAAAGGGGAGATGGAGCGACGATCGTTTTGCCATTGATAGTATAGATGGGCACGCGGTATGACGGGTACATAAGGATGAATCTCGTCGAAGTAGATTTTGAAATAGTGCATCACATCGTCGTCAGAGGGCATAAGTTCGGGAGGAATGCGGATCATGGCACCAGCTCCTGTGCTGAGAGGTGGAAGTCTTTCCTCGACATCATCCTGCACGGGCACATCGGGTTCGACGCGATCTGCTCTTTGTCTCCTAATATATGGGGCTAACATAGACATTAGTGAGCTTACGAGTCTCCCACCGAGGGAATACAACCCTTACCTATTCCCGTTTCGTCAATCTTCAGCTCCCCAAGAACGTCACTCAGATTTTCCGCAGTGGATGGCTCGCTCTCAGCATAGCCTCGCCGATCCACAGGCCCCAGCGACGGCTGCTGTGCCCCGGCAAACATTTGTTGCTGATATGACTGATGAGGCATGATCATGGGCGATGATCGCAGGTCATTATACATGCCGGGATGACTTGATGGAGCATGAACAAATTGCGAGTACATGCCCATTGAGTCGTAGGAAGGCAATGCTGCCATCGCGGGTTGATTACTGTCCCGGTAAGTTGGAGGTACCGGGAATGAATGGTGAGAAGTCTCGGGGGCGTTGGATGGGCCTCCGCTATCTTGAGCAGACTCTCCACCTTGTCCCTCCAGAAACTCCCCATCTTGACCGATAGTAGGAGGAACGCAAACGAGCTTTAGCCGCGTGCATGCCGAGCATGGCCAAGTATTCGTGGTGGCTGCATCGCACTTGATCTTCCGCTTTCGGCAGCCATTGCATGCTCGCATCACTTTGAGCAATTAGTATCCTGGAAGAGTGGCTGGACGAGGGAAATAAATCTCTCACCTTTGAGTCTTTTGTGTCGATTATGTTCGTCAACAAATACATAGTCTAAAACGTTCAATGATCAGCATTCGTTTCATATTGGTGTAGGTGGAGACTAATGATCGGGAGAATCTACTTTTCTGGCCTTCTCGAGGAGGCCCCGACGGAGGGGCGAACGAGTAACCCTGCATGTTTCCGAGTCCCCGGTGATGAGGGGAGGTGAATTATAAGAATAACCCTAGGAAGTCGATGGATCACGACTAGAAAATGATCGTTCCACTGTGTGGAAGGGAGCAATCCGCAAGGGCCTGCCTTGGGAACCGAGGTTGACCACGAACGATATGAGGAAGGATGAGAAATGGGGCCGCACTCCAGAGGCACTATGGAATCGCCCTTGATGGAAACCCAGGCAGCGTGTCGAGTCAGCAGACAGCGAAACAGACGCCGAAGCAGCTCCGCCCGGTGGCGCAAAAAGGGCCCGCGCAATTCAAATCGATCGAATGGCTGTATCAGCGACGTGGAAGACAAAACGACGCCGGCGCTATGGGCCGGCGCAGGTCGAATCGGCGTTGTCGCACCAGCGTCCGCGCGACCGGTTGACCAGGTTCCAAAAAAGCGAGATTGGCGGGGGAGACAGACTCTAAGCGTGGGATACACGCGGTCACGCGAATATACAAGGTGCAAGTAGCAGAGCTAGGTAAAGAGGAAGGGAAGGTTATGGACGCAGAAGTGGCTATTGTGCAATCTTCAGGTTAGCGAGTCATGCGATCGGCGCATCGCGGATGGAGATGGAGTTGGGGCCTCACGACTAAGCAGTCAGTCGGGAATCCGAGGCGACGGACAAGGAGCGCGCAGAGGCCGGGAGCATCGTGAAGGTGTGCGAGTGAGAGGTGGAGACCAGGGGGAAATTTACATGGGGGGTTCGAAAAGGGCGGAGAGCGAAGCTGAGAGGGGTGGTGCTTCGGCGGGTGCCAAGGTGGTGATGGGCATCCAATAGCGCCCGCCTGGTGGAGGCGCGCGGTGGAGAGGGGGCGATCCGGATTGCCTCCTGAGTCCCATCGTAATAGAGGTAGGCTATTTCTTTAATCTAACTATCCCGAACTCCACGAGGTTGAACACATGGCCAATAGTCTACTGGATCCGGCCCGAGGGACAATGGCACGCTAGGCTGCTAGGCTGATATGATGCACCCCCGATCCTCGATGTATGGACGACAGCTGTACGTCGACGGAGTCGTACGGCAAAGGTGATGATTTGTGATTTGAAATTAAACAGGACTCTTCACCGGAAGAATTCATGCAGAGTAAAACAAACCTTTCTTCCGTACTGCACGAAGAAGTGCCTTGTCGTCCCTTCCCTCCACAGCGGTGAAATCCAAAGCCGAGGTGAGAAAAATGTTTCATTCAATTGAAACACCCAAAACTTGCCTTCCCCTCCTCCTCGTCCCTGGTCCTCGGGATTGGTGCCCTGGGTTTCACAAGCCCTAGGGCCGCCAGCGACGCAAAGCTAAGAAACCGAGTGGGACCGGGAGGTTCTGGAAGCCCACGAATTGGAACGGCCATGGTTACAAGCTGGGTTTCCTGGTGGGGTGGAGAGCGCCTCTGCAAGCCCATGCAGCAATCCTGATTGACTCCGGTACGCAAGTTCAAGTTGTCAGGGGGTAAATACCCGGCCTATCCAAACATCTCGTCGATCCCGTCCAAGCTTCCGAGACGGCGTGGGGGAGGGGCATGAAATCAAGATCGACCAAGTGTTCTCAGCTCGGGGAAGCAACTGGAGGGGGAGAGCCAGAAAGGATAGACCAGAACTAAATAAGAAAAGGGTTTAAAAAAAAGGCGAGGCAAATCGTGGACGAAAAGCCCCAAGGACCTGGCGTGGAGCCGGACGATCCCAGATGAGACCGAAGGGAAGATGACCCGAGGATCCTCCGGCTAGGGACGACTAAGCCCTGACTAAACTGCAAACCACGTGATCAAGATAAGCCTGTTATCGTCGCCCGTTGCGGGCTTGGGAGGCCAATATTGCCCCTCGCCGTCTGATCGCTCGTCGCTCATACGAGTAACACTTCAGCATGACGGAAGTACAGAATTTGAACCCTACGATTCTCAACGTGGCGGATCTTCCCACGAGAAATCGACCCTCCAAGAAATATAGCGACTACGAGAGTGGAATTTTCGCGGCCGTTCCAAACCCAGCCGACTTCCTGTCGTCTGACTCTGAAGACGATGATTTGCTAGAAGAACCGATTGACGAGCAAGAGATATATGGTAAGAAGTGGTTTCTTCCGCCAACACTCCAGACCAATCTCTGACCACGGAATAGACCTGATCAAATTGATTTCGGACCCGGAACATCCCCTCTCCCTCGGCGAACTTGCAGTGGTCTCACTCCCAGATATCTTCATCAAGCCGACTTTGCCCAACGTTCCGGGATCTCCCCTTCAAACCGTCACTGTTCTCATTACTCCAACAATCACCCACTGCAGTCTTGCAACTGTTATCGGTCTCGGTGTCCGTGTACGACTGGAGCAGTCTCTCCCTCCGCGTTTCCGAGTGGACGTGCGGATCAAAGAAGGAACCCACAGTACCGGTGATGAGGTCAATAAGCAGCTAGGCGACAAGGAGAGAGTAGCAGCTGCTCTGGAAAACGGGGCGCTGATGCAAGTCATCGCCAAAATGATGGAAACCTGTCAATGAATTGAAACGAACCTGCTTGTACATTTAGCTCTCAAAACGGACAGCGAGCCGTTGATCACGAATTTGCCTACGATAATGCAAGATGAATCTGATCTGCCACATGAATACCTTGTGCAATTGATTTGTAGAGACCATTAGAAATACATGAAGCAATGCGCTATGCCGCATCAGCAATGACTCCAAAGCCCAGAATTCCCCACTCCGAAAGTTCTTTTGATTTTTCCCTTTCCATAGGAATGCAATCATGAGTCCAGAACGCCGCTCTCCTTCAATCCCTTCCACAGCTCAGGCTCCAGGAATTTACTGACAGTAACATCCTCCGCCAATCCCTTACGACGTCGCGTCTTGAGAACAAAATCGCGAGCGGTGGCCATGGCACCAGCCATCTCGAGAGGCTTCAGCTTGACATCGCGATCCAACGGATCACCAGGAACCACACTCCACTTGTCGAAAGCCAGACTGACCATGGACGAACCCTGAGTTTGAATGCGAAGATCTGTTTCAAAGCCGAATGAGTCAATAACTGGTATCAACCCACGCACAGATTGCAGAGGTGTTCCCGCAATAGGGCCGTCCGACAAGACGTGTCCACGCCGGCGTGAAAGGACGGTGTAGGCCGAGGCAACTGCGTCAGAGGGACCAATCATCGAGACCGAATAGACCGGCTCCATAAGACGCGGAGATGCCATTAAGAATGAAGAGTAGACAGCACGACGAGCGGTCGGAATGATCTGGCCACCCCCTCGGTAAATTGCTTGCTCGGCAAGAGACACATCGGTGAGTTTGAACTTGGTGTTTCGGATGGCTAAAACTGTTTTAGTATACGAACGTGTGTTACGAAACACATCGGGATAAACTCACGTTCTTCACAAAGAGGGCCTTCCCGAGTGCCCCAGCTAAAGCCCTGTGTGATCGAATCTCGAACGGTTCCGAGAAGCTTCTTATCCACCTGCGACGGGAGAGTGTCGTCTTGGAGAATGTTGGGACCCATTTCATCGGGCCCGAATGCCCAGATACTGCGAGCCGCCAGTTTATCCCAGTCATAATTGTCTTCGAAGTAACGAGCGACCTTCCGGATAGGGTCCTTAATGCTAACCCGGCCGCTTTCGATATCTTCAGCAATCCCATCGTCCAGAGGCTCGGCAATCATGGTGATCTTGTTTTTCTTGTTGGGAGTGATAGAGTAGCACATAATTGCAGAGGTCTCGACGACGGTCTCACAGAAACGGGTAACTGGATCAGAAACCTTGATTTCCATCTCAGAGTACAGTCGACGGAGATCGTGCAGCACACAATCCATGTAAAGCTCGCCTGTGCCCAGCACGACGTGTTCACCAGACTCCTCAACCTTGGTTGAGATTAGAGGGTAGCTTTTATTGATTTTGCGCAAACCATCCAGCATCTTGGGCAACTCGGAGGGGTTGACGGGCTCAACTGCAACCTTGAAAACAGACTCGGTGATGTGCCGAATGGGTCGGAAGATATATGGCTCTTCATCATCCTCAAGCTTCATCGGAACCAAAGTCGCAGTCTTGACGATGGAGTTATCCACACCACCCAATAGAACCCAGTTGCCGGCAGGAACGCCATCTGTTGGGATATTGTAACAAGTCTCGGCAATCCACGTGTCTGAAATGGTCGCGAGGACCATATCTTCCTCGTCGTCAGGGGTATATCCTTCACCGAGGACGCGAACTTGCTGACCGGGACGAGCTGTGCCGCTGAGAATCCTTCCGAAGGAGTTGAAACCAGTAGCGTCCGTGCTGCTGAAAAGCTTGGTCACATGTACCACAAGGGGTCCATCTTGATCGCAAGCTGACATGGAGGCTGCAACCTTCGAGTCCAGCGGGCCAGTATAGTACCGTTCCAAAGTTCTCTGGGCTCCATCGACTGGGGAGGGGACGTGCTGGACCACCAGATCGACGAACCCGGTAGGAGGTCCGAAGAATTGCTCGCAAACAAGGTTGAGAAGATCCTTCGCATCCGATTTCAACTGCGTTGGCTTCAGGCTCACGCCCACGGAAGCCAGAGTTTCCTTAAGGTCCTCAGGACTCTCACTGATCGTGTGGGAGTACAGCTTGTAGATTGGTTCCAAGACAAACTTCACGAAACCCCGTTTGGAGTTTTCTTCTACTCCCTTGCGAGTAAATTTCCTGCTCCGGGGATTGTAGAAGATATCGCCCCAGAGCCGCGCGGCAAACTCCGCAGAATCCAGTCGGGGATAGGTATCTGCGTACATCCGAGTGAAGGACTGTAGGGTGAAGCACCAGTTCATGGAGCTAGATGCAAAAGCAACATTTCCCTTCTCGGGACTCAGGCGACGTTTTTCACCCTGACCGGGCAGAACATTCTCAATGACAGTATTGACTTCTTCAATCACATGTTTCAGCTTGAAGTAAGCGTCATTGGGTGGCAGGTTCAGATCCAGGATGAGCCGATCCATCTTGTTAACGACCAGGGTCATGGGAATGTCTTCTAGCACGGCATGCTTGATGATTTGCTCGGTATTCGCCTGAACGCCTTCTACAACATCCACGATGAGGACAACACCATCAGCAAGGCGGATGGACGCGGCCACCTCGTCCACGAAGTTCACGTGTCCGGGGGTGTCGATGATGTTGAGAAGATGAGATTTGCCTTTGGTCCCTTGAAGAACCAAGCTCATGGGGGCCGATTTCACAGAGAGACCACGCTCGCGCTCCAGAAAGTGAACATCGGTGTACCGCAATTGTTCCTCCTTGCGCTTGCCGATGCGCTTTTCCAACCGTTCCGTCAAGTCGTGTGTCTGTCTCACCAACATATCCATGAACGCGGTTTTACCATGGTGCAAATGGCCCACAAGTGCAACATTCCTTATTTGCTCGGGGAAGTTCAGCAAATCTGTCATGAATTCCCGAGAAAAATGGACGGGTGGGAGCTCAGTTTCAGCGATCGCAAATTTCTTCTGCTGGACGGGCGCGATGATCGGTTCCGACAGAGGCTGCGCATCTTCTTCTTGAACTAGTGTCTCGACATCGGCACCATAGACTTGTGATGCGCTCGGGTAGTATTGCTTGTCCTCGTGCAGAATGACGGCGTTTGAAGGTCCCTCTGCGTACGCGCGCGACACGCGTTAGTGAGCGAAATTAGAATCAGAACCCAGAGAACGCAAAACGTACCATCGACCTCCATAAGCTGCTCATTGTTCACATCTTCTCCGTCCTCCTCTTCGTCCTCAAAAGCTTCGTCGAACTTGAAGGCCGGCGGGACCTGCTCATTTTGCTCCTCATCGGAGTCGGCCTCGCCGATGTAGTTACCGAACCTGGCCCCTGGTTAGCACTGGGCGCGCGAGTACGACCGAGAGTGACAGAAAGCAAAGTAGAGGACGAAGATGAGAACTTACTCGTCGTAAAGATCCTCCATGGTGGGCAGAAGGAGCAATGCGCGAAAGAGACTTGATCCGCAGCCCGATTCGGTGCTGGCGTGACACCGGAGGAAAGTTGGAGGTTCTCAACTTTCACCTGGTCCGAGCGTTCTAAGTACTCGCGCCTACACCGTACAACTCCTCACTCCCCACTATATAATAGCCCCTCGGTGGAACGGACCGATTTCTCTTCTACCTCGCGATATCTCCCCCTGATTTCTCCTTCTCATCAATTGATCACACTCTACTTTTGACCGCCAGAATGTCTTCCCTCCCTCCCGTCTACATTATTTCGACCGCTCGTACTCCAGTGGGCTCGTTCCTTGGGTAAAGATGCACCCCTCATTTCCATTCTCACCACGATGCAAATAAACTCACATTCATTCATGCAGCTCCCTCTCAAGCCTGACTGCCCCTCAGCTCGGTGCCCATGCCATCAAGGGTACGATCCCATTCTTTCTCCTTCCTATACCGCATGATAAATGTACTTACAAGGAATTGTAGCCGCTGTTGAGCGCGCCGAGGGCGTCAATGCCTCCGATGTTGAGGAGGTCATCTTCGGCAACGTCCTGTCTGCTGGGTAGGTCTTGGACGAAGAACAGGGGCCTCAATCTGTACTAACAGATCAAATAGTGTCGGACAGAACCCCGCCCGTCAATGCGCCATCAACGCTGGTCTCCAAGACTCTACTGTTTGCACCACCGTCAACAAGGTCTGCGCCTCCGGCACAAAGGCCATCATCCTCGGTGCCCAGACCATCATGACCGGAAATGCCGATATCGTCATTGCTGGTGGCACTGAGTCCATGTCGAACACCCCTCACTACCTCCCCAACCTCCGCACCGGTGCCAAGTACGGCAACCAGAGCCTGGTGGATGGTATCATGAAGGACGGTCTACAGGATGCCTATGGCAAGCAGGACCTCATGGGCCTGGCTGCTGAAGAATGTGCCCAGGACCACGATTTCAACCGCGAGCAGCAGGACAACTATGCCATCCGCACCTACGAGAAGGCCCAGGCGGCCCAGAAGGCTGGCGCTTTTGACTACGAAATTGCTCCCATTGAGATCCCCGGCTTCCGTGGCAAACCCGGTGTGACCGTTTCTCAGGACGAGGAGCCCAAGAACGTATGTACATTGCCACTTCACCTTGCAATGTTTTGCTAGCTGTATTTGCTAACTTTTAATCTATGCAGCTGAACCCTGACAAGCTGCGTGCCATGAAGCCTGCTTTCATCCCCGGTACCGGTACCGTCACTGCCCCTAACTCCTCCCCCTTGAATGACGGCGCGGCTGCCGTTGTCCTCGTTTCCGAGGCTAAGGTCAAGGAGCTTGGCCTGAAGCCTATTGCCAAGATTCTGGGCTGGGGCGACGCCGCTCACGCGCCCAGCAAGTTCACCACCGCCCCTGCTCTGGCTATCCCCAAGGCTCTCAAGCACGCTGGCGTGACCCAAGAGTCCATTGATGCTTTCGAAATTAACGAGGCCTTCAGTGTGGTTGCCCTTGCCAACATGAAGCTGCTCGGTCTCTCCGAGGATAAGGTCAACATCCACGGTGGTGCTGTTGCTATTGGTCATCCTCTGGGTGCCAGTGGTGCCCGTATTGTGTCTACTCTGCTCGGTGTTCTGAAGGCCAAGCAGGGCAAGCTTGGCTGCGTCGGCATCTGCAACGGTGGTGGTGGCGCTAGCGCTCTGGTGATCGAGTCTCTCCTCTAAAAGGCTCTTAATGATGTATGGATATATGAATGATCGTTGACACTGCATGTGAGATACCACTACAAGAACAACTGGTACTAGATACCTTTGATTCACCGAGCCAAATAAAACAAGAACAAATGGCGTTACTTCTGGGACATAAATTCGGAGTATTTATGAGTTACTCGATAACGTATTATGATGTATATTTTAGATTAGGTGGTCATGGTACAGCTCCAATTTTGATTATTCAGAGGGTGTTGAGCTTACTAGGGTTCCACTACCGTAAAGATTGGATAAAGTAGAATAGAAAATAATTTTATATATCTCAATCGGACAACAGATATTAGAACGAGGCAGAATACCTTTCTCGCTGCGAACTTATTGTACGTTTAGGCAAAGGCCCCAACAAGTGCCATAAGAATAGCACCACAGGCAACAGACACACAAGCCTCAACTCGTCGTCTACCCCTGAGAGTCTCATAACTAGATTCACTCAAGAAATCCTCGGCGAGCAGTTCAACAAGGCCCGCAAAGAGAAGCAAACCACTGCTAATTGCGTTGGTGATTCCGACCATGAGCAGACCCGTTGTGCTTGCAGGGTCATACATGTTATGTAATATCAATCCGATCGCTTGACCTAGAGGAGTGGTGGTCCCATAGGCCAGTGACATGAGCCAAGGCTTCATGGATGACGGTGAAAAGAGGTCAGGTATGAGCGACGCAATGCGCGACCCTAGTGCGAAGCCTTCGAAGGTTTGATGAAAACTTATGGCAATCAGGAGAACAACAAATGATGTTCCCGTTGCAACACTGAGAGCCATACCGATAAAGATGCTGTGAAACAGAATACCAGCCTCCAGAAGCAGGCATTGTAGAAGTTGGCGCTGCGGATTCTGAATTGGCATGTCGGAACCCGCCTGCGACCGGTAGTGCTCGCTCAAACGCGGTCGATGACGATGGGCCGAGTGAGTAGAGGCACGAGGTTGTCCATTTATTGGGATGTCATCCGCATATACATCCAGTCCTTCGATATCAGCATCCTCGTCTTTATCTAGATGTGAGCCGCCAACGTGTTGACCTTCAGTATTGTGCGAGCGAGCAGGGTCGGTAGAACCCAGTTGACCATTTTGCTGTAAGCCCTCCATTCTGATATCACCCGATGCAGTTCGAGTGTCCAACTGGGAGTAATCAGGAGCTTCATGTCGGAAGTCATCGAGAGATTCTCGACCAATATCGCCCATCAAAGTATCGTAATCGTTTCCATGAACATGGCCGGCTCCCTTCATAGCGAAAAACATCTCTACTATCACAACGGCAAATACGGATACCATTGCCACAAATCCAGCCATGGCTCGATAGGACTGACTCCAGAATCGAGGAAGACATGGGTCGGTCAAAGACATGAAGGCAGTCGGGAGCAAGTGTACGAACGCCGTTGCGATCAGGACACCTGTGCCAAAATGCCTCGAGATAAAGAGGAATCGGCGTGGAATTGGAAGACGGGGAAAGCGACGCGCAAGAACTGGAAACGAGCAGGCTGATGGGAAAGATATTGTCAACGATCTGAAATTTGTGGAGCAGAAAGGAGGTGATGCATACCGAAGGTACTCAAGACAAGAATGAGAAAAAGCGCCATGACATGCAATGGCGTGTTGTACGCACCACGTTGGCGCGAGCCGCATGATGGAGTATCGTCCGAGTCCACAGCTTGGTTCACATTTCGGCGCTGGAGCTCTGCTCTCAGTAGAGATTCGGGAAGTTGTGAGATGGCAGAGAGGGTGAAATCTGCAGAGTCAGCGTCCAAGTCCAGCTGTTTCCGCACCTTTGTAAGTATGAATACGTACCAAGAGATCCCTCGCCTGCGTTCCATTCTTGGACATCTTGCATCTTGGGGGAGATTCAATGTTGCTGGGTCCGAGCCACATCCCCAAGCTCACGAAGGTTCACTTTGGCGGAGGAGCGAAACCCGGCGGCTGCGAAGGGCGGAGTCGCGCAATTAGGCTCGGCTGAGGATATCCTGCAATATGCTTGCAATATGCTAGCACCGGACAGGCGATGCCGATCCCGGGCACATCGTTTCACAATGAAGCGGAGGGAATCGGGCCACGCGTTATTAGTTGCATCTTATCTCGGTGGCTTAGTAACCGCGCATCCCGCTGCCCTGCAGCGCCCGTGTGGAGACCAATTCCTTGTACATATTGTAAGTAGTACATACTAGTAGTACATACGTCAACAAGACATACATGTTTTTTTACGGACACAACTTCTTCGGAAAGTGGACTATTACCGCAAAGTGATAATATCCTCGGATTGTGTATTTGATTTCGCAATTCTATCTACTGTTCAACTTCATCCAGCCACTATTGCCTTTCGATCGACGAGCATCATCGGCTCCTTGGGCGGTTTGGCTGTTCTTTCTCCCATCGTTGGTTCGAGCAGGTTCTGCAGTCGAATTGGGGATATCGAGGTCTTGCACGATGGGTGATTGATGCGTCTTTGCCGTTCCATCATCCCATTCAACCTCTTCCAACAACTCCCATTCCGCACTTGCCATCTCCCCAAGAAGGGTGGCCTTGAGCTTGTCCGCTATTTTTGTGGGTGTGGGTAGCTTCCAAGTACGCACAAACTCGGAGCCTTCGGAGGCTGCCAGGAAGGAGTGAACGGTGGCATGGGAATAATGTCCAAGTATGGGAAATGATTTCCTGCGTTGGATGGTAGTTTGCGGAGAGTCCTTGGTGTGTTTCACTTTAGTTTGCATATCACGACTAGCAAAGGCCCGCGTCAACGAGGCTGGCTGAGCTGGCGGAGCAACCAGGAACTGGTACATGCTTTTGCCGATATCGCAAATTTCTTCCCACGAGTCGGAATTTATGTTGATTCCCTGGGTCCGACAAAGCCATGCAACATCCCAGGCCAGCAATGCCGCTCCCTCGAGGAAGAGTGCATAGGTCCCGGGGTCCTCTTTAGCTAGTATTTGAAGTGATTTGTCGATGGACAATGGCCGAGGACGAGACTGAACGCGCGATTCCGCCGTTCGCGATGCAACTGGACTGGGCGTTGAAGGATGAGAAGGTGAAACTTTATCGGCCATTTCACGCAGATCATATGATGAACTGGGAGCGAAAATTGTGGGTGTAGCATAATCGCGATGAGGAAGTGTGATTTCAGCGGGAAGTCTGAGGGAGAGATAGTGAGAAACAAGAACAAGGAGTTGGGCAACGTTCGCGAAGGATGCCGAGATCTCAGCAGCCCTAGCGCCTGACGATACGTTAGGTCATAATATGAAATAAAGAAATCCTGAATGACTCACCGTTCATATCTCTCAGATCCACTACCAAGTTTGCTCCGAGGACATATCGTTGGCGAGAACTGCCCTTTCGCGGTGGCTTTTGCCGAAGGCCATAGAGGTGGGCAGCTTCTCGACAAAGAAAGATTCGAGCCTCTGCCGTTTTACTGTGCAATGAATGCCAAATATGTTCTGCCCTTTTGTTTGTGTTCTGTATGCCGGTCAAAGCCGTCGTCTCCCGCTCTGCCAGTTGATACTGTGCTGATTCGGCATCAGAACGTTTGCGGGTTAATGAAGCCCTGCGTTCCGCAATATCGGTCTTTCGAGCCTGGATCTCCTTCCTTAAGATGCTGATATGTTTGGATAATTCATCGGTCCTGAAAGATGCAGCAGCTTGCTGTTCGAAAGTCGTCTGTAGATTCCAGGAGTGAGAGCATTCGTGGTCTCTTTCGACGGTCGGGTCTTCGCGCGGCGAACTTCGTTTCACAGGTTCCGGGTCGACCGTGGCTCGTATCTGTTGTCCAAGGGATTCCTTCTCCAGAAGAATGCGAGCGGTTTCCACGCGAAGCTGATATAGTCGGTTGCGGGCACATGTTGGACAGAGGCATGGCGAGCGGGAGTGGGCCGAATTGCATATATGACAGCTCATCGCAGATGGTAGATGGCTTTCAACGTGTGATCAGAGGCAACATTTCCAAGGCGTATCGAAGGAGCTACCAGAGCCACCGCCGAAAGCCATGAAGGTGATGCCTAGTTCTGCGGTGTCGGAGTCGGCGCGCGGTGATGTCGTCACCTGACAAGGGTTCCCGCGTGGGCCCAGTGATCTTATCGCTCGACTGGTCTCGGGACCGCAACAAAAACAGAATACCGTCGACGCAGTCAGATCATGCATTAATCATTGAATCGACACAACCGATCAAGCGAGATACCACATTGTCTTCACCCACCTTGCCTCGTGCAGACCGTCGGAAACCCAAAATGGATCCAGCTGGTGAAGCCCCGGCTAATACAACATCTCAATCAATGGGACTCGGACAGACGCAGAGCCCAGAGCCTATTGAGTCGCTTGCAAGTGAAGAATCCCCGATTGTTACTCGCCTCACCCAGGGACTGGCAGAATGTGACTGGGATCAACTTCAAGAGAAATACACGAATGCTATGGATGAGCACAGCCGTGTCGAGGAAGAGCTGCGAGCTGAAACCGCCCGACTACTCGAAGTAAATGCCAATTTCCAAGATTTAACATGAGACACATATTAATTGATCCACAGGTCTTTACAGCTTGGTCTCAGACGACTGTGCTACAAGATGAGAAACGGGCTTTGAAACGGTGCGGATACCCCTTGAAGGAGGCGAATGTCCTCTGTATTTGCCCATCTCAAGTCCCGCTCTCAACGATATCAATGTGCAGGTTCAAGACGCAGATGCAGCACGTGCAAAACTCTGAAGTGAGTGTGGAAAACAAGAAGAAGCATTGTAAGTTTGGAAAAACAAAATCAACGAGGTCCCTTCAAACATAATAGCTGATCTGCTCTGACCAGACAATGATGTAGTCAAGGCGTTTCAGAACGCCTTGGCTCTGCTCAACGAACAGACGAAGTCCTGAATTATGAAGCCAAGGTTACGAATTCTCAGTTTAGTTTACGTCGGCGCTCTTGGTCCATTGAAATTAACTACTGTTAGCGCGTTTGGGATTGATTTTAGGGGAGCCGCGAACTGGAACACTTGACTGCATTTGATCAAATTCGTGTACCTTCAAAGAAAGCGCGTCAATCACATAATTTCATATTACTTGCTCAAAGACAGCCTGTGAGAATGACGAGAAAAACCATAAAATCTCGCGTCCACCAAGCTCATCCCTAGAGTTGTCTCTCGCTATCCGCTTATCGGGGCTTTAACTGCTGGAGCGTTCATTTCGACCACTGCTTCCCGTAATGTCCTGCCAGTTGGCAGTGAGCCTCCTTCCCGTGTTAGCCAAGAGACCTTCTTCCTCGGCCTCCTCGGCATCTTCATCAAGCTGCCTCTCGTCCAGTTTCGGTGATCGGAGCAATGCAGTAAGGAAGACGATGAGATAAACACCTAGGAGAAGCAGACGTTAGCTTCAAAATAGAGCTCTTTCCAATGGAATATAATGCATGTGAAAACACTTACCAAGGAAACAGAACTGGGCCCAGAAGAATACGGCACCAAAGAAAGGGTAGTTGAGAGTGATGCGATTCAGGAATGTGCTGACAACACTGGGGGTGCAAACTCGCTGAGCCGCAGGATTATTCGCCAGTTCAGAGCATGGTTTAATCAGCTCCTTGCTGTTAGAGCAATCCGGCTGTCCGAAAGGTGACCAGGATTCGCGGTCACAAAATGTCTGCGGACCAAATGTAGCATACTGCGGAGCGACAACCATGGAGATCGAGTAATTCAATGCTAGAATTATCAGCATCAAGATGACTGTCGCTAAAAGCAGAGCCTGCGGAGAAGTATGCCCTTTGCGAATTTGGAAGATTCTGATCCAGAGGAATCGAATTCCAACCGTAGCAATACCAACAATAGAGCCACAGAACAATAGTAACACCAAGACTGTGAAAATGGCGTAGTCGACCGGGAAAATCTTGGCGGATTGGACTAAGGTCCAATTGACGGGATTGAAGACGTTTACATGGCCGAGAATATATCCACAGCGGTGCTTGCAGATTGAGTTCTTCGCCTTGTCGATGGCTGTCAAGAGCATTGAGACCCACACGACAAACGCAATCAAGAGGAGTAAAATCCCACCAAGAAGCTTGAAGGGCCGGAAAATGGCTTCAATCTTAAACCAGAGCCTCATAAGCCAGCTCCGAGCTTCACCTTGCGACTCCTCGACGAGACGTTGGCGCCGAATCAGGGTTCTTTCTTCTCGTGAAAGAGTGTCAAGCTCCCGGCGATCCTTGGAGGACAAAAGTTCAGGGTTTCCCCCACAACGACCCTCCAGCTGTCTCTGCCTCTCTCGGTTCACTTCAAGTTGCTGTGCGGTGCTTGCGCGCAGTGTAGGGTTGGAAACCGAAGGGGCTGTCTTGATCAGACTTATAGGAAATAGCGCGAGCCCAGACGAAGAATAAAGGACATAGAGACAGAGGCCAATGGTCATTAGCAGACCAAGGGCAAATGTCAACGCTCGCTCACCATCTGTGGTGATGTTAGTGATGTGGTCAATTCTGTAGAGGAAAATGACACTCACGGTTCTCAGTCAATAGTTTCTTGAAGTAATCAAGATCCAGCCCGTTCTTATTTTTTGAAACAGGAACAAAAAATCCAACAAGGAAGAGAATAACCACAATTGCGATAAACGAAAAAGTGTACTTAAAGGCACCCCAGAACCGCTGCCCCAGCGTCTGTTCACCACTTTCGCTGGCCACTTCGTCGTATTCTTCATACCAGAAGTAAGTGAACGGAATGACAAGAAGACAAAGAAGGGCATCCAGTGAGTAGAGGATGTAATAGACGATGGTTAAGGAGTAGGTTATGTGGTCAACAACATCCTGAGAAGCCCATTCTTTCCGCTGACCCAGTTTGGAAGACGTGGTAGAAGATACCAATGCAACGTCAACTGGCAAGAGAAGCACTGTAGCCAACAGACTGGTAATGGCAACAATGCAAGTAAGAGTGACTGACGGCGAACGATCCCGTGGAGTCTGATAAACATAAATGAAGACCGAAGCCACCGCGAGCAGAATAACGATGACGGCTGCATAGACGATCCAAATTAGAGATGCCTGGAGAAGCGCCATGTTTGACTGCAGGAACTCCTCATGGAGAAACGAGCATTCACTGGCAGAAGACCGGATCGGATGTCGAAGTGGTAGAGAAACTTGTCACTTTCAAATTCGCCAGGTTGAACGAAGTAAATCAGCGACGCGCCTGTCGTCATGGGCTAACCTATTTGGGGGGTAGTTTGCGCCACGTGACCACCGCTTTTGTTTCGGCCCGCCCTGGGATGGGGATCTTTGAGAGCACCGCGCCGACTTTCAGATATTCGAATTCACCTCCGACAACGTGGGAATACTGAGGTCCTGAAGGAATTTGAAGAAGCTGAGATGTGCATCGGCAATACCGAGCGCAGCGAATAGACCATTGGAAGCCCATCTCCTGGAAAAGACCGACTGTTTCCAATGCAGTGCTATACGGAGCTGCTGCCCCCCACGGGGGTCACTCATGCATTGGCGGTGCCCTTCACCTCAGCTACCGCAAACAACCTGATATTGGTGCGGTCATCTTTACTGCAAGTATTTTCTCTGCTCAAACCCTCCGGTCAAACACAACGCGAAGTCTCAGAGACCCACTCAACAACACCTCAACGGTCCGAGGCGAAACTCATCCTCGAGAAGGAGTATCATTTACCGGCCACGGTAACGGAGCTGAGCAAAGTCAAGACTTTGAACACCAAAAGTGGCGGAGAGGCCATCTTGCTGGCGCTTCGCAATGCGAAACTCTCCTTGATTGAGTGGGATCCCGAGCGCCATGGAATATCCACCATCTCCATCCACTACTATGAACGAGATGACCTGTCTCGAAGCCCTTGGGCACCGGATTTAAGCCGCTGTGGTACTATGCTCAGCGTGGACCCGAGCAGCCGTTGCGCAGTCTTCAATTTTGGGATTCGCAACCTCGCGATTTTGCCGTTCCACCAAGCAGGAGATGACCTAGTGATGGATGATTACGACTCGGAAATTGACGGAGAACGCCCTAGCCAGGAATCTGGAAATGAAGAACTTGCAGAAAGGAACAAAGACGGGCCCGCACATCAAACGCCCTATGCGTCTTCGTTTGTCTTATCTTTGACGGCCTTCGATCCTTCATTACTGCATCCAGTCAGCCTTGCATTTCTTTACGAATACAGGGAACCGACATTCGGTATTTTGTATTCCCAGGTCGCCACATCGAGTGCCTTGCTCCACGAGAGAAAAGATGTGATGTTCTACACCGTCTTCACTCTAGACCTAGAGCAACGAGCTTCTACGACTCTGCTCTCTGTTTCAAGACTGCCGAGTGACTTATTCAAAGTAGTAGCCCTTCCACCTCCCGTGGGAGGTGCTTTACTGCTTGGATCCAACGAAATTGTTCATGTGGACCAGGCTGGTAAAACGAATGCAGTAGGCGTGAATGAATTCTCTCGCCAGGTCTCATCGTTTTCAATGAGTGATCAGTCCGACTTGGCTTTTCGTCTGGAAGGCTGCGTTGTCGAGCGTCTCGGCGGAGACAGTGGTGATCTTCTTCTCGCCCTTGCTTCTGGGGAAATGGCATTGATCAAATTTAAGCTCGATGGACGTTCGGTCTCAGGCATGGAAGTCCTCCCTTTATCAGACCAGGCGGAGCGAAATTTTTTAAAATCTGCCGCTTCATGTTCTGCATGTTTCGGTGATGGCAACATCTTCATCGGCAGCGAGGATGCGGACTCGGTACTTCTTGGATGGTCTCATTCGTCTGCTTCCATGAAAAAAGCACGATTGGAGTCAGGAAAGGGGGGCGATGGCCCGGGACATCTGACGGAGGATGACCATATGGATGACGATGACCTTTACTCTACAGCACCAGAGATGATCCGAGCCGATCCACGCACAGTCTCGGAGAATATAACACCGGAGTATTATCATTTCAATCTAAATGATCGCCTCTCTAGCCTTGGTCCGCTCCGTGACATCACCATGGGCAGGTCCTCGTCGGTCACACGGAACCATAAGCAGGGCCAAAACGAGGACAAGCACCAGATGCAGATGACCAACGTAAAAGCCTCCGCCGAACTTGAGTTAGTCGCAGCACAAGGCTCTGATCAAGCTGGCGGCCTGGTTGTCATCAAGCGCGAAATCGATCCCCAGGTGTCAATTTCAATGAAAATTGACGACGCCGATGCAGTCTGGTCTGCTACCATGACGTCCAAGAGGGCAGCCCCTATGGATTACAGTGACTCATCAGAGAGCAATATTTCTCGTCAATATGTGATTATATCCCGCCCGACGGAAGCGGAAAGGGAGACCTGCGAGGTATTTGTGGTTCAAGGATCAGAGCTGAAGCCTTACAAAGCTCCTGATTTCAATCCAAATGAAGACTACACACTTGATATTCAACCACTGGCAGGGTCCACTCGCCTCATTCAAGTCCTACAGAACGAGGTTCGAAGCTACGATTCAGGTAAATTCCTAACCCCATGAGACACATAGCGAGCAATATTGCTGACATTGAATATTTATCAAGAATTGGGATTGGCACAGATTTATCCCATATTTGACGAAGACACTGATGAAGAGCGCGTGGCTGTCAGCGTGAGCTTCGTGGACCCGTTCGTGGTGATTTTGAGAGATGACGCTTCTTTGTTACTTCTTCAAGTGGACGAAAGCGGCGACCTTGATGAAGTTGCACTCTCCGATGAGATTTCGGGCTTACAATGTCGCTCGGTCTGTCTCTACAATGATAAGAATCAGACATTCACCTCAGCGCCGAACACTGCGGATAGTGACAGCACGCTCCTTTTCATACTAACCTCGGAATTCAAAATCTCGGTTAGTGGCGGTTGCAGATTCACGTTCGTCCCTATTACTAATCGTGAAATCGCAGATAATTCGTCTCAGTGATATGAAGATACTGTCTGTCGTCGAAGGTATTGACAGCTTGCAGCCCGTGCTGTCGGTGGAACCGCCACGGCGGTCAAGCACGAAGGAAACTATCAATGAAGTGCACGTCGCCGATCTCGGTGATCGCTGGGCCAGTTCGCCCTACTTGATCGTATGACTCTAACCCAATCCTTTGGATGTTTGACGAAATTTTCTGATTTGAAAAAATAGGCTCGAACCGACCACGACGACATTATTGTCTACAAGCCAGTCGCGATCCCCACCGGAGCTGGCGGCCAGTCGTTGCAAGAGATTCGGTTCTTCCGGGAAGCTCATCACAGCCTTTCAAACGTAACTTCGAAAACACCATCGGAAGATACTCAGAACCGGGCAAGACCACTGCGCAGCTTACCTGATATTTCTGGATTCAGTGCGGTTTTCTTGCCGGGTAGCTCCTCTGGTTTCATTCTGAAGACAGCCACTAGCTCACCACATTTGGTACATCTCCGCGGGGACTTTACAAGGTGGCTGAGTAGCTTTGACTCGGCGGAACTTTACTGTGAGAAAGGCTTCATATATGTCGACTCCAGACATTGCATCAGAATCTGCCAATTACCGACTGATACTCAGCTGGACCATTCATGGACGTTCCGGAAGGTGCCTCTGAACGAGCAAGTTGACTTTCTGGCCTATTCCACCACATCGGAAACATATGTCGTCGGAACTAGCAGCAAAGTGGGATTCAAGCTCCCAGATAACGACGAGTTGCACCCTGAATGGCGCAATGAATCCATCGACTTTCTCCCCGAGGTTCCTAAGAGTTCTATCAAGATGGTCAGCCCAAAGTCATGGACTGTCATTGATAGCTACCCGCTGGATTCAGCGGAGTATGTGACAGCGGTGAAGAATGTCAACATGGAAGTCTCGGAGAATACGCACGAGCGCCGAGATCTCATTGTGGTCGGAACATCCATTGCCAAGGGTGAAGATATTCCGGCGCGTGGATGCATCTACGTTTTCGATGTGATTGAAGTAGTCCCCGAGCCAGATCGGCCTGAAACGGGCCGCAAGCTGAAGCTAATCGGCAAAGAACTTGTCAAGGGAGCCGTGACTGCGCTGTCCGGAATTGGCGGCCAAGGTTTCGTTATTGTGGCTCAAGGTCAAAAGTGCATGGTTCGAGGCCTCAAAGAAGATGGCAGTCTCCTCCCTGTGGCGTTCATGGACATGCAGTGCTATGTCAGTGTGGCGAAAGAACTCAAGGGAACGGGATTGTGCATACTGGGAGATGCAATGAAGGGTCTTTGGTTTGCAGGTTACTCGGTACGCGTCAACGATCTTTCCTCATTGAGCGCTTAAAAGGACCGCAGAAAACTGATTGTTCTCTACAGGAGGAACCCTACAGAATGTCTCTTTTCGGCAAGGACCCGGAATACCTCGAGGTAGTCGCCGCAGACTTCCTGCCAGACGGGAACAAATTATACGTTCTAGTTGCCGACAGTGACTGCAACCTGCATGTGTTGCAATACGACCCCGAAGGTGTGTTCTACACGAAGAACTTTAGCCCCCTGAAAGACCCCGCTGATCAAATTCTTTGCTTCTGTCATCCAGATCCCAAGTCATCCAATGGAGACCGTTTGTTGAACCGGAGCAAGTTCCACACGGGCAATTTCGCCTCGACAGTCACCCTCCTACCTCGCACGGCTGTTTCTTCGGAGCTAGTCGAGACCCCGAGTGACGAGATGGATATGGACGATACACTCACCACTCATCAAGTCCTGATCGCCTCGCAGAATGGAGCCCTGGCACTGGTCACATCTGTCGCAGAAGAATCATACCGTCGACTCTCGGCGCTACAATCTCAACTCACCAACACGCTCGAGCATCCCGGCGGATTGAACCCGCGGGCTTTCCGAGCCGTCGAAAGCGACGGCGCCGGAGGCCGGGGCATAGTAGATGGAAATCTATTACGACAATGGCTGAATCTGGGGAAGCAACGCCAGGCTGAGATCGCCGGGCGGGTCGGCGCGACGGAGTGGGAGATCCGAGCCGATCTCGAGGCTATCGGCGGAGATGGGCTGGGGTACCTTTGAGGAGGGAGCTAAAGAAGGCACATTTAAGTGTGTATGGGTACGCTGTATGATACGTCTGCGCAGTTGTACCACCGCGCGGGAATTTCAAAGTGGATGTGGACAGAAAAGCCGAGTGCCAGGAAGATGGATATCCAGGGCCACATAAACGTACATGAGATCTAGTTCCATAATGAATGGAAAGGTTTCATCGAGAAATTGGTTTACTACTCTTTTTTGAAATAGATTGATCTAGGCAAGCCTGGGATACATCGGCAGGTAGTCAAAAGGCCGACTAGATCGAACGCAGTAGATAGCAGCGTAACATCATGACACGATGGGATATAACCAAAACCGAGCACAGACAATCCAGAGACCCACGACTTAAGGGCCAATGAAAGATTTGGGGGGTAAAAAAAAAAAGCCAAAGTTCAGTCTCAACGAGGTCTCTTCCTCAAAGGGTAGGGAAATCCAACGGGAAACGAGGCAATGAAACCGGAGACAACATCATCCTCAGACCACGGCGAGACAAAACGTACCCAAGAAAATAACAGAAAAAAAAAAAAAAAAAAAGGCAAAAAAAAAGGAAAAACAAAAAGAAAGAGCAAACACAGAACTCCACGACACGCCTTGATCGCCGATTTTGCACCGGGTGAACAGCCAATCACCCAAAAGATCATGGCAAGATAATTGAGCGAGAAAAGACCACACCATCATGACTCCAGCACATAAAACAAAAACACCAGATCAACACCACAGCCTCCAGCATATCAGGGAGTCAAGACCCAAGGCTGCAAAACTGTCAATAATAGAAAAAGAAAAAAAAATAAAAAAAAAGAGAAGACAGACACGTTTCTCCGGATTGGAGCAAACTCTATATAGAGAGGAGTTGACAGAATCAAAGACAGAGCCCCTCCAATCTTAATGTGCAAATGCAGATGCAATCCCCAGAATAGAAAAGAACACCACACTAGCGCCAGTGCATCAAGGTTATAACTTTCATTTTAAAACACGTCCTCGGCGGCAAAATACCTCTTGCTGCGACCCCGTGAAGCAACAAACTTCATCTCTGGCATATTGGTATGATGGACCACATGAGGCCGATAAACAGCATCCACAGGAGCTTGCCAATCATCCAATCCGAGAGGAAAGTATTCATATAAGAAGTCGGTACTTTCATTCGGGAATGGCAGCGACGAGACGAATTGCTGCGGGAGGTTGGCGGTTTCCAGTAATGGTATAGACGAAGAGGCGCTTCGAGATGGTGTTTGGGAGATGCCATGTGATAGCTTGCGCATTTTGGAAGGCGGTGCAGCCGATTGATCTAGACTGACAGAGCGTTGTTGATTAAGGTCATTGGCGTAGGAGTTCATCATCTTTTGATCCAGCTGGAGGCTCGTGTTATTGCTATCTTCCTCGTCCAACAGAGACAGATTGATTGGCGCAGCCGCTGCAGCCGACGTCCCACTGACGCGGCGCTGCGAGTCCGCAGCCTGTGAGATCGCCTGACTGAGTTGCTCCGGGCTCGAGTGAGGGAAGATGGACTGGTGAGCATGCGGCATGATGGCATTGGACGTCGACTGTGGGATTGGGGTCCAGTCGGGTTGTTGCATCATGGCCGGGGAGGTACGGATGTCGTCTCGGGGGAACTGCTTTGCACCGTGGTTGAAGGAGCCTTGGTCTTTGCCGGAGTCACGCTGGCCCGACGCGGCACGGAGTCGTTGGTCGGCGTGCGGTTGAGTGACGCCACCGAGTTAGCCTGGTTCTTTCGCGAGGCAGCGGCACTGCCGCTCAATGGAAGATCCTTGCGAGACTGGAAGTTGCGTGGACTGCGGCCACGGACGATGACGGGACCCGACTGCACCTCGGAAATGGAGATCTTTGCGCCGGTCGAGAGGGTCGCGACGACCTTGAGCCGAACAACAAAGTGCTGCTGCAACTCCTTGCGCCGCCCATTGTTTGCAGTTGCGACCCGGAACTGCAGCCGTTTCCAAGCGATCGGGAACGTGGCGTAGTCGGTATCAAGGTCCTGGCCGGCCATCGTATCCAGCGGGATTGGCGGGGGTTCCTTCTCGACCTTGGCGGCGGTTCCGGTTGTGCTTTCTTCGATGGCAGTGCCGGAGTTGGCGGCCGCGGCGGAGGGCGTTTTCCACGGCACCGAAATAATCTTCACAGGGTTTCCCTCCACTGATTCCGTTGCCGATACGGTCAGTTCTTGCGCCAGAATGGGGATTCGGTCCCCCTGGTCGGTCATTATATAGCGCATCCCTCGGGGCAACGTCACGGAGCCGGTGATTTGGAAGAGGTTGCGACGGTAACAAGTGAGCTCGGCACCCTGCTGGGGTGGTGCGTTCTCCGACGGGGACGTTGTATATGGGGACTCGGCGAGAAAGAACATGCCATGCAGTTGGGCCGCCACCGACAACGAGGTCCGGCGCATGGAGTAGTCGAGCAAAGTGAAGTGGTAGGCGGGCAGCGAGAAGCTCAATAGTTTATTATTATGGTCGATCGAGGAGTCTTGGGGCTGCTCGGGCGGCACGGGATCAAACGGAGGGACCATATCGGTGAAGGTCTCGTCATAGCCCGAGGGGAAGCGATTCAACGAGTGTGGCAGACTATTTTGGGTGAAGGCAAGATCGTCGCTATAGTCATGGCGGCGGGGGAACAGCGCCTTCCGTTAGTCGCGGAGCCGACTACCACGAGGGGCATAAAACACAAGCACTGCAGGCGCATGGCGTACGTATACATACCTTACAAAAGTCTCGGAATCAAAATTGGAGCGGTGATCGGGCAGATCGAGACCCGGCATGGCGTTGAGATAGTCGCCCTGGAGATTGCCGAGGGACAACGGGCTGGCCAGATAGGGCGGCATGGCCATGGTGTCGAAGCCCTCCATGGCGAGGGAGGAACGGTGAATGGGGGGAGTTGGAAGGAAGAGGAGAGGAACAAGGGGAGGCTAAGGGGGACAGGGACGAGCAAGAGGGGACATGGAATGCGTTGCGGATGCGCCGACGGATTCGGGGAAAAGTGGAGCCGCGGTTTTTGCGGAGAAAAACGACGAAGACGGGCGCACTTGCACGCTGGAACGGACAGCACCAACCCTGGGACCGAGCAAGGCTTGACGGCTCGACGCGAAAGTGAATTTCTCCTGGAAAAGGCCGTCCTCAAACGGGGCACCAAATGGGCGATCGCTCGCCGGCTCTCGGCAACACGGTCTGCTCCGGGACCCTGAAGATCATGCGAAGAAGCCCGTCCAACCCTGACAGCGCCACAGTGATTCAATCCAGGAGATAATTAAATGCAGGAAATAGAGGGGTGTGTGGTCAGCGGAAGAGGAGGGGGGGGGAGGAAGGCGACAAAAGACCCAGGCCACGGGGAGAAAAGGAAGGCAAAAGGACGAGGCGTGGAGGGAAATGGGAAGGAAGAGGGAGATGGAGAGATGGGATTGGAGGGGTTCAAGGCATATCATGCATGGCCTTACTGAAGTGTAGAATGATTATTTTAATTATTTTCCTTGTCTTTTTTCTTTTTCATTTCGAGCAGGACCCTGGGACCACCGACATACTTTGGGGGGCAGACCGTGCCTACGATCGTCCGTACCCTAAACTCCTCTAGTGTCCCTCTCTTTTCTCTGTCGATGATCAACCGCCCCCGTCTGACATGCAGCGCCATCACGAGCCACGGCCAATGACAACTCTAGGCTCCCCCCAGGCCGCGATCGTGTTGCTCCTGGAAAATGGTGGAGGCAGCGACGGCCGCGTGATTGGCGACTGCTGGTGTCCCACCGCGAACGGCAAGTCCACATCCGCATCCAGTCGGACGGAGAGACTGGGACCCCGAGTTCAACCACCGCAACAATCCAGTTCCAATGGTTTGGCAGTATCGTGGTGCAAGACGCTGGTGGGGGCCAGCGGCGATGTTCGTCCTGGTCATCGACTCGTCGTGGGCCATGATCTACTGCAGGTTCGCGACAGGATGCATCCAGTGCTGCTGGGCTCGTGTAATCCGAAACGGCATCACGAGCATGTGGAACACCCGTTGTTGACCCGACGGGTGTGGCGGGGAGGCCAGTGAAGGCAAAGAAGCTTCTGGCCGCCAGAGGATCATCTGTCGAAACCCTCCCTCCAATCTCCCGTGCATTTACCCGATTCGATCGTTGCTGCTGGCTGGTTGTGGCTGACTGGCATTGGTTCATGTCCATCGGGCCTGTTGCGAGGGCTCTTTGGCACTGGCACTTATCGTCTGGGTGGAGATCCCAGCTCTGAAGAGGGCAAAAGCAGGTCCACCTTCCACCTCCCACTGGATCGCCTTACTCGATGCGTCGCCCCTGAGAGCCGCTCCCAAGCTTGATTTACTTCCCGATAAACAGGAATACCCCCCGGTGATCACCGAGGTCGATCGATCTGGCTGGATCTCACCGTTCTCCCATTGCAGTATTCAGTGCCCCGTCGCCCTCCCGGCCTCAACACCAGCAAGTGGTACCAGGCCTGGGCGCATCGTCTGCGACCGTCCGCATCCGCGCACCTCCCAGAGCGGGGTGGGAAGGGCAATCGAGATAAGGAATGTGGACCAGGTCATTGCCGAGGAATCCTTTTCCCACCCCCCAAAGACCTGGAGTGGACCGGCAAGCTCTCAACAGGAAGCATCTGTGCAACTGGCGACATTGCGGGATTTCCAGGTCGAGCCGTACTAAACTCTACTAGATTGTCTTCCCCATTGGGGCAAACCACGGCCGAGTCGCCTTTTGCCCCCGGATGCAATTGTGGCCCCGACGCCCCGGTTGCTAGCGCCTGCAGAGCAAAGTCCGGGCATTCTTGCAGGATTGGCAGCCTTTCTAGAACAGCGACCGAACAGCCCAAAAGTAAGCCCAGGATTGTCCTCCTGGATCTCCATTGCAGAAATGGGGATGCTGGCCAACCTCAGAGACCATAATTCAAAATAATAATTAAAAAAAAACATGTCTGTTTCGTCCCTCGAGCCTCCTCGCACGGAGACACAAAAAGTGGGTGCTTGACTTTCTTTCTGTTCGCCTCCGGCGCCAAGCGGAGTCCGTCCAAGCCCACATTCTCCCCGTACTCCGTCGTTTGATGAAAAGGCCCAGTCTAGCTGTCCCAAGACCTATGAGACCTACGGACGTCCGGTCCAGTGAGCGGCCGCGATTACTCTGGTGCCTCGGGGGTCCACTCCACTCCGCGCAGAGTCCCGGATTGTAGGGTGAGCCGGAACCGAGGCTGGCGCTGGTCTCGGCCACCATCCCAACTGGTCGTCCCGAATGAACGAGAGACAAACTGAAAGAGATATTATAAAAAAAAAGGGTAAAAAAAGCAATGCTTCGGGGCTCAAGCAGGATGCGGATCTCCCGTGATCGACACGTTGTCTCTTGACCAGCCCAGTAGACCGCAGCATAAAAATATATCGAGGAAATGATGTCAGATTGGTCCGAATAACGCCGTATACGCTGCCTGTCCTACCCACCATACCAGCAGTGCCCCGAATCACGCCCTACGAGATGCAGGAAGGGGCAACACAGAAAAGCAAAATGAGACGCGCCAATCAGGAAACGCCTTGAGGGGATGCATGTACCTGCATCACATTACCCTAGACCCCGTTCCAGAACGAGAGAAAGAAGACAAGAGGCCAGGCACAACCCTCGACCCAGCCAAACAAAATGCCAGATGGATATCATAAACAAATGCAACAAGTCAGGGAAAAAAAGAAAGAAAAAAAAAAAAAAAAAAAAGGGCCATGAAAACCCAAAAGACTCCTAGGGTCCGAAGAGAGACTTGGAGCGAGGAAGAGAAGAATTGCGTCCATTCCCGCGCAAATCCACACCCTTCAACCTATGAAGGGTGCAGCATTGTCCAGGTGGCTGCGTCGCAATTGACCTCTTCAAAGCTGTGTAGCATGCTGAATCCCATCGAAGAGAGACAGTCAAAGTTACCGTCCCCGTCCACCTGTTTGCGGTTAGCACCCAGTTCGGCAGCGACAAGGGCAGGGCAGCAAGGAGAAGAAAAAAGGGAGTCTTACACAATCCATCACTACCGCATTAGCATTGAACCTGCGGATTTGGCGGATAGCCAGCAGGATCAGCCCCTGCATGACAGTGGAGTAATCATCCGCGCATGGCGAGATCACAGGTGAAGAGATACCTCCAACAGGAGTATGAGTAGCGCGTAATACGGGCATATATTCGGCCAAAGGGGAGCGCTCGTTGTACACGACAACACTGCCCAGAATCATGTCATCAGAGGGCCGCTTGGCTCGGATAATACCACAGTGGGGAGCGCCACCCAGGGCAATGCGGTAGATATCGGCGACACCCTGTCGCGCATTGGTCTTGATGTGGTCCAGGACGGTCCGGGCAAAGTTCCATCCATAGACAAGGTCGTAAACCACGTCGGCATTCTGCAGCGTTGCGGTGAGGCCATCGGGGGGCGTCCATGTCGTTAAATTTCGCAGCACGACACTGCAGACGGGTCGGGAGAGTGATGTGTTCCATCCCAGGTTGGCAAACCACTGCCGTAGCCGCTTACGTTCGACAGAGCTGACCGTAGGAATACCTAGATAGATGCCAGGCAATCGAGAGCCCAGTTGGAATCGCTTCATGCCTTTCCGCTGGAGGAGGGAGCGGATCGCACGACTGTGAAGGGAATGTCCAATAGACAGCTTGCGCCGCGCTGGGTCAACAATCAAACATCCAATAACGCCAGTGCCGGACGATCGAAAGAAGTAAGTTGCACAAAACCCATATAAGGCCTGTGTGCTGCTGTTACGGACCACAAAATGCGCCTCGTCAATGTCCTCTTTCCGTAGGAGAAAACTGCTAGAGGTGGCACCGAGGACCTCAGAGCGCTGACCTTGTGGACAGTCGTCCCGCATCGCTTCCAACAGTGCATCCAAAGCATTTGCATCTCTCTCCTCATTCCAATTCTCCACGAGCCAATGTTGACGAGATTGGTGGATTTTCTGACTGCGACTGATAGAGCCGGGCAGCGTCCCAGTCGGCGTCAGTTCGCCATAAAGAACCTTCACTAACGCCTGTAGCGCCGTCTCGGTAAAGTCATAGGTGCACACGTACGTTCCAATCGAGAAATCCATGGCAAAATCGTAAGGAGAGCTGACCGAAACCACAATCAAAGGCTTCTCGCGTCGCTCTCCGCTGGATGAATCGTGGAACTGACAGAGCAGCGAGATGTGTTTTGCGAACGATTGTTGATATTTGTTGCGATACCCGTCGGCCGTGACAACAATCACAGCACTGGCACGTTTGACGAGGTCTTCATGGATAGGTCGGACGCCATTGGACGTGTAGGAAGTGTGTAGGACACGACCATTTCTTTGCCGAGAAAGTGACCTGCCCAGCTCTTTGAAGACACTCTCTCCGCTCATCACTGAGGAGGTTTGTTCCCAAGATGAAGGGTTGCCGCCCCCGTGAGCCGATTCATTGACCGAGAGCGTGACGGCTGAAGCCGCGAGCGGTTTGACCAACGGCGTGAGCAGCAATAGCTCCTCGCAGGGGTCAATGAGATTGGAAAGTGGGAGAAGGTTGCTCTTGTCTCGCATCACTGTGATCGAGTCGTTATATGCACGCGTGGAGAGATTCGTGTGGGACGGTTGCATTTGCGTGAGTGATAGCAGACCGGGAGGATTCAACGCCTGTTCCCACGAAGTAGCACGCGCTTTGAGATCCAGTACACGGCGCAATGACTCCTCGATTCGGGCTCGGCCGATAATTCCGTTCTCAACACCAAGCTTCAATCCGTTGATTGCCTCTTGTTGCACGGGGAACGATCGACAGAGGAGAACGACATCGCATCCTGCATTTTTGGCCATGACGGTGCCACCACCAACTCCGATGTTATGCGTCAGGGCCTCCATCTCCAAGCATTCTGAGACAACGACTCCTTCAAATTTCAGATCTTTTCGAAGTAGCTCCTCGACAACTTGGTCACTCAAACAGGCGTGCATGACATTCATCCCAGCCGACGACATGGACACTCCGCCCACCATCATCGCATCCAGGCCGTGGTTGATGGCATTTCGAAAGGGGATTAGAGCATTCAAGCTCAATTGCTCCAGGGACTCTGTGATAATTGGCACATCGGCATGGGAACCAAGGAATTCTAAGTTGCCGTAGGACGGAAAGTGTTTGCCGCACGTCGCTAGTCCGGCTTGTTGATATCCTTTCATGAATTGGACGCCATATTGCGACGCCTCTTGAGGGTCATCGCCAGTAGTCCGAACACCCAGAGGTTGGTTTCGCGCATTGGTCAATACATCTAAAACCGGACCGAGAATCCAATTGATGCCGACAGCTTTGAGCTCTTGTGCGGTGGCGACTGCAACTTCGTGAGCTAGTGATTTCGACCCCGTCGCGGCTACCCCCATGGCGCTGGGAAATTGGCGAATGTATATTTCATCGTATAAACTGTTCACACCCCCATTCTCTTGATCCAATACAATGAGCAATGGGACTGGGTGGCCAGCATCCCGGGCAATGTTCTGCAGCTCCAGGACCAGTCGGGTGGCCTCCTCCGCTGCTGTGGTTGCAAAAATCAGCACGATGCGTTCGCGTACCCCGGAACTTTTCCAGCAAGGGGAAAGGGAGCAGAGTAGAATTACATTTAAGGTTTTTGGCTGACAAGAGGACAGAGCCCAAGTGATAGTCTTCGATGAGCGAGCGAATCTGCGGGCTGACCGTGGTGCCATCGAAGCCCATCATAAAGAGCTGGCCCATTTGCCTGCGACATCGCGCGCGTCAGCACGGCCCCAGGACGACCAGATCTTGTCCGCCCGCCTCCACGCCTCATGCACCTTTCTTCAGGTGTCAACCTTCCCGATGTGGAAATAGTCTAAATCACCCGAGGGGACCGTTGGGGTTCCACAACCGATGGACGTAGACGTGGGGATGGAGGCAGGAAGGGGGGTTGGTGCGTGGATGCGGTGACTGGGATAGGTGCACCGGAAGAAGGCGATCAACATACCTGTCGAGATCCTCCCAGCCCGGGGGCAGCATGTCCTCTTTCGGGGCCATGGCCCGAGGGATTGAGGAATGCCAACAGGGCCCAACAAGGTGAAGGGCTGAAGGCGGGGGAGCGAGGAGGGCACTGGGGAGTGTGTTGCTGCAACCAGTTGGGGTGATGATACAGAACTCCGAGTTCGCAGTCAGGTGACGAAAAAGCAGAGGACGCGGAATAAGCGCAGCGCGAGTGGAATGCAAGCACCAGAGCCGCAATCAGCCTAACAGTTGGGGGAAATCGGTTCCCCCCCAGATAAGAGGATAAGGCACTGGGCGGGTCTCTCCGCCCGTCAAGTCTAAAATCTATGGCAGAATTGGATGCCCTGCCACACATGGAATATCTTGGGTCCTGCATATGCCTCGATGCTTTGCAGATTACGCACCGCCACGTTCTTCCCCAGACTTCCCCAGACTTTTCCAGACGTGATGATCCTCAATCCTGGGACAGCACACTGACCCTTCCTTCGCCCTTCCAAAGTGCCACTGCGACCCAGCGCCGCGCAAAAAGAAAAAGAAAAAAAAACATTTGGATGAATCAGCAGGATCCAGACTAGTAACGTTGCGTGTCACGTGCGTACGCGCCATACCATACCGTGACCGTACCGTGACGGGCCCATCGCTGCGACGCTAAGGTTGCACTCTCCCCAGCTTTTTGGGCTGCCAGCGACTTCGCGATTTCCCGATTTCGCCGGATGCAACTGGTGCCACCCTCGATGGCACCCTTTGACCAGCTTGACATCTGCTCCGCTGCATTCTGGAGACTCGCGTGCGAATCACAATAGCGATTGTAAGCCCTCAATCACTGCGTCATTGCATTCCTGCTGGCCACCACATGGCATAATGCGGCCTCACGCTCCCGGCGTAGATGCAGAGGGTACCTGCTTCCTGATCTGAACTGGCAGGCGCGGGTCTCCGCCTATGAGCAGCACCTGGTAGGCCCAGCCATTGTGCACGTCGACGTCAACGGCCTGTCCACATGGCGCATTGCGACGATAACATTTGCGGAGACGCTCGAGTAGATGTAGCAGCCGTAGCAGATCTGGACGTCGAGAGCGGAGCCCGCCTACTACGACGCGGTTGATCTTGTCACTGTCGTACACCCCCAGGCCCGGTTCGACGTAACCGATCCATGGGAGCATCGCACCTTTCTCTCACTTCGCCCTGCCTTTAATCGAATCCTCTTCCTACACTCTTCTCCTTCACCCTTCCCATCTCTACACCCCTCATCAGCCTCAGCCCTACTAAACATCTTCCTACCTACCTCTTCATTCTCAGCGTGCACTGACGTAACCATCAGAAGATGTATGCGCCCTTGCCCCTGCTCTGATCCCCCCGCCCCCCAAATCGATTGAATCCATGCTGACTCTCATCCCAGGCGTGTCATCATTCGAGAAGACCCCGGCCAGGCGTCCGTGTACATCGCGGACTACATTGTCAGTAAGTGGTCACCACGGCAAAAAGCGCATCACAGATACCGCGGAACAGAGGCACTGACTACTTTCCTCTTCAGGTCGCATCAAGGCTTTCAACCCTACCGAAACTCATCCTTTTGTTCTTGGTCTCCCCACTGGCAGCAGTCCCGAGATCATCTACAAGATTCTGGTTCAGCGCCACCGCGCCGGCGAGATCTCTTTTAAAAATGTCGTGACCTTCAATATGGTAAGTGCTTCGAACTCCGCCCACAGCCCGCTGCTAGCAAAGGTGCATTTACTCACCAAAGTTGTACAGGATGAATACGTGGGTCTGCCTCGCGATCACCCAGAATCCTACCACAGTTTCATGTACAAGCACTTTTTCTCGCACGTCGACATCCCTCCCCAGAACATCCACATTCTAGACGGGAATGCCGAGGACCTGACTGCCGAGTGTGCCGCATTCGACGCAAGCATCGCCCGCTACGGTGGCATTGAACTCTTCCTGGGCGGTGTTGGACCGGACGGGCACATCGCCTTCAACGAGCCGGGATCCTCTCTCGCCAGCCGCACTCGTGTCAAGACCCTTGCCTACGATACCATTCTTGCCAACTCGCGTTTCTTCGACAACGATGTGAACAAGGTGCCGCGCATGGCCATGACTGTTGGTATCCAGACCATCATGGACGCCCGTGAGGTGGTCATCGTTGCCACTGGCGCCCACAAGGCCTTTGCCGTGCAGAAGGGCCTAGAAGATGGCGTGAACCACATGTGGACGCTCTCCGCACTGCAGCTGCACCTCACCCTCTGATCGTGTGTGATCGCGACGCCACCCTCGATCTGAAGGTCAAGACGGTCCGATATTTCGAATCGATTGAGCAAGCCGGTACCGATGCCCGTACTCAGGGTCCCGCGCTGGTCTACCGTCCTCGCACCTATGCTCCTGCCCCGATTTCCATCAAGAAGGCCTCGCCTCGTCAGCAGGTTACTCCTGATCGAACCCCGACAAAGGTTCCCAAGGACCTGCGCATCAATACTGAGCTGTACCGCACCATGGAGGATGACGAACTTACTCCGGACAGCATGTCCTCGCGCATGGTCGATTCTGCCATCGGTGGCCTGGACGGAACCTTGAAGAACGATCTCATCTTCGATCGCATGGGCGCCCGCATGACCGCGCTGTAAGCACCACAGCGACAGTGACCATCGCCAACGCCAGACACGAGTCTGAGTTTGCCTCATCCGTTTTTTTATGCTTTGCACTTCTTGTGGGGAATCGGGGTCTGGGTCTCTTTTTTTTTTTTTTCTCGGGTCATCGCTTGCATGGGGTTCTTGATTTCCTGGATCAATCGCGGCGTTCTTGAATCTTTTGCCCCGCTTCCTTTCCTGGCTAATTTCGATCGTTTGAAAGTTGGTAGATGGGGCTATGGTGGATAAGATATCATTTTTTTCATTCGAATTTGCATACGATATGTCATTTATGCGCCAGCGAATAAACAGCATAAGATGATTCAGGCGCAAATGGGCATAAACTAGATTAATACCGAAATTCAGTTGATTTTTATGTTTCATTTGTCCTGTACTGAGTATGTGTCGTATCTTTAACTATTGCGTTAGGGCGCCATCCTTGAAGGAGATTAGTAAGCTGCGCTAGGATGTGTAACCTAACTATACACTAGCATCTTGGCATGCTCACTCGTCGAAGCTTAGCATCATGCGGACAGTGTGCCATTGTAACCTAGCGTTTCAATAGAACAGCCTGCATGTATTTATACCTTACATGTTTGCCTTGACGAGGAACCTTCTTTTGCTCAGGTTCATTGTCTCCGATACTTGATTTTCAGGAATCATGCCATATCGAGCGGATGTAGAGTCAGAATTTGTACAAGTGATACTTTACGACTCTTGTGAGAAGCAATGCAGCTTATCCTCGTCTATGGTCAGGTCACTTCCATTTAAAAAAATATCTTCATGAAGATTCTCCCGAAATCGATCAACCGAAATAAAGCGAAAGAAAATGAACCAATTATCCATTTTTGATGCACAGGTATCCACTCTATCCGACCTTTTGGGGGGGGTCATATAAACGTCAAGTCATAGAATATTATTTACAGCTTGGCAAAGACCGTAGCCACGGCACCGCTCATGTCCACGAGGGTACTCTTGTTCTGCACCCAAGCCTCGATACCGCGGCGGCCATTCTCAACGCCCAGACCGCTCTTCTTCCAGCCACCGACCGCCATCTCGGCGGGGCTCTCACCCCAGGTGTTCACCCAGGTAATACCAGCCTGCAACTGATCAATGACGCGGTGAGCCTGGTTCAGGTCCTTGGTGAAGACACCAGCAGCGAGACCGAGCTCGGTGGCGTTGGCGCGTTTCACAGCCTCCTCGACGGTGTCGTAGTAGAGGATAGACATGACAGGGCCGAAGATCTCCTCCTTGACAATGCGCATGGAGTCAGTGCAGTCAGTGAAGATAGTCGGCTTGACCCAGTAACCGGCCTGCAGGTCCTGGGGCACGGTAGGCTTCTCGGGACCACCGCAGAGGAGAGTAGCGCGGTCAGTCTCGATACCGTGACGAATGTAAGAAAGAACCTTCTCGTGATGGGCCGCGGAGCTCAGGGGACCGAAGTTGGTCTGTTCGTCGAAGAGCGGGCCAGCCCGCACGAAAGGGATCTTCTCCAACAGACGCTTCTCGAAGGCGGCCTTCATGGCACGCGGGACGAAGACCCGGGTACCGTTGGTGCAGACCTGACCAGTACTGTAGAAGTTGGCCATCATGGAGCCATCGACCGCGTTCTCCAGGTCCGCGTCCGGGCACACGATCAGGGGGCTCTTGCCGCCCAGCTCCATTGTCACGTACTTCATGTTACCGGTGGCAGAGCCAGCGACTTTTTGGCCAGTGGACACCTGACCGGTGAAGGAAACCTTGGCGATGCTGGGGTGGCTGGTCAGGTAGGCCCCAACATCGCCGGCACCGTTGATCACGTTGAAGACGCCGGCGGGCACACCGGCTTCGGTGTATATCTCGGCGAGAGTCTGGGCGTGGAGCGGGGTATATTCACTGGGCTTGTAGACCATGGTGTTACCAGCGGCCAGACAGGCAGCTGACTTCCAGAGGGCGCTGCAAAGAAGGTTCAAGTCAGAGTCAATCCTGAGGTAAGCGCTTTGAAGCCCCTTTGTGAACTTACATCTGGATGGGATAGTTCCAAGCACCAATACCGGCGCAGACACCCAGAGGAGCCTTCTTGGTGTACACCCATGCATCCTCACGCAGCTGAGTGGTCTCACCGTTGAGGCCACCACCACCGATGAAGTTGGCGTAGTACTCCAGGACATCGGCTCCCGTTACAACGTCCACAGTGCTGGTTTCAGTGTACGCCTTGCCGGAGTCGAGAGTCTCGACGCGAGCAATCTCATCGTTGCGCTCGCGCAGAAGAGAAGCGGCCTTGTGGAGGATACGAGCACGAGCGATCGCAGGAGTCTGCGACCACGCAGGGAATGCGCGCTCACCAGCCGCAATGGCAGCGTCGATATCCGCATGGGCGGCAACCTGGATGTCGGCCAGCGGCGTCGCGGTGGCCGGGTTGACCGTCTGGAAGGTCTTGCCGGACGAGGCGGCTTGCACCTTGCCGTCGTAGTAGAGCTGACGGGGAGCGAAGGAGAGGGCCATGACTGTAGGGGGGAGATAGGAGGAACAGTATCTCGTCAACCGCAACAAGTGCATGGTATGATGAAGCTGCAGACTATAATTCTTTATCGGGCCCCGCCACCCAGACCGCCTCCCCACCGCAACCAAGTCGGACATCGGCCGAGGCCTGTTTGAAGGCGGTGGGCCGCGGTTGTACGTAACTAGGGAGCCTCTCACAGTCGCCGCTCAGTCCCAAATCGGCGCCGCGTCGCTCAATTCGGATCGCCCGATTGCCCCCCAGCGCGGCATCGAACATCCGTGGCTAACTTTCTTCACGCGGCCCCACCGGGACATGCGCCCTCAGAAGGCACGCCGAATCCCTCGTGGTGACGTACAGCTCGTGTCCGCCGCTTCCCGCTGAGGCCTCGCGGAGGCGCAATTGGAGCATGGGCGAGTGCACCATTGCCTTATCAGGACCGAATTCCCCTACCGGTTCCGCGTTGATTCCTTCCCCCTCTTTTCGTCTCGATTGGAAATGCATCCTGTTAGAGGGCCGTTAGCAGCCCAGTGGATCAATCTAGCTCACACGGCTCCACTACGAGCGATCACCACCAATCACACGCTGCGATTCGCTGCGCCCCGCAGAAAAAAAGAAAGATAAAAAAAAGAGGTGAACCGCGCCTACACCGAATCCAGGCACTCCCTCGAGAAAGATTGGATCTTTTCTGCCCTCTGATCAGACCACCCGAGGGCCCCCAGCCGTCCCAAGCTTCTTGGACCTTTTAAAAAAAGTCGATTCTCCTCTTTCGCCTCCTCCCATCTCCATCCTTTTGGTATTCACTATGGCTACCACCAACGAGCTCCCCGCCGTCGATGTCAACAGCTACGACTACATTGTCGTGGGTGGTGGCACCGCCGGCTGCGTGATTGCCTCGCGCCTCGCCCAGTATCTCCCCAACAAGCGCACTCTGGTCATTGAGGGTGGTCCCAGCGACTTCATGGACGACCGCGTCCTCAACCTCAAGGAGTGGCTCAACCTCCTCGGCGGCGAGCTGGACTATGACTATCCCACCGTCGAACAGCCCATGGGTACGACTATCACCATCTATCTCCCTTTGCGCCAAATCTTGTCCTCGTCCCCTTGCGCAAACTGCCCAGACGCTCCATCTTTTGACCTCCATTTGGAAAAGCCATGCAATACTAACCTCCCCTGTAGGCAACAGTCACATCCGCCACTCTCGCGCCAAGGTCCTCGGTGGTTGCTCTAGCCACAACACCCTGATCTCCTTTCGTCCCTTCGAGTATGATTGCCGTAACTGGGTTGCCAAGGGCTGCAAGGGCTGGGACTTCGAGACCTTCACTCGTCTGATCGATGGCCTGCGCAACACCATCCAGCCCGTTCACGCTCGCCACCAGAACCAGCTCTGCAAGGACTGGATCCAGGCCTGCGCCGGTGCCATGAACATCCCCGTCATTGAGAACTTCAACGACGACATCCGTAACAAGGGTGAGCTGACCGAGGGTGTTGGCTTCTTCAACGTCTCCTACAACCCCGACGATGGCCGCCGTAGCAGTGCCTCCGTCGCCTACATCCACCCCATCCTGCGCGGTGAGGAGAAGCGTCCCAACCTGACTATTCTCACCAACGCCTGGGTGTCCAAGGTCAACGTTGAGGGTGACACCGTCACCGGTGTTAACGTCACTCTCAAGTCCGGCGAGAAGCACACCCTCCGCGCCAAGAAGGAGACCATCCTGTGCGCTGGTGCCGTCGACACTCCTCGTCTGATGTTGCTCTCCGGTCTGGGTCCCCGCGAGCAGCTGTCTTCACTGGGAATTCCCGTCGTCAAGGACATTCCCGGTGTCGGCGAGAACCTGCTCGACCACCCCGAGTCCATCATCATGTGGGAGCTGAACCGCCCCGTTCCCCCCAACCAAACCACCATGGATTCGGATGCCGGCATCTTCCTCCGCCGCGAGGCCCCCAACGCCGCCGGCTTCGACGGCCGCGCCGCCGACGTGATGATGCACTGCTACCAGATCCCCTTCACCCTCAACACCGCCCGTCTGGGCTACGACGAGCCCATTAACGCCTTCTGCATGACCCCTAACATTCCCCGCCCCCGTTCTCGCGGTCGTCTCTACTTGACCTCCGCCGACCCCTCCGTCAAGCCCGCTCTGGACTTCCGCTACTTCACCGACCCAGAGGGCTACGATGCTGCCACCATTCTCGAGGGTCTCAAGGTTGCCCGTAAGGTCGCCCAGCAGGCTCCCTTCAAGGACTGGATCAAGCGTGAGGTCGCCCCGGGTCCCAACGTGACCTCCGACGAGGCTCTGTCCGAGTACGGCCGTCGCGTGGCTCACACCGTGTACCACCCTGCCGGTACCACCAAGATGGGTGACGTCGCCCGCGACCCCATGGCCGTCGTTGACCCCACCCTGAAGGTCCGCGGCCTGAAGGGCGTCCGTATCGCCGATGCCGGTGTCTTCCCTGACATGCCCTCCATCAACCCCATGGTGACCGTCCTGACCATTGGCGAGCGCGCCGCCGAGCTCATCGCCGAGGAGGCCGGCTGGACCCGCTCCCAGCCCCGTCTGTAAAAGAAATGCGAAACGTCAAACGCCATGTCCTCTTTTCATGACTGTATGTCTGTGAAAAATTTGTATTTTTCGGTTTAGTGTTTTTGTTTAGCATCTCAGCGAGCGGCGCAGAGCTCCGATGAGATCGCAGGTGCTTGAGTGTTTTTCTAGCCTCTTTTTTCCCCCACCTGATGCGATCAACAGTGTCCGCCAGACGGATCCGGGGTTTTGGATTCCCATCAAATCTTGAATATATATATTTCTCACCCGAAAACCATGTTGCTTTGGCATAGTTGGGGTACAGTAGTGTACACCATAGCTTTGTCAAGTGTAGATATATAAGCGCCGACAAAATCAAAAATGAATATCTTCCGGCTGATCACACATGATTTAAAAGTATTGATTTTGAAATTAAAGTCTAATGCGATGCGATGTGATGTGATGCGCACAATGCTTCTATGACGATCAATGCGAGTAAAATACTAAGGACTTCCTGAACGCCCGAGCCACCAGTAGATATCACTGACCGAAAACGAGAGAGATGCAGAGGCAACCGTTCGTGAAAGTTGCTAACCCAATAACAAAAGCCCATAAGAAATCAAGGAAAAAGAACCCCAGAGATAAGAGAAAGCTCACCATCACCAGTCCCTAAACAGCAACAGCCTTCTCCTTCTCCTTATCAAAGATCTTAGCACCCAACTTCCAAACCTGATCAACGGCCAGGGTGGGTCCCGAATCCGGCTCATCGACCTCACTGAGAATGATCAAATCCGCATCCGCGCCAGCATCAAGGCATCCCTTCACACCCTGCAGACCAAGCAAACGCGCGGGAACGGCCGAGGCAGCATTGATCGCCTGAGCCGTCGAAGAATTGGACCAGCGGCGGAAATTGTTCACACACTCAATCAACGTCGCCGAGCTACCAGCAATCTTATCAGATCCCTCGAGGGTCAACCGCGCACCGGTCTTGACAATGCGCTCGCCATTAGTCCACTCGTAAGTACCATCGGGCAGACCGCAAAGGCGCATCGCATCAGTGACGAGAACCAGACCCTCCGGGTGCGCATTGTAAGCGATTTTGATTGAAGTCGGGTGGAGGTGAATTCCGTCAGCAATAACACCGTAGAAGGGACGACGACGCTCAGACTGGCCGAGCAGACCGAAGATGCCCGGGTTGCGGTGGTAGAAGGGGCGCATGGCGTTAAACAGATGGGTGATCATGCGGGCGCCCTGGTGAGTGGCCGAGATGGCTTGCTCGTATGTAGCATCCGAGTGGCCGATCGAGTAGATGATGTCTCTCTTGGCGATCTCCGGGATCTGGGCCATCATGTTTCCGACCTCGGGCGCGGCGGTAATCATCTTGATAGGGCTACCGGCGCTCAAGTTGTCCTTCCCGTAGCAGGTGATGAGGTCCTCAAACGTCTGGGCTGCGCGGAGGACTTCGGATTTGTGAACGCCGTTTCGCCCGGGGCTGATGAAGGGACCTTCGGCATGGGCGCCGAGGGATTCAGCTCCATCTTGGGGTTGGTGAGTTGCACCCGTGGGTCCAAGGGAGGGTAGGACCTGTATGGATTGTGAGTTTCAATGCTTTTTATTGGCCTTTTGTTTGTTTTTGCTTTTCTCTTCTGTTGAAAGATTGCTTCTAAGGGGCCGAGAACAACATACCTTGTGATAAACCTCCGCAGTGGAGCTGACGAGAGTTGGCAAGTAAGAGGTGACACCGGTACGGGCGAGGCCGCGGTTAACCATCCGGAGGCCCTCATCGTACTCCTCCTTGGTGTCGCAAGGGACGGAGAAGTCGAAGCCCTGAGCGCCATTCAGCTGCACATCGATCAGGCCGGGGGCCAAGATGCGGCCGCCGAGATCGATAATCTCATCCGGAGAGAGGTGCAGTTCATAGAAGGCCTCTTGGTCTTTGAGGATCTTGCCGGTCAGAGAGTCGATCCAGAGATCTTGCTCAACCAGGCTTGAACCGCGCACCAGGCGGCAGTTGGTGAACTTGGTGATGCGCGGGGTGGGGGTGGCCTTGCCAGGCATGGTGGCGATGCAGAAGTAAAGAGAGACCTTTTCAGTTGCCCTGATTCGAGTTCAAGTCCGGGGAAGTGTGGGATGTTTCAGACACGGGGGGAGAGTGGAAGTTAAGGAAAGCAAAGAACGAGCGAGTCGAGCGAAAGCACGATGATGTAACGGTTGATTGTTTTCTGCAGAGGTAACATTCGGCATGCCGATGTGGTACCTGGCTGGACCCGGGCAGACACCAGCACCGTACCTTCCCGAAGTATACACTAGAGATTATCAGTACGACCTGCGGGATGCGTCAGGTGTCAGGTATGTAATCCGGGTAATGGTACGGTAAGGGCGGTACGGTACGGTCCCCCCGCATGCGGTGTGGAGTGTTGCAAGCGGCAGATGCAACTCTGCTTGCGGTCGCATCGCTGCGGGTATTTGCTCGCTGCGCGCTTGGCCGTGGTTCGCTCATCCTCTCGACTTCTCCGGAGTCTCCATCTTTGCCTCCCCGCAACTGCCCACATGACTGGCAAAATGTGTGTCAGAACCCACTGGCACTTATTTCCCACAGATATCTAGCGTCTCATTCCCCCAATTGAACGGGTGTATAGCACCCGCCGGCCAAGCACTTATCTGTGAAACACGATAAGCTAGCTCGGCTATAGTTTTTTTTTTTTTTAGACCAGCCTAAGCCGAAAAACTAAAGCCCCCCAAAAAAGAGCGACCCCCATATTTCATAAATCGGAGCCTTTCCTCTCCTTCATTCCTCAATTCCTTGGATCGCGCTCTTACGTGGAAACCCTGCATTCTAGGAATCACCCCTTTTCCAACCCGTGTTCATTTGGCCGTCCCGCTAGCCCCCAATTCCAATCCCAGTCCGATCTACAACTACTCACCCCAAACTGATCTCCCCCTACTTGGTGTCACCATGGCGACCCCCGAGCCAGATCAGCAACCACATGCGACTCCGCCCATGGAGATGAACGCCATGGAGACAGAGAAGCATACCCCATCCGCCAACCATGAAGAACAACCCGACGATGCCGTCGTCGGCCCGTCCTGGATGTACAAGCCGATACTTAAGATCGGCAAGTGGCAGGCGCCCTGGTTCGCATCGCCGGAGACACAACTGGTCCTCGTCTCATTCGTCTGCTTCCTCTGTCCTGGCATGTACAATGCCGTCAGTGGACTGGGTGGCGGTGGCCAGGTCAACGCGACTGATGTGAACAACTCGAATACCGCGCTATACAGTACCTTTGCCGTTGTCGGCTTCTTCGCTGGATCCATTGCCAATCGGATTGGTCTTCGCTTGACCCTGTCGCTGGGCGGCTTCGGGTATTTCCTCTACGTTGCGGCGCTGCTCTCATATAATATCAACCAGAATGCGGGCTTCCTTATCTTCGCCGGCGCACTACTGGGTGTCTGCGCCGGTCTTTTGTGGTGCGCGCAAGGTGCCGTGATGATGAGTTATCCGCTGGAGCACGAGAAGGGAAAATATATTGCGATCTTCTGGGTCATCTTCAACCTGGGTGGTGTCATTGGCAGTCTGGTAAGTACAACCTTAGGATACAAAAGTAATCAGCGGCATTGGATCTCTCGGAACTGACCTCCAATTTGCTTGTATAGGTCCCTCTTGGCCAGAACATGCACAGCAGCGCCGGAAACGTGAACAATGGCACCTATATCGCGTTCCTCGTCTTGATGGCCGTAGGTTTCGCTCTCTGCTGGGGTCTCGCCGATTCCAAGTACATCAAGCGAAAGGACGGCTCGCGCGTGATCGTGATCAAGAACCCAACCTGGAAGTCCGAATTCCTCGGTCTCTGGGAGACTCTGCTGAGCGATTCTTATATTGTGCTCCTCTTCCCCATGTTCCTGGCCAGTAACTGGTTCTATGGATACCACTTCAACGCGGTCAACCTGGCGTATTTCACCGTTCGCACTCGTGCCCTCAACAGTCTCCTGTACTGGCTGATGCAGATGGTTGGCGCCTTCGTCTTCGGCCAGCTTTTGGATATGAAGTGGTTCTCGCGCCCAGCCCGAGCCAAGATCAACTTTGGCATTCTCTTCGCTATCACTATGGGCATCTGGGGCGGTGGTTATGCCTTCCAGACCCGCTACACCCGCGAGACCGTGAAAGCCGATATGGATTTCATGGATAGCGGTTATATCGGCCCGATGTTCTTGTACATGTTCTATGGATTTTACGACGCCTCGTTCCAAACCTGCACATACTGGTAAGCATTACACAGCATTGACAGCCCCTAAATAATCATCTGACAATTCTCAGGTACATGGGATCTCTCTCGAACAACGCCCGCAAGCTTGCCAACTTCGCCGGTTTCTATAAGGGTATCCAATCTGCTGGTGCAGCTGGAATGTGGCGCCTGGACGCCGTCGAAACCCCTTATATGACTGAATTCGCTTCTTGCTGGGGTCTCCTCCTTGGCAGCATGCTGATCGCTACCCCCGTCGTCTTCATGAAGGTGAAGGAAAGCACTGACGTCGAAGAAGACCTCCGTTTCTCTGACGAAACCACGGCCGATGTCCTCGGCCACTCGGCCGAGGGGTCCGATATTTCAGATAAGCCTCGTGCCAGCGAGGATGCCTCAAACAGGGCATGAGCATACAATTGGAAGATCTACTGTAATTGTATCACAACTCTTCTCTATTCTTGCACTATGATTTTCTCGTTTATTTTTATTTTTATTTTTATTTTGATTTTTGGTTGGACTCTTTGCATTCCGTCTGAATGCTACGAACATATGCATTTACGAGGCGCGTCCTTTATTATTGATGTTTCCTTTTCATATCCCGTTTTATGTCTTTCACGGCTGGCACTTTGACCTTCACTGTACGATATGATTCCCCCGGGTAGTCTTATGGTATAGATGCGATGACTTGAGTAGGACCAGGTCCAATAGAAACATTAAATGATATCAGCCTTTACTAAATCCATAGTACATGAGCATATTTGCGCATTACTCTGGGAAGGAAGGATGACAGCGCACAAAACGGAGTCCTTCCAGTTTAAAAATAGCTCACGTTGATGCCCTGTTTTCGATTGAAGGCTGACTCAGATGACTATTTGGATAACTAACTGTTTGGAAGGCTATTTTGATAATTGTTGCACTGTAAGAGTATGTAGGGCTGTCCGCTTGAGGTACAAATCTCCAAAATTCAGGCATCAAGCCATACTGTAATTAGAAAGTGAGCTTTGGCTATAACCTTCCGTACTGAGGAGTTCCGCTTTATACATGCATACATATACTTTATTGTAGTTTTGCAACGATTCAATCCCGTATAAATGTTCAATCTAACCTAGACAGCTGGACAGAGTGCTCTAAATACTTCACCCCTGAAAGTCTAAATCCATCACCACATCCACGGGGCTGCTGACTTACTCGGAGCCACAGAGGAAGTAGGCAAAGGAACGGAAGACTGGGTATGAGTAGCAGACGAAGGTCCATCGGATCCGAAGTCCGGTGTAAGCTTCTTCTCTCCCTTAGGCAATTCCCAGCCATTCAAGGTACGGTTGAAAAGCTGCAAAGAAGCGACGGGCTGATAGTAGGGGACTTCATGACCAGCTTCGTAGACACGGGTGAAGGAAAAATTGCCATATTCACGAGTCTCACCGTACTCGACACCGTCAACGAGGAAAGGTGCGTAGCCGGCGGCCTTGAACTGCTTGCTGTGGGGGTACTTGGTGGCGAGGGAGATGGCTTCGCCGCCGAACCAGTTGCAGATGTAGTCTGCGTCGCCGTAGATGAGAGCCACACGGACAGGACGGGTGAGGATATCTTCCAGGTCATCGATGAAGTTGGGCCAGACGAAGTCTCCGGTTTGTTGGAAAGCGTAGTAAATTTCCGAGTTAGAGCTTGTGTAGTTGAGGTCGACGCCGAGCGCGTTCATGACTTCATCTTTGGCCAGGTACTTCTCATAGTAGCTGGGCGGAGTGGGGTCTTGCGCGGGATGTCGAATGTCGTAGGTTCCGCGGCCGCTGAAGACGTAGTATGGGCTTTCTATAGAAATAGAAATACTTAGAACTGATCTGGAAGCTAGTAGTCAAAATGGGCGATTTTCACGTACCGACGTTGTCACGGCACATGTTGCCTGCTTCCGTGCAGATCGCATAGTCTGTCAAGGAGGTGCGGTTGGTCATTTTGCAGTTTTGGATCATGTCTTGGCATCCGTTGGGCATTTCGTTTGCGAATTTCATGTAGTTGTAGACTGTCTCATTGACCTAAATAGATTGTCAGTATGGAAACAAGGGCGGGGGCCACGGGGACTGTACCGCTTTGATGCCGTAGGTGTTGTGGACTGCAAACTCCGGGTAGTGAGGAGCCTGGATAGACTCATCGATGATACCGTTGATAATGCCGAGAGTGTTAAAGTCAAGCTCGATGCCATCCACGCTGCCGTTCTTGATCTTCTGGTTCTCTTTGTAGAAGTGGTCGAAGAACTGTACTTGTTAATTATGTGCTTAATATGTGTAGCAAGCAATACATACAGCCGGGCCATAGTGTCTATATGGATATATTAGCGTTGACCATTTTAAACGGCTTTGGTAGAAACTTACCCTCCATAGCTCTCAGTCCACAAGTTGAAGCTCTTGGACTTGATCTTCGAGTCGAGCTTGGGCAAGCTGCCAAGGAATCCCTGCAGGACCTCCCAAGTGGCTTCGGCAGCAAGATTGGTAGTGTCTTCACGGCTGTTAGATGAATCCGGTTTCCCTTTGAATGATCTCGTATTTACCAATCATAGTGGCGTTGATAACAGGGTAGCGGCCCTGGACGCCAGCGACGTCTTCATCCTGGAAGGCACCGGTCAATTGGTTGAGAGAGCCAGCCTCCTTCTCGGCATAGGAGAAGCCTATTTAATTAGTCAGATCTATGCTATAAGTCTCTCGATGCCGTTGATTCCATACCAGTGCCGAGAGGCTGAGAGATGAAGAGCATGTTGGAGACCTCATTCCACGAATGGGGGTTAAGATAAGTCTCATATTTCTCGTTAACATGACAAGGACCCAATTCTAAATGAAGACAACTGTTAGCAGTGAAGTAGAAAAAAGGAGCATCCGCGCCATTCTGACCCTCGAACAGCCCAATCAACGAATCACTTCCCGGGCCACCATTCAGCCACAGCGTAATTGGCGCATTTTCCGGATCGTGGCGCGCCTCAAAAAACCAGAAGAAAGTGTGCTCTGTCGGCGACAGGTCGACGTAGCCCGCGTACGACTTCACACCAGGGGTGGTTTCACAAACGCCCGCCTTGCCAGGCTCCTTGTAGCGGATAGTGACATTATTGGCCGTCTTAATAGACTTCACCCCCGTAGGCTCCTTGGGCAACTGACGGCGAGCGAACTCAGTACCGAAAGGAATCGAGCTGGCCGCAGCCACAGGCAACAAGAACGGAATCCACGAGTTGATGTGCATGATGTCTCCACGTTCTCAGTGAAAAGCGAAACCCACGCCGACGGGGAGAAGAACGCGTTGAATTAGGGGGTGACCCACTAGTACTTAAAGGGTCTCGCAGAAGAGGAGACAGCTCGACTAGGCAGCGTGGTAGATAGCATCCAGTCAGAGCCTCGAAACAGGCTAATAAGGAAACCGGAGACAGCCGCTCCGACAAGTGCAATCACCAGTCATATTGCCGCAAGAAGAAGGCGACAAACAGGGCCAAGACACGATCATCCAACAGGAGGAGTCGTGGGCCAGCTCAACGAATGCATATCGTGGGGACGGCCAGGGCATCTCCGCAGGAGCTCCGGGTTAGGGTAGCATCCCTCATACGAGGGGTCTCCATCAAATCACGATATGTGGTGGGCTTTGGTTCAGGCCTCCACAGGGCAATGCAGATAATCAGGGGTCTTGATTTGCTTCGATCCGTTTGTTGATGAGGGGAAGGATCGGCGGCGCTAGGTGTTGCGTCTGTCGCACTGGCTAGATGGTCTGGTGGAGATGCATTTCAGGGATGCAGTCGGTACTCTGCCACCAGGGAATGTCCCGGCAGTGAGAGAAAGCAGCGGGAAGATGCGATAGCTTTAATTGATCTATAGGGAGGCGACTGCATTGCGGCGAAGAGTGTGATCTGGACAATTTGATCCTTGGAAGAGTCATGCTCCCCTGAGAAGATGCGCCAATCGAGTGCACCGCCGTCCCCGCTTTTTCGGCCCGAGTCAACACGAGATCCTCGCAGGCAATCCAAATGCTTAGGGGACAGTGTAGGAAGTGTTATGATGGTGCCTAACTCAATGTTTGCTGTACTGAACTCTCTGCGGCTTTTTACATAATGTGGTCATATCGAGCATGACGTCTATTGTGTCATGGTGGAAGAATTTTGAACTAAACAATGGCGTCATTTTAGCGAAGATAAGGCCGCCACAGAAGTGAGTTGCATGAACTGGCTGCGACGTTACTGTCGATCCGCCAGCTTGGCCTAGAAATCTTATATTGTTTACCGACTTATGTATCTAATCAGCTCGAGTTTTCTCTAGATCGTGAGGATTAAATGTTCAGTTCATTAGATGATTGGATACTTAAGATACTCACACAGGCGTGTTTTCAAGCTCAGGAGAATATCATTCCAAGAGCAGGGCTAGTACAGTGGCGCCATTGAGTTCCATTTCGAGCGACCGAAGCCAGCAGTCTCCCTCTTATATCCCTGGAACCACCGTTGCAAATACCTGTCGGTTGTACAACCGTACAGGCGCCGACCCATCTCCAAAGAGATCAATGATGTGATCCATGTACATCCAGATCGCCTCGTAGTGTTCCGGCGAGAGGCCTTTCTTGTCTTTGCGCGCCACGATCACAGTTTTAATCCCTGACTGCCATTGCGGAGGCGTAGGTCCTGACGTCAGCCGATATTGATGTAGGTAATGGACTGGTTGTCAAGGCATCCAAATTGTCAAATCCTTGCGTGTTCTGACTCGGTGGATGACAATGGGGGAGTCGAGCAAGGTGGGGACGTCCGGGACTTTGTTGAAGACTGGGTGGTCGGAGGGTATTGTTGTTGCGGACCATGGAGCGCCTGCAACTTGATCGTCGCTACAGCGCACGAGAACAGCCTAGGCGGTGAGGCTGTCTGGGGAGGGATAGGGCGAGGACGCCGAGGTGTTTGGAGTCGAGGCTGAAGAGGTTTTGGCCGGCATTGGGGGGTTGAGGGCGCGACTTTGAATCCGTGTCGAGTAGTCATTTTATGACTTCGTGAAGGTTGTTCTTTACGATCCCTTTCTGGGTACTTGCTGGGTACTTGCTGATATTGGTTATTTTGAGCAAAAAAGATAATTGAAGCGTATTTATGAAGATGAGATTAGCTGGACCGAGAGCTCGTGGTGCCGATAACTGTGGGGTGCACGCGGGGCACACTATAAGCGCCACTTATACAACAGCAACGTCTCTATAGCACTAAGCAACTCACCCACTTCACATCATGGAAACACGACCAAAGCATCAAAAACGAAAATAGAACCAGAAGAGCAAGAAAGCAAGAAAGCGAGCGCAGACCATCCTCCACTGATTTCCAATATCCTTCCGCTTTCCGACATATTGCCAAGTGTATCTGCATGAGCTGAAAGATCTCACCGTAACTCCCATGTTCTAAAATCTATTCCTGCTACCCCGAGTTGATTTGCAGGTTCATCAACATGAGATTGAGCCATATTTGTTCTTAGTGGCGCGCCACCAGGCAGACTCAACGTCTCCTGTATTACAGCCCACCCCAGTGGTAAAGCCCCAGAACAGGGTGTTCTCTCCGCCATCACTGCATGAGGTTGCACTGGGAGCTGGGCACTTTAGCTGTTTCCAAAGCTCACCACAAGCAGTGGAAATGTCTGGGACGCCAGAGGCCGAGATATCGAATGAATGGGAGAGTTGACCATCGTAATGGGTGTACTTGCAAGACGCAGCCGATGACTGCGTAGCAAGAGCAGCGAGTGCAAAAAGAGTGGAATATTTGATGAAATGCATCGTCTTGATATCAAGTGGAAAATTAATTATTGAACAGCTGAGGCTTGAAAATAACGAGAGATGATTTTTCCGAATATAGGACGATCAAAATTGAAAGCAAGACTCGAGGTCTTATATACTTCCAGCTCCAGGGAGCAGATTGGCCTTGTCAGGCAGGAGGCCCGACAAGGTGCAACCTTGGGCGCCTAACAGTAGAATAGAAGGATACTGAAGGAGAGCCACTGATACTGTTTTTGCCGTCGAGAGTTGAAGAGGGTGGCAAATTATTCTGTCGAATGAATGCGGCCATGCAAAAAAAGTACAGATAGGGACACACTCCCCCCCCAGCCTAGCCCCAAATGGACCAAAGACACCTATATAGGTAGTTATATCGCCAAATAAGGCTAACACTACCTAGTTGGATAACTGTATCGGCAGATACGGCGTTGGCGTTGGCTTCCCTCCCATCAGACCTCCCAGCAATGCCCCCATCTAGTCGTAGAGTCGCTTGTGATAGCCTATCATCGCCCTTGGACTTGGTCCAACTATATGGTACTTATAGTAGCGGCGTGGCTTAGATGCAGCTAATCGGCGGCCTAGGTACGCTCTGTCCGGTGGAAAATAGGGAGAGCGCCGCTTTAGCAGCGCGACACCGGGGTAGAAAGAGTGCGCAATAGACAGAGCGAGTCCTTTGCATTAAAACGCCGGGTTCCTTGGCATAAGCACCAATCCTTTAATTGAGTGTTTGCTTGTTCCTGCTTGGTCGTGCTGCCTGTTATGTAGGCCACTTTCTTCGCTACGCAGCGGCAAAGCGGCCCCCGGGGCGAAAACCAAACCCTGCAAAGTAGACATGATGAGTGCCTCTCAGCGTACCAAGCGAAGTAGAAGCCAGGCTGGCAAGTCTTTTAGAGAGTCCCAATGAAAGAAAGTTACTCCTACAGGCAGCGAGACGATGGTAATGAACGTGTATGGATGAAAAGGGAAAGAACTCTGCTATCTAGTTTAAGGCGCCATGGTTGTCCTGTGAACCGGGGCTCTAGGGGGTCAAGAAGGACGGAGCCCACCTCCTTCTCGCCCCCATCTGCTTTCAATAGTGGAACCGAATTCCGTTCCATCGAATTTATTCTCTCTTTCTCAACTCCTGAGGGCTTCACCGGTACGGCGTCTCGCAATCCCTACTTGCCTGATCGGACTCACTATGTCATCTACCTATCCACCTGAAACCGTGTCGGGGTCTACATTTACATTTATTCCACTCACCGATGCATGGACAGCGCCAGCAAGTTGTTCATCTCTCTACATGGGCTCAGTGGTGAAAGATGTCCTGTCACTGAAAGCACTCAACATGGATATATACCAAATCGCATATACGAACGCATCCTGCTTTGCTCCGGAGTACTCAAGTGCTTACCTCTTGGCCAACAACAAAATCTCAAACCAGCACACCTTTGATGCTATTCTTGGTCCTTTCAACTGGCCGGGAAATTACACCCAAGTTTCATCTACCTTACACAGAAGTTACTCATGGACTACATGCTGCCCTACGTATGTTCCCGACCATTCCTGTGACGAAATTTTCCGGTCAAATTCTTGGGTAAAATGAGAGTTTGAAGCATTAGTACTTCGATGCATCTGACACAATGTTCTCAGTATGGCAGGGGATACTTAGCTTTGATTGGTGGGGAGTGGGAGAGCGAGCAAGCTGCATTTCATCAATCACCTCTGACCGTTCCACCGGAGGTGTCTACACATATGTCTCCGCGCAGGATACAGAGGTCACAGGAACCAGCATCAAGAAATCAACGGTGACGACGACCTTGGATCCTGAGGAGACCGTGATTGTACTTGCAGAATATGTGCAAGGATTCAACTTCGTGTCATCCTCCAATACTTCTCCAGCATCAGCACCAACCGGCTTTACCTCCTGTTCAGAAAATCATGGTCTCAGCAGCGGTGCTCGGACAGGAATTGGAATTGAAGTTGCTTTTGGAGTCATCTTTGTGATAAGCATGTTAGCCTTGTTGTGGTTCCGCCACCGTCGGCGAAAAGGCCTGGCCGCGCAAATGGGGAAGCGACATGGTGAAGGATCCTAGAATCAAAACACAGGGGAATCTGAGCCAGATGGGGTAGGAACTCAGCCTCCGCAAGAGATGCCCGGAAGTGGTGTGCTAGCTCCACATGAACTGGGAAACAGAACCGATCCTTCAGAGCTAGAGGGGTCAAGACAACCGGTACAAGAGTTAGAGGCTGCCGATTTCGAACTGACCTCCGAGAGTGACGCTGGTCATGAAGACGTGAGAGGTGAAGCGGCTCTATTCATATTGAATGTCTCAAAATATCTTTTGGATTCGTTATGATAGGGGTAGCATTAAGTCTTGAATATAATTTTAATATACATCTTTTTGAGAGGCATTCTTCCGCTGGCGATAATCATGCCCCCAGAAATAAACACCCCACATCACAGGGCTAAAAAGAACCCAGATGAAGGCGATTATGGTCCCAAACCACCCAATTCCAATCACATTGATCAATGGAACAGCTCCAGCCACGGCGCCGGCGCCAGCCAAGCATCGGAATAGATTTCGGGCGGTGTTCACAGTCGCGGGTCGATTGACATGCAAGTCAACCAGTAGAGTCGTCAACACACTTGATGCACCGGCAACCAAGTGCGATACGAAGAACAGCATAATTAGAGGGCCAGCGAGGTTTGTATGAAAGTTCATCACCCATCCATAGCCAACAATGACGATCGAAGACATATAGATCAAGGGAATTGTGATTTGCAGCCGTGCCTTTTCCACTGGGATGGAATCCAGCTGCGATTGGCGGTTCTGGACTATCTCCACGCCATGGATCTTGGCAAAACGTCGGAAGTTCCAGTCAATCAGGGTACCAATTGTCCATCGAGATGAAAGACTCCCCATTCCATACGGAATATAGCATAATCCGACTTGCAAGGCGTTAAATCCGTATTTTTCCTGCAGTTGGGATGGGAGGGTGCTCAGCACGGCTGTGTATCCGCAATATAGTAATGTCGTCGAGAAAATAACGGCGAAGGTTTCTCTCTCCATTGAGATTCTGATAGTGTCCAGGGGAGACGGTCGGTGAGGCGGGTCTGGCGGTTTTCCAGCTTCGAGAGGATCGACAGATTGGGATGATTGTTCACCCTTGGATCGGATACATTGGACGATCGGCCAGTTCCATTTCGGCGGTAAGATGGATCCATTCCCAACCACCAAACGGCATGTTTCTGGAACGAAAAAAAGTAGCAAAGCTACCATCACACCCGCAAAAATAACAAGGAACCAGAAGGTGCTTCGCCATGTCAAAAATTGCGTCAGAATACCACCAATGATCGGACCAACAGCGGGACCAACCGTGACACCTAATGTCGAGTAGATCATGTATTTCCCTCTTTCTGCTCGAGGCACCAAATCTGCCGCCACAGCAGTACAGGTAATAGATGCAGTACTGCTGCCGAAGCTTTGCAAACATCGGAGGGTCATCAGGGCAGGATAGCTGCTTTGTAGGGCTAGGCCAATGTTGACGGCCAAGTAAATAACGAGAGCGCCTATTGATGTTGCTCGACGGCCATATATATCTGACATGCTTGCCACAAAGAATGGCCCTACACCTTGGACGATCTACAAAAAACAAAAGTAATGAGTTAGTGCAAAGTTGAATCAATCAACGTCTCGGCCAGAACCTACCATGAAAGCTGTGATGGTCAAATTGATCTTGGACGAGGTCGTCCCGAGCTCGCTGGCCATTTCATTGAGGGCTGGATAATAGATATTCGCCGACACTGGCGACACGAATGTCACCAGTGAGGTGATGGCAATGGTCCATTTTTTGTGTCGCTCCGAAAGAATTGTGAATGGCGCGTCGCCCCCGCCCTTTTCCATGGTCACACTCGAAGACTTGATAAGAGGAATAATTGACAGCCCTACCAGTCTGACAGTGTTTAAGAGATTTACGTGTTCAACACGCGACCTCCTTCCTGATCGACATCATTCCTTGCCCGAATCCGCTGTGTTGTTGATCTGACCCACTTACGCATCATGATCATCATCGCGACGCCAGGGAACAAATTCGCGAGCCACCGATCGAGGCTCAATTTCGAGGCCTGAGCTAATTCTTTGGTCGGAATAGTAAAGAGCTCCTGCAATCGTACCCAAGCCTTAAATCGCCCTCGATAGGGCTGATTCCTGTCAAAAGCAATCCTGCTCTCCTATCCCCCCTATCACCCCCGCCTTACGAACATTTAAAGTGTCTACGCTGAGCTTAAATCAAACTATGCGCCCTATGTATTAGCAAGAGTAATAGCTAGGGCTCGCTAGTCAACAGCCGCCTAGACTCCCCCTATTTGTGTGATTCTTTTTTCTGCCTTGGGATGGAAGATGGATCTCAAGAGCTTTGAAAATTGGGTCGAGTGGGGAATAGAACCTTTCAGATCGCCCATCAGATTTTCCTAGCTTTGTTTTGGCGAAAGATTTACCCCACACCGGCTCATCAAAAAGGGTTCTGAGCTGGCGAAGCTCTCGAACACGCACCTGGTTTCTACTTGCGGTGGATATTGTTCTTCTCGCGTCCGCCATTTGTTCCCGTTCCCAGCAAGCCACGCTCTCCACGTCACGAAGACAGGAGGGGAGGGATCGACTATTGACATGTCTCTGTCGTGAATATCATTGAGATAAGTTGCTATTTGGAGGGATGTGAGATTGAACAGGCTACCTGTCGAGCTGAACGTTGAATAGAGTCTGTGAACTCATTCATGCCAGGATGAGATGATATTTTCAGCTTTGGTCCACGCCGTGCCGCACTCTACATGCAACCGGTTGGGCACCACCAAAGCCAGTCTCAGGTAGAATACTGGTGTGAGATTCCACTCAACCGTCGCCACTTATTGCAATCACCCGCCATCTATCTCCAAAGAAATCGGTATCTTTCGCCAAAATCCCGACATTCTGGCTCCGCATGTGGGTTCGACATTTGGTGACAGGAAACCGCACAGAAACAACGTCATTGTTTCCCCGATACTCCACCCCCAAAAGCTCAAGTAAACCCCGGGTAAAGGATACAGACAAGAGGCATGCATGGTAATGTGTAGGTTGTGTAGGCCTGTTCTAAAAAGCTTTATGAAACTACTAGTAGGAGCATTTGTTTTGAATATATACTGCACCGTAAATTGGAACGAAAAAGGTATAAAACGAAACAGTCGCCATTGGTAAGAATCTGTTTTCGACATTCATAATTCACAATGAAGTAACCCGGTTTTGTTCTCTCAAGATACAAGCCCTCGAGACGGACTGCTTAGTATAGTATAGAAGAATGTATTGTTCTCGTCAATTATCCGCCATGCTCTCGCCTTTCCTACAGGAGATAAAGCAGCATGGCCCATCTACAAGCGCCCGTAACGCTTCTATGCTAATGCTTACTGAAGGAACCGCGAAAAGACCAATATATCATACCTGATTCTCATACAAATGTAATCTTTATTACTACGCGAGACCCTTCTCGCACGCCAGTAAGAGATTCGCAAGCCAGCCTCACGCCTCATCCGCGAACTTCCTTCGCAAAATCGCCGAGTCCATGGTAACCGCTATTGAAGCCGCCCTCGACGCTATCGGGGACACTGACGAGCAGTTCATCGCAACGTCTCTTAAAAAAGGGAACGTCGAAAGCCTCGAGAGCTGGCTCTCTGATCGCCGCCTTCAAATTTTCTCGTAAAAGGCGGGCCTGGATTACCGATCCGATCAACTGTCGTCCTAAACACAGCACCACCTCTTCGACCCAGGACGGAAGCTCGTCGTCAATGCCTAAGTTAGCTAACTTGTGAGAGAATCCGAATTTGGGATTTTGGGATGAGAATGCGAGACAAAAGGAGAGACAGGTACAGAGACAGAGATGAAGGAATCTAGAGGAAATATATCTGGCCGCATTAGGCATCAACTGAAGAGAACACCGACAGAAGAGAAGAGATAGAGACAGAAAATGTAGCATAGCCTAGCAGTAACTAATGAACTTGATAGCTTGTAATACTTCAAATAGCACCCCTTAACTATCATCCCTCGTTACTGGTTGAATGGCTAGGAAAACTTGACTAAAATTGGGCATTACTCATTTTCGCCGAGGTATCAATACGACTAAATAAACAAGAGCACCCACCAAGAATACATTAACACAAATCGATTAGAACACTCCACGATGCGCTCAGAAACCAAAGCAAAGTAAATAAATTACATCCTTGACAGCCTACCCAGAAAAGAACAACCGCCGCCCCCCAAAAAAGGAAATAAAACACTCACGTTGATCCCATCCTAGTCATAACCTAGAAAAGCTAGCCCACCCTTCTCCGAATGCCGAAAGCCATCTCGTGCATAGCTGAGTCGAGCTTAGTCGATCTGCATGAGTTGATGTACAATGACATCGCAGTATTCACTGCCAGGACCAGGGTCCAGCTGAGGTAGCATGTGATACCGATATCATCGGTCCATCGGGGTCGGTCGAAGTGTCGGTGTCGGGGTCGGCCCACCAAGTCCGATCCGATCTGCAGATCAGGGGCTGTCAGGTGGATTTCTTTTCACAAAGTGAGGGCACGTGTGCATGTGCATGTGGGTTTTAATGATACCTTGGGGCATTTGACCCTTACAGTCGAGAACCTTGAAAAGGTGAAAGTTACAATACCAAAATTGGAAAAGGGGCTACCCCTACTAAAGAAAAGATAGATCTAGAAAGAGCATTATTCACATTTCTCATGCTTTTAGGGAATCCCTCTATGGAAAGAACATGATCATCGAGTCATCAGAAAGAAAAGGAAATCCAGCCCAAAACACCACATGCCAATCTTTGATCCAACCAACCCGCGCTCCTAATAAAACAAGTAATTAAAAAGTAATCCCAAAAATGTCCGCTAAACCCAAAGAAAAATAAAATTTATATTGGAAAACTCCTGGGCGGCATGGACGGGTGTTTACTCGATCCCGAGATCCGCATCCAGATCAGCCGTCAAACCGGGCCGCGATTGAGCCTCGGTAGAAAAGGGATCGGCACGTTCAGACAGATGCGCAAAATCAATGGCCTTGGGATCCGCGTCGAAACCCATGACGTTCACATTATCGACATTGAAGTCGAAAGCGGGGACGGATTTATCTTCTGCGGGGGCGGAAGAGGTAGTTGTCGTAGACTGGGGTTGTTGTTGGGCATTTTCATCGGCAAAGTAGTCATTTCCCGCATCTTCAAAGTTGATGAGAGCGTCAAAGTCGTTCTGTGTGACTTCTGCGTCATTGGCCAGGTCCATCAACTCGGTCAGGCTCAGGTCGGCGTTCAGATCGGGCATGGCGAAGGCGTCGTGGCTGTTGTTGTTGTTCTTGTTGTTGTTGTTGCCGTAGTTGGGGTTCAGGTTCTGAGTGCTGCCGTTTTCGCTGCCGTCGGAGTGCGGGGGTGTGGAGGCGAACAGGTCTTTTGTGGTGGTGGTCCGCCCGCCAGCGGGGGCCTTGGGGTAGGTCAGGTCCGGAATCTTCTGGGCGAGAGAGTCGGGGGAGGAGTGAGGGTGTGGCCGCGGGTGAGGGCGTCGAAGGGGTCGTTGTTTGCGGCAGCATCACTTCGGGCTTGGCTGGCGGAGTTGGAGCTCCGGGAACGTGAAGATTGAACGTCCTGCGGGGCGACGGTGAGCTGAATACCAGCTTTGCGAATGGCGGCTTCGAGGAAAGAGGTGGCGAAGTCGGCCGAGGCGTAGATCTCGCGAAGACGTTGCAGGATGCGCATGCACTGGTAGAAGCGTTGGAGACTGGTCATTCGGACGCTGGGGTCGCTGGATTTGATGTCGAGCAGGTGAATGATCACAGCTGGCAAAAGCACAGTCACGCCAGTGGTCGGGTAGTAGCGAGTCAGGTCCAGAAGGTGCAGGTCTTGGGCAATGTTGGTGATTTCCACAGCGGCGAAGCGGACCTTGTTGCGCGACATCTCCTGCAGCTCCGCGTCCATGCATGGGTAGGGGATGGCGGGAAGAACCTGCGGGCGATGGAGAGCACTGGACGTGGTGAGGTAGACCATCTTGAGCAGCGCGCGATGCGAATGTAGGACCTCCTGGGCCTCGGAGAGCTTCGCGCCGCCGGAAGGCGTATATTGGGTTTCGACGGGAAGATTGGCCAGCCAGTCCTCCAGTTCCTGATCACACCGACGCACCTCGAAGGACTCTGCAGTCGACTTCTTCGGGACCAACATCATAGTGGTTTCCATGGTGCCGCCGAACTTGTGACTCAGGACCGAGTACTGGGCTGAGAGCACATGGCTCACGCCCAGACAGAGCTTGGCTTTCTCGATGAACATGAGCGCCAATTCACGCTGATGATTCACGTTTTGCAAGATCTCTGAGTTTCCGACCATATTCACGATTTCTGGCGAAAAGGACTGGAATTCAAAGTCGTCCAGGGTCAACATGGGCACATCGCAGTCGTCATCCTTCACGCGCATCGGGCGCCGCATGCCCAGGGCAATCAATCGATCACGGGTATAGGTGCTCCACCAAATGCGTTTCCACATCCGCTGGCGGCGCAAATCCATCCGCGAGTTACCGGGATCACGGTGGAGACCAATGGTGTGGGCCAGGGAGAGACTCACGCCCATCCAATGCCAGGTGTCCTTCTGGTCATCAGGGGTTTCATACCAGTAGGTCATCAGCAGGAGCGACTGCACAAGGGAGATACGATCCACTTCATAGTCGAAGTCGTACAAGAGTCGAGCGCGTTGGAAGAAGATCTTACGGGCCGCTTTTCGAGTCTGATAGCCGGCGGCCTGGAGATGTTTCATATCGACAAAGGCCATTCCGGCGAACATGACGGCCTGAAAGAGGAGCAGACTGATGCGGTGGATGCCGTCATTCTGCACGATGGTCTGCAGGAACTCCTCGAGGTCCAGCAGGGGCATATACGTATGAACATAGTGGACGTAGGCCTTGAGCAGTTCGTTTCGCAGAGTCACGTCGGGGATGGACAGAGCTCCCTTAGCGGCCAGATAGTCGATATCCTCCTTCTGCAGTCGGGCGGGCAGACCGCGGATGTAGTCCGGGAGAAAACCACTGGCGGCGCGGGGGCTGCCAAAATTGGGATCGAGCAGTTGTTGGATTTGTAGAGTGGCATTGGCCAACGGCATACTCGAAGGGACGGCCGGGTTAGGAGCCATGCGGCGACGATAGCGATCGTCGGAGCCGATGCGATGTGCCTGCGATTGGTCTGTATATTGTTAGAATGGATGATTCGAATAGTATGAGTTTCGAAGAGTACGCACACAGCAGATGCGGCATGTGCTGGCCGTGGTCGATATCGACCGAGGCCTGCGAGGGCGATGTGGGCGCCATATCAGGCAGACCGTGCATGTCGCCGAGTCGCAGCGGGTTTTCCTCCGAGGCCTCGGGCGACTGGGAAGGCGCCTCGACTTCAGCACGCGACTTCCTGCGCGGGCTACGTTAGTACACCATTATCTTCTTCTCATTTCATTTCATTCATTCTTTTCTTTCTTTCTTTTTTTTTTTGGCATAGATTGACGAACTTTCTGCGTTTGCTCTCGGTGACGATACACTCGACTTGGTCCAGCCGACAGTTGGTACAAGGAGACCCATTTTCCACGACGTCACAGCGCACCTTGCGCGCACGACAGCAGCAGCAGGCCTTGGAGGCACGGCGCTTTACCGGGCGACTCGCAGCCAGGCCGGCGGCGGAGGCCTTGCGTTTCCCGGACTCTTCAGTCATTGTCGCGGTGGCACTACTCATGATGGGACCGGGGGCGAATGGGGGACATTCGACAGAAAAGAAAACAAAGAAACAACGAGGGCCACGACGGGCAACAAAGAAGGGGAGAGTGGAGAGGGGACTGAAGACGTTCAAGCAGCGAGAGGCGCGCGTTGGCGGGGAGGCGTGCATACTTAAGTACTAGCATGTCTTTTTTCTCCAGGCCTGCCCCGGAAGATCCAGAGCCAAATTACCCCGAAAACCGCGGTGGTGATTGGCGCATCCGGGGCCGCATTCCCCACAGAGGCATTTCCTCTACTCCACAGCGTCCACTCGTGCCTGTAACTGACTACGTCCACTAGTGTTCTCCTACAATCGTACTCGATGCCACTGCGTCATCCCCCTAAACCGGTTAGCGCTGCGCTCGGCCCGGTCACGTTGCTCGCGTGCCGTCGACCCGAGATGGTAATACAGTAGACATATAATATATTCTTTATAAGATGTATATGATGTGCACCTGAAGGAAGATCATGTTGAAATGAAACCTTTTGTCTCAAGTTGTCAGATCTTATTTCAAATTGCCAGCGTGCAAAAAGTGCAGAAACTGGGAGGTGGATCCGCATGTCATGGAAATGGGGTCGGTACGGTATCCGTGACAATACCGTACGTGGCTACCGTCGGCTATATGGATGTCGCCAAGGGGCTTCTGGCAAACGTTTGTCCGCCACTGGACCAATCCTCGAGTACGAGCATATTCGTGAATGTTATTTCTCGCCAGACAAAATATCATATTGCGAACCTCTTTATTTTATCAACAATAACACTGTCGCTGATTCTGCAGAAATTTCACAACCCCGAAATACGCCGACCCAGACCCGCGGCCCAGAGGACCAGGGCAGATCGCGCCGCTAGTGGGGTTTGGGGCGGAGGAGGGCCTCTTTTCGCAGGCCAACCGGTCCGGCCGGCCAGAGGCTTCAGGCGCCGATGGCGGAGAAAGAGCGGGACCCCGGGTGGAGCGGCTGGTCGCAAGCTTACCTTTTTCGGGGGAGGGTTTTGGATCTGCGCGTTTTCATTCCGAGCTGATCCTCACCCGGAAACAAGGCCGACACCCTCTGTATATACACGTGCTGGGTATAAAATAAGAGAAAAAGTGGATTATTGCAGCAAGGAGATATACTCTACGCTCACCTAAGGTACTACAGAAGTAGGTGATCATATTTAGATTTTATTAATTTTTAAAAAAGAACACAGAATGATACCCCAATCGTTCCAGTGCCCATTATTAAGAGGGCGGGTCTGGAATGCAACCCGCGGCACGAGCAGCCTGTCTCACACCCCAGACACGAACACCAACGCCAACGGTCCTCGATGGAACTCTCCACACAATCCAGAACCTGGCCACAAACGAATGCCCCTAATAGGCCCCGCAACTGCCGACTACCGGAGGCACTTACCATATTGTAGTATGTTCACGAAAAGTTTAAAGGCCGTGTGGTCCGGATCGATCAGCGACCTAGGCATGGACGAGACTATGTACTCCAGGAGAGAATAACAATTCACACAGTCGATCGAATTGTGCAATCTTCCCACCTAATATCCGAGGCCCCGGCACGCTGGACCTTGGTGCACGCTGATCACCATCTGGACTCACCTGCGACAAGTGCCGATCCTCGGAAAAAAAAGGGGTGTATACATACTCCATTACACACAGTATAGCGCAGGGCAGGCAGAGCAGTCGATCACGAACATCATCTAAATCAGATCACGTTTCGACGGAGATGGCATTACTTCCGTCCCCCTGAGTAGATCACTCCACTGAGGCTCATAAGCGAACCCGCCATTCATCATCCTACCACAGTTCATCCTAGGTACCATCGCCAGACGAATCCAAAAACCAGACATGACGAAATTCCCAAGTGGGTGTGGGGAGCCATCGAGGCATCACGAGGGCCCGTCGGGGGATTGCGGGGGCAGCTAACTTTGGTCAGCTGCGAGCGAATCAGGCCCGTGGGAAAAGGCTCGCACTTGGGCCTAGGGATGAGTCCACACGAATCACGAATCGGACATTCGTCAGGTCCGAGTTTTCCACAAACTGTCCCTAAACACACTACGAGGGACTGTGGCTGCCAGCGGACAGTCCGGGATGGTTCCGAATTCGGCAGAACATGTCGTGTCCTCAATAATAACACTTTGAACCACTCAGTAAAACCATAGGGTACTATCGCAATTAATGCGCGACATACTGCAACTGTGGCTGGGACAATCTATGCGGGTTCCATGCGGGATTAACAGGAACCCACATGACAGTACATCGCTGCCTTACGGACTAAGAGTTGACGCCTGCGCCACCTCTCTCGAATGGATTGCTCCGCAACCCTGCAGGAGCTGGAGCTGGACCTGTAGTCTGGCCGTCGCAGGAGCCGAACCGAGCTCTGGCCAGCAGTGCTTGCCGAGTGGCCTCCCGACAGGATCAGCCTGGTCCAAGCCGTGTTTCCGCACACACCGTGACGTTGGACACGCGTATAGTCCGCAGCAGTAGAACTGAAGTCGAGATAACTCTCTCTAACGGCATAGGCCATGACATGCAGTGTCGGGAAACCTTAGCACAGAACGAGACAGAACTGCAGGAATGCAGAGTGTTCCACCATCGGGCATCGTGCCGGTCGCAGGCAACCCCGGACATGTTCCAAAGCGTAACTCTACATCTGTTGAACCTAGCGTGGTTTCGCAATACGGCCGGAGCTCAGCCTGGCTTGACTGTCAACCAGCGCCAGTGGGACGTTCCTTGCCCAGAGCAGCCAACAAATCACGAGGCGGTGCTTGCTGATTAATCCTCTGTGGCTTGACGCCTCCAGGGAGGGGGAATATTCCGTCGGACTCTGATCCTGGTGGTACACCCCACGTTTTCATCGGAGGAAAGCCGACGATCTCGTCCCAGCGCGAGGAATCCACCTGTCAGCGTGGTTGGAAATGACCGTGCGATGGTTGCACCTCCCGCTAGACACGAACGGTGTAGTTGAGGAAGGCCAACAGAGCACCGGACGTGAAGCTAGAGGAGGGGCAAATTCGTCATGGCGCATTGCCGCCCCCCCAAGCCAGGCCAGGCGGCGCTCAAGCTTACTCCAGTAGTCCGTAGACAAGACGAGTCAGATTGGGAGAATTCTGCAATCTCATGGACTCGCGTGACGTGCGATTTGATCACCAAAAATGTATTGTCGAGTTGGTAATACTGGAACCCCCCACCACCCTAGCGACAGCAAACTTGGAACTGGGTCGGACGAAGGGGGATCGGACCAAATTGGGTAGAACCCTCCGATCTCCGGGGCACTCGGCACCCCGCGAAGACGCCGCGAATCCCGGGGTTGGTGGGGGCAATTCCGCAGCTCTGGGAATAGGTTGCCTCGTGGGTTGGCTCGGTCTCTAGTCGGGCCTAGATTTGTTGCCATTGCTACTTTGTAAATAGTGCAGATGATGTGCAGAGGGAAGTGATTGGACGATGCGGTCGACTTTGGCTCGTGACACAGCGGGGAGGCCTCAGGCAGAAACACGCAGGTGATAGACAATCTTGGCACGTCATCCTGGTTGATTTGCATGATCGACTCTGTACATGCTGAGGATCATCATAGATTCGATAGACAAGAATCAGCGACAATTGAAGTGCGTAATATTCACTGTGATCTCACAAGCATAGTGGCTGCTTCCCCCGCCACAGATCAGCTGACCTCGTATCAAATCTACTGCAACCTCACCTCAACTCAGCAGCCTAAACACAACGTCCAAATCGCCAACAATCAACACATCTCGCATACCAAAACATTTTAGCCCACTTCAATTGCATATACACAGAACATCGCCATGAAAATAATCATAATCGGCGCCGGCATAAGCGGCTGCGCAAGCTACCTCTCCCTCCAAAAACACCTCCCCCAAACACCGGGATCACCACACAGCTACGCAATCTACGAAGCCTACGACACAAGTCGCGACACGACCTTCCGCGAACGGCCCGCAACTGACGACACCCGCTCCGCAACCCTAGTCGTCGGCGGCGGTTTAGGCGTTGGCGCCAACGGCCTCAACGTCCTAAAACGGCTTGATGAATCTCTATACGCAGACGTGGTGGCGGGCGGATACCCGTACTCAAACTTCAAACTAAAGAGCGCGTACGGCTGGACGTTGATGAACGTCGAGGCGACGGCGGATGTAGATGGGAAGATCATGAACTCGGTGTCGATGAGTCGGCATTCTATCTGGCAAGCTCTCCGGGACCGGATTCCGTCTGATGTGATTGTGAATAAAAAGATTTATCGTGTTGTTCTTAATGGAGGGGCCTCCGGTCGACATCTTATTACTTTTACGGATGGGAGTGAGCCTGTTGAAGCGGATTTAGTTCTCGGTGCTGACGGGCTGAAATCTACCGTGAAACGCGCTCTTTTCGATGCCGAGACGGCGGAAGATGATCCGTATCCGCCGCAGTATGAGTAAGCCTACCCTCCACCCATTGCATCAACTTCACCATGAAGATACTAAATCCTTACCAGAGGCCTAACAGGAGTGGGCGGCTTCCACCCGGTAACACCCAGCCTCCGCGCAAACATTCCAACCAGCTCAATGACAATAACATTCGGCGGTAACGGCTTCTTCGGCTATGTCTACTCGAGCAGCTCCGAAACCGACAGCTCCAGGACATCAGCCTACAACATGCCCTCCCCAGGAAACACAATAACCTGGTGGTCAACATATGGAGCCGAGGACTGCCCCGAGCCCAAAACAGCTGACAAAGCGGCCATGAACGCAGACCTGAAAGCCAGACACGCACACTGGAAAGACCCCGTCATCCAAGAAATTATCCGAGACGTTCATGTCGAAACGATGTGGCCAACCTGGACGACGCCGGAACTCCCGATGTGGGAAAGAGAGGGAATTGTCCTGCTTGGTGATGCGGCGCATGCATTGCCGCCGACGTCTGGGCAGGGGTCTGCGCAGGCTTTGGAGGATGTGGAGTGTTTTTCGCTTTTTTTGAAACATCATTTGGAGCGGGTATATACTCAAAACCCAGCTGGTGATGGACAGGGAGTGAGTCAGGCGGAAAGAGAGGCTATCCAGGTTGCTGCGAAGAAGTATATGGCTTTGCGGATGCCGCGGGTGAAGGCTATTTTGGATGAAGCGAGGCAGAGACAGCAGGGCAAGAAGAACATGAATGTTGTTCAGGAGTTTGTGATGTACCTGATTCTGTGGTTGGTTGGTGAGTCTAAACCAGAGGACATTGAACATGGAGGGAGGGCTTTATTGGGACTACTAACCTTTGGATGAAATAGGTTGTTTTGCGCCTGCGAATCCAGCAAAGCCTATTTTGGAATATAACATGGCGGAGGAAGTGCGAAAGGTACTTGCGGAAGAGGACAATGAGACCAAATAATACACCCCAACGTTAGGTGACGGTAAATTGAGCGCCGAAAATGGCTACATTCGAACGCCATTTTAAGCGTTCATTTTACCAAGGTCTTAGTCATTAACCTATTACGTGGATTGAGATCACTCATGGCTACTCAGGGATCAGCTCTGCCCTATCCAGATTGCTCCGGTTAGACGATCAGGTATGTCATCATTGTCACTCTTCTCTAGCATCCGCTTGTAGCTGCTCGTCCAAAAATGAGACGATGGCTTTGTCAGATGTTGGTTTTCGACTTCAATACATAAATAGTCCATGCTCTCGCCTGCTCGTAATTTCTCTTTAGAGCCATTCTCTCAAAACACTTTCTTTCAATCATCATATCCTATTGCCTTTGGCTGGGTCCCTCCCTTTCGTTCTCTTTGTTCTGTTCGGTTACAGTGGCTTTAGTATTCCTCTTGGGACCCCTTCTTTTTGCACTGCCAGTTGTCCTATTCCCTGCCATCTTCCTCATCAACATTTTCAACTTTCTTCAATCCCTATTTTTCTGTGCAGATTAAGAAATCATCTTCACACTCGTGCTTTCCGTGCGCACTTTTGAAGATAGGTTCAGAGTATCTTATCAGTTAGAATTAAGTTTATGATAGTGAATATTTACTAGTGTTGCGTAAACAAGATAATCCCTTACTATAGTTATTTCGCTCAAGACTACCTTATTCTCTGTCTATTATCTCAGCGTGATACGGGGAGCTATTATTCTAGCGTCAATATTCAATATTTGTCTATTCTTTCGCTGCACCACTGATCAATACTCATTTATTACTAGGCCTCGCCCTTGCCCGCGAGCCGCCCTCCGAGGGCCGGCCGTCCGCCCTCGTTCTTGCGGGCGGAGGGCTGGTAGCTCCTGCCCACGGGCCGGGCGGGTCTTTTGCCCGCCCTCTGAGGGTGGCCCTCGAGACATTTCGAGGGCCGACAAACATGACAAACACAAAAGATCTTGAGATTGCATAAAATATGTAGGTTACGGATGTATCTTTGAGTATTTGGTTTTCATGGGGACGCTTTTAACAGCGTACCGAGTCTGCTGGGAGGCTCAAACGAAGGTGAGAAAGGTAAACCAGACACCGTCTCGCGAAGCAAGGCAATACAAGCTGTGCTGGACTTCGCCGAGGCGTCACAGAGGTTTCGCAGTCGTGCGCCATAAGGGCAGCCTAACAATGGAAACGGCAATTGACCACGATAGGCCGTGACGAGGCTCTAAGTTTATGTCAGGAAGTGGATCACTCTACGTGTACACACTCGGAAATATAGTTGTCGTATACTGCATATCGCTTCGGCGAGAGGACAGTGTAAATGATACCTCCTACTACTACTACTACTACTACTACTACTACTACTACTACTACTACTACTACTACTACTACTACTACCGAGTGTACTATATTACTGCCATCGAGGACTGGCTCCGTTGGGAAGTGGAAGATCCAGATGATGTGGACCCAGTTGATGGAGACATAGATCCGTAGGTGGTCGTGATCAGCGGGGTATGGAACGGATTGGCTGGACCTTACGTTAGCGCATGCAAGAGCGAAGACATTTAGGATACCAAAAAAACATAGTCTAAGTCTGCTGATTGAGCGATTTCAAGGGAGTGTGCCATGTAGGGGGTCAGAAGTCAGCATCGCAGATAGTCCAGGACATGTATAGACAATGGACAATATGAACACAGGAGAGCCAATGCCTGATTTTTTCGGTATCAATTTGAGCCACCTGCCTCGTCTATTGGAAACCCTAGGGAGTATGTATCAGAAGTTCATGTGTGTCGAGTTCGCAAGATCTTATTGCAGCTCCTGACAACCTTGGGTCTCAACAGCAAGAAACAGTGCATGCTGTTGCACGGGTACTCTTCAGTACCTCGCCCTTATGAGCAGGACTTTTTTCAATGAACCCATCCAAACACCATCATTGACCTTTGGTATCCAGTGCCCTATTACAAGCACATTATTGAAGTATATAAGCACCCTCTTCTCCATTGAATTAGCTTTGAATCTGTTGGTATCACCAGCTAGGTACTGTGTACACAGTTAAGTGGACAGTGTGTATGCTCCAAAGCAAAAGTCAATTCTGTTGATAGATGTAGATGTTCAGTCTAGTTCGAAAAACACCCCTAGATCCCACACGCCGGCCTTCGGCGGTCACAACACCGAGGCCACAGCCCAGCGCAAGAATGCGTACACCAAGCAAGGGATGTTATCCATCGGTCGCTAGCAGTGGGTCACAGCCAGTTTGTTCTGACAGGAGAATATATCCCGACAGAATCAGTTCGTGAAGTGAAAGTATGCCCAATTTCATCTTCGAATGAATTGTTAAGATCGGGCATGACGATTCGGATTTGGCGCAACATAAAAAACGAATATAATGAAAGTTCTCATGGATAAATAGCTTAACCGAGGCGATATTTCAATATCGACCGGACGGGACGACCGGAGTCCATCGGATCGATTACTAGTGGTTCAATAAGGGGCGGTGCAACACCCCACCGACTTTGATAGACACATAGGTAACACACTTTAGTAGGAATCAAAAAGCTCTGAATGAGCACATGGTCCACGATGTCTCACAAAAATTGAGAAAGCCAGAGCGTTTTTCTGTCCATGTGATTATACTTGGGTTCTCTTCAGTCTTGACAAAGAGATCCTGCAAAGCGCGGGCCTTCTGCTATCTTCCATTTCAGTATCGAATCACTCAAATTCGAGAAACTTTTCGTTAAGCAGTATTTATATTACTGCCCAATTCATAATTGGATTTGTTAATTGGAGTCTGAAATGTATCAGATGTATGTATTACTAAGATGAGGACGAGGTGAGAGGCGAACATTGGGTTAGATTTCATGAATTCTGTCCCGATAGTCAGCCACAGTTTCTAGCGCAACATCACAGAAAAAATGTGTCTTATATCCGGTCCGGCTGAAATGACCCAGTCTGGGGTTAAGTATAGCCAGGTGTTAATCCAATCAGGAGAGAAAGAAGTTGATTCGAGTACTCTATCATCCATAGACCGCCTTATTCATTCAGGCAATTTTGTCGAAGCGAAGACCCATATGTAGGGTGTCTGCCTGGAGGCTTGCTGTCACCCTCGCTCCACGCTTCTTATTCCCCAGCGTCTTGTGAATCGTTCATCTGCCCGTGACTTCTCTTCCAGTCTTCATAACTCTGATATATGTATTACTGGAGCGCTGGGTGCCTCTGATAGTATGTTTCATGGTTGATTTTACAGACACCATTTTCTTTCCCTTTATGGTCGACGCAGAAAGCTCGATTACATAGAAGACATGGTGGAAGATATGCAATCCCATTTGAGAAGACTTTCGATTTCATGCTGTAGATAAGGAGAGGTTGACTTTGTTTCGGGAGCAGAAAGAGACTAAATCAGGGCGAATTCTCGAATATCACCTGTCAAGCATTGTATCACAATCTCAGTGAGAGAATCTCATGCCATATTATCAGGATGCAATGTTTTCATAGGTTTAATCCAGCGCCCTCTTTGTTCCCCAGTTTGAGAAATTCTTCCTTTCTCAGCTCGTTTTCAGAAGCAGTTTCCAAGATTCTCTGGGCTGCCATCAACATTTCCTTGTACTCTCCCCAAAGATATTGAGCTTCCTCTGCTGCCTCCTCTCGGGCCTCTTCCTCAGTCAGTCCGATAGTCTCTGCAGACTCGAGGGCCTCTTCTTCTTCGGCCTGTGCGTTCAACTCGTCGATACGCTTTTGCTCTTCTTCTGCCTTTCTTTCTGCTTCTTTGTCGATTTTCTCTTCGCCAATCTTCTCTTCGCCAATCTGACCAGTCTCGGGGTCATGGAACTTCCTCCAGCGTTCGATTCCAGTCTGATTCCCATCCTCGTCATAAATTGGTCGGGTGAACGCATCAGGGTCAAATGTTCTAGTTTCACCTTCTTTCAGGGGCTAGATCAATGAAAGTTTGGTTAGCTTATATGAAGTCAAATTTCGCATCAGCCACTTACGCCTGCGCCGAAGAACTTTCTAAAACGGGTAACCTTAAATCCGGTTCCACCGTACGAAACAACAAGTGCTTTGTCGTCCTGAGAAAGTTAGCGCATGACCACATTGGCGACTTGGTAATACACACCTCTGATGCCTTGTATACAGTCCATCCCTCGCTGTTGGTCTTTACTGAGGATGATCCACTGCCGCCACCATTTGCAATACCAGTAGCTCCAACGTTCAGACCACCGCTCGTATCGCGGTCATGGGCACTTTCCATGGTTATCTTGCATTCCTGAGTAGACCAAGTCTTGGAGATCGCCCACAGTCCGTACTCTTCAATTTCCCTTTTGTGCGGACCGTTAACAAGAGTCTTGGCGTTACTCTTGACCCATTCCGCTAAGACACTTCTTGAGAAAAATCGGAATTTCTCATTCATAACTGCACCCTCAGCCACGAGTGCTGCCTTTCCGGTTTTGCCCCATTTATTTTTGGCCTCGGCGGAGATATCAATAGGGGCAGCGGACAGGGCACCGGAGAGACCTGCATCGAGTCCAAAGCTATGCGCAGCTTCACTTCCCGAAGATCGGGTCTTCCATCCCTCTTCACGAGAAGGCATTCGCTCCAAGGCGTAACCATATTCCGTGAATTTATCATTCTTAGGGAGTTCAGGGTCTGAAATATCGGTGACCTTGTGGAAAGTTCCGTGATTGTCGAAGTACCCAATTGCACCGGGGTGGCATTCAGAATATGGCTGAGGTCTGAAGAGATAGTATCCCTCGCCATGGCTCTTCATGAGCGCTGCATATTCATCATGGGGACTGGGAGCCATTCTTGCTCTGTGATTCAAGTCCAAGCTGCCAAATTTTTATTATCATTATCTCTAACAGGGGCGAATCACTTAAATAAACTTGTGATGTGGGTGCGTGGGTCAATGTGTGTCGAATTATATGTATGAGTAGCCCAAGTGACGACCGTGAGAGATTTCTCGGAAGTAGGGTGGGCTGCATGCACATAGCTGAAGACAATCTGTTCCTTTGGCTGAGGATGTTCCTCTTGGCACGACGATCAATGGATCAATCTCAGCCGTCGTGCCCTTCATGCCCATTCATGACATCAACCCACCCCACATATCGACCCGAAATCTTGGTCCGCCGTGCACGAAAATCCGAAAATGGTTAACGGCCGTGTCAATTACGATTTCTTGGTTCCAATTAGAAGATAGGTGAAGTGCACGGATTTAGTTACAAAAATACCGCGGGGTAGATGAGGAAGGCGAATATTGAGTTAGTGTCACTGAGAGAGGGCCGTAAGCACTGCTAGTAGAACGGCTTCCACAGTATTTGCATCATACCAGCCGTCCCCGTTGTAGTAAAGTCGGGAGGTCGCGAGTTAAGTGTCCTCATCCCATCACAAACGAGCAACAACTTCCTCGGAGATCTATCAACCCCATCGGGTTTGGCGAACAAAATCTAATCCTCAGTCTCCATGCTGATAGGATACAGTGAACTTGATAGTTCTCCTGCGCCAGACTGAAAACATTACCCCGGTTCCACCTCCTTCAACCCGCCGGGTCCTCAAAGTGGGCTGGGGCGGCGAATTCGCTTGTCGATCAATAATATCACAGAGCCATACCCAGATTCGATATTACCCACTCTCTAGTCATGGAGGAAGGTGAATAGTCAGCCCCACATGGTGGTCCAGCCTGTGCCTGCTTTCAGCCCGGGTCGAAAGGTGTAGCATGTCGCTGAAAGCGCTGGCCAACAATCCTCTGAATGGCTGACCCGGAGGAGCGTTTACTGCTCTACAGCTGAGAACAATGACGGAAGATGAATGTCGACATATAATGTGGTCGTTTGTGAGCTGGTGTTTTACCAGGTCTTTGATGTCAGATTTAATAGTCGTGGAATTAAGGTTGTCTAATTTCATATCCTTTAGTTTGTCCCGGGTCGGGTGTATCCTGCCATAGATCTCTGGCAGGAGCATGAAGCTGTTTCGGGACTTGTTGATCAGACTGCACAGGGAAGGATTGCTGCTGGACAGATTCTTCCGCGACCGGCTTCTCCATAAACACTTCATTGTCACTGGATGGTACCTGGGCAGCTGCCACGGAAGGCGCTTTGTTCCCACTCTCTTACAGGAAAGGAGCCTTTGTAAAAGGATAGAGATTGTTAGCATCGTACTGAAAAGTGCAAAAGTTTGAATTGAGTTACTCTCACAGTCGCCTTTGTCGGCTCTCTATTTTTGCGGGAGTGGAGCTTGTTCTTGAGCTTCTCAAACATCGTTTGGCAAGTCTGTCGAATATGGATAATCCACAAGTCAATTTTGCGGTGCAGAAAGGTACCATGCCGGTTAATCTCGGGTGAAAGAGAAGGAGGGGTTTCTCAAGCTCTTCTATGGGATTCAAAGATCCACAGTTCAGCTGGGTTCACGATTTTCTACTTCGGGAAATGATGTATCGGGGCCCCATATTAATGACCCACGTTCCCCTCCTCTCAGCCGTGCATGTTCGTCCGTTATCCCTCAGCTGGATTCCATTGTGAATCCATGTCTACGGTACCAATCCCAGTTTCCACAATTGTCATGGGGAACATATCATCACTATTTCTGAGACTACTACTTAGTCGACCGTTGGCGGATGCAGCTGGAATCCGAGTAGCCGTACACAATGGGTATTGCTGAAGCTTGGCCATCGTCTCATTTTTTCTTTGCTAGCCCGCTGCGCATTGACTGTGGCTTCACATCGCTGCTGATTGAACCAAGTAGTCAACTGTCGGTTGGTCCGTTCGGCCTCCTCGATGGACTTGATACAGTGAGCGTGAACAATATCAAAAGTTTCGTCTGCATCATCTTGCTTCGCAGCACTTGAGGCGTAGGAAGCTCGTGTCTGCCAAAGAATAGAGAAATGAGAACCGACGCCTTATAATTTCAAAAGGACAAACCGAAGTTTCACGAACATTCATTAACCGTTGCGCTGCTAGTGGAGGATGAAAGCCCTCGTCCCCAAATAAGGTCATAGGGCGCTGCCCGTGATGTCTTCCTGCTCCTATTAGCCGGCGAGCTGCTTTTTGGGGCGGGATTATTTGGTTTCTTGCTGTTGCTTTGGTCATAGCGAAGAGAGACCTGATGAAAGACCAACGCTGGACTGAAGTTTGGGTTGAAAAGTATCTTGCCAGAGAATTGCCCGAGGTGCGAACGTGAACCATTTATTTACTAAGCTCTGAAATATTACCGTACGGAATTTCAAAACGTTCAATACTTCTGCTAAGTGGCGAGCTCTAAACTGTGTTACACGCCCTAAGAAAGTGACTCAACTATTAGCAGTCATCCTAGTAATCACTAAGCTAACAAATATTGCTGCTATTGATCTGTCTTTGTTCGGCTATTTCTAGTATTTATAGTACTAGCGATAGCTTCTCTGTGACCGCAGTGGCTGTCCCTCTAGAAGCATAGCTTATCTCTTAACGGTAATTAACACCGTTTTTGGGCTAAAGATCAGTACAATAGTTCTTTATATATAATATAGAAAGCACTGTGTACTGTACTATAAAGGTCTAATCACTGTCAATCTTCTGATATATAGGGTAGGAGACCTAAAAAATTCCTAATTTCTTTATTAGCGGAATCGGCTTATTCAGGAACTCCGATATAGGGCGATCATATCAAACGACATAATCAGATACAGTAATTGACCTTTTCCTCAGAGCCTCAAGCAAGATACTGAAGTTATGACTCTAACGGCCCAGGAGCGTAACTCTCTACACTCTGTATTAGAAATACTAATTCCCACGTAAGTTTACCTGAGCTATCGTAGGAGGTGCTTGCTTCAGATTGTGAGGTAAAATTAGGTATTGATAATTAATATTGAAGACGATTTAGGCAACATAAAACGGACGCGGTGCTCGCTGAAGATAAGAGCTCAGCAGCCGCCGGCCTCGGACTCCGAGCCGAACAATTAGGGTTGTTGGCCGGCCTCCCCCGCGTGACTGGTCGATTACAGCCAACGTTAGCCGGGAAGGCGAACTCCGATCAAGCAACACTGTTGTTGATTTGATGAATGACCCGAATTACTTCGATAATTCTGGCTGGCTTTGCCCCAATTCAACGGGCAAGAGGTCATTTTCACGCCCCCCGGGGGGGGGGGGGGGGCAATCGACCTCGAAAGTCACAATCAACTCCAAATTCACGAGTGACCAAGCCTGCCGTACAGCGCAGTTCGCAGTTCTCATCAATACATATATCTCCCATGCCGACGATTCTCTTCCTAAAGTAGTCGTTCGCCTTTGATCGAGCTTTCACTACGTTTGCTTTCCCTGTGGCTATGCAACGTGATTTCCTTCGGCGATCATGATATGTCAAAGTCAGATATCACGGCAAATATTGACACCAGGCAGGCCACTTATTATGAGTCCCCTAGACAGGGGGTTCTCGTTGAATCCGATACCCTCCATCGTCGTCTGAATTCTGATATTTCCGAAAGATAAGTACTAGTAGTGAGCATTCAGACGGACTTTCACCAATTACCAGTATCAAGGACAAGCTTTTATGATGCAGTTGCATTCTTCTGGAATTGGAATCCATATCACATGAGAACTTCTATTGCTACCGTAATACAATTCGAGCAATAACACTTTGTGTCTTCTCGTTTTTTAATTGATTTTACAGCGCCATTTACGTCTTATACGTTTCGAAAACTCCCAATGCATTAATAATCCCGCGCGCTTCTGGAGCTATAATGGCTGAAATTTCATTCAGATCTCTCCGAGAGGCTCGTACATTTCAGTCGTACTGATTACTCAACTCACATCATGCGACGACTTTTACCTGCGGGGCCCACCTGTGACAAATTCCATTGGAGGTCAGTCCGAGTCCACCGGAGTCGGACCTCACGCCCGACGAGCGACCGCCGGAAGAACTTGTTGCTGTCGCAAGGAAAATGGGATCTGTCATTCGCGAAAATTATTAATGATGGTGGATCCAGAAATGATTCCTTGAAGACATGCGGTGGAGAGACCCGGCCGCAGACTCTTTGAACGTCCGGATCAAGATCAAGCTTTGAAATCAAATTCAAGTGGACAATGATATGGTTGGTGACAAATGAGTGGCACCAACAAAAACCAAAATGTTATAAACAACTCAATGTAACGGAGACGAGCAGTTTTGTACGTGTGTTTTATGTGTACGACTTCCTATCTATATCTAAAGCTTTCCGACTCGCAATGGGAAAGCACACAATCGCTGTTTTTCCAGCCACGGGAGGAATAGGGGGAAGCACTGTCAAGCATCTTCTACCGCGCTTCCTGTCGAAAGACCTTGTCTTCATCGCTCGACACCCCGAGAAACTCAACTATTTCGTTCCCAAGGCTGTAACACTCCGCCGGGCGGATTATGATGATGATGATAGCCTACGACATGCATTTGACGGACTAGATACACTCTTTCTGATTTCATACGCGTCGGTCGAGCATGAACACAGATCCGAGGTAAGTTTCAATGTCGATACAGCGATGACGGCCCCTTGACAAATTGTTAACAACGGCGGTCGACATAGCGTCATCGATTTGCAATTGACTCAGCGATTCGAAGTGGAGTCAAGTATATCTTCTATGGCTCCTTGGGCTACGGCGGTAATCCAGAGAATAATGAGTCCGTGGCGCATGTCATGCAGGCTCATTTGGACACGGAGAAGTATCTCGAGGAATGCACCCGTCAGCACCCAGATTTCGCTTACACGATCATTCGCGAAGGTCTCTACGCTGAGTCCTACCCCCTCTATACGGCTTTCTTCAATCTGGAGCATCCTGTTGATGAAATTCGTATCCCACACGACGGTTCAGGGCCTGGCATCGCGTGGGTTAAGCGCGAGGAGCTGGGTGAGGGTACCGCCGAGCTTTTGAAGAGATTCGCGCATGATCCGGCTGGATTCAAGTACCGGAACCAGAAGGTCTTGCTCTCTGGACCTAAGGCATACAACTTGGGAGAGACTGTTGACATCCTGGCAAAGGTTACCAAGCGGCCTATTAAGATCCGCCCAGTCTCCGCCGATGAATTCGCGAAACTACCTCAGGTTGTACCCAACTTTACCTATCACGGGGTTGATCACTCCAAGTTGTGGACTACCACTTTCGAAGCGTTTCGTCGAGGTGAAGGGTCATATGTGTCGCCACTGCTCAGAGATCTTTTGGGACGGAGTCCGGAAGACTTTGAGACCACAATCAACTCCAGCTCGTAAAAGCGTGCTGGAGATACTAGGGGAGGTCTAGCATCCACTTGGTTCTCAACAGTTGTATCTTTCCCGACCAAATTGTCAGCGCGCGCGTGATCAATCTAGTGGGAAACCAACCAGGCTCGCGGAAGCAACATAAGAAGACAGTAATTTTTGTCGAGGCTCAAAGAACTTGGTGATTAAGCAAGGTACTTTGGAGAAAAATATGCTACCTCTTTAGCATGAGGCTTGTGAATTTCAAAGGGATACGAGTAGATAGTTAACTGTCTCGCTTTTTAATAAAGGTATATGAGTCCAAATTCCTAGCAGATGGACGGGCGCCATATGCATATCCTATGTATCAGGACGAGTTTAGCTTTCAATCAGCCCACATCAATGCTCAGTTCTACAGAGCACCATCCAATCGTAGAGTATCTAAATAGCCTTACATAAGAACGCAAAATAACTAACGTAACCCACAAGCGAACCGCCCACACAAGCGAACCGCCCACCCCATCAATTTTGATCTGAGTACTATAACCTCTCTTTTATAACCATCCACCATGCCACCAAATCGATCTAGTTCTGCCCGATTTTCGCAGGATAGGCAGGGCAGAATCTCATTAGCCCTGCATGCCATTCAAAATGGTCAAATTACCTCTATTCGCAAAGCAGCACGCCAATTCGACGTCCCCTGGTCCACTCTACGCGATCGCGTCAACGGTCAACAAAGTCGCTCAGAAACACGCGCCAACAACCATAAATTGACAGAAGACGAGGAGAGATCACTTCTACAATGGGTGCTCTCTATGGATTCACGTGGATCAGCTCCTCGGCCTGCTATGGTGGCAGAAATGGCCAATCTTCTATTAGCCGAACGCTGTACGCAGACTGTTGGCGTCAACTGGGTCTACAACTTTGTTAATCGCCATGATGATCTTAAATCTCGGTTCTCTCGAAAGTACAACTACCAACGAGCAAAATGCGAGGATCCAAAGGTCATACGAGAGTGGTTCGACTTGGTTCAACGCACGATTAATGAGAACGGCATCCAACCTGACGATATATATAACTTTGATGAGACTGGCTTCGCAATGGGTCTTATTGCTACTGCAAAAGTCGTCACCCGTGCTGAATACTACGGTCGGAGATCTCTTAAACAACCTGGAAATCGTGAATGGGTCACATCTATCGAGTGTATTGGTGCGTCGGGCTTCAAATTACCACCTTGTCTTATCTTCAAATCCAAGACACATCACCAGGCTTGGTACGAAGATAAAGGGGTAGGACCGGACTGGAGGATCGAAATCAGTGATAATGGATGGACAACTGATGCTATTGGCCTTCGCTGGCTGAAAGATCTCTTTATTCCGAGTACGGCGAGCCGTACAAAGGGTAAATATCGTCTTCTAGTCCTTGATGGTCATGGTAGCCATTTGACACCTCAATTCGACCGACTTTGCGCTGAACATGATATTATACCAATTTGCATGCCAGCGCATTCATCTCATTTGCTACAACCACTAGATGTCGGGTGTTTTGCGAACCTAAAGCGCGCATATGGTGGCTTGGTTGAGCGAAAAGCTCGATGCAATATCAACCATATTGACAAGCTTGATTTCCTTGCCGCCTACCCGCACGCTCGCGAGATCTCATATCACTCGGATATAATTCAGAGCGCATTCGAATCTGCTGGTTTAATACCCTTTGATCCCGATCGGGTTATATCGAAGCTTAATATTCAGCTTCGAACACCAACCCCCCAGGAAGCCGACCAGGAAGCCGATCAAGTGAGTGGAGCCCTACAACACCACTCAACACAAAACAATTATATCGGCAAGAATCTTCAGTCAAAGCTCTACTCAAATATCGATCCGTGAGCCCTCCAACGCCTACAAAGCATGTGGTAGAGCAGACTCTTAAAGGCTTCCATGTCACGCTTCAAAGGCTAGCGATGTTGGAGAAAGAAATCCGGGATTTGCGCGCTGCCAATGAGGTTCGGAAACAAAAACGCAAGAGGTCTAATAAACGCATCGACCGTACTGAAGGCATGTCAATTCAGGAGGGAAGAGACGTAATATTCAGTTCGAACCAAGCCGTTGAATCTCTGGATCCTGTTCATCCAGAACTAGCTCCGGTCGCAAATGAGACTAATACACCACGACAACGGGCGCCACCAAGATGCAGTGGTTGTGGAGGGATAGGGCATAAGATAAATAGATGTCCGAAGCAGTGATATCAATAATTTAATGGCGTTGTGGTTATTTTATATGCAAATCAAAATTATAGGTTGAGATGGGTGGGCGGTTCGCTTATGTGGGCGGTTCGCTTGTGGGTTACGTTAACTTGGTGGCGATAAAAGGACGTATTAGTAATACAGGGCGGGACCTGAGGCAAATCCCGACGTCCCAGCAGCGCCCTTGCGTTGGCTGTGGGAACATACGTTCAGCTTCACGCTTCGCGTGTCAACTTCGCAATATGCAAGATCAAGCTGGTCCGGAGTGCGGAGGATCCTTTCGTGAAGTGCAGGATCCGGAATTTTCACGCACAAGGCCTGCACAACTCAAATCGCTGGGCAGCCGTCGCCGACATGCCTGCGATCGTTGTCGTAGGCAGAAACTGAAGGTAAGGACCACCGATATTCATATAGATACGTGTTCATGGTAGATGTTCTTCTAGTGTGATGTTGAAAAACCATGCTCTCTATGCCTACGTTCTGGCTTTGCCTGTGAGACAACATCGGCTCCGTTGAGGTACGTTGTTTCTCAGAGACCATCATGGCCTGGGTATTGTAAAGAAATTACTTATTCACTACTTATAGAAAGTCTAAACGATCTACAAAAGCTATGGAGGAGCGGCGCAAAATTGTACAACACGTGCAGTCTGATATGCCTGAAACCTCAAGGGCAAGCCCTCGAGGTCTCGATACTCCCCGAGGGTCGTTGAACGTAGCTCGGTCTTGCTCGAATATCCCCTCGGACACTGACATCCAGCCTGACATCCCCCAGCAGCCACCTAGACATGCCCAAGCATCTGCGGTGGAATTGACTGATGAGGTAATTTACTGTTTCCCGCCAGAAACTCGCCTTTAAATGCAGATGTTAACTTGCCGCTAGCTTTTTCATCTACATGGTCAAGGATCGATCAACTCACCTACAACTTACAACAATACTTCCGCCCTTCCTGGTGGGACCTCCGTCGATAGTCCTTATCTGGCAACCGGGCAGATGATGGGAAAAACTAGCCTTTCTTCCCACTTTCCCGGTCTTTGTCTTCCATCCCGCCCAGTCTGTGACTTCCTGCTCCAATCTTACTGGAGATCTGTGCATTGGTTCATGATGCTTTTTTATAAGCCTTCCTTCGAACGCGAGTACAGGCAGATCGTTGACAATCAATACGTGACTGCTCGACAGAAGGGTACAGCGGTGTTAATTCTGATGGTCCTTGCCATAGGGGCAAGGTATGCCTCGGACGACCAACGCTCGAAAGTTGGCATTTCCAAGGAAGAGCTATCCTCTCTCCAGAGAGATATGCTCAACCAGATTCGATTGCACTATTTCGAAGTTTTGGACAGCGGGGGCGTGGAATGTGTTCAATTATGCATTTTGCTAAGCACTTATTACCTTTATAATGGCAAGCCGAATCTAGCATTGCCTATTCTTGGTGCGGGGGTCCACAGTGCGCAGGCACAGGGTCTGCATAAGGAGAGTCTTTGGGGCCCCGCAACTGAGATAGTTCTCGAAGTCCGCAAGCGAACTTGGTGGGCTCTATATGTCCTCGACAGGTGCCTTGAAGCCTAGTAATTGGCCGTTATACTCTAGCTAATCATCTGTCAGGTTCGCTTCAATCACCTATGGTCGGCCGTCATCGATCAATGACGTTTATTGCGCTGTGAGCATGCCACGAGACATGGATGACATCTTGGCTGCGCATCCATTGCTGAATATGATTGAGAGCCCCGCGAGCAATTCCTCAGCCAGAGTCACGCTGGGTTCATACCAACGGCACAAATTCGATCTGTACTCTATTGCAACCGCCGTCATTGGCAATATTCACAATGTGAATGTCTCTGGTTCGGAAGCTGCAATGAATCAAGCCGCCGAAATCAATACTAAGCTGGTGGACTGGTTTGACCGACTCCCTGAGGAGTTAAGGCTGGAGCACAATGCCGATTTGGCCATGGGAAGTTTGACAAGCGCCGAGGTCGAGATCTGCCAGCTATTTCAACTGCAGGCACTGGCCCTTCAGCTGGCCTATGATAATATCCAAATAATCTTACACCGCCCGTTTATTCGATGTACTCGACGCTTACCCGTGTCGTCTGGCTTGCGCGACTCGGATGCGCGCCCAACAAGTTTTGAACAGTGCAGGCACTGCGCTCGCCGCACCTGCAGCATACTACCAAGATATGCTAAAGTTGTCTATGCAGCACAAAACACTCATGCGGTGGCATATATTGCCATGCAAAATTTTACTGCAGGTGTCACCTTGGCAATGGTTGCGCTGTCTGACCCCGGCTCAGAACAGGCTATCGATGCCAAAAGAGGTGTCGCGAATTCAATATCGTTGCAACAAACGATCGCTGCCTCATCCATAGTTCCATCGCAGACGGTCAGTGTCCTCAAAGGGCTCTTCCAGCTAATGTTCAGGCATGAAATGGAGTCATTGCTAGTGAATTCGCCACGATTTTTGAACAGTCCTAGTCCGACGGACGGGCCACCAAACCATGCACGTGAGGCCGACGATCTTCAGGCGTCTGACAGAATGCATTTTTCTACGAATCATCGATTTGATCGAACACTATCGGGTGGAAGCCAGGAGGACTCAGAGCTGCCATCAAGCATCATTGGAACAGACGATAGATCTCAGCTTTCCCTCAGCGGCCAGGCAGCGATGAATCTCGACCTTAGCCAGGATATTCCCATTTCGTCCTTTCATTCGGGCATTGATCAAGCACTAGAGTCGGTGCATCAAGGTACGCCTCCATGTTAAAGCATATCGTATTGATTCTTTGGGAAACGAGTGTAGCAAATGCGCGGAGCTCCCTTGCTGATTGCTGTGGCCTATAGTACTATGGGAGAATTACCATCCCATCGTACATCCAGGAGCTTACGTCCCGGAAACCTCCGGCCCGCAGGCTGATATTTGCGGTCGAGCGAGGCCAAGCGTGGCTGCTGTCGCAGAAGAGAACAATCGCCTTTCCCTGACAAATCCGCTGACTTCCCTGGCTGATCCTGCCAGCCAGGGTTTGAACACCGTGAATGACTCCTTCCTAGGTCAGAGCTGGGTATGGAACCAGCCGGACTGACAGTTTGCGGAGCAGTAATTATGCTACTATGATCCGATCGCTTCATTTCCTTGGTGACTCAACCGAGGCAAATAGAAAATATTTAACCGTTTGATACTACAGTTGGACCATATTTTTGTAACTTAAAATACATACGAATGAATGGCTTCTCTGAAAAAGAACTGATTCCAATACGTGTCAATAGTACAGTATTCATGGATATCGAGCAGAAATTTAGACTAGGGCTAAAACAGATATCGCCATGATACTCAAGGCAGACCCCCATTGACTCAAGTTCAACGAATGAACTTGTCCACAAAATTGGCACCAAGTCCAACCTTCTCATAATGGGCCTTTGCGCTGGCCAGCTTTGAGAAAACGTCCTCCACTCCCAAAGGAACACCCATCGGGTCAACATAGATATAGGCTCCAGTGACGTGGAACAATGTGATCATTTCTTCGACGCCATCTGGCACCTCAAGCGTGTGGATGTCACCAGGGGGCTCAAAAGCATGGCTCCCCTCAGTTGCCCACCAGTCGTGCTCAAGATAATGCCACTTGCCGCGAAGAACCGTGGCGTGAACAGGTCCACAGTGACGGTGACGGGACAAAATACCGGAACGACGCACGCGAATGAGGTTGACGAAATAGCCCTGTGTGACATTGAAAAGGATGGGTCGGAACCAGACGTCCGGGCCTTGGGGAACCCAGAGTCTCTCGTCGAAGTCCAAATTCACAATGTTGGGGACTACAAGGTCCTGAGGAACGTTGGGTAGAGGCTTTCCCTGATAAGGGATAGCCTCCGGCTTGGGTCGATGGTCGGCTGAGGAAGAAGTCATAGTGAAATTGATAACGAGAGTAGAAGGATCTCGTAGTTTGACATGTATTTGCGGGCAGGACAATGATTGCCTACCGGTCAAAATGGTTCCTTATATACTCGGTAATTATCTCGGCCCAGAGGCCACATTGCTGGAACAAGACAGAAGGCATATTGCAAACCGAAAGAGTGTGATACGTTTGAGACACTCCAGACCACTTCTTCGGCGCGTTAGTCCGGCGGAAGTTCGTGTCCAGGACCCACTTCTTTGATTCCGAGTCCGGTGGACGTCCGGCACCCTCGGCGTAACCTCCGTTCAATTCGCTGACGGAGTTATAGAGCAGGTAGTTGATCCCTTCTTCGTTGCTTCCTAGTTACCGAATTCTCTCACTAGAAACTCCGCTTTTGTTCGGAAATTGTCTTCTCATTTATCAACATCTGAGGCAGAAATACACCCCAGATGGCTTCAGCTGCCCTCCGAGATCTCCGATCTCCGTCCATCTCTTTCGGTGCAACAAATACGAAGGGGTATCTCAGAAGTTCTCCCTTTCAGAAGCGCTCGGTGAGGGCGCTGGATACCCACTTAGTCTATAGTAATTTGCCCTTCAATTAGGCCTCGTCCTCACCCGCGGGTGACCCTCCAAGGGTAACCCTCAAACCCTAGTTTTGCGGGTCGAGGGTCTGGTCTCCTTATGAGTCCTTACCCCCAGTGAAGGGTCACCAGTCGAACGACCCTTGGGTGATCAAACAACACAAACAGTCGAAACTCATCACTTATTTCTCCTAAATTGGATATATTGTGACATAAATAGTGCTGAACTAAATATCGTAATAGGGAGTCAAAATAGCACTTGGGGGTTTTCGATTTGGCAATTCCCTAATACACCGCTGCCCGCTAGTAATTCTGCGCCCGGAAGGGATAAAGTTGCAACTATTCCATGTCCACGCTGACGTAAAGTCTTGGTACGTCCACATTTTTTCGAGAGCGAAACAGGAATCTTCAGTGGAGACATTCAACGGGCCCATATCCCCGCAGTAGCAAAGTCCGTCAACAAAATCATTGTGCTAAGAAAAGAAAGAAAACTGGAGCATGGGCTTCCCCAGTATGGCTCTCAAGCTCAAAATTCAGTGTTAATCGTCCACAAATACAACCCTGTGATTGACTAACAGAAGTATAGAATATTGCGTCCAAGCTCCCTAATAGGTAGTGTATCATTGAGTATTTGTAGTTTACCGTACTTATAATCAGTTATTATTTGTCAGACGGCGAGCATTCCACCGTCAACTATCAAGCTCGAACCAGTGACGAAGTTGCTAGCCCCGCTGGCAAGAAAGATGACAGCTCCCCTCAGGTCTTCAGGGGTTCCCCAACGGCCAGCCGGCGTTCCCTTCAAAATAAATTCATTGTAAGCGGAGTCATTCTCCAGTTGTGTCGTCAAAGGGGTACTAATATATCTATTCCGAAATTAGTCTTTGCTTCGCAAAGGAGTTGACAGAGGATTGCAAAAAGAAACCTGAGTGACTTTCTTCTTACCCTGGGCAGACGCAGTTGACTTGAATGTTGTGTGGAGCAAGTTCATTGCTGAAAGATTTCGTCATTTGGATGACTCCGCCCTTAGAGCTTGCATAGGCAGAAACATTGTACATGCCCCGATATGAAGTAACCGAACCAATGTTGATAATTTTGCCAGGAAGCTTGAGATGAAGCAACTTGTTTGCAAATTCTTGTGCGGCAACGTAGGTGGCCTTGAGATTGATGGATATGATCTGAAGTAATTTTCAGCACTTTGACACATCGAAAAAGCACATACATTCTTCTTACGAGGTCGAGATCATCATCCGTGACTTCCGTAATTGGGCATCTTCTATTGACACCGGCGCAGTTCAAAAGGACGGAAGGCATGATTCCTGCTTGCCAGATAGCTTGGAAGGTTGAACGAATTGAAGTTGGATCGGTAAGGTTGCATTCAAACGACCAAAATTTTCGATCAAGCTCAGAGATAGATTTTGACAAGCTTTCGGCGTGTACATCATTGGGAATCTGAATAGAGACAATGTCGGCTCCTGCCATTGCAAGGGATTTACACAGTGTTTGTCCAATGCCACCTGTAGCTCCGGTGCAGATGGCTGTCTTCCCTTGTAGCGAGAACAGTTTGTCGGTGGGCAAGTGATGCATGTCGTGAGAAGATAACTGAGGTGATACACTGAGGATCAAATGACAGTAAGAACAGGTTGCAGTAGACGAAGAGCCGGCTAGAAATCTTGAATGTTGAATGCTCTAATAAGGCTAACTTGCTCTCCTTTATGGTGGAATAGAGTTTAAAGGCAGCAGGAGTCATTCGACACAGGTACAGCAAACAGGAGAGTCCGCCGGACTCTGGTCTGACTTGCTTGTGCTATCACTCACCTTGCATAGGGTTGGCGGTGGGTGATGCAGAAACCTTGTTGCCCCGATGGATATCCACCGGAATATTCTGTCTTCCGTGCGTCAACCCCTGCACCGAGCAAAGCCAGCCAGGAATGCACATCTTAACCGAAAGAATTGGAGACTCAGAATCGACTCAGCCGGACCCACGATCCAGTTCTCATATTCATTTTGCCAAATCATCTCCTGGAATGGAGACGAAATATGCGGAGATATTTTGGAAGACATTGGCTACGCAAACCCCACACCCGGTGGATATTCTCGATGGATTTGGCTACTGTAACTTAGAGAGCTTTCTGGGCAGTTTTTCGTGCCAGAAGCCTCGGAACGTCATTATTCACAACTATTGTAATTATACATGTACATCTAACAACTTGCGATATATTTCAGTGAATTCCTTCTCGCTACCAGTGTCATACATGCGGCCTACATGCTTATTACACTAGAAGGAAATGATTGCAGTGAGCTTTTGTTATGTCGACGAGTACTAGAATTTTCGCATACTTTCATAAAATTGGGCATGCGAGTTCTGTAAAGACTTCTTTCTCCTTAGCCTACAAAAAGGACTTAAGAAATCAAAGAATAGCAAGTGAGTTGCCTAAGCTTGCGACACCACCTGGAGAAAGACGCGAATAAGTATCTCTCAAAAATGGAAAGGCGAAACTGAAACCTACCCCTGCGGTTTATCGGTGCGCTTGTGAACATGAACGAATATCTTTTTCTCTGCTCACATTCAATTGACAGAGCCTATAATCTGCAATGAGCATCGAAAGGAAATGATAGATGAAGATGGAGCTTTTTACCTCGAGGTCAAACATTTCGCCAATCATAACGCCCCAGCAGGCAAGAAGATACTCGTGCAGATACCAGCTTTGGGAAGATGGCCATACTTCAAATGAGGGAGCATCTCCTGCAACTGCAGCGAAATAACTAATTACTTGAATGTTGGCATCTCTTCGGAAAAAAGGCACTGTGATAAAGAATCGAATGTTGGGAAAAGGGGGAACACACGAGTCATGGAGCCACGTCTTCATTTCTTCCGACTGTTCAACCCCAGCCAAAGTAGGATTAGAAGCGGCAGACCTCTCAAGTTTCGCCGGGTTTGACTCTTGCAGCTCATTGTACCGTGACACATAGCCACTTCGGATGATCAAAATGTCCCCCTTTTGAAATTGTGTGCCTTGATAGTTCGCACAGGCTAGAAGCTCATTCAAATTAATTGCGTGGCTCGTCAAGGGGTCATACGGTTTGTTGAACTTTTGCGCATAGCGATAATAGTCGATGAACACGCCGCGACCCACAATACCATGACGTGAGACAACATGCATCCCACATCGATCTGTGAGCGTCACATCCTCTGGAGACAGGTTATTGTAGAGAAATCCGTGAGTCTGATGGCCAAAATGACGAAACCCGTCCCACTGGCTTCCAGATTGGGTGTTCATCTCGAGTGAGTCATCGAAAATGCAATCGCTGGAGGTATTTGGAAGTATCTTGACCTTGCATGGTGATCGATCGAAGTTCGGTTGAGCAGGAAGCTCTATGTTCCAACTAAAACGGTGTTAAACATTGTCGTTAGAAAACAAAATGTAAAAACAATGCATTTCGTGACAGCGTACTTAAGCGAAATAACGCATCCACTCTGAACTTCTTCCTTGGCTACTTTACTGATCAGGCTCTCAGTTAGGAGATTCAGCCGGCCAAGCTTTCCAAGGACAAAGGACAGTAGAAGTCAGCTTCTGAAGATACTAGAGAATGGATTTAGGCTATTACACGATACCTCGTCTTCCGGACCCCATATCCAAGCAACCTCAGGACAATTCGCATTGGCGTTGAGCTTCCGCAGCTCCTTGAGTGAAGGAAGGAAGTTATCGTCTCCGTCAGCCATCTTAAGGTGAAAGTATTCTGGCCAATGAGACCAGCCGGAGTTCCAATATTAGTGAATATGAAGTACCTCCAAAGCAATGGAAGGGAATATGGCTCTTCGTTTAGCAATTGCGCTTGGACTATATATATTCTCTATACACAGATTCTTGGGACGAAAAGCCCATGTACTTAGTAAAGCGCAGATTACTCGAGAAGCGTCTCCAGTATTGCGGGCGCATTTGCCACTGGCTACCGACTAACCCAGGATCATCATTGGAGATGCGGGGATGGCGAACCTTGCACATCTTACCAAAGGTCCGAAGCGAAGCCGGACAACTGTGCTATGCTCAATGTCCGGTGGACAACCAGATAATGCGGCCGAGTCCCACGGATCCCTCTGCAGAACCCCCAGATCTTCCCCGCATAGAATTTAAATGGATTGGGAGAAAGCTAAAGGTTGGAGCAAACCTTAATAATGCACATCTCGCAGAGACCTGTAACACCCGACGATACATAAAATAAGGCTGCTAAGGCCTTGCCTCTATTTCAATATTTTTCTTGTTTGTCAAACAACCTGGTCCTTCTTCTGAATCTATCTAGCAATATCCGGTCTGTGTACTGAACCATGCTTCACAAAATCGTTGTAAATGCCTACAATTTTTGGGTTGTGACCTTCGTGGCCATTGGCACCATTGCAAGTGCTTACGGTCTGGCTATCATTGGATCGACCGTCGGACAGCCCAATTTCTATACCTACTTTAACTTGCCCACGCAAGGCGAGCCAGGGTATACGCACACAACCAACATTATCGGCGCTCTAAATGGCATAAACTCGGCCGGAGCAATCTTGGGATGCCTGGGACAGGCCTGGACTGCAGATTTCTTTGGTCGAAAGCGGACTATGCAATTTGGATGCGTTATCCTGATAATCGGTGGTGCGTTATGTGCGGGTGCGGTGAACATGGGCATGTTTCTTGCAGGTCGCTTTATCGCGGGCATGGGAGCGGCCGTCTTGGCTTGCATTATCCCGATTTACCAGGCTGAGGTTTCAACGGCTGAGACACGCGGTGCAATGGTCTGCGTTACTGGAATTATGTACGCCGTCGGATATAGCTTGGCAGGCTGGTTTGGTTTCGCTTGCTATTACATGAAAGCGACCAGCCCGTACGCAGCTTTCGCCTGGCGGTTCCCGCTGGCCTTTCAAGTCACCTTTCCTCTAGCCGTCCTTGCGGGAAGTTCATTTATTCCCTTCTCTCCTCGCTGGTTATTACAACAAGGACGGCGAAATGAGGCTTTTGAGATTGTCCAGCGCTTGCACAAAGCGCCGGATGACCCCAACGACGTGAGAGCCAAACAAGAATTCCTCTTGATGGAGAAGCAATGCGAGCACGATCAGTCGATAGTTATCCGTCGATTCGAGATTTTTCGAACCCCCGCAAACCGCCGGAGAGCCCTTACTGCCTTTTTACTCATGGCTGGCGACCAATTCCTGGGCATTTATGTCATTGCTAACTACGGTGTCATTATCTATGGCTACCTTGGTTTAACCGGCGGAATTCCACTCCTCCTCAACGCATGCTGGACTACTTTTACCCTTATTGGCAACACCTGGACCGCCTTTTACTTGGATCGTGTGGGCCGTCGGACTTGTTTGCTTCTCGGGTCTATTGGCTGCACTGTGTCCGCAATTTTCCTTTGTGCTCTGTCAGCCGAATACTTAGGCACGAGCGTCAAGCAAGGCCTGCAAGCAGCAGTTTTTTTTGCATTCTTCTACATCTTTTGGTGGTGCTTCTTTATGGATGCGACGCAATATGTCTACGTGACAGAAATCTTTCCGAATCATCTGCGTTCCCAGGGGGTGGCAATCGGCCTCAGCACCTTCTATCTCACTTCTGAAGTCACACTGGTCGCTGCACCAGTGGCACTCAACACGATCGGATGGAAGTTTTACCTGGTTTTAATTATCCCTTCGGTTTTCTACATTGCAGCGACAGCATTGTTTTGCTGCATGGATGGTACGGTCGCCTTTCTCTGTAGTGAGACAGGTCTAGAATGTGACGAGCTTCTAGATCAATTGTGGCGTGTGCCTCGCCTCATACCGCCTGTCCTCATATGATCTGATCGATCGATAGTTTCGGCTGGTGGAGTAGCTGCTCTCGAGGGAGCAGATCTGTAAACAAGCTACCACGACCTCAATAATGAGTCCAGCCAGTTCATTAGATGTCGAGTTGAAGTTCAGGCTGGGGACTAGTATGTGGTGACTGCAGTATGTGCCGACCGTGGCCTTACCTGGTAAATGCATGAACTCCAGAAGGACCCACGGGGAGTAAGCAGTGCAGTATGCAAGTACACGATGGATTTGTGGTTGGGAATGAATTCAGGGAGGATTAGCCAGCATTCGAATCGAGTTGAGGTCGGTATCAAGACCCCAATGAAATAAAGTGATCGCTGATCTGTTCGGCCTCGACTCTAGAACCGGCGTGTGGAGTGGGCGTCGAGTCTAGACCAGCCAGGTTCCCAAACAGGAATCCCCCGTTGGTGAGGATATCTCTTCCTTGGTCGGATGCTGGCTGGGCAGAGCCAGTGGCAGGCGCGAGGTGAGTGTTCCCCCCTGACGAGTACGCGGCCGTGCAGTTGCTCCGTGCGCTAAGCACCGTCCAAGTTGCAACGTGAACTGCAGTTCGCTACTTCTCCCCTATTCTCATCCAGCTGGTCCTGAAAATGATGAAACTTTAGGATCAATGATCCATGAGCATCGCATTGCAATCTTCGATGTTCATCACGTCTCTGAATTCTCACTTAACTGTGACCATATCCAAGCTGGCTCAACCAAGAAATAGGAGTAGACAGCTCTAGTGCCAGCTAGCCCAGCCGATCGCAACCCGGAACGGCCGCGGTGGAGTGCGCAGAAGCGTGAGCTAGCGCCCGTTGGGGACTAGCATTGGCGCAGAACTGGGCAGTCTCTTGTCAGGGGACGATTTTCCTCAGTGGTTCGCAGGCCCACCACCCCAGGCCGCCGCCTCCCCTCACATTCGAACCTCTCCAACCTCCAACCTCCCTCGGTCAATTCTCGTCGTTCCTTTGTCCTTTAATTCTCGTTTTCTGCTTTTTTGTTGCTTTCTCATTCATCACAGTCGCTTGTGCTATTTTCTTCATTCAATTCCTGCTACTCCGGATCTGCGTTGCGGAAATCCTACAGAGCTCCACCGGGAGGACCGTTCACTGTTTCAACATCGCATCCACGCCAATTGATTGAACGACAGCTCGCGGAGTATACCTAGTGCCTCGTACGATATTCAATGAGGATTGCATTCGCCGGCTACTAGATCCGTCCGTCCGGAGGATCATGCGTCTCTCACCATGTCTGGTCGTTGCCGGCCTTTCGACGAGCGTGCACGCTTTTTATCCGTGGGAGCTTAAGATCGCAACGGGCGCGAGCATTTCATCCAGGCAAACCGGGTTCCGTCGATTTATGCCATGGAGCTTAATTCCGGAAGAATCAGAGGAGGAGGAGACCGCGCCGTTGACGCTCGACATCAAGAAATTCCGTCGCGACTATTCCATCGTCGAGTCGGAGACCCCGACACTAAAGAACAGTGCTGCGTTGGACCAGGATGGCAAGGACTTTTCCTACTTTTCGGTGGTCAAAGTTGGCTCGCAGCAGCAGGAAATGTGGCTGGCGTTGGACACGGGATCGCCGAGCAGCTGGGTGTTTAGCTCCAAGTGCATTAGCGATACCTGCAAATCCCATCATACATTCGACAGTTCTACCTCCGACACCTATTATTCCAACAGCTCGACCTTCAGTCTCGGGTACGGCAGTGGACAGATCCAGGGGGATCTCGGCCAGGATACCATGTCCCTTGCCGATCTGGATGTGACGCTGTCATTCGGATTCGCGACCTCGGCCACCAAGGCGTTCAACAGCTACCCAATCGATGGAATTCTCGGCCTCGGACGATCGTATACCAACGGCTGGGAAATTCCCTCGTTCATGGACAAGGTCGCCGAAAAGGGCCTGATCAGTTCCAACCTTGTCGGGTTCAGTCTGTCACGGGCAAATGACAACAACAAAGATGGCGAGGTTAACTTCGGGACCGTCGACACAACCAAGTACGACGGAGACATCACCTACACCACCACCAACGCCGATACATGGACCATCCCAATGGACGATGCCTACGTAAACGGCGTCCCCTGCAACCTAATCGGCAAATCCGCAATCATCGACACAGGCACCACCTACATCCTAATCCCGCCCTCCGATGCAGCAACCCTCTTCGGCCTCATTCCAGGCTCCTCGCAATCCGGCGAGAACTACATGATCCCATGCGACTCGACCGCGACCGTGGAATTTGAGTTCTCGAACGTGAAATACTCCATCGAACCGGAGGATTACATCGGCTCGGAGACGGACGGAGGCTGTATCTCGACCATCGTCGGCCACCAATCCTCCGGACCAAACACCTGGCTCGTCGGCGACGTCTTCCTAAAGAACGTGTACTCCGTCTTCGACTTTGACAACGGCCAAATCGGCTTCGGGACAAAGGCCTCCAACTCCTCATCCGGCAATGGAACATTCACCGCGCCGGCCGTGACAGCCGCCGGCACCATTGCCTCTGCCGCGTCCACAGATGCGGCCGCAGCATCTGCCGCCGAAAATTCAGCCACGTCGACGGCCACATCCGGACCCGTCGCGACTATCAACTCCGCCACTCGCTTCTCCAACGGTCTCGCCTTGTCACTAATTATGACTTTCGCTGCCGCCCTCATCCTCTAAACCTTCAGAAACACCTTCAGAAATACCTCGTACATACCTCAACCCGCCCAACATCACACAACACACGATATACCCCATTGTGCATCCTCAACCTCGGCGTTTTCTTCCCATGTTCATACGTTACTCTAGTTGGTCCAGCGCGCAACAGACCATCTTGTCCATCTTGCAAAAGTGATACCCACACTTGCACATACTCTCGTTTTGAGGATCTATACCCTTCGTTTCTTGCATCTAGAGCTGCTGTCTCATTTGCGCATTTTCTTTTATCTGACTACCCTGACTTCCAAGGAAGGTTTTCCAAGTAATAGGAAGGTTCCTGGGGTTTGCCACGGGCCTTAGGCATTGGCCGTCTTGTACGATAATCAGACTACGATTTGCTAATGGATTCCATCGTTGTAATAATTCCATTTAATCACAATACTTTTTCTATTTTATTGTAGCTTTTTTCTGTAGTTGGAGTAGGTCCCATATACTGCAGTGTAGTGTATACCCCGTGTTTCATGTTAGACAAGCTCTAGTCCCTGCAGAGGTTGATCTGGTTCGTTGTTTCATGTTGACCGGGGTGCGTAGGCGTGCTCTGCAGGCCTGTTAGTTTACTCTACCTACCGCCGTATGTTGTCTGTGACCTTGCCTCGAGTACGAAAGACATAAAAGATCCCCTCTTGTCTGGCTTCCTAGGGAGCTGATCGCATGTGACTGGTAGATGGCTCGGTAGGTCATCAGATGAGTGATCCTGCAAGGGATTAAAGATCCGGTAGAACATCTTGTTCACAATGTCAAGATCATAGTGGCATCGATGGCCAAATTGGCACCATGTTTGAGCATGGTTTTAATTGAGTATCTAGAGATGTCATGGTGGGATGATCACCGTGAAGACTTTTAATGCCAACTACTTGAGTATTCTACTGTGGTAAATGTGAGGCTATAAACAATCGTTCTCATATTAATGTGATTGACTTATGAGCGATCCTTAAAACACACTAGAGCCCTGTTGCAGTGCTCTGCTGAATAGTCGTTGATCACTCGATCACACAACACGAATTCAGACTTATGAGATGAACCTTGTTAACCATGACACAATGTACCTAGCTGATCACATACCAAGTCCAAGACCAGATCAACTCAATATCGGACTATACAGGGTCTTAAAGTAAAAAGTGACTAATAAGCCTCCTCCCCACAGCCAATCCGGACCCATCCCGACCGCAAACCCGGAGCCACCCACCCCAAAGCCGTACGCTTCGGCACTCGTGACCCGAGAATGTCCGGAGCCTAACCCGATCGGGCCGGTCCTCGGGAGCCAACAGCGTCATCCCTCATACTAATTAAAGCTCACCTCCCCAGATTTTCCATATATCTCAAACCACACCCCGAATATACACTGTACCTAGACTGTGCTAAGACTTAGGTACTCGCCATGTTCGGACTTGCAGGAAGAAAGACAGCTCTCGCCCGGCTGACCGCCCGACCAGCGCGCACAGTCATCGCCGCGCAATCGCCGAAGCGCGAATTCCACGCGACGCGCAGCAACGAGGGCGAGCGGCGGGTTTGGGCTGGACGAGTCAAGACGCCATGGATTGATGCGTTGACGCAGAGTCGGGACGCGGCGAAGGCGAATCAGGGCGGTGCGCAGCCTGTTCAGAGTGTGAAGCCGGATGTCACGCCGAAGAAGATGTCGGATAGTTACTACAGTGCTGTATGTTGATCCACAAGTTGTGATTGACCCTCAATTGCTTAACTCATGCTGTTCTACAGATTCTGCCTCTGGCACAGGACAAATGGCTTCTTGATACATATCTCAATGCGTCGGGGCATATCCGGTGAGATGGAGAGATTCCGATGGACCCCCAAATCTGATGTGCTAACTTCTTCCAGACTGGGTTCCTTGCTCATGGATCTCGATGCGCTCGCCGGTGTCATCGCGTACCGTCATACTGGCGATGGCGTCAGCACGGTCACCGCGGCCGTCGACCGGATTACCATCGAGAATCCGCTTATGGAAATCTGCGACCTCGAGCTTAGCGGTCAGGTTTCCTATGCTACTGGTCGATCTAGTATGGAGGTGTCCTGTCAGGTCTCCAAGGTGCGTCCGGAAGGACAGCCTGCGCAGCCTGAGGATGTCTTGATTACCTGTGCTTTTACGATGGTTTCGCTGGATCCAGCTACTAAGAAGTACGTGCACGTCAAAGCCGAAGTAAACTAAGTCATATACTAATTCTCGATTACAGGCCTGTTCCAGTCGCACCTCTCATCCTGGAAACCCCCGAAGAAGAAGCCCTCTTCAAAAAGGGCGAGGCAAACTCCCAAGCCAAAAAGGCCTTACGAACACGCAGTCTTCTCGAAAAGGCCCCAGACGACGAAGAGAGTAACCTAATCCACTCAATGTGGACAAAAGAAATGTCCTACCTGCGTAAGTTACCACAGCCATACAAGACTGAAAACTCCACTAACAAAAAAAAGACCCCCAAACCCCCGCAACTCGCCCCAGCAACCAAGTCTTCATGAGCGACACAGTCCTAAAATCCGCCATGATTATGCAACCCCAAGACCGCAACCGACACAACTTCATGATCTTCGGCGGCTTCCTGCTAAAGCAATCTTTCGAGCTAGCCTTCTGCTGCGCCGCCTCATTCGCGCACGCCCGACCAAACTTCCTCGCGCTAGATCCGAGTACCTTTGAAAATCCGGTGCCCGTCGGCAGCGTGCTCTACCTCCGCGCGACGGTGGCGTTTACGGAGCCTGAAGAGCGCGAAGACGCACACTCGAAGTTCACCAAGGTGCAGGTGCGCGTTGATACGAAGGTGAGGGATGTGGAGCATGGGACGAAGAAGTCGACTGGTAAGTTTAATTATACTTTCCTTGTTGAGAAGGATATACATGTTATGCCGAAGAGTTATGGGGAGTTTATGCTTTGGACGGATGCGAGACGGCGGGCCCGCAATGCGGTTGAGATTGATCCGGCGCATAAGATGAGTGCGCTCAGGAGTATTCAGGATAGTGTTACGGAGTAGTGGATTAGTTACGAGGGGTGTTTTGTTAAAATTTATGGTAGGTCAGCTGAAATGTAAATATAGCGAGGAATTGCATTTCACAAGCATCACAGCTGAACATAATAGCACGCCCATTATTCGCAAAAGGCGCAAAGAGCCAATTAATGGCATCGTCATCGCCAATCGACGCAACATAGGAAGTATACGCGTTGTATAGATAGTCGTCTTCGAACCCCTGGAAAGCGATGCTGCAGGCGCCGGCGAGGGACTTGCACTGGGCGGAGCCCTTGTTGTTACCAGATGTCTCACTTGGCATGGGCGGGGTATTTGTGGTTGTTGTTGATGCTGTTTCAAAGGAGGGCGTTCATCTCCTCAGATGAGGTGGGTATCACTCGTGTCCCAGGTGAGAAGGAGGTTAGCCGTTGACTGCGTCGGCTGTGAGAGATTCAAGGTCGGTGGTGATGGTAACTGTAATGAGGTCATCCATAAGCCGGAAGTCGAAGTGGAAGTAGAAGATGTGGTGGTTGACTCGTTCAGACCTCTCGTCTATTTCAGGGATACTATCTGGTGAAGGAAACATCTCCGGCGTGAGTCAGACTGGCACAATCCCGACTGGGACTACCATTGTGCCCACGGAGCTGACGAGTACAGGCGTGGCAACTACCCCAATCGTCATGATGAGTGGCAGCAAGGTCCCATCGGGAATAGAAGGAGATTGATCTTGCAGGTCGAGTGGGATATCTTCTTTCACGAAGCTAGCCGACTCCGAGGGGGTCCTCTGGGTTGGCCACGACAACGGCTTTGTCACTGCGCTTTGGAGTGGCTAAAGCAGCGGTCGTGACGGAGGTAGGGGTTACGGTGGATGTGGCAATGGACTCGGTGGCTGTAGGAACTGTTGATGCCTCTCTCAAAGGTGCACCTGAGGAGCTCCCGAGGTAGATGTATATTCAATTTCGGGGAATGTAGGAGAGGAAGCAGTCGGGATAAGAGGCTTGCTGCTAGTCTTCGTATTTCGAGTTGTTGTGCGAGTAGTCGTCTGTGCCGTTGACACCAGCGGAGTAGACTGTACACTCGGCGCAGAGCTACAAAGAATTGAATCCCACCTACGAAAATGAACACCCTCTGCACTGGCCAAAAAGACCTGCAGTAGATAAGCACTGCTCACAGCCAAAGAAAATCGAACCATGTCTGCGAAATGCAATTCTCCCGCGAAGATTGTACAGAATCACCCAGACTGGACGGAACTTGCGAGAAGATCCCTTTTGAGCAGACCCAAACATCAAACACGAGCTGATCTAGATAATTTTTGAAGAGCCCTGCCCGTGATTCATGTGTTTCTAGCATGTTTACGCTCTGTAGACTCCAAATTTTATTTCCACTTAAATCGTCGATGCTAGTGTCCGCAGGGCCAGCGATCATCGTAGCTCATCTCACCAACTGCGTAGACTGCGCCTGTGTCTGGCACTAAAATGCCCAATTGAGGGTGCGGCTGCGAGCTGTCACGTTGATTTGCAATGTACAATTAAACTTGATATCTGGGAGCTGTATGGGGAATGGTGGGTATGGGGTAATAGGCTAAACTGCAGTCTGGCCCTGTTTTTCTTCAGCTGAGTGAGATAAGTGCGCGATTTTGGGGCTTGGCGAATGTAGTGATTTAGGGGGCCGAGGCAGGTTGCAGACTAAGGGTATATTCTTGCTCTGGACAGGTTTGGCTCCAATTGGGATATATACGAAAACGGTGCCATTTTCTTTACTTTTATGTGCGGCGCATTCTCAGTCTCAATATCTCGATCCAAGCCAGCAATCGATAGGACTTGATTCCTATACAGGCGCTGCGCAGGTTCAACAGCAGCATGCCCTTTACAAAATCCCGCTGAGTGGAAGTTCCATGCTGTGTGTTTCACTCCCGCCAACAAAAATTTTGTTCCTCTCTCGCTCAAATGACGGGTCATAAAATGGAATTTGCGAGATAACGGGCGCAAGCAGGGCCACCGCATCAGGGCGTCGATGAATTTTGAAAAGAGTTCGGCAATATCCTGGGGGTTAGGTGAACTCTAGCTTCTTCTCACCATTCCAAAACCGAGAGCCAGAGTGAAATCGAGAACCACCACATGGCACAGCGGCTACGACCATTCGTGAACTACTTCCAAGGCGACTGGTCAGAATACCTGTCAATGTGTGACTTCGCAGCTGTAGCTCTACAAGAGTCAACACGGGTTCAAAAAAGTATGGTTCCTCGAACCTTCCCTCATCTAGCCTCAATACAGATACCACGGCCCCTAATGAGAGTCAAAGGATGGCAGTTTGATCCGCCGATATATTGAGCAAGATTCGCATGCTTAAATACAAGTGAAAAGGGCAAGTATTAAGACCTACAGTACCGGAAAATCACGGAAAATATCTCTACCTTGATTTCAGAAGGCCATGGGATTTACACCCCGACATTGCTCACTCTGCATCTGCACAACATGTTGATTCTGAAGGGTCTTCCGAGTTGGCCAGTTTGATTGTGGGTTGTCTTGACACACCGTCATCGAGAGGAGACTTCATTCAATTCTCTACCAACCCATCTATCCACCACCGAACTATCACCAGGGCTACACAGATTCCAACTGAGACCTAAGTGTGTGCACTGAAAACCAGAGAGATTTCAAACCCCTTAATTGAGCTCCAGCAGGTTGGGGCAAGTCTACAACAGACAGGAAAGTCCATCGCAGTTGCTCTGTGTTCCTAGAGAGTGAGCCATCGGCTGTGAATTTCAGTATCATGGCTTTTATTGGCCATGTATTTCACGAAAAGCTTACTGAAACAGCGCCAAATTCTATGGAGCATACTTACCAAGAAGGTATTCTTGAGGAGTTCATGACACCAAAAAGAGGAGCAAAGGTGAAGATTCGACAGCCATGACTTCAAAGCCATGTTCTCTTTTCCTGGAAAGAGCATCAAGCAGCATTTTGCCTGGCATTGCTTAGAGCTATGCTACAGCTTTTGCCCCTAGAGTGGTCATTCCTAATGCTATAGTCGTTAAGTTGAAATAACATATTCTTCTAAACCCATACCGACAAAGTCGAAACTCTCAAACTGGCCCAACTGTCTAGCTTGACGTATGAAATAAGTTGCGAGAAGGATCCTCGGTGAATGAAGGCGGGGAACGAATGACCCCGCACGAAGTCACGTCCCTCATAGTTTCTCCCTCGCCAGGCTTCCACTGTGATACACTATCAAACTTCAGCCTACCCAAACTACAAGTCACTTCCAAAATGGGCATGATCCCTGCTCGCAAGGCAGTAGCCATCCCAGTAAAATCAGGCCAGACCCTCACAGTAACCAACACGCATGGCAAACAAGTCGTAGACTTCTGGGCCTTCGACCCTTCCGATACAAACGGGTACCTGTCCATGATCCATACAAGAACAATCCTCGGAAAAGCGTCCTTGTCCAAGGGAGACAAGTTGTACTCGACTCGCAGAAAGCCCATTTTGACGCTGACGGACGATACGACTCCTGGCGTACATGACATGCTGTGGGCAGCTTGTGATACAGAGCGATATCGCATGTTGGGTTATGATGGGTATCATGATAACTGCACTGATAACCTGCACAAAGTTGGTCTTTATATTCTGAAGCTGCTGTGACAGGCTTTATCTAACTGTTCGTATAGGCACTTAAGGAAAATTTCCCTAGTATCCGGACTGCGGATGACTGGGTTCCCGATCCTCTCAACCTCTTCATGAATGTGAGTGTTGGCTCTGATGGCGCGCTGGAAATCAAGGCTCCGGTAAGCGAGAAGAACCAGTATGTCGCCTTGAGGGCTGAAAGAGATGTGGTCGTTGTTATGAGCTGTTGTCCCCAGGATATGGCACCCACAAATGCTGGGATGCCGACGGATTGTGAATATAGTATCAAATAATGAGAAAACTACCCAGAATCCTACGATAATCTTCCAAGCCGACCTCAACTCTTATAAGAGTGCCACAGGTGAGACTCTGCGGGCATTGCTGCCTAGGCAGTAGTGCATCAACCCATCTACACATAGATCGGAGAGGCATCTCTCTTCTCGTGTCCCATCCTTCTCAATTCTTGCTGCTACGCTACTCTATCTTCCTGGCTTAGACCAAAAGCAAGCCCTGAACTGAAAATGTGCTGCTAATATCCTCTCAATCGTGGCAGTGCAGATCCATCAAGTCATCTCAGCCCCCACACAGCAACAGCCCAGGGGCCAGGTTATTCGCGCGCACACAAAATTTGCGATCTTCTCTTTTCCAGGGAGACTCGCAATTTATTGGAGATCTTGTCTTTTTGTCTCATATTCTTACAGAAACTCCCAAGAGAGACTCAGCATGCCCATCCTATCATTCGGAAACGAAGACCTGAAAGTCACACCCGCAGCTCCAGAGAACTGGACATTCACCGCAGGGGATACCATCATCGGCACGGTAGTCCGTCAGTCACCACTAATCTCCCCGGGCGCGACGCTGAAACTATTCCTTCGAGGCTAGTTGAAGGTTATATTTTCGAACGACCCGTACATGAGATACGAACCACAGCCTCATCACCCTCACTACGACCCGACACCAAGGATTAGCCCAGGTCGCTGTGCCGTCGACAAGCAAATCTTCATTCCCAAAGAAGGTCTTCTTTTCGAGGGTTCTCTTCATATCCAGGAAGGTGCTGAGCCGAAGTCACGGCCTTTTTAAGTGAAGATTTCCACAGCGCCTGATATCGCTATTAAGAGCAAGGAGAGGAAACTGCCTCTTTATGAAGCGCTCTGCCGTGGTCCGCTTCCAGGAAGTTTCGTTTCATCCGGGGAGGGAGCAACGTCCTGCTGGATAGAGTATTATCTCCAGGCGCAGCTGCACTATACCCACGGTGGCCAGAAGGAAATCTGCGAATCAACACACCAAAATAAAGATACGACCTCGCCCGGGTCCAGGGTTTCAGGACTTTGGTTGCCAGGGAACGAAATTCGAAAAATGTATCCGCAGCTACCATCTAGCACCGGGCTCGAATGAGCATCTATCATTTAAGCAAAAGAAACGACAGCTCTTCGGGTCTTCGAACATCCCCCAATTCGAATATGGTCTTGAGATCAATGTGCCGAAAATTATCCAGCTTAGCAGTCCAGCACCAATACCCCTCGAACTTCGCTGTCACGTGTTATCGAAGACAAGTCCCGAGATTCAAGAATGCCCGCCGAAGGTCTGGCTTACTGCACTCAAGATGTCGCTGAGTTTTCAAGACTCCTGTGTGGGAGGATGGTGGGGATCCCGGGTCACCGTGGGGTTATCAGTGTCATGAAGAGGACCTTGGGATTGAGAAGGCTCTCAGGAAGAACCCTGGCGGATTTCAGCTTGAGATTCCGGTTGGAAAGGACTGCGAGCCACTCGATATCGGGAATATGTTGCAACTTTCCTTTAACACACGGCGTGAAAGCTGGTGGGAGATCTTTGAACCGGATTTTCGCGATCACGCTTGACTTTTGACGCGGGCTATATAAAGCATTCTCATATACTTCATGTGAAGATCTCGGTGACAGTAGCAGGACAGACGGAGGTGATGTGGTGGGAATGGCCTGTGACAATGCTATGAATAATGTTCTGGGTCACCCAATGTGAGTTCTCAGTTAACAAGAAATCTGCATCCACGAAACCGAAAGAAATACGCTAATAAACAATTGCAAGAGATCCTCTTGCGGTCTAATTCGGCACGTATGTACAAAGGGGGATATATGTATGAGGCAGAATGAAAACCAGACCCCAAACCATGCACCGACTCCAGCCACCATGAACATTGTAAACCATAATCAAAATGTACTCCGAAATCACGGGGAATGACAATGAGGTATCCACCCAGGTAACGATGCACCAGGTATACACAGGCAGAACCCGGAGCACGAGGGCAAAATGCGACACTCAGACAAAACAAGCAGAAATCCCAAACCCCGTTGGGTCGGGCAAGAAAAAAAACCTTTGGAAAGAAAGAATCGTGATATTTCGTAATATCCAGTGCTTTCACATGCTTTTTGAGAAAGTCACTTTTAGATGCGGTTGCACTGACGCGAGAACCTCATTGAAGGGATGGGAAGGTGAACGGGGGAGAAGAAAACTTGAACTCTTGAGGAACAAGTCGTGAGATATCGGATTTTACCGAGTATCCATTGTAGAAGTGGTATGTGTATATCAAGCTCAGATCCTGAATGTTATTCAAGAACCTCATCGATCGTATTGGAAGTCAAAGAGCCAGGATTCGACTGCGGCCCCGCACCCGAAGCACTCTTATCCCGGGGTTCCGGCGGCTGCTCTTCCTTCATGCAAGCGTTTTCCAAAATATTGGTCCACTTGCCACTCGTCCCGGCATGACTATGCTTGAGATGCTGGCGAAAGTGGTCTGCCCGGAAGAATTTCTTCGCGTTGTTGCATTCGCCAAATTTATGCACGGTTGTCAAATGCTCGAAGCGTCGATCCCAGTCCGGTCGAGGGAAGTTGGGGAATTCTTCGCCGCAGTAGCCGCACGTATCGTGCGATGGGCCGGCGTTCGTTTGGCAAGATGGTGAGCCTGAGCCGTGAAATGCTGCTTGGAAGCCTGGGAGGGCGGCGCAGGACCAGGAGTGGCGGCGGAGATGGAGGGAGTTTTGGTGACGTTCGGCTTCGTTTTTGTTCTTGAAGCGGTTGTTGCAGTACTGGCACGCGTATTGCTTTTCCATCTCATGGGAGCTGGCTGGCGTTAGAATGAGTTCTTTCATCACAATCAGACTGATCAAATGACATACCGAAGATCCTCTGGATTGTCAAACTTCTTAGGCTTCTTGGGACAACAATCGCAGATGAATAATCCGCCCATCTTTGAGGCCGGTTTGGCGATGTTCAACGCAATCGGCACCGACATCTTCCCTGTAGCATCCGTTGTAGGCGGCTCCAGGGTATTGGAACCTGAAAGAGGTCTCGGAGCTGGAATGATAGGAGCACCCGGGGAATTCGGATTCATGATTGACTTTTCGTGGAATGCATCGAGATCCGAGCTGGGAGAAAGACCTCCGGGGGAAGGACGGTCGTATGGTGACAGACTGGTCATACTGCTACCGCCAATCGAAAGGGCAGAAGAGTACGATCCAGAGGTCCGAATACTCAACGAGGACGCCGCGGACAGAGTTCGTTGACTCGGAGCATAGCTGTTGTTGACCGTCAGATTATTCGTAAACGGATGCCCACTCGTCCTCCGCTGTGACAGATCCCCGTTACTCGTAACGGTATGCAGGGTATGTCGGTCATTGTTAATCGGTTCCCGCGGCGGAGACGAAGCTCGTCGTTTCATGCCCTGCTTCGAACCCTCGGGGTACGGCGGTGTCGGTTCACGAAGAATGAACTGTCGGGGTACCGGTTCGTCTGTCGAGAAATCACCCTCGATATCGGAGAACACGCCTTGGTCGTAGCTTCCTCGATTTGATCGGCTTGGCAGACTGATGCTATCTTCACGAGACGGAGTATTCCCACAATATCGGCGGCGCCCGATATCTCGCATGTAATCGTAGTCAAGTGCCGATGAGGGTGCGTTGCTTTCGACGCTCGGACTACGACCCTCGATATACTCTCTCCAGGTAGTTTTCGAGCGAGGCGACACTGCCCCCGACTGAGGGCTGCTGTACCATTTGACGTCGAGTGTCGACCCTTCTGACGGCCCTGGTGATGGCACATTGCTCGAGGAGCGGGATGGGATTGAGGGAACGGTGAGTGCGGAAATCGAACCGCGGTGGTCGGAGCTAATAGAACCGCGTGGAGATATCGGCTTCCCGATTTTTGACAACAAATGCTGGTCATATGCATTTGACGAGTCCTTGACACTCCGCAGAGAAAAGTCACGCTCTCCTTTCAAACTACATTATCTGTCAGCATTTCCGCCTCCGAAACAAAGTTCAACAAGGTCAATAGTCTCCTTCTATAAACACTCACATCGGGCCATTGGGATTGACAGACATTGAGTTGGGAAATCCGTCATCAGTGGGAGGCGGCGGCTGAATCTTTATCTGAGCCTCAGAGCTGCGCGACAAGGGCACACCACTTTGCCTGCCTTCCAGCTCATCTAGTGACATGCGATCACTCTGGGGTGTTGATTCCGGACGGCGGTGGCCCCCAAACAAACTCGAATTGGGATTTATCGGCGGAAGCGTCGCTGTCGATCGACCGGAATTCGCATGCAGCCACCCAGCATCATAACCATTCTCCAAGTCACGGATTCGCGGTGGTGGGGGTAGAGGCGGAGGCGCAGTATGCATGGTGGGACGAGACGGGATAGGCAGTGGGCCGTAAGATGGGAATGGCAGCTCGGGCATTATGGAAGTTTGGGAGTGACGGTCGTAGTCGCGATCTCTGGAATCATAGAAGCTCGGCGACGCGGCAAGTCGATCCATTCTAGAGCGCAGTGGAGATGAGATGCCGGCGCGCTAACATCAACCAGCTGAATCGGGTGGCGAGGTCCGAACAAAACAGAAATGGATACTCTCCAAATCCAGTAAAGGAGCGGCGAAAAAAAAGATCGGTAAAAAAAACTGAATAGAAAAGAAGTCGCAGGTGGAATCAGCAGCAGCCCAATCCAGTTGAGTGCAAACGTCGTGAAACCGGCTCGGATTCTAAGTAGACCGTTTAGCTAGCCTCGACCCCCGCCTCCGATTGCTAGAAGGGCCAGCTTCTGATGGGGTAAGCAAGCGCGGGTGAAGCGAGGTTGAAGACGGAGTGGCGACGGGGGAGACTTTTCATGCGGCTGGGATTCTAGTTGCAAGTCAGACCAGTGGAACCGAGCAGGGCGAGTGACCTGATATTGTCGCAGTCGCGCCGTCACAGTCGCAGCGAGTAGGGCTGAGACGGAGAAGGGGCAAAAAGCCGAACACAAAAAATGAAAAATAGGAAAAAAAGAAAAATCAAATAGAGACTTGGAGAATATACCTTTTCACTTTCAAGACCCTTGTTCGGCGATTCGCCTCATGGGATGAAACGTTCAATAAGTGACACACAGCCCTGTCTAGAAGCCGTCTGTGTCCCATAGAACCCGTCAATCGCGGACAGCGGGACTGGACATGCTTTTGTCCTAGAGGGCAGGGCTTGAGAGGGTCGCGGGCAATAGGGGGGTCTTGTGAGAGACCAGAGATCCAGGGCGACCAGCGACGAATGCGATTGTCTCTGAGAGTAAGTCGCAAGTACAGCGAGTCTTTTGTGCACGAGTCGGGCTCCCCGCCACGGGCTGAGAACAATTGGATTTGCCCCGGGCTGCGGAACACAAAAGAAGAGCCAGCTGAACAAGCCGTAGCACTAGTTTCCAAGGGCAAAGGGAAGGAAGGTCAAGAAGTGGGAGATCGGGCAGTTAGAAGGCGGGCAAATGGCGGTGCAGCCAAATGATTGGATCCAAGGGCTCGAGCCAAATGTAATTTAGGGCCGAGGGAGAGGCGAGTTCGATGATCTCATTCTCACCGAGCTGAGCCAAGAAAGGAGGAGGGAGGGTTGGTTGGTAGGGTATGGAGATTCTGGAACCTCCAAGGCGAAAAGAGGCGCAAAAAAAAAGAATTGAAACAATTCGAAAAATCCAAACGGATGGGTCTTTCGGATCTAACCTGCAGTTCGGGGGGGGGGGGGGGGGGGTTGACGTGGTAAGAGAGGCGAAACCTCGAAAAGGCGCAGCGGTAATAATCTGGCTGGTAATGTATAGTCGTGTACGACTTACATACCAGTACCGACGGGCAGTTGCGGGAAGCCAAATCAGCCTAGGAGTGGAGCTGGGAGAATGGCATTTGGAATAGGATCATCAGATCTCAGATTACTCCTCCCGCGTGGGCGGCCACGTTGGAATGAGTAGGGCAAGGCTGTCTGTCCCTTATTGCCCTAGGCGATATACTATGTACTATGGTCTTCTACCTATACCTCGCTCTTGTTGCTGGCGGAGGCCCGGGACCCGTAATTTCGTTTTTCTTTTTCCTGATTGCTGTGCTCTCGCTTCGTCTCGAATCAGACGCTGGTGGTGCAGACGGATCATCCGTGGTTGAGGCCCTGTCCCAACCTGGGAATCCGGCCTTCCAGAAACCGCGACGATCAAGCCCGAAGGGAGGGGAAAGTCTAGGCATGGGCCTCTCCGAGCCTCGACAAATAGGATCCAGTGCAGTTCATGACTGTCGCTCCGCTACCCCATATCTGGATGAAGATGGGCGCGTAACGCCAACCAGAGCATCCCGTAGAATTAGATGGGCCCCTCCCACCCTCTGCCTGTTCAGTACTTAGGATGAAGCTTGACGCCAAAATGGGGAGTCCGGAGCCTATTGTGTCTCGTATATTGGACGCCTCGCGATGATCCAAAACCCCCGCCGGGAAAAGGATTAGGGTACATTTGCATTTGCGAATGGTAGTGAACGTCCCTCCATGGGGCAGGGGATCGCATGCAGCAACCTTTTTCTGGGGCACAACTGAAACTCAAGTCACGGCGGCGCCCTACGGTAGTAAGGTACCGAGGGCAGTTGGCAACGGCTCGGAACGATATTGGACTAAACTAGGGTGCACACGTTCCATTCTCGAGGAACCATGGTTTTGGCGGGGTGGCCACATTGCTCACCGAATGGGAAAGGGCGACCAATGCCACGGAGTCGACGTCCACGAGGGGGGCGAGACAGAATTACAGGATATGCACCGGCGACAATCTTGGGGGGTCTTGGCGGTAGGCTTATATTTGCCGGGTGAATTGAAGAATCTCCTCGTCACACTAGGCGCGCAGGGATGGCTTCCGCTAGGTGCCGCACAATCTGATCGATGGTCCATCGACCATCGGAGCATTCGGATACCCCGTCCAAGCGTGGTCTTTTTTCGCTTTGGGCTTTTTTTCCCCCTGGGCCTTGTGTCGTGTTCTGGGGGGTTGCAAAAAGCAGAGAACATTCTTTATTGCCTCCACATGAAACTGACAATGCTGACTCGTTGTCCGGGATCCACTGATTTCCTAGCGCACCCCACTTGGGGCCCAGTCATGCATGCACTGCCACACTCCTGGACCGCCTGTCACTTTCGTATTGGGAAGCGCGAAGGAGGTCGGGGAATCCATTCACCATTGTCACCAGAAGGCCATCCAGCGAAGGATGTCTGGAGTCATCGGAGGTCAGACCAAAAAGAGCAGTGGGTGGTGATCCGGACTGGGCGAGGTTGCGGTAGGCTCGCGCATGCCAAACGAGTTGACAAGCTGCTGAGTCAGCCACCGTCTCCACACCAGCTTCACGAACGGATGTCTCTTGGCTTCATTCTTGCTCCTTTTTTTTTCTGCTTTTTGCAAGGTTCTTGCTCGCTAGGCTCGGGGTCCATTCCAAAATCCATCGGGCTTTAGGGGATGTAATTAATGGTAATACCACACGAGTCATGGCGATGGTCATTGTCACAAGTACTGAATGCCTTGTCTGGTATAGTACAGTAGGGTATGGCCGATCGAACAATATGGATGCGACCAGGAACAATGTATCTGGACCTATTGGGAGACGAAACAAATAAGCCCTACACGCCAATTTCTAGCACGCTAAACGAACTCGACTAATACTGTAGGACTCCCTCCCACCTTTGATGCACCTGCACCAGCACCAGCAATATCAGTCACACGGATCGTCCAGCAAGACACTGCCAGTAACGTTATCGTTCGTACGACGTAGGATCCATACGAGATGAAGCTCGTGCTCTGTGCATAGCCGAGTGTAATGTCTTGGCATTTTCAAGCAGGTCAGGACGACGCTGCCCTGAGACTATGGCTGTGGATGCTGGGACGCTGTCTACCCGGGGCTAAATCTCAATAGACTTTCGCCCTCCTCGATCGTCGCAGTCAAGGCCCGGTTTGTCTGTGGTGGCTGACCAGCCTGCTCATCGTGATAGCCAAGCATTGCCGACTCTATCAAAGGGGGCGCAGTTCTGCACTTTGCTTCAGGTAGGGATTGTCGCTGCGAGGTGCATCGACTCGACGTCCGTCGCATTCGTCAGCCCCCCGTAAGTCGGCGGCAGCTGGAATCAAAGACATCTGTACGTCTACGGGAGTGGTATAGACCAGCGCCAATGCCGTCAGCACCGCCAAATGCGGTTCTCCCAGGCGTCAGCCTTAAGCCTTAGAGGGCTGCAGCCTCGGGTTGCGCGTGCGCCAACGCCTCTGGCGTCGACCACCAGTCACAACCCACGGTGACGACTGCGCCCCCCGACGTCAGACTACTGTATGTAAGTATGTACCGGAGGTGCTTGACCCTTAGACTCTACTACTCCCGCGGCCTCATATGGGACTGGCCTCGACATGTTCCTGCGGTTCTCAGACTTACCCGCGGCAAGTCAGGCCTTCTACCGGACCCCTTGCAGTCTACCACGACGAATCGGCTCGTCGGACATTCGGTGGATGTTTGAGATGTGTCGGGGATAAATCAGCGTCCCCACTTGCGCGACGTGAACTGCTCGGCTACCCATCGTCACAACTTCCACACCGAGATTTGTAGACCCTCACGGCTTTACAGGAGGCTGGCCATCGTATTACGACGACGGGACATGGTGGTGGCGGGAACAGAAAATGGAGCTGGGGCTGGAACTGGAGAACGCAAACGGAGCCAAGTCTGGCCGCGTCTGCCGTTGTTTCATTGGGCGGGCACCGTAGAGCCAATAGTGCCGGGATAGTATCCAAAAATGCCGAGGACATCTCCATTTTCTGTAGAGGTTGTTGGCAGTATCCAATCCCTTCGTAATGCGATGAATCGCGAGTGGGTAACTCCAGTCCGCTGGGTCCGCCCACTCCAGCGGTTTGCCTGCGCGCTTGGGCCGGTGTCATTTGCTGGGATTGGTTGAAGGATGACTACCAGGCTCGTGTTGTGAGATATCCCATCGTTCTCCAGGAGGTCCCAGAGGTGTGATAGTATACTTCCTCACGTGGGGGGATCTTTGTGGCCTCAGGCATATATATGGTCAGCAAGCCCTAAGCCCTAAGACCGTTTTCAGCTTCGGCCGAGGCTCAACTTCAAGGAACTGGGGAAACGCAGAGTCTGCGGCGTTGGACCAGTAACAAGAACCACCGGGCCACTGTATTCCATCTCAGTAGCCTCGCCGACGGCCTCATCGATGCAAGCTACATCTCGAGGCTCAGCTTTACAGTTTCCCATCATGGCTATGAATCAAATCCCAGGCCAGAACATTTACATTTCTGGGTTCGTTTCCCGCTTCGATTTGCTTGCCGTCTATGTTTTCTCCCGCTAGATCATATCATTTGGTCGGGTGGGCCTCTCGATATGGGAGAGACCCTGAATATCGGTTTTGTCTGCATGCTAACTAGCCACCACGTTTAGGATTTACTGTATGAAAAACAAAGCGGCGCTCGAGAGAGAGGGTATAACGCATGTTGTTTCCGTGTTGCGTCTCAACCCCGCCGAGGTCGACAAGACGTTCTCGTCTTATCAGCACTTTGCTATAGATGCAGACGATACAGACGATGAAAACCTCTTGCAACACTTTCCCGATGCAGTGCGCTTTATCAAGTCCGCCGTCGAGGCAGGCGGCAAGGTCCTTGTACACTGGTAAGTTTACCTTTTCTTTTATCTTTCCTCTCCCCACTACATATCCCTGCCGAGGCCTCCTGTGCCCTCCCACCTTGTTTGTCTCCGTCTTTTCCAGAATCTGCATCCCATCTGCGTTTCTGCGGCCCCCGACGTCATCACGTGCCCAGTCAATTGCGATCTGCATGTGGCTTGAGTCTTCCCTGCCTCTTCAATTCGACTGGTCATTGGGTGCTCCATCTGCGCTTTGCTTTTGATTGCCTCTTCCCTATGAACACGGCACGGCAATTTTGTCTTCTACGGTGGGAAAAACGGGAACTGACATGACGATCTAGTGCGATGGGCAAGTCCCGGTCTACGGCTGTCTGTATTGCCTACCTGCTCCACCAGAAGCCTAATATGCTCACACCGCAATCCGCATTGGAGATCTTGAGGCAGTGTCGTCCCTTGTGCGAGCCTAACGACGGGTTTATGGAGCAGCTGGCCCTCTATCATGAGATGGGATGCCCCGAGGACATCACCGAGCACCCTGTGTACCAGCGTTGGCTGTACCGCCGTGATGTCGAAGAAAGTGTGGCTTGCGGCCGTGCTCCTGAAATGGAGTCGGTGCGCTTTGAAGATGAGCAGCCAACCCAGTCCCAGATCCAGGAAAAGCCTCCACAAGAGGTGGAAATTAAGTGTCGCAAGTGCCGGTTCGTATTTCACTCCCTAACGGGAATCTTCCCCCTCGCATATTGAATTTAAGTTTACAATGACTAACGGCTTCTGCAGAAAAGGACTTGCATCATCAAAATACATGATTCCCCATGACGAGGATAAGCGCAATAACAGTAAGGCGAGACAGAATACAGAGTGTGCGCATGTATTCCTCCACCCGATGAAATGGATGAGCCCGAGTCTCTTTCCGTCGACAGATGGCTCCAAGACCTCCAGTACATACGACAGCGCCTCAGGAGACGCACCTCTATCTGGCCGCCTGATCTGCCCCAATCCCACCTGTGGATCAAACGTTGGTAAATTCGCCTGGCAGGGCTTACAATGTAACTGTGGCAGCTGGGTGGTGCCAGCCCTAGGCCTTGCGAAAGCCCGAGTGGACATCGCCAACAAGGTGAACACTGCACGACCTCCAGCAGCCCTGGGTATTCGCATGCCTCCCGGGATGCGGCCTCTAGAGCCCAATGATGGCTCTGGTCGTGGAAACCTTTGAGATGACGTTGATGAATCCATGACGAAAATATCACATGCATGTGCATAGCTGTTTACGAGCCATGATACCTCTGAATGTCCATAGAACATTCTTTTTTTCCCTGGAACTTTTTCGTTGCTCTATCCTATTTTCAGCTGCATAAGCGTGACGCTCAACGGCCCCCACCGGGCCAGGGACCTCATCTCATTGATGGATGGTCGAAGCCACACAGAAGCAGTAAATATCTTCCTATAGCCCGACGGGCTGCCCACCGCCGCCGCAGTCACATCTGTGACGGCCACTTGCGTCATGTGGAGGCAACAAAAGTTCACCGTAACTTCGCGAGAACACAACCGCCTTTCTTCACCGGTCATATCATAGAAGGAAAACATTGAGGCTCGATCTCCGCCGAGCTCCGCATAAAGGCTGACTGAAGCAGCACGAGCGAGTTCTAGCCCTGTTCTAGTCTCGCGCTACATATCCTGTCTGTCGACCATCTACTCTACCTAGTTTCAGCTCTCCAGGCCACCCCCATATCGGCCTGTCAGTTCAAGTCAATTTTGACAATAACCACGCTAGCGGCTCTGCCAGGCAATAATCCTATAGATAGAACCGGTAAACATACGAGATGCTCCACGCCAGCCTGTTCCTGAGTAAATGAGCTATCTCAAGCCTCATGCAAGGACATCCTCCAGCCCACATTCAGCCAGCCCTCAGCCTTACACAAGTTCGCGCGAAGCTACCTCAAAAGTGATACAGCATGGCCGAGCCGTGAGACTGCCAGGCAACACCGAGCAACCAATCGCAGCCGCCTCGCAGGTCGTCCGGGACTCTGTACGTCGAGTTCAAAGTGTACTGTCAGTAGAACAATTTCAATCCGAGCCTACCTTAGATTTCAGAAGATGCAGGGCTGCATGCCATGCGACTCCGTTGAACACACCCTACCCCCACCCAACCTAGAAGTAAACTGTAGTCGACCCCCAATAAAGTCGAACCTGAAACCAACCCCGGCCCCAGGCAAGCCTTAGTCGCGCGCCAAGCGAACAGCCATAAAATCGCCGTGTTGGTCCCAGCGCAACATCGTCAGCCGCCACTACACTCACTATGTATGTACCTTTCCCTCTTGTTCCACTTCCCCTGTTCTCCACTCCCTCAAGCGCTGTCATGGAGTTTGTTTCATCAGGGATCGGCTTGACGCCAATGAAGAGAGGGATGGAGCGCAACGGTGATTAATTGCCCCTTCGGGGAGGGTGACTTTCCAAGGTTGGGAAGACATGAAGGAGGCTGTGCAAAGCGGGTCGTTCTTCCTGCTGGGCCCGATTGGCCAGCGCGCAATGCGCTGCGTATTATGGATGTATCAGTATTACCGGTAATTCCCGCGTTATCGTACCGTAGGGCGAAGCATCCTTATGGAATAATATCAAATATCCTGCCTTTCTGATTTCACTTTTCTTTTTTTCTTGTCTGCCCTAGGTTTGCTGAACGCCCTACTACATACAGAGTAATTTTAATTTCGGTCTGTGCGTGGGTAGGATTCATGGGTTGCAGGCTCCTTGGGCAACCTGTGCACTGATCAGGGTCCTGGGCTCTATCCTATAGATAGAATTCTCTGCAGCCCCTGGGGCGGCGTATCCTCTTACTACTAGTCACAGATTCAGTACTGTAGTCAGAACCACCCATTCGAGGTAAGACCGGATCATCAGGGACCAGGGCCATTTCCAAATCCACGACACGGGGGGCGTTCGAGCGAAGCCCAACCTTGGTATGCGACAACAAACTCCCCCAGCAAGCTACAACAGACTCATTCCAGCCAGCTCTCATTGGCGGGGCGCGCAGCCCTGGTGGGGGTGGGGCAGTGCACTGCCTTGCAGGGGGAGCTCTCAGCTGTTCGCAGTGGAGTCGCGCATACTGGAGCGCTGATATCATAACATCTTTCCCAAGGCCGCCTCCCGATCAGGGCGCTACTGAATAGACTTCCGCTGGGGACCCCTTTCCCATTAGGGCATTGTGATCGCCTTGCATATGTGACAGATTAAGGCTTTAGCCTGTTTCGCAAAGGCGGGTTGGGCCTAGTGGGACTAGCGGGATTATCAGATTCACTAATGCACCGGGAACAACCGGTCAGTCTTGTCGGCGTGAATGCATGACCTATGCTTGTCTGGTCAGGAGATCGAGTCATTCGATCGAATGCTTGTCAGATTCATCGTGTATCATGACTGTGCGACTAACTTGTTTTCCTGCTGCATGCAGCCGAATGCTCCAGAAGGGTGTCGTGCCAAGATGAACTATGTCGTCGTGTGATGGACATCATAGCCACAACGCTAATCTAACGCTGGTGGCCCTTACATTCTAATGCTTGCGCTATCGACCATACCACAGGTACTAGCCCGGCTTAGGGTTGGCCGTGGTTGGCGCTGGCCGCGCTTGTAGCCTGTTAGGCAGCATATCGACACAGTCACTGCCTAGCCGAGGCTCAAAATTGGGGTCAACATTAGGACAGTATCTACCACTACAGTATGAGTCGGAGGACGCCAACGTCCGATGGATCTTCCGAGGCAACCGGGAATCCACTAATATTTGAATCGAGGGTAGACCACTACATATGCGAGTCGAGCTAAATTTAGCAGATCTGTCGCCTATTTCTGCCGATGAAATCGACTCTCAGAATGATACCTAAACAAGCAAGCGATATACGTATACGAATGGATCGTTGTGGCATGGGGTAAGATGGGACTATCAGACAGCATGGGAAGCAGGCTCCAATTCTCTACACCGACATCCGCATCTCCAGATCTAAACCACACTAAAGACTAGCCTCGTGTAGCCTCCTCGCCGTGGTCTCACTCAAGACAGACCCATTCATCCCAGAGCCGCATGGTCAAATCGCTCGCAAGGCAACCCGCCAACGCTGGAAGTGCAGAGATCAACACACACACCTCATATACAGTCAACGCTAAAGATTAACCGACCCCGAGAGGCACGACAGCCTACTAAGGCTGACAGGGCCCATTTCGCAACGGAGGGGCTTAACGATTTCGCCCCCCGGCAGATGCTACCCTAGCGCTTATTTTCCCGGTGCACCCCCATCCGCGTATCACTGATGTCTACATGTCCTACAGGACGCGAGACAAGGTTGGCATCGGTGCAGAGCTTTCGCGGTGAGCCTTGACCGTTGATGGGAGGGGAGATCCTGAACCGGCAGTCGCGCGGTATTTCCTGGAAGAGCTACGGATGCGACGTCAAATCTATGCGGGCCGGGGCGGGTGGCCTTGTGGACGTGGGAACTCTGTGATTTACGTACGATGTACATGCGTAGAGACACGGGCCGGGACGATGAAGTGTGGGTGCTTGCATAGAGTTTTCTCAGCCCAACGACAGGGCGTTGCTCGTGGCTTTCTTCCTGCAGGATGGAGAATCGGGCTGCTTCGCTTTTTCTGCAGTGCGGGATGGTGATCGTGGTGGGCTGGGTTGTGTCGGGAGCCTTGCGTAGGCCATGGTGGTACAGTGTGAATGTAGTATTCGCGCAAGCTGGCGTCGATCTACTATGCATTCGCCCGGTGAACAAGATTTGTGATCATTCTATTGGAATATCGAGAGTAATGGCGACGTTGCTGCATTATAGAAATCACGAGAGTTTTCTGGATGGCACCGTTGCTTGAAGCGGTCATAAGGCAGTCCACTGCATGGCACTTTCCAGGTTGGAACACTCTGGTGGCACAAATGAGTTCAAGGACTGAAACGCTGGACAATCGGGCAACGGATGTCCAAAGAAAGACATCACTCATGTGTATTCAAAGTTGTACCGGATCGTAGCAAACAAGGGATAGCATGTGCTCTGTTCAACTCGACGCCTCCTTGCCCATATTGACCAGAACCGAAAACCAAAAGGACTCCCGTTGACCTCAGTGTCAATTTTATTTCACCAGCACTTCGAGTTACATCGGATTTCGTTGCGAGGTGAATAAATCGGCGGCACCTGAGCGAGTGAAATTCTGTCTCATCAGGCCGCTCTTCACAGATTTCCAAGTTTGGCAAGCTTTGAGAGAGATAAAAGGAGAGTCGGTGAATTTCGCGCCCTGTATAGATGGTGATTGTAGAGACACCGAAAGTGCGGTAGATCAGCTGAATGGCCTCGGCAGTCTCGATGGCGAGGGGAATGGCCAGACTGGTCTCCTAGTCTGGGACTTGAAAAAAATGAATATGATTATTCCTATATTAGCTCCTGAGTTGCTGATTATGATAGAGATGCGAATGTTATTTGGATAGATATCTCATCATCAGGTCATCGCAGGAGAAATCGCTCTGCGCAGAAAACTCAGAGTTCTTTCTGAGGAACAGAAGGAAACAAAGCTGGATTCTTCATTCTCTCCTGGTTTCGCTTCGCCATTTCAATTCCTTTCAATCGATCGACGCGCATTTGGTAGAATGTTCTATAAACCATTAGTGAATATTTCAAAATTAGAGCATCCAGAAACACGCACTTGTGCAGAGCAAAAATTCGCGGTGAATTATCCGGTTTCGAGTCTGACCCAGAACTCCCTTTCTTTATTGATTCGATCTGGGAAGCACATTAGCTAATTTGCATGTTCGATGTACCCAACGAGTAGTATACCTTATCATCCCGTTCCTTCTCATCATTCGCAGAATCCTTCGACTCGTCTTTCTTCTCGTCTTTCTCCTTCCCCAGGTCCTTATCATCCTTGTCGGATTTCTTTTCTTTATCCTTCTTCCGCTTTTGCTTCTCCTCGTACTCCTTCTTTACTTTTTCAATCTCTTCCGCCATCTTCTGCTCCTTGGCGCGCGCTGCTTCGCCTTCTGTGTCGACTATCGGCGAGCAGAAGTGGCGGTCTTGGAGGTGTGCGGGGCACACGTAGAAGAAGTCCTGGAGCATGATCAGTGACTGAAAGTAAATGCAGATTGATACCCGGTAGACTTCAGATGTCATTTGAAGTCCTAGTAAGAGCTGCCAAACCGAGAGCCGGATGTTACCTTGTTATCTGGTGTGATGAACACGCTGGTCGTTGGCTTGTAGCAAATCAAGCATGCCTTCGATGAGGTATCTGCGACCCGGCGCAGATGGTAAATATTCGTCAGCGACATTTTGTGAAGGCTGGAGTCACTTTGTTCCCTTCAGTCTGATTCTGATGCTCTAGCAATCGCATTTGGGGAGTGGAATTGGAAACGGAGCTTGGTTGTTGACGTTACCGCAGAGCGGTCATGTGACCCCAATCTAAAGAAATCAGATGCTGTTCGCTGAATATATAACTAGCTACGAAATGCAATAAGACTTTGAACTTTGATCATGGAAATTCAATTTCAGATAACTGGCATTGACAATGAGAATAGAACGCCTGACCATGCAATTGTCCACCACCAACCCCTAGCAAATACAAGCATAACCACTCGGGCAACCGGTCCGTGAATATTGTCTCCTTTAGGTACACCAGATGTCAAAGACAGAATGTCCTCCAAGGTTGTCATTGTTCATGATAAATCCTCCTCTGCGTCGACTCCAGCTGCTTCCTTCGCAAGCCGGAGATCCTTGCCTTCAACACCGATATCACGAAGATACGGCTTGAAAGCCTCGAGCAAGTCCCTCAGGCCGCTCTTCAGCGTATCCAAAACAAGGTCCACGTTCGGAATCTCGCGTGCTTTCACCTGTGCTTCGGGGTTGCTGGATGGCGGGAAGGACACATCGGTCCAGTGAGCATGCAGCCCACCTCCGTGAACAAATTCCTCCACTGCCATGATAGTCTCGGTGAAAAGGCGAATGACGGGAGCAACATCGGCCTGGACCCGACCGTATTGATCCTCCGCCAAGCTAGCAACCAATAAACGAGTCAACGCATCCACGGCGTCCACAATCAAAGTCAAAGATGACGAAGGACCATCAAGCACAATGTTCGATGCTCGTCGGGCATAGGGTTGACAGAAAAATTGACCAACAGGCGTACGAAGAATTGAGGCAATGACCGGGTGAACGTTCTCGGGCTTGTATGTGACAGGAGGACCATTCATAAGCATTTTCAACTCCTTGGAGGTATCGAGGAGCTTCTTCTTGCGTTCAGGGCTGAGCATGGCAGTCGAAGCCTGATCAATGGCATGGCGAGCCCGAGCCCGAGCTGCAGGGGTCCAATCAGGCGACTGGCCATATGACCTGGCTGTCGATCCAAAGGCTTGACCGAACTTGTCTTGGCGAGATGTAGTCTTAGGGGTAACGGCAAAGACGCTATCAGTCTTGAGTGCCTCTGTCAAACGAGGAAGAGGTTGAAGAGTAGGCTGGGGGGCTTGTTCGGGTGGAGGGGCGCTGAATGCACTGATCCTTGCTGGGATCGCCTTGATCACGTCGGTGAGGGACGCAACTACTTGAGACCAACTAGAGCCTCCCTCGCGGTCGATTTCGTTGAAGATTGTCTTGCGACGCTCGGGCTGACGCTGGCTGATAAGGCTAAGCTCCCAGAATGCAAACGCCTTGGGCATTTCCTTCTTCGTCTTCAAACCCGTAATCAAGCTACCGTTGGGATCTTTGGCGTCAATAGTCAGAGGCTGACCACGCTTCAATGGCTCTTTACCGATGAAGACGGAAAAGAATACATTGGTCGTCTGCCACAAAGAAACCAGAAGAAATCCCGAAAAAATGGTACGTATGAGCAAAGGAACAAAGCTTGGAGTTAGAAGGAGCGTGCTGGGCTGTGAAGATGACCGCGAAAAGTTCCAGAAGAGCTTGGCGAAATACAAGGATGTGCCCCATGCAGTCTGTCGAAATACCAAAGGGTACACCACAGGAAGAATCCCGGCAACCACGGCACTGCGTGTCAAGCCAGCACTCAACATTGGAGGCAATGCGTTCTGAATATGCTTCGCAGTTTGAGGCACCGGGTGTGTGCGTTGATCGTCAGCCTTGGGCGCTCGCTTTGCCACGGGCACGGGCACACGGTCGTAATCGCAGTACAGGTGAACAACTGCCTGGGTACACGCTAGAAGGAAATGGTAAGTGTGGATGTAGATCGGTCTCTCGTTTAGAGTAGGTCGCTCGTGAAGTCTGGACCCTGTGAGTATATCATCGCCGACGGAGAAATGATGATAGTAGGTTTCTACTGACCTGCCCCGTTTCACCATCTCAAGCTCCGCACTAGCCGGAGATGACCAGATATAGATTTCAGTAAACAGCCATGCGGTGAAGATATAACAGCCAAAAGTTTGCGCGATTTGCAACGGGAAGAGATATCGAAATGTACCGAGCGATGATTTCGTTGTGATTGAACCAATGTGAAGCTGGCTAACGCGGAGGATAAAGACGAGGAGAGGCGAGATGGCGAGCATGAGGGTACGGATACCGCACCATCCGAGAGGGAACCATGTCCAGAGAACTTCAAGAAGAGCAGATGTTAGTTATCATTGACCACAGAGGATTTTCGGTTGCCCTTAGCGACGGACGAGTACTTACAGGATGATTTGTCGCCAATTGCAATTGAAATCAGGTAGCAGACGAGGAGAGAAAGAGCTGACGCGTGGACGAATCGGCGGTGCATCGCCGACGTCACTATGCGCTTGTACGGTCGGGGTTTCGTGGCGGCCATCGTGAAAGGTGGAGTGCTGGGAGGGGACTCGTTAAAGGTGGGTGTCGTCGAGGTTTAAAGCATTGTCCGAATGACCATCCCAGAAGCTTCGGAAGCTGCAGAAGACAGTCGGAGAGCCAGCGACAGCGATAGCCGGTGGAAGGGGCCGAACGGGGCTGCGTGCGTTGCGCCGATGAGACTGGGATTAGGTCGAGTCTTTGACGGAATATTTTGAGGCATCAAAACACACCAGCCGCAGCTTGTCATGTGATCTATGGCGCAGGACCTCATGAGGTGCCACATCCCACTAGTCCTGATAGAGACTAGTGCGATAGATAACGTCATGTGAGGTGGTGCCTGCAGTTCCGCCGGAGGCAGCAGCTGCATCTCCTCTTGTCGTGTCTGCGTCGTTATTGATTTCAAGTTCCTTCGTCTTACCATCCACAGAACATGTCTTTCGATCGCTTAAACTCACTGGAGGCCCAGAGTGGGTTCTCCAGGACCGAAGATGCCCAATACCGCGATGACCCCGGATTCGACCAGCTGGCTGAGTCGCTCTCCGATCAATTGTTCACATTGAATTCCAACACCGCTCGTTTGACTCACCAAATAAACCTACTGGGAACCAAGCGCGATACAGAGCGGGTCCGCGAACGGGTCCATAACATGCTGGAGGAGACTCGAACGGGATTCAAGGATGTTGGAGAGGGTTTCAAGAAGATCCAGACTTGGGAGGATGTGAACGTATGTTACGAGCTGCATCTACCCTATTGGAATGCTTTCTAATTGATGCAAATATCAGCCACTGCAAAAATACAAGCAACAGAAACTCTCTTCCGATTTCAAGGCTGGTTTAGATGAGTTCCAGACCGTCCAGCGCCGCGCCCTTGAGAAGCAGCGGGCATCAGCCGCGGCGGCCCGCACAGCTATTGAAGGCGATGAACAAGGTGCCGAAAATGCCGATGTCCAACTGCAGCAGCAACAGTTGCAGGCACGACCGCAGCTTGCGAACCAGGGCGAGGTGGACTTCCAAGAGTCGCTGATCATCGAGCGCGAGACCGAGATCCGCAACATCGAACAAAGCGTCGGTGAACTGAACGAACTTTTCCGCGATGTCGCACATATCGTACATGAGCAAGGTGGCCAGCTTGATATCATCAGCGAGAATGTCGAGAATGTCACCCAAGACACCAGGGGGGCCAATGTCGAGTTGCGGGGAGCCAGTCGTCACCAGAAGAATGCACGCAACAAGGCCTGCTGTCTGCTGATTATTATGGCTGTTATTTTGACAATTATCGTTCTTGCGGTTGTCCTCGGATAGAATTTTGCTGTTTTTCGTTATTGCTTTGGACCATGGCGCCTTTCACCCTCTGTTATGTCCGCACACGATATCCCTGATGTATAATTTTGCGTCATTGCTCTCCCTTCATTTGGATTATACATTGCTTCTGAAGCATTGCCTCTGATCATACCTGAATTTAACTGGTGTACATGGAATGGAGATTCAATTCCCTCTAGATCATCGATCTTATAATATGATAGTTATCGTACAAAAGTGTTGTATTACATAAATGATATAGTCGCCCGGGGGCAAGTCAAGCCCATGCACCGTTTTCGCCTTGAAATGTTCCAAGCAGATCTTATAAAAGCCCAGAGGGTAGTTACTGGAGACCCACATATTGATAGAATCTCATCCTCCAGCCTTCATAGCTGTTCAATTTTGGCCGCACGTCGAGATAGAAGCTAAGCTTTCCAGGCCCAGCATTTCCAGCCAGACCCGCCGGGTTGCCATTCGTTCCCGTGGTCTTACCCTGGTAGAAATCAATGACATACTCGATACGCTCACCATCACATCGCTCAACAACCCAATCGTGTCGATCGAACGGGAGCTGGTATCCAAGCCATGAATTGATTCGGGCCCGGGGACTGAGGAACTGAGGGTCGACTCCGAGACCACGGAAAGAGTATAATTTAGGTCCACCGCACTTCTTGCTACCAGGGTCTGATGAAGGGGCCTTGCCCTCCCAGTCGAGGATCTGCTTCCATGCGCGCTCGTTGACGGCGTTGTGAATGGGGATAATCGAGGCGACCGATGTCGCGAGTTCCGAGGCCGAGGAAGTCGATGTTGGCGTATTGCCCTTGCGCATCAGGGCTTCGAAAAACTGTTTCTCAGACGGATATATCCAGTTGCCGCTGGCCTCGTCATGGCCAGTTTCAGACTCGGCGTTGGACGGGTAGCCGTGCGACGCGGCATTTGCATTCGCGGCAGCGTACGGCGACGGCGGTTGTTTGTTTGCCTCGGGACAGGCTTGTGCTGCAATCTGATCGCCGGCCCGCGGAATGCTGCTAACTTCTCGGTCGGTTGATAATGGTCGTTGCTTTGTTGTTGGTAGTTGTTCGGGAGCCGCAGAGGACGGGGGATGGGGTGCATTGTTGCCGTGTTGTTGCAACCACACCTCACGGGTCTTGTGGTCTACAGGGCAGGTCGCCGCAGGCGGCTCTGCGGAAGATGTGCTGGCAGTGGCTCCCATGAGGTCAGGACTGGCGTGAAGGATGCAGCGATTGCGGATTGCTAATCCAAAGTGATCGGCGCGAAGAAGCGGCGAGCGATAAATTTGCCTTCACCGCCTGCACGCCGTATAAGCGCCTCCTGCCTGACAAGGAAATCTGCCCTTCCCCCTATTGATCCATTGTTGCCAGGAATTCCCCGCGAGGTTATTGTTTTCTTGTTTCATCAAGCTATAATGGCGTCTGAATCCAGCCAGCCTGTTTACCGGGCCACCACCACTGCCCCCGTCAACATTGCGGTGATCAAGTAAGTTGGACATTATGCCCCTCATCGTACACCATGCAGTGAGAAATGCTGGGACTGACAATGAGGGTCATAGGTACTGGGGCAAGCGTGATACCACTCTCAACCTCCCGACCAACTCTTCGCTTTCGGTCACCCTCTCCCAGCGCTCTCTTCGCACCCTGACCACCGCCACCTGCTCTGCCAAATACCCCACCGAGGACACCCTGAACCTGAACGGCAAGCCGCAAGAGATCCAGTCCTCCAAGCGTACCCTCGCCTGCCTGTCCAACCTGCGTGCTCTCCGCAAGTCCCTCGAGGATGCCGATGCTTCGCTGCCCAAGCTTTCCACCCTGCCCCTCCGCATTGTCTCCGAGAACAACTTCCCCACCGCCGCTGGCCTTGCCAGTTCTGCTGCCGGCTTCGCTGCCCTCGTCCGCGCCGTTGCCGACCTTTACCAGCTGCCTCAGTCCCCGCGGGAGCTGAGCCGCATTGCGCGACAGGGCTCAGGCTCTGCCTGCCGGTCCCTGATGGGTGGCTATGTCGCGTGGCGCACAGGTGAGCTCGCCGACGGCAGCGACAGTCTGGCCGAGGAGGTTGCCCCGGCCTCGCATTGGCCGGAGATGCGTGCCCTTATTCTCGTCGTTAGCGCCGAGAAGAAGGATGTCCCCAGCACTGAGGGTATGCAGACCACCGTCAACACCTCCGAGCTCTTTGCCCACCGCGCCCAGACCGTCGTCCCTGAGCGCATGACGGCCATTGAGGCAGCCATTCAGGCCCGCGATTTCCCTAAGTTCGCGGAGATCACCATGCGTGATTCTAACACTTTCCACGCCACTTGCCTCGACTCATGGCCCCCGATATTCTACATGAACGACGTCTCCCGTGCCGCCGTTCGTCTCGTGCACGACATCAACCGTGCTGTTGGCCACACTGTTGCCGCTTATACCTTCGATGCTGGCCCCAACGCCGTCATCTACTACGAGGAAAAGGATGAGGCTCTCGTTGCGGGTACCGTCAAGGCGATCCTGAGCGCCAGCACCGATGGATGGGAGGGCCCCTTCTACGAGAAGCTGGCTAACATCACCACTCCCGGTGTTCCTCTGGACCAGATTGACTCTCGTGTCGTGAGTGGTCTGAAGGACGGCGTTAGCCGTGTTATTTTGACCGGTGTTGGCGAGGGCCCCGTCAGTGTCCAGGATCACCTTGTGACCGAGTCCGGCGACATGGTCAACAACTAGAATATCTCATATAAATTTATGATGTACAGCGACCTTGCTTATATGACCTGGACGATACCCCGGACCCTTTTGCAAAGGGTGAACCCAAATCCAGTCAATGCAAAATCGATACAGTTGCTTTACTTTTCAAGAGTTCAAAAATTTCTTTCAGGAACATAATTGCAGAATAATAGTTGAGCTTCTTGTTGCAAGTACACTCAACTTGACGTCCAGTCACGTACATTTGATACACCAAGTTAGAATCTCCGGACAATTCCCTGTCGACTAGAGCGCTGCAGCGAGGCAGATAACCAGGTCAAGCATCAACAAATGGCACAATCATCACACCGAGCAAACCCATACCCCAGCCTACGACATGTACTGATAAATCTCTCCTGTTGTGTGCCCGGAGCAACACAGCAGCCCTTAAATCCACAACCGTAGCCGAATTGTGCCCCGACGCGTTTGCAGGCTTGGATAGAGTACTCGGTCCGCCCGTTGCAGTGGCATTTAACCATAGTCACCTGGGCCGAAGATATGGCAGCCACGCCCAAGAGTAAGATCGTGAGAAAGCAATGCGTGGACAAATACATTTCCTCAATGGATCTAGGTCTATTAGACTTGACGCCAATCTTCCTGATGGAAATCTCACTCACAGGTGAGCAGCGGCCAATATGCCCTGGAGAAATGGATAGCATTAGTACTGGTATCACCGTGCCATGGTAAAGTGCCTCCGCGCCTGGGATTGATCTGCTTAAAGAACAATTTTCCCAAGCAGGTGGCATACATGGCATGTGACGATCACAGATCGATAGTATCCTCCAAGGGCTTCTTTGTACGACTTGACCTCATGGACTTCCAGATACGGGAATGTCTTCAGGCGCAATGTTGCTGTTCAGGATGTAATATTGCCATGAGGTATCTATTGACCAGGTAGATTTTTAGTTCATCGTGTAACAGCGCCATCGGAGCCAGTACTCCTCCAGACTGTCTCTGGTACGTCGTGTTTCACCCGGGTTGCAACGTCGGGGTCCTGCCTCGCACAGAGGAAGACATAGAGGGCTCGGAGAGATATCTCTACTCATTTTAGCCAGAAAGTTTTCGAGTGTTTATGTAAGGTTCTAAAAATTAGTTTCAATTCCAAGGTTGACTTTCGAGAATCGTAGTTCATGGATCTAAAAGAGGACCCCAAAGTACGGCATGTTTCCTCTGTGGAACTGTGCCAATTTCAGTGCTCTTAAATAGCACCCATGAGCACCCATAGTATTACGATTGAATATGATTGTGATGCGTAGCAGAAACAATACATCAGGTTTGAGACTTATTTTACATTTTAACCAAAATATATGGTAGGACATGGCACACGATATCCCCAGCAACGCTCACAAGAACGAAGCAGCGATCCCACAGAAACCCCCAACCAAGGGCAAAAATCCCCTAACCTGATTCAACGTCGTCCAACGCTGCACAAGCCCAAGCGTCTCCTTATCCGAAAACTCACTTGAAGACTCGCTATTCTCCAGGAGTTTATTATTCGTACTCGACATCGCCACAAACGTATACGGGACAATACAGAGCGTGAAGGCCGCGGCCGCAGAGAACAAGCCCGCCCGACTAATACTCGTCTTCTTGTAAAGGGGCGATCCCGCACGAACAGACCAGGCTAGATACAGGAATGCAGAGCTCACGCAGAGCGCGATAGGAGGATTTTGCGATTTGCCGTTATCGTACATGCTCTTCCACTGTCTTGCCAGCAGGCCCCGGGAAACGTTTTCTTCTTTCTGCGACTGAATGATAGCGGGCGTGCCGATGAGACTTATGGCCGCGATGTTTCCTTGAATTGATGTTAGCAGGATGGTCGACTCATGACTTTATACCAATGATCTCTCCAAAGGTTCCCTTACCGGATAACCATGCTGCGCCGGAAATGCCGACAGCCTGTGCCACGCGGAAGCCGAGAGGGTAAGAAGTCATTTTCAGATGTGGTATATCAATGAGTATATGCAGTGGACAACGATCAATACTTATGACCGAAAGCCGAGCTGCCCCGTTCCCCAGGTGTCTTATTACCCGACGATCGGGTGGCGATCGGGGCTCGGGGGCGCCTTGCCCGACATGCCGACCCGCCTTAACAAGCCCTGACGGCCAATCACTCTCTACTGCAGCCGCGATCGGTCTTTGGCGGATTTTGCCGGTCTTTGGCCGCGTTGCATACTCCTTCTACTTTGAGACTTATTGGAGTATTGGATTGCATGTGGCGGACCCTTGCTAAGCCCGAGCAGCATGGCATGACATCGACCAGGGCCACTCGGGCCTGTCAGCATTATAATTTGACCCGCACTGCTCCTTTCTTCAGCTTTCTTGCATTTACATTCCTGTTCATCATCAACTCGACGATGGCGACTTTACGATTAGCCTGGCAGTCTCTCAGATCGCGACCAGCGCTCATTTCGGCCGGCGCAGTCATTGGATTTGGAACATATTATAGCACGCGATTCATGTCTACCGGGCATGCGGAATCAGCCCAGAAACCGAAGGTGTTTGGTGAATTTGGCCCCAAGACGCTGCGATTGCAGAGTGTTGATCAGGTCAACCACAACACGAAGCGACTTGTCTTCGAATTCCCTGATAAGAATGCCACAAGTGGTCTAACGTTGACTTGTGAGTTTCTGACTGTTTGATATACACTCCTTACGTTGCTAACCTCTTGAAGCTGCCCTCCTCACGTACTCCTGGCCCCAGGGCCGATGGCTGCCCGTTCTTCGACCGTACACACCCATCAGCAAACTAGGTCAGATAAATCCAGTCCAATTACAGCGACAATAGTACTTACAATAATTGTCTATTCCAGACCAAGAAGGATCCATTGAACTAATGGTAAAACACTACCCAAACGGCAAAGCCAGCACCCACCTCCACTCCCTCGCACCAGGCGACACTCTCACCTTCATGGCCGCACTAAAAGGCTACGCCTGGACACCAAACAAATTCTCCCAAGTCTACCTGATCGCAGGCGGGGCCGGAATTACGCCCATCTACCAACTCGTCCAAGGGATCCTGGACAACCCCGAAGACAAGACGAAAGTCAACCTGATCTTCGGCGTGAATACAGAGCAGGACTTGCTTCTCCGGGACGAGCTCGAGAAGTACAGACAGCAATTCCCGGATCGGTTCGATTACGTTTATACGGTCAGCCACTCACAAGAAGAAGGCTCAAATATTCGTAAAGGTTATGTTACGGAGGAATTGCTGAAGGATGTGGTGAAGGGGCCCAGGCAGGATACTCATGTTTTTGTTTGTGGTCCACCAGGGATGGAAGACTCGTTGATTGGGTCGAGGAATGAGCTCGGGATTTTAGGGCGGTTGGGGTTGGGGAAGGAGCAGGTTTATAGGTTTTAGATGTATAGTTGAATTCGGGAGTATCATGGCAAGTATGTACATTTGATCTGTATTTTTAACCTAAACACTGTCAGTGTTAATATTTCTCGTTTGTTCTCTGCCCCGTCTCTTGGTATACATAGTGTTAGCTGTGATGGCGGTTAGTGGGGCAGGTGGACTGCGGCGTTCAGCCAGTTTACTAAATGCCCTACTAATTTTGTTTGAAGGGGGAATCTTGAAGATACAGAATTACTCTGAATAACAGAATTGAATCAATTCTCCAAGTTGCTCACCATTTTTGCAACTCCGCCTCGTCGGGCTAGTACACGTGGGACGCCCGGTGAAGACGAGGCGTCGAGTTTGGGTGGCGGAAATCTTTTTCAGTCCCTCATTTCACCGGCTTCCCCACTACCCCAGCCCAACCGCAATCCCGTTCATAAAACATCCTCACCCTCAATTCCACATAGCCAGCACCATCTAGCAAAATGGGCAAAGACGCAGGCACTCCACGAGTCTTCCTCTACCGCCACGGTACGTCGGTGCTGCCGGAATTTGAATGGCTGATGCAAGCTAACAACGCCCAGGCCAGACCGTGTGGTCTGAAAGCGGCCAATACACCGGCCTGACCGAGCTGGACCTCACCAAGAACGGCCAGCAGCAAGTCGAAGCCTCAGGCAAGATGATCGTGGGCGCGGGAAAGCTCATCGACCCGTCGAATCTGGCGCATGTGTATATCAGCCCGCGCAATCGGGCCAAGCAGACGTTCGACATTGCGTTCGCGGACGCCGATAAGCAGGCCCTCAAGGAGGCTGGTAAGGTCTCGGAGACGGATCGGCTTATGGAATGGACGTATGGGCAGTACGAGGGCCTTTTGACGAAGGAGATTCGGGCACTGCGCAAGTCGCATGGTCTGGATGCTGAGCGGCCGTGGGATATTTGGCGGGATGGCTGTGAGGATGGAGAGTAAGTACCTACCTTTTCTCTAGAATCTCTTGCTGGGATCTGCGGCAAAGACTCACGGTTGTAATAGATCCCCTCAGCAGGTCACAGAGCGCATCGACGACCTGATTGCAGAGATCCGCTCCTTCCAGAAGGATAGCATGCATGGCGAGAAGCCAGCGGACGTTGTTCTCGTTGCGCACGGTCACTTGCTCCGCGCGTTCACGAAGCGCTGGCTCGGGTATCCGATGGAGTTCCCACTTTCGCTGATGCTGGACCCCGGCGCAGTTGGTGTCCTGAGGTAAGAAGGCTTTGCTCCCCGTTCAGAACACAGGTAGCTGACTACGGCGTTAATATGATTATACAGCTACCAGCACCACAATGTTGAAGAGCCGGCTCTGATGGTCGGATATGGATTCCCTGTTCAGCAATGACTCATGTAGGGAAGAGGTATAAAGTATTTCGAGCATAGAGGCAGACTTACTATAGTACTGCAGATAGACAAAATTTAGACATGATATCCCGAGACTCGGCTAACAGTAGTGCCGTGCTGGCTTGCTCTAGATCATTAGCTACCGACTCTGAGCTCTGAGTAGGCGCTGCCACGTTGCAATGCAATTGCGTCGATTGACGCGTATATTTACTCCTCGCTTCATGCGGCAGTATCCAATCCTTCCTTTTCCTTCTTCCTCTTCCCCCGCCATTTCTTCTACCACCCACTCTCGCTCAACTCAGTGGAACCTTCCCACATCAACCTTCTCGATAATACTTATCCAACATCTACCTTTCACACCCACCTACACCCCAAAAAGAGAACAGTGTCAATATCATATTGTCACGATGCCCATGGCGTGGGGTCCCGAGGCAGAGACGCGCGTATGTTCTCTCTCCTCCCCTGGTGATATTCAACATTTATCTTAACAAAATACACCAGCTTCTCATGGCGATTTTCAAGCAAGTTAGGGACAAGCATGTGAAGCTGGACATGCATGAGATTGCAGCTTACGTCGGCCCCGGTACGTACCCTAGCACCTAACTTGAGGCATGCTAATCGAAGATACAGAATGTAAAAAAACTGCGGCCGCCTCGGCGCCATCAAGAAGATAGGCGAAAAGAAGGCTGGTAATGCTGATACGGAATCGTCGTTGAAGAAAGGCAAAAAGACCGCAACGGAGAAGACCCAGCCGGGCCCCCGTCGTGGCAAGAAGAGAAAGCGAGATGAAGTGCAGGAAGAAGTCATCGTTTCTTCCGCTGACAATGAATCGAGCGACCAGGGTGACGTGGGTGTGCAGGTTGTTATCCCCGAGAGCCCGAAGAGTACGAAGGTCATGCGCGATGTTAAGGATGAGCAGTCGGAGGTTAAGAAGGAGCCGAAGGTCAAGGAGGAGCCTATCGCGAAGAAGCTTCACCAGGTCAAGATACATGGGGATGAGGAGGCCTAGTTGACTTAAGATTGTGTAGAACGTGGCAGGTCACTGAACATGACTGCACCAGCGTTGTTTGCTTGTCCTTGCTAATTATGGGATATTTGCCTTAGCATTTTGAGAGATTGCGTCTCCCGCTACCAAAGATTGTGTCTGCGATTGCTATTTACGTGATATTTTGTCTTCTCTCAGAAATACTCCAATTTGAATTTATTCATGGCAATATGAAGTATCGAAATCCTCTGTACATAGACTCCCCGTTCGACAGGTGGAAACCTACTGGCTGGACGAAGAAAGGCCTCAGAGCCTGGCATGTAGTCAGGAGCTCCGCAAGAATCATTTTGCAGCGAAGCGTGCTCTTGATAAACAGAACTGGCGCGACGCGAGGGTTCAGGTGTAGCGGTTGCTGTTATATCGCCCTTTTCTGTCGTTCCACTCCTTGTGTCCTTTCAGGCTGAGCACTTTCATGTTTATCTATGGCTGTAATTATGATTATCTATTTAAGATTGAGTAAAGAGACTGGCCTCAAACGACACCATCCCACACAAGTCCATATACCGCTGAATTAACTTTTGAACCAACAAAATCTATACTCACGCAGCTCCCGCATCCCTCTTCTCCACCTTCTCAATCTCCTCCATCACATCCAGGCCCATGGGCAAATCCTTCGCCACCCTCACAGGATCAAAAATGGACTTTGACCGAATAAAAATCTGATCGATCTCCTCGAGTGTCCTCCCCCGCGTCTCAGGGTAGAAGAGGTAAATTACAACCAAACCAGCCGCGCTCGTCGCTGCATAGACAATATTATACCTCCACTTGATATTCGTCTCGGCAACAGGACTTACCTCCGCCACCATAAAGTTAAACAGCCAAGAAGACGTCGCACCGAGCGCAGCAACCTTATGCCGAATACCCAGTGGCGCAATCTCAGCGCCGTACATAAATGGAATGATAAACATGCCGATGGTGAGGGTATAGTCCGCCATGAAATAGAAGAACACCGCGGCCTTGCTAGCGGCGAGATTACTCAAGTCGGACGTGAGGCCTGCAACAGCCGCCTGCTCGATGACCATCGCGCCCATGGAGAACATCATCAGTCTCCGACGGCCGAATTTATCCACCACAAACACAGCCGTCAGGCCGCCAAGCGCAAGCGCAATCTGCAAGCATGCGGCGAGGACGCGGGCGTCGACGCCCGAGTAGCCGAGGGTTTCCTCGAAGATGGAGGTCGAGTAGAAGGTGATGGCGTTGATTCCGCTCAACTGGGTGAACATGGTCACGCTCATGGCGATGATGAGACGGTGGAGGTGGCGGTTCTCGTTCATCGCGAAGGGGTTGTGCGAATGCTTGCTGCGAGCTACTGCCGTCTGCGTGGCCGTGTGAATGGTCGCGATCTCCTTCGTAATATCTGAGTCCTCGGGCGAAGAGCCCATGAGCCGGGCCATGATGTCGGTTGCCTCTTCCAGTTTCTCCTTCTTGACCAGCCAGCGTGGTGACTCGGGTAGGAAGGGGGTCAGTGATAGAAGGATGATGACCCAGAGGAGTGGGAGAACCATGGTGAATCGCCAGCTCACTGAGCCGGTCGTGTAGTACATGCCCAGGTTGACGAATGAAGCAATCACGTAGCCACTCAGGGCGAAGACACCCTCGACTAGGACGAGGCGGCCGCGTTTCTCTGCGCTGGCGGTTTCACTGACATACATCGGGACGGTGCCGGTGTATATACCGATGCCGATGCCTAGGCTTGTGTAAGTTGATACGCCGCAACATTAAGTGATATGGGGAGCATCGACTTACCAGTAACAGTTCGCCCAGCCAAAACCTGACCAAGCGAATACGTCGTCGTCTGAATAAGGATACCGATACTCGCAATAGACCCAGCAAGAATCATAGTCTTGGGCCGACCAAGTCGATCACCAACAAAAAGACACAAAAGGGCACCGATAGCGGACCCAATTTCAAAAATGGCGATCACAAGTCCTGAACAATATTAGCATCACCATCGCCACAGGCCCCAAGTAGGTTTCCACGCGAAATACACACCCTGAATTGTCGAATTATGCGACTTCTGCGCCCCGGTTGTATGCGTGGTATCAACCTCGGGCACCGTCTCCAAAAAGCTTGGTAAGGTCATAAAGCCATTCATCATCGCTTGGTTGTACCCTTGAACCAAGAACGCCACTGCGCCCAACACGGCAATAATGCGCTGGAGGCTTTCGCCCTGCAAACTGCGCATGCCCATCGCGACTGGACCTGATCCAGTGGATCAAATCAAATATACCGGGCAGTGATTGGCTTGTCGGGTTATTGCAAAGTAAAGAGTCACCACGAGCGCCCGATCAGGATAGGGGTAGGACGGCAGTTGATTCTTTAGAGATCAGTCCTGCAGTCTCATCGGCTCAGCTTGAGCTTGTATTTTGCCGGGTCCACTCTCGGAGGAAGGGTGGTCTCCGAGATCTCGGGTCGAAATTCGTAGCGCGAACCCGACATCGGAGATCTGGTTCATCCCAGTGGGAGATTATTGGAACTAGTGTGGCGATCGGCCGATCATTAATTTGCGAGTGTAGGATCTGAAGTGGTTTGCTTTCTGTTTGCTACTGTACGACTACTAGTGACGGCTAACTAAATTGGCTTTGTTTGTGCTGGAGTTCATTTACTTGGCGCTTGGCGAGGGATTCATCCCTTGGTGGATGATTGTTCCGCCCTTGAATGCTCTGCCCTTGATTGTTTCGGTACAATTGACGATCGTGACTGTCAATACTGGTGGTCCCCTCACATACTCTGTATATTGTAAACTCAATGCTGTTGTTGAGATTCCCAATTAAGCTATCGCCAAGACATCCATACATACTTTGCCAAACCAGAAATGAAGGAGCGCGACCGGCCCCCACAACGACAACCTGCCATCTTGAATAGCCTCATTAGCTTTGGCTTCACGAGGGAACCATACACTCAAATATTCAGTACTTCCGGACGTTCTAACCCTACATTACAGTGTATCGGTATTCTAGCCGAACGACTCGGCATCTGCCACTCAGTCCCTTCGGCATCTTCGGCCCAACCGCAAACTCAGAGTGTAATTGTCTCCCCGCATTTGCAGTCGATCTCGACGACCCGATCGGAGGCCCCACTTCGAACAGCGGAGAAATCTCAAATTGCAAGCCAAATTCAAGATACTACTAGTAGACATTTTGTTTCTGGAAGTCATTTTTTGTAAATGTTGAGGGAAATCGAGATCTAGCCTATCCACCAATAGTTACCCCTCCTCGTAAACCGGTGGGGTCATTCGCCACGTCTCACCCAACACTGCAGCAACATGCAGCAAAGCCAAGCACCCTGCAATTTCTGCCGACATGACAGCTGTGCTGAACTGAGCTTCCAAAGGCTACTACGTACAGTGTATGCTGTAGCCCACTCAATTCTCCGATCTAGCCACAGCCCACCTCATCAGGCCTCCAGCCAGCTCCAGTCAGCTCCGCAGTTCCAATCAACTCTATGACGCCTCCAGCCGCACCTCGCATTTCGCACAGCCAAAGCGGCGCAGTAAGGCGACCACAATCTAACTAATCTCCGCTACTTTCTGCGCCTCGTCGCAGCTAACCCACAAACGAAGCTGACTCCGAGGTCCACGGTGCGGGGAATCGAGCATTGGCAGCAACTAACACCAATCATAACACCAATCATGGAGCTAGGTAGCCAACGGTAGCGACAAGACGAAACCACAGTCGATGCGCCAGCCAGCGAATGCATGTCCTAGCGCTGTTTGACTTTGCCCCCGCCCCTAATATCCTCCGCCTAGTACCACTTAGTGTGCTGGTCTAGATGCAGTAGTGTCAGCTTGCAGGAAACGGTATGCTGAGCGAGAGTTGAAATAAAACGTGGTGCCCGGGAGATTGGCACTAAAGGTGATATTCTTTCCGACTTCACCCCAAATCGTCGGATCTATACATTGGATCACCTGGATCGTCATGGCTGACAACGCGGACGCACCCACCTGCTCGATTGACGAGTTCGTTAAGACGAAATTCGACTACATCGTTTGCGGGGGTGGCACTGCTGGTCTCGCCGTTGCGGCGCGATTGAGCGAGAATCCCGATGTGACTGTCGGCGTCGTGGAAGCAGGGGATTATCGCATTGGTGATGCGCTGGTTGACTGTCCTGCGGCATTCTTTAATATGTTTGAGAATCCGGACTACGATTGGTGTCTGTACTCGGAGCCGCAAGTGCGTATCCTATATCTCCACATGAATATCCACCATCCAAACAGCCAGCTGAGCAAGCTAACACTCAAATCAGGAAGTAGACGGCGGCAAACGCCATCACATCCCTCGAGGCAAACTCCTCGGCGGCTCCTCGGGAATCAACTACATGATGTACGTGCGCGGCTCGCGACAAGACTACAATGACTGGGCCGAGCTGGCCGAAGACGAAGGCTGGTCGGCCGACGTGATGCAGCACTACATGCGCAAGCATCAGACGCTGGAGCCAATCGACCCATCCATCAAAGACCGCACGACGATGCCCTTCGTCGGTGAGTTCCACGGTACCAGCGGGCCCGTCCGAACAAGCTTCAATGATACGATCCTCCCCATCGAAAACGACATCATCAAAGCCTGCGACGACGCCACGGGGATCAGCAAGAAGCCCACTGACCCGTGGAGCGGCGACCATATCGGTTTCTACAACACGCTTGGTTCCATCGTTCGCACCGGTCCGAATAAGGGTAAACGCAGCTATGCGGCTCGCGGATACTACGAGAATAACCGGGCTAGTCGGCCGAACCTGAAAGTTCTTTGCTCTGCGCTCGTCAACAAGGTCCTCCTGGACGGGAACAAGGCTGTCGGCGTCTCGATCAGCCACAAGGGACAGGAGTACGCGGTCACCAGCAAGCGCGAGGTCATCGTATCGGGAGGAACGTTGAAATCGCCGCAAATCCTCGAGCTGTCAGGTATAGGCGACCCGGCCGTCCTCGAGGCCGCGGGCGTAGAGTGCAAGGTCGTCAACCCCGCCGTCGGAAATAACCTCCAAGACCATTCGATCACACTGGCCGTATACGACTGCCAGCCCGGAACGCTTTCCCTCGACTCATTCCACCAGAACCCAGAGCTGATGGCCGCGGCCCAGAAGCAATATGTCGAGACAGGCGGCGGTCCACTGAGCTGCACCTCGACAATGCAGGGCTTCTTCCCGATCAAGAGGGTGATGTCGGAGGCAGAGATGGAAGAGGTCATCTCGAGTATCCGAGCAGTCAAGCCCACGAGCGCTTTCCACGAGAAACAGCTCGAACAGGTCATCGCGCATCTGCAGAGTGATATCTCGGCCAATATGCAGATGGTCCTTGTTCCCGCAACCGCAAACAGAGACGGAATCGAGCACCAGAAGAATATCTTCCCACCCGCTGACCCGACCAAGCCTGCCGGCGTGACCTTCGCCCTGTGTCTCCAGTACCCCGTTTCTCGAGGCTACGTGCACATCGCCACTGCCAGTACGTTTCCCCATTCCCTTTCATACGACATCCCACTAATGATAGCAGACCCAACCGACCCGCCCAAAATCCAACCCAACTACGGCATCCACGAAGCCGACATCGCCGTCCTGGCCGCCGCCTTCCGCTGGGTCGACCGCGTCAGCAAATCCTCGCATGTGTCGAACTCCCTCGGCGACCGAACCTACCCAGCCCCGGAAAAGGACCTGCAGGACCTGGAGGTGTGCAAGGAGAGTGTGCGCGAGACAATCGCGGGCGAGTACCATATCTGCGGGTCTGTGGCGATGGGAGATGCGCTGGACTCGCGGTTGCGGGTGAAGGGGGTTGAGGGGCTGCGCGTGGCGGATGCGTCTGTTTTCCCGAATAATGTTAGTGGGAATATTGTTAGCTCTGTTTATAGCGTTGGGGAGAAGTGTGCGGATTTGATTAAGGAGGATTGGGATTTTGCGCCATTGAAGGAGGCGATGGCTTGAGCCAGTACTGCTGATCGTGCCTGAGGTATACTTTGCAGTGCAGATGGCAGGGTTTGCATGTGCGACAGGGACCTTGCGTGTGTTTTTATCTTTCACTGGCAGGGTTGTTGTTCTCGAGTTAATTGGATCGAGAAGGATATGGGTCTGTCTACTGCAGTGCGTTAAGCGTTTATTTATGTACACACCAGTCTGTCACGAAAGCGTACGAATCCATGATACATTCTTTTGCCAAATTGGTTTTTTACTGACAATATTCCCTTGGTCATTGCCTACAGTAATTAAGTGGGTGAGCGGGTGGTGGGTTCTCGATAAGCAACTAAAGCCAGTGGGTGGGTTCTGGGGCTCTCCACCACGGTCGACACATGAAGCGACGCTCGGTTGTTTCAGCTGTGAGTCAAATGAGCCGAGCATGAGCAAAACCACACTCATTCAGTCCTCGATACTTTCTGCAGCACTTGCATTGGTACTTGGTATACCATTGACAAACTCGCTGGGCGAATCCCGCCACAACACTACTAAAAGCTAAAGCAGCATATCTGCAACATTCTACTCCCGCAAAAAGGTAAACGGATACGCTCCTGAGCCCACATAAATGGGGCCGACAAATTCCGCAGTAGGCGGGTCTTAGGTGGCCGATTCTAGCCAGCGGGGAAGAGTATGGCACAAGGACTGCCCTGCACTGAAGGATCAACATCCCAACATCACATTATGGGATGGCTGCGCTGATCGGCCAAGAATGTAGGGCAAGAACGCCACGAGCCTTAAATGCGATAAAGATGTTGTTGATCGATGTATTCGAGGTCCGACCACGAAAGCGAGAGTTGCTTGGGTCTCGAGGCGAGTCGAGGTCGAGGCAATTAAGCCGGAGTTTCTCCTATTGGCGAGCTAATTCGAGACTAATTGCTTGCCGATGGCCGAGGCGTTTTACTGGTGGCGCAGTCGAGTACCTACAGAGTAACTTTTTGCTATACCTGCGTGGTTGCTTTGGTGAGTTGTATGGTGTGAGTAGAAGGGCACAAATATTGTCAGTAGACTATAACTGGTCATTGCGATAAAGATAATAGATGAAAGAGCAGCTTTCTGAACTAAATGCATAATGAAAAAAATTTCCGGAAGCCACATGGGCCTAAACAACGTGCAAAGCTGAGGAGGTCTGCCAGCAAATGGCACACGCACGTGCAGCCGGGCAGCAGCAGAAGAGCTGTATCACGCTAGTCCCGATCGGGCTAACGTCCACTCCTTCGTCATCGGGCGGGGATAGCCAGAGCTGCTGCGACTCTCCTGCCTCATCGTGAAATTCTCTTCTCCTCGCCGTCGCCACACAATCTGATCCGAGAAAGAAATCGTCCCTTCGTCGGTTTCTGCCCTCCCGTCATGTCCAGCCAGCCCCTTCTCCAGACTGCCCCGGGTGAGTCCAGCTGCAATCGGACGAGACCAGCCTCCACGAAAGATGAAAGCTCTCTAACATCTCTCGGATACAGGCAAGCGGATCGCCCTCCCAACCCGTGTCGAGCCCAAGGTCTTCTTCGCCAACGAGCGAACCTTCCTCTCCTGGCTGAACTTCACCGTCATCCTGGGCGGTCTCGCCGTCGGCCTGCTCAACTTTGGCGATCGCATCGGTCGCATCTCCGCCGCTCTCTTCACTGTCATTGCGATGGCGGCCATGGTATACGCCGTCGTCACGTTCCACTGGCGCGCGCAGAGTATTCGGAAACGAGGCCAGAGTGGCTTTGACGACCGTTTTGGTCCGACTATCCTCGCAATTGCGCTGTTGGCGGCTGTCATCGTCAACTTTATCCTTCGTATCCAGGACAGTGAATCGAACTGATCTTGCGTCGGCTGCAGCTCATTCCGCTCTGTTCGGCTCCGCCCGTTTTCGGCTATTCTTTAATTACAGCCCGCTCCTTCGAGCTAGCTAGCTTGGGAACGAGCGAGGCAGCCTACCCTCGATTCTTCTCGGTTACTACAACACCATCGCACCAACATCGGTGTCCATCTGTCCAGCATTTCAGATTCACTTGCAGCTTGTTTTTGTCCATATAATCACGGTTTCGGCGCTCGGTGCGGAAGGTCTCATGTCACATTATTCGGTCACTGGTCTATATCAATGAAGCGGCTTCCACTTCCTGTGTTACCATCCTATTACTTCGGGTTCTGGCGTCTCTATCATCTCATGATCTCTCTCCTTTCTGGAGAGCAGACGATTGCATTGTAAGATCAGTCCATTGGTCGGGGTATATAAAATCAAAAGTCATGTCTCACATTACCACTGGCAGTTCTGCAAACGATGAGACGACTTTGGGGTCAAGTCTCACCGAGACTAGATTAGGGAACGGTAATCCCTGATCTCCCCCTCAAGCAGTCCCTGCCTAATAAACTCCTCATAAGACCAATAATCCTCCTTAACACCCTCCCCTGGAGTCACCTCCTCACTCTGAAACTTAACATTCCAAAACGAACTCCCCCTCGTAAATCGTCCAAAAGCCGCAATGCCTGCCCTCAAATTCCGTCCTCTCAGCGCCAATTCATTCGCACCCCCAGCCTCAATCGACCACTCCCCGACAAAAGTCGGAAACGTCCCATCGCCAGCACTGCTCTTCGCATCCTCGCAAATAAATCGTGGCAAATTCGCCGCCGTCGCATTGGCCAGCGGATAATAATAATGATGCAAATCCAGCACTATATTTTCATCACCCGTAAAAAACTTCGTCCAGTACTCCGGCTCCTTAAAGCTGCCTTGAAACATGACCGGAATCCGGCCATCAACACCCTGCACGCGTCGCAGGACAGCTTTGATATACTTCACAAGCCACCTGGCGCCAGCCTCAGAAAGTGCAGCGGGCGATCCGAAGGTCGAGAAATCACGATTATCCACCGGCTCGTTGATTGGTGATAGAGTATAGCTGCCAGGCAAACTGGCCTGGTCAATAAATTCCAAGACTGCATCTACAGCTCGCAAACTCCACTCCATCGCCGTGGAATTATGCCACCAACCCCAATGACCAACCGCCTCCCCGATATCGAGTCCATTCGTGCCGCCGGGTAGTGAGTGCAGGTCCAGAATAACATGCATCCCGTGCGTGGTGGTTGCATACTCAGCAATGTGTCTGAGGTACGTCTTCTGGTTGCCGGAGTACAGTTTCGAGCCCGGGAGGGAAATCCACATTGCGTAGGAGGTCGGGATACGCAGGATGGAGACATTGTGAGAGGCGAGGAGATCGATAGTGTCGGTTTTGATGTATGTTTTGAACCGAGGTTCGAGGATGGCGCCGCATTGAGCACTCCCGATTTGGGAGCAGAGGCTCCATTCATCTGTTGCGTTTTGGAAGGTTGTTGTCCACCATTGCCGGGAGATGGTTGACTCTTGCTCGAGCCAGCCACCGAGGTTTACGCCGTGGCCGGTGAATGTACGCCAGTTAACGAAGGAGTCTTTTGTGGTGCTGGTGTTTCCTATGTAGGCAGTGGCTGTCGGTAGCCTGAGCACACCGAATAACGCGAGAATCAGTAGATGCATCTCGTAACCCACAGAAAGCCTAGGGTAATTCAATCTGACTCCTCTCAACTCGGATGCATCCTACTTATAAATCCCCAAATCAATCGGTTCAAACACATCCGAGTGCTCTCTTCAGGACCCCACAATCTACCCGGGAGTGGAGGCGCGGAGAAATGCAGGACACATCGTGCCTGAAAAGGGAAGGGACTCCGGGTTTTTTTTTCCTGCCGAAGTGGTTCCCCGGAGATTCAGATGGATGGATCATCGGGTGCTGGGCGGGTGATTCGCTCGGGTCTTCCAGATCGTCAAGGTCGGGAATGGGGCGTGGAGTGCCGAGTCGGGATGTCCGAGTTGCTCACCCAGAATAACGGGTGACATTGGTAGGTGCGGTTTTCTCTGTGCTGGGGAATCAGTGGGTACTCCATAGTGAGTGACATTCATATGGGAGGGTCTTGGTTGTCTTGTGCTGTGATGTGAATGTTGGTGTGGTTGCGATTGGGTTGGTGGTGTCTAGATGCGGTGGGCGGCCGGGTTTACCCCGGGCGGAATGTTATGGCGGCGGCCGTGATGTCAAATAGCGGTGGAGTTGATCAATGCGAGTTCCTCTTTTTGTTTTTCATTTATTTTGATGACCTTTGTGGAGTGCCCAGGTTCGCGTGGGTGTCATCATCACTCCCAGTTACTCCAAGGACCATAGTGTAAAGCCATCGGGATACCAATCGAGCCAACACAACTCAATTCAGTCCGGCATTTCCAAGGTTGTTTAATCGCTGCAATAGAACGTTGAGACGAATCGAGCCCTTAATATTTTCGGACATGACTACACTGTATCGCTCTCACAACCATGCATTCCAGAATTCCAGACAATGAAGAAGACGGGTATGGGACCTTTTCCCGTCCTTTGATTCATTGGTGTAATGCTGTTGGAATGTTCTCCTTCCTATTTAATTGGTACCATTCCTCTTATACTATGGGTATATGAGTGTAGCAATCAGGATATGTATGGTCGAGATTTGGATGGGAGTGTAGCCGGGTGTACTCATAATATATTGTTGGCGGAGTGCACAATATCACAGCACGTGACAGTGTTAGGTGAATGTCTTCCATTGCTGGCGAACTTCGGTATAGATATCATGTGATCTAAAAAAGAGGTAAGAATGTCTCTTCTTGGCGATTAGGTACTATACCAATGTCTATATATATCATAAGCCAGGGATGGAGCCTGTTGGTATATGGTACATGATTTGATCATTACACTTTACGCAATCTGCTGGCAAACATCAGATCGGAACATTTAGATTCATCGGCCAACACAAAAGAATCTGTTGAACCTCTTTTGGGATAATCTGACTCTAATATACTAGTATATACACTATTGTAGTGAATGACCAGATAAGCATTAGACTTGTGATTGAGGAACGCTGCGGTCGGCTGTTGAACAATTACCTCAAACAGGCAGTAAGGCTGCTTCGTAATGTACTTGTTGGATATATACTGTATCTATAAAGGTCCAATTGTGATTAAGCACGGTTCCACAAAGAGCAAAATGAATCGACTGCTCTCGTGACTAGAGAGAATTAGGGCACTCCTCGACAAACAAGCTCAGATCAAGCTCGGCGACGATTGGAGGAAGTGCCTGGGCCGTTCAGCGCCCCCGCTCTGGTGCGTGTTGGTGGGGGGGGGGGGGGGTGCACAGGAGTATACAGCTACCGTTGGCTTTTCCTTGACTAAATTGCCACAGCGGCCAATCCGTGTGGATGCGAAAGAAATTTACATAATCGGATGTTTGGATTCTATGAGCTGAGATGTATTCATTGTTCTCATCGAGGAGTACAAGATTGGGCCGATAAACAAGGAACCTTATCAGGAATATTTAGTTGCGATCAAACTTCCACAACTGTACTTACTGCTACGATAGGGAATCCTGAACTAGGGTACGATGGCGGGGTATTGAAACACTAACTGCAACAGTCCCTGGGCAGTCTCGAGTGTTTGACCCCTGTACACGTACTCGGGTGGCGATGCGGGCGGCCGCACAGTGGAGCGCATCGCGATGGACCAAACAGACCCTTCCCCGGCAGTCTTGGCACGGGCCTGTGCATCTCTGCCTGAACACCAAGGCAGCCGGTTCGACCTGCTTCGGCGAGCTTCGCAGCTCCCTCTCTCCACCAAGTCCCCTGGTTCAGCAGCAGCCTCGCTCCATCGTCCCATCCACTAGCGAAGTGAGCACTAGGCCAGGGTCCCTGCACCCGGGCGTCAGGCGTGGTCCCCCGATGCCCTCGGCTGCCGCAGATTTGCTGCGATTAGGCACTGTTGGGCGAGGTGCTTTGTTTCCGCAGGAGATAGCCGGCACGAGCCAATGTTTGCTGGTGCTGGAGAGTGCTAGAACGATCGTGAGGCCCAGACCACACCTTATCCCTTGGCGGGTGTGGGAGACGGAGCCGCACGCATCCGGTAGAGATAGCCCTGAATGGGATTTGTCGGAGGGGGTATACTGTAGTTGTAGGATTAGAATATCAGTATCCTAGCAGGGACGATAGACTCTGTTTATACATTATTGATACAGTATATTGGATCTGCTTGGACATAAATCGATAGATCGAGTACATGACGTGTCGGCTCTCCACGTCAGAAAAGGCCGAATCATCACATCATCTGGCTCCACCCCTTTGTTCCACTCCCTGCTTGCTGCTGCCTCGCGCTCTGCTGCGCTCGCTGCTCTGCTCTCTCGCTCCTGGATTCTGGCTCCCTCTCCCTCCCCCCGTCCCTATTCTTACCCTACCCTATCCTACCTCCTGTATTCTCTCTACCGCCCGATCTCGCGCTTTCTTGTTTTTGATTTTTTCGCTCCCCTTTCTGTCCCTCCCCTATTATTCTCCCCCTTATTAATAGATTTGCCACGGGCTCCGCTCTCTCCATCTTGACACGGTCGCGCGACAGTCGTCCATTCCTTGCCTCCTTTCAGTGTCTCTCCACCTCCACCGCCATCTCCAAACAACCTCACCACATCACAACACTCTTGTGTCAACACCATTCACCTCCCGCCATTCACCTCCGCATTCACACCAACACCCGCAAATCTCTCCTCCCTCGCCAGCGCTTGGTCCCGGCCATTCACTTTAGTACCTAATTCCACTCCATCTCTGCCCGACCTGTCCCCGTTCTCGCATTCACTCGCATGGCATGTTTCGTTTGCTTCACTGGCCCTCTGCGATCGGAGGGGATAAATTCCTCGCAGAGGATGTCAAGACGATCCCCTCTTGCGCTCCCGCAGTCCACATGAACGGTATCTCGCTGCCCCCAATGCTCAAGCGCAAGCGTTCCAACTCGTCCGCGACCGACGCGCCCGCTCCCACCAAGGCGCGCCTTGACGAGGCTGCGCGACCGGCGCAAACGCAGCAGATCCCACAGACGCAGCAGATCCAAGGCGCTATTTCCGCTCCGTCGGTCGCTCCCTCCGCTGCCTCCGCTGAGATCGCTGCCGCCCCGACGCCGGTCGTCCCTGCGCAATCTCCCGCGGTCGCGATCCCGACTACCAACTCGACCGACTCCGAGTCCCTCCCCCAGTCCCAGTCTGAGACCAAGCCTGCGCCGGCGCAGGCCGTCCGCGCAAAGCCCGACCGCAACACCATCCGGGACACCATTACGTCGCAGATCAGCCTTGAGATTCTGCTGAAGCACAACGAGCTGCGCCTGATCGACCAGGAAATTGCCAAGTGCCAGATCGCACTCGAACAGCTGCGTCGCTGCGCTGAGATCCCCTACCCGGGCTCGTCGGTCACCGGTCCTTCGCTCGATGTCAGCTCCGGCGTGGGCGCAGCCGTGCTACAGCCTGGAAATGGCGTGCCACCGCTGTCGCCTGCGCCGTGGGGAGTGACAGAGGGTCCGTACTCGCGTCACTATAAGCAGTGGCTGCTGCCGGATCCTCGCTTCGACGGTGGCGAGGCGGTTGTTGATCGTCCGCAGGGACGTGGTCGGTCCACGCGCGCTCACCCTGGGGAATACGCCGACTCTCAGCTGGCAGGTACCTTCCGGCCGTCGCGGAGCACGACTGGAGGCAAGATGCTGGGTGCGAACCAACCTCCTAAGGACAAGGCCGGCTCCATCCTCATCCGCCGCAAGTCCGATGGTCAGATGGTCAAGCTGGTCTGCATGGATTGCCAGCGCGAGAACTTCTCCAGTCCGCAGGGGTTCATCAACCACTGTCGCATTGCGCATCGCCGCAGCTTCGATAGCCACCAGGATGCCGCCATCGCCTGCGGTATTGTCGTGGATGTCGACGAGGCTGGTGGTGTGGTTGCTGAGCGCAGTGAGCCACCCAGTGCCTCCATGACCCCGGGAACCGTTCACCCGTTCATTCGATCTGCGCAACTTCCTCCTCCGCCTCCTCCCCCCGCCAAATCTCACAAGAAAAAGGCTGCCCCGGGCAAGTCTGTTCAATTCAACTCCGATGTCGTCCAGTCTCCCCCTGCCGCCATCAAGACCGAGGCCAACCCGCAGCCTCGCCGTCCATCGGAGTCGGTGAAGGCCACCCCGAATCCTGCGTTCCAGGCCTCGCCTCTGGCGCCTCACCTGTCCGCTCTGATGCGCGATCGCGGCTCTGGCTTGAACCTCAATCAGATGGTGGGAGAAGCAAAGGAGAAGGTTGATCTCACTGGCCTGACACCCAGTGAGTCTTCGGACTCTGAAGACTCGACGGAAGCCAAAGAGGAGAACAACGAGAGCGAGGATGACAAGGGAGCCGCCGGCCTGCCCACGCGCATGCCGACCAGCCAGACTGCTTCCGAGCGCACCGAAAGCCGCAAGGGTCTTGCCCGCGCCTCTCCCAAGTCGCCCTCCCTGCACACCATCAAGACCGAGACCACTACTTCCGCCCGTGCGCAATCGCCACAGCCTACCTCTCACTCCACTCTTATCCCCTTTCCCGCCGACAGTTCTCGCGATGGGGAGCCGCTCGACCACGCGGCTCAGTTCAGCCCTCAAACCGTCCATTCGAACCAAGCCCCCAGCCTGGTGAGTGACGACGAAGACGACTACGACGAGGCAGCCTACGATTCCGACGGCCCGAGTTCCTCTGAATCCGGCGACCAAGACCAAGACCGCCACATCGAGGTCGCCGACGACGAGCGCAACACAACCCAGTCCACTGCTCCTGCCGACCCCAAGGCCCGCAAGGGTCTCAAGAACCCTGCCCCGCAAGCCCCCATCTCGAAGCCATTGAAGCGCAGCCACTCGAAGATGTCGATGATGGGCATGGACTCCGACGAGGGCGAGAACCCTCTCAAGCGGAGCCGGACCGGCACCCCGATGCTGCCGCTTGATTTCGAGGAGGATGAGCCTCGTCGCAGCCGTCACGGCAGTGACGAGGGTGAGAAGCGTACTCCGCCCGTCCAAGACGCCGCCATGAAGCCAACACAGCAGGAACCCTCGCCCTAAATCTTCTTTTCAACCACTCCTCTCTTCTCCGACCTCCCCGTGAAAAGTTCCAAAAGTTCAAAAAAAAGGGGAGATCGTCACATTCACCTGCCCTGCTGCGGCGTTCTAGTTCTGTTTTAATTTTATTTTATCTTTTTTGCGCTCCATAAGTCCTCTTTACAGGCGGAGTGGCGTCGTCGTGGCTGTCTGCGATGGTCAAGCGATGCAATGAAATGTTTGATGACTCTTCTGATGATGCTTGTATTTGATATTTTCTATTTTTTTTATTTTTATTTTTCTTGAAAGATTTAATGAGCTACGGCCGGACTGTACATAGGTTTATCATTATCGAAGACTGAACCCGAATATGACTGGCTAGCATAGACTTTTCTTTCCTAAAGTAGATTCGTTCACTTGTAGTCCATGCCGAGCTGAGTTAAATCTGCTGCATATCAAGTATGTCATGACTGGCAAGCGTGTATACGGTACCTTGGTGATTGAGGCTGAGGAAGTATGATTCAAATCTGACGAGATTGGCTTTGGAGCTTGGGTAGATAGAATGCCGATAGAGACACGTAAATAGTAGACAGGCTGGATCTGGGGTGCAGTTGTCGTAATTTCCGTAATATGTTACCGTAATATTGACCATACTGCTTTAATATATTAAGGAAATTACGCAGAACTACACATCACTATCGATAAGCCGCATTGCGGGTGTTTTGACCTTCCCCAGATAACAAACACCCAGCTCCGAATTGCACTTACTCCTCCAGACACCGTATTCACCCCCAATCAACAGCATCGACAGACCATCAGCAACCCACATAACCACCGAATAAGAGAAAAATCGGACACTCCCGACTTTCAACATCATGGCACCCAAGGGGGCATCCAAGCACGCTCCCGCCAAAACCAACCCACCACCCAACACCACAGCCAAAGACTCAGACTCCCCTCCAACATGCGAGTCCTTCAGCCCAGCCAAAATGAGTCTTGACACCTACAAAAGACTCCTGTCCTGCTACCCCACTACAGTCAAAACAGTCCAACGCCTCTCAGCCCTCCGCGATCTCCAACCGGAAAAGGTAGTCAAAGACAAGCCGTCGCCACTAAAGAAGACCTTCTTCAGTGCCGAAGAAGAAGATCAAGTTCGCGAGAAGGTGAATGCGTTCCTTGAGCTTGATGAATGGCGGTATGAGGAGTTTCCTCAAACAATCGCGTCGCGCAAACAGGAATCTTCGACAGATCTCCATCTTACGAAGGAGGAGGTTTTGAAAGTCGTTGAGTGGAAGCTGTATGTATCTCCCCAAACCCTCACCCCCAACGTGTAACTCTGCAAAGATTAACTCTAAGATAGCAAGCACGGCGTAAACCGCCCCTGGCTCCTAGGCCAAGTCCGCAACAAAAATACATCCCAAGCAATCGAAAAAACCACAAAGGAAGCTCTCGCCGCCCTCCCAACAGATCCCACCGCAGAAAAGGAAAATTTACTCCCAATCGAAAGCCTGGGAATCCTAAACGACCTCCACGCCATCGGGCCCGCAACATCCTCACTTCTCCTGTCACTCGCGACGAAATCCTCCCCGCCGCCTTTGCAGGTACCCTTCTTCTCGGATCCGCTTTTTGCATGGCTTGTTGGGAATGATTTTCCTGAGACGTATGCGAGTGCGGTTACGGCTGGGAATGTTGTTTCGGGGTGGACGGCGGGACGGCGAGCTGCTGAGTGCGTGGACTCCCCGCAGAAAGGTCCTACTACTGGCAGTAATCAGGGGATATTCACCCTCGGCCCATCGAAAGAGGTAAAATGCCGCTACACAACGAAAGAGTACGTATCACTCTGGCGTGAAGCGACTTCATTCCGGGACCGATTGAGTGCTGAAGGGGGTGAGATTACCATGACGGATTTGGAGAAGGTCGGATATGTGTTGGCCAATATCGCTGTTTCGGGGTTTTATGAGGGGTTTGATGCGTGGGGGATATTGGAGATGAGTGATAAGCAGCGTGCGGTTGCGCTGGGGAGGATTGTGGGGGGGTCTAGTGGAGGATGGATTGCTGGTGGATGAGGACGTTAGTGGGGTTGGGGAGGTGGGGGATTTTCTAGTGGAAAGGTATGGGGAGAGGTTTACTAGGAGTCGGAAGAGGGGAGTTGAGGGGGTGAACGAGGGTAAGGGTGAAGATAAGGTGGACGGGAGGGGGAAGAGAGTTAAGACTGAGGAGTAGGGGAGGTTGAGGATGGGGTTTTCTGGGATGGCCGACGAGTTTTATTTTGTATACCAATCTACGATCTCTTGTCCTCTTCCTCTTCAGTGATAACCACTGGCAGTACCACTGTGGTAAGATTAGGGTACTAGTAATGTGTTGCACCTGTAGTCCAACTATCATGGCTGGACATCATGGTTCTACATAGTAACATCCAGCCAATCAGAACCACTCACCCCAGCCCAGCCCAGAGACCGAGTTTCATTTTGCTGGTTTCGGGACGGAAAAGAGGTGCTCTTTATAAATAATAGCGATGAGAGCTGAGCCAGGATTTTTCGTTCTTGTGAAAATCCTCTCGTTGCTGCCGAGTCGCCCGTGTGGTGGCGCAGTGGTTTCATGAGGCGCAGCGGGTGATCACTGTAACATTATGTGGAGATCCGGGTCGATGCCCGAAGTTGATACTTGCTAGTATTTTGACTTCATAGTTTTCTTGGTGGCTTTCTCGATATTATGAGGTGAGCCATACTGCTGTTGGATCCGTAGGATTCGACGGTACCGCGGCCGGATATTTGGATTTTAGAAAATACACTAAGAGACGAAAGCAAAATGTACTTGGTCGTGTTCAACATCAAGAGGTAGTAGGTGGGTGTAGGAAAGCCAGAGGTGTATAATATTTAGCCATAACATCGCAATCACTCGAAATAAAAATACTGGACACAACAACTAACAAGATCGATGCTAGATATAGACCAATGAGAAGAAGTCACACCAATTAACCCCAGTAATCAAGTTCGAAACTTGCTAGGACTTTGCTCTATTTTTAAACGACTGAGCCGTATTCTAGCCTACTTGAGAGTAGTTTCCACTTGGTTCCTCCAATGAGCTCTGCAAGTATATCGGAAGAGGCTAAGAAAACGGAGTATGTACCAACCACAGCCGAAGAACCCAGAGCTATTATCCATACCACGCAGCCAATCAAAACAAGGGATAGCAAACCACCCCCAGAATGAAGTTTGAGAATATCGAAGGCAGCGAGTCGCCGAGCCGTTATTCTCAGCCTCGAACTCCACTTTCACCCGAGTGAATACGTTGTGCTGATGCCATTCCCTTGGCGAGTGACTCTAGCCAATCGTAGATGAGTCCAATCGTAGATGAGTACCTTCGCCCACCTCAGATATCAAGTTCGGTTCCGTCGAGCACCGGGTGAAGTCCTATTACCGCCGAGCCGTGATATTCGTTCAGCCCCAAACTCCACTTTCACGCAGAAGAATGTGAGTCGTGCTGACCTTTACTTTTCCTCCTCCTTGAGTGTGGTGATCCAGCTGTAGATGAGTATTCCAGTCCAGCTCAGTGATCAAGTTTCAATCGATCTTGGTTTCTGTGATCCAATACTACTTCTGAGCTGTGATTTCATATAGCTCAGCCTCAGACTCCACTTTTAGCGGTGTGAGTTCCAGAAATAGTGCTGACACTTGGTTTACTTTTCCCCCTTGGCGAGTAGTTTTAGCCAATCGTAGACAAGTCTTCTAGCCCAGATCAATCATCAAATTTCAAATCGTCAAAGAACCAAGCCTCGAGAAAAATGCTGAGCCATGATCTTCACTCAGCTCAGTCTCACAACTCCATATTGACCTAGACACATGCAGACCAGTGCTGATACTTATCTATTGTTTTTGACATTCATTTACTGTTTTCCGTGCAAAAGAGCCAATCGCAGACAAATTCACTAACTCAGCTCAATTAATCGGTTTCAACTTTTTCAAAAACCTTATCACCTGGGTCCTGCTGCAAAGCCGTGATTTTCATGCAGCTCAGCCTCAAACTCCATTCTAAGCGATGTAAATACGGAGGTGCTGACATTTATGTACCTTCTCTTGGCGAGCGGAGGGACCAATCATAGGCATGTCTCCTAGTCCAGCTCAATTATCAAGTTTCAAAATGCCAAAGAGTTCAGCCCTTCATCTGCATACAGCTGAGCCATGATCTGCACTCATTTCAGCATCACACTTCCACCTCTGGATCAATGCCAGCATTGCTGACGTTATTTTCACCGTGAAAAAGAGCCAATCACTGATGTGCTTTACTGCTGAGCCATGATGTCATTCACTCAGCCCCCAAAACCCTTCCAAGTTGGTGACTTGAGTAGTGCTGACACTACCTCCTTGAGCAGCGACCAATCACAGCTAATCCCTCCATCCCAGCCCAACTCTCAAGTTTCATAGAAAAATGAGCCTCATCATCGCTTAGGACGTCTAAGCCGTAACTCGTATCCACCTACACATCCTTGCGAGAATCTTGGCGAACACCTCGATACGGAGTAGTGCTGACCACCGTAGAAGGAAGTTTTGACCAGTCCACCAATCACGACCACCACCTCCGACTCACGTCGATAATCAGGTTTCAAAATGAATGTGTTTCTCACTACTGTGGCGACTGAGCCGTAGTTTCTCAGCCTTATGAGAGACAGATGAGATGAACGGAGTATCGGATATTAGTGTAGAAGCGCACAATAGAGGACGCTCACAACACCAATAGTATTCCTAGATAAATGATGCTATTAATCAGAGTACATTAAAAAGATACTAGTACTTCATACCCACCCCACGACTTAAAAATTTAAGTACTATCAAATCAAAAAGCCCACAACAATCCCCAAAACCCCCACCCACCCCGGACCAACCCTCACCCCACGCGAAGTCCTAGAATCCTCCGAGTCATTATTCGCCTCAAGCCCACTAAGAGACTGCGTCGGCCGACCCTGCACAATACCCTCATTATGCCCATCTACCTCATCCTCGTCCTTAGAAGAGGTAGCCGTGGGCTCCACAGAGGACGAAGTACTACTAATAGTAGTCGTCGACGAAGGCACAGAAGTCGCACTCCCATACACGCGCGCATTCTCGCAGTTCTGCGCGCGGACTTGTTGGGCGCTGGCGCGGTTGGGGTGGTCGGGGCAGTTATTGTAGCAGCTACGCATTGTATTAGCCCGCTTTGCTTTGCAGATGAACGGTGAATTCTGGTGGGGGTGTACGTACTCGACGACATTCTTGCTACCGGCGCATAAACAGTCCCAGTCTGCTGGCGCGCAGCTTTCGAGGGTGAAGTTTTCTGTTAAGATGCATTGGTTGACGACACTTGAACAGATGTTGGAGTTAGTGGGGCCTTTTTATTTGGTGTAATTGATTTCGCTGTGTCAGTTAAGTAAGACATACTCCTGCGCGGCGCATTTCGATGTTGCGCTTGTTGTGCCTCCTGTTGTGGTGGTGTCTTGTGCTGATATGATGATTGAGGAGGTGAGGAGGAGGAATGTTGTAAGGGGGTGCATTTTGTGTGTTGATGGTAAAATACCCAATGAATTGAGTTTAGTTCAGGAAGGTGATTGGGTGACCCCAAAATCAAGAAAATCAGATCGAACGAGCAAGATGTGACGATTAAGGAGGGCAGAGGATCATATATCACCCACTTTCCAGGCAAATGCAGACATTCCAGCAAGAATGGAACATTTCGACCCCAGAAACCCGGATCTGTCCCGAGCTGTCAAGGGGCTCCGCATGGAAACCTACTCCGCGACACTTGTGGATAGAAGGCCGTGACGGGATTGGACGATATATTGAGATTTTTTCCATTTCCGGGAGATCGATATCACTCCCGGTCGGGAAGCGTGTTTTGACGTGGCTGGTACGAGTTGTGCTATAGTGTTGAGGTTTTGTTGTTTTTGGAGAGATAAGATGACAGAAGCCAAGCATGTCAAGTATGCATTTTTGGCGGTGGCTTTGGGTCATCCTGAATATACATCCATCACATCACATGGATCGGTCCTACTCACAGATGTGACTATTCTACCATTGACCATCCACTCTCATATAGATGCTTCCAAAGTCTGTTCTTATCGATTTGAGCTTCCATTTAAATTCTCTTCGTGGATTCAATTCACAAGTGTTCTACACGCTCTTCATCTGAACGGCGACATACGCATGTGGTCACATTCCAAACCCGGGCTGGCATTCCGCGCCCATACCTCCCATCTCACGGGGAACAAGTGCCCCAGATTCAAATAATCATGGATTGGCTCTAGTCGATAGAGGGTATTTTGGATTTTGACTCAATTCGCATTGCTCTCGGTCTTCGTTCTCGTGGTAGAGGGGTGTCTGCAGTTCAGCTGACTAGTGGGCGTATTTTCCGGCCTAGGCTGGCTGTTGGCAGCAAAGTACCATCTTCTCAGCTACGAATACAAATCGTATCAAACAGTACTGGTAAAGTCTATATTCATTCAATTCGCAGTGTTTATCAATTTATAGAATCATTTACAGTCCCTTGGCCTGCTTAGCCTCGGTCAGAGCCTCCTTCAACGCCGCAAGGGCGTTATCAATGTCCTTGCGGTTGGGGTCAGAGATAGAAACACCCATGTGGCCGAATCGGATGTACTTGGTGGCAATCTCCTTGTGCAGACCAGCTGCGAAGATGACACCGCGCTTCAGCAGACCGGGCAGGACATCGGGCGGGGCAAGGCCGTCAGGCAGGTACATGGCAGTCATGCCGTGGGCCTGGCAGTCGGGGTTGGGGGCCAGCTGCTTCAGACCAAGCTGAGCAACGGCATCCTTGACCTTGTCAGAAGCCTGGGTGTGGATGGCGAAGCGCTCAGCCATGGGGCGGGCGGTGATCTGGCTGAGAGTGGTGTGCAGGGCGTGCACGAGCTGGGTGGGGGGAGTGGCGAAGTAGCTGGGCTTGTTGTTCTCATAGTTCTGCATGATGGGCAGCCACTTTTGGATGGAAGCATAGTAGGAGGCGGCGGGGGTCTTGCGGTTGGCGGCGACGTCTAGGGCGCGACCAGAGACCATGACGATGCTCAGACCAGGCGGGCAGCCGATGGCCTTCTGAGATGCGGTGACGACGGCATCGAGGTCCCACTCGTCGAAGGCGATCTCCTCGGATCCGACGGAGCAGACACCGTCGACGACGACGAGGGTGGACGGGCTGACGCGACGGACGATCTGGGCGACGCGCTTGATGTCGTTCAGGACACCGGTGGAGGTATCGACGTGTGTGATGGTTATGACCTTGTAGGGCTTCTTCTGGAGGGCGGCCTCGACGTCCTCGAAGGCGGGACGCTCGCCGATGGGACAGCGGAGGTGGTCGACGTTGGCGCCGTAGGTCTCCAGGCAGGCACCGAAGGAGTCGCCGAAGTATCCGGTGTTCAGGACGAGGGCGTTCTCACCGCGCTCAACGAGGTTGGACGACACCAGATCCCAGCCGAGGGTACCGCTACCGGCGATGATGAAGGGCTGGGCAGTCGGGCTGGTGGATTGGAAGAGCTTGCGGGTGAGGGAGATGGTCTCGCCGAAGACCTTGACGAAGCCGGGGGCGACATGGCTCTCACTAGACACGATGGGAGTGAGCAATTGCCAGTAGAAGGCAATGAAGCCATTGTATTGCAGGCAGAGCAATTGAAGGGCTTGCAAGCTTGAAGGTTGACTCACGCGTAGTGGGACATGGACTGGAGGACGGCATCGTCAAACTCGATGGGGCCCGGGATGAGCAGGGTGTTGTGCGGCGCTTGGGTCGACATGGTGGGCTGGGGCTCAGGAGCTGGCTCAGGAGGAATGGAGCGATCGATGGGTTTATATTCGAGGTCGTCGGGGGCAAGGGAGTTTCTCTCGGTCGAGAAGGGGGTGTTGAGGTCAGGCAGAGGCAGGCGCTGGTCCAGATGTCTGGAGATCAGGCTGAGCCGCTGCGTGGTGGATTTGGTCGCCAGCTTTCCGGTTGCGGCGGGGTGCCGCGGGGTATTTTGGGGGAGGATTCGTGGTTTGCTTGTGAAATTCCCGAGGGAAACTGTGTTGCTGTCGGCGATCGCCGCCGAGGTCGCGCTGGCGGAGGAGCGGGATTGGCTGTGTCGGATGACAGCCGAAGTATACCGGGAGGGCTGGCGAGAGCAGATAGAAGTAAAGATGGTAATTATGATGACAGAAAGTAGTGGAGAGTAGTGGAAGGAGGTGTATTTAAAGATCCTTCACGCTTCCCCATCATTTTTGATCATGTCGGCCGGGACCTACCGTGTGCCGGGGCATACGCTGTACGCTGCGTTCCACGGGGAGAATCCGGGGTAGAGATCGATCGATTATGTTTGAGAGGATTGATCGACTGGAATGCAATTTGGCTATTTCGGTATACTGGTATGCGCAGTGCTGTGCCCCGAAATACAGAAACTGCACGCTACGGAAGCACTTCCGATGGCATCACACGGGATAGATACTGAGATAGCAATGAATGTACTATCAATTACACCAAGTCAAAGAAAACAAAATAAAACCATGTACGACCATCGAGTATACAAACTAACAGTACTTTCAGTACTAGATCGCCAAATTGACCACACGAGCGTTCTCATCGAGTAATACCTTGCTGTCACTATCATTGCCCTCCTACTCCGCCCGATGCTTGCCTCAAACAGTCCACGGTGTGCGCAGTACTCGCCATTCTGGAAATCCCAGCCCTGCGACTCGGCGAGCTCCGCAGACGCGCATCCAACTGACTGGTCGACGCTCACCGAAGACTTGATCAACCATATCGGGCGAGAAATACTTCGGCTTGCCCAGCCAATCTGGGTGCCTGGATCCTCAGGCCGCGCTAACCCCGTTAGGCAGGGCAGTTCCCCGCGAACCTTCGAAGCTCCAGACGACCTTCGCTACTGCCACCTTCTCCACCATTTCCCAGCATGACCGCCCGCTTGGTCCTGGTCATCGGTGACCTGTTCATTCCCGATCGCGCTCCAGTATGTGTCTCAATCCCGTGCTGTCTTTCCGCGCAATTTAGCTAACAACTCCGACCATCTCCAGGACCTCCCACCAAAGGTAATCACCCCAATGATCGACCACGTATCACCGTTCCCATCTAACCCGCACCGTCTCGAATAGTTCCGGAAACTCCTCACTCCCGGCAAGATTGGCCAGATTCTATGTCTCGGTAACTGCACCGACCGTGAGACCTATGAGTTCCTTCGCGGGGTCGCCCCGGACCTGCAGATGGTCAAGGGCGACTTTGACGTCGACTCGCCCAATCTCCCCGTCTCCAAGATAGTCGAACATGGCAACTTGCGCATTGGTTTTACGCATGGTCACACCATTATCCCGAATGGCGATGCCGACGCCCTCCTGATTGCGGCCCGGCAGATGGACGTCGACATCTTGCTCTGGGGCGGCACCCACCGTTTCGAGGCATTCGAGTTGGAAGGTCACTTCTTCATTAACCCGGGTAGCGCGACAGGTGCGCTCAGCTCGGGATTCTGGCCCGAGGGCGAAGACCCGACACCGAGCTTTTGTTTGATGGACGTAAGTGTCCCCTGTGGGATGACACGGGGGACTGCGTGATGCGTGTATGCTAACATGACCCTACTCCAGATTCAAGGCGATGTCCTCGTCCTGTATGTCTATCAATTGAAGACCGACGCCAATGGAATTGAGAACGTGTCGGTCGAGAAAGTCTCTTTCCGCAAGAACCGCGCCCCAGTTCCTGCAGCGGCAGCGCCTGCTGCGACCGACTCGTGAAATCGTCTCGACCGTACCCTTATACCTCAGACCCTCCTCCCTTGTACATAGTCCTTTCTCTCGTCTACACTCCCTGTCCAGCTGGATGGTTGCCATGCAATTGATATTTGATACCTAGAGCTACCTGAGCTAGCCATTCCCGATTGGATGATCATCGCACAAAGAATTCCTAGGGTAGGCTGGAACCGTACACACTATCTTGAAATTTAGCCTGAAATTCATCTTCACAGATTTTATATTATTCCTAGACAAGGACAAGTTTCATGCGTGCCTCACGCATCCGATAGACATCGTCCACCGACTCAATTACACTAGTCCCGAACCGGTAATGCGCCCAAACCTCAAAAGGCGGCCGGCGCGACTCACTCTCTCGCCCCGCAAAGATCTCCAGTGAAGGTACCTTCACATCCAGGAGTTTCACCGCACGCTCTCGCCGAAACAATTCACCAATCTCCATTCCTCGCCAAATCCTCCACCACCACATTCCCCCACCCCGACCGCAGCACCCTCGAGCTCCAGCCGCCGCGGTAGTTTTGGGGTCGCTCCAACTTGCACCGCACCGACAATCCAACCGTTTCCCACATTTCACACACACACACCATGTCTGCCGAAGGAGCCGAGATCCAGGAGGCGCAGGTCCCTCCCCAGGATCCTCAGGTCCCCCAGGAAGGTCAGGAGGGCCAGAAAGTAGTCGACGATGAGGTAGGATCCGGCACTGGGCTATTCGCGAAGAGCTCTGACGCACATGCGGGAGCTGATTCTTCTGTGGCTACCACCATTATCCCCTTGCAAAATGGCATAGCTAACATTTTTCCTGAACAGGAGGAGATTGCCGCCATGAAGGCCCGGGTCGCCGAGATGGAGAACGAAGCTTCCAAGCTGAAGGAGATGCAGCAGACGCTCGATGCGGAGACTGAGGGCCTGCAGGAGAACAAGGAAGACATTGATGCTCGCAGTGTCTTCGTCGGCAATGTCGACTACGGCGCTTCACCGGAAGAGATCCAGGCGCATTTCCAGAGCTGCGGCTCCATCAACCGTGTTACGATCCTGCTTGACAAGTTCACCGGCTCGCCGAAGGGGTACATTCTGCCTCTCCATCAATTCATTGATACTAGTTCCGCTGACACTTCTCCAGCTATGCCTACGTCGAATTTTCCGAGCCGAGTCTCGTCGCCAACGCCCTTGTCCTGAATGAAAGTGTCTTCCGCGGCCGCAACCTGAAAGTAAGTACTCTTCCTATTCACCAGTTGCCTCCTGGATATAACCAACATATTAATCGAACTTAAGGTTACCCCCAAGCGAACCAACCTGCCCGGCATGACCCGTGGACGCGGTCGAGGCGGATACCGCGGTGGTCGTGGCCGTGGTGGTTTCCGCGGTAGCTACCGTGGTGGATATCGAGGTCGTGGCCGTGGTTATGCTCCTTACTAGGGTAGAGATTTCCAATTTAGACCCCCGCTCATCTGCTGCCGGCGCTGCTGGCTCCTCTCTTTCAAATTTGTCCTCTTCGGGGTTCTGGCTTGGAGTTGGGGGTTGGGCATGTATAATAGGACGAGCTGCTGTGCTCGATGATCGTCCATAGCAATCCAGCGTTGCTCATGATTTGGTTTCACGTAGGATACAATGTAGAGTGGTGAATAGATGGATGTACCCCTTGTAGTATTTAGTTTTGTAGGGGAGTGATAATAGTGTTATCTTCGCAGTCCTCGGGGATCCTCGGCTTCCTGGGAGTCGAGATCGGAATCCACTGGAATACTCGAGTTCACTTGCTCATTGTTTTCAAGTGAAATAGAGATACAGATATTGCTTCGTTGCATGATGTTTAATTTTAGAAGACACGGGATGATATCTGGACGTGGACCCTCCAATTATTTCACTACTTCAGGGTAATGTGCTGAACAAAGTATTCATATTCTACTTGACCTTGCTATTGGCCGATGTCAGATGGGTCTAACTCTCGAGTATGATTTAAAAAGGGATTGGAATCTGCATGAGCCTCTATATCAATGTACTTCAGGGGACCTCCAAGATCATCTCATTTCCAGTGGCATTCAGGCAGGTGCCATTGTGAGAGGGGTAGCACTCTACAACGGCATGCACCTCGTCTTTGCCTAAAAAGGTCTTCCATTGAATGTAAATTACTTCGCTCAATGCAATGTTGACATCAAACCGGATATAGCCCGACTCGACAATGACTAACTCGAGTGTAAGCCGGACTGACTAAATCGGATGGAATCACGTGCGACTAATAATCGGGTCCCGTATAAACCACTTGTACTTGGAGCAGACACGCGGCAAGAGCATCCCAAATGCCATTTGTATGTACATATATTTTGCTTGCAGCCAAGGACATAAATCTCATACTAACTGTCCACCGCGTAGTCGCAAGCCACCGTAGAAAGTACAATCTCGCTGCCTAGCAGCAGCAGCTGGCACTATCAGAGCAGGTACCTCCCAGTCGCCACTGGCCATCCCGCCCGCACCCGCAACCAATATTACGTACGCCAGGCGTTTGCAGAGGTTTCCACCGGGCGCAGTGTGGCTGAACATTCAAAACTTGAAGTTTATAGAACTCGTCGTGATCGTGGTGCTGCTCAGCCCCCCCAGGTACCGTCCAAGTACCGCGCGCATAGTCTAGACACGGCCGGAGTACCTGCGGCGTACAACATCTGAACACTCAGCCCGGCCCTTCCCTCCCTCTTCTCCTCCTTCAACCTCCCAATTCCCGCTCCACCCCCCAACGACCGCCTCGCCTCCAGTCGCTTTGAGATTGGCGATAATCTGCCTGTCCCTGTTCCTCGTGGATGTGCGCGCCGCCTTTTTCGCCTCGGGCTTGATCGATCGGCTTCGCATCTGACGGCTTGTGAAGCACCCCCAGGGCAACATGGCATCCAACCTGCCAGCGTACGTGATCCTCCACTATTCCTCTCTCCCCCCGACCCAGCATCACCTTCCTTCGGTCGCATCCTGGATCGCATGCTGACATTTTGACTTGACAGCCAGCCCAATCTTCGGGTCACGAGTAAGATTGCCCTTTCCTTTCGCCTTGCATCCGGCGGGACGCTGCGGGGTCCCTCTTCGACATCAGACTGACTCTAGGACAATAGTTATCGCGGCAGACGGTCTATACAAACGAGATGTCTTTCGTATGTGTTTCTCATCGATACCTTCCTGACGCTGTTCTTTCGATCGCCGAGCCAATCTCGATCCTGGAACGGTTGAGCGATGAGCGGGGCTGACCAACCTTCATTATAGGATTCCCCGACCCATTCGCCGTGGCCACTGTCGGAGGCGAGCAAACCCATACGACCTCCGTCATCAAAAAGACCTTGAATCCCTACTGGAATGAGCCGTTCGATTTGTACGTCGCAGCCCCCACTTTCACTTGAGTCGGATGGAATCGGTGTGGCCATACGGATGTGGTGCTAACGGGTGGTGTCCTCGGAATAGGAGAGTCAACGAAGACAGTATCCTCGCGATCCAGATCTTCGACCAGAAGAAATTCAAGAAGAAGGATCAGGGCTTCCTGGGCGTGATCAATGTGCGGATCGGCGATGTCATCGATCTGCAGATGGGTGGTGATGGTATGATGCGATCGGCCTCAAGACTGGAGACCACAACTATGCTAACTCGCTCTAGAAATGCTCACCCGTGACCTCAAGAAATCCAACGATAACCTTGTCGTCCATGGCAAGCTGATCATCAATCTCTCGACCAACCTGGCCAATCCCCACCCGAATCAGCAAAATGGACTCCAGCGCCAACAGGCTCAATCCTCCACCTCTAGTGGTCTCGTCCCGCAGGTCGCTGCATCAACCTCGCAACCGCCGGCCGGTGCAAGCCACCTCGACATTTCGCCAGCTGCCGCATCAAGTTCTTCGCTCAACAACCGCGCCTCGACAAGCGGCCCCCCTGCGCCCGCCGCGAATGGAGCCGCCCCGCCCGGTGCCGGTGCCGCGTCTCGCGCGAATCTGAGTTCTTTCGAGGATAGTCAGGGTCGACTCCCTGCGGGCTGGGAGCGACGAGAGGACAACCTGGGACGAACGTACTATGTCGACCATAACACGCGAACGACAACCTGGTCCCGACCATCTGCCAACTATAACGAACAGAGCTCGCGCAACCAGCGTGAAGCCAACATGCAACTCGAGCGTCGGGCTCACCAGAGTCGAATGCTACCGGAAGACCGTACCGGCGCCAGTTCGCCCAATTTGCCGGAGGGCCAGCGAACGCCGCCATCTGGTGGTGCTCCTCCCGCTGCTACGGCCGCCGGGGGTAGTGCCCCTGGCTCGCACGCCAATGCCGTTTCCATGATGGCAACGGGAGCTACCACTGCAGGCACTGGAGAGCTCCCGCCAGGATGGGAACAGCGATCGACACCCGAAGGTCGCGCATACTTCGTGGACCACAATACCCGAACCACGACCTGGGTCGATCCTCGCCGACAGCAATACATCCGCATGTATGGCCAAAATCAGAACCAGGGAGGAAACAACACCACGATCCAGCAGCAGCCCGTCTCTCAATTAGGACCTCTGCCTAGTGGTTGGGAAATGCGTCTTACCAACACGGCTCGAGTCTACTTTGTGGACCACAACACGAAGACGACGACATGGGACGATCCCCGATTGCCCTCTTCCTTGGACCAGGGCGTTCCTCAGTATAAGCGTGACTTCCGCCGCAAGCTGATCTACTTCCGATCCCAACCCGCCCTGCGGATTATGTCTGGTCAATGCCACGTGAAGGTCCGCAGAAATAATATTTTCGAGGACTCATACGCGGAGATTATGCGCCAGAGTGCTTCTGATTTGAAGAAGCGATTGATGATCAAGTTCGACGGTGAAGACGGTCTGGACTATGGTGGTCTCTCTCGGTACGGTCTTCCCCCATTACTCATTTTGTCTCAGCAACTAACCATTCCAGTGAATTCTTCTTCCTCCTTTCCCACGAAATGTTCAACCCCTTCTACTGCCTCTTCGAATACTCCGCCCACGATAATTACACCCTGCAGATTAATCCTCACTCTGGCGTGAACCCCGAACATCTCAACTACTTCAAGTTCATTGGCCGCGTAGTCGGTCTTGCGATTTTCCATCGTCGTTTCCTCGATTCGTTCTTCATTGGCGCGTTCTATAAAATGATGCTGCGGAAGAAGGTCACCCTTCAAGATATGGAGGGTGTCGATGAGGATCTTCACCGCAACCTTGCCTGGACTCTGTAAGTTCTTCTGCTCGGGAAACCACGATTCAGAGCTAACTTTTCGCAGCGATAATGACATAGAGGGAATTGTCGAGCTTACGTTCTCTGTTGATGATGAGAAGTTTGGTGAGCGTCGCACTATTGATTTGATACCCGGTGGCCAGGACATTCCGGTCACCAATGAGAACAAGGCACAGTATATTGAGTAAGTTTTATTTCCGCCGTGTTTTCAAAGACAGTTCTAACGTAATACAAAACAGGCTTGTTACGGAGTGGAAGATTGTCAAGCGAGTGGAGGAGCAGTTTAACGCATTCATGTCCGGTTTCAACGAGCTTATCCCCGCAGACCTGGTCAACGTCTTTGACGAGCGCGAGTTGGAACTTCTGATCGGTGGTATTGCCGATATCGACGTGGACGACTGGAAGAAGCACACCGACTACCGCGGCTACCAGGAGCAGGACGAGGTGATCCAGAACTTCTGGAAGATCGTCCGCAGCTGGGACGCCGAGCAGAAGTCCCGTCTGCTCCAGTTCACCACCGGTACCTCGCGTATCCCCGTCAACGGATTCAAGGATCTGCAGGGCTCAGACGGACCCCGCCGATTCACCATTGAAAAATCCGGCGATCCTGCCGCCCTGCCGAAATCGCACACTTGGTTAGCCCCTCTTATTTTCCGGCATTATGTATTTTACTAACGTTGTCCAGCTTCAACCGTCTCGACCTACCCCCGTACAAAACCCACGACGCCCTGGAGCACAAGATGTCCATTGCAGTGGAGGAAACCCTCGGATTCGGCCAGGAATAGAGCGGCTTAACATTGAACAAGGTTCACAGGATTCTCTACCTCCTAGCTCCATACCCACGTTTCTTTCTTAAATTCAATTACTCGTCCTCCGACCCGCGCATCTTCCGCCTACATACCTCTCGTTTCATACCCCGGACAAAACTCACTCCCGGCGAAGCCGCAAAGCTCGCGCAGCTTCTTCTTCCATCCACGGATTGGGTTACATATTAAGTAAAGCTGGGTGTGAGCTATTGTCCTGCCAATCGTTGCTGATTTTGCCGGCGCTGCGTACGACTTTGTCACTGAGTGTTTTACCGCTGCCCACCACCAGTGGCGCCAGTGGTCTATTTATACCTGGTATGACAGTACGCGATGCCGGCTGCATGCTTGTTTTGCTGGATGGCGCTTTTGTACATAGGTTTTTCTTGCTACTTTTCTCTGTATCATCGTGAGCATGAATGTATCTCTTGACGGGTAATGTTTCGTCTGTAGCATCTAATCTGGCCAAGGTTTAGTTTTGGTCTAGTGTCGCAATCCCCGCTCAGCCCTGCGCCTGAACACTGTAAATTGCAAGTCAGATGCAAGCTGTCAGCCCTACGTATGTCCACACTGCAGGCGTGTTGGCGGAAATCCCCCTGGGCTTGGCCAGGCACCGTGGGAGACTGAGCGTACATGTTTGCCTGCAGTCTGAATCCACTTCCAAGGTTGTGGGTCGCTACGTTGATGGCGTGGACTAGGCTGTTGGCGTGGATGGGGCCGACGTTTGGGTGTACTTGCAAGGTACTTCACAGGCTGGGCTAGGTTACCTCAATAAGTGAAGAAGTGACTTGGAAGGTGTGGCTAGTGTTGAAGTTTTGCTGGGATGATGTGTTTGGGGTGGTAATTTTTAGATGGTAGGGATGGGATGATAAGCTTAATCGCGATTTTGAGTCGGTTCAAATGTGGTGGTATGTTTCGAGTGGCGTATGTTCTGGGGGTTCCGGATCCAATAGGTGGCCAGAGCAATTACGATTGTATATTGGATGAGAAGCGAGAAGATTCCTGGGGGGGGGGGGGTTTGTTCAGTGACATAATACGTTGTGTTGGCGTGTTGTTGATTTTGATCCTATGCTGGGAAGCTTTGGTAAACTTCCTATACTTGAGTTCGCAGGGACTGGTAATCTAAATAACTCTAGTATTCCATCGGCATCAAATGGTTTTCGTATTCCGTCTCTTATTCAGGTCTTGTAGAACATTGTTGCCGTTTCCCGCGAGATAGGACAATGCATGGATCTGTTTCCGGATAGACCCGTCAGATTTTCAGACATCAAAGGGTCTCTTCTGATTCCTACAACAACCTCCCGTGATTTGAATGTGCCTGACACGAGAGATTGATATGTACTTCCCAACGAGCATAAGTGCCCCGACAAGTTGTGCGGGGTAAAGATGGGGTTCACACGTTGATGCGGAGAAGCTGGTGAGTTCTACGAGCCGGCTTGCCGATGAAGAGTAGTACTACGGGCTAGATCTTCGGCGCTAGACTGAAAATTGGGGCATCTCAAATTGTTGACAGGATCTGTGGTGGCGTATTTCAGGGCTATATGAGGTTTAAATATATGTAGCAGTTCCAACCAAGCATCCAAATTTCCTCATTCTAGCACGCAATTTCCATGTTTTTCAATGTACTACGAGAAGCCTTCACAGCACAAATATGAGAGGTCTACAATCGCCCACAAAATGACGCAAAAATGCACAGAAAATGCCTCATTATGTCCTGACATCCAGAATGAGCGGTAACGCATTCTGGCCGTAAGACAAGCGCAAGGGTTGGGTTACTCATTTGATCCGAATTTTACGTCATGACGCAGGAACTCAACAACATTTCTCTCAAGTTGGCGGTGAAAGCATCTATAGCGCGTATCGAAAAAGAACACCTCCCCCAGCCATCTTCGGGACAGACTCTATCGAGTCGGAATCTGGGTAGAGACAAATTGCGGGGGTGGAGAACCAATCGGCCAATCCTTCCATGTTTTACCACAGGCACGAACCACGAATAGGGCCAAGATCAGTCTGCCCTGCCGAGCCAGGTCAACTCGATGCTATGAGCACCGGCAGCTGACTCGATGACCAGCTGACTCGATGAGAAATAATTATTGCGTGCGTCTGGGAAATTACGTAAAAGTCTGCAGAAGGTTCTAAGTGGGCATGTTGGGTATCGTCGGGGACTTGACAGGGGGTTTTGAATACCGTTTAAGAGAGCTTACTTCCCCGCAGAAAGTCCGTCAAGACGATCTTGAATCGGTCGTAACAGAAGAATATTCCTTGTTCTGCATCTCCCAAGGTACTCCCCATTAGTATGAGAGATCCTCGGATCTAGCCCCCGTGCTCGGTTATGCGTTACCCCGCTGATGTGTCATAGCGCCCGGAAGTTAAGCTCGCTTTAAGCAGACTTCATCGGTATAAGTACAGGGATCAAGTCATTCCTTGTTGCTTGCAAAATCTGAAAAAATCTGTGTTTTATTGCTGAAAGATGAATTCTGAGAACGCTTTCAAAGTGGCCATTGTTGGCGATGCGGGGGTTGGAAAGGTAGAACTCGACTGAAGCTATAAGTATGACAAAGTTGGATCAGATGCTAATGTCTTGAGTAGAGCAGTTATATCAAAAAGCATTTCGCACCGGAGTTTGACTGGCAATACTTGCAAACCGAAGGATATGAGGTTACCAGATGGTCTCAAACTATGGTAAGCCTTTGTCAATTCGGTACAATTAAGCATCCGTCTGACAAGCGCATAATTTAGACAACTTGCCACGTTGAAATAGACCTATGGGATGTATCCGGCAGTCGAAGCAAGCTATCAGAACGCCAAAAATGGCTGGCAGGGAGTGATGCAGCGATTATAATGGTTGATCTGGCACAGCCAACAAGTTTTGAAAATGTTATTCGCTGGCATGGTAAGCTTGAACCAGCCACTCAAAGAGCATTGGCTGATGTTGTAACAGAGGAGCTACTATTGGCCAACCCGTCCGGTCTACCGGTTGTAGTATGTACGTGGAAACCGCTACAGAAAGGCAAGCTTCTGAATGTGGACCCGGAAACCCTTCTATGGCTGGGTGAGACGGAGAATGTACAGTTCTACGATATCGCCGCAGATATCTCTCGCTTTGATCAGCCTATATTGTACATTATACGGAAGCTGCTGAATGATCCCAGTGCGGTAAGTCATCAACTGAATTCCGCGCTCGGATTTTTTCAGACTAATGGTTGATAGGAATTTTGGTTTCCCTACACCGTATCGGATGAGGACATTGAAATGCATGACTGACCCGATGGCTAAGATTCAAGCGCCTATTTGATCGGGGATATGGAAATCCGTTGGGACAGAAATGCGAGGGCTCATCACAAATTTTTCATTTCCATCTTCAGTACAAGCTTCCTTCCAGGTCCGACTTCGGTATATCGGCCGGAAGTAAAAGAAAAATAAAACAAGACATTATTCGCTTTCATTGAGACCCACGAGACCCAAACGCCATTTATAAACCATTTATAAAATCACGAAAATTATAAAGTCTCATCGCCCTTAGTTACTGTCCAGAACAATCACCTCTGCATCAGCTTCGCCAATACTCTCAAAGCTGAGCGAATCGCCCGCATTCACCAAGGTAACAAAAGCACCATCACCCTCCTGAAGAACAGAGTCATCATGTCCATTGAGCTTTACACTAGCTTTGCCTTGCTTAGTCATAGGCAGGTGAACGTAGACATTCCGCTTCTTCTTGAAGCAGACTGCATCGCCAGCACCTACAGTCCAGTTGAACGTCGAGCCCGGAGCGATAATGCCGGCTCCCATCACAAAATCGGCATGGATGGGAATCGTATCAGGGATCTTGGGGACGGCAGCTTCTTCCTCGGCCGGGGTCGCCTCGGGTCCGGCGGCAAGTGGCGACAAGATAGGGACGAAAGCTTTGCGCTTAGCTTCCTCGCTGAAGCTTTTAGTGTGATACTGCGGCTTCAAGGAGCTGGCCCAGGGCAGGGCCCAAATTTGCAAGAAGTGAACTGCCTTGTTGGACTCGTTTTGTTCGGAGTGGGCGATTCCTGGTTCATTGTTAGCTTGATTCAATTTTATGGGGAAATTGGACGGGAAGACTCACCAGTTCCACCGGTAGTAAATTGGACATCTCCTCGCTTCATGCGATAGAACTGTTTCCCTTGTTCTCCCTCAGCCCCCTTCTTAATCATACTATCACGGTGCGTAAGCTCCCCGCTAAGAATGTAACTGAAGATCTCGGCATCGCGGTGCGGATGCGTCGGGAAGCCGGTTCGGGATGCAACGCGATCCTCATTCAACACACGCAGACTACCAAAGTTCTGAAAGCGACGATCAAAATACCCGGCAAAGCTGAATGTGTGATACGAGTTCAACCATCCGTGATCCGCGTGTCCGCGCTCCGCAGAGCGGCGGAGGACGACCTTGGCGTGAGAAAGAGGCTTGGACATTGTTGGGGTGGGAGTGTTCAATTTGTCGGTGTGGTTGCTGTACTGAATCACTTTGTGCTATTCAGAAATTGTGATTTGCGACAACAGCGGGAATGTAGTGGAGCTTATATACTGAGTAATTTGGCGCGTCTGGATGGCCGTAGAAAAGTCCAAGGTATGCTTAAAATAGGCTTATGGAAGCATTATCGAGCATGTATCAGCGCGCTAGTCCCGAAGGGGATTAGCGCCACCGATCGATTGCTGACGCGGGATTTGCTCAGATTCCGCGTGGGTCCCCATTGGCTGCACCTTGCCAACTGCACGAACACATGTGGGTGGAACTACCAGTGACTGCGCCAGCTTAGAAGATGCTGAGATCTCATGACTGAGCTAATTGGTCGAAGCAAATAAATTTAGCTGCTTCGAGACCTTTCAAGAACCGCGCAGATCGAATTGTGGACGTTATCGCATCCTTTCAGACCACGCTCGGCCTTCCAGTATCGCAGGGCAATTCAATTCAATGCGACGGAATTGATCAATTGAGCCAGTCAAAACTATCTTCTGGTCTATTCATGGTAGCACATCTCGTTTTCGACGTCGCCAAATCGGAGCTTGTCGTGTCACCCGCAGTTATCTGCGATTGATATTCCAGCGACCCTCAAGACGGCATGTAAGTATCTTGACCGATTACGATAAAATTGCCAGAGTTTCATCAAGAGATGGTATGCGCAAACTAGAGTGATTCTCTTCGAGCTGGATCGTCATGAACCAGCAAAGAATCGACGAAAGACGTTCATATTCAGCGCCGGCCGATGACCAACTCTTGGGAAGACACCCTCGGCAACTAGGGGGCTTCAAAAGCTTCGATCTGGTGAAACATCGGCCTTGCCTTGTTCATCCTCCCTCTGAATACACAGACTGGTCCATCTACGGCAGTTGCTGCGGGTCATGCCTGAAATAGTACGATCATTAGCACCCTGATTCAAGATAAGATAGATCATGAAAACGGTCTGACCCGTCCAATAAAGCCCTATTCACCACAAGTTTTCTCTTCCCCTCGGTCCGGCATTCCCACGAACAGTGCCATTTCCGGGGTCGTGGCGTGCATTGCGGATATCCACACGTACATTGGATAAGCGAGACCCTGATAAGCCCGTGGCACCGGCGGATTTAACCGGTTGGGTTAGAGATCGTCGGTCCCCTTTTCGGTGTTGTGCCTCGCCGCCGATCGGATCGCACAGCAATCGTATTCCGAGCACCGAATACGCGGGCTTCACGTGAAGTAGACGGCGATCGACAGTGTAGCACCGCGAGCCCCATGGGGTGCAAGCGAGCCCGTTTCAGATAAAACTTGGTGCAGGGCCCTGAAAATGGATTTCCTTCGTGGATGTTGTCGCGCTCACTAACCTGACAAGCCCGAGTCCGACGCCCGCGATAAAATGGGAAGCTGTCGCTCAGCCGCCTCTATTTACGATCATCGACGTTAAAGAACCTGATCCCGAATCCGAAGCTTAATCGATTCTTGACAGCGAGCTACAAAAGTCAAATCGCATCTACATTTGCGTCTCCACCATGTCCAAGTCCGATGTTGAGCAGAGCTCTGACTCGGAGGGCAACGATGCAACCGCCGCGACAAAGCCGACACTATGGCAGCGATTCAAGGCGCATATGAAAAAATGGTGGTGGGTATACCTGATCGCATTTATTGTGATTGTCCTCGTGACCGTTCTCCCAATGTAAGTTTTCTTTCTCAACATTTGTCGTGTCAATGCTAATGGAGATAGCATCTACGTCGGAATCCCGCATTTCGCCAATAAATACATCAACGACTACGACTACGACTACACCGGCCTCGTAATCTCAAACCCGCGCCCGACCGCATTCCACGTGAAACAAAAAAAATTAATGAACATGGGTGGAGGATTCAGTGGGAGCGGACATCTCTCGGCCTTCAACGCCAGCATTCGCGTCCCGGACACCGACGAAGAATTCGCCGTCTTCCCTGTACCACAAATCGACTTTAATGGCGGTGCGACTCTCGACATTGACCAGGATTTGGATTTATCCTGCGTCGACTGCTTGGCTGATATTGCCGTCAAGGCGGCTACCAACAAGAGTTTCGCGGTGTTGGCAACTGGGCATCCGGATCTGAAGCTCGGCGCCCTCCCCACGGCGCATCTTAACATCCACAAGACCCTCGATATGAATGGGTATAATGTTACCGGTATGTGCTACCCCCACACTGGGCCTCGGTATCTCTTTCAACCTGCTAATTTTTATGCTTATAGAATTCGTTAATGAGAACGGCGCATTCAACGTAACCAGCCTAGACCTCCTCGACCCCCCAGTCAACGGCTATAATTTCAATGCAACCATCTCAGTCCGCAACCCAACCCCTTTCAGCGTCGAAATGGTACGTACCCCTCCCTCTCCTCGATCGACACAATTCTAACAATACCAGGGCCACGTCACATTCAACCTCACGATGGGAGGCGACGAGCTAGGCTACGTCGACCTACCGAACCTCAAACTCGAAGAGAATATCAGCGACAACATTGTCCTTGGCAATGTTGACAAATCGAAACTCATCCAGGAGGCCTTGTTGGGCGATGGTACCGGTGCAACAGTGACGATCGGTGTCCGTGGACACAGCTGCGATTATAATGGGCAGGATATCCCCTATTTCAGCGCTGCGATCCGGGCGGTTTCGGCGAACGCTACGATTGATTTGCTCAATTATGCGTCGAGTTTGCTCGGGTAGAATTTATAAAGAGATACGAATATACTAGAGTTATTTCATCTTGCAGGAAATGTCACTCTCCTCGTGAGCTACAGGCTCCGTGATGCTTTTGAGTTGAACGACAGGTGGAACTTAATACCACGAGAGGACCGCAAACACGACTAATTTTTTCAACCTGTAGGAGAGGATCTACTATACAATAGTCTTTTCGAGGGAAACAATCACCGAAAAGAGAAACACCTCAATCAATATGAAGCCTTCAAAGGATTCACTCTCTGCCACGTGAGAGAAACGTACCACATTGAATGCTAGATATGGTGTCATCTTTTCTTCTTCCTTTACACGACAACAACAAAAACTTTCCGAAGACGACAATCCCTGAACGAGGAAAAGCCGTAAGACACTGGAATTTCATATCGTCGAGCTAGAGAAGCGAAAAATTGGTTCAGAAAACCAAATGGCACAGGAAACTAACTTCTCCTAGCAATACCTAGCCCGTACAGTTCCGTAACTCACAGAATTGATTTGCAAGTCGAGCAGCAAAGAAGCAGACAAGGGTGTGAGGACCAAGTCATAGTCGACACGATAATACGCCTCGCCCTTCGAATTCGTGCATAGATCAAAAACCTCTTTCGGAACATTGCTTAAGTCTGCTAAAAGATCGCAGAGCATTGAGGTATCTATTCAGTTTACAAGTAAGCAATGATATAGTCACATAATTTCGGGGCACCAATTGAACTCACTATCTCCACAACGGGCCGGAGCGTCTTCTGACACACAAAACCATAAATGGTCCTTGAATACGAAGGAGTGATGCAAGGGAACAGCCCTGTACCACGACATTTTGATTGGTCTCTCTTCGGAAATAGCATCACCCTATGCAACAAAAAGTGTCAAAAAACATAGAAGGAAGACGGTCCAAGAAGTGGATATCATACCTTGCAAATGTACCAGCACATATTGTCTTCTGCCATATATCTCTCTTCGTGATGACACCAAACTTTCTGATACGGTTGGTGGACAGAAGAATCGTACAGTGTTTGAAATCGTGTTCCGTAATGACATCGGGCCTTGCGGTTCGTAACTTGGTTTCCTTCAAATCCACGGTAAACAGCGCCACTAGTTTGTTCTATCAGTATATTGCCATTGTTTGTGCAAGTGCTATGACTTCAGCAGGATTTCAACTTACCGTACCACGGCAGACCATCTGAGGGAAATTGAATTTTCATCAGCGACTACGGATTATGTGAAGATGGAGATATACTAACGCATTCAAAGGCTGCATGATTTCGATCCCCTGGAATCTAGATTCGAGTCTCTTATAAAGGTACTGCGATGCACCAAGACCGCCAACAAGTATGATCGCCTTTTCAAGATTAGAATCGCCTCTTGAAATGGAAGAAGCGTTGAATTCACCTTGGTAGTCATGCCAGACTCGATGACGTTCTTCTCTTGCCCAGCGATCAGATCCTCGATCTTAGTCATGACGGGGTCGAATATTTCTTGAACGTCCCAACTGCCAAGAAGTCAGCATGTCTGCTTGGCCTCATGAGAAAATGTATCATTACTTTTCCATATGAAGCATGCCATTCATGATATTTTTGCCAGGGACATCTGGAACTCCAGGAACTGGTATCATATGACCCGTATCCACGTAATCATTGGCATCTTCAGGCCCCGAGTACGCATGCTTGACATCGGTCCGCCATCTCTCCATTATCTGCCGCTTGTTAGCAGCAGGCATTTTATTGTATGCTCTTTCACCAATAGCTTCAACGAGAAACTCTTGAAACAGTTCATCCAACATAAATGAGCCGCATATTTCGCCTGCGAGAATCAAAATTAGAGCGAGAGTGGGGGATGTCGAATGTTCGAAGAAAAGTACCTGTGCCCACCGTGACCTCTTCCATTCTGATGGCCTCTGTCTGAGTAATTCGATATGTGATTAGGTCCTGCGAGTCACAGAGTGAGAAAGACGATCGTGAAATCCACGATGTTTATCTAGTACTTACAACAGTCCCCCCACCAGCGTCACAAACAATGAAACAATCTCCTTTCTAATAATTTTCAGTCAAAGCATAATAAACCAAGGATCCCTAAAGAGTACGTACGGAAATCGAGTTTGGTTGGATCGTGCGAATCGTGTGGACGGCTGCCGCCTCGGGTTCAGAGAGCAAAAAGAGATCTGCCATCGGGATTCCAGCATAACGTGCGGCTTCCATGGTCAGGTCCTTCGCCTTGTCCGACCATACCGCAGGAACCGTTAAGATATACTGGAGGTGCATCGTCCTCAGCAAGCTGCTCACCCCTCGTCGCCCGAGAACGTCTTTCGCATGGGTCACAATGATTTTGAGGTAATCCCCAGCGACCTCAACGGGTTTTTTCTCCATCCTCTGAATGGTCTGCCCACTCTGGAGGGTAGGCGTAAACCGGAACACTTTGCTTGTGTCAAGCAACAACTTAAATCCTCGTACTGCTTCTTCGATGTGGTCGGCTTGGTAGCCCCAGCCGATGCCGTTATTCTGGTAAGAAAGAACCGTTGGAACCTTTTGTGAAGTGCCTTTTCCAAGGATTAGTAAATTTTTGCGACCACAGGTTTCTCCCAAACTTACAGTTTCCTTTTCCTGGCCATTCTTGGATTACTTCCATTTCTTCCTCTGCGCCCTCCAACGCCCAGGCAATGCTATGATAGTTAGCTCAACATAGCTGCATGGGCCTTGAGTGCAATGGGTGAATACCCGCTGTATGTTGTTCCAAAATCAATCCCAATAACAAGCTTCCTTCGCGGTCGAACCACCATGACGGGGTCTTTTGTTTCTTCGGCGGCCATGACGGGTGGATGTCGACGAAGTGAACGTGTGGAAAGATACAGCTCTGAAAGGTGTGAAGTGAGGAGTGAGAGTTCGTTGGAATTTCTTGGTATTTATGATTGGACATTTCGTCATCCATCGAGGGCAGCGTTTGAAGGGGGGCTGTTAGTGGTGACTCCTTCACTGAGAGAGCGGATCATGAAGTGGTCATGAAAACAAAGAGCGAGGAACGGCTTCTAAAATTACGTGGACAACTACTTATAGCGTTCCAACTGTCACCTCTGCCAGTTTTCTTCCAGATATCACAGCCAACCAAGTATTACTGTCTTTCTCTCACTCTTTCTCGCCTGTCTCCGGGCTTTCCAAACCCACGTCACTCACTGAGCCGACATGCCTCCTTTTTCGCGCATCACCGCATTCTTTTCTCAGCCCGCCACACGACACTGTCCAGGGGCAGGTGCGAGACAATGACCATCCTACTGAAATTCGGAGCGCTAATGAATATAGAGTACGACGAAGTGCAGAGATATGCAAATGAAGTCGCGGACCTTCGCCAAGAGTTTCTAAAGCTTCAACGGGAGGCTATAGCACATAAATGGAGGTTAAATGCAAACAATAAAAAGCTCGAGGAGGCCGAAATGAAGCTAGAAAAGTCAGTTAATTATTGCAAGTTTCTCAATCTCCAGCTTGAATCGAAAGATCGAGAGTTGGCTCGTCTTCAGAAAACGGCCACAGCATCTCTGAAAGCAGTCAATGCTGCAAAAAAATTCCAGGTCAGTGCCGAAGAACGGTATCGTCGACAGACAGAGATCTTGAACAAGAGGACGGCCGAACTTGAGGAAGCGGCGGACGAGAACAGCTCCCTTGCCTTTCAACAAATGATACTTACAAAGTGGACCGACTCTTTTGGCGACGACGAAATCAATCAAGTCATGGGAAGTCTCAATCAAGAGCTCGAAACATGGGTGAAACACCATTTTTATCGCTATACCTCTCACGGAGATACGTTTCATTGTGTTTATGGACTTGTCATAGACCAGATATTCCACGCTATTTTGTCTCGAGCCATGGTCGGCACCGCCGCTGATCTTCATCGCGACATCTTCAGCGATTATTTCGTGTCGCTCGACATAGAAGTCCAAAAGAAATGTTAGTAAAATCCCATTAGTCCCCAAAATTTGGCTTCTAATTAAGAAAGATAAGGCCCATCGCATGTCGCACAGCATTGGCGTTCTGCACTTAGCAAGGCAGCGTTTTCATTCGGCAAGGAACGTCTCGAAGCTGGCTGCTGTGGCTTGGTGAACCATGTTCAAACTAGGTGTGGTCATCTCTCCCCAACAAACCCCCAGAAACGCAGTGAAGAGTTGAGGTCTTTGATTTGGAAATTTGTGGAGTTCAAAGCCCGATTGGAATGCCAAGCCAACTTATACGTCTTTTTAATGGCTTTTCCTAACACGAGGTTTGTGGGAGATCAAATGGTCAGTTCTACAGGAGATTACGGTGCTAGCACACTTGTAGAGTATACCCTAGCGCCTGCTCTATTCAAAATTCCGTCAGGAAGTGCTGGAGGTTCTACAACTCTGGTGGTCAAGGCAATCGTGAAAACGTGCCCGGCTTTCCAAGGGATGATTCTGAATGGGGCCGGCGCCTCTGGGGACGATGAAACAGACAGTTCTTCTTTATGAGCAGAACTTCGGGGACCTTTTCTGAGCATGTATATCTGCAAGTTTGTGTGCTTCAATTTCACCGATATGGCAGGCTTGGGTGACAGGCCTTCCTCTATTTCTTTCGGATTTTTTCTATGTACTTCCTGTGAACACTCTGATAACTACTTTATAATCAGAGATAATCAATGGAAATACCTGCTCAGCTTCCAAGGTTGTCTTTCCTTGACAAGGGCGCTTTGCATCCACAACAATTTCTATACACCTGGCTTGTCGAGGCCCAATTCACACATCTTAGCAAGAGCTCAGATTCTAAACGAAAAAGGCTAGGGAGAGAGACAAAGAAGGGTATGGATACAGCAATATCTAATGCTAAACCCGAGCACTATAAATGGCTACACCCATCATACTAATGAGGATCCCCTACGGCTTCTTGCGGGCCAAATTTACTGCTACAGAAGATTCCCAAGCAGGTTTGCGAAGAGGCCCCAGTTGCATGGCACGTGACTTCAAACCGGCTGTATCTAGAGGTAGGAGTTCTCTCCTTCCACCAAACGTCTTCATTGAAAAACATCATCCATTATTCCTCGCGTACGTTAACCAACGCTGCTGTGTTGCTGTCTTGGAGCTCTAGCAGTAGCCAAAGTGTCTCCATTCCCTCTTTCACAGCATCACGATATCAACGCTTTCCAACAAGGTCATTTGCGGACTGTGAGTGGAGAGCAGACAGTCTTAGTGAACTCAAACCACATAATACTTGACCTTGGTCATCAGTATGGCTTTCCAACAACCCCACGAACGTGCTTCCTTTGAAGAGATGGTCGAAAATGCTTGGAGTGAAGGTAAAAAGTCCTTAACCTGGTATGATTGTTGCCACCACACTGAACCCTGCAGCAACTGCAGGAAGTGTCATGGCCCATGGGTACAATGTGTCCGATACCAAAGGAAGAGCAACAGAACTACAGCCTGTGGAAATTGCTTGTGGAATGCTTGTGGAATCGAAACTACAGGCGTTGCTTCTTCAACATGCAAATTGAAAGTGCCCGTGCCGAAGAACCCAACAAGTACAGCCAAACACTGAGGTTGCTTTTTCCGAAATTGCGGTTTTACACTCACAATCTATGACAGAAGCAACATCATAAGCCGGCTTGAGTTGGCGTTCACACTTGCTTGAGTCCCGATATTCAGTTGAGCATGGCCAAACTCGGGCAAGGACGATTTTTGCCGGCTCTCCAGCTGCAACTGTCGAAGGGATTGAGGCAGTCATTCCTCAAGGTCAAGATGTAAATGAGGTCCAAGCAGCCTTTGAAAATGGGCTCTCCATCTTGGATGAGCTTCCGACATTCCTTGAGAAGTATGGATGTGTGGCTGGCACCCAGGGTCCATGCTGAGATGTGACTGTTCAGTTGACCGTTCAGAAGACTGTTTTGAAGATTGTTAGAGTATATAGGGCGGTCAGGTTGAGGTACAGATCTCTATAATCCAGGCATCAAGCCCTCTTGAAATTGGAAAGTGAGCTTTGGCCGCGATAACCTTCTGTATACCGTATAAGTGAGGCACGCGAGGTTAGTGCATCGTATACTAAAACATAAATTCTACAGTGCAAAGAATCGCTAAACCCAGCCGTAAGAGCATAAAGTTATACTTAGTTCATATATCAGAAGCCTAAATCGCTAAACGCTAAACACTAATGGTATCATCATGCAATACTTCTCTTAAGCTCAAGAAGGGAAAGAGGCTTGATTAGATAATGATTGATCCCCGCAGCCAGAGCCTGCTGCTGCATGGTATCCGATGCAACGCCGGTCACAGCCATGATGTACGAGGGCGGGAGACCTGTTTCTTTTTCGAATTGACGGATTTTGTTGGTTGAGACGAGGCCGTCCATTACTGGCATTGAGATATCTGGAAGCAGTTAGGAAGGATCGTCAGGGAAAAACACAGGGGCTAGGGGGTATTTTAAAGGCGATGGTAGACTCACCCATTAGAACGAAGTCGAATCGAAGGTTGGAGGCTTTGTATTTTTCCAAGGCGATGAGTCCGTTCGAGGCGGTCTCGTACGTACACCCGATCTTGCGCATGAATGTTGCCATGATCTGACAGAGTTAGACTGGGGTATGTATATGTTGGTAGAATGGCGACTCGAGAACGTACCTTGAGATTTATCTCGTTGTCATCGACCACAAGAACATGGCGTTGCCTATCCGCGGGTGTCTGAAGAGGCAGAATCTGTGGGCGGACGATGATCGGCGGCGACTCAACCGGGTCTTCGGGGCCTTCCTCGATATGCGTGATAGAAAGTTTCTCTGTTGTCTCTGAAAGCTCTTGCTCAAGAGTTAACGCCGGGGTATCGCACTCAGAGTCCGCCCGTAGTTTTAGAATCTTCTCGACAGAACTCTGCAATTTATGTGGTCCGAACGGCGGAGACACACAGACAAAACTCGGATGAAGCCTCTCGTCAAACGAGTTTGGCTTGTTGTTCAGGATAATCAAGAACTTGAAGCCATTCTCCGACGCAACCTTCGCAATCGACTCCGGTTCGACGAGTCCTTCGAGCGTGGAGCTTTCGAGAACAGCCACATCGCCTTGCCCTTTATCGAGGGACTCGGCGAGAGATACTTTCCACCCAGCTTTGGACATAAAGACGTCCGCAAGTGAACTCTGGATAGATAAATTTCGTTTGGCTTCGACGGTCAGCATGCCCGTAGGGATCTCCTTGAGATCGGGATAGCCATTGAATCCGACGAGGCATGCGTTGAGGGGCTCGGCACTGCGTAGGGGGTTTTTTGGATTGCTCTCTGGGTCCGCGTTGCCGAGATACTGGACTGGGATGTAGACATCGACTTGAGTTCCTATATCCACTTCGCTGCGCACGTTGATGTGACCATCCAGCGAGTTGACGAGCTGCCGCACAATGCTTAGTCCGAGCCCGACGCCTTCAACGAGAGAATCTTCCTGTGCAAAGGGAGTAAACAGCTTGTGTCGAAGGAATTCAGTTGCAATTCCACGACCAGTGTCGATGATCGAGACATGTGCTATGGGTTGGTCAGGGTTTGCCTGGCTTCTCGACCATGTCAATGAAATCTCGATTAAGCCCTGAGTGGTCCATTTTAGAGAATTGCCGAGGAGGTTCATGATGATTCGTCGCCAGGCACCAGGGAGGGAACGGATATTCCATGAGTGTGTCTGGTCAACGCGTACGACAATCGAAAGGTTCTCTGAATCTGTGCTAGATGAACTTGAAGTTCTGGAGAGGTTCTGAAGTGGCTGCACCGTCACGACGCGGGACCCCTTTTCTGCGGCTCGTTGCCCAGTGTACAGGATGTTGGTAACCTCTTCGATAAGTACCCCAAGATCGAATTCCGATTCCAAGCTCGATATATCACCATTAGAGTGCTTACCTTTCGACCTCTTCGTCCGACTGAAATTGTTGATCTTGCAATAAGCCAGCAAATGATCGGTTGTATCCAGGAGTGTGAAGCCCGACGTCTCGATCATTTTGACCATCTCCTCTTGGGTAGAGTCGATAGCAGTCCCATGCAACAACTCAGCACTTGCCAGAATACCATGGAGTGGGGAGCGGAGTTCATGGCTGAGCGACGACAGTAGGTCGAATTTGGACTTTTCAGTCGATATCCAGTTCACTCGGGAGATTTCTGAAATAATGGAGTCGCCGAAGACCTTGAAGTAGTGCAGTTCTTCCTCGCCGAGACCACGATGGCTATCCGAGCTCCACGAAAGCATGCCGGCCATCCATCGCGACTTCTGGTGATCCCATAGTGGAAGCCAAACGACGTATTTTGCGTCGGGGAACATCGGAGCAAGAATTTTGGCTATGCTGGAGATGTGACTTTGCTTGCTTTGGGTATTTCCGGCCTTGTCTCCAAAGGACAAGTAGTCTTCATTATCCACTGAGTCTTCTAGGTTGACAACTTGACCACGGGGGAAGCATTGAAACATCGTATTAAGAACGTTTTCTGCTACGACAGGCTGACTTCTCACTGATGACTCCGCGGATATGCGTAGGGCTGGCTTCAATGAAAGGCCGAGGACTTCGCAGGGTACATTTGATTGGGGTGGTTCGGCCAATCCAAAAGGAGTGGGCGGGCAGGCGGCAACCGGGGGATCCTGACCCTGGGCCACGGGTTTCGGAAGTGGCTCCCATGCGTGTTGGTTGGGCGGTGGTCTGTGATGAAGTTAGATAACATAAAATGTCTCAGAGTTCATGGTAGACTAACAGTGAAGGCTCGCTTCTTGTTGCATCCAAAAATACTACTCCCTCAAGGTTCATCGCATCCCTCAGTAACACACTGGCACGCGTAAAGATCTCCGGGATTCGAGCAGAGTTGAAGATGCTATCGGCCAACGAAGTGAGAGACTCGTTCTTGTGTATCGTGTTGGTTGCAGCAAGCACGGCTTCGTCAAGCGACTCCAGTGATCTTTCTTCGCCAGGACTTGGTCGGCCTCTAGACATATTAGATTCGAGGGAAGACGGTTTTGTTGAGTTTGACGGCTGACCAGCGAAGAACAAAGGCGATGGCGCCTCTGTGCGAGGGGTCGACCAAGAGTGAGCGCCATGGCCCGTCGCATTGCCACTTCCATCATTCGAGAATTTTTCAGGCGGATGGTTGGTGTTGATGTGGTCCATCGACAACGGAATCGCATCGGAATTCAACGTCGCGGACTGCAGGCGGTTTTCGCTCGAGATACGGGGGTCGAAATCGGTTTGATCTTTCGAGAAGTCCATGAGACCTTTGACCAGACGCTCAGCCCGACGATGGTAATGAGCGATTCGGACGTTTTCGAGGTGGTTCCCGATCGCATCCGAGATTTCCTGCAGGGCCTCGATATCTTCGTCGCCAAAATGCTCTCTCGGTTTATTGTCGACAACACTATATGAGCCAAGCACATAGCCTGATGGGCTGGTCAGAGGGACCTCAGCATAGAAGCGCATGTGTGGCCACTCGCGGACATAGGGGCGGTCCTTGAAACAGTCCTCCTTGGTGAAGTCCTTGATGACATAGCGTGTTCGGTTGGCCGTCACATTGTCTGTATCGATTCCATACGACGGATCGGAGCCGGTAAACAATCGAATAGTATGCGGACACACGCCCCAAACCAGGTCCAGGGTGCGAGCACCTAGATAAATGCCGTCGTCGGGGAGATGTCGGTCTTTATCGCGCAGGGAAATGGAAGCGGTGGCTTCGGCGACGATGTATTGATTGTCTCCATCGATAAGAGAAACGAAGGACCGATTACATCCTAGACGAAACACGCCCAGCTGTGCCAACGCCGTCAGCGTAATATCCGATGACAGGTCAGCCTGGCTGGTCTGCTCATCGCCCGTCTGAGCATCTTGTGACGACTGAGTCTCATTGGCGACGGGGTAGAGGGACGACCGGTTGGTACAGCAGTAGTATCTAGATTGTTATATCTCGTTAGGATAGGCGGGTGGAAAATTCAATCGAGATAGCCCACCTTGACAGCTCGCGGATCCGCTCCCGCTCGGCATCAGAGGGACGCGAATTGTAGGCGAGAGAGCCTGCCCGAGCCATTCTGATTTGCACGCATTCCTGCTTCCCAACGCCTGATAAAACGGCAGTGGTCGAAATCTTCCAAGGACTCAGGTTGGGGATGGCGAATATTTGCAGTACTGGTTTCGAAGCGAGATAGGAAAACGGCTTTGTCGCGCCCCGCCGAACTAGCTGCTTCCATCGGGGGGGGAAAGGCCACAGCAGCCGACTGATGGGATCGATTGCGGTCCAGGCGCCGCCTCAACCCGGTGCGAGAGCCATCGGGGCCACGATATATTGGATGACGTTGGGAATCGGCCTGTGACCAGAGAAGTCAGTCTGGTCGTACCTAGAGCCCATTGTTGATTTTTCACTCAATCTGGCACATTCTGCGAATTCCCCACAAGCCTGGATTAGCGTTGGGAATGTCTCTTATCGGGCCCCCATGACTGGATTCGACATAGTGGCGCTCCGAATCGTTCCCAAGGGCTGGGGAGTCCTTTTCCGCTTCGTCACGTTCTAGACTCGGCAGCTCCCGCGAAGTCACGAGACCGTGGCGATGTTTTACCCAACGCTGAGGCGCAACTGCCCAATTCCCCCGCATACTGCAATCTATCGATCGGCTGGCGCTGCCGTCTGCCTCATGATTTTGGCTCCTCGCGATTGCGATTTGGCCCGATGTCGCATTCCCATTTTAGCTATCTGCAGAAACCCAAGACTCACAGACTGGGCCATGAAAAAAAGACAGCAATAGGACCAGACTTGAGCTATTGAACAATGGACATTGCATTATTTTTTGTATATATTTTATACCCTCAGATCTAACCTGAATGGTGTGCTTTGACCCGCACTATCGCAGTGCCGCGGCTCAGCACAATGCGGGGAAGCTTAACAATGTGATCCCGCCCAAACAAGCACTTACCCTCGCAGATGCTTCCTCACTCCATCTATGGACCCCGAGCTCCGGATCCGCAAGCGCGTCCCCAAGGCCTGTCGACGCTGCCACCGCCGCAAGCAAAAATGCGATCTGAAAGTCCCCACATGTTCGAACTGCGAGTCCGCCAATCAACCCTGTTCCCGCGCCGAATGTGCGCCGTCGTGGCACCATGGTATGTCCAAGGGCGCCCTGGCCCATCGAATTGAGATCCTCGAGTCGCGATTAGCGACAGCCTTGCAGGGCAGCATATCTCATCCAGTTGAAGTCTCGGAAGACGTGTCCGTACCAATACGAGCTGCATGTCACACGTCCCAAAATCGCAACTGTGATGGGGTAGTGCGCTTCCTCACGCTGGGTAGTGAAGGATGCGGAGAGCAGACGTACCTGGGGCCGTCGTCAGGTTTGGCGATTGCTGATGCTGTCGGCACGAAGCTGTTACCGGTCAATTCGAATAATCAGTATCCGAAACCGGATTTGGCTATTCAGGAGAAGACCGATATCAAAGCTGCGCCGCCGGATGATACGAACGGGGCACAGATACTAGATACATATTTTACGCATATGCATGCTCGCCTTCCATTTCTAGATCGCGGGAAGATCATCGAATTGCATGCGAAGCGATACCACCGACCTGGATCGACACCAGAAGATCAATTCGACAAATTTAAACTGTTCATGGTTTATGCAATTGGTGCTGAGATTCTACAAATGACGGAAAAGTATGACTCGACACCTCCAAATGACTTCTTGTTAACAGCACTCCAATTCGATCCAACTCTACGCGAGTCCCTCTCGGTCGCATCCATCGAAGCCATGATGCTCCTAGTCATCTACAATCTACGCTCCTCTTCAAATTCAAGCGTGTGGTACATGATTGGACTTGCAATGAGGACCTGCATCGATTTTGGTTTCCACAGGGAAGCACGCTATCGGAAACTACGACCGTACGAAGCCGAGGTACAACGACGGTTATTTTGGTCGGTTTATATCATTGAAAGGTACACTGCATGGTCACTGGGTCGGCCATTCAGCATTGCCGAAGAGGAAATTGACACCCAGCCGCCTTTCAATCTGGATGACTCGATAACAGACGACACCATCGTCGAGAGATTGACCCGCGGCGATCCCGATGCCGAACAATCGAAAGGAACAATGGGCAGATTCGTGGCATCGGTTAAGCTGCAGAGAATCGTGTCACAGATCCACACCCGAATATATCGTGTGGACAAGCATATCTCGACGCTAATGCCAGAAATTGCTCCACTCATGATATCCCTTAACGCTTTCAAGGAGACATTGCCTTCACTTGACCTCGAAGATGGCGACTTTGTCCATATGCACTGGAACAATTCCATCCGCATGCTCCTGCAGCCATTCCTGAGCATCCTCAGCCCGCAAGATAAACTCATCAGCACTTGTATGGCATCATCTGGCAAAATGTGTCAGTTCTTCAAGAAGTTGCGGCAGCGGGACTTTTGCGGATACTCGTTTCTGCTGGTGAACTCGGTGTTCATGGCTGGACTTACAATGTGGTACGTGGACATCAGTCAGTCAGGCTTGTGACCATAAACTAATGTAACCGTGACACTGACTAGCTTTTGCCTTTTCCGATCACCCGCCCTCTGGACCCCTACGGTATCAAACGACCTCCGTGCCTGTTCCTCCGCACTCTTCGTCATGGCCGAACGAAACACCAGATTAAAGAAACACCGCGATGGACTGGAAACAATTATCAACCGAGCGATGGAACACGTGCAGGAAGCTTCTGAGACAGCGCACAACAACTCAGTCGTGGTTCATAACTCGGGATCCCCGCAAAACGAGCCTCCTATGCATATGGATACCTCGACCGATTTCCCACCTGCTCTTGAATCATTTATGCAGCAAACACATTCTGGCCCTCCATTTGACACGAGTCCGCAGGTATTCGATCCCCAAAATGGTGGGAGTTTCCCGAATCTCAATGATTTCCCATTCGATCTTCAGGATGACATTCTTGGGGAGGATGGGGATTCAGCCAATCCCTTTCATGGGGTCTTTACTGAGGAGTTTTGGGCTGCGGATGCCTTTAACTTGCCCATTCTGGATGGGTTTGTTTGGAGGATATAGACTTGACAATAAAAACAACTATTCACTTGTTCAAACACGTTCCTCGGGAGATATCTCCACAATAGAATTACTATGACAACATCCCCGCCTGACGCGTAGATTCAAAACGTTGTTCATCTACTATGCATGCTTATGCCAGCTCAAGGCAAACAAATCGGCTTCAGGCTCTGGTGTTTATATATTACGCGAAAAATCATTCCATCTACCCATCCAGAGGGCTCGAAGCTGATTCTTTGACTTGATGAAAATAAGACTCGTACTAGCCATGAGGATCGCGGAACCCTGCCCCGGCCGGGCACTCCGAGCTGGTGCTCTTCCCAGGCTCCGTGCGCGCGTGGACTTTTCGATGTCAGGTGAACTGCGGCACGGCTGATGAAGACTCAATCACGGCCATCTAGTGGATGTATTGACCTTGCTCATCAATTCAAGATCGATGCGACGACACGAAGAATCACACGAGTCAGAGGGCCAATAGCCTCATGCGCCTGATAAAATACTCAAGGCGCTGTACACCACTCTGCCTCATCGAGTCTACACTTTTCTCTTCTCCATCCTCGAGTCAATGACCCAAGCCATGATGAAAAGAATGTGGATCCTCAAGGGGATGTGTCAAAGAATATGCCCCCTCCAGCCACCAAAGGTAGCGAGTATGGTGTCTTGCCTTCATGATCGCAACACACCCGGGCCCTGGGGATTACCCCATCTGGTGCACCAGCCTACGATAGATGAAGAGGGAAGAAAAGAGGAGGAAGATTGGAGGCGGCGGGCAATATTTATGTCTGGTGGTGGTGCAGCGCTAGTCCCGTTTGGGCGGATGCGGCTTCAGCCTGGACATTCACTCGGAGGGGAAGGTACAATGGTCTATTGGATGCCTGAAAAGTCAGGACGGGTATGTGCTGAGGCAGAACGGGTCACATGTGGATTAAATAGTTTCCCTTCTAAAATACACAGACGGTGCATTATAGATGGCACGGAGCTAGGTCATCCATGATCCCCAAATCTTCACGGCGCGACTTGCTTTCCGGGTCGAAATAGGGGACCTCTCCAACTCCAACAGCCCGGTTGCCACTGCGCGGTCCAAATCCTTCATGGTCACCAGTAGCCGTGTGAAAAACGCTTCGGTTATCCCAGATAGCGATGTCATTCGGATCGTTCCACTTGAAGCGGACCTGCAGATCATGGCCGTATGTGATGAGATCATGGAACCACTGCAGCATATTTGCGCTTTCTCTTCGGTTGAGGCCGTTGATGGCGGAGGGAAATGAGCCTTTTCGGGATCAGTATCAATATATTTAGACCGCCTGACTGTCAGAAGATGAAAAGGACATACCGATAGGGAAGATAGATTTCCAGCCGGTGATGGGATTCGTGCGAACAACCTGGCATTATTAGAAACACTGAAGAAAGAACTCTCAGACAGCTTTCCACTCACAGGATGCACAGCGAACAAATCACCCCCAACGTTAGCCGGCGCGCCCCTCTCCTTCTCAAACAACCGAAATTTGCCCGACTGCGCCATCCTCCTAAATCCCTCCCCATCATGCGTCGCAGTAAGTCCCTCCAAGAACTTCTGGTAGGGCTTGCTGATCCGATCATAAACCTCATACCCCGAAGCCCACAGAGTATCACCACCAGTCTTGGGCAACTGCGTCAATCGCAAAGACGAAAAGTCCGCCGGTGCAGGCTCGAAGGAGATATCGCTGTGCCAGACCGCCGCCATTTTGGTATAGTCCGATCCCTTGTAGAGCTTCTTCCGGCCCTCCGAGTTGATCGTGCTGATTGCGGGGTCTGGGTCTCCGAATTCGCGCGCATCGTTCGTAACGGGGTGGATGTGTAGACCGTGGTTTGAGGGTCGGCCGGTCAGTTCGCCCATCTTCAGGATGAGTTCTTTTTGGAGGTCGCTGGTCAGGTTGTCCTGGGCGCGGAAAAAAGCGACGCCACGCTCGGCAACTGTACCGGTACTATTAGCTCCATTTCTTAATTTCTGATCAGGTGGTAAGGGCAAGTCACTCATGATAGCAAGATCACGAATCCGCCTCTCCGCATCCGGCGCGCGGAGAATATCATCCACGATATTACACGTTCCCTTCGCAAATTCATTCCCAATAACTGGCGTCACCATCACCGGCTCGAAATTATCAAGCGATCCTGAGGAGAATTGGCGTGCGGGGGCTTGCATCTTGCGTCTGGAGCTCGAGTGTCGATCTGTCTAGGTAGATTGCGGAAAGAGATGCGGCTCTGGCTGTTTTGGGGGAAGAGTTGCGGTTCCCTCCTTTTCTGTTCGGGGTAGAAGTTGCGATATATGTCGCTTGCTTGATTTCGCTCTCAAGAACCTGCCTCTATCACGAATTCCCATGCTCCTATATATTCTTGAATTCTGGGTTGATCTATGCTGGTTGGAGGTGCCGTCGGTTTTCGGCGTTAAGCTTGCTCCACTTGGACACACACATCGCTGCGTCGTTCTTCATCCTCGTAAGCCAATAACCGGTATGAAGTTTCGACAACATATGTCCTAATATGATGAACCATGGTGTCAATCTATCACACTTTCAAATCAATATTGATGAAGAGGGCCGTTATGGAACTGATCAGATACGGAAGTCCCGCACTGGTGCGATCCCTCACTCGTTCGAGTTTCGTCGACCTACAAGATTAGGAGTGGCGATGTTACTAGCCCTGGAGGTAGGTAGGTGACTGTCCAGATGACCGTTTAGCCAATCCTTTGAAAAACAGCTTGGGCCTCTGCTTCAATGACTGTTATGTAGTAGGACGGTCAGATTGAGGTGCAATTCTCTACAATCTAGGCGTCAAGCCCGACTGGAATTTGAAAGTGAGCTCTGGCCGCTATACCCGGCCTGCTCAGCCACGTTCGAGACGCAGCAATCCACCAAGATGTTGTGATTTGAAAAGAGACACGCAACAAACAACTAATCATAACGAAAAAAAATAAATAAATAAATAATCTTTGCTTAGAAAACCATCGGCCATCGGCGATAAACACATCTACCGAACGCATATCCCTACCACGCTTAACGCCGACAATCCGAAATGCCCCCAGACCCCTGCGATGAACCCACAAGAACCCTCCAATAAAGATCAAGTTATTTTAGCGAGACTTTTCTGGCGTCCGAGCATAAGCATTACCCCACAAAATCCAAGTCGAGCTCCTCGGTCGACCCACCTTGGCAAGCAGAATGCAATATTGCAACATTGGTGCTGCGTCTTTCATCACTCCCCGAACGTGCATACTCGAAGGGTATAGGTATATAATGATGTTCGAGATTGGGCCCCTTTTTTCCCAATCTCAAGAGCACCTGCCAAGACTTACTTCTTTACGTCTTGTTTATTCAACATGACATCCTCGAACAATGAGAAGGTCTCCGAGACCCAGCTTGAGCCCATCGAGTCTCAGAAGTCTACACTAGAGAATATCGACGATGACCCCGTGTATACTCGTCAGCAGCAGCGGAAGATTATTCGACGGATTGATTTTCGACTTGTCCTTATGCTTGGGTTTCTTCATTGTGTTTGTCTGATTGATCGGGGCAATTTGGGGACGGCTGCTATTGCGGGCATGGAGAAGGAGTTGCACCTAGTTGGGACACAATATGTAAGTGAAGGAAGACCATATCGCACCAAGGCACGCCATGGTGAATGTTGACGATTCTTTCAGAGTACAATTGCAGTTTCCTTTTTCCCGCCGTATATCGCCCTGCAGGTGCTTGGCCCCATTCTCGTGCGAAAGATCGGGCCCATAAACTATCTATCAGGGGTCTGCTTTATCTGGGGTGGAGTCATGGTACGCAGCATCACGCACCCGGGGATCTTCTTCCCCCGTACCTAATTTAATTAACTCGATCCACAGCTGTCCGCGGGATTTGTGAAGAAATGGACTGAAATGGTCGGAATCCGCATCATCATCGGTGCTCTCGAGGCAGGCTTCTTCCCAGCATCCGTCTATCTGATTTCAACCTGGTATACACGATACGATATTCAGAAACGCTACGCCATCTTCTACCTCCTCGGCTGCGTCGCCTCAGCATTCACAGGAATCCTCTCCTACGGCATTACATTTATGGTAGCTCACCCCGTTCCAATATTCTCCGAACAGCACTAATCCATCACAGCGCGGCCTCGGAGGCCTCACATCCTGGCGCTGGATCTTCGTAATTCAGGGCCTAATCACCTGCGTCATCGCAGCAGTCGGCTGGTTCATTCTAGTCGGATTTCCAGACAAAATGAAGACCAGCAAGCGGAAATTCATGTCGAACGACGAATACGATTTTATCATACGCCGCATCACCAAAGACAGAGCCGACGTCAACCTCGAGCCCTTCAATATCAAGAAATATCTGCGTGCAGGTCTCGATATCAATATCTGGGGCATCGGATTCATCTACTATTCTACAACGACGACCGCATATGCCCTTTCATATTTCCTGCCTATCATCTACAGACAAGGAATGGGCTTTTCGATGGGTGCTTCTCTGTGCCTGTTTGCGCCGCCTTATGCTGCTGCTGGCATTCTTATGTTTGCGACCTCCTGGATTGGGGATCGGTATCATATCCGAGGTCCGATTTTGATCTTTAATGCTATGCTGACTATAACTGGTCTGCCATTGATGGTGAGCCTCATAACTGTGAAGCATTGGGAAATATTCTCATTCAAAGCAGGGATTCACGAAATCAAATGGACCTCGTCTACTCGGCGCCTTCCTCGTGACAATGGGCGCGAATTCCAATATCCCCTGTGCAATGGCCTATCAGGTAAGTCAAACACGAAGTAAATTTTTTTCTGAGCTTGCGTTAATTGAAGAAACCAGGCAAACAATATACGTGGGCAATGGAAGCGCGCCGTCTCCAGCGCTATTTTTGTCGGACTCGGTGCGTCGGGGGGAATGACCGGATCACTTGTCTACCGGTCCCAGGACGCCCCAACGTATCACCCTGGGATTCTCACTTGCGTAGGGCTGTCTGTCTTGTCAATTGTGCTAGTGATTCTTTTGTCGGTCCGATTCCGTTACTACAATAGGAAGGCGGATCGGGGTGAGATTGTTATTGCGAATTTGCCGGGATTTAGGTACACGTATTGAGCGGACAGGGCATCAGTAGCAGTAGTCAAGAAAGTATTTCTCATCTCAATGATGACTCTATACGAGGGTTTCTAGCTTTGCTGGCAATTACGAAGATTTCAGTGTTAGTATATTGTTGAGGGGGTTGTCTTGGCTTCGCAACTTTGCCCGAGTGCGTAAATAATTCCTCTAGGATAACTCCTCCCTTCCACCACCTCAGACCCTCGCCAGGCATGGTGCAATCACTCTTTCCCCAGTGCACAGTCCCCCCTCTTGGCACTTGAAGCTGACCAAATGGGGTATCAGTTCCGCGCCAACGCAGATCCAAGTGGGCCGAGCCACTAGGCAGAATGGAGCATGAGATGCGATAGAAGTCATGGACCACGACTGACTTCATTTGGGACTATAAATTGCAAAAAATTTCCCTTGGTTCATTTTCATCATCAACAATATTCCAACTGCTCATCTAAAATGGCCAAATACCCCATTCACATCGAGCCTTCCTTCGTCGATACAACCGACTTCGACAATGCCCGACGCGGCTTCATTGGCGCCCTCGAGCCCTGCATCATTCGCGCAGCAGACGGCCGGACAGTCTGGAACAATGATGAGTACAGTTTTCTCAATGCCAAATGCCCCTCGACCGCCAACCCCAAGCTATGGCGGCAAGGCCAGCTCAACTCGATTCAGGGCCTCTTCGAAGTGACACAAGGCATCTACCAAGTGCGCGGCCTCGATCTCTCGAACATGACAATCGTGGAAGGAAAAGAAGGCGTAATTATAATTGACCCTCTCACAGCCGTGGAAACCGCCGCTCAAGCTCTATCTCTGTATCGAAAGCACCGTGGCGAGCGCAAGGTGACCGGCGTGATATATTCTCATTCCCACATCGACCATTTCGGCGGCGCGCAAGGAATTCTCCCACTTGCCAAAAGCCACGATATCTCCATCATCGCACCAGAAGGCTTCATGGAAGAAGCACTAAGTGAAAACCTCTACGTTGGAAACGCCATGCGCCGTCGCGCTGTTTACATGTATGGAAGCCGATTACCCAAAGCACCCGACGGCCAAATCGGCTGCGGACTAGGCATGGGCGTACCAACGGGGACGAGCTCCCTCGTCCCTCCAGACAAGATAATCAACGAGACTGGCGAAGAGCAGATTGTCGACGGCGTCCGCATAATTTTCCAAATGGTTCCCGAATCCGAAGCGCCCTCTGAAATGAACTTCTTCTTCCCCGACCACCGAACCCTCTACATCGCTGAATGCGCCACCCACTCTCTCCACAACATCATCACGCTCCGCGGTGCACAGGTCCGAGACGCCAAGGCCTGGTCCCATTACCTTGACGAATCTCTCGTTCTCTTCGGAACGAACACTGATGCACTTTGTGCCGGCCATGCTTGGCCTACCTGGGGCCGGGAAGAGGTCTCGACAATCCTGCAAGACCAGCGCGATCTATACGCCTACCTCCACGATCAAACGATCCGGATGATGAACAATGGTATGACAGGTATCGAGATTGCCGAGGTCCTTACTTTGCCACCCTCTCTGCAGAGCAAGTGGTATACACAGGGCTTCTACGGGTCCATCAGCCACAATGTCAAGGGTATCTATCAGCGATACGTCGGCTGGTTTGATGGAAACCCCGCGCATCTTTGGGAACATCCCCCGAAAGAAAATGCCGAGAGATACGTCGCATGCATGGGCGGGATCGACGAGGTTGTTCGTAAAGCAGAGGAGTTTGCAGAGAAGGGCGACTTGCGTTTTGCGGCTACACTACTGGGCCACGCCGTTGCTTTTGATCCCACGCATTCCAAGGGAAAGATGGCTTTGGCTACTGTTTTCACTAAACTGGGCCATGGGTCTGAGAATGGGACCTGGCGGAACTTCTATCTGACTGGGGCGCAGGCATTGCTGGCTAGGAACATCCCGCCTCCTTCGCAGGCCTTGGTTAATGGATTGAAACCGACGCAGACTGTTGATCAGTGGCTGACTCTGCTATCTATTCGAATTGATGGTCTGAAAGCTGGGGACTCGTCTTTCATAATTGATATCCATGTTGTTGATGAAGCGAAATTGTACAGGGTAAATGTAAGTAATGGGGCATTGACTTACAGAGTTGTTCGGGATACTCAGGGCCTGGATGGAATACCCGGCCTCACACTGGAATTGAAGAAGGATGAGCTGCTGGGCGTTCTCAAAGGCGAGAAGGAACTCGAAAATGTACAAGGAGACTGGTGTTTGATTCCAATACTGCTTTCTTTTCTGGAAAGCGCTGGATCCAACACCCCGATACGTGTGCAGCTCTAAAAGAGGATCGACTGATGGGGTTAATACTGGACATGTTGGGGTTTATGCGTTATATATAGCCAGAACATAGTTATTTTTCGTTGCGATCGCTTTTTTCAAGATGGACTTGAAGATTGGAGTAGTACTAATTAGGCAACCTAACGATTCTTTAACGAATTGACGGATTCGCTTTGCACCGACTCGATTCGACTCGTTGACAAGCAACATAGTAACCCAATACGCAGAGTTCTTGAATTAGGCGGAAGTACTCAAAAGAAAGGCTTGACCATGAGCGATCTCGCAAGTGTGCTCCACCATGCCTCGGCTTTCCCTTTGTATTTGAAGGGAACCTCCTTTTATCACCGCGTTGCGAGTGGTCCAGTTGGTTCTCCTCTAAGGCGACACCATATAGATGATCATATGATGCTACAAACGAACACGGTCATGTGACGGCGCAAGTGAGAGAACACCTGTGCACGAACCACTGCCTGCACGTACATCTGCCCCCCACCTCGCGAACTCTTCCTCTTCCTCTTCACCTCCCCATACAAATGTAGGGGTGCACACGAATAATCACTTTACGAATATTCGTACGAATACCGTAAAATTTTACGAATACGAATAAGCATCGTCGCTTATATAATATCCGTACGAATAAAATGTGTCTTATTCGTAAATTATTCGTAAAAATCACGTGTGATTAATATTCCTCAGAGAGATATATATCTCGTAACAACATCAACCGCCGCATAGTCTCCGCGCTCAAGGTGTTTCTCCTGACACCCAGTAAATCTCGTCCCTTGTTGAATAGTCTCTCCACCGACACTGATGATGCAGGAATGGCCAGATAGTCTCGTGCAGCAGTAGCTAGCTGTGGGTATTCGTTCCTCTGTGCTCTCCACCACGATAAAAGCCAATTCTTGTCCTGTGAAATCGACTCATTTATCGTGACGACGTCATCCTCAAAGTACCGGTCAATGTCAGATGAATGTTTCTTCTTAGGTTGCAGCTTCTGAAGTAAACGGGCCTCTATGCTCTTCTTCAGGCTCGGCTGCTCCTTAGAGGGCTTTGCCGACGAGTCGACTGCCAATGGATATTGATCATGCAGTAGTTCTTTGATGTGCGTGACAACTTGGGGTGCTGTGAGCTTGCCTAGATCTCTGTCTAGCAAGAGCGTTTTAAATCGCGGATCAAGCACTAGGGCGACATAATAGGCGTCTTGTCCATCCATCAGGTTGTAGTATTTTTGGAACTTTTTCAAGCCCGCAGCAGCAGCAGCAGAAATCTCCAGGTGCAGATCCGAGAATTCTCCCTCCCTAGACGCAGCATCATGCAACAGATCGTGCAGTTCATAGTAAATGGGGATGGCTAAGGTAATTTGCGGTTGACGCTTGGAAACAGTGAGGGTGAACTCCTCAAACCTGGCTAAGAAGCCCTCAATTTGTTGGAGACGATCCCAATCCTCAGCACTGAAGGGTGGAAAATCTAACTGATGGTGGATCCATTTCTTGATTTGCTGCTTCGCGTTCAGGGCGTCTCGGAGCATTCGGTGTGTCGAATTCCACCGTGTATCCACGTCGTACTCGATGAACTTGTCCTTGAGCCCATTGCTCTGGCAGATGATCTTCCACTGCTGCTTCCGCTGCGGGGTTCTTGCAATCCAAAGCGCCATAATCCGAAGGCGAGCCAACGGTGATTGCGGGCCAATCTCTTTGTTTTCCTGCATGAGATCACAAGCTGCATTCGCCGACGCGTGGTCCCCTGCTTGCAACATGACGAGTATATCGCTGACAATCAGATTGAGCACATGCGCAGTGCAGCGAATATAACTATCCACTCCTTGAAATCGTAGGGCTCTTGCAGCACTCACGGCTCCGTACATGGCTTGAAATTTCTCGGTGAGATTGAGATATAATTCCGATAGCAAGCGCTCATTGCTTGTGGCATTGTCTGCTGTGATCGCGAGGAGCTTGTGTTCGATTCGAAGTTCTGTGAGAAGCGTCTGAAGAATTTCTGCCATGTTCTCTCCGCTATGAATGCCGTGGAGTTCCGTAAATTCAAGAACCCGCTCTCGGTACTGAAAATCCACTGTCAACCAGTGGCCAACAACCCCGAACATGGCTTTTGAATTCTTGCTCGTCCAAGCGTCTAGCGAAAGAGAGATCGTTTGGCACGTCTGCTCTAGCTCTTCAATCAACTGCTCCCGACAATTGTCGAAATCACGATCGATTCGACGAGCCATTGTCATGCGAGATGCGAAAGGGAGTGAAACACCCAAGTCCTGGAAGATCTGTTGGAAGGGGGGCGATTCTATGGCGTCAAATGCCATGTCGTCTATAACCACCCACCGAACCAGGTTTTGCTCCAGGACCTTTGCTCTCTGCTCCTCAGTCCGCTTCTGGAAGAAGCTGCTAACTGACGGCTGTTTTATGCTGCTTCTGTCGTCCTCCGAACTGTTTTCAGGGCCACTTAGGATAATACCATGTTTAGAGAGATGGAACATCATATTGGATGTTGATGTTGCCCTTGTAGAATCTGTCGTTTTCCAATTGCATCTCTTGCAGCGCACCTCCCGGTCGTTGATTGGGCCCTTTCCCCTTTTTGGCCACCACATCCTTCCCGGTAGCGGGGAACAGTCGAAATGTGCCCAGAGAGCTTGATTCTGCATCTTTCTTCGAGAAAGGCCAGATTCATTGGAGATACTGACCACGTCAGGCAACGCCTCCGCAGTCAGTTCATTTTGGGAGCAGATCGCCACGAGTGGACTTCGAGCCCGGCTTAATTGGCTTGCAGAGTCATCAGGAGTAATCGGTTCAACGCTACTGCGTGCCCTTTTCGAAGGAGGGATCTCAATAATGCGGTCTTCTGGTGGAGCCTCCTCGTCGATGCCATCATTGAGCGCACAGTAATTGATTCGCTGAGACCTGTATGGCCGTTTGCGCTGTGACTCCGTGGACTCGTCCATTCGTAGCGCGAGAAATTTGTCCTGATAGTTGACTGATAGGAAAGAAGTGCGTAGAAAACGAAATTATGGTCGTGTATCTGCAGTGTAAACAATCACGCGACGCGTTGAGCATCGTTAGATGGGCGGTGGGTCTCTATTACAGTATGGGTAAGTTAGTCTTGGCGGAAATTACGAATAATTACGAATCGAATACGAATAAAGTCACGAAAATAGCCAGTCGAATACGAATAATGAGTTGAGGAAAATTGACGAATACGAATAACCAAAATCCTTATTCGTGTGCACCCCTATACAAATGTGCTTCGGCCTTCCCGCGGAGGCTTCTGGCACACGGGGGTGTACGAAGAGACGGCGGTCAATGAACGTCCTGTGGCCGAAGATGTTCCACCTGTCGGAGCTGCCATCGACCTCTCAGGGCCCGAGAAGCCCTCATCTCTCTCAGAAATCCCCTGCTGCTCTCCTAGCCATTCCAATCCCGAGATTCATTACTGCTCTCCCCTCTCCCAGGTCTCGCTAGCCTTGGAGACCCAGCTCGGCCTCCGGCACGTATGGTATACGAAGAGACTCCGGTCAATGAACGTCTCCTTGGCTGTGTCCGGATAAGCGCTCAGCCCTCTCTATGGGGTCGAGATTACCTGGTGCATTGGGGATGCTACTCAGTGACTCGGAGAGCCTCTGGCGTACGGTGGTATACAAAGAGACTTCGGTCAGTGAACGTCAGCTTAACCGTGCCCGAATGTGCGTTGTGAGACTCTAGAGCCCTGAGATACCCTGGAGCATGAGAGACTTTGGTCCGCGAGGAACCGGTGACCTCTATGAAGAGATTCCGATAGGCTCGGGAAGAGGAGGAAAGAACGACGACCACCGACAACCACGACCACGACCGACGACGGCGACCACGGCCACGAAAGAGAAGAAAGCCTAGATGACGAACACCTGATGAGGGCGGAAGTGAACGCTTCAATTGCGGGCATGGAAACCAGCACTACTTAATTATTTGAATTGATGCCTTGCGAGCCTTTTTCGCATTGCTTTGCACGAGGCCTGCCCCAACTCTGTTTACAGAGCCCCTCATCTCGAACAGTTGTCGCGGCATTGCACAGCGCTGGTCGATAACACCAACAATGGTTGGAACATTATTTGGAACCTTATTGTGGGCCACCGTGCTTGCACATAATCACTACATGGTGTCGTTCTGGCTTACACTACCTCCGCCTAGGAACCCTTTTTTCTTCATCACTTGGTCGGCTTGTCCGGTCATGTGGAGAGGAATCTCCGAATCAATTTTGTGGTGACATCTAGTAGGAATTTGAGGTTGGGGTGAGCTTAGAAGAGGTCTTTTTTACTAGGATATACTCGAGTACAATATCCGTGGGAATCTGCGACGGGCGATCTCCTGACCACACACAAATTCACCCTTTTGGCCCATCCTTGCCCGCTCCAGCACCAAACCAGTTCGCTTTTTCGTGTCCGCATGAAACCAACTTTGGAAACAGCAAATGATCTGGAGCAATGGTGGGAGTTGGCGGACACAGCAAAGGCTGCATCACTGTAGGAATCGTCTGCACCAACACTAATTCCCCGCAGACGAGACCAAGCCAACCTGTGAACGCTGTCACAAAGGTGGATTCCAGTGCTCCGGCTATATTCAACATCGACATTTTGTCAACATGTCAACCCAGTTCGAAAAGAAGGGCTGCGAGAAAATGGCTGTCTCGAATCCGATGCCCACTGCCATGGCTAGCGATTTTTCGGCCCAGTCGCCAGTCAAGCTCTCCTGGACGCCTTTATATTCGGCTCCATCACTGGACGAGCAAAGCATATTGCCTCTCACCTAGTCGATTATATGTTCTCTTGGTACCAGGATTCTAGGTCACCCCACAACTGGCTCAAAACCCTGCTCGAAACGAACGAAGAAGATGGGGTGTTGTCATTTTCGTCCATCCAGGCATTTTCCATGATCTACTTTCCTAAGATGCAGCGCCAGTGGAGTCTGGTACCGAAAGGAGCTGTATTTTATACTCGAGCCTTACGGGCGTTGCCCTCGCAGCTAGAGGATCCTGTTGCGGCGCTGAGTGATGATGTTCTCCTTGCCATCATCTGCATGGGAATGTACGAAGTGGTCATGTTTGATCAGCCGACCGGATGGCTACTTCATTATAAGGGACTGGCTCGACTGGTTTGTCCTTCAATATCGTCACTTGCATCAACTGTTTTCTAACTGTTTACACAGGCTGCAATTAGGGGACCTCGGCGCCACCAGTCCGGGTCGGGTTTTGCCATGCTTCCCACCATGAGATACTGCATCGTAAGAGCCATGTCTAAGTTCCTTTTATTGAGATGTGTACTAATTTCCAGTCAGACTGCCGGCTACCTCGTCGAGCGCAAACGCTGCTTCCTCGGAAACTCCGAGTGGAAAGCAATCTCCTGGATGAAAGTCGGACTCGATTCCAAAACACCTTTAGACAAACTCCACGACATCTTCTGTGATGTCCCCGGCTTTCTCGAAGACCGCGATCGTCTCGACAGTTGGATGCCGAACACTCCGGGTAAAGAAGAATTCAGGGCAGAATATTGCCGCCGGGATTTCTATTATACAAATGGCGCTGGGAATGGGAAAAAGACTACCCAGCTTCCACCTACAGAGTCCCACCCCATTTTCGTGATCGCGAAGGGTTATCATCAATCCCTCCAAGTCCTTTCCAATCTATACTCTGATTCTACGATCCCTTCCGAGCCACCGAACTCATGACTTACAACGCCCTACGATTAATCCTGACAGTGCTACTCGAGCTTGCGGGTTTGAAAATGGCCGTTTCAACATCAACACCTTCCAACGACCCTCTCCTCCCGATGGAAGGCACCCGCTACGACGTTGTGATCGAGATCTGTCGGATGGTGGACTTTCACGCCCACTGTCTTCGACGAAACAACGGGACATTCCTGCTGATCTTCACGCTGAATGCGGCGTATATCCATCTGGATGGAGACCAAGATGGAGCTAGGCCATGGTTGGAAAGGCCATGTCCGTTCTTGCGGACACGCATGGGTTTGAGCTTGGGCGGCGGGAGAATCTACCTCGTCAGTCGATTGCGGTGGGTCTTCTTCGTATATTGAGAGGTTGTGAATTCATCAGAGGTATTCTATATCTCTATCGAAATATGTTAATCAGTGTGTAAATTACAGAGAATTGCAACACACAAAGCGGCTTCGAACCTGCAATAACGACCGCTTTCGCCCCTCAACTGCAGCCCAGCTTTGACATCCTTCTGCTAGGCGGGACTTCAGCTTCGACTATTCCCCATGTTCCTCCCACATCGCGATGTGGACGCTTCGATACCTCCCGAAGGCATGCATTATCTCATTGTAGGGCGGGTGGACATCTCTTATGTTTAAGATGGATTGGTGAATATCGCTGGCGAATCCCTTCGGGTGGGTGACTTATAAAGGGCCCATCAAGTCTGTCGCCCGAATCGTTGCGCCAGCGACAAATATCCGCACTGGCAATCAAGCTAAATCCATCAATATCGATAGATAAATGACATATGACTCAAGTGTTTCAGTGAAACATCGCTTAGGCCGGCTATAAAAAGAATAGTGGTTGGGGCCGGGGTCATGTTGCTGATAGGACCGGCACGGGCCGTTGCCCGGGGAAGTTCACTTTTGCTGCTCCATGTACTTCTCACAGAAGTCTTGAGGGCTACGTAAATGTAAACATGGAAATGCAGTCTAATGACGATAGTGGAGACGATAGTAAATCTATCTGCTCTCTAGAGAGCTCTTGAAGTGCAGCCTCAGGCAGGTGTCGCAGAGGCCCAGCTGCAGCATTTTCCATAGCTTCGGCTTTGTCAGTCCTTTGTCGTTCAAACATGAGCTGATTATTTGTACTTACGAGGTACAAAGTATCCACTTTCTTCCATCTGTGATGGGTGTTGCGCTAGTTCGTGTGTACTTGGAGGAGACGCCTGACTAACGGGTGACACGGGTGGCATCCCGATACCCCATGGCTGCTGTTGCTCTGCATAATACTGCTGCGCATACCCAACCTGGGGGCCCTTTAACGGCATCTTTCCGTACGGGGATTGCTCTCCATATTTCGGAGACCCGTAACTGGACGGAGGCGACCACTGCTGCGGCTGCTGCAAACAAGCCGGTTGAACGGAATATTCGCCAGCCTCACCCGGCGTTCCGTGGCGCTCAGACAAGACTGATTGGGGCTCCACGGAGTCCTGCGAATTTTTTCTATGCGGTGATGGCGGCGATGTCTGTTGCATAGCCCGCATACTCCTCGTATGGCGTTGGTTGTGTTGACTCGGTGTTGCTGCGCCAGCCATTATGAAGAATTCGTCAAAACGATAAACAAGAATGATTGAAGAAGAAAAAGCTTTCGCAGCTCCAAAAGCCGCATTTGTACCCCCAACCCCCGCCCTAAATTGATTTAATGTCTTGCGTCATCTACAACCACATTACCCGATTGGGTTCGTCTGCATCTCTACTACCCGATTTGGTCTAATCCGCGGCGAAATGGCCCCCACCCCAGGGTACTGGCTGGCTCCAGCACTGGCCCCCGTCTGCAGCCCGATTTCCATACCGCTTCTGTTTTAGACCTTCAATTGGTTCGCGCAAACGGCTCAATCTGGGCAAGCGTGATGGGATCTCTAAGCTTAAATGCAACTGGACCTGCTTTCGCTCATCATTCGCTCGTGCAGTCATTCCAACACCATCATTGGCTCGCAAAATCAGTCCAATATGGGCACCGAGGGGTATTGGGTTCCCCACGTATATAAAAAGTGAAGGGTTGGGGCTTCTGGCCAACTCACTCAGCCGCATTGTGCCCTGCATCTATTTCTGTCGAACTTTGCCAGCATATATTGACTGTCGTGGCTTACCTTGTCCTGTTTGCGTAACTGCGGTGCATGCACGGACTGAGACCAAGCTTTCGGGGCTCTTAGCTTGGTATTTCTTGGTATCCGAATAAGCGGAAGAGGTCATGGGCGTTCTACACACTTGGGGGCTTTCTCGGTATTTTGTGTATAAAAGCAGTGGTCCAGTCGATAGCAGAACTTGGAGTTGACAAGGTCTCAGCATTCTTTAATCACTCTCAAATATGCACTTTTCTACGGCCGCAGTTGCCTCTCTGGCAATTTCCTTACCCGTTCTTGCCCTCCCCAGAGCCTCATCCTCGAGCAGTCTTCAAAACGCTGCCGATGCAGTGCCAGGAGAAACCTCTCTCTTCGTCACTTACCCAGGCAAGGAGACGCCACTCGCCCAAGAATACCTACGAGCCAACCCAGCAACAGGCTCAGGCCCCGCCGGAGACGACGACCTTCTATTCCAAAACCTTCTGGCCGCCGAATGGGTCATCTACTCCTTCTACCAGCTCGGCGTAGAGTCCTTCACGAAAGAGAACTTCACAAAACTCGGCTGGCCAAACACGACTTACGAGCGAATCGTCGAGATCCGCGACAACGAAGCCGGACACGTCCGCATCTTCCAAGATCAAATCACTAACAACTCCGTGAAGCCCGCTCCATGCAAGTACCAGTTCGAGGTCGGTACCAACCCGGAATACTGGCTCCTGCTACAGACCTACCTCGAAGCCTCAAGCATGGCCTTCCTAACCGGCCTCGCCCTCCAAGCCGACGTGAACACCTCCAAGGCCGCCCTCATGGCAATCGGCCAGACGGAATCGCGGCACAACACTTGGTCGCTCATCGACGTCTGGAACGTGAGCCCCTTCGCCGGGCCCTCGGACACAACATACCCCTACCCAAACCAGATCCTGGATCTGACGAACAACTTCATCGTGTCGGGCAGCTGTCCCAGTGTGAACCCGGTCTACCCCTAGTCCGCGTCAGAACCTGCCCCAGCTGGAGTTCTACAAGAATGGGACTACGGCGAGTCCTGGCTCGGATATTCAGCTTGCCTATCAAGATCCGAAGCATGTGCCCTCGTTCGAGGATGACAAGCAATACTGGGTTGTCTTCTACCACGGTGTTCAGAAGGTTAGCCTTCCTTTTGACCCCCACAATATGCGGGTTAAGATTCCGGCTCAGTTTGATGTGAATGTTGGCATCATCATGCTCAATATTGCAGATGAGGAGGATGCGCCGACACGAGATAGTGTTGTTGCTGGTCCCTTGATTCTGTTGGAGCAGCCTGTCGCCTACAACAAAGTCATTTCTGCGGTCTAAGGTCGCTCAAACTGTGCATTCCCAGATTGTCCTCTGCTCGTTAATTAAGAGCGGTTTTTCTCGCTTCTCATATCATCCCAGATTTCTTTTTTGTGTCAAGTTTTCGTCAATTGAATTCAATAGATATTGCGTCCAACAAATGATAATTTGCATCTTATAACTCGAGCACGATTTCTCTAGTAGTGATATTGCAGGCAGTGCCAGCTCTGAATATCATACTTGAGTCAATACATATGTGAAGTGCTAGGATGGATTGATATGACTCGTGACCTTAGCTCAAAATTGCTACAATTCGGCATTACCTTGAGCGCCGCTTTCTCCCGTTGATAATTCGAAAGTATATATTCAAATCGGTGCGACCAATCCAACGCATTCCTTAAGACGCACTCACTCCAAGCTTCCAAATTTGTACGCAGAAGGGGTTCCGTAAATATTTAGCTACTAAGCAAAACGAGACCAGAGCACACAAAACAGGTAAACGCTTCTGCAATACCCAATCTACACTCCACGCAGCAATCAATGCTTATCTAAGCCCCACGCTAAGGCGGAGCCAACCAGCGGGCGCAGCGCCCACGCGATGATGCCACCAAAACAATCCCGCCGCAACATTCGCCAATTCTCTCCAGAACGCCCTTTTCCCCTAATTTCCCACTCCCGGTAAGTATTCTTCCAAACATTCCAAGCTCAGATGGTACCGCGCAATCCCAGCCAGCCAACGATCCCAGCGGTGCCACGACCACCGTCATGCATGAGGCGACGCGCTCTTCAACGGGACACAGCGGGGAACGCAAAGGCAATGGACTGTGATGTTGCCTCGAGCTTAATTCGGCAATCGTCCCTGCTGACTCGTATTCGTCCAGCGATCTAGCTTATTCGTCTCTGCTATATCTACACAATGGCTGTCGAGGGCACCACTCCTGCGTCGGTATGTCTACACCGCAATCTGCAGCCGGACAACGAAGTCGAGGATATCAGGCAGCTGTGCCAAGAGAGAGAAGATATCGCTAAATTCGCATCTCAAGCCCGTTCCGATTCCGGAGCTCACCAAGATCACCACCGAGGTATGTCCGCAACTCGCCTCCGTCCAATCGCCAGAAACCAGACTCACAAGACCGGAAGGCCTGCGACGCCGCGCTCAAGGATACCGCCGAGTACCAGCATGAGAAGGTTAGCGAGTGGAACTCGTCTATCATCGTATGTCTTCCATATCCACAATTACGCATGACAATGGGACAAGGCTGTGCTTGTCAAAGCCCGTGCTCATGCACAAGCCATCCGAACATAACACTAACCCACGGCAAGAACACCGTCCTGAAAGCCCTCATTACCGCCACAGCCCCCTCCGATACCAAGACTCCCGCCCCCTACCGCTTCACCGTGAACAGCACCATCGTGCAACAGGGACTTATCGATAAGACCGCCGCGGCGGACGGTACACAGATCAACGCCGGCAAGCGCGGGATGCACTCGGCCTCGGGCGCCTTCTGGGATGTCAACCGCGACGGCATGTGGACGTTCAAGTACCCCGGTGCCGAAGAGCGGGGACTGGATGTTGTGGTCAGCGTTACCTGGTTCGCCATGCACTAAGTGCGTAGGGTAGGAGGTGCAATTGTCCTTGTTATTTATGAGGTATACCCTTGAAGTGGAGACAAGATGACTGGGGATGCGGAGGTCATACAGCTACAAATTATTGTTATTTTATGTTTTTATTTGAGACATTGTTATGGATATGGATTTTTCTATTGCCTTCTTTTCGTGTACTAGTTTCGAGATCTGCTTTGTTAGATTTCAGAAGTGTTTGGTAGCGATGCGCTGTCTTAAATGTATGCCTATGCAATTGTGGAGACTGGCTTCATTATCCTTTGTTTACTTTGTAAAATGAGGACCCGAATTCCCTGTTCCGGTTAGTTTTGCCCTTTGGCACCCCGGCGTACTTAGCCTTCCTCGATTGCTCAACCGCATCTCTCACTCCTCTATCCGTCCCTTATACTCGTCGCTACACCCCATTATTTCGCTCGGTACACAGCACAGCGTCGTCCAGCGGTTCAGCCTAGTACCTCCACGTATCTTCGAGAAGGTCAACTGATACTGTCGAAATAGTCATCGCCTTGTATGTCGGAAACAATGAGATGCTCTTTAAAGCCAAATTACATGGTAAGTTAAAGAAAGTGACCGTTTGCCCCTACCGCGTGATACATTTCCTTGCAAACCTAGCTATGAGGCAACCTAGGACTAGTAATCTGTCAACAATTCGCTTCTGCTTCTCCTAGTTGCTTTACTGTAGAGTCTGGCACTTTCCCTGGGGGTCCGTCCAGGGCCAAGTTGGTACACATGGCTCAACAGTAGGTCATTTTTTTTGGCGCTAACGTATCCCAATGGATAAACCACTAGAGCGTAAGTCGATCCCCGTCGAAAGCGTTGCGTAGCATGTCCACGTCGAACTTCTGCATATGCATCATGACAGTATACGCACGGTCCCGCTTCTCTATCTCTGGACTGTCTAGCATCCTGTAGAGCTCGTTAGGGACGATCTGCCACGACAGGCCGAACTTGTCCACGAGCCACCCGCACTGCCTCTTGCTCTCATCTCCACCCTCGCCGAGCTTATTCCAGTAGTAGTCGATCTCGCTTTGATCCTTGCAATTGACCATGATGGAGATTGCCGCGGTGAACTTGAAGTTGGGCCCACCATTAAGGCCGACGAACTTCTGATCGTTGAGCTCAAACTCGATGGTCATGAGGCTGCCCGGCTCACGGCCATGGAACTCCTTGCCCGCTTCGGTGTAATAGTGACGCCCAGTGATTTTGGAGTCCTTAAATATAGATGTATAGAACGCGGCGGCTTCTTCGGCCCGGCCGTCGAACCAGAGGCAGGTGGTGAGTTTGCCAACGGACATTAGGCTAGTGGTGGCGTGCTAAAAGCAATATGTGAACAGTATATAGGACGGGGGAAGAATAGCGCCTTATTCCAAATATGCCTTGTAGCTTATTGTTTCTCGAGTAAGATGAAGTGAGCATCAAGGCACTATGGAGTCTGGATGACACGTTCATATTTATACCTTATAGAACTGGTTAGTTGCGGGGTTCACAGGATACGAGAAACACGTGATTTAGTATAACCGAAAATGGAGAGCTGATAGGGGTATGCATCGAGCCGGATCGCCAGATCATCCTAATCCTGATATTATCCTCGTGTATATATGGTCTGGCACAGCAAGGGGCTATCACAAAATCTCTCTTTCCACAGTTCCTAGGTCCACGGTGAGATATACCAGCCACAAAGGTACACGTAACAGCCTCCGATTTGGAATCCCCCTATTTTATGATGCCAAAAGACGTGTTATACACAGACATCCAACCAACCCAACCAATGATCCAATCCCAGCACCGCCAACAAGCCCACGCCAATTCCCTGCTCCTGATCCCGACAACCCCCGTGAAGCCACGGCAAGCACCCCAATAGCCGCAGTCGGCTCACTCCAGTTATCAATAGCCACCTGGCCGGAGTTATACCGTAAGCGCCAACTGCGATCTTTCCATTCGATCTCCTCTCGGCCCCACATCCGAGCGATGAGGCCAACTCCCGCCATGCCGGTCCCGATGAGACCCCCAGTACCCGCTGAGCGGAGAAGAATAGGCGTATTAAGAGATCGGCGCTTCAAAAGGAATGTAGCACCGCTGTTTAGCAAGCCGATCGCAATGCCAAGTTGGAACCCACGGCTAAGAACATGGGTGGCGAGAATCGTTCGTGCCAAAGGTTGGTCTTCCGCATACCCGGCCGTAGGGTAAAAGTATGACATTATTGTGTTCTAGGAGATTGGGTAGCTGGACACTTTCGTGTTCTGATTAGACTTGCGGGGTTAAGGCGACTTTATAATCTGGGGAATCCTTGGCGGCGAATTCCACGACTAACCGCATCAGATCACGCCACGGCCTCAATAGGCAAGCACCTTAGGTTCGAGACGTCAGCGCTCACTTGGTGTGTGCTGACCGGTGCTTAGCGGCCATTCCCAAGGGAACAATTAGTCCCAAGATGCTACTGGCCGACGTCTCACCGCCCGAAGTTCACGAGTGGGAAGGTGGCCATTCCTAGCCTCCAAAGCGGTCATTTTCGGCGTCAGTTTCACAGGTCCTCAGATTCTAGTTGTAAAGCGCGGGATCCAGTTTGCTACGTCTTGAGACTCAGGCCAATTTCATCGGTGACGATCACTACATGGGTCACATTGAGTAAATTGATGTAATTCCATCTGTTGAATCGGACCCTTCCAAGGCCAGTCCCAACCCTAAGGGGGTATCTTCAGTCGGCGAAAAAATGTCAGAATAAAAAGTGTCCCAAGTTGGATGAACGAAAACGCCAAGAAAGCCAAAGCCACCACCGCGCCATGCTATGCAATGCGCCGAGGAAATTCTGAAAAAACGCCATCCATGTATCAAAGCCAAAGGAAAGCTGAATCAGCGCCTAACGAGGCTCGGAGTAGTCGTTCAGGGCAACGCACAGGGCGCCGCGATGATGACCATTGTACTGTCTGATGATGTTGCCGGAGCTCAATTCCCACAGACGAGCGTAGTGATCAGTCGAGACAGTAACCAAGTAAGCCGAATCAGCGGAGAAAGCACAGTCCCAGACCCAGCGCTGGTGGTTGGCCAGCGTCGTTTCGAGGAACAGGGTGTTCTGAGCGGGGTCCATAGGCGGGCCATCAGGAGTAGCAGTGAAAGTCTGCTGGGGTGGTTCTTGGCGTGAAGCATTGTCGGTGATGCGAAGGAGGTCTCGGTCCATGGTGAGGTCGCTGAAGATGCGCATCATTTCACGGTTCTGGTTGGCGGCCTCATTCGCTTCGCTATTGTCCTTGCCATTTTTCTGGTCGGTCTCTTTCTGGGCTTGGAGTTCGTTCCACTCCTTGATGGCTACCTTGGCGGGAGCATAGTCGGAATCGAGGTTCCAGACCTTCGCAGTGTGGTCGGCAGCGCACGTAGCCAGATGTTTTACGTCGGGGGACAGAAGAACGCGAGTCAGGTAGTTCTTGTGCGCCTGGAAAGTGCAGACCGGGATGATGCGAGTAGCCTCGTCAGTTTGAACCATACGCCAGATGTAGACATGACCCTGTGATTTCGAGTTAGCGAATGTACATTTGCGGAGCAGGGCACTTGGAGAACGCACGGCCTTGTTTCCAGCAGAGAGCAGAGAGCCATCGCTAGCCACACTGACGCTGAGAACGGCTGTATCCTCAGCGGGAATAAGCTGGTGAGTGCAGACGCTTTCTCCGAGATCCCAGACGCGAACCATGCCACCCCAGTCGCCGCTGATGAGTTCACCCTGGTTGGGGTGGATCACAACATCGGTGACAGCGGCATGGTGATTGTAGTTGCGCTGCAGACTACCAGTGCGAGTATCCCAGACCTTGACAGTTCCGTCCTCGGAGCTCGTGACCATCCACTTGCCCTCGCAATGGAATGCGAGACCGGTAACATTGTTGGTGTGACCCTCAAAGGTCATCACAGGGTTGGGGTTGGTGGACTTGATGTCATAGAGCTTGATGTTGGGATTTCCAGCGACTGCGAGAAAGCGTTTGTCGGGAGTGATGCAAAGGCGGTTGACTTGCGAGTCAGGGTGCTGAATGGTCCGCGAACAGATGCCGGACAGCGCTTCCCAGAACCTGGTATTGAGTGGTTGGTATTCGACATGGACATAGCAATTGAATTGAGCCGCTGAGAGCTTCTGAGATCCCAAACTTACCTGATCGTGTGATCATGCCCGGCTAAGAGAAACAATTAGCTTCAGTTCCAGCTCGGGAAGAATGCGGGGAGGGGAGCTTGTCGATAAACGCGGCCCACTTACCAGTGCAAAGGATAACACTCATTTTCTCGATAGAATGGAAGTAAATATCAGGGTTGATGTCCTTGGAAAAGGATGTTGCTCTGGGTTCAGGAGCAAGCGTGCTTGCGAGAGCCGATTTTTGCAGAGCAAAGGGTTGGTTGACGAGCTTCGTGAAGTGAGAGGACTCGCCCTGACCCGGCCAGGTTTCTGCCACGATGGTCACGTGGTAATAAGGCGGTGTGGTCAGGTCCAGCTGGGCCTTGGGAAGATAGGAGGCGGTGAATTGATAAGAGAAGATAAGGGGCGGTGGGAAACCTTCAGGCAAGTATTGCTGGCAGAAAAGAGATGATCTACTCTATACACATTTGCACTCCCCATTCACTGGATCTCGCACAGGACATGTCCATTTGCACTCTTCCCAGACCAGAGTCTACTGTAGAACAGATATAGCATCCTCCCAGGCAAGTTCGGCAAGTACCAGCCATAAACCTCTCGTGGAAATGGTTCGAGCTACGATGATTCTTAGGGCAGTAAACAAATGAGATCGCAACTCCAATAAAGCTGGACAGGAACAGAAGCGCATACTGGCTGTAAACTCGGCGCCAACCTCCCATTTTACATTCACTACCGTTGTAGACTTGGAGTCGGTGTCCCACCTCCCGTTTCTCATTAACTACTGCTGCGGACTCAGCGCTCACCTCCCAATTCACATTCACTGCTGCAGCAGACCTGCCGCCCACTTTCCTCTCATTCACTATTGTCGAAGACAGGCGCATAAACTCGAATCGAAGAATCCTCTTGTTTTTCCCTTTCCCACGTCTTTAATCCGTCCCTTGCTGTCCCATATCCCACCGTCTCAACTCCAGTCTTTCGCAGTCTCGAATCCAGCGCATCCAGCCTCGACACCCCACCAAATCTCTACAGTCCCGTCTCATCTAATTTACTTTTATTCCCAAGCTCAAGCTTCGAGCAATGGCCGCTCCCAGCTTCCCACTCTCCAATTTGGCCGGCATGGCCATGTATGTCCTGCCCGAGTCCGAGGATATCCTCGCCGACTGGGATCCTGCTGATCTAGTTTCGGCCTCTGCCACCTTCTTCTCGTCCTTCGCTGTTGTTGGGTTCGCGAACACCCTACCCCATCCATCTCCTACGGCCACCCCACCTCCTCCACTTGTTACGACCAATCAATCTCCTCGACCTGCTGCGAGCCCCCGAGCCGGTCGAAACCCTACGAGCCCCCGAGCCACTCAATCTCCCACGACTACCTTCGACCCAGAGCCCATTCACAATGGCTCGACTCCAATCATCAAAAACCCAGTCAACCAGAGCTCAGTTATCGACCTGACTGGTGACAGCGACGACTCCGACAAGGCTAACACCCCCGAGACAGCCGCCAAGGGTGATGAAGCCCTGAAGAAGTTCCACCAAGGTTTGAAGAGGAAGAATTTTGACTGGCTGAAAGACCCCAAGAACACTGTGCCTGCGACCAAGAAGGCAAAAGTCTCTCAGACTCCCGTAAAAGGCAGCGTGGCTCCAATGCCGAAGAAGAAGTCAACCAAGGGTCTTGTGGCCCCAATGCCAGGGGCAAAGTCGACTAAGAATAAGGGAAGTGATGAGAAGGAGTTTCGCCCTCTGTCTTGGTATGAAGAGTGGCAGTTGGGCATGACCCAGACTCGCGTTCGTGGATCCCTCGGGGGCATCTTTGCCCTGAAAGAGCCCGAGGGGCCAATTGTCACTGAGCTGGAGACATATAATCCAGCTAACGAGATCCTTGCGAATTTGCTTGAGACGGAGGGCAGCACCACCCAAGAGAACCTTCACCAGAAGAAAGGTAACAAGAAAAACACCACAAAGAAATCTGCTGAGGATGTTTATCATCCTACTGATGATGACCTGGCGCGTATGGTGGAGGAAGAGCTCGCGGCTGGGGCTGAAGAGCCCTATAACCCTAGTAATGATGAGCTTGCTAAGATGATGGAAGAAGAGCTTGAGGCTCAGACTGAGGACTCGGAGTAAGAGTGAGTAGCCCATCAGCTTATTTTAGTTATTTTCATCTGAATGAAACCTTGATTCTCTTTTTTATTCTTATTTTTGAAAGGCTTGTAGTGTCTCCTTCAACGTTTATCAGCTGATCGCGTAGGTGACAGGGTAGATGACCAGGTAGCTAACCAGATAAATGACCGATTAATGAACCTGGCAGTAAGAATAGTGAAGGTTTAGGTTATCAAGAATATAGTCGATGTGGCACCTGGCATCGAAATTGGCACCTTGTTTGGCCAATACTCTAGTGCCGCATTCTCTGAGCCAAGCCATGACAGGGGTGTGGTCTGAGACAAAGGGGGTGTGGAGGTATCAATCTCTCTATTCGAAAGAAAGACTACAAGGTTATAAAAATTAATGAAATAGCATCGAGGGCTCGTTCAAGTAAGAGTAATTATAAATAAGTTAAAATATGCCATCTACTCTTCCTCAAACCCCTCGGCTTCAACCGCAAGCTCCTCTTCCATCATCCGTGCGAGCTCGTCGTGGAACTTTTGAAATGTCCACGGGTGTCACTTTCCGCTGTGAGGTGAACGCGGGGAAGTAGGACATGGACGCTGTTGATTCGTGTGTCGCACCTTTAGCTCCTGACTGGCTCTGAAAGATATACAGAGAGCATTAGCGAGGTAGAATGCGGTTCAAAAAAAGGGAATCTCATATTCGAACAGTTGCGTTTGCTTCTCCAAAGTATTGAGAATTATGCGATGAAGGGGATCCTCGATCGGGTGCACTTCTTTTAGCCAGACCCTGGTTGTACAGCTCCTCGTCTCCAGCCGCAAGCTCCTCCCCCATCATGCGAGCGAGCTCGTCGTCGCTGGGGTTATAAGTTTTCTTACCAGTTTTCTTCTGATTAGTGCCAGTATTATCCTCTTCTCAAGAAAGCGCACAGGAAACTCATTGGCTGGGTTATAAGTCTCCAGCTCAGTGATAATCAGTCCGTCAGTCTCTTTCAGGGCAAAGATGTTGTCACGGGCCGTCCTTCGTACATTGACTCTGGAGTTCCACGGGGTCAGGGGTAATCTCTCGTACCAAAGATGTATGTATACAGGGTTACGAACCCTTTCTTGCTTAGAAGGAGCACGAAGATGGATATCGCACATCGCTAGGTCGTACAAAGACATGGCGATTAGTTCGACTACAATACCAGACTATAGATTTTGTTAGTACAAACGAGAACGTAGATTCATTGATCCTGATTCAACCTATCGTAGTACGAACGTCACACGCGCACCCAAGTGATCCTCGAACAAGTGCGGCCCAGGACCACTGATTACACTATGGTCTATAACCCGAAACCTTCTTTCTACCTACTGCCAGGTTCATTTCTCAGTCATCTATCTAGTTAGCTACCTGGTCATCTACCCAGTCACCTACGCTATCAGCTGGTAGATGTTGAAGGAGAGACTACAAGCCTTTCAAGAATAAATAGATAGAGAGTTCATTCAAATAAGAATAACTAAAAGTAAGCTAGTTAATATAAGTTGTTTACTCTTCCTCAGACTACTCAGTCTCAGCTGCAACTTCCTCATCCAACATGGAAGCCAGGTCATCATTGGAGGGATTGTAAGCCTCTTCAACTCCAGCATCCAGTTCTTCTTCCATCATGTTTGTGATATCATCATCAGATGAATTGTATAGCTTGCGCGCCCCCTACCGTGTTCTCCTTGCCGGGGTCGTCCTCAGTCTTGGGCAGGCGTGCAAGAGTCTCATTAGTTGGATTATAGGTCTACACCTCGGTGGTAATAGGCCCGTCGGTTTCTTTTCGGGCAAAGATGCCCCCGAGAGGTCCACGAAAGCCAGTCTGGGTCATGCCCAGCTGCCACTCTTCATACCAAGAAAGAGGGCGGAACCCCTCCTTACCATCCTTGCCCTTCTTCCTGTTTGAATTTGCCTCCAGCATTGGGCCACAAGGCTCTTGGCCGACTTGGTCTTCAGTATCAGAGCTAGAAGGATGAAAAGGATGAGGCGGATGAGAGAAAAAATGGGAGAATAGTACTTATAGTAGAGTCTAGCAGCCGTCCATGGGTGGTAGGCCCTAGCTAGCAAGAAGTAGCCAGCTCTTGGTTTTAGGCCCTTCTGGGCTGGTCCCTGTTCGAACGTAAGCTTTGAATGCTTCAATGCAACTGTTCAGCAGTGACGAGACAGGCGGATGTGAACACAGTGGAAGATGGTGGTGGTTGATGAATCTATCTAGCTTGGACAGCGTAGATATAGGTGCACAAAGGCGACAAATTAGCTGACTGATCTTAACATCAGGCTTTGGATACGGGCCAGATCAACAAAGCGTCGGTCGATGGCACGAAGGCCAGATTGTGGACAACCTTGCCAAGTTGCTCAATCCGCTTCAGTCCCCAACATCGGTACGTAACCGGCGAGTTTCCAGTGTTCGCTCAAAGGCGAGGAAGAATCCATGGTGTAACACGGTCGAAACGAGGAGGGGTGGCGGTGGGCGGGCTGGGAAAGTAGAGTTTTGAGAATGCGATCGAGGAAATATTTAATAATTAAGATCGAGGATCGCGATCAAGGTCGAGGTCGAGTTCGTGACTCAACAGAGCAAGCGAGTAACTAAGAAAGCCAACGAAAATCGCCAGATCAGTTAGTACGAGCAAGCCCCGTCCTCATAACCTGTAAGAACGTAAAAGGTTAGAGCTCATAAACGAGTGTATTGACTATCCGAGGCTCTAGGAGGAAGAAGAATTAAGACAAGTGATTGTATCCATACGTTTCAACCATAAATTTGCGACTTGGATCGTGCATATGCAGCCTTACAGGATAAACTTCTGTAGCTAAGAACGCCACAATTTCCAATCCAGCCCAAGGCTGGAGCTAGTCAACGCCATTGCAGCTGGTCTAGCTGAAAGGAGCAGGTACGGGGGTTCGTGTTTCATTCAAACAAACAATATGGTTTATCTATGTTCATGACTATCCACAAAATCTAAGGGGCCACAATGATGGTGGTATCAGCCGGTAGATACCAATGGAAAGCGGAAAATCAAAATCGAACATCGAAAAATAAAGACGCTGGTCGATCGTTGAAATCGTGATACAAAAACTAAGAAACCAGAATTCGCAGTCGAAATATGGCCTACATATGACCAGATGATGTTTGTCCAGAATTTGAGTCCAGTAACCAGATCCGACAGACGCAGATCGATCATTAGAAGGTGCAGCTGGAGGCACTTGCATACTTAGTCCGTGGTCACAGCATGGGGCTCGACATGCTGACGCTCGCGCTCGGCGGGGGTTTGTCGTCCACTCGAGTGACCCGAAGTCTTCTCCATCTCCCGCCAATCAATTCCCTGCGCCTTGAGCTGCTTGCGTGCCTTGTGGCCGCCACAGCAGGACGCACAGCAGGAGCTGAACTGGACGATAAAGGCAATCAAGCTGAAGCCGGACGCGACCCACATGAATGCGAGCATCTGGGTGCCAACGTGAGCGTGGATGTTCAGGCTCGGATCGGCATTGGTGAAGACGTTCGCGAAGATCTCGAACATGACGGTTGCGACAGCAGACGCGACGATAGTGATTAGAGCAGTGATGAAAGTCAGGAAAAGGAATGGCAAAGAGCGCAAGCAGACGAAGGTGCGCCGACGGTGTGGGGGCTGACCGGCAAGGCTGATATTGCCGTCGGTGGCTGCGGCGGAAGCCCAGAGCTTGATGGTCTGCGGAGGCCGTGACGAGACGGCGAGTGGGCTGAGGAAAATCATGACAAAGTTGAGCACAGCAGCCGCGATGAAGAGGCCGAACATCCAGTGGGACGCGATTCGGGCCAAATTGAGGGGTTCCTCAATGTCGCTGGGAAGGGCGACTGCGTTGTATTAGTTGGGCCGTTGCAAGGGCCACGAAAATAGGGTAGGAAAAACGTACTACTGGCGCCGGCAAGCAGTTCGTTCAGAATAATCTTGACCGGGTTGAATGCGTACAGCGACTGGGGCTTGGAGCAGCTGGTGATGCCGTTGTTGTTGTAGCCCTCACAGAAGCCCCACAGGCCGACCTGGTAAAAGTCGTGCAGGCCAATTGACCGGGCGATGGAGTTGATTAGGACAGCATTTGGCACCGACAGTGGGATGATGTCGGCCAAGTCGAGATAAAGGAAATACGTGCTCCGCAGAACAGGCTTGTCGGAGAGGTTGCCGATGCAGACGAGTACCAGGAAGATCCAGGCGAGCAGGTACAGCAGAGACCGCATGATGCGATGCCATTGAACCGTCGCGGCGCGCCGGCGGGCGATGGGCCGCTCCTGAGAGCGATGGAAAAAGGGCATCTTCTTGCGGTCAGAGCCAACGCCATTGGTGTCTGCCCCGTCGGTCATAACGATGGACGGGGAAGCGATCGCAGGTGAGGTGCAATGGCAGGAATCCGGGCGTAGAGGAGGCAATCCACGTCAACGTCTGGACTTTTATTTTCTCCTAATCAGATCAGGGCTGGAGCGGCGTGGATCGTCAGTGGCGCCCGCTAGCTTCAACCCTAGTGGCGGCGATCATGAAGGACGGAAATAACAAGGAGGGCACTGAGATGGAGAACAGCAAAAAAAAAAAAACAGGAAACAGAGAGCGCGTGGTGGGAAAGACGTGATCGAGGAGCCGTGGAGGGAGGAGGAGATGTCAGGTGGAGCGGGTAGATTGGGTGACATTAAAGTCGTCGCGACTCAATTCTTAGCATCCGGCAGTCTCTCACCTCCTGCAATCCTGCCTAGATCCTTGCCCCAGCCCACACCAGCCCAGGCCCTCCACTCGGGTGTGATTTCACCTCTCGGCGCAAGAGGGTCTGTCTGCTGGCTATAATTGGATTATCGACCAGGCAACAGTGGCGACAAACGTCACCCACTTGGTTAGCGCTGCTGGGTCGAGTGGAGAAAAGCTCTCCTATGGTGGATGCGCTGTTGGTACTAATCGAAGGCTGAAACTGGGCTTCCGAGTCGCTCTGCAGTTCTCACTCCCATCCATCACTGACCTGCACCATGCGGTGGTCTCTACTTGCGCTGGCCGTCGGCGCCCTGGCCAAAGACAACGACGAGACTACCACCGACACCATCACCAGCGCCTCCAGCACCATCACAGGGTCTTCCGCGTCGCTGAACTGGTCCGATGCCTCGACCATCACCAACGGTAGCGTCTATGTCCCATCCGGGACCTACCTGACCTACACCTCAGTCGTCACCCTGGGCAATGGCGACCACTCGACGGTCGTTTCCTCGTCGCTCAGCGGCAATGCGACAACGACCGGCAACCAGACCATCCTCACCACCTCGTCCAACTCTCTGACCGTGCTGGTCGGCAGCGGCGGCACCACCACCATCAGCAACAACAGCATGAATGCGACGGCGACACATGCCTCGACCTCGTCGACTCCCACGCAGACAAATACCACGCCTTGCAACGGCTACAGTGAATTCTGCATGCGCAATTATTCCAACATCACCAATGTCGCCGCCCACAACAGTCCGTTCGTGGTCCCGGGCAACGCCGCCTCCAACCAGGCCCTCGGTGTAACCGACCAGCTCAATGACGGCATTCGCATGCGTAAGTGTCCAACCCCGCGCTTTCCCCATGTCGATTATTGTTAACAACTTGCAGTCCAATTCCAGACCCACAATAAGAGCGGCGAGATCCATCTCTGCCACACCAGCTGCGACATTCTCGACGCCGGCACTTTGGAAGCCTACTTGACAAAGGTCTACCAATGGATGTTGAAGAATCCCTACAATGTCGTGACCTTCATGATGGGCAACGGCGACTACCTCCCACCATCGGCATTCGTGGACCCGATCGAGAAGTCTGGCCTGAAATCCCTCATTTACACTCCGACGAAGGTCCCAATGACGCTCGACGACTGGCCCACACTGTCCGAAATGATTCTGCACAACCAGCGCGCCGTATTCTTCATGGATTATCAAGCCAATGAAACTGCCGTCCCCTGGATCATGGATGAGTTCTCACAGATGTGGGAAACGCCGTTCTCGCCGACGAACCCTGCATTCCCCTGCACGGCACAGCGGCCCCCGGGACTGAGCCGGAAGGATGCGCTGAACCGCATGTACATGGCGAATCACAATCTTAACCTGCAGCTGAACTTTGGCTCGCTCAGCTTGTTGATTCCCAACACGGCGGACATGGTGGAAACGAACAGTGCCGATGTCAATACATCCGGCAGCCTGGGTAAGATGGCGGCGAACTGTACCGGTAAGTCTTCTCCTTCCAATTTTATTTCACAAAGTGAGATGCTAACATCAGACAAGCGAAATGGGACCGCCCGCCCAACTTTCTCCTCGTCGACTACTACAACTACGGCAAGCCGAACGGCTCCGTCTTCGAGGTCGCCGCCGAGATGAACAACGTCACTTGGAACGGCAAGTGCTGCGGTTCCAAGTCGGCCGCCGCACACATGTCTGTCGCGAGTGTCTCTACCATGGCCCTCGTGGCCGCAGGTGTACAGTTTGTCCTGTCGGTCTTCTAATTGACGACTTACGATACGCGTTTTGAAATATTTTAGATCTTGAAGTGACTCAGGCTCACAATTTTGGGTTGTATATACCGTAATACTAGACACGGACATTTGCATGCCTGATACATCTCGTCAAAATTTACTGCCAATAACCACATCTCCAATTACGTATACTTAAAAATCGCTGAGGTATGACATCGACGCTGCTGCTATACCCACAGCTACCCACATCACATGACCCCACCTCCAACCGCAAATCCGCAACAACCACCCACCACTAAACTCATCACCTCTAACCGCCACATTTCCTCCGCTCCAAAACCCGGGACCACCCCAATTGGACCGTCAAAATGGTCGACATCGTCCCCCTCTCGTCCTACCCCTCCTACATCGACCTCCTCCCCTCAATCCAAACCTGCAACATAACCAACCTCCCCGAAAACTACTTCCTAAAATACTACCTGTACCACGCGCTCACATGGCCGCAACTGAGCTTCGTCGCCGTCGTCCGACCAAAGAACGGCTACAAGTCCTCCACTGCGCCGGGCGGTGGCGGCATCGCCGGTGATGTCTCAGGCCAGTATCCCAAGGTGGTGGGGTATGTGCTTGCGAAGATGGAGGAGGAGCCGACGGACGGCGTGCAGCATGGTCACATTACCTCACTGAGTGTTATGCGTACGCATAGACGGTTGGGTATTGCGGAGAGGTTGATGCGGATGAGTCGTGAGTTTTTCCCTTTCACATGTTCAGGCTTTTTGCGGGACTCGATTTCCAATGAGCGAAAAGAGAATGTCATACTGTAACGACTCGAAAGCTAATTACCAAGAACGCGCAATGGCCGAGTCCCACCGCGCCCACTACGTCTCCCTGCACGTCCGCGTCTCCAACACCGCCGCGCTCCGCCTGTACCGCGACACACTGGGTTTCGAAGTCGAGAAGGTCGAGAGCAAGTACTATGCCGACGGCGAAGATGCGTACGCCATGCACCTGAAGCTCCAGGATCAGTGGATGGATTGGAAAGCGGTTGAGAAGCGGGACCGCGAGGAGAAGAACAAGAATAAGAAGGATGGCGAGGATGATGAGAATGCCGATGAGGGCGATGAGGTTGGCGAGCTTGGGAAGAAGGAGGAGAGTGGGGAGAAGATGGTTAAGGTTAAAATGGGTCGTGGTCTTGGTGTGGGTGATTTGGTTGAAAAGAATGAGGCTGCGCAGTCATAACCTTCTCCTTCTCTAAATTCTTTCTGGGATATCTTGGATGGGGTATGAACAATCCTTCGGAATGGCTCTGATGAGGATTCTTACCAGAGTGGAGGAAATACAATTGTGTAGGTAGTGCTTTTCATGCCTATCTATGCAGCATATACATGATGCAATGCAATTCTTGGCAATGAATCGTAACGTCGTTGATGCTATTCCACCAAAACCAAGTGACGCCCCATTAACAACCTGACGAGAGAAAAGAGTAAAAAGGTCCATGTCTACCAAATTAAGAAGCACCGTCCTTCTTCGACTTGTCCTCGTCCCGCTTCTTAGACCGCGGCTTCAACATATCTTTAATCCGGCCCGATTTAGGCTTTTTATCAGAGCTATCGGCAGGAAGTTCATGGACGCTCGCCTGGGAGACAGAAGAAGGGGTATTCATATTACTCCTCCCGCTGAACTCCGAGCTCGTCTCAGACCGCATGGGTACCCGCTGTGGCTGCGGCTGGGCAACAGGCATTGTCTGCGTATGCGCGATGGCAGGGGTGGAGTGATTCAATGCGAGGTTCTTCATGCTCCCGTCCAGCGCCAATTGCTCTTTGGCCTTGTCATCGGTTTGAGGGCCATGGCGGCGGCGGTTTCGCTTCACGCGCCGTCGCGCACGCTGCTCATCCCGCGCACGTCGGACAACGTCTCGGAATGCTTTGCGTGTAGCGCGCATTTCTTCCTTCATGGCTCGACGGTCGATCGAGGCCCGCTGCTGTTGTTCTGGCGATTCCCATCGGCCCCAGTCATTGCTGTCTGTGGGTTGGGACTGCTGAGGACGGGTTCCTGGGAGCCAGTTTCGACGGCCAGAGGCGCGGGCCTCGCGCCGGGATTCTTGCAATATCTGGAGCTGGCGACGGAGGTCGACGGCTGCATCGTATAATATACGGTCATGGCGATCGTCAAGATCTTGAAGTTGTGTGCGTACGTTGGCGAGGTCGGAGGCGCTGAGGTCAGATGTTGTGGAGATGGTGTCGATGGAGCTGAGGGAAGACTCGGAAGATGTGGAGGTGATGGATGCACGTCGTGACTGTTCAATGGAAGATTTATCGTCGTCTTTATTTCGGAGATTGGGCTGTGTAGTGGGCGGGGCCGTTGGCTGGCTCGTCGGTGTTAGATTGCTGGTTGGCGTGGCTGGAGTTGACCCTGGACCGCTGGTAGGGCTAGGACTCCAGCCAGGGTATGGATTTGGATTGGCGTATATCGCCGGCGGATACCCTTGGTATGCAGGCTGCTTTCTCCCGTGCAGTCTGGCCTGTTCTTCCAGCCAGCGGCCATGCGCGAGGGCCTGTTCTTCAAACTGCCGGCCATAGTGCATAGCATGCGAGCTGAGTTGGTTGCCATACTGCTCTGCTTGTTCGGCAAACCGGTCGCCGTATTTTTGGGCCTTGGAAGCAAGATCTGAGATCCACCCGAATGTACCACTTTTTCCGCTACCAGTGTTGGTATACTGCGGCTGGGCATATGACCAATTGTTCCAGGGTCCCCACGGTGTTGTACCTGGCGGAGGTTGCGGATAGTACTGAGGCGGCTGATGAGTAGGAGATGCACCCGGTCTGGGGAATTGGGGGGCCCCGAATGGAACACCGAACGGCGATGGAGGGCCATGGGGCATCATAGGCATCGGAGGTATGGGCCAAGAGGTCAGGGACGGAGCAGGCTGTCCCGCCACCGGCTCTGGCGCATTCTGTGCTCTGGGATCTGGAGAAGCTATGCTACCAGTGCCTGAGGTAGCCTTCGTTGCAGCCGGATAGCAGCGAGGGCATAGAGCCGATGTAGGCGCAGCATCAGGCTCGCCCACGTATACCGAGATGATGCGAGTTCCGCGCAATTCAAAGAAGCACTGATTCCATTCGTCCACCACGGCAGCAATACGAGCACGACGCTGCTCATCGGTCTCCTGTGGACGATCCTTGCGATCGCGCTGGATCTCCGCTCGCAGCTGTCTTGGCAGATGTTGCGAGGCAGCAGCCAAGCCCAATTGCGGTGGGAAGAGATATTTCAAGAAGGTATCCCAATCCTGCTGCGCAATCTCATTCATCCGCATTGCCCAGCAGCGGGGTCGCCGGGGGAAATCCTTCGCTTGGCTGCGGGGGTATATTGTCATATGATGGTGCAGCAATGCTCGGCTCTCGTCCACCACTGTGGGAGGTCGTTGCTCGAAGTAGGTCGCGGCGGATGTGAAATGGGTTGGGACGACAGGCGAGGCTGCCGAGGACGAGCTGCCTGCCTCCGGTGACACTGAGACATTTGCGCGCAATGGAACCGCAGTCTGCGCCGCGTTGCTATTCCTGTTGGCGGCCGGCGCAAGCAACGGGTCGACGGCCGAATAAGGCGGTGGGGCCTCCTCCTGGTCCATTGTGGCAGGGCAGTTTGGGGGAGGGCAAGCGCAAAGGCACAGCAGGAAGCAGATCTAGCAGCCTGGAAGTTTCGCAGATGTTCGGCAGCCTCGGTCAAGGCTCGCCCATACTGTGTGATAAGTTGGTGGAGAGGTGCAGGCGCGCAGTTGGAAGGCAGCAAGATTCCCGCTGGTGGTCAGCACCGAGCTTGGCGCGCGAGCAAAGCGTAATGTCTCACGATGCCGAGTCTGGGGGTGTGTCGATCGGCGGTGACGAAGGCGCCGGACGTTGCTAGTATGTTATGATCTTCGGTAGTTGCAGAAGAGTGGAGGAGCGGTGGTCAATGCCATTGAGGGCGAGACTCCGCGGGGCGATAAGATAGGAGTTGTTCCATCCCGTGGTTCCGGACGCGGACTTCGAGTACCGAACTTTGCAGGCAGTGTTGAACCACAGGACTGATTCAGCGGGAGTTGTTAAAAGATTTGGTTTGATCAAATATAGGTCGGTGCAATAAACAGCTTAAGTACCGACTTGGGACCATGATTAGAATCAAGCTTCAGATTATTGGACATATATATGTCTTCTCGATACCTCGCGGGCACGACAAATTCCAAGGTAAGAGCAAAGAGCGAGTACGGACAAAGTTTCCTCTGAAGCAGACTATTCAAGATATCATTATTCCGCTGGCCCGCATGTCCCATTAACTACGCGGATAAAGCGTATATACATTCTCCAAACCACCCATATAATCTAATCCCAAGCACCCCATCCATCATCCTCATCCTCATCTTTTGGCTTAGTATCAATCGTCTTAGCGGGCGTTGTAGTCCGCGGCTTAGCCGCCGCAACCGTGGATTTCGTAGGTGCAGTATTGGTAGAAGCAACCTTAGACAGACCCTTAGGCAAGGGCTTCTTGGCCTTAGACTGGTTCTTCGCAGCTAGCCACCCAGCAAAGTCAGGCTCGCCTCCGTCATCAAAAGGTTTGGCGGTAGGTTTGTTGGCGAAGGGATCCGGCGAGGAGGGCTTGGGCGAGGCTACAGCCGCGCTAAATGAGTCGTCCTCATTATCATCGTCGTCCATTGCGCCCCAGGCATCAAAGACGTCGTCGCCCTCGTCGGCCTCATGCTGTACCACCGGGACTGGTCGATCGGAGAGTGAACGACCAAGTGGCTGGGCGGCGGGACGGGGAGTTGTTTCCTTGGGAAGTTCCAATTGAGTGGATGGTGATGATTTGGCGGGCCGAGGAACGGATGCGGAGCGCGTCGCCTCTGTTTCGGCAGACTTGGACGCAGCTGTGGGTTCGATTTCGCCGTCGGCGGCTGCGAGCTTGTTGGTGAAGGAGGAGATGGCCCAGCCGGCCCAGGACTTATCGCTTGATGTGCCGATCCGTGCACCGGATGTGTCGGCTTTGTTTGGTTCGGCGGGGGTTGTTTGGGGTAGGATTGTATCTGCCATAGTGTTGCCGAATTTACGTACGCGCTGGATGTAGAGATCGAGGGTTTTGTTTGCTTGGTCGCGGATTAACCTGGTAAAAGTTAGTAATTAAGCTCTCTTGTAAGACAATGCTTATGACGACTCACTTCTCCTTGTCCAGGAGAGCAGGGCAAATGGCAGGAAGAATCTTTCCAGCGCAGTCCTCCTCGGTGAAGACATCAATGGTGGCGGACAATGCGAGGAGACCGGCATTTCGAGCATGCACGAAAGGGTCCCGAATAGCTCGGGTAAATGCAGCAATGAGGACCTTCGAACGAGTCTACACAGACATTAGTATCAGATGGTGAGACTCAACTTGGGCTAGACACTTACGCCTTGCGACAAGTTCTTGGCAATTCGACCAAGACATATTGTTGTGTTTGTTCGAATACCAGGCTGCTCATCGTTGGCAGTGCGGGCCAGGAACTTGAGAAGTTCACCGTTGATGACCCTATCACTAAGCTTGTTGATCACTGAAAGAACAGCCTTGACGGTCTGTTCGCGAACCACTGGAGCGACATCTGTGAAACCAGACGTCTAAAAATATTAGCTGGGACCAAAGCACGAGGGATGTAGATAAACGCACCATTGGAGGGAAGATCTTATCATTCACTACCTTCTGAGAAAGATTGTCGATCATTAAAGGAAGGTTGTCTAACAAGCAGACGCGCAGAGCCCGGTCAGGGTTCGAAAATAGCCGCACAATGACCGGTGTTAACTTGGCGTTGAACTCATCTGCGGATAGCTTAGATCCAATCTTCAAGGTAGCACTCAATACCTTTGGACCACCACCGCCAAATTCCACGGATTTAAGCAGCTCTGGAAGAACCTTCATCTTGAAGAAGTCTTCTGGGAAATCATCGGAGAGAGTATCAAGCTCACTGTAGGTTGGAAAGTGTTAGCCACTGCGAGTAAATAGGCTGCAAATGTACGCACTTGATAAACTCCTCTCGTTCGGCATCGCTCTTCAACCCCAAGCTCTCCATATCTTCAGTCAACCGAATCAAAGAGGTCTGAAAGAATCCACCATGCTTCTTGCCCTGCTCAACAAAATGCGCAGGACTCAATCGAAGCTTTGGGTTCGCTGTGCAGAGACGCTTATAGCTCTGCTGCATAGATGGAGGAATATTGGTCGTCTTGCCGGCTTGATCTCCGCCGGAAAAATGACCATTAAACACCTCAAAGATTAGAATACCCAGGCCGTATGCATCAACCGCCGCCAGGGGATGACGCTTGATAACATCCCATCCTCCTTTAACTACCTCCGGTGGTGTATAGCGATGTGAGTCGGGAACCAGATTTCCGTATGTCTGATAAACAGTTAGCATAGTGCTCTCAACACAAACTCATATATTGGTCACTGACATATATGATAGCATCGTCTTCCTTCATGGAGCTTAGGATATCGAATCCACCGAGCTTCCATTCCCCACTCTCACTTGTATAGACGGAGGCCGCGCGGACGGCACCGTGGACGGACGAAGCATCCTCGTTGATAAATTTGAGAGTAGACTGGAATGACCTACATGTCAGCAATTGCGCAAGCGTGTTGTCCCAAAAATCCTTACCGAAACACCGTACAATCCCCATTTCGTGGTCTCCTCGCTGAGACTCCGACGCTTAACTTGCCACTCGAGGGGCGCGACTCGCTCAGTAACGATATAAAGATTGGTCTCGGTCTGCAAAAACAAATCAGTCAGTGGCCCCTAATGCCAAACCCAAAGCGCATATAGAGCAATCAACACACCTCAATCGTATCAAAGACCTTAATAACACCAGGATGCCTCAGGGTCCTCGACTTCCTAATCGCATTTCTCGCCAACGGCGCACGCGACTTGTTCGCCGCGAGGTCGAAGGTAAAAACACTGCACGCCGAGCCATCATCCTAAAAGAACCAAATATCAGCACACATTGTCCCAAACACGCCCGCAGCGAGAACATGTCGGAAAGCCACCCTACCCGTTTCGTACCGTTGTGAAGCGTCCAGATCGAATCGCCGATATCAACTCGATCGCTGAGAGAGAAAGGGAACGAGGAACCCTTCGCGATCGCGGACGCGACGGCTGATTTGAGGAAATCCATTGTAAGCGACCTAGGTGCTGAGGCTATCTGGCCGGAGTGTTTGGGGCTCTATGGAGGATTCGGAGGCGGCCAATGGCCGGGACGAGGGGTGATTTTCGCGTCGGAAGAGTGTGTTTGTGTCGACCAGCGGATGATCTCAGAGAAGCCTCGAAGTCTACGCGAGCGGGCAGCAAGTGGCGGACTTGAACGGGGAGAGCAGCTGCAGCTGGCAACCTTTGGATTGCGGCCCCGCCTCTTCGGCCTCAGGCAGGCGGGCCCACCGCGTTTGTTTCTGAAAGCTCCAGCTTCTTTCCTTTCTTCTTTCCCCACCACACCTGCTACCGACACTTTGGCGAACTGCATGGTTTTCACTTCAGCGACACCCGACCGACACATGTCATCGTCTACATCATAAATAACTGTGTGTGACCCCTCCCACCCTTCCCCAGCTACACAAGCGCGTCGCGCTTTCCGATGATGCGAAACCTGGTAAAAGGTCAGACTGCGCGACTCCAAACCAACAGCCCCCCATCCGAACCAACCGAAGGTACCAAGGTCTCCTTCTTCATTCGAGCCGGCCCCATGCGTATAACGGTAAGACAGGGAAAACCGGTACGACGTCCTCGACCCGTCAAACCAGGCCTAAACGTGGCTCGTTGCAACCGCGATAAAGCCAGGGTCCATCGCCACGAAAGAACGAAGTCATCTGTCGAGTCTCCCACCAGATGATGCCCCAGCAGGATACACCCGGTGGGCACGTACACTCCTCTTCCACGCAAGAAGCACACGGCTTGAAAGGCAGAGGGTCCGAGCCATTTAATGGCCCTCCCTTGGACATGGCAGCTTGTCGTGGGACCCTGGGTGCTCTGTGTGTATAGCGACACGCTTCCCGTTAGTTCCTACCATGGGCCGGGATCTAGGCGTGTACAGCCGTCTTCTGGGGTTCCTTTGTCCGCTTCGCTCTATGAGGATTAATAGGAACTAATGGCTGCGGCTGACAGAGTGGCGGGGACACTCCCTTACCCGTCTACTCGTAGCATTTGGATCAATTCTGGCGTGGAGAGGAGAGTGCTCCTGGGCGGGGAATCTGGGGTATCGGGCGGTGGTTGAGGATCCGGATAATGGAGGTCTTGTGTGCGGGAGAAATGGATTGAGGATGGTTGGATGGTTTTCTAGTCTTGCTGTTTGAGTTTGGTGTGGTTGGTGAGCGTGGTTTGGATGTATTTTGGCACCGCGGTGGATGCTGAGGTGGTCGTCGTTTGGGGTCTGGATGAAGACTCTAAAAACTGAAAAGACCTGAGGATAAGTTTAGATATTGGCTTTTCGTGGATGCTCGTTTTTGGACCGATTACTGACTCTGATTTGCCTTAGGAACTGTCTGCGAATATAGAGTGGCGATAGATAGTTGTGATGGGTGATCGTTATCAAGAATGAGAAATTTTAGAGAATTGAGCCTTCCATGGTTCGAATTATGTCTCTAGCCCCCGTCTTCTATTTAATCTTACTTTTTGTCACAAAATATCTTTCCTTTAATGCTGTAGATGAAACCGCGGAGTCAGTATAGAGTTCTCTTGCATCACATTCAAGCATCACGATCCAGAATATCCATTTGCTGTGGCGGCTTGATGTATATGGTGTACAATTTGACATGTGACTGGAAGGTGTCCTGAGATTATCTTACACCACACTGCAACGAGTATCATATGTGAAATGACACCGGCGTTGACTTTTCAGGCCACGTAGAAAGAACGAAGACTCAAACAAATACAGTCGGCCATTTCTACATGGTGCAGTGTGATGTTCATATATTGTACCCTGAATCGAGTCTCATTGCTCAAGAAATCCCATATACCACGCACTGAATAGGAGATGCCGAACCTCCGAGGCGTTACAGTACGACCCAAATAGCTTCACGCTGAAGAACATACTAGTACTCGGTGTCAGGGTTGCAGAGCCTTCTGCCCACTACGGCTGGGAGTGATAACATCACATGTGATGAGACTGTCGCCTACGACTGTTGAGTGTGACCTACTCTGATACGCAAGAATTGTGGCTCGTAAACATTTCATTGTGGCCGAAGGCTACTCACTAGCAATCGCTGCCTCCACCACGACCAGCCATTCGTCAAGCGTCAACCTTCACCACTGCACTGGTCCCTTCCCTCCAGCGATCTGCACTACTCCCATCGTGAGCACAGAACACATCGGAACACAGGAGGTCAGATCAACAGTACACGGGAGGAATACAACGCAACAAAAAGACCAGGAGACTTCCTAGGAGTCTCAAACACGCTGAATATGAACATTGGGAAAAGGGTAAAAATCCAGCTCGAGGAGGAGAGCAGGAGGAAGCAAACCGGAAGGGTGGTAAGAATAAATCGAAGCTCGCCATGTTTGAAAACCCAGATGGTAGTTGGCCAGATCGAGGGAGTGGATAGATCCTGGCAAGGAAATGAGACTTCTCAAAGTAGCTCCTTCGGTGAAAACGATTTCAGAGTTGGGTGCTGAACTGAAGGGCTGGCATAGCGAAAGCTGAAGTGTTGTAGCTTAACCGTTGGGAAAAAAGAAGGTCGCGATAGCAATCCATCTTGAAAAGAAAGGACGTGTCAGGTAAGTCGATTTCAACCCATTCAAGGCCGGCTCGAACTCACCTGTTCAGCATAAGATTTGAATATGTACTTCACCGCCCGGTTCCTAGGGTAGGAAACATGGGCTAGGAGGCGGGCGAAGCACAAGACACCCGAGACACATGCACAGAGCTGGCTTTCACTTCAGGTCGCAATACGGCAGAAACGGATATCGAATGGCAAGAGATCGGCAAATCCTGACACACCCACAACCGGTTCATGAATCATTTCATTTGTTGTCATCAGTCGGCTCAGCCGAGTGAGTGGCAGCGCCGGTGTTGGCAGAAGGCGCGTTGGGCGGCTGAGAAAACTGATGTCCCTGGTTGTGGCTAGTGCTGGGCGCGCGATGCTGGTTTTGGGGGAAATGATGAGCTTGGTGTGGGCTTGACGGGAAATGAGGATTCTGAGCGTAGTTTCCTCGACCCGGGTGCGCAACTGGCAGTCGCGGATGAGCAATGACGGGAATCCAAAACAGGCGATAAGACAACTCACCTGGTGGCTGCTGAGGTCCGAAGCCGGGCTGTCCGTGCTGCTGTCCCGGCGACATGAACATCATCGGTTGGGGCGGCTGACCGGATTGCGAGTTCTGGTGCATCATCATAGGTGCGCCACGGCTGGGGCTCGGGTAGCCACTGTGAGGCTGAGGCGGTGCGTGCTGTGGGTAGGCGTGACCGGGAGACGGCGAGTACATTTGCATCTGGGGGTTGTAAGGAGACATTCCACCCACGTAAGGGCCGTTGGACGGTTGTTGCATCATCGGGGCTCCTCCCATCGTCGCGCCTGGGTTGTTCATGAAGGGAGTCATCTGAGGACCAGGGGGATACCTTACCTGCCCAGACGGGTAGTACTGGGGCATTGCCTGTGGGGGCATACCCTGTCCGAAACCTGCCTGAGCTGGGGCGCCGACCATGGGGGAAGGATACCCCATTTGACCATACTGAAGACGCGGAGAAGGAAAGACCTGTGGCGACGAGGCGGACATTTGCAAGCGGTGGTGATCGTCCATGTGCCCGGTTGCGGGCCCATGTGGGCCTTGGTGGAGATGAGGCCCGTTGGGTGGACCAGAGGAGGGAGGCATGCCCGGGTGGAAGGACATCGGATGTTGCTGAGGAAGATGAGGATTGTTGGAGGTGGAGCGACCCTGAGGTGATGCCGAAGGCATCCCGCCGGGCGCTTTGAACATCTGGTCGAAAGTCTTCTCCCGGTTTGATTCAGGATGATCCCAGGTTGGCAAGGTTTTGTAGGGAGGAGGGATGCCGCCGTTAAAGGAGTACGACTTTTCTGCCGACTCCGCGCCTTCTTTCTTCATGCGCTTGATGGCATTGAATTGGTCATCAATGGAGGGCCTTTCGGCAATAGGCACCGGCTTCTTGGCGCCAAAGAAGGCAGACGGCGATGACGCGCGAGACACAGAGCGGTTGCGGGAGAATGATCGAGGATTACTAGCCGCAGTCGCAGTGGTGCCTGGGGTTGGCCCCCCGCCACTTGAGCTCGAGTTGGTACCAGCCGGGGTGAATGTATTTGCCGCCGGGTTGGGCTTGAATTCCATAGCACGCACATTGAACTTCGAGTGTCCAGTGGACGCGGATGCCTGGGGCTTCACGGGGCTGGTGATCCGATGTTGTTCATTAGCTGGTCCGGTTGGCGGCGTGCGTGGATCTTGAATAGGCAGAGGAGCCGGGATACCAGGTCCCACGCCAGCTCCCTTGCGCTGTTGAAGGTTATCCACGAGACGATGGCTGAGCATACTAGCTCCGGGGCGGCCTGGCTGCATCGGTTGCTGGGGGAAACGACCTCCAAGTCCTGCAGCGAGTGGACCAGTAGGGGGAGCACCCTGGGGGCTTCTTCGAGGATACGTTTGGCGGTCTGCCGGCGCCGCAGAAGGCACTGGGCCACTTGGTACGGCCCGTCCTGTCTGAGGCTTCTGCTCGGCAGGCGGGGTTGTGGTCTTCGGGCTGGTTTTCTCCTCCGAGACTCGACTAATGATGGCCTCTTGCTTGGCGCGGTCCTTAGCAAGAATGGGCACCAGATCTTTGGGAACCGGAGTCGATAGCTTGAAATTCTTCGAGAACTTCATCAGCTCGTTCAGCTTGACGATCCGGTCATGAGCCACCTGGTTGCGACGGCGTTCTTGGACCTTTGCCACATGTGCCTTTTCACTGCTAGCGAATTGACGGAAGTCGTCTCGTACTTTGGACTCGAAAGTTGCGGTACCGTTCTCGGTCGCCGCCCGCTTCGCCGAAGCGGCGGTGGCATCGGCACTAGATTTGTTCGAAGCGGCGTTGGGCTCCTGCTGCGGTTGGGGCTTGACCGCCGCGGGAGTCTGCTCGGCATCAGCGGGTGCAGCACTGACTAGGGTAGCACCAGAAGTAGTCGCGGCTTGCTGAGGAGCCGCCTGCGAAGGTGCTCCAGTTTGACGACGCGCGGGTGGGGTGTATTTGTTGGGCTGACCAGAAACCAGGGAGGGGAAGGCCTTGTTCTCTCGACGAACACCGCTGTACTTGTCTTCCTCGTCTTGATCACCAGTATCGGGACCAGTCAGTCCTCGTTCCTCAAGCATGTGAGGATTGTCGACGTTTGTGCCTTCAATCTCAGCAGCAATCTTCGCCGCTTCAGCTGCTTTCTGGCGATAAGTCACAGAGTTGCGATCAAGAGACGTGGTGTAAATGCTCTCGTCGTAGTCGGTCTTGGCACCGAACAGCTTCTCGTTGGCTGCAAATTGGTCCCATCCAGCAGTGTCACCGACAGAGGTCTCGAGGGACATGTTGACTTCGCCCTCGGCGGGTTCCCATCGCTGCAAAGTACGCTCGCGCATAGCGAGGTTGCCCGAGATGTCGGCGTCAGTCCTAAATCGTGATGCGCCTGTCGAGGGCTGTGTCAGCAGACTCACCCGATTGGGGGCGCGTCCTGGATTAGTACTTACCATTGGATTCCTTGACGGTGACCTCAGCGGGTGATACTTTCGGCACGGTGATACCCGCGATGTCACTGAAGTCGAATGACATGCTATGTTCGGGAGTGGCGCCCAGATACGGGCTTGTCACATCACTCACACCGTTCGATTTGGGCTGGTTCTCTTGAGATGACCGTTGGACCATCTTCAACAGGAACGAAGAACCACTGTTGGGCTCGATGGCCGAGGAAGACATAATGCCAGTATACTGGTCGCCGTTATTGGTGGTGATCGTGGTTTGAAGACCCTTGAAGAGAAAATGTGAGAAGAATACGATAGGAATTATCCTGATCGATTTACTTACCACGTAGCTGGCACACAGGAACACTACTCGGTCATGCGCGTGGTGATCGGCCGTGCTCGACTCCTTCTGGCCCGGGCGAGGAGAAGCGGATTGCTTGTGGTTGCTTCCGTTCGAGTTTGAGTAGTTGTTCGTTGAGCGTTGCGTGATGGGGTTGGTGCCTTGCGACCAGGCTTTGTGGGAGTTACTGCGCCTATACAAAGAAACATGACCGGGTTAGCGGGGTGGAACACGTTGAGACAGAAACCGATCAAACAAGGAATATCGCCATGCAATCCGACGCTTGCAATTGGTCCTTCGAGGGTGCACAATCCTACACCAGCCCGCAAACCGAGCTCATCATCAGGTCGAGGGGCACGTGCACGGAGGCACCGTTGGCGAGGATGTCGCGGACGGAACGAACCCAGATGAGCTCCAGTTTGTCGCGACAAAGCGAGTATTGCATGCGGAAATAGAGGACCAGGCGAGGGGAAAGGAACAGGAGGGGAAGTGCATCGTACCGTTGGCCAGCGTCACCAGGACTGTTAGACTGTCGTCGGCCGTCGCCCTTAATGCTGGCGCTCGGTCGCAGGGAAGGACCCGAAGGCCGTCCAGAGGATTGCGAGGAGTTGGTGGCATTGCCCGAGCTGCTTGCAGCCGGCGCCGAATTGAGGGAGGAAGCCATTGATTGACTCTGGAGTCAGGGCAGGCTTGCGGTCGTGGAACTTAGCACGGCGGAAAGCCGTGAGGAGGCACTCGACCACGTCCACCACACCGCCTGCACTAACAGGGCAAGGGGGGATGGGAGAGTGGGGAAGAGGCGACCACCGAATCGTTGACGGTCACGACGGCAAAGAAGGGGGATGGCGAGGTTGTGAGTCGATGAAGCAGGGCGAGGAGGGGATTGAGGGAGATGGAAATTGTTTGGGAAGAAAGCAGTCACGGGGAAGGAGGTGTAATCGTACGGTACCCGGTGCGACCCTGGGTTGACGGCTGTGATCTAGGGATGATCTGTCACTTGCCCTCCACCGGATTTAGTTATGCGCGCGGTGCTGGCGATGGCCATTTTACTTGCAGCGGAATCCTGCTGTGATTTTATTTACTTTTTACTTCTTTCTGAAGGGGATGGCTGCCTATCGCCATAATTTCGTGGGGTGTGCTCTGCGATTTTGGTCTGTCTGGCATACTATACCAGCCCGGTTGCCAACGCGTATTGGCCGTACCACCGAACGCTCCCCGACCCCAGGTTGGCCTCCAGCACAGCGTCAACTGGGGTTGTTCCGTGGGGGTTCATTGTCCGAAGCCACGATCTGCTGGTGCTCCAGGCCTTTTTGCAGATTGGATCTATCGAAAAAAGAGCACTTTGTACTCCCTACAGAAAAAGAAAAAAAGACCATCAAAAGAGAGGGAGGTGCATAGTGCTTAGTACCGGTATCGACTAGCCTCTATGAAAGACATCCTGATACCCCACTCGGCCAATGCAGCAGCGGCTGTGTATACCTAGACGTCCCAAAGAGGGAAAGTATCAAAGACAGTGCATGGATGCTGTCCCGCACTAGGGCACTCTTAGGGCATGCCAAGGTTGGAATTGTGTATAGAACGTCGACAATACTCGTACCCTAGGGTAGCCATGGTTGACGTCCACACCAACATCCTAGACATTCCCAGCGCGAGTCCAGCTAGAAACAAATATTAGGCGACCCAGCCGCCGTTGGGTTACGGTGAAGCCCAATGTGGCCCCGGCGTAGAGAGGGTCTTAGCTGGACCTTGTCTAGGCCCCCTCCCTCGCGATGATCCGCAGTCCTTTCTATATACTCGCACATGTTGTACCAACTACATAGCAGTGTACTCGACAGAGGCAGACCACCCTAGTAAGGAAGGGCATACCTGTCAATACATGAGATGTATGGAGTCGTCGATCATGGTGGATAAGCGCGGGAGCTGCCGCGACTGCAACGCGTGCAGCCTTGGTACAATCAATACAGAACCAGCAAGCAGCGAGGAAGGCGCCCTTCCGGTTAGGCGTGGATCGTGAAGGGGCTGGCCCTAACTAACAGCGGGTGGTACGGGAACGTGACCGTACCGTATTGACGCTGCGAGTCTGCAGATCGGAGGCTGGTCACCACCCTTCCCCTTCTCAGCTCGCTCGCTTACCTGCTTGTTCTTCTGTTCCATGCAGTCGACACACGCCTGGTCTCATCCTGCTGGAGACCCTGACCAGAATTCCCGTCTTTCCCTCGCTAGTAGCATCGACTCCTCCATTTCCTCCATGGCCTCAGCGTCAGGCCGCAGTTCGTCGGCCTCTGGTCGCTCGCAGTCGACCAAAACTGTGGTAAGCGCGATTGATCCGAACTATTCACTTGATCTTTACAAGGATGTGTTAGCTGACCACAGTCTCTCGGGACCATTTACAGCCCGATAAACAGATTTCCCAAATCGAAAAAAGCGTCACACACCTCCTCGTGGCAACAAAACAACTACTTGAAACCCTCACCCAGTGGTCCCGCAAAACGGCCTCCGAGACTGATGTGTCCGATGTTTATGTCCGCTTGGGGTACGAATTCAACCTGGCATGTCGCGCGTTCAATGCGATCGGTGTTGAGACCTCTGACCTGGGTCCGGTGCCGGACGTGCTCCGCACAATCCTCGAGGACACGCTCAGCCAGGATGCATCCCCGCAAAGCCTAGACCGATACCTCCCGCAGATTCGCGATATTATCATCAACTTACTCCATGGTCTGAAGAAGAAGCAGGCGCGCTTACGGTCACGGCAGCAGAAGGAAGATGGTCGAAATGGGATGCCCGGGCGGCAGGCGAGCGCAGGAAGTCTGTCACCCGAAAAGAGCAACATCGGACAGCTGTACGACGAAGCGGCGGCTTCGACAATGCCACAGTCGTCCATGCAATCCCCCAAACGGTCGGCGCGTCGGTATGGAAGCAATGGTTCATTGGAGGATACTCCTCAACAGCGCACGTCTCCGGGGCCTTCGGGTTCAAGCTACTCCGAGCGGGACGCATCGCGAAGGGAAACCCAGCAGCAGCTTTCTCAGACAGGATCCGACAACGATTCGACACCCCGAGCAGCCCCAATGACTCCTTCGGCACCCCCTCCAGATTTCCCTGCCCCACCTCCGCCGCCGAAGCAGGATGACGCGCTGGGCGCTTTGCAAAGAAGCGGCGAGCTAGAGCGACGTGCATCAAGGCGTTTCTCCGCTTATCAGATCCAGAAGCACCTGGGTACTTCCTCGAACGGTGTGCCCGTCATTCCGTCCCAAAACTCCCCCAATTCCGAACCGAGGACGCGACGTTCGCGAATCCCTCAATGCGGTCCGCCTCCGAGGATCGTACAACCACACACGACAGCGGTCTACCAAAGGCTCACAGGATGTCTCCAAAAGCAGTCAGGCCCAGGCTGCTGCGAATATACCTCAGGCTGTGCAAGAGGAACAGCCGAAATCAACCCGCGAAGCTAGAAAACCGTCATCAGAAGTGTCGGAGAAGCCTGTGCCTCTCGAAAAGGATCTCCCCGCCGACCCTGTCACTGATATCTCCTCGCCCTACTTCCCGCAACCACCCAAGGGACCTCCTACCCTCGAGGATGCCTTTGATCCCGAGAAAAAAGATTCCTCTGTTGCAGAAACAGCCCCACAAACACCGAAGAAAGACCGGGTCGAGCCGGCTGAAGTTGCTACACCTCCGCCAGTACCTCAATTTGCCACCGAGCAGCCGTCTCCAGGGAAGGAGTTGACACTCTTTCTGCAATATAAGAGTAAGATCAAGAAGTATGTACTTGCGGAAGGCATTGCAGAGCTTACTCTTGGGCGTCTTCAGCTGGCTTTCATCGAGAAGTTTGCCTGGAACGTTCACAACAATGGGATGGATTTGCCTGAAATCTACATCCAGGATCCCATCTCAGGTATTCGACATGAACTGGAGGATCTTAACGATGTCAAGGATCGATCGGTTTTGGTGTTGAATGTGGACAGCCTGGATGAGATGAAGAAACACTTTGACGACAGCTTTAGCAGCGTGCGCACCTTGGTGGAGGGCGTGAAGGAAGCTCTGAGCGGTCAAGGGACAGTCATCCAGCGTGTTTCAGATCGTCAACTGGAAGCTGCAAAGGAGATGGCCCGTCTGGCGGCTGCTCCTCCGGCCGCCGCTCCGAGCAATGCCGGGCTCAAAGCGCCAATCGCTGGAACTGGCAGCCAGGTCGCCGAACTGCAAAGCCTTCGCCGTGACTTGGCCGTCCTTCGCCAAACCTATACCAACTTCCAATCCGATGTCACCAGCTCAATGGCCGCCGTCCGCGCCAAGGCTAGCAATGTCAAGACTGCGGCCGAGGATGTTGCAGTCACGAGTTACGAAGGCGATGCCGGCCGAGCTCGTGTTGGCACTGGCAAGAAGCAACTGGCTGATGAATCCGAGCGCCTTGTTGCCCGGGTTGACGATCTTCAGGATCTGGTCGAAGATCTGCGCAAGGACGTGGTGACTCGTGGTGTCCGCCCTCTGCCACGACAGCTGGAGGGCGTCAGTCGTGATATCAGCAACGTCATGAAGGAGATCAAGAAGATGCAGGACTTCCTGGGTCGGGAGAAGCCGATCTGGACTAAGATCTGGGAGAAGGAGTTGCAACTGGTCTGTGAAGAGCGAGACCAACTTACGATGCAGGAAGACCTTGCGGCCGACCTGCAAGACGATCTTGAGAAGGCTGCTCAGACATTTGCGCTGGTGGAACAAGCTACGAAGGAGCAAGCCATGGAGAAGGCCGAAGGTGGTGTCACTCTGCGCGCGACCTCGCGTACTTTGGGAATTGACCCCACTGTCGACCCTATGAAGGCCAAGGACTCTGTACTCGGCGAGGTGCGCGCACTTCAGCCGAACCATGAAAGCCGAGTAGAGGCCATCGAACGGGCCGAGAAGGCTCGCAAGAAGGAGCTCGAGAACCGTCGCATCAATCTTTTCCAGAAAGAACTGGGCGCTTTCGTTCAGGAGGATAAGCTCAAGAAGAGTGGCGGCGTGGAAGAGACCGAGCGTCTCCGCAACGCAAAGGACGACCGCATTCGCAAGGAAGTCTGGGACCGACAGCAGGCTCGTAACGCGGAGATGGAGAAGCTCGAAGCCGAGCAAGCGGCGGCTCAAGCAGCGGCAGCCGAGAAAAAGGCCGAGGGCGAGACAGATGAGTCGGGCGAAGCAGCACCGACAGAAGAGGGCGGAGAATCGCCCAAGGATGAAACACTGACAGAGGATGAGAAGAAGGATAGCAACCCTGATGAATCCGAGCCGGCGGAGAAAACCGACTCTTAATGCACCGAACAACACCCTTGGCGATCTTTATCGTGCTTAATTTTGTTTTACTTTGCATGCGTTTTTTGGCGATTGATTTGATTTCGCATCTTGCGTCTACATCCGTGGTGTGTTACACTGTTGGAACCCCCTTCCAAATGATTTCCCTATCCCCTTTGCATTCATGTCACTTATTGACGATACCCTCCCACGACTGTGGTTCGTTCCAGCATTTTCATTGCGCTGCGGAGTTGGCCTGGGTCAGGCGGTTGATTGATTAACGCTGAATGCGACCCTGTGCTTGGTACCCTATACCCTAAGATTCTGAGATTCTGCAATGACATAATGCGATTTATACAATTTCTTTTCCCCAAACCAAGCTTGAATATCTCGTAGCAGCGTAGCCAGTGGATGCCTAATCTGTAACAAAGCAAGTCTCAGGTCCCGGCGGAAGGTGGACACCCAGCCATCGCATTTCCATCCTTTAAATGCACCCACCTGCCATCTCCATTCTTCGATCGTCGTGATCGACCCGAACCAGACTATTCCTTCAGAGTTCTCTATACAATTTCTTTGCGAATCCCACGCCTCACTACTCAGGACTCACGACTCTCGACGATCCACGATATCATCCTGTCCGGCACCGAGGCTGCGCCTCAGCCTCATCCAACGCGTCTAGATCGACACCAGCCAAACACACACCCTTGTACTACACTCCGCCCTCCCACGCGGATGACGCACTGAGCCCTGCTCACAAGTCCGAACAGATTCGGAACATCATTCAGTTTCATCGAGCTCATCTCTTGGTCTGCATCTGTTGGGGTCCAACCAGCATCGCGATGCGGCTCTCACAAGCCTCCGCCTTCCTACTCTTCTGGAGATCGAGCTACGCAGCAACCAACTCCGAAACAGAAGCGACCATCCTCCGCCACCATGCAGAGCTAGAAGCGAGATTCGCAGAATCGCCCGTGCAAGGCGTGCGGAAAATGAGCGACGATGAGGGCGAGAAGTTCTTTCTTGAGTACTGGCAGTTCGCCGGGGATTCAGAGGGTGCGGCAGCGATTGTTTCTTCCGGAGAGATTCAAAGTAGATCGATCTTTGAATTCGATGGTCGAGAGAGCGACGATCGAACCGATTTCTCGCCTGCCCAGTTCCTCACTAGGTCGTATCCATTTTCTCCCGCTCTGCCTGGCCTTGATGAGGGCAGCAATGTCACAAGGCGCTATGGTATTCTTTTGAGGAATAGTCTATTCGGTCGAGATTTTGAGTGTCCTACTGGAACAAATCCGTGCTTGTCTATTAATCGATCGGATCGCTGCTGTGCGACGGGGGATACTTGTCAAGTGATTAAGGAGACGGGTCATGGCACTGTTGGATGTTGTCCGAAGGGGCAGACGTGCGGTGGGGGTGTGGGTTCTTGTCAGAGTGGGTATACGGCTTGTTCGAAGGCTTTGGGTGGAGGATGCTGTATTCCGGGATATGAGTGTGTTGAAGGTGGATGTGAGTGATTTCCGGATGCACCCTATGACATTGTTGAGATATATACTGACGGTCGCAGGTGCTTACACTTCGGTGGTTACAGTAACAATTGACCATACCATCACGACTTCTACGATTACCTATTCGACTCGGCCACAAACAACTCATTCTGTCGGGACTACGGAGACGACATCGACGTCGAAGAGCTTCGAGTCAACGGAAACCACTTCTACCGATAAACTGACACAACCGGCGCGTCCGACGAGTTTGCATACCACCCAAGGAACAACGACGATGACCGGCGGGGGTTCAAATATGTGCCCGACGGGATTCTACGCTTGCTCTGCTGTTTACCATGGCGGGTGCTGTCAGACAGGGAGAGATTGCGACACAACATCATGCCCGACGACCAGGTCGACGACGTTGACGTCCAACGGCAAGACCATAGTTGTACCCGTGACAACCGGCGGCTCTGACACCGGCTCTGGAAGATGCGCAATTGGGTGGTTTAGCTGTGCAGATACAGCAGGTGGAGGGTGTTGTCCGCGAGGATATGCATGTGGCTCTAGTTGTACCGCGACGGCGGCTACCGCGACGACGACAGTTAAAAAGGAACGACCTACTAGCAGCGGGGGACGGAAGTTAGCAACTGCTCAATTCCTGCTGCCAGTGAGTGCGGTCGTTATGATTTGTATTCTGAGTATGTAGGAACAAAGAAAACAATGGATGTCATCAACGCAAACGGTAAAAGGAAACGCCCGACCCCACGGGGGCTTAGTAATGCGCGGTAATTCGTTCCTGCGCAGGCAGGAGGTACCGATCACCGAATTTGGCCGACACCGGGTCCCGTCTGGGCGATCTCCGCTCTCTCTCCTCCTCTCCTACTCACCAGCACGTTTGGTAAGTTCCCCCCGGCGAATTCCCCCTAGATTGTGGCCATTTGCAATTCCTGCAAATCTTGCACTTTCAGCATCTGCTACTCTGTCCACGATCCCATTATCGTCCCACTGGACTGTGCTGAACTCCTGCGCTAGGACCGTCGCCATCATGTCTGAGAAGCAGCAACAGCCCCTTCCCTTCATCTACCAATTCGCCGCCGGTGCGGTGGCTGGTGTCTCCGAGGTATGTTCTCCCTACGTCTGGCAATCTGCTAGGCCTGCCCCGGGTTGCACAGTGTTGCCAGAGCCCTCTTGAGGTGGTCCAGTGACTAATGCGTCTCTCCCCCGCACGACAGATCTTGGTGATGTATGATCCCAATCCCCCTTTTCTCTTGATCGCGAAGCGTCTCCCGCGAGCGGAATCCGACCAGACAGTAAAGATAACACAGAATTAACGAGCGAAATCACACAGGTACCCATTGGACGTCGTCAAGACCCGAGTGTAAGCACCCGATCGGAATCCGCACCCGAAAACACTCCGCAGTCACTAACACAATCCCGACAGTCAGCTTCAGACCGGAGCCGCCACCGCTGGTGCCGAGCACTACAATGGCATGTTCGACTGCTTCCGCAAGATCATTAAGAATGAGGGGTGCGTGAATGGAAACACCTTCCCGATCGGCAATGGTCATCGGCATTCGCCCCAAGACCGAAAAGACTCAACTAACCTCCCCACAGTGCTTCGCGTCTGTACCGCGGTATCTCCGCTCCCATTCTGATGGAGGCGCCCAAGCGTGCGACCAAGTTCGCCGCCAACGACAGCTGGGGCTCCTTCTATCGCGGCCTGTTCGGCGTGGAGAAGCAGACCCAGGGCCTGGCCACTCTGACCGGTGCCACGGCTGGTGCCACCGAGGCCTTCGTCGTCGTTCCCTTCGAGCTGGTCAAGATTCGCCTGCAGGACAAGGCCTCCGCGGGCAAGTACAACGGCATGCTGGACGTGGTCAAGAAGATCGTGCAGACCGAGGGTCCTTTGGCCATGTACAACGGTCTAGAGTCGACCCTGTGGCGCCACATCCTGTGGAACGCCGGTTACTTCGGCTGCATCTTCCAGGTCCGCGCCCAGCTGCCCAAGCCCGAGCCCGGCAACAAGAGCCAGCAGACCCGTAACGACCTGATCGCTGGTACCATCGGTGGTATCGCTGGTACGATCCTCAACACCCCCATGGACGTCGTCAAGTCCCGCATCCAAAACACCACCAAGGTCCCCGGTCAGATCCCCAAGTATAACTGGGCCTGGCCCGCCATCGGCACGGTCATGAAGGAGGAGGGCTTCGGTGCCCTGTACAAGGGATTCATCCCCAAGGTGCTGCGTCTCGGCCCTGGTGGCGGTATCCTGCTGGTCGTCTTCACGGGTGTGATGGATTTCTTCCGCAAGATGCGCAACGAGTAAGTATAGCTCGGGTTCAAAACTTGAAGTATAAAAAAACGACAAAAATTTGTTCCCCGATATACCCTGCCCTGCCATCAGCCTGTTCCAATGTTATATCACGGTCCTGTATCACCAGCTAGAGCATTACTAGATGGATATAGAAAACTTCTGCTGCATCTGCACTTGACTAGAACGCATTTCAGTCTAGACCAGCTCGTAGCTACAGTAGCATCAACACTAAAACACACTACACTGTAGTCTACCTGCACAACTTGTAAAAGATCAATGCCTCCTCCCATGCCCCGTAAAAGCCTTAACAGCAACAATCCCAAATATCATCAAACAAACACCCAGCGCAGCAAACGTAACCGAAACAGTCGTGCAGTTCCTCGCCGCACTAGCCCGACGCTCGCGACGCTCTAGTTGCAAATCACATGTTTCGCAGTGAACGTGACCTGGCTCGAGGCCCGAGGTGATATCCTCAGCGACGTGCTGAGTCTGAAATGACTCGGGTGTATTCTGCGCTTTGGTTGTGTGCAGGTGGATGTGGGAGTGGCTTTCGAGATCGGGGTCTGTGTTTGGGATGTTGGAGTACTGTATACATAATTTAAGCTCAGAATGGACATTGAATGGATTCAACCTTGATAGTTTTCGGACGTGGAGAGGTCGAGGATAGCGAATCGAGCAATACAATGTAAGTATCAAATCAAATAATGAATCTAAGCAAAACATGAAGAATACATACCCCCGTCATAAAATTCGAAGGCCGCTGCTCATACAGCTCCTCGTAAGCGGGGATCTCATCTGGTTTCGGGAGACTCATATTCAGTGTCGTTGAGGACCGGCGATGATATGCTTTGTGTAAAAATCGCCCATAGAATGCCAGTTACAACTGGACCGCACTTGCTAAGTGTGGTTTGTTGTGGTAGAGGTAGAGTGGGCCGACAAAACTGGAAGTCGGGGGTGTATTTGAGGCCCTGGAATCAGCTGGTGCTCAGCCGCTTTGATGTGGTGGATGGCCAGGCATCCGCGTTGAGCGGGTGTTGATTGGGTGGGCTGGTGGTTGTGGCGGTCGGGCATAAGCTGATGGGATCGTGCGTGGGGCGAAGATTTCGGATTTGAGGGATTGGACTGGTTGTCCATTGGTTAATTCGATCTTTAGATTCGGGAGACACTGTTGGTTGAATGACATAGGTTGTAATTTGATCCTGGTTCATTGCTGATAGAGCTCCACCGCCAACATTTGAAAACTGTCAAATTGAACTCAAAAATCATGAATTGGGTATGATTTGCTCCAGAATTGTATGTACGTATCCATCCCGGATAAATCATATAAACGCTTCAGATATCTCTAGCGACACCTTTCAAATCCAAGTCCTAAGAATACGTTCTCCAAAATCCACCACTCACCACATAAAAAGACCGTTGCTAGCATTAGAACTTCAAGCCAACCCTAGAACGGCTATGCCAAAGCCCCCTCCGACGTCTCGTTCCCACTACTAACCGGAGCAGCATAAGACTGTCGTCTCTTATCATTACCTCCCTTAACCCGGCGAATTCCAAACATCTGCCCGATCTCCCTCCAAAAGCCAACAGGCGGATCAATGAAGCTGGCCTCATACGCGTCAATCAAAGGCCGTTCCCAGAGGAGATCAGCCTCATGAGGCTTGATCCACTTGGTCTTCTTGATAACCTTCCAGATAAGGAAGAGGGGCGGGATGACGATTTGCATAGTGTAGTCGGACCAGAAGGTCGAGAGGTCCCAGGGCTTGTAGGCGGGGTAGCCGTACAGGATCGTGACGAGGATCATCCACACCATTCCGATGTACCCGCACCAGGGCTGGAAACGGCCGTAGTAGGAGAATTGGCGGCGGTCTAAGCCTTGCGCGACGCAGGCGCGGTGGAAGCAGATGTAGGTTATACAGATTGTGATGTAATTGATTAAACCTGGGAGATGTTAGCTTAGTGTTGTATATAATTTTGGAAAGGTGAGAGCGTACCGCCGGCTGTGACGAGGTTGGCGAACCAGGTGATGACGATCGAGGAGCTGTTGGAGACTTGTAGGAAGGAAAGGATCGGGAAGATCATCACGACGACGAAGCAGTAGATCGGAACACCCTTGCGCGTAGTGTATGTTAGGACGCGGGGCGCGCGGCCTTCCAGAGCCAGACTGTACAACGTGCGGATGGCGCAGTAGGTGTAGGTGTTTCCAGCGGAGAAGATTGAGGTCAGCAGCAATCTATAAGAACATGTTAGTTACTGATTCTCTGTGGGGTTATTCAAAGGTACGTGGACTCACGCATTGACAATCGACGGGAAAATGGTAACACCCAAATTGGTCATACCGATCACATACGGCGACGCCGAAGCCGAAGAATCCGACTTTTGACCGGTAGCGATCAACTCAAGAGCCGGGTCACGCGCAGAGCAAACAATGCCCACAGCAAGCGCCCCACCCATGAAGAACAGTCCAAAGCGAATGTAGACCGTCTTGAAAGCATTCTTGATGTAAATGCGCGGGCGCTTGGCCTCGGCCGCAACCATGGAAATGTACTCGGGACCGACGACGGCGAAGCAAGCAGACCACAGAGAACCAAGGTATCCCTCGAAGCGACCCAGACTACCGGTGCTCAGATGCTCCATGAAGGAGCCGGGATTATTCCAGTAGCGGAAGCCGTAGGCATCATGCTGGGGGTTTCCTCCTACCATTGTGATGAAGGTGAAGAAGAAGAGGGAGAAAATTAGGATGACTTTTCCGCCGGAGAGCCAGAATTCGGCTTCCCCGTAGGCCTTGACGGCGAGAATGTTGAGGAAGCTGTGAGTGTTAGGATGCGGCAAGGCAATGGGGACCCGCGTTGGGGGGGGGGGGGGGGGGGTTCTCACCCATAGACAGCGATTATCCCAGCACAAATACCAGCAACCGGACCGGGTTCCGTGATCTTGTCACTCCAGAACGACAAGACGAGGGTGAAAGCCGAGATTTCAAAGGGGATGAGGAGGGCCTCGTAGAAACTAGATGCAAATTAGTAAACGCAAACAACAAACTGCGGGTCCACATAATATGCTGCGATATATATAATGCACACCCGTAAAGGAAGGATGAACCACGAACAAGAAGTTCCAGCCGACCATGAAACCCAATGCATCATCGACCCATTTACCCGCCAGACGAATGAACCCCCCGGAAACCGGGTAGGCGGTACTCATCTCAGCGAGACAATTGTTGACCATGGCGAGGAAGATGCATTGGGTCGTGAACGCCAGAAAGAGCGAGCCGGGTCCACCGTAGTACAGACCCGTACCGATACTGACAAACAGCGCGGTACCGACTGCACCGCCGATGGCAATTAGCTGAATCTGTCGATTGTCTAGATGACGCTGGAGGTTGTCGGCGTTATCGGCCATCATGCCCTCCTGGACGTCATGATGGGGATCCGCGGGCTTGAGGCCTAGGGTGTCGAGGACGCCCGTTGGCGGGCTTTCCTTGTCTTTGCTGAAGATGGACATTGTAATTGTAGGCAAGTTGCTGCGATTGGACTATATTCTTTTTCTTGTTGTACGGGGTTTTGAGTTGTGGCGCGCGGGTTGTCAGGCCTCTGAGAGGGGTGCCTGGGGAATTCTTGTTGTTAGATCTCCGTGGTTTGGCGCATGGGTTGCAGCTGCTGTTGCTGCTTTCTTGGCTGGGCAAATCTGCGAGTACGGAAATGTGGTGAGGGTTGGAGTGTCCGGGTCCGAATTGTCGCGACGGGGTTGAGGGAGTTGTCGCGACAGGGTCAGAGTGATTTCCGAGCTGGGTGCTATGGACGAGGCCGTGGATGTTGCTGGAGGTGCTGAGGGTGAGGCTGAACCGGAAGGTTTGCAGACGCGCTGGCGACGATCGGGACCGATCTAGAAGACTTTGGCTGCAAGAAACTGGAGGTGGTGCAATTCTACCGTGTCCATTCCTTGTCGAGGGGACGTTGATTGCGAAAAGAAAGCAATGGTGAGATTCGACCTGGGGTCGGAGCAGTATTGAAAAACCCGAAGTGAGAAGTAACTTCGGAGGTGAGTGCAGGGAAGCGAAAGGTGCGGGTTGGCCGTCGAGTTGAAAAGGAGACCAGCGAGAGAAGCGAGTAGCGAGTCCGCTAACCGGAAAAGTAAAAGAAAAGGAAGGCGCACGGGATGGGCTTTTTCAAGGCGATACGCAATCGTTGGTACCGTGGTTGGGATGAGAAGGTTTTGAGTATGACGGGTACGGCAGTTGGCAGGCAGTTTGGGGGTGGGGAATTAATGGATACGGACTGGATACGGTAATATTTCGCGGGGGGCCTTGTCGGACAAATGTATCGTCTAAGCCACGTTCTATCACTCTTCCCTGATTGGGCAGGAATGCCACATCCGGACGCCCCCATCGGGGCCTGCACGCGCGCTAGGCCGCTCTCGGACACGAGCCTATCGCTCGGGGCCTCAGATGGCGGTGCGTTTGTGCGGCAGGGACACACCGGCCGCCTCTTCGTTGGGGCCGTGCCACAACCGGCTCCCGGCGTCCAGTTCGCGCGTTTCTGCCATGCATTGTGCGTCCTTGGCCGCTTGGCAGGGCCACCGCGCCGAGGCCTGGCCTCCAGAAAATCTCCATTTCGGGCCACCACGAGGATATTCTTGCTGTTTTTGCGTGGGGGCCGGGGCTGGGAAATTACTGTCCGGGGATAACCGGTTTGCTGTCCAGACGGTGGTGGGGATGGCCCAGCGGCAGCAGTGGGGCGGCTCTTCAACTCTGGAGAGCTGCGCCGTTTTGGGCGATGGCGTGGAAAATGCCCTTTTCGTTGCATCATGGTTTGCACGCATGCGATCTTGGCATCATGCGATGCGCCGGAGCCGACAAGTAATAGACCCGATATTTGTCTTCGAGAATTGACCGCGCAAGGACTCATCCCTCGCAGCATGTATGGATCTTATCTCCGTCCACGTGGTCCTGATAACCTTGTGGAGATCCCCATGTGGAGGGGTGGGTCGGCCAGCAGTAGCTGAAGCGGCAGTGAAGCAGTAGCTTGAGCTGGTTTGAGGAAGGCTGCTATCAATGCTAATCTCATCGACATGGAGGTCTCGGGGATTCGCGCAATGTTTAATATCGGTTCTTTCTGATCCTGAACTCGTTGGTTGGCTCGGCGGATTCTACTAATGCCTCAGACATGAAGGACAGTGAAAGCTCGCGACAGCTAATTGTCAACGGGCATGTGGCCCTTGTGGAAGCATAGAGCAGCAACAGCCCCACTAGGAATTATTATACCCCATTAGGAATTATTATTCGTGAAATTACCTTTGACACAAATCACACTCAACCTTCTTCCCGACGCCGAAGGTGTTGAGATGGGCTACGACGAAGCACTGAATATTGAATGAGGGCCTGCTAGACAAATCGAACCTTAATGGAATTGACAGAACTTGACTTGACTGTATTGTGTGTCTACGTGCGATTCTGGGGGTATTTATCCCTGAACGGGCGGCAAGCTCCTGACAGTAGTAAATCCCTCATAATCGGTCTCGATCGGGGTTCTTCCATGAAAATCTCCCGACTGTAGAATATGATGGTGGCAAAGAGCTTGAAGCGTATATCAAGCTCAGTGCCTCGGTTTCCTTGGACAGGCATGCCGACAAGAGGTTGGGAATGAGGCATCAATTCGGTGCCTTATCCTGGAACCTCAACAGAAGGATCATTGTTGCCCCGACTGGTGCCACGGGGTCGATCCTACCAGGAATCAAGACCCTGATCGCACTACGCCGGCTGAATCTTTATGTGGATACCCATCTCGTGATCAAAAATATCTATTCATCGATTGAATTGCAGCATCGCACTGTATGACCGACTGGACAAGGTCTTTTTTTCCCGGTATATCCTTATACAGTGTAACTTGATGGTTCATGCATCTACCCTAATTCGCTCGAGTCAGCTTTGACGGTATCCATGCTCCCAATGGGACAGCATATTATACCCCGAATCACTCATCCGTCAAGAAACTCCTGCCATTTATCCATTCGATGACTAAAATCCAGCCTCAATCCATCACCAACCAAAACCCCCTGCCCACAATGATGAGCCATCGTCCCACCGTCAGGCATGGGATTCTCCCAGGCCTTCACAACTCTCAAAACCCACATATTGTACTTCTTCACCATACTCATATCCTCAACCACGCACTCAATATTAGCCATCACATGCGGCCCGCTCACAAGAGGAGCCTGCACCTTCCCAGCCGGGAGTGGTTCGAGTCCAAACCGCTCCCACTTCCCACTGGGTGAATCAAGATCATCGGACGAGATATTCCCAATATCAATTACTGTTTCTGCGATTTCGGTGGAAGGTACGGTGAGGACGCACTCCTGCTTTTCCTTCAGCGCTTTGAAAGATGCGTCCCACGGCCCCAGTGTGATTCCAATTAATGGCGGTGACTCGTGCTGCATCATCATGTGGAAGCCTAATGTCATGATGTTGTGTGTTTTGCTGGCGAGAGAGCCTGTTGTGACGAGGAGGAGTGGACCGGGCTCAATGAAGCGGTAGGCTTTGGAAATGGGGCAGTCTTTGAAAGGCTTTGTGTCTTTTTTCGTTGATTCCTTCTTTGGTAAAGTATCTGGCTCTTGCGTTGCCTTGCGCTTCGGAGGCATGATGGAGTATCGTGGAGTTTGGTTTGTGGTGTGGTGGCGGTGAGGCGAGGAGCAGGATGAAATAGGGATTATCGACAGAAGGCAAGACAGCGAGGATTCGCCAGCCGCCAGGAACGAGAGTTATGTGGTAGTTTCCGACTTCTACTCTTCTCTGAGGTTTCCTTTATGTTCTTCCGATTGAGAAGTGCGATCCGAAGATTTTCGGACACCGCAACTGGCATCGGCGGCTATGACGTGACCATGCATTTACAGCAAGATCCACCAGCGACTGGCCAACACAGTGTAAACACAGCCAATCTCTAAGCATTTTAATTTATTTTGCTATTTAGCCGCTATTTTAAGATTCTCCACCTTCGACTTAAGCCCCGATATAATATCAACATCATACGGCTCCTGGATCGTAATAATCGTCGGAACTGAACACTCCGGGTATCCCAATGTCAACTGACCCAACGACTCAATATCAACCTGCGACAGAATATCACTAGGCGACGCAGTAACAACCGAGCTTCCACTCGGTGCACCAAACAGCGAAGCGACAAAAAGAGCCGATCCGTATCTTCGTCCAAGTTGCTGAAGAGGAAGCGAAGGCCTCCTGGATATGAATGATGCCAGTGCGGAGGATCATGGGAACGCTGGTTGTCGGAAGGTAGGAGATGAGGTGTTTTTCATAGAGATCTTGAATTATCGCGGTGAAATCGATGGCGCTGACTAGGACAGGGCAATCCGGTGCGTCGAGGGAGAGTTGTTGGCGGGGACTGTACTGTTCCGAGAGGAAGTCGAGTTGGCGGTGGAGGGTGCTGTGGATTTCGAGGTAGACCATCTTGAGCCAGGCGCAGTGCGAGTAGAGGAGGAGGTCGGTCTGGTTGGTTACGAATGGTATTGAGCGGAATGAGATGCCGCTCGGTAGTTCTCGGAGCCAGTCTTCCAGTTCTAGCTTTGAGAGCCAGAGGCAGGATCTTCGAGGTTGTGATGCGTATGATGTGGCTTTTGTGGACTGGCTCCAGGAGAATAAGTCGTCTTTGATACAGGAGACAAGTTTGATTTTCTCAACGAATATTTGGGCGAGTTTGGTGTGGTGTTCGCCGTAGTAGATTGGTCCGATGTTGGGTCGCAGTCCTGGTGTGACAAGATCGTCCTCGCCGAGTTTAATTGTTGGGACCGCTGATTCCAGTTGCTCTTTGATGATGGGAGGCTGTTGCAAACCGAGGGATATCAGTCGGTCGCGAGTGAAGATGCTCCACCATAACACCTTTCGGAAATTCCAATCTGGATGTCCCGAATAGTCCAAATGTAGCTCCGCCTTGTATGCGAGTGACACACAGACTCCTATCCAGTGGCGACCATTTTTGTGTTTTTCTGGGCAGTCATACCAGTAGGTCATGAGGAGAAGGCTCTGGATCACGGCGAGCTTGTCGTCCTCGGCATCGAGGTCATATAACACCTAGCGATACGGTGAGCATCTGCACAGACAAAGCAAAGTCTCTTAGGAAGCCATACCCTTGCCCTCCCAAAAAGCGTTTCCATTGCATTCCGCCTTGACAGGAACCCAGCAGCATACAGATAATGCATATCAACGAAGAAAGCACCAGAAAACATGACCGCCTGGAAAAGGAGCAAGCTGACCTTCTCCTCCCTGTGGCCCCCAAATCGAGAAGCCGCTCTTTGACCATTAATCAGGGCGTTAAAAAGATCTATATTGAGAAACGGTACATGCGGATGAACATGTCGAATATAAGCCTTGAAGAACTCCCTTGCAACATGCGGCTCCAAGACATCAAACGCCCCCTTCCGAATGAGATAATCAACATCACCCTGCTCCAATTGCGGCGACGGCGGCTTCAAAAAGGACGGCAGTAGATTATTGTACGGAGGCAAGACCCAAGTTGGTCCCAGTAGTCGGTGAACCTCGGTCATCAGGTTGTCCAGCGGGAACGTCGACAGCACGCCCGATTTCCGAGTCATTCCCCGAGTGGTTCGGCGTTTGATGAGAGCCCGGTCCCTCATTTTGGTAGGGGGTCATGCGATGACGCTGTGAGTGCACCGGTGCGAGCGAGGGGCCGGGGTTTTGACAGGAGAAGAGAGCGGTCGGACCTCGGCGATTTCGGCGGAGCTGTCGGTGCGGGGCGAATTTATAGTCCGGAGACCCCGGACTCACCGCAACTCTAACTGAGGAGTGGAGTAGTGTTTACACCTGGGAGACTGTGGCCGCGGTCTCATTGATTTTGTTAAACTGGTTCGCAATTCGCGAAAATAATCCTCGTTGTGGAATTGTGGACTAGCGTTTGAGGATGTAAATTGTGTCAGACAAAGTACTAAAAATTGGCAATTGCAGTGAACTGAAAGTGTGAAAAATCGTATAACGTGTTTAATGATAGAAAGCAATAGCATCATAAAAGGTTCAGCGGACCCATAGTACCTCGATTGACATACCACCCCAACATAACATGCCAATTAAGGTCGATAGTAGCATGGAAATAGCAGCAACCCAATAAGCCTTGTGGATCGGTGGTTCATGTCGGCCTATGTCCGTCCGACCGATCCTTCCCCAGCGCTAACGAGAAAACAGCCCACTTAAGTTCAGCCTTAACCCCGTGACCCCAGAGCTTCCACCAAGCTGAGACGTAACTAGGACCAAGCAATGACCATTATCGATACTCATCGGGTACTAATTTCTCGTGAGTGCTGGAGCACATCGCCGAACTCTCAACGAGGCACCTACCGGCGACCGAATCGAAAAGAAAAAGGTATCCGATCCAAAGCCACTTGCGATCTTCCCACCGAGCGTGGACACACAGAGAATATTAAACTATTACTCGACCGGTCGTATACAGTGGTGCCGCCCTGTGGGATCTCGGTCTTGGCGGCAAGGTCTTTCTTGATAGGAGTGTTTATAACTTCAATTGAAAAATGGACGCGGCGGCCCGGCACTCTTTTCTTTACAGGGACTTTGGCCACGACAGGATCTGGAGTCTCGTTCGGCGGGTCGGGCGTTGCCGATTCTTCAGGTGGCCCGTCTCTCGGTGGACAGGGCTCATCTTTGGATGCATGGAGCTGATTGCACTGAGGACATTTGGATTTCCCACCGCTTTTCACCTGGCCTAGAAATACTTGGTTCGGTCGCCAATACCTTTTCATCTGTCACGGATGGATCTGGAGCTGAAGATGGAGCTGGATCAATTGAGACAGACCGACGAATGGAGACGTATCCGAGCCTCCCTGATTTGATCGCAGAGTCCACATCAGAAGGAAAAGGTGAGAGTCGTGGCCGTGGCCCACTTGGGCAGCAAGGTGATATTTACCCTGGTTCGAGACGTGGTCATGTGAGTAGCCACTTCTCATGCATGCGTTGGTCGTGCTGCGACAATATCACGGGGCAGCCAATCAGGCTGCATCGTGGAGTGTCTTTCCGGTTCCCGGCGGGTACGCAGGGCCATACCTCAGTGGTCAAGGGTTATAGGACGGCCAATTCAGGGTGGTGGAAAAAGTGTTGCTATTCGACCATGAGAGGCGTGTTATATAGATGCTAAGGAGAATAGCGGACCTAATAACTAAGAGAAGCAAGCTCTATTAACTCTAAGATATCAATACAAAGGGAAAAGCGAGAGAAAAGTTAGAGATAAATCCGTAATGAAGTAAAGCATAAGTGAATCAAAGTTGAAATATTTCTACGCAGCTGATAGCTTCTCAGACTCTTCATCTATCCGACACCTTTCTGGATCTCATCTTTTCTCTCTCAACCATCCTTTTAGTATTTCAATTCTACCTTTACCTTCTGAGACTGTTCATTTATCTAATAAGTTCCCAGGATCTCATCTTTCCTTCCGAAACCGTCTCATTTTGGCATTTCCATCCTATCCTTATCTCCTTAGACCTTCTCCCTAACTAACAAGCTCTTAGTCTCACTTGATCGACAGCCGGATTTGCCTAACACTTATCCGATAACATCACATACGACACGCCGACTAGTAATATTGTCAATCCTTACTCCAACAAGTGTTATGTATAGAATACTGTCGTATTTCTTATGACCTTCCGTCTGACGGTGTTAGATCAGCAATACATGGGCGAAAGAAAGGAAAGTGAGCTTTGGCCGCTATACCCTTCCGTACGCGTAGCGCATTCTACAGGGCACCCGAAAGTTCCCATGCCGAGAGAAAAGTCCACGGCTACAAGGACAGAAGGACCTCAGCAAGGTCAAACCGATTTATCGAGTCAAGAGGATCCTGGATCTCAGTGAGAAAATTCATCAAGAGAAACTTGATCCTGAGAATGACCTTCCCAAGTCTGGGTGAATTGGAGCGCGTGGGGACATCCTACTATACCCCGCTGGAAGATATCGGCGATACCAAGAGAGTTGTAAATGCCGTGGAAGTGTGTGTTCTGTCCTGGTATTCCTCGCCACGGCTGTTGCCGATAGGCAATTGCGCCATCTCGACAGGCATTGATACAATAGAGCACTACCTCCCGCAACATATTTATGCGACACAAAAGATCCTAAAGCACCGCTTGGAAAAGATATAGTCCGCCCAAGCCCCTCTTTCGAGCTATGATGCTATTCGAAGCAATATCACGAGCCCGCCAGGCCTCTAGGCGACCTCTAGGCGATGGCCGGTCCGATTATGGCGGGGGGTTCTGCGAAGATAAAAGATTGGCAAGAAGACTGAATATTTAAGAAGTTATTTCAACAGAATCAGTAAAGTGTACTGAGTTAGGTCTGCCACATACAAGATGGCGACGTTCAAAAAGGCGAAGTTCCTAGCCGCGTTCATTTTATCGTCGGCTCTACCACACACCCTAGCCGACAACCAATACCGCTCCCGACCCGATCTGGCACCACCCCGTCTCAACATCACAATACCCTCGCCAACCAGCAACAGCACAGAATATGTTTTCATCGCCCCATACTCCGGCGACCTTGAAAAGGCCGGTCCGTACGTCTACCGCAAAGACGGAGACCTCGTCTGGGCGGGTACAGGGTACTACTCCGGTTTCGTGGGAAATTTCCATGTCACCAAATATCAGGGCAAAGATGTGCTGCAGGCTTTCCAAGGTACTATTGATAGCAGCCACGGAGAGGGCTTTGGTCAGCATGTGCTCCTTGATCAGAGCTATCAACATGTCGTGACGTCCCTCGCTGGGAATCATCGTGTTTCGTCGATTCATGAGTTCAATGTTGTTGATGGCAAAAGTGCTCTTATTGAGATTTTTGGTACGGTCCCTGCCAACCTGACGGCTTATGGAGGAAACTCGTCGCAGACTTGGCTTGGGAATGGGATTTTCCAAGGTAACTCACAATTCTCTGATGCGCTTTGATGCATGGACTGACGCGAATCAGAGGTTGACATCTCAACCGGAGAGCTCCTCTTTGAATGGAACGCTCTAAACCACCTCGACCCAGCTGGTACCCACCCACCCTTTTTTAATTCACAAGGACCCTCTAACAAATTCACAGATAGCCTCGTCCCCCTCGCCTCCACAGCCGCAAACAACGCCCTAACCTCCGCCTCAGCATGGGACTACTTGCACATAAACAGCATCGACAAAGACGAGGAAGGAAACTATCTCGTCTCAGCTCGACATTTCAGCACAATCTACAAAATAAACGGCACAGACGGCTCCATAATCTGGCAACTGGGCGGTAGAAAGCCCAGTTTCTCACTGTCCGGAAACTGGTCATTCGGCTTCCAGCATCACGCCCGCTGGAGACCCGAACTCGTGAAACCTGGTTCGAACACGGAAGTCATTTCCTTCTTCGATAACTCCGGCAACGGTGCTATCACTTACAATGATGTCTCCAGCGCGCTGGTCGTCGAGATTAATTACACAGCCAAGACCGCGAGCATTCGACGTAAACTCAGTGCGCCGTATGGGCTTCAAGCGAAGTCGCAGGGCAATGCACAACTCTTGCCTGATGGGCGTGTTTTTGTGAATTGGGGATCTGAGGGGGCGCTTACTGAGTTTAGCGCCGATGATAAGATCGCTTTCCATGCTTTTATCGAGCAGGATGCTGTGAGTTATCGTGGGTTTGTGGGGAATTGGACGGGATTGCCGGTTGAGACGCCTGCGCTTGTTGCGCTGCGGGAGGGGCCAAATAAGATGAAATTGTATGTGTCATGGAACGGGGACACGGAGGCTGTGGCATGGAGGTTTTTCTATTCTAGGAGCAAAGGACCGAGTCAAAAGGTTCTTGTTGGGCAAGCGGAGAAAAGATCGTTCGAGACGGTCTTTACGTGGGATGCGCCGCGCGTGTTGTCGTCGAATGCGCGATTTTTTGCGCAGGCTGTTGGATGGGATGGAGCTTTGCTGTCGCAGTCGGCGGTTGTGGGGAGTTCTGTTGATGTTGGGGTTGTCGGCTAGGAGACAAAGTATTCACGGCACTGCAGCGTGGTTGGATTCAATGAAACTTTCTTCAATATCTCTCGGGATCTACCAGTAGAAAAATATGTGGGTAGTGAATAATTTGCACGCATCGTGAATTACAAGACTGCCAGGCAAAATACCGAAAATATTCCAATTTCCAAATACAGATAGGTATCAAACACTAATTCAACGAAGGCGCTTTAGAATCCGTATAAGACATCGCACTCTCCAACGCAGTAGTCAAATCCACATGGAAGAAAGGTCTATCCACCCCCTCAATAATCACCTTGGCCGCACCCTTCCTGCGCTGAATGCGCTCAGCAGCCGTCAACTCGGTGCTAATACTATCATCCACGGACTTCGACTCAAAATCCTTCAAGTTCTGCGTCTGCTCTATAGAGTCCGCAAACGGTTCCTTCTGTAATCCAGCCTCCACATCCTTCCCATCAATGGAGCTCAACTGATCGCGCACCGCCGAAGGATCGCCATGCATCTCCGCGACGCTGAAGATGGGCTTCCACTTCCGGCTCGGATCAACGAGGTCGCTGGTCGGGTAGCCGAAGCCTGCAGCTGCGAGAGCACGTTTAGCCCAGCGATTGCTCAGGTGCGCGAAGTGCCATTGGACGCGGTGAGGAGCTGCGTAGCGGTCAAGTTGGTTGCGGACGTCGATGAGGGTTTGAACACAGGTTACGTCAACGTTGTTGACTGAGGCGCAGTCAAGGATGATTGCTTGCAGAGTTGGTCGGGCCAAGAGCTCTTCTTGGTCCTTTTTGTCCTTCTTGCTTGGGCCCGGGTCGTTCCAGGGCCGATCACCGGGGTTCGAGTCGAGTCCGAAGTCGGCTCTTCGGGTTGTAGCGAAGATGTGGTCGACGAGGTAATCGGTGTAGTGGTTTGCGTTGGGGTAGTTGAGACCGTCTGAGAGACGATAGATGAAGATCCCTGGTGCTGGTTGCTGGATCTTGACGTTGGGGTTTGATCCGTCAGTGCGAGAGGTTGGCAGGTAGGCATTGCGAGCGTTCTTGCTGGTGTAGGGGCCTGTTGCCTCATCGAGAAGGTGGTCGCCAATGACCGAGTGGACGGTGACCTGACCGAGAAATTGGCCGCGGGCCTTTGCGAGACGGAAGAGGAGCACAGCGAGAGAAACGCAGATGGTGCAGTAGATTCCGATCTCGATGGTGGTGAAGGTGATCACGATAACACCCATCAGAAAGATGAGAGCGTCGATGGGGGATACCCGCCAGAATTGATAGGTCACGCTGGGAGGTGTGACGAGATCACCGACGGCGTGGATGATTACAGCTGCCAGTGATGATTTGGGGATGTAGAAGAAGACAGCGGGCAGGGCATAGATGGCTAAAAGTACGACAAGAGCAGTTATGACACCGGCAAGAGGAGTTCGCACACCAGCCTTCGCTTTAATAGCAGTACGCGAGAACGAACCGGTCGCAGGGTATCCTCCCAGGAAGGGACCAAGGAGATTGGAGATACCGATGGCGATGAACTCCTGGGAGGGGTCGATAGTGTAGTTGTTGACTCGACCGAACGACTTGGAGATAGCAATGTGCTCAATAAGCAGCACGATGACTGCGGCAGGAAGCTCATGCGCAAATGAACTGATAATCTCCTTGTTCAGCTCGGGGACCTTCGCATGCCTGAATCCACGAGGCACGGTCTCCAGAATCTTGAACGCCGGGTTATCGCGACGGTGCAGGTTGACCGCGGCACTGATCATGGTGTAGAAGAGAATGACGAACGCCGTACGCAGGGTAGATAGGAAGAAGAACAGCTTCGCCTTCTGCGGGTGTTTTCTCGCTCCATAGTTGCAAGCCCAACGAATAGCATAAAGTACGAACAATGCTGTGAGACCCATCGCGGCATCCATTTGTGTGGTAGGAAGGTTTTTCAGGGAGTTGATGATCATTTCGTAGGTCGCGCCGCGAGTTGAGAAATTAGCAGTCTCTCCGAGGAGGGACTTCACCTGACCAGCACAGATATTGATCGCGGATCCGGTCATGAACGCGGTGATAGCCGGCAGGGGGATGAAATCGACAATGAAACCCAGACGAAGGAATCCTAGCGCGGCCACGATTGCTCCGCAAATGATAGCCAGCGCCGAGGCAATGACGGGAGGGTCTAGCTCGGGGTGTTCTTGGCGCGTGTTGATAATGATCGTGCCGACGAGGGTGGACATAACTGCGACAGGCTGTACCAACTCAGTATAGATGTTCGGTCAAAATGATGTAGGCTGGAAGACTTACGCCGATGGTGATGTCCTTGGAGGTAGCAAAGAACCAATAGATCAAGACTCCCATGAAGGAGGAGTAGAGACCATACTCGGGCTCCAGGTTGGCGAGTTCGGCATAGGCCATGCCCTGGGGCACGACGACCGCACCCACAGTGATACCTGGGAAGATTTATTAGTTTTCCGACACACCATGTACAGAATGAGATCTTGGAACCTACCGGCGATCAAATCTCCGATAAACCACTGCACGTTGTAGTACCCGATCCAGTGCAGGAAGGGAAAGATGTTGTAGAAGTAGCGGGCGACCTGCTTTCCTGTCGGGGTATGCGCGCGCACCCACTCGCCGGTCGTGGGATCCGGATCAACATAGGCATGCAATCCATTACCCCCCGCGACATAATAGCTCTTCTCCTGGTCCTCAATCCCCAGTGCCTTTTTCAGGGCCCGCCCATACTTGTTAGAGGCACCTTCCGACATTGCGAATACCATCTGTCCGCGCTAACCGTCCAGGAAGCACAAGAAGACAAGATTCAAGACCCGATTTCTGTGCAACGGGCGCTGGGATGTCCGGAGAAAAATGTTGGAAAAAGAGTGGATGAGATGTGCCCGGGCGCACGACTATGTAGGGACTCCTGGCAGGCGTCCAAGCATCGAGGCAAAACTTGGCGTATATGTCGTGATTTTGGAAGAATATCGCAAATGCATCGAAGGCTTCGGGCGGGCCAATCACAGGCCGCGCAACGAAACCCTGGAAAAGGGCCTCGAAAAAGTAATTTGAACTTCTCGGCTTTTCTGGACATTGTTGCGTCAGTGGACGCGTGAGCTGATCAAAGGATGCTTGGAGGCGTCAGAGCTGAAGATCCCGCGTGATCATTGTGCTCGAGAGATCTCACCTGAAGTACATCCGCAATACTTGGTATATCGGCGCGTGAATCGGGGGTATGAAGGGGACTGAGACCCACGCGGTGGGAACAGAGCGGATAGGGCTGAACTGGCCGACCAGAGCTGTGAATGTCATTCCATCTTTCCAACTAACATGATGGCTTTTTTTCTCATCTCGCGATAGTATCAATTGATGATACACAGGCGTGTATAGCGTGCTCTCCTGCCGAGCGTCTGTGTGCTTTACCCAGCCTGGGCGCCAAATCTTGGCCCGGCCGCTAAGCGGTCTAGCAGCAGCTCGACGACTCACGATGCGCCAATTTGGATGCCTAGACCTGCCTATCCCTGGGCAGTTAGTGCAGCCCGGACAACGTGGCCCTAGCTCGATCATGGCCCGTCATGCTCCATTGCGCAACAGATCCATTCCGTATAACACTCCTTCGCAAAAGCAATAATAATGAAGTGCAAACTGGGCAGACGGCATGGCGCCATTTCCAAGGAGGGTCGCCAGTTCTTCGGTGAAACAAGGTTTTGGCCCCGTGGCAGTGCAGCCCCATTAATTACTTTGCTCCTGCAGCCTTAAATCATCTTCTCATGTTGTTTTGTGGCTACTTCGTACTTTGTATCCATTTTTTTTCTCGTGTTGGAATTTGAAGCTACCCCTGATTACGATCAAAGAAAATATAGAAAATCTGAAGTTGAAAAAAACAAGTGGGTTCTGAAAATTTTCTTGTAGTGGCCCCTCCACGTGTTCATCACGATACTGTAAGCTCAAACACGTGACTCAGTATACACTTTTGACTTCCACAACTTCATGCCACACCCTCATTAACATACGTCAGGGCTATTTAGAATCTTGGTACTATAAGCTCATGACCCGGCACGAAAGGAAAGAGGTCATCCCTCTCATTTCGAAGATGATCACGGCGAACAATTGTGGCCGCTGAGCTCGTGAATCAGGCGAATACGACCCTCAGCCAACCCCGCCGCCAGCGTCCTCGCTTGGCAAATCCCAAAGACATCACCCATACATCACCCGTGAACAGTGCAATGGCCGACCCTCTGTCCATCCTGGGCGCCGCACTGGGGGTAATCTCGCTGGGCCTCCAAGTGCGTAGCGAAATCACCTCATACTGCAGCGCCTGGCGAGGCGCCCACGACGAAATCCAGGAGGTGGCCAATAAGGCCGAGGCACTCGACGCCCCGCTCTGCGCGCTTCGAGAAATAATCCCAGAAACCGAGCTCTCGGATCCAGATGTCGCCTACGACCTCCAGAAAAAGATGGAGGTCCTCCGTGGAGGCGTGGTGAAAGTCAAAGAGGCGGTCGATCGCTGGCGGCCCGCCCTATGCGCCGAAACTACCCAAAAAGCTGAGAGTGGCTTGAGCGCGAGATTACGCTCCCACCGGAAGAGGGCTGCATATCCCCTGAGGAAAGAAGCTTTGCGGACCCTGGTCGGGGAGTTAGATGGGTTGCAGATTGGGTTGCAGACGACGCTGCAGATGTGAGTACGCAATTATATTACCATTCTCAGTGGGTAATAGCAGAAGCAGAATTTAACTGGATTATCAAATATAGATTCACGGCAAAACAAGTACGACTCATTCCCTCCCTGGTCCAGAATCAGGGGAAGCTCCTACACGAGCTGCAGTCAATGGTTCGTCCGGAGCGTTCTCACCCTCGCTCGTCAGTGGCTAAGCTAAATTCACCATCAGCACGTACAATTGCAACATCTCGCCTACCAGAAATCCTCGCCACCACCACCGCAATTACTACAAACCTGGTGCGATGAGCAAGCGTCGCTCAATCCGATATACCCACGCAGCGCACGGGTCAGGCAATACAGATTTCACAGTCGCCTCTTGAATATCACCATCGCCGCCTCCTTCGCCCTGACCCGAGGCGCCGGCGGGTTCTCTATTGCCCCCTCGCTAAGTATCCGCGTGCCCTTGTCTCCCAATCACCCCGGGTTCTTTTCTATTTACGCACATGGGCTCGGGGCGAAGTCTACGAGACCGGTTGAGTTTGTGGCGAGTACGATCGAGTTGTTGAAGTATCTTTTTGTGACGGGCCTGGCTGGGCCGTTGGATACGGATTCGGATGGGAAGTCTTATTTGGATGTATGTGTCTATTCGCCTCCTTTCTTTGTCGTCTTTATTTGTTGTCTCTAATGACTTGGACAGGCCTCTTGTTTTGCCTTTCAATGCAGCTCAAGATGGCACCCAGACGCCTTTGTTCATTTCGCCCGGCTTTTCGCGTTCTTGATTGACAATGGAGCACCATTGAGCACGTCGAGTTTGCACGGGGGCACCGGGCTGGATCACTTTGTCGGGGCTACTGTTCTCGATGAGGAAAAGACTCGGATGCTCTCGCGCTTGGCCTACCGTGGTGGCCTCCTGACTATTCGCGGCGCCTTTCAATCGCATACAAGCAAGACAAATATGCGTCAGGTTCTGAATGAGAGTGAAGAAGGTAGAATTTCTCTCGACCATAACGTCCCCTTCCCTACTAACCTAAACATTTGAGTAGTGGTTGACATCCCTGACGTTGCAAAAGCTATTATCCAAGAGTTAGAACACGATCTGCTCGCTGAACTTCGTTCAGGAAGAGCCAAGGCGAACGATAACCTCGGCGGTACAACATTACTCCAGCTGGCCGTCGGTTGGCCACGAGGTCTTCAGATCTTGCTCGGTTCAGGCGCAGACATTCATTATGATTGTCCAATGCCGCCCTTGAGAATGGCAATTCGCGAGCACCATTACAAATCCGTAGAAATACTATTATCAGCGGGATGTGCCCTAGACACGGCTGACATAGCATTCGCCGAATCACTTCACGACAACAAGATGACCTCCATTCTCATCTCTGGCCTTGCATCAAGACGGAAGAGATTGTTAAAGTTTGCAAAAGCCAGCCTCTCCCCTGCCGAACTTTCAGAACTCGGACTTTCAGACTCACATCTACCCGACAGCGAAGCATGGAAGATAACCAGCAAATTAACCGAAAAAGGAACGACAATTCCGGTAGAACTCAAAGTTAATTTCCGCACCTCCGTCTACCACTGCGCATTCCGGAAAATAGAAACACTGGACCTCCTCCACAACGCCGGATTCAAAGATACCGACAGCGAGGACTCATACGGGCTAACGCCCCACATGACAATGATCTCCTCCTCGGGCATATTCGAATGCGCACACAAAAGAAGAACCTGGCTTATTTCCCACGGTGCTAATCCACGAAGAGCACTCCATGGTGGTGGTGGAACCGTTCTCCATTTTCTCGGCACTTGTTTCGCGAGTATGCTGGTCATGGAAGTAACGCGCGCATCCTCCTCTGATCTCCGACAGTTCCAGGTGCCGGAGTCGGGGTCTGGGGTCGACGATCCTCTATTCGATCTCCGCTACGTCCTTCAGGACCCTGATAGAGATACTTGTGTATGCTCCTGCTCGGTTGGTGGGTGTACCCCACTTCTAGCGGCTGTCCGGCATCTGCTGGGGTATACACCCAGATTTTACATGCATAATGGCGAGAATCGGTTCCCCCGTGCATTAGAATTTTTGATCTCAAGATCGGATAGTTCTTTGCAAACGCAAATCTCTATTTTAAGACTACTCACGTTCGATGCGCTTGATCTTGGGCATACATGTTGTCGCAAGGCTGACTATGTGCATAATATAATCGAATACATTGATGGTAAAGAGGTGGAAGAGATACGCGAGGAAGAATCTTTGCTGTTGGACGATTTTGAATCTCTTCTGGATTGGATAATTGTCCAATTCATGGAGATGGGTGTGCCACTCCTCGAATTCTTGCAGGGTTCTTGGTATAAGCTGGTGGTGGCGCATATTAGTCATCTTGATCATCATGATGAGGAGCATGCTATGGGAGTGCAGGAGCTTGGGTTCAAGCTTCGGGTTGTGGAAAATGTGCCTGAGAGGGTATCGCTGATGCTTGGATCGCGGATTGAGGAGATCGAGCACAACACTTAGGCCTCGAAAGCGAGAAGACTTAACCATCGGTGCACCAATAAATCAAATGCCTATCTTTACGTTTGTGAAAGTATAGTAAAGAATATGGATAGATGGTGATATATTAGTCGAGGAGAGGCGACAAGGCCATGCCTAATCCCCAAAGCACAAGCAAGAAAGCAGGAAATTCCCGATCGAAATTGTCAAACAGATATATGATCTGTAACTGCACACAAACACAAGATCTGGCAACGAAATGAAAAGAAAAGAAAAGAAAAAAAAAACAGGGTATCGATGAAATAATAAAAAGAATATAAAGCCAAAAAGTGAGTAGGAAATACGGAAAGACAAAATATCAATCCGAAATCAAGTCCAACAACATCACATCACAAGCTCGAGGTGAGACTGTCAACGGCAGAACGATTGGTAGCGTCTATCACCATCGTCATCGCCCAGTTCCAGGTGTAATTGCTGAGCAAGTCAGGCCAAGCGACGAAAGAACGAGGCGCAAATCAAGACATATAAAAAACACAAAATCAATACTTTACCCAAGTAGAGTTCCCTATGATCAGTCCCGATACGCCTCCTCATCGGATCCGTGAAACGCCGAGTATGCACCAAGTCATCTCACAATGCAGCACCAGGCAAAAGTGGAAAGTTCGGAAGCGAGGTTGTCGGAACTCAGTTCATCTCCATGCCGTACTCATCCTCCTCCTTGAAGCTCATCGCGGCATGGCCAGCGCTGTTCCAGTATTGAGGCTGAGCGGTGGTGCCATTGGGTCCACCAGCGGCATGGAAGGACGGGCTGAGGTTGGGAGGGGTCAATCCAGTGGACTCGCCGCCCTGCACCGAGTCGCCGGCAAGATTGGTGTGCTTGGGGACACGGAGACCGCTGCCGGGACCACGGGTGTAGGCGAAGGAGTTGGGGTCGTTCTTCTCCAGGGCGTCGAGGATTTCGCTGCGCATGCGCTTCTCTTCCTCGGTGGGCTCGAAGGGCCAGGTTCCGCCGAGGTTGCCGATCATCTCGGCAAGCTCAGCTTCCTGCTGATATTTGACGTGCAGGGCCCACATCAAATCGCGCATCCAGCTGACCGCGCCGTTGAGAATGTCACCCTTGTTGGGACCCTTTTCCTTCTCTTCGATCGGGAGGCCCATGGTGATGTTGCCGGGGGTCGCGCGGCGTCCGTTGCCGCCGGCAAGAAGTGATGTGGCGGCATTTCCGCCCGCGCCGGCCATGGAGAGAGCACTGTTGTTCACCAGCTGCTTGCGCACCTTGTCATCCTCGAGACGGTGCTGTGGTACCAGGTGGGAAAGGTCCTGGATGCGCTCATTAATGTTGTCGCGACGGCGACGCTCCACCAGGTTGTGTGATGCACGACGTCGTCGGCGCTTGGCCTCTTGCGATTCCAGGTCCTGGCTGCCGCCATGAAGGTGGGTATCGACCTTGGTAGGGAGAGACGCATGCTTGCCGGACTTAATGATCTCGGAGATACCGGCGTGTTGACCATGGTGGCTTGGGGAGGAGATAGGCGAATCAACATAGGAATGTGCGCTACCAGGAGTTCCATCCCACTGGTTGGACAATGTCTTCTGGTGGCGGTGCTGCAATCCACCGGTCCGGATAGGCTGGCCCGGGAAGCTACCCGATTCTGGGGTGCCGAGGGTTAAGGATCCCAAGGCAGGAGTCTTCGGGGTCATGGGGCTCCGGGCATCCGAGGATGTGCGGTCCATAGCCTGCAAGCTCGGTCGAGACTTGCCGCTCATATAGGCCTGATCAAACGAGCCGCTTTGCAGGTGGGGGTTCTGTTGGTTCATCCGGAACTGCTCGTAATTGTTGAAGCTGTTGTTAACAAACGGACTGGCCATGGGAGCGTTGTCGGGAGTGTTCGAGTATAGTTGCGACATCTGGCTCTGGTGACTCATGGCGATGCCACCGGCCGACTGGTCGTGCATGTAGTTGATGTTGTTGTTGTCGCGCTGGACACCATTCTGTCCAGTGATTTCCAGGTCCAGGAGTTCATCGGTGTCAATTCCAGAGTTTCCAAAGTTGAAGCTGGACGACATGTTCTGTTGCGAGCCATAGTAGGAAGGCATGAAGCCACCTTGCTGCATAGTCAAATTCGAAGGGTCGACCCCGTCGTTGGGGTTCCCGAACTGGTTACCCATCGAGTAACCTGAGTGAGACATCATGAAAGGATTGCTGCGATCGTCAGATTCGTGCTTGATGAAAAGACTCGCTTCCGCCATCGTCCAGATCAAATTGCGTAGGTATTCAAGGTGGAAGCAGCGAAGGGACGTGGGGGTTGGCGAGGGTGAGAAGTCGTCGTTCCTTTTTACTGACCCTCTCAGAGTATCTTGATCGGCAGATCCAGGCAGCCGTCAATGCGGGAATCACCACGGGTATGTGGCCAAGATAGGTGTAATCTGCTTGCGCAAGCGATGTTAGCTCGGATTGATCTTGCCCGGGCGCGCGCAGCACATCAAACGTTGGGGAGGGAGGGGTTGGCAAATCAGGCTGCGCGGTTGGAGCCCGCCCCGATCCGGCGGCAACTAGGCAACCAGCCGCCACATGGGGAAAAGAGAGGAAGAACATAGACAGCACTCCTAAGAATGCTGGGAGATGATCCATACCTTGTATGCTCGGGTGTCTGAGATGCGGGACGTATGGGGAAACTCAAGAACCTGGGGCGACGATTGTCCAAAGGAGCAAAATTGGGTGGGGGTGGGGCAGAAGTTGAATCGAGGTCGGGACTTCGAGGCGAAGCAAGTTGGGAGCAGGTTCGGAGGGAACCACGTCCAGGTCAGAGGCTCGGAGAAAAAAGCGACCGAGGTCTAAGAGTGACAAGGGCGATTGTGAGCCACGCGCCAACCAATAAAGGGGATGTGATCAAAAAATAATAAAGGCAGTGGGCAGAGACACAACGCGAAGCAGTGCAGACCACGAATCGAAAAGGCGACTGCGCAACGCTGCCAGCTCCGGTGTTCAGCCCTGTCAAAGATGAAGCCAGAAAACAAGGCGTGGAGAGGCGGGGGAAAGAAGGAGAGAGAGCGGTGAGCGGTGGCGATCGGCTTTTTGACAGCCGCAGCCTTTCTCCCCACGGACCTCTTGACCGCGTCGCTCGGATTGCAATGCAATACGAACCCACGTAATCCAACACTCCGGTCGGTTGTGATAGGAGGTAGCAGGCAAGGTAGAAAGGTAAATGGAAGAGTAGAGAAGGAAAAATAAAAAATAAAAAGAAAAGAAAATATTGGCAGCTCGGAGGTATATTTGTCTTACCTGTTGTTATCCGACGGTGACCCGGGTGGGAAGTATATACTTGTGGAAGAGTGGTAGAGTCTATACTCCGAGTCAGCACAGCACTATACCCACACCAGGACATTACATGGGTCAATTTGATGCGAGATCAGAAAAGACAACACAGCAACCGCAGAGCCCCAGCCACATGGCACAAGGTACTGCACGCAAGGCTGCGATGCAGGAACCGGGACACTCCACACACGGCAGAGCAAAGGGTAAGGAAGGGAGAATGTCCCAGGGCAGGACAGGTGGCATGGAAAGGTGGATAGGGATGTCAACGTGGCTTGACATGATAAGTGACAACGAACGTACCTGCGTAAGGAGATCTCACGGGCAACAGACAAGAAGATCCGCCGTGCAGGCCTTGCGAATCATGGGGTTTGACAACGAAGCAAACACTTTCACAGTACTGTTGGGCGCCAGGTGGTGCGGTGGTCGTGTTCTCGAACAGATCGATGCAGTGACAACTCAGCAAGTGGTGCAGGAAAAGGTTGAAAGCACTTGCAGACGAAACGAGGACAGGCTGACTTTAAGAACTCGAGCCCCTCCTGCATCTCTCATTTGATATATTACAACATCGGTCATGCAGCCCGTCGATCGGTGGGAATCGATGAGGCTTGCCGGGCTTCGGCATCGGGCGCTAGCGCTAGCACTACGTAGGTACTCTTACTCTTTGGGGTGTTCTATTTCTTGTTTTCACGGCGTAGCGGACTCGAGGTGGTGTGGACTGTGGATGCTGATGGGAACGCCCGCTACGCAGGAGGGGGGTGTGTGCGTGGATCCGTGGGAGGGGTGGCGATGATAGAGCCTCTTTTTTTTATTATTATTATTATTATTTTGCCTGGATCGCCGAGAAGAGTAATCTCAGATACTCTTTGTCGGTCGAATCACTCGTCTGTACGAATGAAGCGACGCCAAAAAAAATAAAATTAGCAAAAAAAAAAGACTAAGACGAAGGAGGGAAGGGTGATACAGCCGGATTGAGTAAAAGGCGCCCATCCCATGATGCCGGTGGATGTTTGTCACCTGTACGGACGAGTCATGACTCGGAGAAAAGAGGGTAAGAGAGGATAGCACAGGCCGAAAGAATGTATCAGATGGCCCCCATGGGTTACAGGCGCGCATTGCGTCCCAAAAGACGGTGACGTTGGGCGGGCTGGGAAACTCTGCCGTGGAGACCATCTAGCGCGGGTTTTAGTTCCATCGCGCTCGAAACGGCTGCATTAGTGTCCCCGAGGGCTGAGATGGGGGGGCAGAGGGGGTCGAGAGACGCGGAGATCCGCCAATGAGACCATGTGGGAGTACACAGCGTCCAACAGAAGCAGGGCGATCACCGACAGGTATGTATGTACCGTTGGTCAATCACTGGATCACTGCAGAATATCGGGGAGGAAAGATGGTGGGGAGAAGAAAGGTTGGAACCACACCGGAGCTGGCGCAGATCGACATACTGGAGAGATCAAATCCATGGGGGAAAGCAGACAGGGAGCAGATCAATGCGAATCGCATATCTGATCCGGAGAATATCCCGGGACGTGCAGAAGGATGGATAGTGTATGGATAGTGTATGCAACACCTGCCGGGAGCGACCATATGTAACTGACGATTTGGAATGCGCAGCGTCATCGCCCTATATCTGGTCAGTCAGTGCGCGTCATTGTGGCCTGCGAAATGTCGTGCAGAGGGGGGATCATCTTGGGGGTGATGATCGACGGGCTGGGCCGTGCTCTGCTCCGCAGTCTGCACGATGGTGTGGGTGGAGCAGAGGGGAGGATCATGGCCCGGGAGCCAGGCTCCACGATAAACAAAAGATGTCAAGAGGGTCGGTGATACTCGGGCAGGGAATGTGGCGGAGACGCGATGAGACACGAAGGAACATGGGAGGGGGTGGAATGCCGCGAGGGCCAATCAGTCAGCAGGCGGAACACACCTCTTCTATTGTGAGTATTCCGTATGACTACTATGACACTGTTTTTTCCTTTACTTTACCCTAAGGGAAAGGCACTAGCAGCACTAGTATGCTCAGCCCGACAAATACCGGTTTTGCTGAGCCACGCAGACTTTCCATGTGCAGCCAGGAATCTCAGCCACGTCGTCCTTATCGCATGTGGTCAACCCTGCATTATCAGGATCAGGATAGCCTAGCTATCTATACACTACTAACTAATACTAGCACACTAGAAAGAGTGTATGGGCTAGTATCACCGCGCAATATGCGTCTTCGTGGATCCTGCCGCGCCGTCCCGTCAAGGTTCGGAGGGTATCGCCGAGCCCACGGTTGACGCAAGGAGGAATCCTGCACTGCGTCGTTTTAAGTAACCCTACTCTACTGGTGGTAGGCACGAATACCCTACAAAGGAGAAGGCATCTGCGACACTCGCCGGCTTGGGTGATTGCGCCTTGCCTTGGCTCATTTTCTGATTATTCATTACTACCACTTATCACATATTATGGGATACATTTCCAGCACTCCACACTGCAACATGCACTGCCATGACGTCTGCCTGCGCCTCGGACATACTACGGTGGAATAGATGCGGCATGGGCAGCAGCAGAAGCACGTCCCAGAGAGCAAAGCGCTGGGAAATGCACGTCTATCAGAAAAAAGAAAATTCCCCTCATGTTACCCAAGCACCCCGCCGTCGGACAATTAGACAGCGTCGCACAAGCGGGTACCGACAGTTGACCTACCCGAGGGGAAGTATCGGCTATGCAACATCGCAGTGGCAGGGGAGTGTTTCCGATACGCGGGGGGAGGGACGATGCACTTCTGCAAGCCATCATGGACTAGTCCCGTCTCTTGTTAGACTGTCTTCAGGGTGGCCAGGACATGAATTAGCAGTTATTACTCTCCACCCCGATCGTCAACAGGGTGCGCACCGGCCAGAGGGAGATCGACGAGGAGGGGTAAACTTTGGCTGAGAGCGGATCGAGAAAATCAGCGGGTAGCCCCTCTGGGGGAAGCCGACTGGCAGACTATCGGTGTTGGTGGAGGTGTTGCGTAGATAGGGTGTTTACCATCATAATATCCCAGAGTGGTGAAGAAGTATAGGGATGAAGGAGAGTGGAGGCAGGAGTGGAGCGGAGTGGCCCGTGTGCCTCACCTCCTATCTACCATCTCTGCCTTCACCTCCGCAAGTTGCTCTCCCCGCGAACTATCCCCACCAAACCCCTACCTTACACCGTAAGACTCCCCCTGTCGTCACTCCCTCCTGCCCTCCTCTGGCTCGGTCCGGGTCGTCATCTGACAGCTCCTCCCAGTCTCGCCGATCCGGGCTGGTCGCATCGGTAGCTCCACGCCATCTCGTCATCTGCGCTGCTCCTCCTCGACCTTCCTACCCTCCTCCACGAGAGTTCAGCGCTTCCAGGCCCAATCACCGTCCGTCTCGCTGCAGCCGTAATCGTCCCCCTCCCTTCGTGGATCGTGCTCCGAAGGTTGAACGTCTCTTCCTCCGCTTGGCCCTTCCGCCGCGTCCGTTGACGTCGTGCCCTCTGCACGGCCTCGATCTTCGATCCGCTCCTGCCGCGTCGGAAACTCCCCGTGCTGGGAATTCCCCGTCCCTGAAGGCAGCTCTGACGACTGCTGCATATTCATCCGGAACCGAATTCGTCAACCCAGGTCGGTCGAACCGACCGTGGCTGTGGGTGACGCGCATCCTCACAAGGCAACCGACACTATCCCACCTCTGGATTAGGGATCCTCCACAAACTTTTGTTCGGCTAGCCTTCCTCTCCAGCTCTCTCACGGCGTCCCTCGCTCCCCGGGATCTTTCGTTGATTCGTGGCTATCGGATCCGTAGGGCTTAACGAGCCTCGAGCTCACACCCCCACCGTCCGTTCACCACGAGGCCGGGCCATAGCCCCAGCCCGCGCCCAAAGCCGAATCCGTGTTCACTGTCGGCGTCATCTGCGCGTCCGTGAGCTTGATTTAGTCTGACCTGCCAGCCAATCCTCGCGGATCAGCCATCAGCCGGCGTAGATCATCTGCACTCCATCGTGCATAGTCCCTGCAGACGTTTCTCCTGCTCGCTCTTTCTTCCTGGGCTACGGGCCTTGCCTGCAGCGACCGTGCACGGCTGTCTCTTCCACTATTCAATTGGGAATCCATCGCTAAAGAAGCTCAGACCAAGGACCTGTCGCTTTCATGGCTAACAACACCTTTCGGGACTCTGTCAACTCACTAGGCTGGTCGCGCAGAGACCCGGACTTCCCCGTCCGCACAAATGCGCCCGGCGACAACTCGGTCTTCTCGCGCTTGCAGTCTTTGAACCCGTTCGGTCAGGGAGGTTATGTCCAACTACCCACTCACAATGAAGCCCCCGGCGCACCCCTACCAGCCGCCAATCGACGCGATGAGGAAGATACATTCTTTGCTTGTAAGTCGCTCCCCGTTTGTACCTTGTGACCCTTCTTGTTCCCGCGATCGCCGTCCTAGGCTCTCTGGTTCCCTTGATCCAGGTGACGAGATTCAAGTTCCTGCGCCGGGAAGGATTCCCAATCTCCTACCCCATGTTTGTCGTGGTTGTAACCCGATGGGAGTAGATCTCAGTCCACGCTAACTGGAACCGTGTGTAGTAAGTCGATGGGATCGAATGCTCATCTTCGCAGCCTGCAACCTGGGCGCCGCCGTCTGCTTCATGCTCTGCTTCTTCCTCTTCCCTGTCCTCACTCTTAAGCCCCGCAAATTCGCCATCTTGTAAGTTGCCTCTCCCCTAGTGCATTCAGCTGCATGCAGCACCTTAATTTTTCTCTCCCCTCTACATCCTCCTCAGCTCGGGGTCTGAGACGATCACTCAAATCCCGCACCGCTCTGCTATGTGGTCATGAGCGACATCTCGTCGCTCGGGCCATGTGCAAGTTCACACCTCACGCCTCATACATCTCATTCGTCGCTTTCAAAAGCATCACCCTGCGCCCCATGCCAAGAACTCAGAATGCGCGAAAGAAGAGGAAAAAAAGCCTAGTATCTCTTGCTAATGTCTGTTCTTTGTTAGGTGGTCTGTCGGCTCCGTCCTGTTTTTACTATCATGGGCCGTCCTCATGGGACCGTGGTCCTACGCTAAACATCTGGTCTCGGGACCACGACTGCCTTTCACGGCGGCCTATTTCGGCTCGATCGCGCTAACCCTCTATTTCGCCATCGGGGTAAGTCTGTTTCCTTTTTCGGTTTCATCGTCGATCAACCACCACACCCTCATCCCCTATCACGATGGTTGCACGGCGCGGGAATGGTATCTCTTTGCAGTATTCAGTACAACCTCTCCCTTTCAATAACGTATCCCGGGCGCGCGGGAGAAAAGGGAAGGGGTCATAGATAAGCGATATCACCCTGTATACACCGTGCAACCATCTCCCGAAACTGGGTAACAGACTACTAAAGTAGAGCGTTCGACAAAGTCTGGTATCACAAACCAACGGTTTTAGAGTCTACCCATCCCTGCCCCTTGACACCTTCATCTCAGCCTCCCCTACCTTGCCATGAAAATACTCATCTTCTGTGGTACATCGCTAACTATTATGACCACAGCTCCAATCTCTGATCCTCACCGCCTTCTCCTCCGTCTTCCAGCTCTGCGCTCTGGTCTGGTACCTCGTCAGCTACTTCCCCATGGGCAGCACCGGTCTGCAATATATGGGTCGATTCGGCGCTTCGCGTGTCACCGCTTGGATGTCGGGTTGAGTCATAATCTCAGATGGTCTTGTCGGAATCGTCGGGTTGAGTGCGAGGTACTACTGAGATAGGGTGCTCCTATCTTCGTGGTCTGTATATGTAGTATTCCTAGATGATGGTGGTGGTTCGGGCTTGTACTGGATGTACATCATTCGAATACAAACGTTCTTAAGTTTGATATCTTGTCGGGCTGCTATTGTTCTGATTCCGAGGGACTTTCATGCCTCCCCCGTTACGATGTTAGGCTCGACTCGGCTCATGGAAAGAACTTGTCGAAGCTCAGAAGGCCGACAAGGTGACATCGATCGATGTCACCATTCCACGACTCAACAATAAACATCGTGGAAAACCTAAGAAGGCCTTTCAGCCCTTTTTCAGAGCTACTTAGTCATTCTTTAAAACATAAGAGGCTATATCCAATAGTAAGAGACGAACTAGTAGCGACTAGGACCTAGTAGACAGTCCTGAGAGGTTACTACCATTATCTTGTCTCGATCACTTGCATCAAGTAGTCAACCAAGCTCCATGTAAACAAAAGGAAGATTGAGATAATTCGATACGAGAGGTCAGACCGAATCTAAACAATAATCCACTGGAGTAGAATCTCATTGATCGTCCTAAACAGTTTTATTCGTGGTTCTGAGACACCATATTTTTGTTCTGTATTCTCAATGGAACAAGGCGCTCATTGCGAGTCACCGTGAGCCTCTGATAGATCGAAGCAAAATAGATGCTGACCTCTGAAGTTAAGTAGGTGTCCCTGACCAGGCTATTCTATCATCATTCATCCATCTTTGGAGATCGAGCTTGGCAACATTTTAGGGCATCGAAAATCCCCATACCAACCTATTTACTACCATACTTGCTGGAACCCAGTTGTCCCACTATAATATGCCATGGATTCCCATCTTAACTGAGCTACGGCCCGGCCCGTCTTGGGAACTCCAACCACGCAGCACACCCATGCGCCCTCTGATGCGGATTGGAACCCCACTTATTCAACTTACACGGCAGATGGAGATCTTTCAGACGGTGAGTCGACATATGGCGATTCGGAAGACGAAATTGCTATGATAGATAGCCCCCGCTCCTTCGAGGAATAACAGAAGTGGGGGAAGCTGCGATGCAGATGGATCGAGAACCCCGATGAACCATTCCCCATCCGAAGATCGTGCTATACGATCAGCAGACTCAAGAATTCTGGATACCTAGTTCGCCAACACATACCTAGGGAGAGTATATTTGAACACTTTGTTGATTCTCGAGGCGCGACTCTCACGAATCTCGCCAACCAAAACGTACGTGGCCCAATTTAGCAAATCGCCATCGAACAAGGATCCTGCTTCGGATGGCACGGCACCGCTGCGCCAGGGGTTATCATCATGGACGGAATCTGGAGAAACCCACCCTCAAATCTGCTCTCCAGACCTCCAGGGTGAGTCGTGCGGCATATGCCGCAAGATTTAAATCGCAGACCTTGAAGCAAGTTCTTGTGAAGATGATCTTAAACATCCAGACGCACCACTGCCTAAACTATCTATATCGGAACCTTTCGCGACACGAGACAAAGTTTTGGGAGCATGGCACCCTGGAATACCATGCTTTACTGGGTACGCGCCTTGGCAAGTTAGTGGCGTACATTGTGTTGGGTAATTCGGACACGGAACCCAGAAAATCACTCGAATCGTTTCATGGTTTAACGGTGATTATGCTAATCTGCTCTTTGATATTGAGGCTATCTAGTGATTCACTCGATCGTTTCAATGCGGAGGCCATTTTCCGGAATTATTTCCAGCGTCTTTTTTTCCTGTTGTGTTTGTTATGTGCTTATTTATTGTCAACTCTGAGAAAGGTAAAATACTGTGGATTCTCCACTGCTCTTGGTTATTCAGCATCCACCCACATTGCAATAGTAATTGTATGGTAATTCGGGTCATTCTCGGAAGAACTGTGATGTAATACGCAGTTTATAGCCCCTGGATCATTTTCAACAGATCGGAACACACAGACACACTCTCGTTAATCCATCTCATGCATCAATTGGCCGTCCCTCGATACTAGATGATACACGTATCCGACATCCTGACATTTATTCATTTCTTTTCGTAATTGTTTTCGCTTTCTTTCCATTGTTTTCCAACCAGATAGAAGGGTTTAGGAATCAAATACGAGCTTTGCTTTGATTTTTCCGTCTTCAAGGTAAAATATCAGTAGCTACTTGAGTTAATAGACCGACCAATACTCCACTATTGTAAACAGTGGCTCCGGGAGCGGCCCGACAGGTGAAGGGGGCTAGGGGCAGTATGCTTTGGTAGAAACTAAGGGCTAGTTCCGATGCAGTATGGTGAAGAATCCTTCGCCTGTTGAGCCGCTCTACCGGGTCGAAACCGTCTCAAGAAAAAAGTGGAGTCCTGAAAAGTTCATGCGAGGTTCCCCCGAATCTGCGATATGGATGGAGACAATCAATATGATCTGGAAAATTTGAGAGTTTCTAGGTTCTCCAAAACTTATCACACCAAAACCTGGACGAGGGCAGTGGAGCAAGTTTGCTCTAGAACGTCGAGTTCTACAAGGCTGGTTGAGAAGTTGACGCACGGCCCTCGGTTCCCGCTAGTGATGATGTCAACCCGCCCGGCGCGGCCAACCAGGGGAGCCCCTAAAACTCTAAGTACTTATGCGCACAGTTTACGCATGGTTAGGCACGTTTAGGCAGGTCCGAAGCCTAGAACTCCCCGTGCCAAGAGATGTGGCTGCCAAGCAGCTCGCCTCCTGTCTTTCCACATCCTCATCAATATCGCACCTCGCCCACCACGATGCTGCTTTCACAGTGAACTAGCCGACCGACGGGCAGCACGGTCAGTTGCAGTGCGATCGAATTCAATTTTTAGAACAGAAACCCCCACGGCAGAATCACGAGTGTCCAATCCCCCTGGAGGGGTAATCGAGCAAGATGGCCGGCGAAACAGGGCCGATCAACGTCTCGCGAACGATCGCGATGGTGATGGCAGCACTATTCGCTCTGGCATGCTGGAACGTCCTCGAAATTATCATTGCCACCTTCACCACATTCAGGCACCGTCAAGGAGTGTATTTCTGGAGCATGCTCATCGCCTCCCTGGGAACATTACTCCACACCATCTCGGGTTTTCTGCGCTACTTTTCACTCGCGCCTAATTTCCCTATGTGCGTCTTGATCTGCATTGGATGGTATGCTATGGTAACAGGGCAGTCGGTAGTTCTCTACTCAAGACTGCATCTGGTCACGAGCCATACCCAGTACCCTCGATTCGTGCTGTACATGATCATATTCGACGCCTGCGCTTTTCACATTCCGACCACGATTCTCTTTCTCGGCAGCAACCACGGCGTTAACAGTTTCATCGCCCCCTTCAATATTTACGAACGCGTTCAATTGACGGGATTTTCCGTCCAAGAAACCATCATCAGCGCCCTCTACATCTGGGAAACTCTCACGAGCCTTCGACCTCTTTTAGCCCTCAAAGGTCCACGCGGCCAACGGGTCGTGTTTAATGTTATTTTTGTCAACGCCGTCGCGATTCTACTCGATGTCGCTCTCTTAGCAACTGAGTACACCAACAACTTCGACATCCAAACCTCCTTCAAACCTCTCGCTTACAGCATCAAGCTGAAAATGGAATTCACAGTGCTCAATAGCCTGGTCGCTGTTATACGCACTAATCCTGCGGCACTGGGCGAAATTGAAAGATCTCAGCATGAGGATCTTCACATTCAGCCAAGGTGGAGTGCTGATCACTCCGCTCACTTCGATCTCGATGCCGACTCAAGATCACTCAGCAGGATGACTCGACGGAAGGATTTTTCCAGCTCGCAGCCTGAATGGCATGGCTCCCGAACCTCGGATTATCCTATGCTCTCTATCAAATCTGCTGGATCATAATAGAATATTGGCTTGCTATTTCCACGCTGTAGTTACACACGAAAAATGGAAATTCAGTCCGTCGGAGCTCATGTAATCGGTCATAGACTGATAATTTTTTTATTCCACAAATACTTCAGTAAAGGGCGCCAGGGTAAGTCTTAGGAAGTAATAATTCCTTTCATCCGATTTCTAGTTCATAACGACAACAAGGTGTGGAGAACAGGGCTTTCCATCCGCTCAGCCAAACAAGCCACATATAATGCGCTGCCAATTTTCGAAAAGCCTCGACTTAAAACAGCGTTGGATTTCATCTTAGACTGAGTGTAGATAAAATAAGTGAGAAGTTTCTAGACTAGGGTGATAGAGGTGAGAATAGTGAGAATTCTCACCCTAGAGTGCTAATAAGTGTTATATTACTATAGATAATTTTCTTTAAATTTACTCTTAGAGTAATTATTGTAGTGGGGGACTGGCATGCACTACTTCACAGTGTACTGTGAGCCCGGCAGAATGACCAGATCGCCGTGTTCCGTGCCTATGTCAAGTACATATATGTTCCCGACCAGATGGACCAATACACGATCGAAAAATATCACTACAATTCGGCCACGCGAAGTAAGGACGAAACACCACTCCCTCGATCATCCGTTTCCGCCCTCACCAATCATCGGCAACTTGAGCAAGGCCCAGAAGATCCATTCGTAGGTAGGGATCTCACGAGAGACTTCTTTTTTGTTTCCTGAATCGCATTGGCTAATTTCTTGTTTGCATATAGACATTATTCTACGGGCTCCACTCTACGATGGAGCATTTCACGTCGAATCCATGTCCGAAGCAGGTCCGTTTAATACTGTCCAGGAATTCCATGACTGGTTCAATTTCCTCTATCGAAAACAAGGCTGGATCCATACTCTGCCCCAATAGAATCATTCCGTCAGAAATAATCTGCCTGATGGAAGTGCCATAAGGCTTGAAAATGGCGATCTCCACCGCAGTAATATCTTGATAACACGCCCTGAGCCCTATCACTTTATTGCACTTGTCGATTGGGAACAGGCTGGCTGGCTACCTGCGTACTGGAAGACAAAAAATCGCATTATACTGCTGACAGACATGATGAATGGCCCAAAAAAATATCTGCCAATGATTTTGCGTCAGTCTACCAGCACTTGGGATCCGTGGGGCTACAGCTAAATTCGAAATTGCCTTCCATGATTTACACACAGGAATTGTTTCTGGAACCCCGAGTCGAAAGACGCTGTGCCGAATACGGTTAGTGGAAACGCAGAGGTTATATTTCCCCAAACTTACGCAGTAAAGGTTCTTTCGAAACATTATGTCAGGATGAGGAATCGATGTACTGGCTAGTACTGAAGATGTCCAAACTGAATAAGATGATTGATTATAGGTACTCCGATCGGTTGAGCGATCTTAGGGGTCTTTATAGTTGAACTATGGCGTGTTATGACACCATACTAGGTGGAAATTGGGTGAACGATGAATAAGCCAATCCCGAAGGGTCCTAGTGGTATTTGACCACCTCCTCAGTTTGTCACATTATTACAGGAGCTGTATGTTACAGGTGTGGAAAACGAAGGGTTGCCAATGCGTGGCTGCTGATTGGAACAAAATAATGGTGAGCCGCAAATCACAATATACTACAAAATATGGTGAAGCGTGCCAATGCAGGATGAAAAAAAGGGAAAAGAAAGGGGTAAATTGATCATGTCTTGATAGCCGGATCCCCAGTTTCCCATGCCAGCAGAGCGTTAGAATTGGACGCAATGTCGGGATGAGCAGGACCTAAAATTCGTTGCTGCTTGGTAACTCAGGTTCTAAGCAAATCGATCGCTTCGGAACGACGGCCAGGAAATTCCAAGGTGAAAGCTACGTTGGCCATACTCATCAGCGTGTCGGGATGGTCCGCACCGAGCTTCGTCTTGCGAGTCTCGGCCACCTCTGCAAAGAGCTCCCTAGCCTCTTCCCACCGGCGCTGCTTCCAGTACGTCGACGCTAAGTTGTTCATGCGTGTCAACGTGTTGGGATGGTTCTCGCCGAGTTTGCTCTTGCTCGTCTCTATCACCTGCACAAAGAGCTGCTCAGCCTCCTCCCACTGGCCTTGCTCTAAATACGTCGACGCTAAGTTGTTCATGCGTGTCAACGTGTCAGGATAGTCCTTGCCGAGCTTGCTCTTACTCGGCCCTATCACCTGTACAAGGAGCTGCTCAGCCTCCTCCAACCGCCCTTGGTGCCTGCACGTTTCTGCCAGGTTTGCCATGCTCTCCAGCGTAGAGGGATGGTCTTCGCCGAGCTTGCTCTTGCGCTTCGCTATCACCTGCACAAAGAGCTGCTCAGCCTCTTCCCACCGGCCCAGGTTCCAGTACGTCGACGCTAAGTTGTTCATGCCCGTCAACGTGTTGGGATGGTCCTCGCCGAGCTTGCTCTTGCTCGTCTCTATCACCTGCACATAGAGCTGCTCAGCCTCCTCCCGCTGACCCTGCCCTAAATACGTCGACGCTAAGTTGGACATGCTCGCCAGCGTGTCAGGATGGTCCTCGCCGAGCTTGCTCTTGCTCGACCCTATCACCTGTACAAGGAGCTGCTCAGCCTCCTCCAACCGCCCTTGGTGCCTGTACGTTTCTGCCAGGTTTGCCATGCTCTCCAGCGTGGAGGGATGATCCGTGCCGAGCTTGCTCTTGCGCTTCGCTATCACCTGCGCAAAGAGCTGCTCAGCCTCCACCCATCTCCCATCAAGCAAGTATGAGGTTGCTAACATTGCAGTGCTATCCATGGATTCTTCACCTTCTATACCAAATAATATCACTCTCTGCTCCATTGATTTCGATGCCATTTCCACTGCGTCTGAGATGTTGCCGCTTCGCTGCGCATACCATGCACCTCTATAAAGTAGCGTAGCCCATTGTCGGAGGGAATCTTGTGATTTTGGCCGCTGTGATATCGCCGATTTCACATGTGGAAATAGCGATTGGCACCTTTCCCAATTTCCGTACTCACCAGTCTGAAATTCTTGCAACATGTTGCTTATGAATTGCTTCTTCCACTTCTCTGTCTGGCCGTTTGCTTTCAACCATATACGTGCAGCCAGCTGCAGTAGTCGATGCATCGTAAACACTGTACTATCCTCGCCGACAGTAATAAATGAATAGTCTCTCAGGGTGGCTATGTCATCCTCAAAATCTTGATTTGGATCAGATTCAGACAAGCTATCCGGATCATCGTCACTAGAATCATGTACAATGCCCGCCAAGCTCAAGTTCTGGTATTTTCTCGCGTATTGAATTCGTAGGACGTCCTCTGAAATCCCCTGTCGGTCAAAAAAGCTCATGAGACAGAGTAAATCAGCTGCGGACTCTTTCTCCTGTCGAATATATTCAAAGGATATTTGCCACGTAATTAAAATTGAGTTTTTTGCCTCCCAGTCTCTGTAGAGATGGCCTGCTTCATAATGAAGAAGCCGGCTTGCTTCGTAATCACTTTTGCGAAGCTTTTCCAGGTACAGTGGTACTGTGCAACGGGGTGCTCGGTGTTTTATATAGCTGGCTGCTTGAACAATCGGCAGTGGCATGAGCTCAAGCTCTTCTACCAACTTAAGGGCCTCTTTGCTGCCCTCTGGTAGTTCAAGCTTTCTTTGGAGAAGTTCTAGTGCTTCGGACCTTGCCATTGGTGCAATCTCAATGAGGTCCTTGTAGTCGACAATTTTCAATGCCACATCTTTGTTTCTACTTGTGACGACAATAGAGCCACTTGAGAATTGGGAGAGAAACTCCAACAACGGCGGTATTGTGGCATTGGGTTGACTTATTGGGCCCTTCTGGTCTGTTGCTGGAGCTCTTCGCAGAAGCTCATTGTCATCAAAATTATCAAGGATAAGAATCCACCTTCCTCTCTTTCTATCTCGAAGCCAACTCTGGACAAGCTTGAATATGTTGGCCTTGGGATTCCGACGCTCGGGGATTTTAGCCTGGTCGGCAATGTCACGGAAACTTTGCTCGAATCGGATGGCGGTACTCGCGTGGACCCAAAACACCCATATCGCTGGCGATTGGGATCGGATCCGGTAGGAGTATTCGATAACAAGTTGCGATTTCCTTCGAGTTATTAGCAATAAACCATCCGCTAACGCTTTGCACTCACCCAACTCCTCCAAGACCGACAAGTGCTATTCTGGAACCCGGGACTGAGCTTTTCTCGTGGATCTGATCAAGCAATCTATCGCGGCTGACAAAGTTTGGGTCACGCTTGAACGGGACAGTCGATAGAGGGCTGGGTGGAGTTTCGGGTCTTTCTAGGGTAGGAAGACGCTATTAGTCAGTCAGCTTTATTCAGGATCGACTGCTTACCCGGAGGTAGATGGAATTCTGCCAAGATGGAGCCATGGTTATTCCCGATCTGGAGTCCATTATTGACGCCATGATATGATGCCGATGCCATGATCAAAGTAGGACGCGACGTCTGTAGCTCGTATAGGAGGACGTTGTTTGAGTCTCATCTAAATGAGGGGCTTCATTATCAGGTGACTTCACTGCACGTAAACGCGGAACCCGAACACCGACAGCATCCTAAAATATAGATAGTGAGAAGGTATCCATAGGAATAGCAAAATGATTCATAATAGTTGGCCTTCTAATATTCTGGATGCTAATGTTTGTTACCGTAAAGATCAGGCTTTTTCTGTAAGTTATCGCAGAGAGCCTCCAAAGTCGGTGGTGTGATACTGCGTGGTCCGCCCGCGCGAATAGGAGGCGCTCGAGTATCACCGAATGCTGCATGTTACTGTGGATTGTGGTGACAGAACGCGTGCTACATCCAGCAGCATCAGCAATCTGGGCCGTGGTTAGTGATTTGCTCAAGATCATGTCTCGGATAACTCTCAAGTGGAAGCTGGTAGGTTCGGAGGCATTGTGCCTTTGTCTCATGGTGGGAGTGGTAGGGGACAAGTGGTCTGAGGTGCTCCGGACAGGTGGGACAATATTGGCAGAAAGTGTATTAATGAAACGCACGATTACAGGGACTGTGGCGTATTAAACTTGTCAGATATTTTACAATTCCATTCTTACGCCAGGGGTGATATGCAGGCTAGCTGCTTCTGGCCTAAATAGGTTTCTCCATGGTCTTGGCGTTAGGGTTTGAAATAGTTTCTCTGTGTAAAACATGGAAGGCAATTTCGAATTTAGCTGTACTACACCGAACCATGGGGGATCGATCGACATCCGGACTGTAGGTGGAATGGGACTACACCGGGATGAGGGAGATGAGCTCGCAGCATCCAGACGCCAGAGGAGGCTGGAAGCCCAAGCCCCTCTCAGCGCTACGCCGTCCTTCTTCGCTCCTCAAACCCACCAACCCCACCACTCCACCCCACCGAACTACCCCACACCCCAACGAAGAACCTCTCCACCGAATCCCGATCACCTACTCTACTATCGCAGCTAGAGCTCTCTCGTTCCATAGACAAGTGCTTACCGACGTCACTCCTCTCCAACTGGCCCAGAATGGCTTGTACTGCAAGCCTTCTCCAAGATCTGGCGGATCAGCGTGTTGTTTCGCCTGCGGATCGAGCAGGCCCTTGTACACACTCCAGAATAATCCCATCGAGGAGATGCAGCAGCTACACTTAGCAGACTGTATATGGCTGATCATCTGTCGTGATCTTAAGCCTGTCTTTGAAACACCCGACCTTTGCACCCACTCAAGTCTCGCATCTCCATCACCTCAACAACCACATCCAGAAACAGTGCCAGCATCCACTCCGCCCGATGAACCTTCGATTATGGACATTGATTCAGCCGCCGAACAGTCCTCCACGATACCTGAATCGGGAACACAAAATCCTCAGCCCACTTGCTCTGAAGCCTCTCAGACTCCTCAACCTCGCCTCTCACCATCCCACGCTACATCCACACCAGACCAACGACCCACCTATGCCTCGGTTCTCCAATGCCCCAAATCTCCTCATCCGCAACCGACTTCTAAGACCTACCACACCGCACGATCTCTTAAACGCACGCTCACAATCGAAGACCTTTATCTCCGTTTCCACAATAAACCATCGCCATTCAAACTCGACAAGAAATCTTGCAAAAGCCAAGCTAATCGAACTCGAGCTCGGGCTCGCAATCAGAACGCAACTGCCACACGGTCACTCACAAAATTCTTGATCTCAGATTTGCCCGCTTTCTCCCAACTCCTAGTCGAGATGCAGCCAGCAACGGACGACCGTTGGCGCTCTTGTCAGGGAACTCATTATAGCCGCGCCACAAGGGCAGCCTAACAGCGCGAACAGCGAAAGGCTACGAAAGGCTTTACCAGGTGAGGCTCAAAGTTCACCGCTCAGGAAGTTTGGAACAATCCTCGTGGAACATAAAAGCATGTATTTAAGCAGTAGTTGTAGCCTGCATATCGCCGTCAGAGTTGGGATCCCAGGTCAGGTCACGTGACATATAGATATTATCATATTGGAGTGGCAGCCTATCAGGCTGCCACTACCACTCTAGGCAGAAGGTAGCTACTGTGACTACAAATAGCTGCGCTTACTCGCATAGCTAGAGAATGATTAACACACTGGTACCTCAATTCAGGGTCTCAACTGTCAGGCGAGGGGTCAGGTAAATGATACACACACACACACACAGCTGTACTACACCATGGCTATGGGATGTTGAATAACGAAAGCGCTACCTCGTTTACGCTTTGCCGTCATGCAAACTATAGGATTGATTCCTGTCTTTGAAAATTACTCTTCATCCGTGCGTATAGCGTCAGACGTACACTTCAACGAGCAGCCTCAAAAACAAAAAGGTTCATTACTACCGATAAAAGTATTGTCTAGTATTACTATTCCGTTTAAAAAAATGACGCAGCTCGTCCTGAAGCCATTCAAAGAGGCTCTCACTCAGTTGTTGGTCCTGGCTTTGCTTCGAGCCCTTACCCGGGTTTCCAGCGGGCGCATAAAATTCACCAGCCCGGGTATTTGGGCGAACAGACGCCCAAGTCTGGATGTGTACGCCCTTCTCCGGTGGAGTGGCGAAAGCCCAAATGACCGTGTATAGAATGGCACGCAGCAAAAGCCCCGACGATGCATGATCAAGATTTGTCGCGACCATTCCTGGGTGCACACAAATGAACAAAGATCAGTCTAGATTTGCTAGAGCCGCACCATATTAGACTTGTCGCAGCTTCCATGACGGATAAATCCGACCTTATCCTAGCCAGAATGGGCTGGGAAAATTGGACCAGAGTATCAACCGTTCTCGATATGGCTCCTGCTGGTGTGGTTATGGGGGAATCCCTATTCCGATGCCCATCTACCGAAATCAGCCGGGTTGATGAGAACTTGTCTTTCCGTTCTCGTGGGTCAAGCAATAAAGAGCGAGCGTTGCTATTACATCATTATCCTGACGGGAATTGATGCAGTCACACCCGTTTGGCTCAGAAGACACGCCCCTCCCTGATCTTTCAGAAGTCTGCTAGCTCTTCGGCTTGGGCGTCCTGGCCATTTATGTAGAAAGATAAACTTTCCGCTCTCCCGGGAAAATCATTCTTGGATGAAGTCCATCCATTTGACATCATAGTAGCACATCTCTCGTAGCTAACCAGACAGCTGACCACGTAGGTGCATCAGTGTGAAAATAGAGTGAAAATAAATGTTTCGACCCGCTGAAACAGTGGCAATCGAGAGACCCCGCAGTCTGGGGGCCGCGATGGGCGCCCATTGCCCCCGGCTGGCGTGATTGGCCACCCAGGCGGAAGCCCCCGCCAAGCCGCGGAGTTCGACCCGTGATCCCATCGCCTATTGTGGGTCTCTCGGCCCGGAACGCTGCGCAAGAGGAGGGACGGCGCCTCTTATTGGAATTAACGCAAGTACACAATACTATCCCCCCACCGCTGAAGCCTTGTCACACGACTATCTCACAACCGAATTCGTGAGTACCACTTCCAAGCACCTTAAATCAGCGGGCGCCCTCCAGCTCCCAGACTCTTAAAACCCCCTCAGCGCTCAGCTCCTCGACCCCATTACCCCCTTATCATGCTACTAACCATCTCATCAACCTGGAAGCTATCTGCTAATCGGGATGTATTATAGGTCTTCTAGGCCAAAGCGTGCGAGGCTTGGATTCGCCATACAGTAAACCGCACACAAACCCTAAACCCTAAAGATCTTCATGATTTCTTGGTCGACGTTCGACCTTGATTCATTGATATTAGAACTTTGTCATCGTACCCTAGGGTAAGATTTCTATTAAATTAAATATACCACAAGTACTGTCAGATTTGCTGGGACTATGTCGGTCTGCCTCAGATTCGTTATTCAAAGTTGATATGAGATGCTGCACTGTAGGCTCATTGATCGATTGTGGTTTTCCTGCCAACTACTAGTACTGGCATAACTAGTGCACGACGCAGGCCAGGCCAATAGCATGAGGCAGAAAAGCACTGACAGGGATTCGTTTCGTAGGTGGCGTATCAGCTCTTCGAAACATACACAGTACAGTTAAAAGCGAGCGCACAAAGGAGCCGTAAATACACTATTTTACGTTGATTTGCCTTATTGCCCAGGTATTTTTTTTAAAAAAAAATTTTTACCAGTATGCTGGGCTTCTAGTAGTAGGCCCCTACTACCTTGGATAGGTAGTATACAGGTGCTTTGAAATGTTCATATTTGCCCTGCAATGTGTTTTGCAATCCGCAATGTCGATTATCGAATTTTATTGGAATAAGCAATATTTTATTAGGCCGAATGGAGAGAAATAAGTATTAATGTCTGATCTGTAGCCGTATCTTTGGAAGAACTCGAAGGCTTTCATATACATTGTAGTTTCTTGCGGTGCCTAAGTCCATAATACTTATATGTAATATTCACGTGTGGCTATTCTACTAGCATTCAAAGGTTTATAGATATAGAGACTAATAATACACCAGTATGAAGGGAAGAAAATCTATATATCAGCATCTATGAATGAGACTCAATGCACCGGGGAGCTGTGGGTGCATCATTGTATTCGGGGCTGTGACACCCCGCCCAGGGCTTTTCCACTCCACGCACCACCTCACACTGGATGAGACCATTTAGCTTGAAGATTCCCAGGTCGAATCGTCCTCTGTGATAGTGTACGTCACTTTTAAGGCCCTTTCTGTTTTACAGCCTGGACCTTTGTGGGGGATGCATGTTTCGTCTTTTGGTGGCGCCGAAGATAGTCTTTTCGCCCAAATGACTCCCGACACTCCGAGCATTTGAATGCATAGGGGGCGTCATGTTTAGATCTGACGTGCCTATTTAGGTCTTTCTTTCTCTTACAGCTGGCCTGGCACCCTTGTCGTGGGCAGCGCAAACCTTCCTTGTGGTCGTTTTCGCTTCAACTTTGGTATTAGCTGGGTTTGTCATCGAATAGAATAGGTGAATTATGTGATATGGCACAGTCTCTATACATACATGGCACTGGTGTGTTGGGGCATGAAGTCACCGTCGGTATAACAATGAGACTCCTTCACTGTATCGGGGATATATGTTGTAATGGAAGACAATGCAGAGGAACCTGCGGTCTGGGTTGGAGCAGATTCCTCCTCCGTCGAATATGTATTTGCCAGCGCTGGAACGTTGGGTTGGTCGCAAGTTTCACTTGGTGAGAGCTGGATCCCAGGGAAGAGCTCCAAGAGCGCATATCCGTCTGGGGTTATGGGAGACGATCGCTGGGCAGACATGGGTACTGAATCTGAAAATTGTGTGAGAGGAGAATTCTGGATATGATAATGGCGTCTTGATCTGGTATCACCTTTTGAAGCCCAGGCAAGCAGTACCATAGAGGAATGAGACTGTGGTCTCGATCGGCACTCGTGAGTGATGGGATGTTTGGCGACCGAGGGAAGCGCGAAGCTTCACGGAAGGCCCTTCGGAAGCTCTCGAAGACCAAGGGCCCTTCGTAGAGAGTGAGCACTCGCAGCAGAGAGAGGCCATTGAAAGATCTTTTGACAGGTACCATGGCGCCCACAGTCACTGGAAAGGTAAAGAGGAGTGGAGACAAGATAGGCAAAAAAGGATTTTCTTCGGCGAGAGCAAGGACGTGTATTGGGGAAAATCCCCATAAGCAGCACGAGCGACTGATCCGCTAAGGCCTCTAGTTGCCGGGTTGGCAGACGGATCTGATCCTCACCAAGGTCCACACCACGGGCACCCGGGCAAACTCAAATAGCGCCGCTTGCCAGCTCAGGAACCGCATCCACCATTAATATATGACATGAAAAGGACTTTTTGAAGCCCTGATGCCAAATTTCGGGTCCGTAGCCTGATTTCTTCTTCAGATCCTGCTTCCGAAAGAACTGAGACTGGGGTCTGGCTCTACTCGTGCCACACAATGCATTAGGTGATGCCCACTAAAAATTTCTAGCTGTGTCCCAACAGAGAATCGCATTCTGCTGACTTTTCTAAGTCTTCTTACTATAACTAACCAGTTACATGAAGGCTTAGTCACCCCTTCTTCTGCATGCATGGATTAGGGCCTTGTTTCAGGATATGTCTGTTGGGATCGGCCTGCGTCTGTGGGTGAAGTGAAAGAGGGAGCTGCCGGTAGATTTTTTTTTTGGCCTTTTTATTTTGTTTATTATATACCACTGTAGCGCGAGAATGTCGGTATTTCCTGCACCAGTGGCGATTCGCGTCTACGTTTCCATGCAGCACGCTATTCTAGTTTAGGGCGCCGCTGCGGACTCGTCAGCGCAGCTCGTGCCTGGCCCCCGAGCGGTTGCTCCGCCAAATATGCAGGGGGAGATAAAATACCGGCACAACAGGGTTTTTAGAGTATGCGAAGGGACAGAGAAGTTCCAAGAGCGTTTCGATGAGAAAGTACTTGTTCCTGCAGAAGGGCGCTTATTCCTGGCTGGATCTGTCTAAAAGATCGCCCTCGCGCGCAAGATAAAAAGGTGTGCGGAGATCAACTACAATTGGCTCAGATCCGAAGGGCAACTTCCGGTGGCTGCAGTGCAGTTGCGGGCAACACATGAAGGCTCGTGAAGTTGAATTTGTACGCCGGTGCTGGAGATAATAGCTGCAGCAAGCTGTAAGGCAGACGGTCTGCCAGAGGATTTTACACATCTGGTTCCACTCTCGCCGGGGGACGATCGTCTCCGACGCGACAGTAATCCCCCGAAATGAAAAGGGGGTATCCCGGTGTCAGGCTCAAGTTACGCCTTGATCCGCGGGGTTCGGTCGGTCGCGTTTGCGGAGCCCTAGATCCACTCCAGGAGTTCGATCAACGGCACTAGGGAAATTCGATGCGGTCGGAATCAAAACATCAATTATATTTCCAATTAGCACCGACGGGGATAGCAAAGGGGCCAGAGCCTCTCGGAGAGGCCCGTCATTTCCACACCGCCGCTTTTCTCCCACAGCCTCTGCACATTTCTGTCGATGCTCACATTTACAAACGCTGGCGCTTTGTTCTACCGGAGGCACTTTTTCAGTATTATTATTATTATCATCATCATTTTCATTGGCCAGTTCCAGCCCTGATCCCCGGCGAGAATGATAGCCCAAAAAGGATTTGCAAGGCGATACAAAGGAAAGCGGAAACAAAGGGAACTAACACACTTCTTGAGTAGACCCTTGTACAATTACACACTGGTGCATGGGTGCAAGATAAGATGGGGTGGGTTTGGATACAAAAGTCCCAAAAATTGTGGCGAGTACATTCATGAACGGATGATAGCCTCGATCAGGTAATAGCATAGCATATGTGTACTCGAAGCGTGACAGACAGGTCCAGGCACTCGGGCTCATGGAATTAAGTGTGCGGTGCAAACAAAGACAAGGAACCACGAGAAGGGGGGGGGGGGGGGGGAAGCCAGCGGACCGTTCCCCGGCCCACAAAAAACTAAAAGCCGACTGCATTGTCTGCATTGAGGGGCCTCAACTGAAAAGTTCCGGCGGGTCCAATCCGTATGGACATGTGTAATCGTACCTCGTACCTATGGCAGCCTCCACAAGCAGTTCTAGGTCTACCAAGCGATCAACTCTCAGCATGGCCGAAAGTCCAGGGCTACACATACAAGCGGAAAGTGTCCCGTCGAACGCCACTGCAAAATTAGGATGCACTAGGTCATGCTGTGCTAAACGTTCAGAGGACTGCGGAAAGGTCTAGATGAGTTGGACAAATCGGATTCTTTGAAGGTCCTTCCTGACGAGACCCTGCCCGGCGCGTTGCCAACACATGGACGCCGCTTCAGCACGGTACGAGGCAACCACACTCTCCATTCCATACCCCCTCACGGAAACCGGTTGTGTGCGCCCCCCGCCCCAATCATGGCCACCTGATGAGCCATGTCGGACCTCTTAGGGTCACGGTCATGCTCGCCGGCGCCTCCTCCCCCACCGCCGCCGACGCAGAAGTACTCGCGCGCCGCCAACGTGCTGGCCAGCTTTGCTCAACCACCCTTCTCCGGATCCAGTCCTCCCAGTCCGCAGAGCAGCTGAGTGAATGGTCCCCGGAGGAACGCATGATTCCCACAACTGCCTGTCTGCCTGCCTCACCAATCAGGATCCATCACTCCTTCAATCCCACTGGTTGATCGGCAGGCGAGCATATGTTCCAGTGGTTTCTACGCGCCGACACTAGTGATGATCGTGGTGGCTCGTCGCCCTGACTGGTCGCCCCTGACTGCCTGCCACATACTCACGTACACATTCCCCGAACGAGCGCTGCCGCCCATGCGAGGCTGACCAGTCGCTCTGTCCATTCCTTCACAAGACTTGAACGTAACTAATGCCTCTTGGTGGAGAGCTGATGTGCCCCGCAAACATTTTCAGATTAGGTCTTGCGTTGAACTATATCAAGGACGACTGATACGTTGACAGGCAGAAAAGCAAAGAAGCGAACGCAGCGAGTACTAAACACTGGTCAAGACGAAGAACGTTTCTCGAGTACACCCGGCCCCTGGGAAAATGAACAACTTGGTCATGGCCCCGAAGATGATCTCTCCGATTAAATGCTCTCCCGCAGTAAGGGCGCACAATTGTTTTCCGAGCAATGCGCGTTGTCATAACGTGTCGTCGCAGATCGCCGGGTTGCTTCAATCCTTTATGGTTGGGACAGCCTTTCCACAGACACATAAACGTGGCGATTTCGGGTCTTGAAAATCTCACCGAGGCTTTTAAGCCTTACATCGACGGCCTTTTTGATCACAGAAATGTGGAAAATTAATTACTATTTCTAAGGCGCAACATATTTGGATATTGAAAATAGTACAATATCAACATAAAAAAAATGGGAGATTATGATACTAAGACATTGACAAAAGTAGTCGCCGCCTACTGCGAAGCCGTTTACCTGTTGGCTTGGAGATCATTATTACCACATATTTGAAGCAAAGCGAAAAGAACAGAGAGATTGTCTGGGATCCGAGCGACATCAAGCAGTAGCAGAGCTGCCAAGGGAGTGAACTTTCCGCGCCTGGTTTCGGAGGTAGTCAAGTCGGCTCATACGTATGCCGCTAATCGAGCACTCGTACGCCTCCCGATCATCGTGAACGGTCTGAACATGTCGAGCTCGATCGCTGTTGCGAGTAAAGCCGGACGTACAACCTTCTCGTCGGCAGCGGAATGGTTTGCTACCCCTAGTTTGGTTCGACAGTCAGGCACGGTTCTATCGAAATCTGGGTTGGGTTTGTGAGCGTACCTGTCGTTCTTGTTCTCAGGGCTATTATTTGTATGTGATTGAAAGGCTGAAGTCGCATTCCAGGGAGTATCCAGAGACAAATTGCCATGCCCTTGGTAAAGCTGGGGTGTCAATTGTTCGTTCTCCGTCGAGCCTGCAGTCTCGATTCCCGGGTACATGTTCTGCTCGACAGGACTGGGAGGATTGCTGGGGTAGTACGGTGGTAGTGGCTTATAGCCAGGGAATAATTCCATTAGCTTCTACATCAAGGCATGCAACGGAAATTTGACCACCTTCAGGCCAAGAGGGATTGTTTGGTGGTGTATGGTGTGCAGCTGTAGCGTCTTGTTGTAAATGTGGTACTGGGAGTTTCATTGTTGCGACACGATTGTAGAGCAAGAACGAGAGACGAAAGGAAAAAGGCTAACTGTCTAGGAAGAGCTTGGTAGCCCAGGGGGCAAGGCCCTAAGAAGTGTAATGCAAAGAATCTATTTAATGTAGCATTGTTTACAGAGAAACTGCCTCAAATAAATTCAACTATATCTTGAACTATTTAAGGTAACTATAGCACTCATTAAGTTAGTAATAACTGTAGCACCTCATAAACTCATTTGTCCGTATGGTAAAACATAACCTAAGAAAGCTGTTGCCATCATTAATATAACTATTACGGTACCTATAGCTCATGTTAATGTTCTAGGTGCTTTATATGATCCATAGTATAAACCTCTACCTATGTGGTCAATTACAGTATAAACACCAATTGGAACAAAACAGCTGTATAATTGGTATTAAAACGGGGCTGAATCAGCTGTATAAGGGTACGTGCTAGGCTAAACTTGGAAAGATGAGCGAGATTTATCCTGGTGTGGATAATTTATGGATATGGATATGCCGCAGCCTAGGAGTGCCGTCTTCTGGGAGGGAGAGAAATACCCATGGTCACGCACAGGGATCTCATGCTCTGCGACTCGCCTTCTTTTTGGTTTTTCTCCTGCCTATGTTGGTGATTTATGCAGCCAAGCAGATTCGAGATCTGATCGGAGGATTTGGATAATTGGGATTATTCTTTAATTCAAGTCTATATACCAATACGATGAGCTCATCTTGATGTGCAACAAGAGACTCTTGATAGAGTAGCTGCCAAAGGCTGGTGACTTCATCGCAAGTCAGATCATCCAGGGCGGAAAACGTTTTTGACGAATAAAGAAAACAGGAACTTAAATTGTCTAATGATCTCTCCGAGGTGAATACCAGCGCCAAAGATCCGGAGTAGAATAGAATGACAGAAAAAAGTAATAAACAAAGAAAAAATGGAGACATAAGGTCAAGACGGAGGGGAGAGGATCTAAAAGAAAATCATTCTTAAAACGTTACCTTGGCGTGTGCCCTTCTAGACTGTTGTTCAAGTGCATGCAGTGGAGCTATGTCTCACCCTCTTCTCAATGCCCATATTTCCCAAAGACCAAAAACCCGTCCCTTCCGCTCGTGACATCTGACGCAGAATGCACCACTGTTTCTTCACTACTAGTACCTCTAGATGCGTTTCCCTTCATTCAGTCTGAAAATGACGCGAGATTGGACGTCGAACTCGGACCTCCCCGGCTCCCCAGGGAAGGTCCCTGGCTTCCACGCCCCTTCCCTTGGGTGCCACAATTCCCTGGCCCCAAGCTACGCACACTCGTCAGAGTTCTTCTCAGGGGCCCTTCTTTGCAGACAGTAGTCGACCAACGGAGTACGATGTCTATGAAGGCATTCCTTTGATTTCCTCTCAGACGTCGCCTGCCACAATAACCCACGTTGAGGATTTCCATTCCATGAACGACTTCCTTTGGATGCATCAAGTACTTGCCGCCGAGTATGAGCCCGACGCTGCGCTTGACGCATCGCTCGAAGGAATGAAAGAACTTCCAATTTTCGACACCATCCACGATCGCATCGGAAACGAGGACATCACGTCCCGCTCCCACATTTTCCCAACGATCCGTACCGCTGAACCTACACTGGTCGCATCCAGCAGCCGTCAGTCCATGCCTCATGACAGCCAGCAATGCTCAAGGAAGTAAGAGCCCTTGCCTGGTCCCTCGTTTACTTTGAGTATCTCGTTGTCTAACTCACGCTTTTCTCATCAAGGCAACGCCAACCGGCCCGCTACCCGTGTCCAGAAACCAACTGCACGAGTCTTCAACCGAAAGTGGGATTGCGTTCGTCATCATTCCCTGCATAGTGGGGCCAGACTGTACAGATGCTGATACTGTCCGAAAGCTTTTAAGCGACGCTATCACCGTGGCCGCCACGAGAACGGAGCCCGTCGTGCCAAAGCATGCAAGAGCAGGCCTGAATCTATTTGATCTTCTCCCTCCACGCGGTCAATCTTCATCGACCTTCCATTCGTTATCTTTCTTTCTTTTGTTTTTATATGCGGAATTTTGCCTTCTCCGCAATCGATCGAGCTACATAATTCAAGAGTTGTTGATGTTGAACCCTTGTTCTATTTCATCGCGGCATTTATGCCACAGTTCCTTGCTCGAGATTCCATCTCGGAAGGAATTGATGAGGGCATTTCCCCAGATCCGGTCACCCAGGCTCTAGCGCGGTGGGACCAGTGATCGCCCCGATTAACTCTAATCTAAAATTTTTTAGAACATTCTCGGATCGCCGCTAACATTCACTAGCGCGATCCACCATATGCGGCGAGCTCGATTGAACAGCGCAGATGACCGGACTCTCTTCTCTCCCTTTCCCCTCCTGCCTTACAAGATTCGCATATCAAGTGCTCATAGAGCCTTTCTATACCTATAAAAGGGATCACGGCAGGGTCAATCACGGCTGTTATCTACAATTTCAGTAACCGGGAGAGTTTTGTCTGGGCCAATCAAGACGGAAGCGGCTCTAAACTCCGAATCTCCATCTTAAACAGGTTCCCAAACCCAGCCGTCACATTTTCCATATTCTTAAACTACAAGTCCCCCCTTGGTCTTTTTCAGGGTACCGCTCGAACCAGGCACCGAAATTGAGGAACTTTTGCATCCAAAAAATAAGCAAGACATGAATCTGCAGAGGCCGGGTCTTGTCTCGGCGCACGTTGCATAGCAGATCCTCCTTTCTCCTGCCTGTGTTGGAACCGCGCTGGCTCTATTTGAATTTCCTCGCTAGCCCTTTTTTCGAACGAAATGAAGTGGAAACTAACATAAGGTATAATCAACTCATCCAATTACTCCCGCACGCTGAGGCTACAAAGTGTGCAAGAGGCACAGAGCAGGTCAGGCCGAGGAAAAGATCAGACAACGAACTATCAATACGTTCTAAAAAGAGCGCTCGCTTGGTCATGCACGCCTGTTATTTACGTTACGACTCGATACCACTACAGTCGAGGCTCTTGCTGCAGTCGAGATCGTGACAGGAATCTTTTGCGCCTGCTAGAATGAGCCCAGTCAACTTCAGCCACGTGACCTCTCTCTCTTACTATCTTCGTAGACTTTTCATGGATCCTTAGAATCAGAGACAATTGATAGATAATCCAACGCCTTTGCATTTGGCGAGAAATACAGGTGACGCCTTACGCATAGTCCCAGGGGCACAACATCGTTGTTTGCTCTTGTGTCCATTTGAAACTACAGGCGAGCACACTAATCGAGTCTTACGCTTCATAAGCGCCCATGAGAAATCCAGCAGTAGTACTCAAATAAAACTCTGAGTCCAGCACCTATTCGCGGTAACTAATACAAAAAATGAATGTCACAGGGATTTCGTAACGATCGACATGAAGTTGAACTGGAAAAAGAAATCCAGGCGCTCCGGCGGTATGAGAACTCAGGGACTGCCTGATCCGGGGACAGTGGTCTGTTCACCAGCGCTAGCCTCGTGGACCCGGTCTTCATCAAGACTCTCGAAGATACTTTCGCTGTGATTGTAATGAAGGGGTCTGAACCTACCGTGTTTTGCGTTCATATGGCGATCCAAAGTCCTCTTGTGTCTGAAGTCGCGACGACAAACTCGGCACACATGGTACAGTTTCCCTTGCCAGTGGAATCTGAGTGACGAAGGAAAGCTATTCGGCATGATCGGAACATCCTCGGAAGCATGGCTCGAGGGTGCGGTATCGATTTGGGCTTGCGGCGTGGCCACTTTGGGTCCGGTCGATGGGGAGCGGTCGTTTCTGAGGCCGAGTGTGGGTCGATCGCTCCATGATCCTAGATCGGTAGGTGTGAGGATGTACGCAATGGACATTTTGTCAGGTTGGTTCTGGCGTTGCGTAAGGGTTGGAATGGGAGGCGGCAATCGGGTCTCTGCCGGGGTAGTATTGATGGAACTCTGCAAGACCGGGACAGCAGACTCGACATCGTACTGTGCATGGTCTGGAGTATGGCCTGGTCCCGAGGTATGCACGTTCGGATATTCCCGAGACGCGTCGACTGTCAGGGAGGGATGACAGTCTGCCGAGCTCAATTTAAACTCACCTTCCATCGTTGCAGACTAATAAAGGAGATGAACGGTTATTTTCCGCGAGAGGATTGTGTGAGCGACAGGATGGTTCAGGGTGCTTGTGAGACCTGTTGTCGAGAAGGGCGGAGAGGGCGGAAAGGACGAAGTGGATGAAGAGTGTAAAGAGAATGGAAGCGGAAGAGGCACAACACAAGGCGGCAACATGGTAAACAACAACAGTCGATGGGTCTCCCGGAGCTCTTAGCGTTTCAGGAACACACATTGTAACACTACTAGTTTTTCCTATTAAGGCTGGCTCATCATGCAATGTGCTCGCCTCCACTGGGGTTTTCTCACGAGTCATCCCCAAGTCTTACGAGGTATAGAAATGGCATTCTGAGACAAGAGTTGCATCTACAATCATGGGAAAGACGATTTAATTGTACCTTTCTTCGTGATTTTCTTTTTCTGCTAAATAGCAGGGGACTATCAAGTAAAAGGGGAAATACGTAGGTACACCACACAGTTGTCCTGCGTCATATCGCAGAGACCTTGATAGTCCCATTCACATTCGCATTCACATTGTAAATGTAAAACAAGCCTGGTAACATAAATCTCGGCATAAGAAATACCGTGTGTTCACTAGCGGCGACGACGGTCAAGCTCCTAGCTCTGGAAGCGCTGCATGCTGACACCAATAGTCCCGTTCAAAATCTTCTCCCCTGGAACGGGAACTTCAAAAATGCCACTGTCACCACCAGATCCACGCATGACCCATCGCTGCAACAGATCGTTGCTCTCCACTGGCTTCACACTCGGATTAGCCGTTCCGACAGTAACGTGTGGGATAGCGTTGGCGCAGGTTACATCCATGTCCTCTTCCCCGGGCGAAATACGCACGACAAAAGCCATGACACGGCTGTCCCATACCAAGCGCTCCAGGCGAACGTGCGTCTTGCCGAGGATGGGCGGGTTGTGCATGGGGTCGTGCTGAGGATTCGCGGTCAAGGTTTTGATGTACTGCTGCACGTAACTATCCCATAGCTCCTTCTTCTTTTTGTTATCGGCGCGATGGATGAGCGTTACGTGGAAACTCTGCTGCACGCGGCGGGCTTCGATGAGCTTTCTGTACATTTGTGCCTGGTCGGACGTTGCGTTGGCGAATATCTCTTTCAGAAGGCGGTCTACATCCTCAGTAGGGATGGTAATGCCGAAGTAATCAATCTTCCTCGCCAGCTGGATTGGCTCGGAGTCCATGGACTGGGGTGCAGGGCCATCATTATGGGGCTGGGGTACGGGTCCCCCATTGTTGGCCTGGGGGCCCTTAGGACCCTTTCTCGCATAATCGGCACTGTTGTCGACCGTGACGTGATAGTCACGGATGGCGTAGTCGATGGCTGCGTCGAGAGCCTCCGGGGGTGGGATCTCGGGAACCAAGCGTGGGTAGGCTTCATGCAGCTCCTGGATCACATACTCGAGGTTGTGGCGAGAGGGATTGCAGGCATTCAGGCTGATGAGGTGATGGAAGTTGTCATCGGGTTTCCGCCCAAGATTCACACCTTCGAAGCGGTGGATGAATCCATCCATGATTCCCCAAGTCTCATTATCGCCCCTGGTAGCTGCTTTGATGGTTTGGTGGTTGTCACCGCGCTCGTGCACACGGAAGCGGGTAACGGCCCTGATTGCATCAAGCCGTTCGGGCTCGTGGACATACTGCATTGCAACAAACGTAGCATGGGGAACTACGGCGGAAACATCCTCCATCAACTGTTGACGTTCGCGTCGCTGATGGTTGTTGCGATCTGCGATGACTAGGGGGTATTTGGACATGGCCTGAGTGACGTCAAAGGCAAATCGCTTCGGCTTCGATTGGTTGTTCTTCGCCTTGCGAAGTCCATCGTTTTGCACAACACCCCATCCGAACAGATACTGGAGAGCTAGAGCCATGGTAGTTTTACCGCACCCAATTGTAGCAATAGGCACCAGAACGACATTGTTGGTGATGATTCTACCGTTCTCCTGCTCCATGGCAATGATCTCGGATCCCTTCAGGCCACGCTCTTTCAAAAACTTCTCTCGCAAGGCAATGATACCGTGGTTCTTGAGATACGCCCGGCCGACTTCGACGTCCTCGTTGATGACCCGTCGTGCAAAATTGAGATACTCCTCCGTGATCATTTCGTGCTTACGAATCTTGGGGAACTTGCCCTGGATCACAGCCTTGGTGCATTCGCGCCACTGGCGATACATCAGATATGGCTCTTCAAACTTGTATTTGAAGAACCAATCACGGTAGTGAACCTGGTCTCGGGCCATTTGGCATCGAATCACAAATCCTTCGGTCTCACGACCATCCCAGGTTCCGGTCTCGGCGCACCCTTCGAGGAATCTTCTGACTGAAACAATGTCATCGTGCACCACGAACTTGGCTTTCTTAAAGCCCCATGCATCAGCGAACTTGTGGACCTGCGCAGCAGACTGAGTAGCGAACTCGGGCAGGTTGTAGTTCAGACCGTGCAGGTAGATACCTGATGCATCAGCATCGTAGGCCAGCACGTGTTCCTCGAACGAGTCATCGCAAAGTTCACCAACCGCCGTGGCGTTCATTTCACGTAGAGTCCTAGCGAGTTCTTGCGCAGTCCGTCCCACGGTTGCGACATGCTTTTCGACCCAACGCTCGCCGACCATCGCATGGCTATTGGGGAGCACAGGAACTCCCACGGGCATCTGGGCGTCGGTACGAACTCCCGTCGAATGCTTACTGCACACCAGCAGTTTGTCTCCCTCCAGGCCTGAAATGAAGATGATGCAGCCATTTTCCTTCACGCTGAGTTCGTATGGGCCCCGGGTGTTGTGCTCAATATTCCTCCAGTGCGTGTCCGTGGTTTCGTCGATGTTAAAGAACTTGTCGTATCCGCGTGCCACGATTTCGGGGGTCTTGTCTTTGCGCTCAGCGGTGAAAAGCCCGCGGGCGTAGGTAGGCAGGTCCTGGCGCTTGTAATCCCATTCCTGAAACTTCCACGAATCGACGGTCCTATCGTCGGTACCGGAGACCTTGTAGGTCGACTTTCGGCAGGCGAAGCCCTTCTTCTTGCCTGGATTCTTCTGCGCATTCTTCAGGTCGTGTACGAGCTGGGCGATCTTGGCTGGGTCCTGCGTGAACTTCGTCTTGCCAGAGGTGGCCTCGTCGGCCATTGCCTGTGTGGGGTTAGGTGATGTGAGGTCTCGAGTCGTGAGAACTCAGACAACTTACCTCGGGGATTTTATCCATTGCGTCGTCCCCTCAGTGCAAGATTCGATTTTTGTTTCGATTTTTGTCACAGTTGCAGCTCGAAGGAGGGGTAGAGAGAGGGTGGGGCGGGGATGAAAAGAAGAGAAACAGAAAGGGCGGGAAGTCGGGTTTTGTGGACGAAGTGAATTGGTGCCTGGCCAACGTGCGAAGCTCAACGTCGCCTTCCTCGTTGCAGGCGCAAGTAAGTCATGGTGCGTCACACTTGAGGAAGGAGCGGCGGGGAGCAAACGCGGCAAGACGGGAGAGCCTTATCGCCCTCCCCGCTTTCAAAAAAAAAAAAAAAGATCCGCCGCCAACGTTTCGACCCTCTACGACAGCCCACCTTCCTTCCTTTCGATCTTGACTCGACGCAGTGACTCACACCATGGCCCAGCCCAATCCGTACCTCTTGGCATGCGACCAGCCAGCAGCATTGCTCGAGCTGCTGCGCTCCAATCCCGCGATCGCGTCCTGTCAGGACGAGCACGGATATTCCTTGCTCCACGCCGCCGCATCCTATGGCCATACCGATCTCCTCCGTGCCCTTGTGAAAGAATTCAACGTCGATGTCAACCTCACCGATGAGGATGGTGAGACCTGCCTGTTCGTGGCCGAGACTCCCAAGATCGCACGGTGCCTGGTGGAGGAGTTAGGAGTGGACATCAACAAGACCAACGATGAGGGTCAAAAAGCCCACGAGAAGATGGAGGCGGATGAGGAGTTCCCTCAGGTCTCTGACTACCTCCGTGAGGCCCTAGGTGTTGCGGCTCCTGCCCCGGCGGACCCTGCACCGGGTCCACTCAACGCTCCCCGGCCGATTCCTGGGAATATGGAGGTGAACATTGGCACGATGTCGGAGCAGGAGGCTAGTGCTGGCGAGACTGAGGTTGATCCCGAATTCAAGCGCCGCATTGATGAGCTCGCCGCCCGCGAAGACTTCCATAGTGAAGCAACGCAGAACGAGCTGCGGGACTTGGTTCGGGATGCTCTGACGGGCACCAGCATCGAGACTTCCGAGCGCGAGGTGCGAAGGAGAACCGACTAAATGGCATTGGAGAAGGATCCATGTTACACTTTCTTGCCTGCTACAACCCTTGCTGGCCGCAGCGCATTTTTCATGCAATTCATGGTTGGTCTCCAGCAACAGAAACCCCGCTTTTACATACGAGCACCTGTCGCAGAGTGCATTTCAACCCAGCTCACCAACCTTGACGACTCGAACTGAGATTTATATGCTTGGACACTTGGCTCGGATGGGTTGCGGTGTGAATTGCAATCAGGTTATATATCGGCATCAATATCCTGTTGGATGGGAGCTATGCAGGGGCTGGCCTCTGGCCTATAATATAATCTAAACGATGAGACGATTTGAACATAGCAAAATACTTGAACGATCACTGCGGACTTTTACTTACAAGTGATGTCCCAATTCAATCATACCATAGACACCTCACAGCTGCTGTGGTAGCTGTCATGTGCTGGAGTAGATCGGCAAACGGAGATCGGCTGCTCCGCCAAGCAGCCACGCCCGCATCTCCAACTCCAACCCCACACCTCACCTCACCTCACTCCTTCGCCTTCCTACGCCATGTCTCAATCCACCTCTCCCTACCCGACGCAGTCCTCATTCTACTCGACGCCGCCAATCATGAATTCCTCCTTGAATCCCGACACACCTCCGCCTCCTCCCCCGAAACCCAGCAGCCACGAAGCCAGTCGCGGCGGCACGCCTCAGAACATGACCTCCATGCCAGCACCACAACCACCACAGCCAGTGCGACCTGATTCCCAGCTACTGCAACAACCCTCCTACACACCCTCCTCTTTCCCAGCACCACCGGCAGTCGAGGAAGGCTGGCTCCCAGACCTGGTGAAGGAGAAGACGTGAGCACCCACCGCCTCTTCCGACCGCAAACCAAGCTAACAGCTCCACCGCAGCACCATGGACCTTCATACAATTCTTAAAGACCCGACCCTCCTCTCCGCCCTCTCAACCCAACACCCCTCACACACAGCCCGACAACAAAGCCTCGAGTCCCTGATCCAAGTCAACAAGGACCTCGCGACGCGTCTCCTGGCCATGCAACAGCACATCGACGAGCTGCGGGGATCCACGGAAACAATGCTTCTCCAACACCAGTCCCTCGAGGTATCCTGGCGCAAGAAGCAATCGGAGATGGACGCGGCGCTGGCGCCGTGGTCGCCTAAGGCACTGTACCAGCGCCTGGGCGCGTCGATCGCGGAACAAGAAGCTGTTTGTCAGGCTGTGGAGGAGAGCTTCCTGGACGAGGATCACCATGGCCGCCCTACTGAAAAGGAGATTGCGGATTGGGTTCGTCGTGTCCGTGGTGAGGCGTCCAAGTTGGCTGCTAGGAAAGAGGCGAAGGCACGGTGGGATGAAGGTCGTGTTGGTGGGTGGCGGTGATTTTGCTTGACTTAATGTTCAATATACCCAAATATAGAGGTCCATTATCTTTTGATGATGTTATGTCGACTACGAATCTATGAATTGTTGCTTCACAACCTTCTGTCTGCTTGGTGTACATAGTGTCTAGGAATATTTGAGATTAATCGTGAGTGGGGTATCTCGATGCTATGATACAGATTTGAAGGGAGTTGTGACGAATATGGTACAATGATCAGCGCAACATCAGAGCACAATACTAGGAACCGTTCAAAAAGAGCTTTGTTCCTTCATAGCAGCCGATGTACATCGCGCTGCCAACCGTCGCCGTCAGGCAAGTCAATCCAGAACCACGGAAGAAACCTGCAATGCCCTCTCTGAGGAGCACATCCTGGGCAACCGCAAACGCACCAGGACGAGACGAAAAAGTCGCCCCAGAGGACACATATCTCACCTTTTCAATAGAAGGCCGAGGTATCTGAACATCACTGCCCACCGCGAGTCGCATCCGAGTCTTGACAACATCAATAGGAACAAAGAACCAAGACGAGCACCCACCGGCAAGGCCAGCACTGAGCACTGTAGTCTGCATCTGCTGAGAAACAGAATCTAACTGCTCCTGCTTCTCATTCAACGACTCCTTAATCGACTCATACAAACAGAACGTCAAGCAGATACTGGGTAATTGACCCGCAACCAAAACCCAATACCCAGCCCAAAGAGCGGAAGGCTGCTTATAAAACTGTTTCAGAATCCGAATCGTGGCCGGTGGCCCATTCGACGGCGTTTGCGGCTTGCGAGCAATCTGCGCATTCTGCTTCAGAACCTCGGCGGGATTCATCAATGCACACGCAACGAGTTCCGCGGCTGCACTGCTCACGGTGTGCAGGATAGGACGTGGTACGCCTTGAAGGTACCCCGCGACTTGGGCTCTCTCACAAGCTGCCTTGGAAGCTTCGTATGTTGCGAAGAACGCGGCAGAGGAAGGGATGCCGGCGAATAGTGTTGGGCCGAATCCTTGATAGAGGCCCGTAAATAATGAACGTCTCAAGGCGCCGTTGCTGCATTTGTAGACGTATGTGTAGTCCTTTGATTGCATCCGTGTTATCATCGTGTCCATTGGGTGAATCACTATTTCGCTGCTTAACGCGGCGATTGCTGCTGCCTGTCCGTCTTGTGTTAGCGAAAGAGCAAGGATAGGTGATGTTAACGGGACCTACTGCGACAACGTCGAGTCCATTTTCTGTTAACATATTCGAATGGTCTTCCGTGTGAATGAATTCTCGTGCGCATTGAGACTGGGCGTGTAAGAAGGATGTTGGTTGTGGCAAGGGTGTTGTCGGCTTGCGATTTACTGCTGTCTCGGCCTCCGCGGGACCCGACCGACTCCGCGGGAGGCTGTCCCAACAGCTCCCCGGCACAATTCAACCACCAACACATCACAATTCTTTAGTGCTTCGTTGTGAGCTGATAACAAGGCCATTGTCTAAGCGAATACTATTTCATTTTGGACCGTTATAACTCGAACCCTAAACAACACCTCAAAGGACCGCAGCGTCTTTGTCATCCATAGTAGACAAAACAAGATTTGGGCATCCAATGAAGTGACAACGCCACGCTCTTTGTCTTCCAACACAGCACAATGAATTCTCTCTACACTCCCACTGTGTGGTTTCCCACTAATCTTCACTCCTTCCAGTAGCTGTCCTCAGGTATAAAAACTTCGAGACATCGAGGATCGAGAGTCCCATCGAACAGCCATCCCGTCGATTTCAACATCGTCCACATAATCAAGTCGATACTCAAACTCTTGTTCGCTATGGACCATTTGGACGAGAAGTTCCGCCAAATGCGCCAAGCTCACTATCAAATGCAGATCGCAAGCGGCCTCGGAACGACCTTCGAAGAAGATCGCGAAGCAATCGTCAATGACCTCCACGTTTACTCCACGTGGCTCAACCAGCCACGAGCAGACCTCATGGCAATCTCGACAGGACTTACTCGCATCGCCAATCATATCGGGTGCATCCTCCTAGAGAAAGGCGTAGCACAAAATGTGGCATGTAAGAATCTTCTCCCCGCGTGCTTCCCGCAGCGATGCGAACAAATTTCCACCGAGATACGTCTTCTCGGAGAGGAGCTAATGTATAGTCCGAACCTTGCTGGTATTATTTCTCTAGCTCTGGGAGGGCTTAAGTATCTTGTTGCGACACTCAGCATTTCCACTGGCCTGAACACTCTAATGGACTATGACCCCTATGCTTCTGGATTTGAAGAGTACGTGAACAATTTCCACGCCTGGATCCATGAACGAGCCCCCTGCCCAATCCAAGGTTTCGAAGAGGCGATTGAGCGTGTTAAGAAGGGGTGGAATGTAATACGATGGGGCCCCGGTGGTTGTGGGTGCTCCCAATGTGCTAGTCGATTGCGGCTTCGGTAAGTCGACCCTTCTCTTCCCTCGGCGACCTGTTCTTATTCTTTCGTTTTCCTCGTCTCTACCTACATTTCTCTAGTTCTTCCAGGATGATTGTCATCTACCATTAATGGTTGATACGATGTAGTGTCGTTTTATCTCACTCAATTTAATGAAATGTGAAATGAGGTATGTGATTCATTTATCCTACCACAAGGCCATATTGTAGTATCATCGCAAAGTACCCCAACCATTAGTGAAAAGACATTTCAAACATTTTAAATGTGAGATACATCAATCGTGATGTAGACCCCAAAACCGACTAGGTACAGCCCCACAGTTGCGGCTCCCACGCCAAACCCCGATCTTTGCTCTTTTAGGCACCGGTACTTCTGTCAGCAGTCGCTGTATATTCTGTTTAAGGTATTATATGCCATTTCGATTACATCTTTCTATAAAAATCCACGCAATTTTCCACTTAGCCATGAACTCATAATGAGGGTGATAAGGGGCAGTATAGAGGGCGGCGGTATAAAGCAACCTTGCCGGCCCTCACGCTCACACTTTCCGCCTAAGACGGCCTCATCATCTTTCACTTCCAGTCTTATCCTTCATCCCTCCCCATCCTCCCTCCCCTCCTCCCTTGCTCCCTTGCTTCCCCTCTATCCTCTCACTCTTCATCAACCGCCTCGTCCCTCCATATGACTACACCATGAAGCGCGTGGAACCCAGAGATACACGCTATGACGATGTCAAGCAAAGAGCCAGCGGCAAACTTGACACAGGATATACCGGCTACCTGATTTTTCCAAACTTCCCGGAAGAAGTTTACCATATTCTCAGCGAAGAGGCCCGGCTCCCAGAAAATTCTCGGTACTCGTACGACGGCCATAGGCGGGAACTCTACGTGGAAAGATACTATCGAAACCAGGATGACCAACGGACAACTGGCTTCTGGAAAATCATGTCTTGCAAGCTGTACAACGCTAATTGGCAAGGTCGTATGTGTGTGAGCTCTCTTGGACCATCTATCCAACTCGTGATTCTATCGCCAGACGTCGGATACCGGCCGACGACCTCAGGCACACATACCGTTGTGATGGAGATCGATGTTTTCCCGACAGCAACCAAACTTGGTCTCCTCAACCTCGCAAACTGGCCGAGACTTGGGAACGTGCAGCTGTGCTTTGTCGTGAAGCTGGTTCGAAATCCATCTTCAATCACGATTGAACTCTGGGGACAACTAGAAGTTCCATTTATCTTAGGGCCCGCGATCAAGATTCAAACAGCGGTTATTGCTCCTGATAATCATGCGGGCCTCTCGTGTGGAGTGGAGAAGTCATAATATTTAACCTCCTCCACATGGCTTCACGATCACATGAGATGTGTTTGCTGGAAACTCAGAGAACACCAGTCGCGAAACAATTGAAATCGACAAAGCCAGCTTGATGAAGTATGGCAGACGAATTTGGCCCCTCCTGGAGGGATTGACCTTTTCATGATTTTCTGAACACTTACCTGCTGATCGCTTTGATCTTTTTGTCATGGTTATCTGGGAGTATTCTCCTAGTGTCATTGCTCTACTCGACCGCTTAGCATGATCATGCTGATGGGCAGTCTGGGCGAGCAAACCAACAGGTTGAAATCGCCCTCAGACACTGGATCACTTCCCATTCAGACGATATGGCCGACTGGTCGAGACTCGCGCTCTGCCTATTCTCCAAACAGCTATTCACTCAGCTGTCAATGCGTCAACCAGTCATAAAACACATAGGCTACTCTACGGCATTGAACTGTGTCAGCCATGTGAACTATACAGGCATGCCTTCGATAGCGCCGGTCAGTCATTCGCAGCCAGAGTAGATACACAGCAATCGCTCGCTTTCGCTGCGATCCAGATGAAGGCACAGTATGACCAGCGTCATAAGCATGTCTTTTTCCAGCCAGGCGATTGGGTTCTCTTCGACTGGACGACAACACGTACAACATCAAGGTTAACTCGACACTGTCCCGCAAGCTTCATCAGAAGTACCCAGCAAATTCAAAGTCATTAAACGTGTCGGTCGTCTCGCTTACAGGCTGGATTTTCCGATATCGAAACAATGAATCTGCATTCACCTAGTATTCAGCATCGCACTTCTCGAGAAGTGCCCGCAGGAAGAAGTCCCTTTCAAACGTAGAGCGGATTATCACGAGCCCACGGTCAACCCGCACGCTTCCCAATTGTCCGCGTTACCATATAAGGCTTAGTGCGTCTCAAGGGGGATGGATTCCCAAAAGAGGAGCGGTTCGATGTAAAGCGGATCCTCGCGAAACGAGTTCGGACAGCGCCAGGACAACTGCCCGAGTCAGCTCAGAGGAAAGAATTTGTGGAATATCTGGTTCGTTGGAGTGGTTAGTCCAGTAAGAAGGATCGCTGGCTTCCGGCGGCGGAGCTGAAGGGGTGTGAGGAATTAGTGAAGTAGTTTGAGAACCGGCAAACGCCGGTCGGACTGCACGTATACGTCGATATTAATCCCATCCTTACTTGTATGTTACTTCACTTTTCCTTCACTCACACTGCTCATCGACTACGGATACTTTCTTTCATCCACTACAACATACGACTCTTCACTCCAGCACCATTCGCCCATTGCTTCCGCCACCCACTGAACTTCGCCTCTGTTTCATTCGCTAACGCTTGACCATGTCACTTCCTCCCACGAAACACCTCGTTCGCTTTACCACACCAGACACTGTCATCATGTCAACCGAATCTCTGACCGACCCCGAAACTGAGCTTACAGAATCTGATCAGCAGCCTTTCCGATCAATTGCAGCGCTATGCAGGCCTGATGAGGTAGAGGCCTGGTGGAAACAAATGAACAGCCAGATTAAACACTTTGCAAAACCAGAATACCATAAAGAACCCCCGGCTGCTTATTATGATTAAGAGCCAAAGCCAACACCGAATGTCCTGACCGCCGTGTCAGTTCAAGATATGTTCTACAAATGGCCCCCACACGGTGTGCACCTCTCCGACCAGTGGCAATTCGAAGCACAGCCAATTTAACTCGCTCAGACAGAATCATCATCAACTTCGTCATTCTATGCCATATCTCGTTCCCTGAATTATATCATATCTTTTTTGTACCACCATGGCCTCGAATCTCCGCGGGGTACATCTACTAATATGCATATCACTGGCTGCATCGAAATTTAAATCAGGGAATTGATACCGCGTAGCGGACGCCAAGCTGGCTGCAGGCAGACTAAAGTCAACAAAGCACGCAGGATGGAGGATATGGCCAGATGTAGGGATCTCAGGGATCCTGTGACCGCTATGGGGGCGATAGTCACACGGAACCTGTTCATTGGAAGCAGTATTCTGACTAGTCACTTGCCCAGATACCCTAAGGTATGTACTACAGGATTTAAGTGCTGGGTGGCTGCAGCACGCCGCCGTGGCTTCGGATGATCGACAAATCAACAAAGAAAAGGACATCCAAACTGCGCCACCAGAAATTGAAATTCAAGAGTTGGCTGAGCTGTTAGCCTATCACGACCCTGTTACCCCTATACCCCGACTTGTGCTCGAAACTGCTGCCTAGAGGGTCCCCTGGTGAGAGCTACCGGTAGCCTTATTCCCCACACCCCGCGGTTAAAAATCCCTGTTGGGATGTATACATTAGGGAAGGTACTGCCCTAACTCACTCCCGCCATTCGTTCGAATCTCTCCTCCCACTCATCATTTCAACCAAGCTTGTCTATTGACTCACTGCCCTCTTTTCTCAATATGCACCACCTTCGTGACTCCCTGCTGAGCCCTGCACCAAAAGACGCCCCCGAACTCGATACGATGGACCGCGCCTTCAAGGACCGCGAGAGCGTCGAGGAAGCCGCCGCACAGGGCGACCTCGATACTCTGCGCGATCTTGCCTTGAGAAATCGCGTTTGGATCATCACCGACCGATACTGCAGCGTCGGAGATGGTGTGGACTCCCTCGAAGAAGCACTTCATTCCCTATGGCACATCTTCTACCAACTCGGCCGATATACGGCTTATGAATCCTCCGAACAAGACCGTCTCGTCCTCGACATCCTCCGCATCCAGGGGAAAGGGCCCTTGACTAGGCCTGTGTCGGGCGCGTATGGCATCGACATCGCGCGAACCGTCGAAGGCACACTGTGGAATGACCTTCCCTTCCTGGTGACAGACATGGCCAACTTCTTCATCAGCGACTGTTCCTCGATGTCGGGTGTCAATCGCCTCAACTTTGCGTCTTTCTTAGCCAAGCTTGCTTCAGCCCGTATCAGCAAGGACAGGATGTGTCAGGTGGCACTTGTTCTCTTCCGCGCTACATTCGAGGAGGGACGAGACCTTCGTACCACCGATGAGCCGGATGATGAAAACCAACGACGATTGATGAGGAGCCTCGATCTATTCCACTTGTTACCTGCTGCCTTTGCGTGGATAAAAGAGGCGGGTAGCAATCTCGTTCGACTCTCGGATGTCTACTGGAACGATTGCCCCAGCGTCGTTGGACAGGGAGGCCGGTTGTTTGTCCAGTCGGAGTTCGGTCGACGATCGCCTACTGGCTTCACGCCGTGGAGATGGATGTTCTGGCTCAAGAGACTCCATGAGATTCAGGAAGAGACAAAGGAAGCTGGTGAGAAGCGTCTGGGGGAGTATGCTACAGATGCCATCGAGCTTATGGTTGGGCATGTGGAGGAGTTGAACTCTGGAATTCTGAGGGCTTACCGGACCGGAGGTGATACCCTGCAGCAGGATAAGCATCTGATCTGCCTAAGGAAGTTTCTGAAGACTGAAGCTGCGGAGGGAAATTACAATGTCAATTAGGTCTCTCTGTCCCTATTTTTTCGTTTATCTTTCCAGGTCTCAGATTGAAATCTCACTTCTTTCGATGATGCTGTCGGGGCTGTATGACCAATCGCTCTGTCCCTTTTTCTGGGCCCAAAAATTCTGTCACCACAATGCTTCCGCGATGCTGTATGTCGGAACAAAACTTCTTAAGCTTCTTCCCTTTTCTGACATCTATTCGACATCCCAAGCACTCAATCTGTTGAAATGAAAATTCTATAACGCAGAGTATGCGAGAATCCTACATTTCTACTAACAATCTCCAGAAAGATTTTTTTCTGAACGCGTCGAAGTCAATTTGATCTAGCTAGATACCAAACGAGTGTTTTGATGAAGCTCGAAGCTGCGTCGAGACCGGGCATGTCCATATTTATAACCCCATATACAAAAGGCATCAAGTTGCTCTTGGTTCATCAGGATGAAAGATGTCTGGCGTCGAGAATCTCGCGGCATCTCGTATCACCAATGAAGGAGCCACTGAAACTCGGATGCTCCGACTATGTCAGAGACCATCTAGTCGCAGGTGACCTTCTTGTTAACGCTGTCAAATGTGCACTTTTTGCCATCCTTGGTGCACTAGAGGGAAGAAAAGAGGTAAGCAAGGGTAAGCAGGTTGCTGCCCGAAATGAGAAAGAACTAGCCTTCTTGTTGGCAAACTTAGGGCACTTGACGATAGTGGTCTTGCCGCTCTGGCCCTTGTATTTGCAGGTATTGTCCTTTGTGTAACATTTCTATATGGTTTCCGAGAGGTCAGAGACAATTCCCAAATAACTTTCCAGTACTACTTGGAACACTCACTCCGGTGTATGTGATGAGAGCACCAGCCTCCTCCCGAGCCTCGAGACCATCAGCCTCAACAGGGTTGGCAATCGCGCCCATGGCAGCGAAGAAGAAGAGGGCAACAGTGGTGAACTGCATGGTGGAGGTTTAAAGATAGGTTTTGCAAATAAGGTAAAATTGATTGAAGTGTTGTTGATTGAGTTGATGTCTTGGAGATTGCAGCTTCTTGAACCCCCCCCTTATATAGACGACGTGATCGCTGCGTCAAAAGGTGACAAATTCAATCCCCAAATCCGACGCAGTCATCTTGGGGGCTGCAGTCGAAGGATTGGACCATTTTCACATGCTGAGACTGCTCAGCCTTTTGGACGGTGCATATTTACAGGGAATAAGATCAATTGATTGATATGTACTAATCCAGGCGTGCCGACACGTGCAGGAGGATCGAAGCAACAGAGTCAATGGCTGATATGCTGGTCATACTTGGCCATGTCTTGGTGCTCCGGAAAGGAAAGAGGCGGGGGTACCCTGCATAGCGGGCGGGCGACGCAGGTAGCGCTCGAGGGACAAATAAAGAATTGCCTCATTCACAGTTAAGATGAACGGCAGATGCTTGTCCTCGTGTTTGTCAAACATGCAACGCAGTCGAGCTCGATCAACAACTAGTTTATTCTCCTCGATCGCTCTCTCAGTCTTTCTGTTTCCTACTGAGTTGAGTACCCTCGTGTCGAGCTTAAAAACCCTCGCCTTGGCTACTTCAAACGGAATACGTTCGTCGTTCGTGGGCACAAGCTCGGCGGCGAAAGAAACTGGTGAGAATGCTCCTGCTGCACTATTGGTTATCCAAGACGGTTGGTGGCCTAATATGTATTCTGCATTTGGAGTAAGAAATGATCTCCCGACTCAAAAACGTGCAGATTACTATAGGGCAGAGTGGGGGATGAGAAGAGGAGATGTTACTGGTCCAGGAGAAACGGCACCAAGGCTAGGGGCGGGCCGGCTCCCCCGCAGAAACTACTGCAAGGCAGCCCTTGTGATGCAACCCTGCAAACTTCAAAGTACCTACATAAGCGCTGTGAAACCTGAACTTCGAAGGCGCCCTAATGTATGCATGGCAAAGCAAATTAGCTCAGACAAGCGCCATCAAAAATCGAAATGACCATGGGAAGCTCATGGAGAATTGCAGTCTCTTGGATTGCGATAGAGACTCGGCACGGCCAATCTAGAGCAAGTTAAGATTGAAACTAGAAAGATACAAACGACAACACAGCTTCCTTATTCTAACCCTGTATGAGCGCATAAAGTAGTAAGCAGATGCTCCATGCATGTCAGCCAGTGACGCACCTGCCCGCGCTGCGGCACCGATCACCCGATGCAAACCAAGTTATCTCAACGACCATCTAGCCCCGACCCCATTCTGTGTGCCCAATTTTCGGGCACCGTCGTAACTACATACCTTTTGTGGATCCATAAGCCGCAGCTTCAAAATTGTCGCCAACAATGGGCCATGTTTCAGGAATCATTCTCCACGTTAAGTCACGTTCGGTTCGGTATACCTCTTAAGGCCCCAGCGCTTCGAGGTGCAAAATTTTCATCTTTTAATCCTGTTCGAGTATCAGGTGTAGTCAGGCCACCACCAGAGTTCCACTAGAATCCATTTGTTCATGAGGCGTAGGTTATTGCTTGCAACATCGTGAGTCTTCTGGTTGGCGAGGTGACACCGATGCATTAATGGCCTGATCACTACAGTAGCTTGCGAGATATTGTATTGGCTTGTCCCTTCCAGATACACATCTCATGACTATATAAGCTATATAAATTTGTGAAAGTTTATCCTACGCAGAATCCAAGCTATGGTCTCCGCTAGTTTGACGATTGTGAGCTCAAAATTTGGGTGTATACAAGGATTTATCCATCTATGTTTGCCTCCCTTTTCCTGTACAGGACCCCTAGCACTGGCTTGCTTTTCTCTTTCGAACCGGTCATTTCGCAGGGTCAAGATGATAGCACTCGTCTCTTGTGCCAAAGAGTGGAACAGTAGTTACAGTACGGGACTTGGGCACTGATGTGCTTTTCCCAGAAGGATATGGCTTTGATTTTGCCGGCATGGCGCCCACGAAGTATAGGCTGCGGCCGAGCCAGTCTCTCACTGTCGAAATCAGGTGATATGTGATAGGAAGCCCTGATCTTCAAATTTGAGTTCCGGGGCGGTGTCAATATCGTCGCGTCGCATGAGGGTCTTTGTGTTCAATTGCACCATTTTGAAGATACTCCATTTGGCTTGGTCGAGCTACGCCATGAATATGCCTGTTTAAAGAGCTTCAGGGAGTTCGAAGCGGAAACGATTCATTTCCATACAAATGCTGGCAACTTCACTGGCATGCCTGGGTAAACGTAGTTGTTTGGACTCAAGTTGAACAACCGGTTGAAGAGCTGCAAGATCTGAGCATTGATTTCTAGTTGAATCTCCGGCGATTTAGACCTAGCAAAAGGAGAGGAAGGCCGGATGCCGAGTGCCATATTGATAATCGATTGGCGTTATGCAATAACTTAAAGTAGTATGAAGGTTGTCGATCAAACAACATTCCCCTGGAAATGAGCTGATGTAATCTGTCATCTGAGCCACGTGGTGGTCTGGCTATTTCCGGTCGCTTTAGTTCATTACAACAAAAGCCTGAAGGCGGAATTAAAAAGTAAAAAAGGATATACTGGGAGAGTACGGTAGGCTCTGTGTAAATTACTGCAGGAAATCGAAAGTGATGGCGGGGGGTTGGAAGACGATCTACCCAGTGGGACGCGGTGCTGCGGCTCTATCTGATAAGGAAAAGACCGACAATTGCAGCAAGGTAGATACTTGTACCTACCCTAGGTCATTGCTAGCGTATATACTCGCTCAGTGTGCTTGGGTACTTCCAGTCGCATTCTCAATTGCACTGCGTGCCTCAGGCATCTTTGAAACATGATCGGCATTCGGCGTCAAACCTCGTATTACCCCGACCGCTCGTAAGCCAACGTCTACCTTATTTTAATAACTTGCTTGCAGCATATATCTCATATACCAGTCATTGGAGCCAAGGAATTACAAAAACAGAACCGCAGCTGCATACCTCGCTCTCCGGATCCGACTACCATCTCACATACCAACAGATTTAGTCGACCAATATGAAAGTCAACGTCGAGCCATACAATCCCGAGTGGCCCCTCAAGTTCCGCAAAGTCCAAGAGCGGCTCCAAGGAATCCTCCAAAATGTGCCGGTGATCACAATCGAGCACGTGGGGAGTACCTCTATACCGCTACTCCGAGCCAAGCCTGTCCTCGACATCGATATTATCGTGAAACCCTCCGCACTAGAAGCCGCACGGACAGCCCTGGCAAGCGCTGGCTACACCGATTGTGGTGAGATGGGCGTCCCCGGCCGATTTGCTTTCCGACAACCTGGGTATGGATTACTCGATTTTGCTCATGGGCTGACGATCAATGGAGAACTGCGTCAGAACACCTATGTTATCCTTGAGGGATGCACCGCGCTGCGGAATCACCTCGATATAAAGAGGGTGCTGACTGAAAATGAGAATTTACGGGAGGAATACGCACGCTTCAAGGCGGATCTCGCGGAGAGGGACTTCGGAAATATTGATGAATATTGTATTGCGAAAACTGAGGTTCTCTGCAAGATACTGCGCATAGCTGGGTGGAGTGAAGAAGAACTAGAACCGGTTATTCGGGCTAACATGAATGTGTGATGCAAGATGGATGTTTCAAGTCGTGTTTCTGTGTCACATCTTCTTGTTTGTTATTTGTTTAGTACTGCTCGCTTTCTTCCTAGAATAACTACGTTGTATCACTATGTCTGTATCCTCCTCGCCGCAGACCTCCCGAGTCATTGGCCCCACTCACCGCTACATCAGCGGGTCTGCAAATCCGTTTCAGCCACTCATGAGTCTCCCAGCATACCCGAACCACACACAGGCAAAAAGAAATTTCGAGGAGCAAAAAAGAAATCTCGAGGTATTTTTGTAGGAATAGCCGAACGCGGGGGTCGAACCCGCAGCCTTGAGATTAAGAGTCTCACGCTCTACCGATTGAGCTAGCCCGGCAGGGCTTGTTGAAAAGGCGAGCCGGCAGAAGCTCTATCAACCACGAACGTGTTAAATCCCACTCTAGCAGAATAGAGTCCGCAAAATAGAGTGCTCTTGTGTCTAGAGCACTCCCTTCACTGGGAAATTCAACTGGTATGCCAGTTAGAGAAGTCTTGTTTGTTTCTGAAATTTTCACCCGAATTGTGGCCAAGGTTCCAGTTGTAATATACGCACATCACCAGAGGCAGAGGAGCAACTGTAAGGCTGTAATATATATAGTTAACTGAGCAGAGTCTTTCCAAATATTCTTGCCGCAATTTTGATCACAGTTAAGTGGGTGAAGAGATGTCTCCTCTATCCGCATTTTAAGACCGGCGAAAGCATGAAGAGAACAGCACACGATTTTCATGAGGCGCTGGCTGCCGCGTGAGGCCGCATGAAGCCCCTGAGGTCCCCGGCAGGTCGTCTAGGATCAAGTGGTAGATCACGAACGATGGGAAAGCGAAAGGGGGGCAGGTTTGATAGGAGCAAGCTATTCGCCACTATCCGTTAGCTAATTACCTGCTGTTCAGTTCATCCTGCTGCGCCTTTGGTGCGACACAAATCTGGGGTAACCCCCAGCCCTGTGTGGAAGAAGGGGGTCAACTATTGGGGCAACAGCAGTCACCTTCCCGAACGAGGCAAGACCGACAATATGGAAGCATCGCATTCGCCCAGGCACACAGTGCTGCCAATGAAGCAGTCCCGACGCTGCCATGCAACGCGGCTCGGTAAACGCAGTTTTGGCGAGGATGCTTATCGCGAGTGCGGAACTGCAGTTGGCCGGCTAACTGCGCAGCCAAGTACCGCGGTAATTCGCGGAAGTCCCAGCTCCGACGGAGTGAGAAAACAAGGCAGCAGCGTTGATTCCGCACACTATCGCATTCGTATAGAATTTGGAATCGAGCCTTGGGCTGACAGACTCACGGACTCACGGAGTTAGTCCGTAGCCCCGAATCGTGTAGCGTCTTGAGCGAGGATGCCGCTACAGTACGGAGATTAGGGAAACGTGAAAGGCTCCCTATTCAGACGTCATAGCAGACTCAATCTATTTCAGGGGCTGTACAAGGCAGGTCGCCACTCGTTGCGGACAGCCTGGGATGAACATCACGATCTGTCTTCGCTGGGGATGCTGGCACATCGATGAGTATGCATCCGCATAAGCATTATCCAAGACATGATGTGAAGCAAAGCTTTCGAATAGACTTTTGCTCGACGCCACAATCTCACTGGAAGTATTGGCATCATCTGGGCGTGCAACCTCTCTTATACGTTGAACCGCCATTCAGACCGATGCGCGCCCCGGAAGCTAAAAAGCCGATAAGTAGCCTACTCGGTCGCACCGAAGTTCCTCGGTCCCCCGTCAATTTCGTGGGAGAACAGCCCATTCTAGGGGCGAAAGATGGCCGTCCCCCGCACTTCTTCCCCACAAAATGCAGTGTCGCGGACCCGCTTGCTTCGGCGAGACGGCCTGGGGGTTTCTAGTCGGCCAGCCCCTGCGAATCACAGGCCTCAATTATGTCGACTGCAAGGCACGCCACGTTGGATCTGGATCGGATGCGGACTGGAGCGCGGGAGTTCTGGACTCCGATGGAGTTTCCCCGGGATTGTAGGGGTCCGGGATGGATTCATTTGGAGGTCTGGCGTGATGTTGGGGTGCGTGGCGGAGGTGGGTTGGGAGGGAGGAGACAAGTATAAGATCCCCCGCAGAAAACAGGCTGAGGACTTGGAGTCTAGAAACACTCGTCAGAATATTTGTCAAGGGCCACATGCGGCTGCCTCATTTCTTGAATTAATTTCACAACTTCCTTTTCAGTTCTTTTTCTTCACCATGTCCGACGAAAATGTCAGTGAGAAGCAGGAGACCTCGACAGCTGAGGTGCTGCGTCGCATCCAGACAGCCGAGAGTGTCTTGCTCCCAATTCCCCGGGATGCATTCGAGAAGCTCTATCTGAGCCCCAAGACACCGACTGCAGGAAATCTTCGCCGTACCTTTGGTAACCCGACTCCGATTTCCCTGCTGGGTTTCTTGCTCGCGGCGACACCAGCTGCTATGCTCACAATGGGCTGGCGAGGCTCCGGCGGTAACGGTGGTGCTATTCTGTATGTCAAATTGTCACTTTATTCGGAAAGAGAGATTCTAATTTCTGCCGCAATCAAGTCCAGTGTATATTTTCTTTGGTGGCATGGTACAAATCTTCGGCGCCGTGGGCGAATGGATTATCGGAAATACATTTTCGTGCGCATTGTTCTTCACATATGGTTAGTGAACACAACTTCAAGGACTTGATCCCAATGCTGACTTGATTTTGATTAGGGACCTTCTGGATCGTCCAAGGCACATCCAACATGCCATTTTATGCCGTCGGAGCGAATTATTCTCCAACCGGGAATACCCTCGAGGGCATTGAGACGCCCGAATATAATGCAACCGTTGGACTATACTATGTGACGCTTGCTGTTCTCACATTCGTGTACCTTATCTGCTCCATTCGTACAAACGTCTGTTTGTTTCTGGCATTGTTCTTGCTGGTGATTACTTTCGCGTTGACCGCAGGTGTCTTCTTCCAAACGGCGCTTGGGCATGCTGCCGAAGCAGCGAAATTGCAAAAGGTAAGCGTACTCCAAATTTCTCTCGGTAACAGATGCTAAGCGTACTTACCCTATAGGCGGCCGGTGCTTTTAATTTTGCTTTGTGTATACCGATTTGGCATATCTTTATTGCGCAGATTCTGGACGCAGTCGACTTCCCGATTACTCTGCCAGTTGGGGACCTGAGTACGGTTATACTGGGGAAAACCCAGAAGGCTCGCAAGCGGGATGTGGAGTAGATATTGACTTAATTAAGGTGAAATTGTCGTTTTGTTTTGCTCGAAGACTATTGATAGTCGCATCACTTCATGGAGCTGCATTCGACTCTTGTGCGTTTCATGCCCTAGACCGAGCTGTGATGGTCGTTCAGCTGCTATCTCAGGATGCTCGCAATGCGCGCTCGAAGTCGAGGGAGATATTATAGCCGTAATATTGTGGTCGCATATAGCTTTCATAATATCACCTGCAAATTTCAGCCTGTGGCTGTGGCGCTGATTTCTCTCGATCGTGAAAGACTCGACGCTGGAACAGAGACAGTATGCGATGCGGATTGAGAGCTCCTACCACTCCATAGCACTGGAGAGATCGGTGTTTGGTCGCCACATAATGTGAATCACGAATGGTCCAAGCCTGAGCATTCCTGAATAATGTCTGCATGATTTGTTCCCTCCATTCATCGTACAGCTGGCAGTGTAGGAGAACAATGGTGGGTGGAAGGTCGACGTTCCTTGAAATCAACTTGGTTTGGGACAGACAAACGTAGCTGTCTGTGTTATTTTCGACAAGAAGTGGCACTCCAGGACGAGATTCTGCAGGAGCAGATGAGTGTCGTTGGTCGACATACTGATTGTTCGCGCGGGCGAAAGTGGTAGCGATTCGGGGATCGGAATCGCGAGACGCGAGCGAGGCTGTGAGAAAACTTCTAATGTAGGGCTGAGGATGGAAGAAAGTGTTATGAAGGTGGCAAGCTCTCGGCGACTGCATGACTGGCTGGGGTACAATGGGGCAAGGCTGAAACGTGACTCGACCGCGCTTCACCGTTCATAGTACCCAATGGAATTGAAACGGTTAATATTGAGGGTAATTTGCGTTACGCAATGGACAGAAGAATAATTCAGAAACATATCCAGGTTTGATAGAAAAGAGAAGGAGAGGGGGGAGGGGGAGGGTGGGTAGGTTAAGAAGTCAAGGTACCTGAAAGCAGTAAAACGATAACATGGCAAATGCTCAAAGATAAACAGAAACAAGAAGGCCTGAGGCACCAATGCACGAGTAGGAGATAAACCTGAAGCCCTCTCTATAGACCTAGACCAGCAAGAGCCTGCTTCTTGGAAGATATCGTCGTAGTGATCATGTAATCAGTGGCCCCCATTGAGTCCCCTGACCGTTGCAGGCTAGCGGCGTAGGGCATAGTGAGTGTGGGTGAGGAAAAGGGCGGTGGACACAAGACCGCGACACAGAGCGGCCATGCCGCAATTGCAGGAGTTTGCCGTTATCATTCTTTTACTAGTAAAAATGCAGACTCCCGCGTCAGGGGACTTCCCCATAAAGAAAGTGTGCTTGTGGAAATATGGTTACCCGTATGTGGCATTACACGTTCCCCACTAGGTCAACAATAACAGCAACAACAAATACAGCATTATAATATAGAGCATTTACACAGACTCATAAGATTGCAAGACCACTGAATAACGAAAGAACGCCAAGCGCATAGCCCGAGTCGTCGGCTATCGTCCATTCTGCTAAGCTGTCCATACCTAGATATTGCCTTTGATATTTTTCTTCGCGAACAGGTCGAAGCTGAATTGATAAAATTAATGTATCATCTCGACCAGGGCTCTGTAGTGTGAAGTTCAAGGGCCGAAGGGTGCTAGGCACGATGGTTAGCGTGTGTATCAGGTACGTACTTTGCAGTAACTTGGTGTGTTTTTTGCCCCCACGATGCGATAGTCCACTACGGCCTGCAAGCGCTAACCTTCCCCATTTGATAGGATACGGAAATCCACCTTGCGCACTTACGCGCCCACATCACATCGCTAGGGCCGTCGCAGATTTGTACCTGCAGACATCTTGTCAGAGTTCCTCAAAATAGAATGGTTGCTGCTATGCCCGAGCCCATTTATGAGACTGGACCCTCACCAGCCCGACTTCCCATGTTGTGCACCCGGCATATGTACAAGAACAGACGCGATGATTGCCACCACTCCCATTCCCCTCACAACAACATTCTCTCCACCAGCAGCATGCACGACCGATACATGGCTCATCGAATATGTCTCCGGAACGGACTACTACGACACGGTAATAACCGGCACGGATACTAGCTGGTGGATGAGTCTGGGTCCTAAGGAGACGGGATCTTGCTTTCCTTCGGGGTACCAGACCAGTACAGATTTCTACTAATCCCCTGGAGTATGTCCCTCGGGGTACTGGGTTGCGACTCAGCCAGTGACATCTACCGATGGCGAGGCTGAAACGCGGGCTACCTGCTGTCCTGAGTAAGTGAATCCTACAATTGTGTTCAACAGCTTGTACCCGGTGCTGGAATCATCGAGTGAATGCTAACTGGTGTCTGCGACCAGAAATTACACGGCCAACAGAGACAGTACCAGGCTAGCCTGGTACACACACAACGTGTGTACGTCCTACAATGCCTACTCAGATCAACTCTGGACCTTCACCAAAGCCGGGACGACTTCGAGCACGGTACGAGCGGACGGGATCAACGCCCAAGGCATTTCCATCCGCTGGAAAGCCGGCGACTTCGCACCGCAAACAACAACAGCCGGCACCATTACCAGCAGTCCCACCAACGAACCCACAGCTCAAGCTTCAACGCATACGGCAAGCAGCGAGCTCTCCACCGGGGCCAAGGCCGGGATCGGGGTAGCTGCTGCAGTGGGCGCAATAATGATGGTCGCAATAGGGATCTTGATCTGGATGGTCCGACGCAAGAATAAGAGGTCAGAGGAGGCAGAAAGGTTTATGGCCAATTATGGTGCTGGAAGTGATGTTTCCACGGTGCCTGCGAGGACAACAGAGCCAGCCGAGTTGAGCAATACGTATCCGCGTCGTGCAGAGCTGGATTCAAGGTATACGCGGTGGGCAGAGCTCGATCCACAGGGGAGGTCGAGGCCGATGGAATTGGATACAGGAATTAGGAAGTCCTAGATGTGATCTGAGGTGTGACCTGATTATATTTTCCTCGATGGGGCTGCCAACGTCTGGCCGGGTACATTGGAAAAGCCATGCGCCCTGGTCCGCGCTGGTCCGCGAAGTCGCAGAAGCATCACTACAGGTGATCAACCTCTAAAGCTCACGAACGAACACGCTAAATCTGTAATTAGTGCGATTTATCTACTACACATGGACTGTCTCTGTTACGTCACCTACATAGGCGGCGATAGTACATCAGGGCCATTCCGTGAACGTCGCGTCAAGCTGGCGAATAATGTTAAGACACCTCAAGAAATGACTTCCCAGCTTTTGCAACTCAACTATCTAGACTATAAGGGAATAACATCCAATCTCGCCAGACACAACTTGCTTGTGTCTTGGACATTTCTCGATATGACAGCAAGATTCGAACTGAACACGGGTGCCGAAATCCCAGCGATTGGATTTGGTATCTGGCAAGACGAGAATAAACAAAAAGAAGCTGTTGTAGAAGCCATCAAAGCCGGATACAGGCACATTGACACCGCAAGAGTGTGAGTGGCCTTCAAAGCAAAATATACGAATCGTTCTAATTCTCAATTCCAAAGATAATTGACGGAGAAAGCCGTGGGCCGGGCCATCAAGAAAAGTGGCATCCCACGAGAAGACCTTTTTCATTACAACGAAGCTGTGGAACAGTAAGCATCATCCAGACGATGTCCTGCCTGCCTTACAGCAGTCCGTGGATAATCTTGACCTGGACTACCTGGGTCTGTATTCAATGCACTGGCCCTTTGCCTGGAAACTTGGAGAGGAGCTTTTCCCGAAAGAGAAAGGAAGATTTTTTATGGAGGATATAGACATTGTGGATGTGAGTTAAGCAAAATATCCAGCAAAATCAATCATCTGATTCCTCTAGACATGCAAGGCAATGGAAGGGCTATTGCCCACCAACAAGGTGAGGGCAATCGGCGTACGAATGTCGACCAAGCGAAAATGGAACGACTCTCAAGGAGGCTTCGGTGGTCCCAGTAGTCCACCAGATGGGATGTCATCCATGGCTATAACAGCGAGACTTCACCGCATGGCACCGGACGAAGAGTATTCACGTCAGCATTACTCGCCTTGGAAACCAGTATGCATTCTACAGCGAAAAGGCCGGCGTTGCGAAATTGAAAGAAGAGCCTGTGTTAGCAGAGACAGGAAAGCAGTATGAGAGAAGCGCTGCGCAGGTTACTTTAGGTAAGTCATTCCAAAATCAGCGTTCAATGCAAGCTTTAATTCGGTTGTTTAGCCAGGGGCGTTACGCTAGGTCACTCGGTATTGCCCAAGTCGAAGACGCCATCCCGAATCGAATCCAATAGTGAAGGAGATGTTAAGCTTGGACCTCCGAATATGCAGAAAATTGACATAATCACAGGAAGATTAGATTAGACGATAGCAGTGGGGAGTTTGGCAGATCCTTTTTCATGGATTTGGAGGGTAAATGAAAGGCCAAAGAATCGGAACTTGAATGAAGAAAGCGGGAACAACCTTTAGGTATCTTTATTCTGGTTTCATGAATTAGTACGCTTGAACCTGCCAGTGAAACTTGTAGTTGACTATTGATTTCCGTTTTAGTCCACGCTCCCTGCCATGATCCATGACGTCATCCGTGCCAGCATCAAGGGCGAAGCTGTTCCGTTAGAGCTCATCCGAGATCAATCACTCACCATATCAGACAATTTGATGGCATTAGTTTCACAGGGATTTGCTCTAGTCACTCCCGCCTCGAGAGGCATAGGGCTTGCATCCGCGCAACAGCTGCTTACTCAAACCCAGCTCCCGGTCGTGGCAACTGCGCGCAGGAACTGCGACGAAGTTCGAGACCGAATCCTCTCCTGCAAAACCCTTTCATCGGATGCAGAGAAAAGGCTTCGGATGTTCGAGGTCGACGTCAAACGTACGCCGAAGGAGAAGTCATCTTCCATCAACATGGAAGAGAATTTGTTTTAACATGTACAGATGAATCCACCATATCATCGATGACAGATACTATCCGAAAAGAGTATCCTGAAACACCACTTCGGCTCGCCCTGACAGTTCCTGGAATCCTTCATGTTGATAAGTCGCCATCGCAGGTTGATGCTGCCAGCGCACTGGAGAGCTTCCAGGTCAATGCCCTCGGTCCGCTTCTACTTATGAAGCATCTTTCTCAGTTGCTGCCAACCCGATCTGCATCTGCATTTGAACCCACCAGTGCATCCGGATCCAACAGAAACAATTCGTTGAATCTACCATCTCATGCTATATATGCAATGATGGCAGCCCGAGTCGGCTCGGTTTCTGATAACTCGTCCGGAGGCTGGTACTCGTACCGCGCGAGCAAGGCATCGGTATTCCAATTGGCGAAATCATTTGATCTATATCTGCGATCAAGGTCAGGCCAGAAGGCTCTTGCGGTGGCCTTACATCCTGGGACGGTGCGCACCGATTTTACAAAGGAGTTTTGGAAAGGGAGAGATATGCTGGAGCCTTTGGATTCGGCGGAGCGTTTGTTGCGATTCCTCGTGGAGATGCCCCCCGATATCAAAAGTGGAAGAGGGAGGTGCTGGGATTGGAAGGGAAATGAAGTGTACCCATGAGGTTCAGTTTCTCTGAAATGTCTGGGATGCCTCAGCCAGCTTCATTCTGGTCTTAGCGATACATTGGACGAATCCTTCTATGTCAAAGGAAGTATCCCAGCAGACCAGCATCATTTGCGGTGCAAGCGAGACCGTCACATGACGTCCAACTCACCTATTTCTATTCAACTCAATTCCCGTGTGTATTTGACTCTAAACATGTTGCATCCTCCAAAAACGCTCTCGTCAAGCCGAGAAATTGAAGTTCCAAGCGCCCGAAAGTGATTTCTAATGGGGAATTTTGTTATTCCATAGCACAGAAGGGCACCCCGGGACTCTCTCCAAGAATTGTACAGAAACCCAGGGTAAGAGTCCAGGGTAGGAATGGTAAGCGAGAATAATGAATATTTTATGATCGGTCCCACTTTGGAGACAGACCCAACAGACTACCCGTTGGGGAAAGTTTGTCTGGAAGACAAACTGCGCTTTGAGCTCGCGGCGGTTCCCGTATTCCCCTTTATAACGGCCGCTCCACCCACGAATTTTTTTTCTTTCCTTCCGTGCCCGCGAATATTTTTCGCATGGAGCTGGGAGCTCCCCAGCTCCTCCTTTTTCTCTCTTTTTCTCGAACGTGAACAGCTTCTGCTGTCTCCGATCAACTCACCCGCCGATGGGACCAAGTACTCGAGGGAACAAGGACGCTTGATGATGGCTGTTCTCGAGCTCGAACCCGAAATTTTCTCACTATTCATAAAAGGTAAATCAAAACAGCCTCTCCGTTCCTCTCCCCCCTCTCCCTTGGATGATGATCAATCGACATGCAAAGGCATTCCTCAATCTTAAGATATCGTGTGGAATCTGTCATATTTTTAAGTTTCAGCCTTGTCTGACACAACTTCAATCTGCCTCGTTATGCATCGGCACTTCTGGCGAACCATTTGCTAACAAGTTACTGTGCAGGTAAATACCAACTCTCCGTCAATCTCTTCCCACCCGGCATGTGTCTAGCATGAAGAAAATTTGAACGAACGGGCGGACATAACGTATCCACCGACCTGCGGACATCAAAAACAGAGCGTACAAACTCTGTGGACGTACGGGAGGTGGAATACTTGTTGAGAACTCGTCACCTGATCCTTTGCCCATAATCACATGTTGTCGTGGACTAAGAATTTGTCCTTGACCCTCGTCTAACAGTGATTATAGGTAATCAACTCTTTCTCTTTGCACATACCCCACGGTTTCTCTTCATGGCCAATATTATATGATGAATCTGTTATTCACACTGTTTGACCCGAGCACTTCGGTGTTTCGGGAATGAACATCATTATACAAAAATCTGATTTAATGAGGTAGGTGATTCCTGCTTCCCACATCGACCAAGTTGGACCGATTACTAATAATTTACCACAGCCTGACACATTGCCATGTTTTGATCTCGCATTCCAAGCTTGCATCATATTTGAGTGCTCATTGCTGACTCGGCATGATCAATCTCTAGGACCTCACAATTCACAGTAGATACCCATCAGCTTAAGTGTGAGTTATCCTCCTACATTACCGTCTGCCCCTTTTTATGATGAGCAAAAAATTTTCGCTGTGTTCTTTCTGAATTACATTGAAGATAAACAATTTTATTCACCTTGGAGACCTGATTCACACCTCATCAACACGATATGCCACTCATCTCTTGCGATGAATCATTGCTAATAAGCTTTGCAGTTTTATACCCCCTGAGTTGTATTCAAATGAATTCATTATTATACTTAATTTCTGCTCTCCCTTAAAATCATTCGTAGCCTATTCTCGTGCCCCAGACTCCCCTTAACCACATCACTCCAACACCTTGCTGCAAACAAATCAACGGCAGATCTCTTCACTCCACCCAATGGCCATGCTGCTTGTGCCACCCCTCGAGGCTCGTCTCTCCATTATAAGTCTCATGGACAGACTTCTTGCCCTCGGGCCATCTCGCCCAGGCAGGCTTTGAGTTATTCATCACGCAAACCATCTCATCCGGCACAGGCAATTCAGTGTCAATAGCTGATGCAAATGGATGGATCAGCTCGGGCCAGTGGTGGTCCCACAGCCAAAGCATAGAGCTGCAGTTGGAGCAAAAGTTTCGGTCCGAGGAGCAACGCTCTTCCGTCGGAGTGCCGCGATCTTTGATAGCGTTGTATTTCCTGGAAAGGAATTAGCAATCCTTGTCCTTGTTTGTTTGCTCGTAGATCGAGTGATGTTTGAAGTCGTACTTGATCAACTCCTTTCCTTTCAGCACCTGCAGGCTGTTGGCAATACCGCCTAGGTTCACGGCACCCACATAGCCACCCACTTTGCGGCAGATACTGCAAGCGCATAGCTGGTAAGGCACAGGCGTGTTTGACTGCAGAGTAAACTCCACGCCGCCGCACTGGCAGCTACCATCAAGTTTCCTGTGGCAGCGTGTTAACGTAACCAGTCAAACGTGGCGGAAGGCGGATAGGTCAAGCGACGGTGGGGTAACTCATACATAGGCATGGTAGTGTGCAGTTGTTTACTGGGACTTGGCAAATGGCAGTGTAGCAATTTCGGAAGAAATCAAAGATGGAGGAGTATCTTGGTGAGCGACGTGAGATAAAGTTACTGGATCTTGGACGTCACCTCGGCCATATATATACTTCCCGAGCACAAGCGTCTGCCACCGCGTCAAATGGTATCCTGTCAAGCAAACAAGACTCTTCCAATACGATTGATTTATTTAATCCAATCTCCAATCGCCTCCCAGTGATTTGTCCATCGCACAGGCCTCAGCCCCAGTCCTGCTTGCAGAACGACATCATCGTTCGTGATCGAGCCTCCTGGTTGGCTGATGGACCTGTTTGTGCTGTTTGCTCTGTTTGTCTTCGGCTCGGCGAAATCGATTTGATGGCGGCGTTCAGCTTCGCCGCCGCTTGCACCAACAAAACAGCCAGACAAGCCAATTGTTGCTCATTTCCAGAGAGGAATTCTCTTACATCTATTGACGATGAGCTTTGGAGCCCCCGGAGGCGGCTCGGTCAACTACAAGCCTACACCGTGAGTGCCCGCCGGAAGACTCGAGATCTTTGGAACATGCGCTCTCCGCGCCTGGAGATGGGCTGAGGTTCGAATACGCACTTGGCGACAGCTTAGCTAACTCTTATTTACAGGCCTGAGCGCGGCAGCTTTCCCCTTGACCATGAAGGTGAGTTCTCCCGCAACACCTGATCCTCAAACGATCCGCGCAAGCGTGGCGATAGAACGGCGCATAACGAGCAAGTCTAACAATACTCTGCTTACTAGGAGAATGCAAGCACATTATATCCGGATACCTGAAATGCATCAAATCCAACAAGGGCACCAACGATGAGGCATGCCGCAAACTTGCGAAGGACTATCTTTCCTGCCGCATGGACAAGTACGCCACACCTACTAGGACTACTCGCGACAGAATCAACAAATTACTCGATAGGCTTATACCTATCAAGAGAACGATTCTGGAAATTACAAGAATCCATTGCTGACAAGAATTTTATCTGCAGGAACCTGATGGCGCCGGACAATTTCGAGAATCTTGGACTGGTATTCAAGGACGGCCAGGGGGGGGCCCAACTCGCCGGAGACACAACGTACGCAAGGAACGGAAAATAAAAGCTGATCTGGAAAACTGCATTTGGTGGAAATCTTGTACGATATTGCGGAACCTGGTGCAGCCCTCACTTGAAGTTGCGACCGATCCTTAGGGAGTAGATTGGCGTTTTTGGAGGGCATTGTATATACAATATCATCTCTGTTCCATATATTCAGAAAGCCTGCGCTCAATTCTATCTAATATACCTGAATATAAAAGCTCATCCAAATGGACGCAAGTCAGCCCTGCAACCCACTCATTGGCCCGAGTCGCCCATGCGGGGAACTCCAGGCGGCTCCGCCCAAGGTAACCGTCGCGAACTGCAACATCTCCAATTCCCCTCCATCCCCCTCCAACAATGCCATGTCGTCAATCGCCCGCCCACCAGACCCGTGCCTGGTAGCGGTCATCCTGATCGTGCGCTCGCGCACCGGCCCCCGACTCGTCTTCCACTACCCACCGAACCCACTGAGCGAGAACCGACTCAAGACAACGACGAAGGGCGGCCGACGCATCTCCCGCACGCGCAGCAGACAAGGAACCAGGAATACTGACTCGAGCTCTAGCTCTGAGAGTGGACTCAGCTCCGATGAAGATGACGATGACCGGGAACGTGAGCGCGACAGCCAGAACCAGAATCCTGTTAGCGGAAGCTCGCATCTTGGCTCGAGCTTGGTGCCGGGTCGGCGGGCGAGTAACTTCGGCTTGGACGAGCATGGAGTTATCTCTGCTTCGCCAAGTGCGATTGAGCCACAGCGACCGGGGTCGTTGGGCTCTGGCCGAGGTTCGACGCGTAAGCAAAAAGGAAGTACGCTTTCGGACGGAGAGGATGATGGTACTTCGGATCAACCTGATGGGTCGGGTGCCTCGTCCCGTGCGCCCTGGGAGTCTCTTTTGGGTCTACCCGGGAGTGTTTGGGAGAAGCTACTCAGCCCGTCTCGGTCGTGGCATAAGCGACGTTATGAAGTCGGGATCAATGATCTGGCGTTGATTGGGTGGCCGGTCTTTGTACGCGAGGATGGCACCTGGCGCAAGCAGCGCCGGAAGAAGAAGAAGAAGCCCCGTGCGGAATGGGAGGGTGGCGAACTGGGCCATAATGAGAATGCAGAGGATGGACAGCCAGAGGATGTGGTCGTCTCGCCTGACATGGGGACAAGCATTGCTTCCATTGCGGATTCGCTGGTCTCACCAACTGATACGACCAAGCGCGCGTCGACAGTTAGTGCGAAGATCGGGAAGTCAGTGGATGACAATGATGACCCAGAGGACAAGGACCATATGACGATGTTCAATGTCGTATTTGTCATGGATCCGCCTTTGCTGGAGTATTCCATGCGGGTCAAAGAGATCTATGAGAACATTATCAAGAAGTTTGCGAAAGCGCTCAAGTGGGAGCAGGCCCGCACGGGCTATGTGTGGAAGGAGTCGCAGCATATCCTCCAAGTGCGGCGAAAGGCCCGAGAGTCGAGTGAGTTCGATTCTCCCTCGGATTCTCAATCCGACAATACTAACTACCGAGCAGAAACATCGGTACACAATCTCTATTCGGAGCTGATCAATCAATCTTCCCTCGCACGGGCGATCTATACCGTGTATACCAGCATCTCCGCATCGAAGATCGCATCGGTCTCACTTAGCGCGGATGTTTCGATTTCACTGCAGATTCCCCCGCTGACATCCACGCCGTACCTTGCTGGCCCGACAGACAAGGCATACCCAGGCCTCTGGCTGACGACCGCAGACAGTGCCACCCCCATCGATGACCCTGGCACAGACGAGAACAATGCGCCGCACCACGTCCTGGCCAAGCACTTTGCCTTGCTCTTGCTGGACAGCGAAGCTTCGATCATCAAAGATGTAGAGGCGTCCGGGGGCACTCTGGCTCCCGCGTTGGCCCATTACATTCGATGTTCGAAACCGACCAAGTCATTCGCTCAAATATCCGCCGTTTCGGGAATCCCGCTGCACACCATTCAGATGCTGGCCAGTCATTTGGTCTACTGGCGCCGCGCGCGTGCCATCCCTCCTATCCACCAGCGCGACACTTACATCGTCTCGCCCAATTGCGACCTGAGTAAGCTAGAGGTTGCGACCATTGCGTACCAGACGGCATTCCCGACGCTCCCCAGTCTACCTAAGATGCTGTCCGCCCTGAGTGGTACACCGCGTCCTTATGGAAGCTTCATTCCGAGTAAAGACCACAAGGAGACATACTTTGCCATATTGGCCTGGCTGCTCCGCGGTGGCTGGGTGACCCAGCTCAGAACCTTTGCCCGGATCAGGGTGACACCCGAGATTAAGATGGCCGTTGAATTCGCCCTCCGCAAAGAAGAGGTCGATCGCTACCTGGCTAAAGGAAACTCCAACTCCAACGATAAAGAAGAAGACGATTCAGACGAGGACGACGAGGCTGCTTCCTCTTCATCCTCCTCCCTCCAAAGCGATGGAAGCGGCGACGAAACACCCATGCCTGGCCGAAACGATCCCCAAGCACAACTCCGGACATCTCACAAACTCCTCGACCGGTCCACTGCCCTCCGCTACTCGTCCCTCATCCTCTCCCCACACCGTGCCTCCCCACTGGAATCCCGCTGGCTAGACGAGATCGTCTCCCGATTCCCTGACAAGCCTGGCCCCGGACAGGAAATCGTCGGGATGAGTCCAGACATCGCGCCCAAGGACCTCCAAACCCTCCTGAAGAATTACTGGCCCGTCTTCCTGAAATACTTCAACGGCTACGACGCCCTGGAGAAGATACCCGTCCGCGAGAACTTGAAACGCAAGCTCGTCTGGCAAGTTCTCACGCGTCTCGGCTTCGTGACCGGGCCCCTGGGGTCAGTTGAGCTGGACGCGCGAGAACAGGTTCTTGTCGGGGTCCGACATTGGTAGTTGCGACATGCATGTCCAACCTCCTTTGGAGATCTCCTTGCAATTTGTATTAGAGTTTGGAGTTTTTTATCCCTTTGGCGCAAGCTCGATACCACCATTGTACATTATGCTATCCTCTAGTAGTTAGCGTACATCTAGCGATCTATCCGATTAATTAACAACTGAACCCTCCATACACTTTGTGTAGTCCTGCTTCGTAGATCATGGAGACGCTCGCCCGAGAAACGCCCAGGTTGTGGCCGGGGTAATACCGATACTCGCCGCACTAGCATGAGACAGCCGTCCCAGGGGCCCGGCCGTAACGCAAATACTCGAAAACCCACAGCGAACCCGACGAATTCCGTGCCCTCAGCCCTAATCGCTGCCGAAAACCGAATCGAGTCTGTAGATGTTACCAGCGGCACTAGTCCGAATGAACGAGTAGTACTATACCCTACCTAAGGGCAGGGCAAAAGGATCGGAGTAACGAATTTTGTGAAGAGCGAAAACACTTACCCTAGGGTACCCCTAAAGTACAGTAATGTACTGCACGGTGCGACCGGGCCCGCCTCAAGCTCGACTCTAGGACCCTGCGAGAAAACCCTGATGGCCCCCATTGCCTCCATCACATTCATCGGTCGCACAGAATAGCCGGAATGACGAGGGGGCTCTGGGCCGTTGATCCGGGCCAATATTGGCGCAACTGACGATTCGGATTGGTACGGTAAAGTAGTTACATACACGACCTTAGTCAGTGCCGCCAGGTACCCGAGGGAGGCCGGCGGGCTTGGGACGGAGGAGTATATCCGGTTCTCCACGGCTTGTGAAGAGGACTAGGTCCAAAGGGGTATGAAGGTGTTCCGGGGAATCATGCCACCGTGAGTAGTTCATTTGGGCATTTGCTACTATGCCTCAACCTATGATCCGAGCTTCTTATGGTCGACTCAGCTCTGCTACATACTGCTGTACTGTCGGTATTCGAGAATTGACCCTGCTCGGCCCAGCCAATTAGCCCGAACGGAGGCCGGTGGACCCCGCGACGTTGAAAAAAATTGTGAAAATGTGCCGTTCATGTCCACTTCTTACCTAAGAAATCGAAAAGGTCTGATGCCAATTACACTGTCCGTATAATTTGTACAAGCGTGGGAAAAGTCTGCCATTCAGCTGTATCCAGAGAATACCAGCGCCTTTGGAAGTACATTATGTATAGGTACTGTCAAGGCGACTGAGTCACTCCTAACCATAGTACATCTTATTGGCTCACTTTGCGGTGCCAGGCATGCCGGCCCCTTCCTTTCGGGCGTGCCTTCCTTAGCATGGCGCGCTTACCGTAGCTTCTCCTTTGGGAGAAGCCGATGTCACTGCCTTTCCAGGGAGAGGCTGTTTGAGTAGGTGACTGTACGTGCTGTAATTTATTTGATGGTTGCTGCTATACTACCGCCTACCTAGTACTTACTGCTATGTAATACAAGAGCAACTGCCTGACTATCGTCGGGGATGACCAATAATGGTCACGGGATGAGCTATTTCTCCGTCATTGTCATTGGACCTGCCGATGTTGTTCCTGAGGCTCAATGGGTAGGTGCGGTTGATCGTGCGATCACCGTAGCAGTCGGTATACCTATACTGTCTAGGGCAACGGGACAGCTTAGCGACAGCCGAGGCCAGTGCAGTTGGATCAAAGGACTCAACCCCAGGGATCCGACAGTATACCCGTCGAGCACTGGCGTAACAGTGTAACGGGCGGTAATCCTCCAGCATCGTCAAGGAGAGGGTACAATTGTACGTTGTGTACGACTCGTACTGCCCCAGGCAGAAAACCTTGGGAGCCCAGCGGGACCTCTCTCTGTGCGACGCTTCAACCGTTCGCACGGGGGATTCCGCAGGGCCAGCAAGTAACCAAGAGATTAAAGAGAGCAGAATGAGAGGAAATTAGGAAACTGTCTTATTTTGCCGTCCATTATTTTTTACTGCCGGGCCCTGGTGCCTGCCGTAGGCCACAACAGCGTAGTTCCGGGGACCGTTAATTACCAAGTGACTGACCCCCGCTACCACAGCCGATTACCAAAATAATAATTTTGCGTCCCTCCACCTTCCTCTCCTCCTACTCTTCACCACTCCCCTCGCCTCCGCTCCTCCCCCTCCTTCGTGCGTCGCACTCTCTCCAGCGTTCAGCCATCTGCTAAACCTTTCTGCAGTCCCGCACTGCTCTCGGTGGTCTGCGTCGCGCACCTGCTTCGTCGTGCGAGTTTCGTCTCCGAGTCTCTGCCGGGCACTCCTTCCTCCCGCACCGTGACTACGATCGAGACTCAGGTCCCCCTCTCGTCTCTCCATTTCTCCTACTCTCCCGACCTCGACCGACCTCGTCGTTCAGTTCGCTCCGCTTTTTTCCCTCTTCGTTCCAAGGGATCGACCTTCCGAACAACCACGTCCGGACTTTTTGCCGACCCTCACGTCCCTCCTCGCAGCACGTTTCTCGGCCCTCCAAAAAGCCCCTCCGGTTTTCAAGAGCGTGTCTGATTCCAACGACGGTGGCCATACACTGAGAATTTCTAAGCCACGAGATTTTCGGCAGATCATTGTGCGGGCCACCCAGCTCGTCTCGTTCCGTGTCTGAATCGCTTCGGCAGTGACAAGGCAGCGCCTGTCCACTCAGACACTCTTTCATTTATCGCCGGCTCTGTGCGTCTGGGCTCATAGCGTCCCAGATCACCACCGTCACACTTTCGCTACATATTCGCTCCGGCGACTCGTGATCTGTGGTCTAGATCGCCAACCCGTACACCTTTTCTACGACCCGCGATACGTCGTCTCGACAACTCTCGCAGCAGAGTTTCGTTCCGCTTTCACAACATCTGTGCAGACAACCCTGAACAGTAGGGAAGCTTCGTTCCACCTATTCTCCCTGGTGCTGGAGACACGCACGCGAGCGTCGAATTGAGCTCTCTAGGATCGTTAGCGGAAAAAGAGACTCCCCTCTGAGAGAGGAGTGAATCCTGCGAATCCGCACGGACTTTTTTTTCTTTATCACCAATACCTTTCTCCACAACCATCGTTTATCCCAGCGACACGATGAGCGCTACATTTTCTTACGCGCAAGCCGCAAAGGGCTCCTCCGGGCCATCTGTGACTACCAAGACCGTACCTACTGAGGTGCAAAATACCGAGTTCAAGCCAGAGGACTCGAGCAATGACGCTACTCCTGAATCCGTTACCACCGCATCCGAGGCCGAGACACCGAAGGAAACCGAGAAGTCCACACCAACTGAGACCAAGGACGATGAGTTCACCACGGTGACCAGCAAATCCCGAACCAAGGCTCTCCACCCTCGAAACTCTTCCTCAAGCGTCCGATCATCGACCAAGGAATCCAAGGAGAGCGATTCCTCAAATACCGCGAACGGAAAGGCCGAGTCTTCCTCAGAGAAAAAGTCGCAGACTGATGCGAAGACTGAGAAATCCGAAAATGCTATGGAAGGATCCAAGGACAAGTCTGAGAAGACCGACAAGACTGAGAAGGCCGAGAAGGCCGAGAAGGATACTCCCCCGAAGGAGTTGAAGGCCGCTCCTCTCCCCTCAGTCAACATCTGGCAGCAGCGGAAAGAAGCCCAGGAACTCAAGGCCAAGACAACGCCCCCCAAGTCCACCGGCAAGACTGAGGAGAACCAGCAGGACTCCAACAGGTCTAACTCGAAAAAGAAGGGCACCGACGGCCAAACAGAGGGCTCCAAGGCCGGTAAGAAGACCGAGGGTGGAAAGGGACGTGACGAGGCACTCCCACCTGTCGGCGATGCTTCATTGTGGCCCACTCCCGAGGTTGCAATTGGAGAAGAAAAGAAGAAGGCCCAAGAAAAGACTGATAAGACTGAAAAGACCGAGAAGGTCCCCGTTGCGCGCACTCACGGCAAGGAGAAGTGGACTCCCGTGGACTTTGTCCCTAACGCCGTTTTCAACACTCCCCTTCCTCAGTCTGGCCGTGGAGGTGCTCGCCGATCTGCCCGAGGTGGACGTGAAGGTGGCCGTGGTGGTGCCCATGCCGCCGGTGACAAGTCTGCTGCTGGGCAGGCTCACCAGGGAGCTACCGCTAAGCAAGCCGGTGGCGAGCGAGGACGCAATGAGGCTGGCTCCGGTCGCGCAGCCTCTCTTCCCGCGCAGTCGCACCGCTCGGCCAGCGCCGATGTCAACAACTCGGAGGGACGCAAGGCCCAGGGCGGCGAGCGCGGCCGTGGACGTGCCACCGAGGATGCGGCCGCTGTCAACGGCAAGCAGTCCAACGAAAACGCTGGCCGGCCACAGAAGCAAATGAACAAGAACAACAACGCTCAGAACTCAAAGAACCCGAATCTGGCCGTGGATTCTCAAGCTGCCGCCCGTGCTACTGACCGTCGCACCGAGTCTGGATCCAAGTCGGCCGACCCGACCGGATTCTCCGAGTTCAACCGTGGTGGACGTGCCAACAACCGTGGTGGTCGCGGTCCTTACAGCTCCTTTGCTGGCCAGAACTCCCAATTCGGCAACCCGGCCAATTCTGGCTTCGTCCCCAAGTCTTTTGGCTTCAACGAGCAGCGTCAGCGTTCCCACAATGGCTTTGCTAATGGCAACGGCCATCAGGGCAACCGCATGCCCATGCGTTCTCCCTCCTTGCCTGCTTCGGGCAACATGTACAACCCCTACACTTACCCGGGTGATATGAACGCCATGTACGGCTACCAGCCCATGGGCCCTGCTCCGATGAACGTGCCGTTCCAGCCGGCCCCCGGAGGAGAGTACATTTCGGCCTTGCTGGTTTCGCAGATGGAGTACTACTTCTCTGTTGATAACATGTGCAAGGACATGTTCCTACGTCGACGTATGGATTCCCAAGGCTGGGTTCCTTTGACCTTCGTCGCAGACTTTAAGCGCATCAGGTCTCTGACCGACAACCTCGAGTGGATTCGATTCTACGCCCGCCAACTCCAAAATGCCGAGTACCAGATCTTCGAGGATGGGGTGGATCGGATGCGTGTCCGAGAGAACTGGGCTCAGTGGGTTTTGCCTACTGACCAGCGTCACCCGTCCGCTCAGCATGAAGGTGCTGTCCCGGTCAATTCCACCGGCAATGCCGATGAGAACGTTCCATTTAACGCCCCTAGTGGCGCGATCCCGAACGCTCGCCAGCCATCCGTTCACAACGACTCCGCCTACCCTCGTGCGTCCCACACGCTGTCCTCTACGGCACCCGAGTTCAAGCCTTCGGCACCGATGGCCGCTCAACAGGACATTGCAAATGTAGGATACCACCCCGCCCTGCAGATGTCCCCAGGATGTTACCTTGAGGGATCTGTGTATGACCCCTCCTTCACCGGGTCCCGCCACGGGCCCCACTACTACTATGGTGTTAACGAATTCCCAGCGCGCGGATTAAATCCGAACACCCCGCGCTTCTTCCATCCTCCGCCGCCGAGTGGGTAAGCTAGTAGATTCCGACACGACGACGCCAAGGCTTTCCAACCCCCTCCAAGCAATAACTCACAGTGATTTAGTACTCGGGATGGGAAGAATTCAGGTGAAGCTTGTCCTACCGGTCCACAGGCTATGGTTAAACACCGTCGGGGGAAACACAGACTCGAGTCTAAAAAGTCCAACAATGCTTTCAATCGTTATGCGCCACCCAATCTTGCATCTGGCTCTCGAGGCCAAACATCGAACATAAATACATCTTTGTCACCAATTCCTGAATCCGCTGAAACTCCGTCCTCCAACCAAGCATCCTACCGTCTCTGGTTTGATACATTGTCTCGCAACTTCGACCTCGCTGTGTACCGTGATTTTCACCGCAATGTTCTTGAGGACCTATATACACGACGCGACACGTATGGGTTCGATCTTCTTCTGGATTACTACGAAAATGCTGTTTACGGTCCCGCTCATATTGACGATGAGGTCCTGGTGGACCTGGCCGATTTTGACAAGAATAAACAATATTCTATTTTTGCACGAGTCACACAGATGCTGGAAATGGCCTATAAAAACAGGGCAATGGAGCAAACCAACTTTATCAGGTTGAGACGGTTTCGCATCAAAGCCAAGAAGCGTAACTATCGCTTTAAACACGGGCTCTGAACTCATTTCTCGTTTCCGGTTGCTTTTCGAATACGGGTTCTTCGGTGTCACCATTTCTACGTCGTATTTTTTTTCCTCGTTACGACCAGCATTGTTGTGTTCAAAAGGTCTTGCATGCATCTTCGCCCTTCGACTTCTTCTTTCCTCGACTGCCGACTGGTTCTTTCTCAGCGCCAATGGCGGCCTGGTCTTTCTTCCGTCCATTGCGAAGCCTCGGAGTTCCTCATCCTGGATCCTTTTTTGGGGCAGTTGCTTGCTTTTTTTTTTCCATGGCCTATCTTTTTTCAGTTTCTCCGGAGTCCGGGCATGATATTACAGGGCAAAATATTCCCTTTCTTTTCTTTTCTTTTTTTTTTTTTCGATGCCTATTTTCGCGGTGTCTGGGACCAAAAAATGCGTTTGTTTCTGCTTTCCCCCGTGTACCTTCTTCTGATCATAGAGTTTTTTTGTGATTTCTTTTCCCCCTTCCCACCTCTTCCTCGTCCCTAGCCCGCTTTTTTGTTGACGCTGCCTCTTCTACTTCCTCTTATTCTTATTTTTCTTCTTATTCACATCCTTATTTGTTCGCTCTCCATTATCATTATTGATCTTCATAACCATTATCGATATCATTGTCATGATCGATTCAGTCTGCTTGTGCCGATCGCCCTAGCACCATGTGCTGGATCTTAGGGAATATCAGTGAAAATGACGGTGCTATCGACCCTGAGCAAAAGCAACGGTCGAGCCCAACAATGAAAAAAGTCTTATTTTCAGCAATGTGAATATTCCGGTTCCGAGGTGCCTGTCGCTGTCGTTGGCCCTGTTCTACGTCAGCGAAGCTACACCACTGTCCATCCTTCGTCGTTTGCGTGACCATCGTTTGCGCCACGCATACCTTGATCAAATACCCTTTCTTTCTGGAGAACCAGAAAGCTGTGTCATGTTTTCTGTTCGGAGTATAATGTGCATACCCCAGGTCGTTGTGGGTTTTTGGCGTATGGTGCTTCATTTGTTTCGAGTATCTTCGGATCTTGGTTGTTGCTTTTGGCCTTAGTGTTTGTAAATGTCCTTTTTCGCTACTTGTTCAAAGCGGGACATGAGTAATGAATAATAAAGAATCTTTCATGTTCCACTTCGAGGCCTATACATTAACGCATACCATTGTAGAAATCTTGTGGTACGAGCTTCCCTCGGGTCGTTGGATACTTGGCACATCCTTCTCCGCACTGCGGGCCGAGTGCAGCCTCAGGCACCCGCACTTGGACCAACCGGAGCAACCACGATTGGAGCCTTTGTCCCGACAGCTCGCTCACTCTTGACATTCTCCCTCAACCCACCTCTTCCCCTCGAACCCGACCGTACCACTCCAAAATGGAGGGAGCAACCCGCCAGGCTTCGAGACTAGTACAGTCTCGGGGCACAAATATCCTCCAGCAACGCAGCCACTCGCTTCGACCAACCGCCGCAACATGCGTGACCCGAACACAGTTACGAGCTGTATCAAGCTCCCCTCGCAACCTTGCCCCCGAATCTCTCTTCAGCGGCTTCGTGGCGGACTCTCAGCAAAATTCCCGCGGTGCGCCGACGTATTTTAACAACCGCCCAACCCTCCCCGCAAACACCGTTGTGCGATTCGTTCCTCAGCAGACAGCATGGATCGTCGAGCGCATGGGTAAATTCGACCGCATCCTTGAACCAGGTCTCGCGATCTTGGTTCCGTTCTTGGATCGCATTGCCTACGTTAAGAGCTTGAAGGAGTCGGCTATTGAGATTCCGAGCCAAAATGCCATCACGGCGGATAATGTAACCCTGGAGCTGGACGGTGTGCTTTACACCCGTGTGTTTGACGCTTATAAGGCTAGGTATGTACGGATCAATGGACTCAACTTTGTCATCATCAATGGAACAGCAGCTAACAGTCTCTGATCTTCAGTTACGGCGTCGAAGATGCAGAATACGCCATCTCTCAACTTGCGCAGACCACCATGCGATCGGAGATCGGCCAGTTAACCCTCGACCACGTCCTGAAGGAGCGTGCCACCCTCAACACCAACATCACACAAGCCATCAATGAGGCTGCCCAGGAATGGGGTGTCGTCTGCCTCCGTTACGAAATTCGGGATATCCACGCTCCGGAGGCCGTCGTCCAGGCCATGCACCGTCAGGTCACCGCGGAGCGATCGAAGCGCGCGGAGATCCTCGACTCTGAGGGCCAGCGCCAAAGTGCCATCAACATTGCTGAGGGTCGCAAGCAGTCCGTTATTTTGGCTTCGGAGGCCGAGAGGGCCGAGCGAATTAACCTGGCCTCTGGTGAGGCTCAGGCTATTGAGCTCCGGGCTGCGGCTACTGCTCGTGGAATTGAGGCCGTTGCCAAAGCTATCCGGGAGGGCGAGCACGATGCACACAGTGCTGTTAGCCTGAGCGTTGCTGAGAAGTACGTCGATGCTTTCGGCAAGCTTGCTCGCGAGGGCACTGCTGTTGTGGTGCCGGGTAATGTCGGTGACATGGGTGGCATGATTGCCAGTGCTATGTCTGTCTACGGCAAGGTCAGCGAATCACAGGCTAGGAATCTTGCTGCCAAGGCTATTGGTGCCGAGGAGCAGAAGCCCGTTGGCGATGCTGAGAAGGTCGAGGAGGTGGCATCTAGGGATGGCGTTGACGAGAGCATGCTGGAGGGTCTCAACGAGACCAACTACCAGCAGCAGCAACAGCAGCAGCAGCAATGAATCGACTGGCATGGGAAGCCTCCAGCTCAAGCCAGATGCGACTGATGATCTCCCCTTTTCCTGACGTGTGCCATTAATCTCCTTTGTTACCTTGCATCCATCCCGCCGACTGTTTATGCCACTCGCTTCGGTCGGCCCACCCTGTATCACACACACACACACACGCACACACACACACGCTCTCTCTCTCTGTGTGTGTGTGTGTGCTCCTCCTCCTTCCTATATGCCTTTCTGTTTTGTAGCGTCGTCTCTCACGTTCAAGGACGCCCGACACTTGCACCAGGCATGGGGGCATGACTTGGGAGGAAATGAAAACTGAAATTCGAAGGCCTTTTGTATGATAGGGCGCAGAACCAATTCCATCCTGCTCAATCAGTACAAACAAATTTCTGTAGAATTTTGATGAAATCCACTATATGCAATTGTAGCCGCATCAGTGATACCTCCCTGTTGGTATAGAACTTGTAGATTGGGGCGTTCTGGTTATAGTGCAAACGCGGGAGCTCGGGCCATGTCCCAAATCTGGAGATCGCGACTTTTCTATCGGGCGCGCCCTCGCTACTTCCCCCCTCCCCCCTTCATCTCTTTCGCCCGCGCATTCGGACCGAGATACCCGACCTCTCTCCCCATCGCAGATCCAGGGACGGCCGAACCTGAGCTCAGGCTCTGCGATGCCGACGATAACAAACACCTAACCATCAACGCCCTACCCGTCTCTGCCCTGACATTGAACACGCCCTACCGCGCTCCACGCCCGACATTCACGCCGAGCCGAGCCTAGCAACACACGTCATCCCTACAATACAAATTGAAATACATCCCAGTCCGATCTCGACCGTCTTTGCTTTGAAGGAGGAGCGGCGCATGCTGCCTGCGCCGCGCGATGCATATCATCAAGCCTGTTTGGCTTACACATGGAGGTGGGTTCACCCTGGACGTGGCTCTTCAGCTGCTGGAGGAAAGAGTGACGGGGGTCAAACAAAGTTGTGAACTGCCAACTTTGATCTGTTGTGACAGAGAGAAGCTCTGGTTCCTTCGACTCTTTGAAGGATAGCGGGGCTAACTCGGGATTTTGAACAGGTGAACGGAAAGACTTCGAAGTCTACAGCTGTGATGTGTCGCCCGATGGAAAGAGGCTTGTGACAGCCGCCGGAGGTAATTTGCTCGTTGAAGATTCATACCCAGTCCGGAGCACGCAGGAGATGAGCGTTGCTGTTCGGTGCAAGCTTTAGAATCCCTGTGACTGACACGTTGGCTTTGCGCATAGATGGATACGTTCGAATCTGGTCTACCGAGGCCATATACAATACCGGTGATCCGGAATACGCTAGCAAACCGAAACAACTGGCTTCTATGAGCAACCACTCCGGCACGATCCACACCGTTCGCTTCTCCCCGAATGGAAAATACCTGGCCTCTGGTGCAGATGATAAGATTGTTTGCGTGTACACACTCGATGCGAACCCGCCTACGCACTCATCGACGTTTGGTGAGTTTTGATACGTTACTAAGTGGTTTAAAGTCCTGGAAGCAGGGGCTAATTGCATTGCGCAGGCACGGACGAAGCACCTCCCGTTGAGAACTGGCGTACGATTCGACGACTGATCGGCCATGATAACGATGTGCAAGATTTGGGGTGGTCGTTTGACTCTTCTATTCTGGTGTCTGTCGGGTTGGACTCCAAGATCGTTGTATGGTCGGGACATACATTCGAGAAGTTGAAGACTATTTCCGTGCACCAGAGTCATGTCAAGGGCATTACTTTCGACCCCGCAAACAAATACTTTGCGACCGCCAGTGACGACCGCACCGTTCGTGTCTTCCGTTTTACTTCTCCGGCACCGAACTCGAGCTCCCACGATCAGATGAACAATTTCGTGCTAGAGCATACCATTTCCGCGCCTTTTGCCAACTCGCCCTTGACCGCGTACTTCCGACGATGCTCCTGGTCACCGGATGGCATGCATATTGCTGCGGCGAATGCCGTTAATGGACCCGTCAGCTCAGTTGCAATCATTAACCGTGGTTCTTGGGACGGCGATATCAACCTCATCGGTCACGAGGCCCCGGTCGAAGTATGCTCGTTCTCGCCGCGTCTCTATTCAAGAGACCCGCCGAAAAAGCAGCAATCCGACAATCACTCAGGTCAGCACCATATCACTGTCATTGCATGCGCCGGTGCCGATAAATCTTTGAGTGTTTGGATCACAAGCAATGCTCGCCCGATCATTGTTGCTCAGGAGATCGCCGCCAAGACCATCTCGGATCTTTCCTGGAGTCCTGACGGCAGATGCCTTTTCGCCACGGCTCTGGATGGCACGATCGTGGCTGCCCGCTTCGAGGAAGGCGAATTGGGTTGGGCTACGGAGATGGAAGAGAACGAGAAGTCTCTCACCAAGTTCGGTACCAACCGCAAAGGTGCTGGAATTACTGAAACGACAGACGGATTGTTGCTTGAGGAGCTGAGCAAGGCTGGTGAAATCAAGGGGGTACAGGGCCGAATGGGTGCGCTGATGGGTGACGGTCAAGATGCCGCCGTTAATGGCGATGCGGCTCAACCGTCCAACGGAACAACTCCAGCCCAAGCGCCTTCTCCGGCTGCCGAGAAGACGCAAACTAATGGTTCTGCGCCGACTCCTGCATCCACCGAAACACCCAAGCCCGATCTTCAGCAAGTGCGGCTGGAGAAGCTCAAGCAACGCCCTACCTACACCAAGGATGGCAAGAAGCGCATTGCGCCACTGCTGGTCTCTGGTGCGGGAGCAGGCGAGTCCTCTCTTCCCCAGACTCGCTTGATTGCTTCGATCGCCAGCCAGAAGAATGATGCGCCGACATCTATCGTTGACCTCTCAAAACCATTCGACGGTCTGCCAAAGGGTGGTCTGGCTGCTCTTATTCTCGGCAACAAGCGCAAGCTGGCTCAGCTGGAAGGCGACGAAGAGAATTCGGTTGAGAAGCGTGTGGCTCTGGCCAGTCAGAACGGTGCTGTCCCAATCATGTCCAACACCCCTGATGGGCTCCTCCCTGCACAATTCCAACCTCCCATCACTGGACAAGAGCCTACTCCCGAGTTTATACGACCTGCCGTTTTGAACCCCTGCATGAGTGTCTCCCAGAATCGACTTTCAGTCCCCAAGATCCGCACTCATATCTTGCGGGCTTTGGATTCAAGCGGAAATCCTACAGAGCCACCCGCTACCACAGGCGGCGCTGCTGGTGACTCGAGCAGCAAGTCCCGCGCTGTCGATGTAGTGTTCGAGGCCCGAAACCCTTCGCCCGCTAGCTTGACCGGCCGTGCCGTTGACCGAGAACCTGTTCGTCTGACACTCTTCCGCGGCGAACAGCCACTGTGGCAAGACTTCCTCCCTCGGACTGTCCTTCTTGTCACCGGTAACCAAAGCATGTGGGCTGCAGGCTGTGAAGATGGTTCTATATACATATGGACCCCTGCTGGTCGTCGCTTAGTGAGTGCTCTTGTCCTGGAAGCGCAACCCGTCATTCTAGAGTGCAACGGACCTTGGATCCTGTGTATCAACTCCGTCGGCATGTGCTACGTCTGGAACGTGAAGCACCTCTCGTCTCCCCATCCCCCCACCTCCCTCCAACCCGTCCTCGACGGCGCCCTCCACAGCCTCACCACACACCCCACCGTCGCACCCGCCGTGACAAGTGCTCGCATCAATTCCGAGGGGCGGATTGTCGTTTCTCTCACCAATGGCGAGGGATACTCCTACAACCCATCCATGTACATCTGGCAACGCGTCTCCGAATCCTGGTGGGCGGTCGGTAGTCAGTACTGGAACTCGACCGATGCTCCCGTCAGCAACCTCCAAGGTCGTGACAGCCAACCCGACACCAAGGACGCCAAAGCCTCTACTGCTGCAGGCATCATCCCCTTCCTGGAACGAAACACGACAAACGAGACCCTGCTCCGCGGCCGTGCTTATTTCCTGCAACGGCTTATCAAGGTCCTGCTCTCGCGAGAGGGATACGAGACTTTCGAGTCAAGTGTCTCCATTGCTCACCTTGAGAACCGCGTGGCAGCAGCTTTGTCCCTGGGTGCGAAGGAAGAATTCCGCCTTTACCTCAACATGTATGCCAAGCGACTCGGTGCTGAGGGTCAGAAGATGAAGGTCGAGGAGCTGCTTCGGGGATTGATCGGTGGCCTCTTTGAGGACGAGGAGGGCTCAGAAGCAATCAAGAAGCTGCAGAACAATGAGCGAGAAGGCCGCAATTGGCGCGAAGGCTCTGAGGACCTGTGTGGCTGGCCGCGGGAAACCTTGCTGAAGGAGATGATTCTTGCTCTCGGTATGTATACCCCCTTTCGCTTTCTTCCAACTCTTGCGTGGGGCTTTTCCTTGCTAACATCTTTCCAGGCAAATATCGCGAACTCCAACGTGTCACGGTCCCCTACGCTAAGTTGCTTGATATGGTGGACAGCTCTGAACAAGGAGATGCGATGAATTTTTGATCAACCTGCACCTTTGGTCATACCAAGGTCAACAGGTTGTTTTCTTTAGTCATTGCTAAAATGGGACACTCTTCGTGTCGGCGTTCATATGCGGTTCTGGTTAAATGGGTCAGGGGGTATTTTCTATGAGTTTCTGCATGGCTACAACTTCTTTTTCCCTTCACCCATTGCTTTCATAGGGTGGGGATCTTATTTCTGGGTTTATTTCTCCTCTTTGTACTTGTACCATACCTTCAGGTTTATCATAAGCCTTTTCTTTCCAACATGCAAAACTTGAATGATTTTCCAAAAATTTTGTATGTATTGTCGCGGGACTTCGCTCTGGGACAGCAGCCCGGGTGCTCTTCATATCTCATATCTCATGTTCAAGTATACACCTCCTCATCAAAGTCATCAAAAATCCAATTCTCCTCCAGCCGCCCCCTCTCCTCCCCCGTCTCCGCAGCCCCAAACGTCTCCCGCTTAAACTTCCTCTCACGCGCCTTGACTTTCTCAAACAACCCAGGCGGCACCCACCCTTCACACCCCACCCCAACAATATCCTCACACGCCTGCAACTGTTCATCCGCATCAGCCTGCGCCGCCTCTAACCGAAGACACTCCCGAACTTCCTCCTCAGGGAAAGAAATCGGACAGTCTTTCTCGCCAGTAATCTCCTTCCACTTCAGTGTCAGGGCAACCAAATCCGCCTTCAGTGTGACAACATCCCCTTCCCAGGGATCGCTCGCATGATGCCAAAGTTCCCTACGCAATTTATTTAATTTCTCCGCCAGCGCACGATGGTGCTCAGGATTTAACTCCTCCGTCTTCGAGAGATATTCATGGTGAAGATGGCGTCTGCGATACAACTCCGCCTGTTCGCGCTGCTCTCGTTCGTCTAAATCGGCCATGTTTTCTGGTGGTACGAGTGGTTCGACGAGGTCGTGACTTTGAATGGATAGTGGCGTGCCGCCTTGTAGGAATAGGGGCAGGATCTTGCTGTGTTGCCAGTCGATTAGGCCTTTGATTTGGAGGTCGCTTGTTACAATCACGTTGTTGGGTTGGAGATCTGGGTGTCGGAGTACTGGTCGGCATAGAGGAGTTTCTTTCGGGACCAATTGAGGCGCTAATACGAGATATTTCTTTAGGTTTGCGATGTGGTCCAGGGGTGATTGGGCTTTGTAGTCGTAGGCTTCTCGCCGGAGTCGTTGGAATGGTTGGACGGGTTTCCCGAATTTCTCGAGGTATTCGATTTCTTTCGTGGCGCCGGCGGCCAGAGCTTCGAAGGTATCTCTGTCTGCGAGATGTTAGCATGGCCTGAAATCATGTTCCAATGCTGAGAGGCGTATAGACATACATGGTCCACGTTCAGCAGACAAATTGAGCCGTTTCCCAAACCACAGCCGATACGAAGTATCCGGCCCAATACAGAACTGCTTCGCACTGATCGAGCTAGACCCCTCAATAAGAACCCGACGATGTTCATCAGGAACATCATCGCAGTAATATATACTTCCACCCGCCGGGAATCTTAACGCAAACAACCTCGCCTCCAACTGCACGAGTCGAGTAACGACAGTCGTCCTCTCTTTCTCATCCAACTCAAACCAAACATCGCCGAGATTCGTACCCTCGACCAGCTCCATGAAGATATACTCCGTTTCCGCGGGGTTCTCAGCCGTGGTCGAGTACCCAAAGACCAGCGGAACGGGAAAGCCATGCGAGCGGAGGAAATCCATCGTCGCGACCTCGCTCGCGACGACAAGCGACTTTGGCTCGGTGACAGGGTACGGAATGCGCGCGACGAACCGGAGTCCGTTGGCCATAGTAATCAGGAAACTGCGGTTAAAGCCGCCCTCGGCGAGTTTCTTGAGGCTGAGTACATCTTTCTCGGTTTGGTTCACTGATGCGGCTGCCAGACGCTTGAATTCGGCGATGTTGAACTCCCGTCGTCGTTCGGCGTGTCTTAGGTTGTTATTGTAGCTGTGAAATGAGTCAGTTAGGGAGATTAGTGAGAAGTAGAACTTCTGGACCGGTAACGCACAGCCATTTTCCAGTCGTGTATTCGAACAAATCCTCCTGCTGCATGTTGGGGGTTGAGGCGTTCGTGACGGCAATGCATTAGGCCGAGAAGTGGGGGGATGGGGACTCGGGAGTTGGCAGACACTTTATATCAATTCGGGGTCGTATGACGAAGCCACCAGACGTGAGAAGCTGTGAGAGCCCCGGGCCCAGGCTGCGCGTGCGCGGCTCCTAGATCGGGCTTAGCTGGGCTTCTTGGCTGGGGCGATGCCCGTCTGTGTCTTTTGAGGAAGTAGAGGATTCGTAGATTGGCATTTGCAATCTGACATTATGTCGATGATTTCATATTCGGAGAAAAAGTATTGTTTTTTTCGACGGATCAAATGTTAGTGCATGCGTCCGATTTAGCGCCCGCGCAATTAGCCGGCCAAATGCCGCGAACCACGAGACATGTACCTGGAATCACGTGGTTATTGAGGCAGGACAACGGAGATCCGGAGTTAAGAATGAATAAGTGCTAGATACATCTCGGAGTGTAAGAATACCTCGTGCTCCCATTCCTGGCTGGTCGCATCGGTCTTGGCTTCTGCGCCGCTGGGATCATCGGGCGTCGGCTGAGTACAGCGGGACGTGCATCTTCCGTCCGTACAACGCATAGTCTACTCAAACGGCAGTGTTGGAGGCCATCTTGCTCGCCGTGGCGCCAATCTGATTTTTCCGTGAACCTAAATACATCGAAACATGATCTGTCAGAGCTGCTGAGAAGGCCGCTGAGCGGAATCAAGCACTAGGTGTGGAAGCAGACGTCTCGAAGAAAGAGGACACTGAATGCTTTTTGATACGATGGGTGAGTCTCCATGAGTTGGAATTGAGGTCCGCCGATTTCATTCATGAGGTTGTCAGTAATTGATTATCCAAGGTCAACATTAGTGACTACCTTGAGGTATATCATTCAACATACTGATTTGTTTTGATCTTGAAGTACAGATGAAAAATATAACTACATGCATGCTGCAGTGTGGCTTCACATTTCCACAGTTGTGAACACACCACTTCTACTCGCCATAGTCGAGTCTCATAATTTCTATTTGTACAGTATAAACTCGAATTTTAATTCTATATGATATTACCTCTTTTCTCTTGTTAGGGTTGAGATAAAACATGACGTACAGGGCTTAGCCATCACGTGGGCGGTGGCGACCTGCAGGCAGAAAACTCCGATGACATGCTCGCGCGGGCTTTTCACGCCGTGTTGAACCGCAATTCGCGCTCGTTGCACTCCTTTTTCCAAGCCATTGACCTCGCCCGCGGCATCCGTGGGCATCGCAATCACGTCTTTTCCAATTTCCGCCCCATTTTTCCTTCTTGTCGAACGAACCGCAGCTGGTCCTGCTTTTGCCGCGCGCCATCCCTGCGCCCGCTTCCGCCTTTGCACCTCCCCCCACCTCCCACTTCTCTCTCGTCGCTTCTACTCCAGCAAGAAGAAGAAGAACAATAAAATGCCTCCCAAAAAGGCCCAAGTCCAAGAAAAGGTCCTGCTGGGCCGCCCCGGCAACAACCTGAAGAGCGGTATCGTATGTGAGCAGCGACCCCACCCCTTTTTCTGCTGTTTTTTTTCCTAGTCCACTTTTTAATTCCACACAAACTATTTAAGCCGCCCCCTTCCCTCCTCCCCTTCTCTTTTTTTTTTCTTCCCCAACCACCATCGTGGTATCTCCATTTGCAAGCCCCAGCTCACCATGCCGTGATTGTTTTTAGGTTGGTCTCGCCAACGTTGGCAAGTCCACGCTCTTCCAATCCATCACCAAGTCCTCGCTGGGTAACCCGGCCAACTTCCCCTATGCCACCATCGATCCGGAGGAGGCTCGCGTCATAGTTCCCGATGAGCGTTTCGACTGGCTCTGCGAGCACTACAAGCCCAAGTCCCAGGTGCCCGCCAACTTGACCGTGTACGATATTGCCGGTCTCACCCGCGGTGCTTCCACCGGTGCTGGCCTGGGTAACTCCTTCTTGTCGCACATCCGTGCCGTCGATGCCATCTTCCAGGTCGTTCGTTGCTTCGACGATGCCGAAATTATCCACGTCGAGGGTGACGTCGACCCCGTCCGTGATCTGACCATCATCAGCGAGGAGCTGCGTGTCAAGGATATCGAGTTTGTCGAGAAGGCTCTCGAGGCTCTGTCCAAGCAGACCCGCCGTGGTGGCCAGTCGCTGGAGATGAAGAAGATGAAGGAGGAAGAGGCTACTACTGCCCGCGTCCTCGAGTGGCTGAAGGAGGGCAAGGATATCCGCCAAGGTGACTGGACCCCCAAGGAGGTAAGAAAAATTCTCTTTCATTCATATCCCACACCCATTCCCCGAAACTCCTTAAAATGATGAATAAGAGCTATTGCTCGAAATAAACCCAGCTCGTCGAATGCCCTCATTATAAACTCACGCGAGGGTCTCATGAGAAGAAAACTGGACTGAAACTATTTGGAGTTTCACATCGATTCAACCAACCACTCAAACCATTTACAAAACATTCTCGCTAATAAACCCGGTTTTAGGTCGAGGTCATCAACCCCCTGCTCCTGCTCACTGCCAAGCCCGTTGTGTACCTGGTCAACCTGAGCGAGAAGGACTACATCCGCCAGAAGAACAAGTACCTGCCCCCTCTGTTCGAGTGGATTAAGACCAACTCGGCCGGTTCCCCCGTCCTGCCCGTCTCCGCCTGCTTCGAGGAGCGTCTGGCTCTGATGGGTGACGAGGCCGCCGCCGCCGAGGAGTGCAAGAAGCTGGGCACCAAGTCTGGCCTGCCCAAGATTATCACTACCATGCGCCAGGCCCTGAACCTGTCCAGCTTCTTCACCACCGGTACGGACGAAGTCCGCCAGTGGACTATCCGTAAGGGCATCAAGGCCCCTGCTGCGGCCGGTGTTATTCACACCGACTTCGAGAAGACCTTCATTCAGGCTATCGTGTACAACTACGCCCTCCTGAAGGAGCTCGGCGACGAAGCTGCCGTCAAGGCTGCCGGTAAGGTCATGACCAAGGGTAAGGATTACGTCGTGGAAGACGGCGATATCCTGCTCATCAAGGCCGGTGCTGCCAAGGGCTAAATGCAGATAGCTTCAATATGAATGATACACCTTTGAGGATTCTCAATTATCTTTTGATTCTGTAGCTGTAACAGTAAAAATTAAATTGAGTAAAATATACACCTACCGCCTATTCTCAAGTTACCTGCGTCATTGCAGATTCTTTGAAGCGGTGCTATTCCAAGCAAATTGCTCCGATATCATCACGTGACCTCCCCGCGCATCCCACTTCACGGACTCGGCGCACCGAGCTGGTGAACATTCAACAACGAGCATCATGTTCAAGAAAGAGTGAGTCTGCCCCTTTCAAAAGCTCCGAATCCCTACCCGGAATTGCACGCGAGCGAGCAGGTCAGCTTTGGCTGCCCGCGCGGAGCGAATTGAGGCGAATCTCTCTGCAAGACAACATGCTCGAGAACAACTAGTCGCAGAGCGAAATCGTCCCAGATACGCATGTTGCAAAGAGATGGAAAAAAACAGCCCTCACACAGAAATTCCTCCGACCAAAAGCTAATCTAACCCGTGTACAGCATCCCCCCAAGCAACCGATCGAAGGTCAAGTCCTCCGTGCAGCGCGGTCTCCGCCAAAAGCTGCTGGAGACCTACCCTGGCTTCGAACCATTCATCGAAGAGATCATGCCGAAGAAGGGCTCTCTAGAGGCCGTGAAGCTGTAAGTATCGCGTAAACCAAATCAACCTGGCCCATCTCAACTCCAAGGCGAAAGCAGTTCTATTCCAATCTCGAGTTTAGCTAACGTTTTTATCTTTATCACAGCCCCGACAGAGTAACCCTCTACACATTAGACTCAGCCCCCCTCTTCTTCCAACCCTTCGACGGTCCCCCGATTCCTCACCTCAAGCTCATTCACCAATTCCCCTCCGCCCTCCCCACAATCCAGATCGACCGCGGCGCAATCCGCTTCGTGCTCTCCGGCGCAGCACTCATGGCGCCCGGTCTGACCTCGCCTGGTGGCCGGTTGCCGGAGAAGGAGAATGCCCTGGAGGCTGGACAGATTGTTGCTGTTAAGGCTGAGGGAAAGGAGGAGGTTTGTCTGGTTGGTATGCTGAAGGTTGGGACGGAGGAGATGAAGAGCAAGGGCAAGGGTGTTGTTATGGATGAGGGTCATTACCTTGGTGATGGGTTGTGGAAGATGCAGCTTGATTAAAGGAATTGAGATTCCTTAACTGTCTAGTGTTATGTTTTGGGTGGGCGTGGCATTGGAGCCAAAGTCTGCATGAAGATACCTCTGGTGATGAATTATGTTGATGAAATAAAAAAAAACGAATTTGACTGCACAAATAAGAATTTGAAGTTGTAGACAGGACGGGGAGAAGGTAGGATTAAAGTATGTGTAGATTGCTTGGTCTCGAGTTATTGGGATTTCGAGACTTCATGTAAAGAGTATATACAGTGACCGAAACGCAGGGTATCATATATCCCGAAATGCTTACGAGCCATCTCGGCTACTTAACGAGTGAGGATATTCATCCGAGAATTCACCTTCACGCCCAACCCGCTGCGACAAAGATGACGTTGGAGAAAGAGACGACCAAGATGGAGTGCGAACAGGAAGACTCAGCCCAAGACCCCTGACACTTGCCGCGGACCCAGTCCGCGAACCAAGACCCGGGTGTTGTGATCCATTCGTTGAAGACCGGCGTAGTCCAACACGGGCAATCGCGCGCTGCAGCATCTCGCCCGAGGAGTCCAGCGCGATCAGGAAGCGAGCCAGTTCGGCGCACAGTTCCCAGTCATTCTTTTGAGAGGCGAGACCAATTAGGCGGACAACGTATTCTTCAATGCGGCCATCGTGGTTATGGTCTTCGTCTTCGAATGCTTGCAGGACAAGGAGGTAGCCAACGGCTGTTTTGAGCGAGTCGAGCCGCAAAGCTTGTTCAAAAAGGTCCTTTGGTGGAGGGAGGTAGGCGAAAAGTGTGCGCCAGAAGCGCAATTCCGTCTTTCTGGTACATTGCACGACGATGTCGAGGTATTCCCGGACCGGGAGTGATGCTTGGAGAAAGGCGATGACGGTAGGTAAAAGCGGACCTTCGCGCGCAGCTGGGTTATCAGACTTGTTTGCGCGGCTTTCGTTGTCTACTTCTTCATCGAGAACGTGATGTAGAAGGATTTCCAGGCCGTGTGCGAAATAGGATAGATGAGAGAAGTGTCGACAGAGTGATAGGGCGGCGGATGTTCCAATGTTGGCCAAACTATACTGAACGAAGTAGGGGAGGAAGAGGTGTGTCTGAGATGATTAATAAACAATTGTCCAAGTTTGGGAGCGGGAACACATACTCGAATGGCAAACTTCAGAGTGGTAAATGTGACATCCCGTCGCTGCGTCATTTCGGATTCCACTCCCAGCACGATGCCCTTGTTCAGGAGTACCGAGAGAGGATAGAAATCAAGAGGGATATTGAGCGGTGCCGGCACCGTCTCTTGTTGGAGAACATCACTAACGTCGTTCCATGCTAGGAGGTCTTTGCCTCGGAACATCCACAGAGAGTCTCTCAGCGACAAGCTGCTGTGAGACGGGCCAAGAGCCATTTCGGCGGATGGGCTGTTGGGAAGGGATTCATCGATGGAGGGCGAAAAGTTGAAAGCAAGTTGGTCCCGCATCAGGATGTAGTACTCCACATCGTTGGAAATCACACGCATATCATATTTCAGATCACCCCCCTCGGTCACTGTTGGTTGCAAGAGAACCAGGTTACCATCAACCAGTAGCAATACAGAGGCCACCTTGACATCTTGAGAGGGGTCACCATCGTCTGTTCATAATTATTAGTCAACCCTTCCAGCTTTGAAGAGGTTTTGAACTTACGCATTTGTTCTTCTGGCAAGACCCAGCTGATGGAGCGGACTCGAGTTGGCGCTCTGACAATCCCATTGAAGGCGATTTGTCCAACTGGAACGAGGGTGATCTGAGGCTGCGTCGAGTTGATAACGTAATGATATAGAATGTTGTCGTATGTGTATACGAGAATCGAATCCTCGCCGGAGGGACCAATGAAAACTACAGGTGCAGGAAGGTATTCGATGAACATGATGGAGTTGTTACTGAGGGCATCCTCACGCGAGTAAAGGCGCACCTAAAGACTTCAAGTTAGCATTCGAAAACATATCCACCAAGCAGTAGGAAACAAACATACCTCATATGACCCATCACTTTCCACAGCAGCAATCAAGATATGTCCGTACCAGCACATGCCTCCGCGGATGGCAAACGAGTTTTCGGCCTTTGAATCTTCAAACACCTTCCATCGACCACTGTTCACACTGTAATGTGCCAGCCCCCGTCGACCTGCGATTGCGACATACCGTCCATCCTGGGATACAACACAGGACCGGATCGGCCACTGCGAGTGAAGATATGCCGGGGGATACTGGCCGTGGTGCCAGAGCGAGTCCTTGCCGGAGATAGTCATCAATTCTGGAAGATCATGTCCACGGTAGAGGATGAACTCGGTCCCCGTCTGCAACAAGCCACGCGCAAGGTTCGCAGCAGAGAAGCATCCTGTCAAAGCGCTTCGAGCTGTCTCGAGAATCCAGAGACGTCGATCATTCTGTGCGGACAGGATGATGTCGGACCCACCGCCGATCCAGCAGCCGTTCGAGACACCTGTCAGCCAGTCCTCGCCATTCGATGTCGCCAGAGTAGAATCGACTGTGAAGCTGTTGCCACCAGGTTTTCCAAAGACACTCCAGGTTGTCCAGCCATTCTCATAGCCGGCGAAAAGACAGTATCCGTCGGGCGAATAGTTTATGAAGGTCAATGCTCCAGTGGTGGTAGGCGATGCGGGGAGATGCAGCTTCTGGGAAAGCGGCACGTTGCCCGTGTAGTCTTTGGCAGTGTAAACCAAGATCTCACCGTTGGCACAGTAGACGGTTAACAATGAAAACCGAGCATTTACAGCCACTTTCACAGCCTTTCCACCGTCCTCTTTGGGTTCATGGAAACAATGGCCTAGGAACAGCTTTTTGGGAGCCTCGGGTTCCTGTTGTGTTCTAGGGACACGCTGTACAGTGTATGCTTGACCGTTGCTAGTGAGCCATATAAGGAGGTTCATAGCTCGATCGTAGACCATATCAGTAATGGTCACTTTCTTCGGTACGTCCAGTATATGGCTCAGCACCTCAGACGTAGTTTGCGCACCTCCTGCCTCGGGTGTCCATCGAATACATTGTATGGCGGACGGCTTCAGGGTTGCTACAACAAGCTCCTGGTCCAAGGCCAGAGCCTTGACAATCCCAGACTCAATTTTGATTGCCATGCGGAACCTGATACTGATGTCTCCCACCACATTGGCTTCCTCAACAGCAGCAAAATGTGCGAGTTGCTGGCGGCGTGGATGTGTCGTGTGGTCGAACTGTTGCTGGTAAACCCGCGTTGCCGGGTCCGATGCTACCGAGTAGGTGAGGAGGTATCCATGCTCTGTCTGTACAACAAGGATCGTCGAATCAGGGTGCATAAGTAGTGCGACATTTGAACCGTAGGTTTTCAAGGAGAAAAAAGACCGAGCTATAGCAGCTACAACTGCTGTTGGCTACCACGCAAGTTAGCTTAAGCTCATTACTGCCTGAAAAGCAGCTGCATTGTTAGTCATACCCTAGTCTGCCATAGAGAAATCGAAGAATCGGTAATGGTCGCAAACATATGCCCAGATCGCGATACGCAGAGGCCGCTGATAGCTTCGTTCTCCCACTTCGGGGTCTCTGTATGTGACGACGGTTCGGTATTCGGGGGATTGCCCTCGCTGGTGGGAGTTTCCTCTTCCTCCACATATTTATTTTGGTCTACCGAGCTTCGTCGCTCAGTCGGAGGGTCCTGGACCTGTTCGCGATCCAAGTCGGAGGATACATGGGTGATGTTTGGGCCGTTAACCGCGTAGACCCGGGGGACTCCATTGGGCCAGTACATGGCTCGGCGAAGGATAGGAGGCGAGATGAGGACTAACGGAGCTCACATGAAGTCATCTCCCGCCGAAAGAAAGAGAAGAAAGCCGACTTCGAGACGAAGTGTCGATTACTGCGGACTCGCGACGGAGGAAGCAACAACCAACGGGGACGATAAGCGGCATCACGTGCGGGCAGCTGTCTCCCCCCGCATTCGTTTTTTCTCTCCCCTGAACAAACAAGGCCCTCCCTTCCAGTTTCTTGCTGATTTTCAAATCTCCTATTCATAATGGTAAGCAACGCAGACTTCTTCCCTCTCTATCTTTGCTACTTTTAACAACAGTATGTTCGATCAGGCTCCGACCGAAAGCAAGAAGCGCCTCGCGCTGGCCATCATCGATTTCCTCGGCTCCAGCCTGAAGGACGGCACTCTCACTGCTGACGATGCCGAGTCGATCGAGATCGCCCAGTCCTGCATTGCCGATACCTTTAAGGTCGACGCTTCCGACGAGGCCGCGGTGAAGGATGCTGTTGGTGGTCAATCCCTGGCCAACATCTACAGCGTCTACGAGAAGCTGCGCAACAAGTCGACTCCCCAAGCCGCTGACTCTGGCGCTCAAAGATCGCAAACCGAGACTCCGAAAGCTGGCTCTCCTACCGATGAGTCCGACAAGCTGAAGTCCGAGGGCAACGCTCTCATGGCCAAGAAGGACTACGCCGCTGCCATTGAGAAGTACACACAGGCTCTGGAGATCGCCCCCGCCAACCCCATCTACCTCTCCAACCGTGCTGCCGCATACTCTGCTTCCCGCCAGCACGACAAGGCCGCTGAGGACGCTCAGCTGGCCACCACCGTTGACCCCAAGTACTCTAAGGCCTGGAGCCGTCTGGGTCTTGCCCGCTTCGACATGGGTGACTACCACGCCGCCAAGGAGGCCTACGAGAGCGGTATCGCCGCTGAGGGTAACGGCGGCAGTGATGCCATGAAGCGTGGTCTGGAGACCTCCAAGAAGAAGATCGAGGAGGCCAGCGGTTCCAGTGAGCCCCCGTCCGAGGAGCTCGACAACGCCTCTGGTGCTTCCCGTGGCGCCGGTGCCGGTGGTATGCCCGACTTGTCCTCGCTTGCTGGCATGTTCGGTGGTGGTGGTGCCGGCGGCGGCGGTATGCCTGACATGAGCGCCATGATGAACAACCCTATGTTCTCCCAGATGGCCCAGAGCCTCATGAGCAACCCTGACATGCTGAGCAACCTGATGAGCAACCCCCGCCTGCGCCAAATGGCCGAGAGCTTTGGCCAGGGTGGTGGCATGCCCGATATGTCTAGCTTGATGAGCGACCCAAGCATTGCTGACATGTAAGTTGATCCCCGTTGATGTACCCTCATATAAACATCTCGCTCACGATTGACAATAGGGCTCGTAACATGATGGGTGGTGCTGGCCGTGGCGGTGGTCAGCAATGAGGTTTCTAATAATTCTACATGATGTGATGGATTATTCTTGAAGAAAAGGCACGATGATGATGCTCCTGTGGCGATTCAATTTTCAGCAGCGTTTAGACACGAACACATTCGGACTCTGATTTTCACACCACCTGGTTTTCCTCACCTTGCATAAAAGCTATGATTACGACGTGGATTACGGGAAATTGTACATCATAACGAAAGGCAAACGGAAAACTCATAGGCCAGCTAAAATGGTCTCGCAGATTTCTTGCCCTTGTAGTCAAGCAACTCGTAGGATGCCAAAGAGAAACACGATTATCTCAACAGTCAAGTCGCCAACTTCAAAATTATGGTGCTTTGGTCAACCTCGCAAGATTTGTATCCCGTTGTAGTTATGACGTGGGTGAGTCTCCAGGGTTGACCTCTACGAAAGCGTCCGCGGACCTGACCTAGGTAGACCGATAGATTAATAAATCCGAGGGTATTCATCATTGCTATAGCCTCTATTGAAGGCAGACCAGACATAGTGCCGATTCAGATATGTCCTTTTTGTCCATGAACATTTGTCTCTTATTTTTGCTATTTTGGTTAATCTACCACTGGTATTATGTGCTTGTTTTGATCTTCTGGTCTGGATCTCCCGAGTCGGCCGCCTACAATTACCCGTCCAACCATCCGGTCGGTTCTAGCCATTTGTTGAATCAACTGAGCGCCCTTAATGGCCCAGCCCTGGAAACTCTAAAGGGAACTGTGAAATTTCTAATCTAGCTTTCCTTTTGTTCTGATGTTCGCAAGGTGCCGCCTCAAAAGGCCGGGGAGACATGAATGGAGACAGGTGTAGTATGATTCAATGTCACACTATATATCCCCCAGGCTATCGCACGTGACATCATAGCACGTGACACCATCATGTTTTGTTCACCAATTGATAATGTCACGCCCACGACTGCCGATGCTCTTTGTTTAGAGAATGGCCATTGTAAGCATGATGATCATCTCAGTGATTGGGCTGTGCGTCTGAAGTACGCTCAATCCTACTAGGTCATCAAAAGCGAGAATGGTAGGTTACTAAAAACGAAGAGGAAAGTCAAGCATAGCCAGACATTGTTCGGTATTGTGATATATGCAGATCAGGCGTCGAGGGGAGAGTGAAAATGCAAGAAACACAGACGCCGCGAAACACCTCAAGACCGATTGCCATGAGACCAACAAAAAACCAACGTGTAGTCCAAGTCTATGGGAATTGGTTTTATCTTTCTAGCAGCCCCGACAACCAGGGCGAACTGGAAAGCTGGACACGCGTGGTAAGACAGATGAGAAAAAAAACATTAATACATGAAAAAAGAACGACCGACCTCGCAAAGCCGGAAGGTGCGGTCAATAGGACAGACATAACCATGAAGACAAGCGCCAGCTCCACCTGGCTAGATATCGAACAGTCATATTGTACAATCGAGGGGACAAAGGAAGAAGGGGTAGTGCGGAAAAGGTATATAGTCTGAGACGAGGAAATCGAACCGAGGAAGGCAGACCAGTCTGCCGACTCAGATATAGTCACGAGCAGCCTTCTGCAGCTCGATCAGTCTCCAACCCCGAGTCTCAGGGTTGTTGACCTCCTCGGGAATGCGGGTCATTCCGATGGCGTAGGTGACCAGCTGAACCTTGTCCTCCATACCGGCGGCAAGCTTGCCAGTCTTGACGTTCTTGTAGACGTGGATCTCCTGAGCACGGCAGGTAACGACAAAGACGGGGATCTCACCGGGGTCCAACAGACGGGCGTGAGAGATATCAACACCACGGACATCCAAGATGCGGCCGTCAGACTTCAGACCAGCAGTGGTGTACTGCTTGGCGAGAGCAGCGTAAACAGAGAACTGAGCATCCGAAAGCCACATTTTCAGAGTCTCGATATCACCCTTGACGTAGGCGTCCAGAACTTCGGGCAGCATGTACTCGCGCAGCTCACGCTGGAACTCCTCCATCTTGAAGTTGGGATCGATTTCCCGAAATCGCTTAATGACCATGGCGGTCTCGTTCTCGGCGAAGAAGCCACCAATGCGGTCAGTGATGCTGCGGGCGGTGCTGATGAGAGGGTTCTCAGACTCCTCGTAGACGTCGCGCAGACCGAACAGCTTCTGCATCATAGGGTTGGAGTCCTTGAAATCGCGCCATGACTCCTTCCAAGCCGAATCCTTGTGGAGAGTCACGTTGGTACCAGCGCTGATGAATGATTAGTGACACTGTCGGAGAACCTGACTGAATGTGGATTGGAAACATACTTGGGGTCCTCGACCGCCTGTTCCGTGCGACGTTTTCCAGACTTCAGCTCCATCTCCTCGCGGAGCTGGCGCTGCTTGCGACGCTCCTCCTTCTCAACCCATCCACCGTAGCGAGAGCTGCTACCGTCATCGATAGCATCCTTCACACTCTTGTAGGCCTCGGTCTGACGGACAGGTCGCGTGGCCTTCTCGAGACCTTCACCGGTGGCGTTGACACCCTTACGAATACCCTTCACAGCAGTGGTGTTCCATGTCCAAGCGGCACTCTTCCCAATAACCTGTCCAGTCGACTTCAGGGCGGCAGAAGTGCGGGTACCGGCGGCGCCGGAGGCAGCCTGGTAGGCAGCACGAGCGCGCTTGATGTTCTCGTTTTCGCTGAACTCATGTGCCGAGGAAGCGAGAGCCTTGGTAGACTCGTTCCACTCCTTCGAGGCCTTAAATTCGGTCTGCAGAGTTTCGCGGAACACTTGCCAGGGGGACTTGTCACCGTGGGGTGGCGGGGGCGGAGCATCCTCCTTCTTCTCCTTGCCATCCTCCTTGGACTCTCCGCCCTCAGATTCCGACTTGGATTCTTCTCCCTGCTTCTTCTCATCCTTCGGCGATTGTTGTTGCTGTTGTTGCTGGAAGAGGGGAGTGGCGACGTGGAAGGATCTGGTCAAGAGAACGGCGGCGAATGGCGAGACGATCGGGGCAGGGGAACGGCTTGCACGCAGGATGCTAGTTTGACTCTGCGCAGACAGCTTCAAAGCCTGCGCCGGCAGGGCCGAGTATGAAACAGCTCGGGAGCCTGCCTTGAGGGCCGGTACCTGGGACCGCAAGGTCGCCGCACGCGCGGCAGCGGACATCTTCGCTGAAATCATGCTCTGTATATAGGATGGAGAAAGAGAAAGGGAGGAGGAACGGAAGTAAAGAAGAGCACGAGAATAGAAATCCAGCCCAGCCCGGACGGGGTGCAATGAGGAACGGAGGTTGGACTGGGGAAAGTAGGTGAGTAAGGGAAAAAGTCGAGATGCCAAGACCTTCGAAAAACTTCCAGCTCTCTTTCCGCCTCTCGGTCCGACGGTCTGCGAAACACATCAACCGGCCGCGACGGTCGACTCTGCTCATTTGACGCCTGCACAACTCGATCATTTTGTTAACAGCCCATCGTCTCTCTTGATAGACTCGTGATTAGTCTGTTTTTTGGAATTCTATTTCTCCGTTGAACCCCCGTCGCTGCCGACGCATCGGCAACACACCTCGCCATAATGAACTCTTTTTCTATGAACACCCTGGCGAAGACGCTTCCATCAGTATGTCGGCCAAATGCTCTCCGGATGACTGCTGTGCGCACCAATCGTTCCATCTCTTCGACTTCTTCCCAGAACGCCGCCTCCTTGAAGGATAGGTCCAAGTCCGCGGAGAACCAGATCCTGGACCGTGACCCAGCCAGCTCCGATAAGACTTCTCCTCTGTCTGCCATTACCAAGATGATGCAGGGAGGCCAATCATCCGCCGGCTCGCGTTTTACCTCTGACTACAGCCGGTTGGCCGAAAGCCTGGAAGCCGACATGATGCGACACCCCTACGCCGACCGCGCTCCTCCTCACCACCTCCACGTCTACTGCCACAAGCACAACACAATTCTCACTCTCACACGGCCAAACGGTAATCCTATGATGTCCATGGGTACTGGTCAGATCGGTTTCCGCAAGGGTGGCCGGGCCGGCTTCGATCCCGCCTACCAATTGTCTTCCCACGTTATGTCGCAGATCCAAGAACGCGGATACCTTCTGGAGATCAAGCGCCTTGAAGTTGTTTTCCGTGGTTTCGGAAAAGGCCGTGAAGCTTTCACCAAGGTTCTACTGGGTAATGAGGGCCGCAATGTCCGTGGACTCGTCAACCGTGTGACTGACTCGACTCGCGTGAAGTTCGGTGGTACTCGCAGCCGCAAGGTTCGCAGACTGGGTTAATAGCTTTTTATTTGGGATTATTACCTATGGCAATTGTGCTTCGTGGAAAAGATCTTGGAAGCGCGTTTGTTGAGCTGTATGAAGATGGAGTATATGGACTTGTTCGGCATATTTGACTGCCGTCATTTATTATTTGTACAATAGCAAAAGATCAGCCTTCGCATTTACACAATTCTTTTGTAATCTTGCCTGTGTTCTTAATTGATGGTCGCTGACACGTGCGGTGGATTCTTCACAAGCCGCGAACCCGATGTACCCTGATTACTCGAAGCGGTATAGCGCCGGCAGCTCTCCCGCAGCGATCACGTTCTCGAATCTCCCTGTCTGCCTTCACGATCAAGCTTCCGTGGTTTTCTGCATTGCGCCGCGTCCATTTCTTCTGCTCACTGCTAGTGCAATCCTTCGAGCTTCCAGCGACTACCTTGACCGTGTTCCGCGTCCCATTATCGCCCAGACTGCTGTCTGCAATCGAATGCGCCGGAAGCTCTTCCCCGCGAAACCCGTCCACGGCGCACAATCCCCGCGTTTGACATCGGGTACGGCTTGATGATTGCTGGCGTTTCCCTGCCGGGCCGTCCAAAACCGCTTGGATGCACCCTCTAAACCCTTTTCTTCGTGCCTTCTTCCGAAGCACCGTTCCTGGGCAGTGTATACCCGTGGAGAACCATGTAAGTCAAGGTCCTGCATTTCCTCGGATCGACCGGAGTAGCTGACTGATTGCGTTTTGTGTTTCGCAGGTCCTCCTCGTTCCCACCACAGAATCGCTGACTGGCTCGCATGACCGTGAATCCGGTGTACTTTACTCAGATCTCGTTGCGTCGGAAGAGTTCCTGGGAAGCCATGTGCTGCGGATTCCGATCAACTCGAGTTCGATAAATGGAAAGGAAGAGTCGAACGTGCGCGACAGTAGAGGAAAGGCGAGGCAAGTTACAACATTCAACGGACGAACGGTGATCATTAAGGAGAACTCGGTGTACAGCAACAAAGGTACGTTGACGAGCAATTCTTTTGGAAGGGTCTCATTAACGTTCGGTGAACGTGAAGGGTTCAAGTCCCTTACGCAGGCTCAGCTTCTTTCCGATGCACTCTACTATACATCCTCCAACTCCTCTTCCGATCACCGACCATGGCTCATCTACTACATCTCCCGTCCATTAGTCGGAACGTTCGACCCCTTCAAAATCATTTCTGCTACGGTGCCTGGAAGCCTGCCCAAAAAGGCACAGCTACCATCCTCGAACAAGAAAAGCACCAATGGCGAACCAACAGCAAACCCATTCAAACAAGAAATTAGGACATTTGGGGAGCTGCTGGCTAACTTCCCAATGATTGCAAGGCAGATGCAACCGGGCCTAGAAAGGCTGTTTAAAGAGTTCGGTAAAGAGCTTGGGAAGCCACTGCCACCTCCACCTTCACGCTCACCTTCTGCATCCGGCAGCGAGAGTGGGAGGAGGCTCACGCGCTCAGAGTCTCTTGCCGACGAAAGTTCGTCTATTCGAAGCTGGTCATCACGCCGAGGTCGACTACCGTTCAATTCCGAGGAGTACTTTGAAGATGACGAGGATCTCATGCGTCGGAGCTTGGAGACGGCAGTGACAGCTGCAATCGACCTTTTCCGACTGGTGGACAAACAGCAGCTATCACTTCTCGGTGCTACAACTGATCTTACTGGCCCCCTGGTTGAAAGTCTGATTGAACGCTATGTTGTGGAACAAGTCCATGAGCCACTTCTCTTCCCCCGGTTATGTGCGTTTCGACAACCCGAAGACTCGGAGCTGGACTCCAGAATACGGCATATGGAAAGCATCGATGTGACCCAGGTCGGGATTTCCGTGGAAGGCGGACGGGAAGGCAAGAGAGAAGTAATTCGTCGTCTCGGCCGAGGAGTCGAGGAGTTTCGCAAGATTGGTGATTGCCGGGGACCCCATGATATGCTGAACACCTTGCTGCAAACTGTCAAAGTAATCTCCTACCCTGGGAGCTATGATGGAGCGGATGGGCCTGCATCGGAGAAAGGAAAGTCCCCACTGACAATCAACGCGGATGTGTTGGTGTCATTACTCCTGGTCGTGGTTATCAGGTCGCAAATCCGACATCTTCAAGCTCGTCTGCTATACATGCAACACTTCATCTATATTGATGATGTGGACAGTGGAGAAATGGGGTATGCGCTCAGTACTTTCGAGGCGGTCTTGATGTACCTCGTTACGGACTCAGCTGGTCTTCGTCGGGCTAGTGCTCGAAACCGACGTCTGTGGCAGGCGACCAAGGGCGGCAAGATCTCAGACATGAAGAGCATCCTTGAGCCTAATGGTGATCATGACACTATGGATGAGAATGCCCCTCCGGAACCCGAACGCAAATCTGTCTTATTCCAGACGGACAGCTCAGATGAACTAGAAGAATCGCACTTCGAGACAACATCCGTTTACAGCAACTCTGCGGTTACCAATGGTGACTTTGCATTGGAGGACGATGCTTCTGAAGCGCCACCTTTGTCGCATGTGTTTCCTTTTCAAACTTGGGGCGGGACTTCGTCTGCCAACGAGCCAATCCGACCAATTAAGAAGGTCTCGATGGACGTTCGCAGTCTTTCCGAATCATCGGCTGTATCATTCCTCTCGAGAACGAATACCCTTGGATCCATGACCAGCAACATCGAGGGTGATAGCTCCATCGAAACCTTGACCAAGACACAGGACCCGGCTGGAGACTCGATTCCGATGATGGCAGTGGAGAGTCGACAGCCCGAGGCTTTGAAATATCTTTTGAGCTTGGAGGAGTATTATCCTTTAGAAGAAATTCTCGAAGATACAAATGCCGATGGCACTACACTTCTTAATGCGGCTGTGCAACTCGCTCACGCGGAAGTTGTTAACATCCTGCTAGACTATCTGTTCAGCAAGACGGATGAATATGATGTGGCCATGTATTTGGCCAAGTCAGATGTACACGGCCGCACTGTCGCCCACTACCTCTTCAACGCCCCTTCGTTACTGGAGAGATTAGGTGGCCTTCTTCCGTGGCGGCAGCGCGATAAACATGGACAGACGCCTTTGTTCGCTTTATGTCGATCCTATGATCACCCGGAATACAAGTCAATGGTACGAGCTGCCTTGACCGCAGCCAAGAGAGCCCAAAACAACGGGAAGCCTCTACAGCTGGATGATCACATCGATGCAAAGGGCAACACTCTTTTACATATTGTCGGCGATCCCGAAATCACGACAAGAATCCTACAGGAAAGTGACTGTGACCCGAACGCAACTAATGATAAGCGGTTCACACCCTTGATGATGGCAAGCAAATATGGGCGAGTGGAGCAAGTTCGAATCCTCTTCATGGACCCGAGAGTCGATGTCCATGTCAAAGAAACTCGCGGCTTGACAGCCGTTGAACTTGCCAAGGACGATGAGGTGCGCAATCGTATCGATGACTTGATTCTGCTGTCGCACCCACCATCAGCCTGTGGAGATCCCTCGGGTCGGGTTACTACTGTGGTCCGATCATTCTTCGTCGAGGATGCGACAGTTCGATTCATTCTGAAGTCCGGTGCGCCGTACGGGCCATCGGATATCGTGGCTACCTCTCGACCGGGATCGACGACATACACCGTCACGACATGCCGACGCAGCTTTGCCGACTTTGTGAACCTTGCCAAGTGGCTGGAAGTGGAACATCCTGCTTCTTATGTGCCTTCCCTCGCGGATTTCCGGAACCCCTTCCAAATCCACTCCAAGCCGTCGCGGTCTGTTCTTCACGATCTCCAGGAGAAACTCGACCGCTTCCTCAAAACCCTCCTGACACATCCCACCTTCGCCACGCACGAACTGCTCTGGGAATTCTTCTTGGTACCAGAGCTACAACCCGACATGGTGGCTGATCGATGTCGCAGCAAAGTCGCAGCCCTCACTGATACAATCGCCGAAGAATTCCGACCTATTTCTACCGAAGGAATGCGTGAAATCGAATCATTCATCACGCACGCACAGAGCATGGTCCGCGCTGTGCACGTTAATTCACGCAATCTGATCCGCCGCGGCCATGCACTCCAGAACAGCACTTCAGACATCGCAGACGCTGTGGGTCTTTGCTCGACCGTGCTTTCAACCTTCCAAGGACCGAGCAATACCCTCCCAGCTTCCCATGCCGACGCCTTCACTCGGTACGGCGGCTGCCTTTCCACTTCAAACACCGAATCTTCACCCCTCCTCCAATACATCGCTGCCCTAACCTCAATCGACAACACGACCGCCGCCATCTTGAAGACCCTCTCCCGCCCTCTATCACTCATTTCCGACCTGAACTCGCTAGAACGGAACATCGCCCGCAACCACTCCTCCCTGATCTCCTCATCTCTCCCACGCAAATTCAACCTCAACCTCCCAGGATTCGAAGAGTCCAGACAGAAGACCATCCGCGACCTTCGAAGCAAGATCAAAGAAGACCAATTGCAGTGTGACCGTCTTGCAAGAGAGATATCCTGGAACAAGGACGTTGTCGTGGGCGAGCTAGCCGGCTGGACGACATGGCGAGAGAAGGCCGGGCGCGACGCCATCCGCGCCTTTGTGAAGGAGACCCTTGTTCGAGAGAAAGAGCGCGGAAAACGCATAGAGCGCTGTCTGCGCAGTGTGCAAGAGATGAAATCATGAACTCCTGCCAGATTTTCGTTTCTGCTCGGAAAGATCGCAAGGTTTTTAGCGATAAACCAATTTCCTTCCGTCCTATTTTCTGTTTCTTTCTCATTTTCGAGATTGATCTATTTCTGTACATTTCATGACGGACATGTGTTCGGGGTTTAACTGTTGCTATTTCAAGTGTCGGGTCTGATCAGCCTGTGGATTTACCGTGTGAGGTTTCCTTCCCTGCGAGACTGTGAAAGGCGTGGGTGGGTCTATTGCTTCTATTTTATTTTTCTACATCATTAGCTAAGTAGCGTAGCGAATACATGGGGATCACGGAATTTCACTCGGTTTTAATTGTCAATTTGGTAATTCGGAGGTACACCTCGGTACATGCACCGAGCTACAAATACACACCAGTCTCTTGATAATTATACATGGTATCAACGACTAGCACCAAGCCTATGCTACAGGTCCCTGGTTCAGAAGTAACAAATTCTCAAACCCAACAAATTAACACCTGTACAACTTCCAAACAGAACATCACGACGCATCGGAAATGTGGAAAACAGGCGAAGGGGACGGAAGAACCGACGGTGTCTGATCGTGATCGTGATCGTGACCATGATCATTCATACACATCGATTCAGCAATAGACGACATGTTGATTGACCGAGACTGACTGCTATACGTCCTCTCATGGTTCCGACGAGACAGTCCAGCATCATTGATCATCCAAGGAAGAGAGCGAATAGGGCTCTGACCAGACCAACGACTCGAGTTGCGAGAAGCACGAGAAGCATTGGATGTATGCGGTGAGCGAGACGAAAAAAGTGAGTTGGCCTCGCTGGAGAGATTGTGAGAAGCAGACTGAGAGCCGCCGTCAAGTGAGAGTGAAGTCCGCGAGCTTTTCTGCCCCTCCCAAAAAAGCGACTGCTTCTCTGACGCTGTAGCTGATGTCGCAGCGGCTGTGGTAGTTTCCCAGAGCTGTGAAGATCGCATCGTTGATGGCAGGACTGACGAGATGGACTGGGATGCACGAGGGGACGCGTGAGGAGAAAGACGTGGTGAGGCAACTGGGGCCGGCTGCGATTTGACTGATTGGCTTTTAGAGGAACTTGAGGTTGTCTTCATGCGGTTTGAAAAGCTAGGTGTTGTCTGCGTCGGACCACTCGAAGAATCGGTCAACTCCGAGATAATGAAGCTGGGTCTCGCTTCATCTGTCGACATGCGGGCCAACGGGTCCAGCGGATCCAGGTTCATGAGACTGCGAACCGAGGCATCGTAACTGTGTCGAGAAGCCCTGGACCTTCGACGCTCGCTTTCGTCAACGACGATGGCGATAGACGGCGAGCGACTGCGACTGAACATGACCGATGTGCGCTCCGGCTCGACGTCTCTCATCAGAAACTCATCGAGCGTCTTGCTTGTCTCTTCGCCGAGTGTCAAGGTCGACTGGTCAAATAGATTCTCAGAGATTTGCATTCGGCGTCGACGGCGTTCTTTACATTCTCTGTTGATGTACCAGTAGACCAGGAAGCTGAGGCCCAGAACTGTGATCACTGAGATGATAACCACCGCGGCGATGGAACCCTTTCCGATATTCCAGTTGTTGGTAGATTTCACCACTTTGGGATTTGTAAACGGCGAATCTTCGGGCACTGCTGACGCCTTTTCGGTCCAAAATCGGTCCTCGAATCGAGGCTGGTCTGGAGCTGCATTGCCTGGTTGTATATCTGCTGCGTTTGGCGATTGGACTCGGAAGTTTCCAGCTCTCTTCGCCCGCGAGGCAGGGCCGATGTCCTGCTCGCTCAGATGCATGTCTTTGGTGGGAGAATTTCGGCGTTGGTGCTTGTAAACCGTCACGATTCTGTCTTGGTCGACCGTGAGGTGCTTGTGAAGGACATGAGGCCGGGCAGTCGTGCCCTCCGACCAGATCGGCAGCGTCACAGCACCGCGCGAGGTAGACGTCATGAAGAATTCGGAGATATGATACTCACAGAAAAGTGCTATCCAATGTTGAATGTAGGAAAAGGAACCTGTACAAATTTGCAAGGATCATCCAGAGGAAAAGCTTCGAGAGACGAAGCCATCCCGCGGAAGTAAATACACGGCAACCGCGAGTGCTGCTTCCGCAACCATCGCCAGCGCGGTTTCCCTCCGAAATTCCATCATGATGGTCCGATTCGGTATCCATGAAATTCCTCGCAAGCATTAAAAAAGTAAATGCCAAACAGTCATGTACAACGAACTCGCCCGGATGTGCGAGAACCACTCCATCCGGATCTCTTGTTGCATCATCCAGCGCCAACAGAACCCCCCAAGATCCAAGCATGCGACAACACACCAATTCATTTATCTCCGACGGTAAATCAGCGAATAAACAATCCGAACGTACTCCACGCAACATGACTGGCTTCCCAGAAATCAAAACCCCGATGTTGAAGTGACTAAGCAACACCATCGGGCACCTACGTCATCACCGACGGTGGCTATATAGACAATGGATGCCTGCGCACCTTGACGTAGCATCTTTCCATCTCTATCCCAACTCCAGCAACTCAGACAGACTCTCAAGATTCTCAAAACACCAGCCAGATACCTCTCAAAGAGCTTGACCTCCACTATGCCTCTTGTTGTACCCGGCATCAACTCCAACATGGGCGATAAGTCCGAGTGGGTCAATAAGCTGATGGGCAAAAAGATTAGCGATGGCGGCAGTGACGAGGTGGTATGTTAGATCCATTATCGAATGGCTTTGGCGATATGCTAACCTACTTTTCCTACACACAGAACTTCGCGAAGAAAGACCTGCCTGAGTCTCACCGCGTACTGAAGCCCGGCGATATGAAGACTATGGACCACAACCCCGACAGGTAGGTCTTGTTGAACATTTCCATGCGACCAGAAAAGGCTTACTGATCATCGATATAATTTGAATTAGGCTTAACGTGCATGTAAATGAGGACGGAACAGTTCATGATGTCACCTACGGTTAGACGAGCAATGCCTTTCGTCCTGCAAGTCTCGACGAGCATGAAATGCATCCCGATTCGGCCCGAGATGGATCTAGATAGTCAATGTACGGTAATGACATGGACAAGCTATATTATTGCTACATTATGATGAGAATACCTTCCAAGATTTTACAAAGTGTACCTTTCCTTGCAAAGCTATGAGACCGCGCGAGAGCTCAACAGCACCTGTGAGCTATCGATACCGGAACACTCTTGATGAAAAGTATATGCTGAAATGCCACGACCTTCTAAACCATCTAAACGTTTCCCAGGCCACTCACTCAGCCTTCCATCTAAGCAAAGTAATAGAGAGCTTCGGGAAAACATAAGAGCCCTCTCCATCCCAGCTGGACTCCTTCACAGTAACCTCCTCGCTCCCCTTCATATTCGTAGCCGCAACCCCATCCCCAGTAACGGTGTAAACCGCAACATTCCCCTGTACCCCCTCAATCTCACTCTCAAAGCTCTTCTCTTCATGAATATTCACAACGACCAAATTCGCAAACCCATCCTCACCCACTGTAGCACTAACATCTAACCAAGGCGTCTGCACAGCCCCCCCTCAACCACTTCGGCGCCGTCTCCCCCTCATAAACACCACACGAGACATGCGCAGCAACCGTCCAGCCGCGCATAAACTTCGAAAAAAGATAAAGCGGCCACCAAGTTGTCTGCTTGACAATCCCCTCGGGCGTCGTCATAAGCGGCGAAATAACATTCACACTCTGCGCAATACAAGCCATGCCGAGATCGCGACTCTTCCGCACAAACACATTCAGCCACACCGCGACAGCGAGGGCATCTGAGAGGGTATAGCTCTCTTCAGCGCCCTTGCTTCCTTCTGCGCGGATGGGGTCCCAGACGTTCCACTCGTCGAAGCAGATAGTGGGACGGAGTTGGTCAGGCGGGACGCCATTTTCGATGCGCGCGAGGTCGATGAGGCCTGAGGTAATTTCGATGGCGCGCTCGGCGGCTAGCGGGGCTGTGGCGTTGGGGAGGTGTGAGTTGGAGCAGGTGTAGAGGTGGATGCTGTGCATGTCGATGAGCGGGACGGAGCTGGTTGAGAGGGCCGAGTGGGCGGGGAGCAGACAGTGCTTGAGGGTGTAGTAGTCCCAGGTTGCGGTGCCGTCTTGGCCGCAGAGAATAAGAACGAGGCTGGGGTCGAGGAGTTTGAGAGCTGGAGGAGTGTTGGTTTGGTTCTATTTGGAGACAGGGGATGGATGTGCGAACCTTTGGCCCATTGGAGTGCCTTGTGAGCGTATGCTTCTTTTGTCATTTGCTCTACCTGCCATGGACCCCATGTTTCGTTGCCGAGGGCCCAGTATTTGACCTAGGTTGAGGTTAGGTCTGGTTTTGCAGAATTCGCGAGTTCAGACATACATTGTATGGTTCTTCACGACCATTCTTCCGACGGAGGTTTGCGTAGTATGTGTTTCCTGTGCCATTGCAGTACTCAACCCAGGCCAGTGCTAAAATTCAGTCAGTAAGCTTCATCTTACACCATGGATTTTGCAAAATCTCATACCTTCGTCGAGAGTTCCAGTGCCAAAATTGAAGCACAGATATGGCTCAGTGCCAATGGTCTCGCACCATTTCATGAACTCGTCCGTTCCGAACTGATTGGTCTCAGTTCCCAGCCATGCAAGTTCGGGGCTATCAATATGTCAGTACAAAGAAACTTTTCATAAAAAGGTCGAAAGTAAAATTCTACCGTGATGGGCGTTGGTTCTTAGGACCGACACCGTCAAGCCAGTGATACGTAGCGCAGAAGTTGCCACCGGGATACCGAACAACAGGGATGTTGAGATCCTTCAATGCTTCGAGGACATCCTTACGGAAGCCATTATCATCCGACAATGGGTTTCCAGGATCATAGATGCCGCCATAGATGCATCGGCCCATGTGCCTAAAAGTAGATTAACATCTATATCCCAGACAACATGCTCTGATGAGCCATGGAACTCAGTATGGATATACTCACTCTGTGAAGCCAGAATAGATGTTAGGATTGATTTTAGAGATGCGACGGGTAGGGTGAACGGAAATAACCGGGGTATCCTGGTCATCCAACTTGGTAAAGGTCGTCATGCTGGCAACGAACTCGTCCACACAAAAGAAGAGAGGCTTTGTCTCGTCCAAACGCCTGGTGGCTGCAAATTATAAGCAAGGGCCTGAGCCGGGAATTCGCTTAATAGAAGTATGTCAGTCAGAACGAGGACGAGGGGGAGGGGGGAAGACAGCATGTCCAATCGCCTAATGCACCAACACCCCTCCATCAAAAGGACCTCGTGCCTCCAGCACCACCAGTCTCTAGTCGTAGTATCCACCACCCAGTCACAGCCTGGAAGCGGCAAATCTCCTGCGGGGGCTCAGTCGAGACCCTGGCACTGCTGTGCTAGGTGGGGGTCGGCGATGCCTGTTCGGTGCTAGGGGGCAGTCATCGCCAGCGCTTAAGTGGGCGATGGCAGCAGCAGCAGTCCCGAACTCGGCCCCGGGCGTGTCCAATCGTGAGGAGGAGTGGGAGTAGGAGGAAGCAGTCGGCGTGTGCTTGTCCGCCCTTCCCAACTGCCGCCAAGCTCGACAAATCTTCCGTCAATCAGCGCTCAGCAACTCGCCATTCAACCTCGTTACGGCATTCCCTCGACGATGTGAGCTCCCCTGCAAACGACGAACTAGGCGGTGTTTGGGTCTTTTGCTCGCGATACTTCCCAGCTTGGCTTTGTGGCCCGGAGAAAAAAAGATGACGATCTCCACATTGAGCCGCCATTCGTCGTGGAGGGCTGGCGAGGCGAATGGCTTCATCCACTATCCCTGTTCAGGATAGCTCCCGGCAATTTTGCATGGCGCTGGGTGAATCGGTCGAGCGAGATGGGATCAGCTGCGTGGCGTGAGTTAAGGAGGTTCCTCCGAGCCCTAAGCGATGCTTGCCATGTCGCATGGTTTTCCGGTGGTATATCTAGACCAGAGCTGCCCCCGGTGGAGGGTTGATTCTGTGGAGATCCCCAGATTTCTGACCCGTGCTGATCGTGGGTCTCGCTCTACTCGAGCAGTCAATAACAAAGAGAATCGCTCGCCATGCGTCTTTCGCCGGCGTGGTACCAGGTATAGTTGTTTCCAGCTGGAAGTGATCCGAAGCCTGCTAAACATTAATAGTTCCTGGTCGGCGTGTTCGCCTCCCTGGGTTCTTTCCTTTACGGATGTGAGTATTTTTCGAGTCCAAGTCGTGTTCCTGCGGACTTTCCAAGCTAATACGAGTAGATGATCTCGGTGTCATCGCAGAAGTCATTGTCTGCGAATCATTTGTTGAAAAATTTGCCGCCAACTCCACGGAAAGGTTTGCTCCCATTGCCTCCTGCTATAGTGTTTTCAAGGGATCTAATGGAAATAGTGGTCTCGTCGTATCCTTGTTCACCTGCGGTGCCTTCTTCGGAGCATGTTTTGCCGGTCCTGCTGGCGATTACCTCGGTCGACGTCGCACCATCTCACTAGGATGTTTGATGTTCTGTCTGGGAGGAGCTCTCCAAACAGCCGCAAAGAGCCTTGCCTACCTCTACAGCGGTCGATTCTTTGCTGGATTTGGGTATGAGAAACTCCTGCTTAAAACCAGACAAACCGTTGGACTAACATTCAATAGTGTCGGCTTCCTCACCATGGTCATCCCCCTCTACCAGGCTGAAATCTGCCACCCCAAGATCCGTGGTCGAGTCACTGCTCTGCAACAGTTCATGCTGGGCGTCGGTGCCCTGTGTGCTTCTTGGATTTCATATGGCACATACGTCGGATTCTCCCCGACCAACAATGCTCAATGGCAATTGCCCCTTGGTCTTCAGGTCATCCCGGCTGTTCTGCTGGGTCTGCTGATCACCGTCTTCCCCGAGGTATGGCATTCCCAACCCCTATAGCCACGACAGAGCCCTAACACACGCCTAGTCACCCCGTTGGCTCATTGACCACAACCGCTCCGAGGAAGGTCTTCGCACGCTCGCGAAACTGCATGCCCACGGAGACGAAACAAATGCCTGGGTTCAAGCCGAATATGCCCAGATCCAGGAGAGCATAACCTTCGAGCACGAGCACGAGGCCAAGTCCTACATCGAGCTCTTCACCAACCGCTCCTCCTTCCGCCGTCTCTTCCTTTGCTGTGCCATTCAAGCCTCGGTCCAGATGACCGGTGTCTCCGCAATTCAGTATGCCATTCTATAGTCCAATCCGCGTCCAGCCTCTTCTAACCCATTCGAAATAGATACTACTCCGTCGAGATCTACTCTCAAATCGGTATCGCTGGCGACGAAACCCTCCGCTACCAAGCAATCAACTCCATCATCGCGCTCGTCGCCCAATTCCTCTGCATCCTCTTTATTGATCGTTTGGGCCGTCGCTGGACCCTCATCGGCGGCAACCTGGGCAACTGCCTAACATTCATCATCGCGACGATTCTGCTCGCCAAGTTCCCGACCAGCAGCACCAACACCGGCGCTCACTGGGGTTTCATCATCATGACCTGGCTCTACAACTTCTCCTTCTCCTGCACCTGCGGTCCACTTTCGTGGATTATTCCGGCCGAGGTCTTCGACACCCGGACCCGTTCGAAGGGTGTGTCCATCGCGACGGGCGTCTCGTTCGCGTTCAACACCATGATCGGCCAGGTTACCCCCATCGCCATGGAGCATATCAAGTACCGGTATTACTTTTTGTTCGTGATTTGCAATTTTACGAACGCGGTCTTCTTCTACTGCCTCCTCCCCGAGACCAAGAAGGTGCCCCTCGAGGAGATGAACTATATGTTCAAGAATGCGCCTTGGTTCGTGCCTGGAACCCGTAAGGAAGAATACACGGCACACGATCTGGAGAGAAAGGTTGAAGAGCAGGAGGTTAAGTTGAGCACGCAGCATTATGAGTAGGTGTTATTTTGTTGGAATTATTCGGAGGTTGGTTTGAAAAGGACTGGTAATGTCTGGGTTTTATCTTTTGGGACTGTAGCCTTGTCTTTGGGGTATATCCAGAAATAGCAGTTAGTGCGTGAAAGAGAAGCTCGGCATGGGCCCATAACAAATCCGTCGCTGCGAGTAGGCGATCGTAGTACTTTTACCCCGAGTCTGAATCCGATCCGTATCCCACCAGACCAAGACCAGTCGACGCTGGTGCCGGCGCAGGCTTAACCAGCTCCTTCGTCTCCGGCTGAGACTTGTCATTGGCACCCTTCTTCTCCGAAGCCGTTGACGTCTCCCTGGTATCCCCGGAATATTTCGCGCTGTTCGCATCCAAGTCCTTGTCATTCTTCACATCACCCGACTGACTCGACTTGCGTTCAGCCTGGCCCTCCTTAGCACCAGCCTCAGAAGCCTTCCGCTTCTTCCCAGGAAGCAAAAGATCCTTCTTCTCCCTCCGCCTCTTGCGCGCGGGAATAGACCACTCATCATGTTCCGCAGGCGCAACATTAAGATCCGTCGAGCCCAGAGTCACCTTCTCCGCCTCCTCGCGCTGCTTGCGGAACGCCTCCAGTTGATCTGCGGTATCCTTCTTCACGGCAGCTTCCTGGGCGCGTGTCGATTCGAGGACACTATCGAGGAATTCGACTTCGTCTTCGTCCAGCGAGCGAAATTGGTTCCTTAGTTTGGTTTTCTCTTCGAAGGCTTCTTGCTTGGCCACTGTTTAAGGGACGGTCATCCTAACATGTTAGCCGGGTTCTTTACATCCCACCAATATTGGCAATGCCTACAGTACAGCCGAATTGCACTGGATCGGATCCACAGGGACGAACTGATTAAACTCACTTTTATTCTGCTGCAGTACCTCATAGAGACTCTTCCCGCCATCCTGCTTCCCAACATCCGCCTTGCGCCGGCGCTCCTCCTCTAATTCCTGCTGGGCGCGCAACCAGGCGTCATCGCGCTGGACAGACTCGTCATTTGTGCCGCCCGACACGAAACCCGAGGACATGATCGGGACGATTGCTGAGGAGGATGTGAGTGGGGGAGTTGGAGACGCGCCGACTCGGGTAGAATGGCCGTCCGGGCGGTGAATTTATCCGGCGTCAATCAGTGGGGATGGCGGCAGGGTAAATCTTGCGCGAATACTACTGTAAGTGGAATTGCCTGAAATTTGATTCAGTGGTGAGTTGGATCGGCGGTGTCCTTACAAAATTTATCCTTGTGAGTAAAATGGCGCATTTAATCGAGGGGGTGGTTCCGTAGTATTGACTGCTCATGCCTAGTTTGGCGATCTGATCAATTCGTTGCATTTGGTAGGCGGACAGAAGGAGAAGCGGAGAATGAACAGAAAGAAGCCCTTGAGGAACTTGATGAACGAAATGGTATATCGAAATGATAATTGACTACTTTTTATCCTGAATTCTTACATTAGCGTAGAATATATAATATTGTCTCTATAATTCAGGCTCCGAGTCGCCTCATCTTGGCTGAAGTTGTTTACACCGATTAGGGATGTTTTTATGCCAATTTCCAAAACTACACCTTGAGCTAAGACATTTACAATTAGCCTGGGGCTATGCTGTCAAAATATCTAACAAACTGGTTACAACAGAAAAGAATCAACAAGACAGCGTTGCGCCCCGCGCAGAGGGCGGCGGAATAGATGCCATAATAAGCATGTTTATGCCTTAGGCGTTAAGATTCAATATCCAAGATGATTAAATCAGTGCTCCAGGACTCTTTAATCATTCTCGATATGGCTATAACTGAATTAGAGCGTCCAGGGTTTGCAGGGTTATCCTCATAGTTTAGTTCTATCCCTGCTGAGGTCTGCAACGTCTCTGTTGATCGCACCCCATTGGGTGGCAAGCAGCATAGTTAGCAAATGCAGTACGTATTTGAATTAGGCCACCACTACCATCGGTGACTAGCTATTTCGAGTTACTCTCAGGTACGGTCCAATTCTTATTTTACCCATGCATATAAAAGGTGCAGCATTGATCAGACCTACTATAAGTCCAATCGAAGGTATCTACGGTCTCTACTAGGAGGTAGCATTATGCTTAGAACACTGTATAAGAAAAATAGATAAATTCAACGCCAGCAGTAACGGATCTTGACCTGTATACTTCCCAACAATTATGATCGCATCGCAGCATAATCGAGTACCGAAGATTCGCGAAGGAGACAAACCGGAATGGAGCGTCATGGAGTGGTTCGGGTGGGCCCTGCATTCCGGCAGAGTTGGAGCGTATTTAGCCGGAATGCAAAAGCCCGGGGCCCCTCATGATATCGTCGCCTCTGCCCAGCGGATTGTCCTCGGCGGCTAAAGCTGGTCAACGGCGATACGATCGGAAATCGGATTACCGTGTCCATTTGCACTCGGCTAATTGCACTCGGCTCCCCGATTGCGCAGAGTCGAATCGCAGCGAAGGTCCCCACAAGAATAGCGGGGCAGCGGCCAACTGGTTGCGAAATCATCGCTGCTTGGACCTGCCCACTTTACGCCGCCATGCCTATAAAGACCGCGGACCCCTCCAGTGCCATTGCCTCTTCTCTCTTCTTCCCTCACATACCTTGACTCTCCCCAAGATCATCACCATGTCGAACCAGCACACCCAGAAGACCTACACCCTCAACACCGGCAACAAGATCCCCGCCATTGGCCTGGGAACTTGGCAGTCCAAGCCCAATGAGGTCCGCGAGGCCGTCAAGAACGCCCTGCTGAAGGGTTACCGCCACATCGACACTGCCCTGGCCTACGGCAACGAGGCTGAGGTCGGCGCCGGTATCCGCGACTCCGGCGTGCCCCGCGAGGAGATCTGGCTCACCACCAAGTTGGACAACACCTGGCACCACTGCGTCGAGGAGGGCATTGCCTCCTCCCTGAAGGACCTCGGCACCGACTACGTCGACCTCTACCTGGTCCACTGGCCCAGCTCCACCGACCCCAACGACAAGTCCAAGCACCTGCCCGACTGGAACTTCATCAAGACCTGGTAAGCATACTATACCTTCACCTTTTTACCAGGACAATGGCTAACGCAGTCACTACAGGCAAGAGATGCAGAAGCTCCCTGCCACCGGCAAGGTCCGCAACATCGGTGTCTCCAACTTCGGCATCAAGAACCTGGAGATCCTCCTCAACGACCCCAGCACCAAGATCGTCCCCGCCGTCAACCAGATCGAGCTGCACCCCAACAACCCCTCCCCCAAGCTGGTCGCCTACAACACCTCCAAGGGCATCCATTCCACCGGCTACTCCTGCCTGGGCTCCACCAACTCCCCTCTCTACAAGGACCCCACCCTGCTCTCCATCGCCGAGAAGAAGGGCAAGACCCCTCAGCAGGTCCTGCTGGTCTGGGGTATCCAGAAAGGCTGGAGCGTTATCCCCAAGTCCGTCAGCAAGTCTCGCATTGACGGCAACTACGAGATTGACGGCTGGAGCCTGACTGATGAGGAGGTTGCTCAGCTGGATAACCTGAAGGACCGCTTCAAGGTTTGCGGTGATGACTGGTTGCCTATTAAGGTCTTCTTCGGTGATGACGAGTAAAATGGTGCGCAGTGCGCAACTCCATGATGTTTTACGAGTACATAAGTATTTAGATACCAAAGTCGATTTTTCTGCACGAACGCTTGATACATGTCCCCACGGTAAAATAAACTGCAATGCAAATGCCTGTCCAGGTGCTGCTAGAGCCAAAACCACTGACTGAACGACGGCGGCCCTGCACCCTTCGAACTAGAACCGGGAGCATTTTCGGAATCTTCATACTCCTTCACCACGCGATATTGCGCATAAATCGAGCCACCAAACGAGGCCAAGCAAACCGCAGAAACGCCGATCCTCCAGCCCTTATCGTGAAAAGTTAGCTTGGTCTTCTCGAGTACCTTTTGTCGGGGTGGAGGCATCCGTTTGCGCAGGTGGAGTTGAGACGAAAAGGGTCCCGTGAGGACACGGTGCGGGATTCTGAATGGCATTGGCAGCTGAGTGCTCGGATAATTGTTGGTCTGGGTCTCGGTTAGTTGAATTTGAGAGGCAAGTGAGAGCTGGTGTTCCGTACGGGATTGATGTTCGTTTTTCTTGAGCTCCGTTTCCGAATAGGAAATGGAGTCCCGGATAGGCTTAGTAGTGTTGTCGGTAGTTGTTCTCGGGGTTTATGCGATGAGGAGATCTTTCATATTTTTTTTAAAGAGGAGTCTGTTAGAAGGGCATAACTCATGTGCCACGAAATCCCTGAAGAGAACAAAGAAAGAAGGCCAGTTCACTACCAAATGGTCTGCTGGATCGACTTATCAGGTTCACAGCTTTTCTGGCGACCTTTCTGCATTCATCACCAAGAACCTGGTACTCATCTTCTCGACCGGTAACATCAGCTCAAACCTTTTCCCTTTCCGCGATTTTCTGAAATCCGTTCTTTCAGGCCATCTCTGCAAACTGTATTGGTCCCTTGATTTCCGGTCGGCACCCTGAAGTGGGAAAAGAATGTACTTGAACAATTAGATACCATCCCAGAAAATAAACTGAGCTGCTGAAACTACGAACTACGCAACTCTCGACTTCGTGTACACCGTTGGGTTCAAGTTCATTTTTGTCCAATGATTCTATCAACGCAAAGCAAGCCCTTCCTGCTCTGTGCGGCCAGATATGTGCTGATGAGAGGTGAGCAAGGAAAGCCGCGAATTAGGCCAGTGCTTGAATTCTATGTGTGGCCCTGTAGATTCAAATTAGCCTGTAACTCATGCATAATATGTATTCATTTCAGAATAGTTGACGAGTTGACAAATATTCATAGAACACACTGTCAATTGACCGGAAGTGTAGTTCCCAATGGACATACTGACCCTAAATACAACAAATTTGGGATGGCGATAAGTGGTATAGGTAGAGAGCGTGACAGAGGCTGATGGGTAATGAATATGCGACCCGGATCAGGCTCGTCGACTAAGTCGTTCGCAGGCGTGTCGTAAGCGTCGGAATCCTCAAGGGTAAATATTATCCGTCTCGGTGCTAATTTTGCGAGCTTGGTAGAACTGATGTGTGGCAGAGAAATCACTCAATAGATGTTAGAAGGTGATTCTGTTTCCTGTGATGTTTTTCTGTGAAGACGGAGGCGGGTAGGACAGCAAATCATATGTAGCATCCAGCTTTACGCGCATTTTGGAAGGCAGATTGATAGCTAAATGACTGAATTAGATCCACAAGAGGCTGGAACAAGGTATTTCGGAATGGACGACTCATATGTGTAGCTTAACCGCGCGCTCGCTCGAGGCCTCGGGGCTGAGGCCTAGAGATGTACCAGCCGCCCGGGCGAGGCTCTTCTAGTATGTAATTATAGACACCGTTTCCCCCCCCCCCCTCCATTCCAGCACCCAACTGTATCCACCAATCAAGCATACATTGTACCAGTCGCCGCAAGTGCTCAAGATGCATTTTTGAGACGGGCCTTTTGCTTCAAGCCCACGCTAAGGCGGACCCCTGCTAATTTATAAAACCATAAGTTCGGGTGACAGGTCGGCGTCAACTGCGCACATCGCTTTTCACTAAGGCCTGGGATAAATTTGGAAGTATATATCCAAATTTGTTTGAAGTCGATTAACGTGGCATATGCTGTTAGCTGACAAAATTATAAGAAGCAAGGCATGGCGACTGGATTGCTCACTCAGAAACACACTTCAGATTACAGAAATATTCTCAGTCATTCTCTCATTATGAGTGTGGGCCGTTCTCTCTCTTTCATGCCTAAAAGCAGGGGCAGATACAATTCCTCATGATCAGTCAGATAATAGCGGTACACCAGTCGTTTGTATTCCTTTACTGGGGGCAGTGTCATACCTCCTTCATTTCCCTCTTTTCTCGAAGTACCATTTGCATATAAGTTAGTGGGAACCCTCTTCTGTTTACTCCTGAACCCTCCTGCGTGGCTACCATGTTGTATCACTTCGTTGAGCTGACCAGTAAGGTTCGATATGAAGAGCCCTACTACTTATTTAAAACGGGATATATTTAAAACGTGATAAATGGCTAAATGTGACTCAAACCATAATCAGGCGTACCAAATTCGGCCTGAACCTAAAGCTGGCAAGCCGGGTGCAAGAATTCTACATAGCCATGAGCTTGTTCTCCGCTCAGCGATGTTGAAAAACACCTCCAAAATGCACCGGCTCGATTCCGGCCCAAGTCCAAAGCCATTGACCCAAGCAGGCCCAGCACCTCGACGGCGCCGAGACTATTAGTGTCCTAAGCAGTTCCAAAATCATGCAATGGTCATACCAAGAGCAGGGTATTATACTGAATACTAAACCATGGACTATCTTATCATGACCAGAACCCGAAGTCTGGCAAGGCATATGAAACCTTGATTTCTCCGAAAGGGAAGCAGATCAGAGATTCTGTTCAACCTGGATATACGCGGACTATTACCGATCAGCACAAAAATATATGTACAAGGCATGCCCTACCATCCATACGTGCCAAAAGAGGAGCTCGACAAATTCGAGGGCAAAAGAAAAGCGGGTCTCTTTTGCCTGCTCAAGATGTGTACAGGTCCCAACGTATGGATCGCCTTTCTACTAAAAGATGATTTCTATTTGCTACTTACATTCAATTCCCTCAGAATCTTGATCCAGATCTTTGCGAATCCTATATTTCTGTCTCAATATGTTCTTTTCATCTCAGCACTTTCTTTTCATCTGAAGAGCTTTTGTAAAATCTCTCGCAAGCCACGTAATTCATTGTTAAATTACGTAGTATCAGTTAGACAACAATGTTTCGATTTTGGGTATCGGTTAAATCATATGATGTAGATTTTGCACATGGTGGTACTCGCTAAACCCACCTCTCCCATCACCAAATTAAAGTATTAAGATAGAAGGTCCCATATTCATTCCTTCTTGTCGGGAACAAACTGGGTCGCATCGAGCTCATGTCGCACAATCATGGGCACTAGTCTTTCTGCTCCCATTTCATACCTTTCCGAAGTAGGCGAGAGCTCAGACACAGCCCCCGAACCTTGTAATTCACGACTATCTTGTCCCCGAGAGATAGGCTTATCTGAGATGGGCGACTTTTCTTCATCGGGGTTGGACATTTCTGCCACCCCAGTTGTTGAGTCTGTCTGAAGGGCGGCGTTGGACTTGGCGGCAGTTTTGCGTCGGCGCCAAAGGAAGAAGATCAGAATGCCAGCAATAGCCACAGCAGCTACAACCCCGACCACTATTCCTGCGATCGCACCACCGGACGGGGTGGCCTCTTTGTCCGATGTGTCTGATGCGCTAGAAGCCGAAGCTGAGGCTGAGGCTGCGGCAGAGCTGGCGGAGGCATCAGAGGTAGGTGTGGTTGCCGTTGTGGATGTTGGGGAGGCATTTGCGTCGGTTGCTGAAGCAGAGGCTGATGCTGAAGATGCATAAGACGATGTATCGTTTACCACTTTGAATGATTGAAGGTGTTGGCTGGAGGGATGATCTACCCATGGCCAGGGCTTGCATGTATAGCCAGCAGACGGCTCTTCACAATCAGAATTGGTGTAGAGGAAAATACACCAATGTCCCTCCTGCGGGTTCCAGTCATACACATTTCCCGTGGGATTGTCCATCACTTGGCAATCCTGCCGCTTGTCCCCTTGGACAGTGAGCAATTTTCCAGTCGGATTGTGCCAGCTGAAGACCCATGCTGAGACTGATGGCAGGCAAGCGAGGTATAGTGGTAACGAAAGAAACGAGGAAGGCCTCATAGTTGCGTATCGCAGGGTCCCACGGAAAGGGGCGTTTTGTGGGTTTGACAGTAGTGATTAAGTTCAAATGCAGATTTCTGCGGGTCGTGGCTCTTATGTTTAATTCAGCCTCAGGGCCCTTCCCCTTTCCGGCGGCTCGTGTTCTTGGGCTGAGTATTGGTTCTTGCAGAATTAGTCGCATGTGCCAAGGCTCGGAGACGGCGTGTCCCATACATTTGGCGCAGGAAATGCTCATTCAACCAATCGTGCTCTGATCGACTCTCGCCAATTGCTTGGCATGAAAGGGTTACAGTCGGAAGAAGGGGTCTTCGATGTCCCCGGGTCCACTTCCAGCCCGCAGAATACGAGATGATCGACAGTCTACCAGTCACACTCGTTCTTGCCTGTGCATTGACGCCCACAGCGAATTTTGATCTGTCAGAGCTGGTCGCGCGCTGAATGGCCCATGTGATGATTTCCAGGGGTGGAAAAATTAACCAGAAGGGAAGTATAACGCGAAGTTGTTTAGCCTGCTCGAAAGTCACTTATGCTTTTGTTTAGGATGTGGAGAGACTTCCGTAGCAATCTGCAGATCAAGAGATCGAGGTGATATGGAGTAGACATTTGACTAGTTTGAGCTGCTACATCTCGCGAAGGGTTTGGCTGAAGCGAGGCTGAAGCGAGGCTGGAGAAAATGTTAATTTCCGCTGCTTGTTACTTCCATCCTAATTCCCATCAACGATCAGACTGACTAACGCGACTCAAGGGTCTAATATGTCATCAAATGGCCTTTTTCCATGCTCCGTGAACTTGGATCCTATTTATATTGATATCTATCCCACGCTAATAATACAGACATCCATTCAAATAGGACGAAAGTCATCTTCTGGAACCCGTAGTTCATACCTCGCGACTAACGATGAACCTCTGTAGCCCGGCCGTTAGATTACTTTCTGATTCCATCCAGGTGGCCCTTGGAATTTCATCGCTTTACCGTCAAGCTTGTTCCTACAAATAGTGAAACTGTCATAGAAATAGCAAAATGATGAATTCTACAACGCAGCCACCAGCACATACAGCTTTTTGTCCAATGATCGCTGCCCGGTCACATGCGTGGCAATGCACCGCCACATCTCCGCCTGAGGCTGCAAACTGATAAGCCGTCTCCTCCCGCGTCATCAGGTATCATCTCTCCTCCTCACTCACGCTCATCAAGTTGACCAAACATACACCTTTTGACAGTCAACATGGCGCCTGCATATGGGCACCTGCTGCTCCCCAAAATGTGGAGAGCAGCAAGGTACGAGCGATCCCAAATTGTCATTTTCCGAGTCACTCGGCTGACATTCCCCCAGGTTTGCCTACATGAAGGCCTACAAGGCTATAAGAGCCAAATTACCAGAACCTACTCAAGAAGCCGTGCTTCGCTATCAACCGGCCTACGCTCGCATTAACACTCAGCAACCCATCAATCGCGTCGCCGCTATCCGTCAGGCTCGTAGCCGTCACTTCTCGACCCGCGCAGCCGGCGCCTTCGTCACCGCGCTTCGATCTGGAGCCCAAGCAGATGTCGGCGCTTACAAGACCACCCGTGTCGCTTTCAACATCAGTCGACTTACGAGCCGCGCTCCCTTCGCATCTACGCTTCGTCCGAACCTGACTGGTGGCACTCTTGGTCGTACCGCTAGTGGATATGCCTTTGGAGCTGGTCGTTTTGGGGGAGCTCGTTATTTCTCCCATGGTCCTGCAGCCCCAGCCCAGGTGATACAAAATGTTTCTCAGGGCGTGCGAGCTTTCTTCCTTTCTGGCCAGAAAGTTCGTTTCGATGGAATTGATCCCCGCACTGGCGAGAAACGTTACAAAGCCGTCACTGCTCTCCAGGATCAAGCCGGGCGCAAGATGACCGCTGTCCCTCACACTGCCCCGGGCTCGCACATCGACTTCCAGCTCTCCCCGACCATCACTGCTTTCGGTGCTCTAGCCGCCTTGAACAAGGAAGCCGGAGTTCCCGCCGAAGCTACCCTGAACTCCGACGGTCTCGTCGATATGCTCTCTGGCGACTTTGCTCGCTCTCTCAAGGAGTTTTCCATCGTTCTCAATGATCTCAAGCGGCTTTCAGCTCTGGGTGACCTCCCGGTAACTCTTCACGATCGATCCACTATTCGTGTGGGATTCCCGGGCTGCGACGCAGAGACCGTGGAACACCTTTGCGATGAAATTGGAATACAGCGGGGACGTATTACGCAAGACGAAGATTTCGCCCTCCGCAATGGCGCTGATTTGGCGTTGATTTTCCCATTTGCATCCAGTGTGGCCCCTTCCTCGGAAACAGATTACTTCTTCGAGCCTGCCTCGAAGGAGCAGCCCAAATATTCTGATGACCTTGATTGGCGTCATATGCTTACACCGGAGATGGGTAGCCCGTTCAACCCGGACTCTGGCCCGGACTCCGGTAATGCGATTAGCTTTGAGGATGGCGAGTTATTCGGCAACAACCCTTGGACATCATCGCCGAAATCCGCCTACTCGAGTATCAACATTAGCGAGCTTGGAGATCGTACCTACTTCTCAGAGGTTCCCAGCGCTGGTCAGCAGGAGAGCCCGTCCGAGTACGATGGTGCTGAAGGGATCTACAGATTCTTGGCCGAGTGCGATCACGTACGACGTTGAGCGACCGTCGCTCACAATTTGAACTTGCTTGCTATTTTTGATCATTTATTGATGTTGATTTTTTAGTCCTGGCCGAAGCCGTACTGACTTGATGATAGCGCTTATACCACTCCACTCACTTGAACATTTCTTTTCGTCATCTGCAGTGAACTTTCAGAATTCATTGAATACGATGTTTATACCACATACTTATTCCACCGCACTCAGTAAGCGTAGTCCATTGTAACAATCGAACTGAACGCGCCAGTCTCCACATTCGCACCTTGAAGAAGCTAATCCCCGGCTTCCCCGCGAAATATCAGCCACCAACCGCCACGTCGCACAGGCGTCCGGCAAAGGTCACATCGTGAGATCCGAGTCACGAATTTAATCGAAACTACATCGAGTATTCCGTGACGAAAAGGTCTTGTTTGCGGTCGGTAAGCCGTGTTGAATATATCCAAGCCATTTTCCATCAATGAAGTGGATGAGCTAGGGTGTGAAGAAGATCGGCAAAGAGCATCCATTTTGGGGACGGGAGTCCAGTCCGCTTGAGACGAGCTTGGCCTTGGAAACTGCGGTCACGTCCTGGTCAATTCCTTAGCCGGTTTCAGGGACATGCGCCTTATTCAAAGATTCATTTTAGCCAAATTTTAGGACTGCGCTTCTGATGTGCATCATCATTTGATGATAGCTAACGCTGCAGAAATGCCAAGATATGCTGGTACCTGGACCCTGATTTCTTGACAGAGAAGTATCGGAAGCACGGTACGAGTGCCGGCGTCGTTTTAGGCTATGCTCGAGGACAGGGAGTATTTATGGTGGGCCAAAGCCGCGCATGATGGCATCGTGACCAAGACACCTGAAGAATATTCAACGACAAAAGCTCAGACCGATAGCCTACCGGCAGGCTGAATTTCTCATCATGCGATCTATACTGAAACTGGTTCTATTGCTGGCATCGACCGCAGCAGCAGCAGCTATTGCCAACCCAGCTCCGTCCGCTATAACTGCCAGGGCTGCCGCGACTGGAAACCCTTTCTCCGGCTATCAGATGTATGTCAACAACTACTATGCATCCGAGGTTTCTGCTTCAGCATTGCCATCTATGACAGGCAGTGCTGCAGCTGCGGCTAGCAAAGCAGCTGAAGTTCCGTCATTCTACTGGTTGTAAGTTTTCTGTTCTGGATCTTAATGCAGTTTTGCCCCCAATTTGCTCACAGTGATCATTCAAACAGAGATACGGCCGACAAAGTGTCCACAATGGATAGCTTCCTTTCCGATATCAAATCGAAGAACGCAGCGGGAGCGAGTCCACCTATTGCCGGAATCTTCGTCGTGTACGACCTGCCAGATCGTGATTGTGCCGCACTCGCGAGCAATGGCGAATATTCAATTGCCAATGGCGGTGTTGCGAAGTACAAGACTTATATTGACAACATTCGTTCCACGCTGCAAAAGTACTCGGACGTGCAAACTATTCTTGTCATTGGTGAGCCGAATTCCCTTGCAGCAGTAAATGGAAACATGAGTCTGACTTTACTCCAGAGCCTGACAGTCTGGCCAACCTGGTCACCAATATGGCTGTTTCGAAATGTGCAAATGCTCACGACGCATATCTTGAGTGCACGAACTATGCAGTCACTCAATTGAGCCTGGACAATGTGGCTATGTATCTTGATGCTGGTAAGTGTTGCAACTTCCACATTTATGAGTGTTTTGGGATTATGGCTCATGTTTACTATAGGACATGCTGGATGGTTGGGATGGCCTGCCAACCTGAGCCCAGCTGCTCAACTGTACGCTCAAGTTTATAACAATGCCTCTCAACCCGCCTCGCTGCGAGGTCTGGCAACAAACGTTGCCAACTACAACGGCTGGTCCCTCTCAAGCTGCCCGTCTTACACCTCTGGAAATTCCAACTGTGATGAAAAGAAATATGTCAATGCCATCGCACCACTGTTGAAGAGTGCAGGCTGGGATGCTCACTTCATCACGGACACCGGTAAGTGCCGATATGGAGGCTGTGGATGCGAATGATCATGCTAACTCTGTCCACAGGCCGCAATGGTGTCCAGCCTACTCAGCAGAATGCCTGGGGAGATTGGTGCAATGTGAAGGGCACTGGATTTGGTGTTCGTCCAACTACCGATACTGGCGATAGCCTGGAGGATGCTTTTGTTTGGGTGAAGCCTGGTGGGGAGAGTGACGGCACATCTGACAGCAGTGCGGCCCGATACGATGCCCACTGCGGATACAGTGATGCTCTCCAGCCCGCACCTGAGGCTGGCACGTGGTTCCAGGTAGGATTGAATGCTGTTATAGCTCCTCTTCCGTTTACTGACCGAGTTGTCTAGGCATACTTCGCCCAATTGGTGGCTAACGCGAACCCTTCGTTTTGAGATAACGATGTGGCTTGGAGGGCTCGGGTAGTATGGATCCACGGATTATAGCAGGCCTTCTCAATATTTTTTACCAAACAATTCACATGCTATAGCTCATTTTGCCCGTAGGTGGATGCGGTGGAGTGCAGTGTTGCAAGCAAACGTAGATCATGGAGGCGGTGAAGTATTTCCTGGCAGAACTCACCGCCCAGAGCCCACCCGGTGGATTTGATGGCGGGCACAAACCCTCTCCCCATAGACCTCCAGCTTATCCTCTCCACGCCTATCCGCGAAGATCGCCCGTCGTAACGACCCTTTCACCCCACGAAATCGCGGACCTGCATTGCTTAGTAGTGCAGCAGTGGGGTTCCCAACACCCCCGGGTTGATCCACCCAATCTCTGTGGCTGTCACCTGCCCAACCTGCAAGTACACCGAAACAACCAAGACTGGTAGGATCGAGTCGCCCACCTGGCTCGGCCTCTGTTCGGAAAGATGGAGGACTTTAACAGCGAGACTGATAGCGACTACACCAGCTACTGGAGAGACTGGGTATGTTTATTACCTTGTGGAACATTTCTGTCCACCCCACCTCGTTTTGCCCCGCGACGATATGATGGCTGGGCTCGAAATGCTGCATATGGCTTGCCTTGCGAATATTTGGCTAATACCGGTCGAGAATACACAGTTTGTCTCTTCGCGAGGGAACGAATACTTCTGTGAAATTGATGAAGATTACCTGACCGATCGGTTCAACCTTACCGGCCTGAACACCGAAGTTCCCTACTACCAATATGCCCTGGATCTCGTGACGGATGTGTTCGATCTCGACGCCGATGATGATCTCCGGGAACAAATTGAGAAGTCTGCCCGTCACCTCTACGGATTGGTGCATGCGCGATACATCGTGACCACTCGTGGCCTGGCTAAAATGGTGTGTATTTGTTCTCATTCCCCTGATAGCGATAGGACTCCGAAGAAGCGTAAACTAACATTTTGTCTGTAGCTTGACAAGTACAAGAAATGCGACTTCGGGAAATGCCCTCGTGTCCTGTGCGACGGCCACCCCCTCTTGCCCATGGGCCAAGCCGACCTGCCCAACTCGAGCACGGTCAAGCTCTATTGCCCCAAGTGCGAAGACATCTACAACCCCAAATCCTCGCGCCACGCCTCCATTGACGGTGCCTATTTCGGCACCTCATTCCACTCCATTCTGTTCCAGGTTTATCCCGCGCTGAACCCCGAGAAGAGTATGCGCCGTTTCGAGCCCCGCATTTATGGCTTTAAGGTACACGCTGCCGCCGCTCTCGCCCGCTGGCAGGACGCCCACCGGGAAGACATGACTTGGCGCCTATCTGACTTTGGCATTGACCACAAATTCATTGAAGAGGAGAGCGAGAGTGAGAGCGAAGAGGCTTACGAGTACGGCGAGGAAGTGTCAACCGCGAAGGCCGAGAAGATCGCAGGGGACGTGGCATCAGGCCGCATGGATCTAGGCAACTGATCAAATACGCCTGGATCTTTCACGAGCAAACATTTGGCGTAATGAGGGACTTTCCAATATTTGATCTTGCGTGATATGCGTTTACGACTAATGGCGTTTCCAACGTTTCCAAGGCCCACGGGGCCAATCGTGTTTTCCCGACCTTGTATCTACATTCCCCTATATGCTCAACCCGAAATCACAAATGAAGATACCAAAGCTTGATACAATAGTACTCATTCCTCGTAGAAGTAGCAGTCGTCTATGCGTCTCTAATTGCAGGCACCGTGTATGCATGCCAATGCAAATTCCAATCACGCAAACCGGGACGTTCGAGAGCTCTCGGCACCATTAGGCCCTCCTCACTATGAAGATTGACCCCCAAACGGCTCCGGCTCAGGCGCAAGCCCCATCCTCAGCAGCTCCACGAAGGCATACTTGATCGTCCTCGCCAATTCCTCGCCCGTTAACCAGGCCTCGTCATGAGCACCCTCAATAGACATGGCGCGGACTCGGCGACTACTATCTGTGAGTTCATGCACAGGAACCTGCGCCTGGTCCTGTTCCCAGCCTTTCAGTGCATCTTTCATCGCTTCCAGCTGGCCAGCATCGACAAGCTCATCATCTTTCGAGTGCGCCAAGATAACTAATCGCCCATTCTTCCAGCCACCCTCCACCCCCCTTGACCCAAACATCTGCGCAGGCGACACGGCATCCCAGAGCAACTCGTCCGCCCCAAATGCGCCCTCGATAAATTCACGGTATGCAGAGATATCCGAATGATCGTCGCGCAATCGTCGCAAATCGTATATCCCGGCTACGCCAACGATGGCTGTGGGTTGTGACGTCAATCGCGGAGGCAGGGGACCAGGCGATGTGGAAATGGTCTCTGTGCGTGCGTCATTGTCGTTTGTACCATTGAACAGCACTTCCCTGTGTCCCGCAACAGCGCCCATGACGGCCTGAAAAGCCATGGTTGCGCCGCAGCTGTGTCCGACGAGAATGTACTTTGCGCCGAAGGAATAAGTGTTCTGGAGGAATGCGAGCGCGGCCTCGACGTCGCGGATGTGGTCTGGGTGCTTCGCATCACGATAGTGCTCCCGCGGTGTCGTCTCATCCTGGGGGTGGTTTGGATGCGCGCTCAGTCGGTAGGAAATGGAGGCGAAACCGGCGATTGGGAGACTGGGCGAGTCGCGGAGGATATTTTCAGTCCTTTCAAAGGTGTCGGCTGTGATTGTCGGGTCGCGCCAGGCGCCGCCGTGGATGTAGCTATTGACAATGTCAGTTATATCCTACGCGCCAGCGTTTGCGACTACGAAGGGACAGTGGTTGGGGTGGCGACGTACACTACCCAGTAGCCATCTAGGCGCGGTGGAAGGGTGGCCACGGAGATTGTTTGCAGAGAGTTGAAACGACCGTATGTAACGGTTCTCTTGCCTGGCTCGGTTGCCATGGCGCAAAAATTGGTAAGAGTACGTCGGGAAAGGGTGCGATCTATAGGAACGTGTTCAGACACAGGTACACTGATATCGGTCGATCTCGCAGGAAGTGGGACGGGGGCCGTGTCATGACTAATGGCGTAGTACAGAATTGGGGGCTGATAGCAGAATGGTGGTATGAATTATATTTATTTTCAATGTTATTTGTCCCGTTCTTAGGGGAGCATCTTCCTCCACTCGATCAGTCCCGTTTTTATAGATCGCGAGTCCGTCCAGTCGAGCATGCGGAGAAAGAAACAAAGCAGCGGCGGCGGGCGGTGTATCCGCACCGTATTGCCCCTCCATCACGACGAGTGTTCGTGGTACGGTAATACCACTATCGGTCCGACGCTAAGCCGGATATGGAATTGTCGGGCGCTCCGTCCTCAGGCTTTCACACAAACCGCCAACCCGCCCTCCACCACCAACCCATCCTTCTCGGTGCACCACCCTTCAATATGGCCGAGTATGTGTCCGCCCGTTCGATCTCAGAAATTCCATCGCTAACTCCGCTTTTAGAGCACAAGCCCCCCTCGCGGCCGTCAAGGTCGAGGCCCTGGTATGTCCCCCGAATCTGGAAAATCTTCAATGCCCTCGCCAGCGAGAAATACTCATTGTTCGGCGTTCTAGGTGGTGATGAAAATCATCAAGCACTGCAACCAGACTTTCCCGACCACCGCGACCGGCGCCCTCGTCGGTATGGACGTTGAGGGCACCCTCGAGATCACCAATTCTTTCCCGTTCCCCGTGGTCGAGATGCCCACCGAGTCGCACTTCGACAATGCCGCCCCGAACCCGGCCGCCTCTGCTCCCCGCGTCAAGGCCAACGCTGCTTACCAGGCTGAGATGATCCGCATGGTGCGCGAGGTCAACGTCGATGCCAACAATGTCGGATGGTACACCAGCGCCAACATGGGCAACTTCGTCAACATGAACGTGATCGAGAACCAGTTTTTCTACCAGAAGGATATGAACGAGCGAACAGTCGCCCTGGTTCACGACGTTAGCCGCAGTGCTCAAGGCAGCCTCAGCCTGCGGGCCTTCCGCCTCTCCGCCAAGTTTGTCGAGGCGTTTAAGGACAACAAGTTCAACTCGGAGGAGTGCGTGCTACGACATTGCAGAATCAAAGAAAGAGATCGGTATACTGACAAGATGACCACAGACTCCAAAAGTCCGGCCTCCGCTACCAAGATATCTTCGACGAGCTCCCCGTTGAGATCCACAACTCGCACCTGATCACCTCCTTTATCCACCAGCTGCAGTGCCCCAAGTCCTCCGGTCCCTCCGACCTTCCTCCCTCGCTCAGCGCCCTCGAGGCCAGCCCCTTCACCAAATCGAACGTCTTCTCCCCCAACTTCGACAACCTGTCGCTCAGCATTGACCCTTATCTGGAGAAGAACTGCGACCTCCTGCTCGACAGTATCGAGAACCACAACACCGAGGTCAACAACTACCAATACTACCAGCGCGTGCTCGGCCGTGAGCAGCAGAAGATCAACAACTGGAAGCAGAAGCGCACCCAAGAGAACGCCACCCGTGCTGCCCTCAAGCAGCCCCTCCTTCCCGAGGACGAGTGGCAGCGCCTGTTCAAGCTCCCGGCCGAGCCCAGCCGCCTGGAGAGCATGCTCAACACCCGCCAGGTGGACCAGTTTTCCCGCCAGGTGGACGCTTTCGTTTCGGCCACCACCGGCAAGATGTTTGCCGTCAAGGGCAACTTGCTCCCCGGCGAGGTTGCGAAATAAGCAGTGCGTTGACGAACGGCCCCTTTTTGGAATTGCATGAAACCACCTTTTTACGGCGTAGGGAGGGAAAATGTTCTATGGGATGTTAATACGACTTCCTTCTTCTTTTTGCTTGTATGACATGTCGAGTCTTTTTTTTTTTATGTCTGACGTGCGCGAAATTATATGGACTCGCATCCTCCCATAGAAAACAACGATGTTAGACATGATTTACAGCGTTCATTGATCTATTTGCTGCAGTTTCCTACGGGTTGTATACTTCACTTGTCGTAGATAGGCTAGCCCTAACGAGTATAGGGCAGATCATCTCACGTGACATTTTTATGATTTCATCGCTGATGTACTCCGATCAACCTGGTTATGGGATTGAAATGTGAAGAAGCTTGCTCTTTTACTCTTTTCTGTTTTCTTTCTTTTCAACCTCTGACTCTGTCATTCATGTACAACACGCACTCTGATATCTGGATCGTGAGTAGATCCATTTATACATTCTGAGGCTCCACCTGACGGCCCCAGACCCGCCATAGTGACATGGAACTCACAGAGTCGATTCATTATCCGACAATGCTAACAAGATGCGACGATTCCATGAATAGGCCGGCGCATTTGCTGCAGTCGTCGTCGACTTTGTCGTCTATCCATTCGATACCCTGAAAACTCGCATCCAATCGCCAAACTACGAGAAAGTATTCAAAGATGCGCGTACAGGCGCTATACGACGCGATGTTCTCTTTCGAGGACTATACCAAGGCGTCTGGAGCGTGGTATTTTCCACAATACCATCATGTCAGTTCATATTTCTGAAGCCCATTCAATCGAAAAATGTTCAAACAATTGATATGCATCTGCAACAATCCAGCCGGCGCATTCTTCACAACTTACGAAGCCGTGAAAAGCACACTCCACGACTCATCGACAAGAAAGATTTCCCCCGAAAATTCAAACTACTTCACCCAAGGCTCGAATGCGAGTATAAAATTACCATTCACCCATTCCCTACCAACACCAATAATCCACGCCATCGCCTCCTCAACCGCTGAAATGGTCTCGTGCCTCATGCTCACCCCAGCCGAAGTCTTGAAACAGAACGCGCAAATGGTCCAGAGCTCTCAAGAAAGTCACAAAAGAAGCAACGTCACAGCCATGCGTCAAGTTCTCTCTCGATTCAAGGCACGCCCCTGGCGTCTGTGGAGTGGTTACACTGCGCTAGTCGGCCGGAATCTTCCATTTACAGGATTGCAATTCCCTCTCTTCGAGTATGTCCGTATAAACGTAATCAGTTGGCGAAGACAGCGAAAGGAGAGGCATGCCAAACGAGGCGAGAGTAAGTCATATTCCGAGACGATGGATCAGTTGGCTGAGCGGGCTGGGTTAACGGGTCTTTCGGCCTCGGTTGCTGGTCTTGTTTCTTCGACCGTGACGACGCCGATTGATGTTATCAAGACCAGGGTTATGTTGTCTGCTACAGAGGAATGTGGACCTCCTTTTGATAAGGGTAAGGTCGAAACAAGGGCAGGTGTGTTGACGGGGAAGAAGGGAACTTTCGAAGCGAGTAGAGAGATCTGGAGGATGGAAGGTGTGAGAGGTCTATTCAAGGGTGGTGCTATACGAGCTGGCTGGACGGCACTTGCGATGAGCTTGTATCTGAGTCTGTATGAAGGTGGGCGGTTTTATTTGGAGAATCGACGGAAAGCATTGGATGGCGTTTGATAGAGGACTTTCCTGCAGCGCCTGATATAGTTCCAATCAAAGGCATTTACTGAATGTTGGTTGATCGCTTGGAAAAATTCCTGCCATGTAGGCCGAAGCATATTAGCTTGAAAAATAGTAAGGCGAAGAGAAAGTCGAAGACACGGGAATTGGATATTGTTTGACAAGTCCGAGAAAATAGCTACAAATGCTTTTTGTCAACTAGCGCATCAATCATTGTATTGCAATCACATCATAGAATCGTATCTGTCGTAAAAAGGGGTCTGGTCTGTCGATCACAGCCCTCGGCATCGCAAGTGAAACCGAATGGGTAAAGAAAATGAAAACACAAAAGTCACTTCAGTCGCTCTCGTATACAAAGAAATAAGTCCAAGGAATCCCAGAAAAAAAAATCCTCCCATATTTTTTTTCTCGTATCAAACCGAAACGAGAACGTATGATATCCAGATTGAGGCCAAATACACATGGCCACAATTAGAAAGTAGTCAGTTTCTTGAACCAACTCGACTTCTTCGGTCCAGAGTTAGGCGGTCCCCGCTCTCGATCTCCATGTCGACTTCCATGAGACCGCATTCCACGATCCCGCTCGTAGTCTCCACTGCCTGAACTGCTCTTAACACGACCGGCTTTCCTCCGATCCCGGAGCTCGTCATATTCTTCATCAGGCATATCACCATACTTCTCCCGGCGTCTGGCACGACGACGGACGGCTCGACGGGCCTCTTCGTCGGAAGAAAGAGAGTGGCCATTTTGCCCATCGCCAGCGGCTACCGGGGGGACGTCGAGGACAGTCGGCACGATTGGCGGGGGCTCTGGCGGCTCGTCAGCCTGCGAATAGACCCAGGACGAGATCTTGTCCTTCTTGTTACCACCCATGTTACCGTGGTTGATACCACCCGTTCTTAGTGGCTCACGGGACTGTTCTGGCGGCGGTACTGCCTTGGACTTGCGACGACGGGCCTTGGAGTCGTCCGCCGTTCGTGGACCGCGACGACGATCGTTCTCTTGATCCTCGGTGGGGAACGCGTCTGCTGGCTCAACTCGTGAACGGCGGCGCGACGCTTTAGTAGCTCTCTCCTCCTCTTCACGCTGGCGTCTGCGCTCGCGGCGCTCAGCTGCCTTGGCTTCAGCAGCAGCTTCGGCTTCACGAGCCGCCTGTTCTTCTCTGGCACGACGTTTTTCACGAGCTGCGCGTCGAGCTTCCTTCTCCTCGAGGCGTCGCTGCTCTTCTTCCTCACGGGCACGTTGTTCACGAGCTTGGCGCTCTCGTTCCCTTTCTTTTCGTCGTGCGTGTCTTTCTTCGGCTTCTCGTGCTTCCATTTCGCGGGCCTCGGACGGTGCTTGTCGAGAAGAGCGTTTGGAGCGTCGGGCTGCTCGGCGAGCTTCGGCGTCTTCCGCTTCTGTTTCACCACCTGCGGCACCTGCAACGTCGGTTGTAAACCCTTCAGCGTCTGTATCAGGTCTCACGGATCGGCGACGTCGATCGTCTCTTCGTGGCCGACGGGGGTCGTCACGCTCTGTCTCGGTGAAGCCTCTGGATTCCTCGTCGCGGTGGGAGCGAGATTTCCGGCGTTCAGGCATCTCGGGGCGGGTGCTTTTTCTCAGGGAGCCGAAAAGACCCATGATTCCTCCAGATTCTGGTTTCTTGGGGACTGTACTGGAGCGTTTGAGACGGCGTTCTTTGGGGGCGTCGAAGGCAGGGTCATCGGGTCCTGGCACAATGTCTGGAGCCTGGCGTGCCTGCTCTGCGTCAACCATGACAGCATCCTCATCGTCGCCTCGGGGACGAGACTAGAAAATATCGACGTTAGCTAAGGCCCTTTCATTTGTTCATTCGCCAGGCACTATTACTCCGCTTACCTGTCGTTTCGGCTTGCGCTTGGAAGGTGCAGATCCCCTAGAGCCCTCCTTGGGCGACTGTTCCTCGGCATCTGCCTTGTCAACCACAACCAAATCGTCATCTTCAATAGCGTACGGGTCCCGGGGGGCTAAAATAACAAACTATTAGTTTCCACTGAGACTCTTCCCACGAAATCCAGTCTTACCTGACTTGCGCCTCTCTGCACGTGGCCGCTCCCGTTTTGATTTAGACGCGTTGATGCCCATCAGCTTGGCGGCCTTATCGGTTACCTCAGGCTTCTCGTCTGGAGGTGAAGGCATAGCACCTTCATCTATATCATCGGATGCCCGTCTCGACGCAGACTTCGATGGCGGTTTTCTGACGGCGGCGGCGTCAGGTCTGCGCGACGACTTCGTTCTTGGTGGCGGCGCTCCGAACATGAAACTGGATAGGTTGGCGGCGGCACGTTGCTGCTTCGATGATCGCGCCTCGCGCTCACGTCTCTCCTCGCGTTCCCGTCGCTTCTCTCGATCAGAGGATGACTTCTCAACCTCTGCGTCGGGTTCTTTGGGTTTGGACTTGGAAGATTTCGACTTTGCTGGAAGCGTCTCCGCCTCCTTCTCCTTCTTCTTGGGCGGCTCTGTTTCATCTATCGCCTCGCTTTCCTTTTTACTGGACTTCTTTGGCGGCGGAGCAGCTCCCCAGAAGCCCCATCCAGAGTTCGTACCAGTACGTTCCACCTTCGAGCGGTCTTTCTTAGAGGACTTGGGTGCCTCCTCAACTGGTTCCGGCGGAGGAGTTGGAGGAGCACCTTCCTCTGCTGGAGCAGCCACGGGCTCTGATTCTGGTTCTGGCGCTGCCTCGGGTTCAGGCTCGGCGGCGGGTGATTCCTCGGGAGCAGGAGGTGGAGGTGGAGGCTCCTTGGCAGCCGCTGCGGCTGCGGCTTCGGCCTGAGCTTTCTTATACTTCTTGAGCTCCTTCTTCGACATCTTTGACAGATCTGGAGCAGGAGGCTCAGGTTCTGGTTCGGGCTCCGGTTCGGGTTCGGGCTCGGGCTCTGCAGGTGGCTCGGCGGGCTCATCTGGGAAACTACCAGGAAGCAGGTCACTGGAACGCTGTTTCTCCTCTTCCGGCTCAGGTGGCGGGTCGTCCTTGCTCGAAGACTTGCTCTTTAACTTGGAACTCTTCTTAGGCTCTTCTGCTGGAGGTTCTGGCTCAGGCACCACTTCAGGCTCCGGCTCTGGTTTCTTCTCCTTGGTCTTGGTCTTGGAGGATTCCTTGAGTTTGTCCTTTTTGTTCTGTTCGAGTGCTTTGATGCGTTCTGCCACAGAAAGCTTAGCAGTGGATGTTTTCGTCTTCGACTTTTCCACTGGCGGCTCGGGCTCAGGTTCGGGCTCTGGCTCTGGCTCCCCTTCTGGTTCCTTGGGATCATCTCCGACGTCGATGAGAAGGTCCTCCTCGGGCCTTTCTTCTTTCGGAGTCGGCTTCTCTTCAGCTTTCTTGGTTGTCTTGGCCTTTGGCGCGGAGCCTCCCATCAGCGCACCCCAAAAGCCCTTCGACGCAGGCTTTTCTTCTTTGGCAGGTTCGACGGCCTTCTTCTTGGTACTCTTTGACTTGGGGGCCACATCTGCCCAGATGTCATCGGCATTGTCGTTGTCAGCTTCAGGTTCCGGGGTTAGACCTTGGGCGGGGGGAGTAGGGGCCGGTGGCGGCGGTTCTTCGACATCTTTGCCCTTCTTTTTCTTCTTGTCTTTTTTCACAGTGACACCCCAACCACCCCAGTCTTCCTCGGCTGGCTTTTCAGGCTCAGCCTCTGGAACTGGCTCAGGCTCAGGTTCAGGATCTGGTTGAGGTTCTGGCTCTGGCTCGGCAGGAGGCTCAGGGTCTGGTTCCGGTTCTGCTGGCTTATCCGACGGAAGCTGAAATCCATCTTTTCCGGGAATGGGGAGGCCCTTCTGGGTCAGTTTCTTCTCCCGCCTCTTTCTTTCCTTGGAGGACAAGTTCGCCCAGTCGTCATATAATGGATCCAGCGGTGCAGCAGGTTCGGGTTCAGGCTCGGGCTCCGCTTCTGGCTCCGGTTCAGGTTCTGGGTCAGGTTCAGGCTCCGCAGGGGGTTCTGGTTCGAAGGGCTCTGGTTCAGCTTTCCCCTTTTTCTTCTTCTTGTCCTTAGTCGGGACATTCCAGCCAGCCAATTCTTCTTCTTCCTTTTTGGTTTCCGCTGGCCGTTCCTCAATCATTGGCTCGGGGTCTTTCAATTTCTTGTCTTTCTTCTTACCAGCAGTACCCCAACTGCCCATCCAATCGTCATCTGCGGGTGGTGGTGGTGGTGGAGTAGGCTCTGGATCCGCGAGGAGGTCGATTTTCTTCTTTTTATCCTTGGACTTGGTGGTAACATTCCAACCTGAACCCCAGTCATTGTCAGGTTCAGCAGCGGCCTCTGCCTCTTTGGCTTTGGCTTCCTCTTCTTCTTGTGCTTTTCGCGCGGCCTCTTCCTTGGCAGCCTTTCTGGCTTCCTTAGCTTCCTTGATCGGCTTATTCCTCTCCTCCACGTCCTTCACCTTCTTTTCCCATTCCTTCTTTGCCTTCCGCTGTTCCTTCTTAGAAAGGCCTGTAAACCAAGACTCGTTTGTTGGATCTGGCGGAAGTTCTTCTTCAGGTTCGGATTCAGGCTCGGGCTCAGGCTCGGGCTCGGCTGGCGGTTCGGGTTCGGGTTCAAGTTGACGTTCCGTCTCCGGCTCAGGATCAAGAAGACCCTTCTTTTCTTCTTGTCTTTGCCTGCGATGGTCCCCCAACCCCAGTCGTCATCTGCCTTAGACTCCTCGGCTGGTGGAGATCCCAAATCGCCAAAATCAAACCCACCAGGGGTCTTGGTCTTCTTAGCATTCGTAGCCCATGGGTTCGTGCTTTTTTCGCCAATGGCTCCGACACCACCATCTTTGCTACCGGTGTTCCAGTCTTTACCCCAGCCACCGAAGCTGAAACCAGTTCCTCCAGTTTTGGGGCCGGTATCAAAATTTAAATCGAGCTGGGGTGCCCCGTCATTCAGGCTAACATCCTGGAACCCGCCGGGTGGTGCCTCGTCGCCCTAGAAAGAGAATCAGTAAAGTCGTTCGAAATTTGTTGAGGAGGCAGTCAGTCATACCTTTCCTTTCTTCTTTTGCCAACTGTCGCGAACCCAGCCCAGTCATCTCCACCGCCGCCACCGTCGGCCTCATCGGCCCAGCTGAGATTGTTAGCGGGGGAAGCTTCAGCGGCTTTGCGTGCCTCCTCTTCCTCCTCTTCCTCTTTCTTCGTCTTCTTCTTACTGCCGGCTGTTGTCCAAGCATTCCAATCTTCATCACCACCTCCTCCATTATCTCCACCGCCATCACCACCTCCCGCATCGCCGCCTCCGTCGCCGCCACCATCACCACCACCACCACTACCATCACCGTCTCCCGCATTATCCGAGCCACCTCCTGTATCTGCCGGAGGTGGAGGTGGAGCCGCCTTTTTAGCAGCGGGTTTCTTCTTCTTATGTTCACGGACACCCGTGTGATTTTCAAAATCAATGTCGACATTCAAAGCACCGTCTTTCCAGAACGAATTTTTATTTGGCTTTCGATGATGCTTTGTCGCGGGCGTCGAAAGCGCGACAGAGTAATCCGACGTCCGTCGCTCGGCCAGCGGAGGCAGCGTCGAGTATTCGGGGGGCACATCGGCAATGGCATCATCATATGACGGTGGCGGTTGTGTGTACGATGGAAGGAGTCGAGGCGAACGGAGCCCCAATTCATACTGGGGCTCATTTTTGAACGTAGACACGAGTCGTAAGTGTTCCGCAAATGTTCCCAGCACTAAAGTCTCCCAGACGTCATCCACAAGTTGATTCACCGCATCTTCCCCGCGCAGTTGCTCCTTTGCGACGGCCTGGCCACACTGCGCAGAGCGAAAGTTGTCGAAGGCGGGCGCAATAATCTCCATGATGAAATCGCATGCGCCGAATCCACTGCAGTTGCGCTGACCCGATCAGAGACCCGTTTCGTTGGAGTATAGGGGAGAACACATGGGCGACTAGATTCGAATGTCCCCACAGGAGACGTCTCGGGATGAGTCAAGGGAAGGGACGCAACGGGAATCGTCTCGGTCGGACTGAGGCAGAACGAAGTGTATAATTCAAGGATGATCTCGAATCTTCGACCTGGGCGAGCGGAAAAAGCGCGATAGCCACCCGGCACGACCAGCGTGGTTCGAGGCTGCTGAGAACGAGGGAGCGCAGCTGCGATAGCTGATAAGCGGGCTATACAGTCGCACAGGTTGCAGAGGCTGTTGCGAGAGAGAATTCGAGGTTTAGTTTTGTAGTTGCCACTCGGGAAAGGGGAAAAATCAGGGAGAAGAAGGGATCAGCTGAAGGAGGCAGGGATGGAAAAGCAGTCGGGGCGGTGGAGGCTGATCATTCATGACGACGCTGTACATACCCTCGATCCCGACCTCCCTTTTTCGCTTCCGACACGCCTCTCGCACTCGATATATCACTCGGTCTCGATCACCACTCAAACATTTACCAGCGAATTCTCTGATATTATTCTCAATTGCTTGCGACGACGAACTCCTGTTCGGGGCGACCCGAGGCCGAGAAAAAAAAGCTACCGAATCAGAAAAAAGGCGATGGCTGGGACGAACCCCGATCACCGCGAGGACACCCCATGTTTACTTTGTCTACTAATAGTCCCTTCCGGTTCGACTCCGGCACCTCCTCTTCGTCCGTATGTTGAATTTTCCCAGCGATCCCCTGCATCCCTCGAGCCCCCAGTCACGCACAGCTGCACCTACATGCAGCCAACCCCAACCCTCCTATCGATAACAGATGCGCCCCTCCATCGCAGCACCGCGACAGCTCCACCGGCCCTTGCACCACTCCAGGGATGGCCAGCTCTGCACAGGATCCTAGAGTACCCCAAAGTACAGGTATGTATGGCCGGACTCCTCATGCATTTCCAGGTTTGGCTTCACCGCATGTCCACCAAAAGGGAAATCAAAACAAGAGAACCGCGGAACTGCCATGCGTCGTCCATGGATCCGAGGGACCGTAGGTGCCCGATTAGGCCGCGGGAGGGCCCGTTTGCACGGAATGCTGTGTGGATTTAGTCCTGTACTTGGGTCTGTAGCTGTACTTATGTATAGTATGCCCTTGGTGTTTCGGCCAGGGCTGGTACATTGCGCGTGGAAGAATGCAGGGTCAGCAGTGCGGGGAAGCTCTCTTCCAATGATAGTTGTATATATCGAACCCCAACACTATATTAGTACGAACTACTATGGCAGTGAACATCATGACTTGAACATCAACCGGTGCTCCCAACGTCACTACCTGGTATGGCCTGAAATTTGCACATACCATCATAGTCTTCTGCAGGGTGAATGCCTTGGGTTGCTTTGCGCACGCGCAACACGTCCGTTTTCTCACCGCCACTTCGACGCCGGACCCAAAGCCCACCAGTGCGGGGGTTGTCTCCGCTCTGGAGGATCAGTGGCCCTTGACCCGTACGGGCGAATCGGAGCATACATTATGATGATGGAGAAACCAGGACAGTGGACGATTAAGGTATGTTTCAGCCACCGACCGAAATGAAAAAGCAGACGGGACTGACGCATTGGATATTGTATAGAACTCAAGCACAAAAGAACAAGGCGCAGCTACAATACAGCGACAAAAGAAAAAGGGAATAGAGCGACATGCAACGTTGGGATAAGAGAACAAAACACACGAGGCCATACAAGTCCAGACCGATCATGAGGAACCTTTTTCCTACCTATTCCATCAAACACCTCCCAAAACCGGGTCGCCACAAAAATACACAGAACCGTTTATCTGCCCTTTACTCTTCCGACTCACGTCCGGTCAAGGTCAAATACTCGGGCTCCTCCCCGTAAACCTCCAGGTGTTCGCGTCGATACCGCTCGTGATCTTGCACTTGTCGCTGGTGGTACACCTGTATTCGACGACATTAACTGATGATCCTAGACCACTATCGCGCACTAACGACAGGAAGTAACTCACATTCTTCTCGGCATCAGTCAACTGCTTCCATTCACCGGAGATATGACTCGTTGAGTCCTTGACTGTCATGTGCTTGAAATCACCGCTGGCCCGACGATCCATTAGGAAAAGAAGCCAAGCATTGAGGGGTCTCTTGGGCAGTCGGTCGTCTTTCAGCGGTGGATAGGACTTCCGGACGCTAGGCTCGCGCTGCAGGGCTTTACGAGCGTAGTTGGCGGTTCTGATCTCGAGAGGGGTATGCGATTTGAGCCATGCATCATAGGCGGCCCGGTTCGCGACCTTGTTCTCCTCGGCCTGAGTGCGGAATCGCTAAAAGAACGTCAGTATGGAGCTAGATTTCATTGGGGTTCCCTGGGAACAACGCTCGAGACGTACATCAACATAAGACGGGTCCGCTTTCAACTCCGAAGCGGCGATCTTCATCATTTCCATTGCGAGCTCCTTATGGCCCTGTTGGCGGAGTTCCTGAATCTTCTGCTGCGCAGCGAGGATGTAAGCACTCTCCGATCGGCCCTTAGGAACCTCGAGCGCGGTCTTTTTGAGGTCTCTGATATGTTGCAATGCAGCGCGCTTCTGCTCCTGCGCAAGCTGCTTCTCGGTAAGCTCCTTCTTTCCCTTCGTTCCCTTTGGCCTTCCGGCCTTGCCCTTCGGGCTATCGGAGGCTGTAGCAAACGAACAGACTTGCTGCGAGCTAAAGACAGACACGCGACCAAGCTGCAGGGTCGCCGATCGAGGTTGCGAGCCGAGGGAAAGTTGGCGCAGCTGGTTCTGCAGCTCCATCACGCGAGTAGGACGAGCCAAGGCATTGCCGACGTGCAGCTGTCGAAGCGCACCCGCGCGGATAACCCACTGGGAAGCCATGGGGGAAAATTATGTATGATATACCGGAAAGTCCTGTTAAGCGTGAAGTTCGAAGCACAATGAACAACGGAGCACAATGTCAATGTGGAAGGGGGGTTCCCTGACGCAAGCGGAGGAGGCTAAGCGTCGCAGGTGTCATTACATAATCCACCATAACAAGCCTCCGCCTTGGGACTAGTGTCGCACGTGACAGCAACCAGGGTGATGTCAAGGCACGTGACGCCTCTCGGTGCCTGGACTCGCACCTTCCGAAAAAGTTGCCTAGGCAGTTGCACTCGCTCGTCACCAACTGCGCACCAATCCCGACCCAGCGATACTCATGGAAGCGGCGTGACTCCCGCTACTTCAATTGATCGACGGCCCGCGGTGTTTTTGACTTCGCAGTAACACTCACTCACCGTTGGCCTGCAACCATGGCTAGCCGCAACGAACGCTCACCATCTCCTGCAGGCAGTACTCACTCCTCGTCGCGTGGCAGTCGCAGGGACCGTGACGACAGCCGCCCCGAGAGAGGTCGACGGGACGATGAGCGTCGTATCCGCTTCAGACCCAACCCGCAGGTGAGTCGAATTCCTGCTTGGAGCTCCGCCTGGTCAGAGCACTTGCTCGAGCATGGCGGAGCAGTCGGCATGGAAGCGTTTAAAGCTAACTTTGAGTCGACTCAGCGGGATCGCTACGGCCGTCGCGATGACAATCACTATGTCCCTGGAGACCGATCCAGATACAGACAGCCATCCCGAGATCGCCGCCGAGCCGATGACCGCGAAAGAAATTACCACAGGCGAGATGATTCGCGCGACCGCGACCGCGCGCGTGATCGGGACCGTGACCGCGAGCGTGAGCGCAGACGCCGTGAAGACTCCGCTGATCTGAGGCACAAGTCTCGGCGTGAGGATAGCCGCGACCGCGACCGAAGCTATCGACGCCGATCCCGAACCCGCTCTCCAGTGGTGAGTATATTTGAAAATGCTATTTTCTCGCCTAGAACATGATTGCTAATGATACTTGATAGCCGTCGAAGTCATCTACCCCTGCACCACACGAAACCGACGAACAGAAGAAGGTCAACCGGCTCGCCAAGTTGGAAGCCTGGAAGGCCAAACAAAGCGAACAGCTCGCAAAGAAGCAGGAAGGAGAAGTAGGCTCTCAGAAGATTCTTGAAGCGATTGACCGCAAGTCCGGTCTGTCTCCAGCCGTTGGTTCACCCTCAACTCCCGTGACCCCTGCCGACCTATCGGCATCTACTGGTTATGCAGGAAAGTTCGACCCGAAGGCTGTTGCCCGGAATGCAACGGCCGCAAACGCCACAACGGGCTCGCCCGCTGTCCTCGGCATGGATGTTACGGTCCCTGAATCAGCCAGGGCTCCGACAATGCCTACGCGCACTGCGCAAGAAACCGAGTCTCTCAAGCCCCAAGGCAGCGTGGGTGGGTTTGCGTTGGGGGCCAAGCAACCTTCTGAGAAAGAGAAACCATCTGAAAACCGCGACCTGGGATTTGATGAAGAGGAATCCACCCACAAGAGGCTGAAGGAGCTGCCCAGCCTTGCGCTCGATGATGGTAACGATTATTTCGACAATGATGACGGAGCGGAAGATGGCGAATTCGACAACCAAGAGTTCAACGAAGAGAAAGCGCGGGCTGCGGCAGAACAACGGCGACAGCAGCTTCTCAAGGACCAAACCAACGAAGATGTCGCCATAGCAGACGCACCAGCTCAGCCCTCTGGATCTACAGCGATGGAAATTGACACAAACGCGGAAGAGGAGGATTTGGATCCTTTGGATGCTTACATGGCAGAGCTGAACCAGCAGCTTGATACTCCTGGCTCAACCGAGTCTTTTGGTCATTCTGTTCCAACCAAGAAGGACAAAGAGGCGGGAGAAAACCAACCAGAGGCCTTCTTTGGAGATGACGATGGCGTGGACATGACTGCGGTTGGCAACGAGGATGCTGACGATGTCTTGGCTATGGCCAAAAAGAAAAAGAAGAAGGATGTTCCAAAGGTCGATCACGCAAAGGTTGATTACGAATCTTTCCGCAAGGAATTCTACCAAGAGTCTGATGAACTGAAGGAGATGAGCGAGGAAGAAGTAGCCAATTTGCGTCAAGAAATGGATGGTATCAAAGTTCGCGGCCGTGACGTCCCTAAGCCGGTTCAGATGTGGGCTCAGTGTGGACTGGATCACACCACTACGCAGGTCATCAATAACCTTGGCTATGAGAACCTCACTTCCATTCAATCTCAGGCAATTCCGGCTATCATGTCCGGTCGCGATGTGATTGGTGTCGCCAAGACAGGCTCTGGAAAGACAATGGCCTTCTTGATCCCCATGTTCCGACATATCAGAGATCAAAGGCCTCTCCGAACTATGGAAGGTCCTATCGGCTTGATTATGACACCCACCCGTGAACTCGCTTCGCAGATCCACAAGGACTGCAAGCCTTTCCTGAAGGCCTTCGGCTTGCGAGCCGTCTGTGCGTACGGTGGTGCCCCGATCAGAGATCATATCGCCGAACTGAAACGAGGCGCCGAAATTATTGTTTGCACTCCAGGGCGAATGATCGACCTTCTCGCAGCCAATGCCGGCCGGGTTACTAACCTGGCACGTGTCACATATTGCGTCCTTGACGAAGCAGATCGCATGTTTGACATGGGTTTTGAACCACAGGTCATGAAGATCATGGCAAATATTCGACCGGATCGCCAGCTAGTACTTTTCTCCGCCACCTTCCCTACCGCCATGGAGGCGCTGGCCAGGAAGACGCTCAATAAGCCTGTCGAAATTATTGTCGGTGGACGAAGCGTCGTGCCTCCTGGAGATCACCCAAATCGTCGAAATTCGCAATGAAGATCAGAAGTTCATTCGTGTGCTTGAATTGCTGGGCAGGCTGTACGCCAGTGATCAAAACGAAGACGCTAGATCACTCATCTTTGTTGAGCGTCAAGAATCCGCTGATAACCTGCTGTCCGAGCTGATGCGGAAGGGCTACCCCTGCGGATCTATTCACGGTGGCAAAAACCAGGAGGATCGTAGCGACACCATCAGTGCCTTCAAGGGTGGTGTCTTCCCTGTGATGATCGCCACCTCCGTTGCAGCCCGTGGTCTTGACGTGAAACAACTTAAACTGGTGATCAACTATGATGTCCCTAATCACCTTGAGGACTACGTCCACCGTGCTGGTCGTACCGGACGTGCTGGAAACACTGGAATCGCTGTCACATTTCTGACCGATACCCAGGAGCGCTTCGCTGTCGACGTTGTTAAGGCACTCCAGCAGAGTAATCAGGAAGTTCCCAAGCCTATTATGAGCATGGCTGAATCTTTCCTCAAAAAGATCAAAGACGGAAAAGAAAAGTCGAGCCATGGCTTCGGTGGTAAGGGACTGGAGCGCCTCGATCAAGAGCGCGAGAATGCTCGCAAGCGTGAACGCCGCGCCTTCAAGACTGGCGACGAAGAAGACGAAGAAGACGAAGAAGGAAAGGAAGACACAGCCGACAAGGGCGAGGATCGCTTCGCCAAAGCCCTTTCTTCCGTGCAATCTGCCACTACTTCAACCCCGACCCAGATTCCCGGCGTACCGAAGGGTATCGACCTCGACGGCCATATTACTGTTCACAAGACCGAGAGAGAGCCTCCTGGCTCCAAGAATACTCTCGACAAAGTGGGATCTGCTGTGGCGGATATCAATGCCCGCCTCAGCAAGGCTGGTGTTATGAGATCCGGTGTGCCCATTGACAATCGTGGTCCCGATGCAGGCCAGTTCCATGCCACTCTTGAAATCAACGACTTTCCCCGTAAGTACCCACTGTCCCTGAAAATCTCACCATGACTGATGCTAACCTGACTCCCTCGATACAGAGAAAGCTCGTTGGGCCGTTACCAACCGCACGAATGTCGCCAAGATCCTGGAAGCAACCGGAACCTCTATCACGACCAAAGGCAACTTTTATCCTCCCGGCAAAGAACCCGGTCCGAATGAACTGCCGAAGCTGTACATCCTGGTGGAGGGAGAGACCGAGATTTCCGTTACGAATGCGATGCGTGAGCTGATGCGTCTGCTGAAGGATGGCACCATGGCGGCGGCTGATAGTGATGCCCGTGCTCCGGCTAGTGGCCGCTACAACGTCGTCTAGACGCAGAACGGAGTGATATGGAGTGAATTTATGGCGCGCAGATAGGAATTACCGACATAACAGCATGATTGCTTAGCTTTGATTTCGGTACCTAGCTTGCCCAAATCAAGTCTCAACAAACGTGTTCGTCCATTTTAAGTAGTAGCGTAGGGTAGTTTCCGTGAAGGACTGAAAGTCTGGGCAGGGAAACCGAGAGTAGGGGAAGTGTAAGATGACCTCGTGGCATAGCCGCTCGTCCGTTTAATCGGATTCTTTTGAGTTGCGTGCACATATTGTTGCTCCAGCTGAATGTAGATGGTATTGGGCGTGACGATAACAAGTCCCTGAAGTAGGTACACCGTGTATTGAGGGCGCAGGGTGCCCAGGCCTTGCAAACCAGTCTTGAAGCCGAACAAAATATGCGACCCTCAGGAAATAGGTAGGAGTGTGATCTCTGTGATAGAGAGTATGAATGACTTTATCTGCACTATAGAGTTGTAGAAAGCACGAAGGTACTACACTGTATGTACTATCAACATAGACGTTAGAGGTCCCCCTCTGCTCGAGATCGCTACCGCAGAGCTTCTCTCCGTCTTCGTCTATCATTACAATCTATCCATCTTGGCCGTGTTTTTTGACAGAAAATTCAGAAATGCGATTATTTCTCAGTAAGCGGCAAGTATATTTTGAAATATTCTGGTCCTAGAGCAGAACTACCTGGCCCAAGAGGTAGATGCCAGTGGCATTTTTTTATTTAGATTATGAGACTGACGTTGCGTATGAGGGGGAACTTTTACATCTCAATTGGGCAAGCTCTTCAAGATTTTCTGGCCTGTATTTGCATGTTGATGCTGATCTAGTACAACGCAGTAAATGATACAACCCCCCGACATCATTCTAACCCGTTGGGGTGTTTGACTATAGACATTTCGGATCCGTCCTGTGTAGACATTGCCAGGCTGTAAGTTCAGAGATATTGGCCATCACGCGAGTATTCTATATACTTCATTCTGTACACGTCTCCTTTTACTCATAATGCCAGGGTGCCCGTTTAAGTAGATTTTGTTGTCTGTAGAGATGATTGCAAGGTATCGAGCGTTAGGTGAGAAGGTCTCACGCAGCTCTCCGGAAACGTGTAGAGAAATGCACCGAGTGATCTTACTTCAGAGGTCGAGCAGTGGTACTGGACACGCAATATGTGTATAGGGAATTTTCGTCATCGTCACCCATCCCACAAGCTACAATATCGTCGTTGGGCAGGTATACGATTGCCAGTATTTGACCAGGCTTTGCCTGATCAAAGGCATGCAACAGGCTTTTGGTGTCCGTATTTCAAACTCGGATAGTATTTTCAGAATCACCTGTTGCAAGTGATTTTCCATCTGGTAAGAATGAAATGACTGGAAGAGTACATGCCGGAAGTTCGAAGAAGACCTCAAGACTGCATGCCACAATATCAAATAATGAATGGCAAATGAATGGTCTCCAGAGACCATGAGTGCATGCCTTCTATCAGCCAGGCACCTCACTAGTGTTGCGACTTCGCAAGGTCAATTGTCCAGAAATTTTCCACTGTACATAAATTTCAGAGCTTGGGTTGCCCTCCACCTGAGATAGATCATGAGATGGAAGCCAAGACTTATCGTTTGGGGAGAAGTCCGTATCGATGAAACCGGCTTGATGGCCCTCAAGATCTATCACATATTCTGATCACATAAGGTCCATAGAAGGGACTCTGCGAATCCACCTGGGTAACCTATGTCGAAAGACTTTTTTAGCCAAGCTCTATTCGGGGGAGAATATCTTGGCAGACAAGGACCATCGGTGGGGCGAAAGAATGGTCATTCTTTACCACTGGTTGACGAACCGCTTGACGTCTTTCAAAAAAAAAAGCCAATTCTCTAATGCTCGAGCTAGAAAAAATGTTAAGAATATTATCAAAATTTGACCATAGCATGCTTACTGAGAAAAGCAAAATCAGCCTGTCTACCATATTCTAGGGATCCATAGGTGTTAGGCCTGCTGAAATAATGTGTTGGTGACCATCATTCTTCCGTTCTGTAAGGCTACAGGGTATCGAGGACTTGAAATAGTAATATTTGCGTACCTGGTCCTTCGACATGATCACCAAAAGTATCCTTTTGAGTAATGTTAGAGCTCTGAGTGTCCAATTCGTTTGTTGGATTATTCGGGCAGAGACACTGTAGAAGACCGCTTCCCATGATGGAAGGTTTAATCCAGTCTCAACTGAGGCATTCGTGAGCTGTATATCAGGTACAATTCCTCGGAGGAGAATAATTCGAGGTATGTTGACGGCGAATGAGAGTGCCTTTTTTTCGCTTTTATTTGTTCGTACTACACAAGCGCCAGGTAGGGGCGGGGCTGGAGGTCAGCTGAAGCTGCATGAACCTCACATTAGGGATGCCATGAATAGGAGAATCGCAGCCCAAATTCATGCATACCAAGTATGCCGGCGGTAACTAAGTTCTCGCCATCGAAGCAATCTCGTCACCGAGGTTACTGAAATCCACAAACCCAAACTTCGCATACAAAGGCGCGCCATCTTTGCTAGCATCCACATATGCGGCAACACCCTCGACATCAGCTAGCTCGCAGCCCCATTTAACAAGCATCGATCCAGCTCCTCGTCGTTGATAGTCAGGATGGGTAGCGACAGTGTCCAGATCTACAAAGTCAGTAGTTACGAAGAGATATGTTCACAACTGGGACACAGACAAAAATGTTTTTTATCACCCATAACGCGTTTCCGATTTTCCTCTTCTTTCTGGAAGAATTTGTCGCATAGCGTTTTAGGCATCTCTTCATGCCATGGTGGGTAGCGGTCGCCACGATCTTCCGGCATCGATGTGTCCCATTTCGCATACGCTGCTATGCGCGGTCGGCCGTGGTGGTCGTTTGACTCGGTATCAATCACCTTAACGTATTTCTGAAAGGGCTTCTGCGTGAAATCGCGGTAGTTGGCATCTGTTAACCATTGGCGGACTGCTGGTGTGTTGGGGAAGACGCGACGTAGTTCTGGGTCCGAGAACGCTGCGAACCAAAGGTCTGTGAGAGCTGGCAAATCATCCACAGTCAAGGGTTCAAGCTTGAGAGACGAGGGTGCTGGCATTGCTGTAGTTGCAGTAGAATGAAGTCGCAAGGAACCTGAAGGACGAGGTGTAGTCAACGAGTGGAAACGCGGGGAACGTGACTTGGACAGTTTGGGTCGGTGCGACTTTCCCGCGATGGGTTCACCGATCACAAATATATACAAGTGTCAAGTTTACCTGGCGGCAATAAAGTGGAGATACACTAATGTAGTACTTGCAAAGTGCCCGAAAGTGCTTTGAATGCTAATTTCTTCGCATATTCGAGATGATATGCCTTACTATGTATCATGGCCTCTTGATCGTAGTATCACTCAAACGTTCACTTGACAGGACGCAATGGGATCTGATGCAGAATGGGTTGGATAGACTCAAGCCTGCTCTCCCCCAAAACTCCAGATGGAGCCCTGCAGCTATGTGTGCCAAAACTACCCCTTCACACCGACACCATTGAATCCTGTCAAATCAGCAGGCTCCAACTCCGAACCAACCCACTCTTGGAGAGGTAATGTATACTCCGGACTTTCCCTCGTAAAACCAGAGATCGCTGTAAAGTCGACGCTGGAAAACTGTGCAAAAGAATTGAAAGATAAGAAATTTAACGCCCCCAAAGAATTTCGAAACCAGGAGAGCTCAGAACGAGCTGCCGTGCTTTATCAGTTGGCGGATTTATTGATAGGCCGCCATTTTCCTTTGGTCATCCTGCGCTCGGTTTGCTCTCTCAGCTTCGCTTACTTCGTTCAAAGTCTGTGCTTGCGTCTTCAACTTTTGTTCTGCAAGCTTCGACGCTAGCTTTCCCTTGTTGGCGGACGACGCGGTCTCGGCCCGTTTCTGTAACCCCACAATGATTAGTGTCTTCCCGTTCTGTAGATCGCCGTGGTAGGAAGCATATCGGGATAGCAAAGGAACAAAACGTGGTTTAACTTACCTGTGCAGCAATAGCAGCATTTGAACGTGCCTCGTCACCACCCCCTTGCGCTCCTCCCGGGGAACTGTCCCCGAGCGTCCGACCCGGGGTATTCTTCCAATTGGCTTGTGCAGGGACGGAAGCTCGAGGGGCAGTCGATCGATCCGAGGGGTTGGTTCCGACAACACGACCGGTACCGGCGAAGGCGTCGGGCTCGTTAGAGGAGCGCGAGCAGATATTCCCCATGTTTTTTGTTGCGGGTGGACACCCTGGGGTTAGTGCGGAGGCCGTGGGGATGTGTGAAACGAAACCAAAGGCAGGGGTGGACGAGGGAGGAAGGGAGGGAGACGTGTGGATGCAAGCTGAGAGTCCGAGCTAGGTGGAGCAGTGCAGAAGATCGAAGCCAGTCACTGTGCTGCGTACCTGCATGTTCAAGGGGAATCTGGCAATCACAACGGGCAAGCTGAGCCGGAGGTCAACAGTCACGTTGCGATTAGAGACAGCGATAAGAGGGCACGTGGGGTTACGTCAGCACCGAGATCTCGGGGAATTTGCCTCTATTCGATCTCACAACGTAAATCTCGATCTATACGGTATGACAGATATCGACAGGGCTAACGATGGGAGTCGCCTGGTTAATGCGACTCACATGACCCTTCAACTCACCCGAGTTTCACGGTGGAGCCGATCGAAGGGTGACTGTGGCCCGGGGAGATGCCCGCGGGGGAGAGATTATTAGTCATCAAAAAAAGGACGGTGAAGAGAAGACGCACCTTCCGGAGAATGCTGGGGAATGCCTCAGCTTGCCTCGACTAGTGCAAGCAAAGACTCGAGTCACTTCACCACTGTCGCTCCTGCCCTCCTCGACCACAATGACCGCCGCAACCGGTTGACCGCTTGCCAACACGCACGCTTCGATTCGCCCGCAAACTATGACGCCTAACCCCCAAGGTCCTCACTCGCCCGGTGTCCCAAGGTCCTCACTTCATATTTGGGAGTCGCAGAGGCTGCCCCCTCTCTCCTGATTGTGGACTTTTCTGCTGCTGCAGCTCCTCGATTTCGGTTTTTATTTCGTCTCCAAGGTCCTCGTTTTACCTGAAATCTTGTGCTGCACGACGATCGTTCGCCATTTTCTCCGATTGCGTCGGTGATCCTCTGCCGACGTAGTACACACTTTCCCGGCGGATGACACAAACGTGAGACGACTTGCATTACCGTGGAGGGGCATATCCGAGTGGACTCTCTGGTTTACATACTGGGGCCTCGTGCATTCCTGGGTGGACGCTGCAGTGGCCTTGAGAACTGCCGGTTACGTGATTGAACGGCCATCAACTTGAGCCCGGATCTCGTACCTGCCAGTTCTACGACGAATTCACTTGCCGGTCGCACCTTCTCGTCAGCTCGTCAACCGTCTTTTCCCCATTGAAATTTCCCCTGGTGCCGGTACCTGCTCCTGTCGCGACACCGGTCTTTGCCTTTTGCCTGTCTCACAATCCTTTTACCTGTACCCCTCCAACCCAATTCCCCGACGTGGTTCGTGCACACCATGTCTTCCCAGCCCCAAGGAGGCGATTTCTGCCTTGAGTGCCGTTGGGAGGGATTGCATATCGATGGCAAGAACCCCGGTGACGCTTCGGGGATCCAAACCCAGCCTCAGTGGACGTGCTCGCAGCCTGAAAACCATACCGTGCTCGCAGACGCGCAGCCCGACGATGGATGCTGCGAGGCAGACGACTGTGCGCTAGATTGTGGGTCGGTATGTGACGGCTTCGTGGACTGTGACGCTTCGACCGTTTGCTCCGTTGCTCATTGCGACGACATTCACTGCGGCGACACACACTGCGATGAGACTCAATGCGAAAGCACTGACCCTGCCTGTTACGAAGATCACTGCTGCGACACCACTCAAGACGAAGACTGCGCCTTCGACTCCTTCTTTGGCCTGACTACCCCGTTTTCCCTGGACGGATCTAGTGACCTTCCGTCGACCGCGATGGCAACCCATGTCGCCGGCGACCAGGGCAAGCCGATGGACCAAACCCTCCCGGGAACTATCGACCCCTGCTATCACCAAGACTTCCTTCATTCCTACCAGACGCATGCAAGCCATTGTGAGCAAAACGTTTCGAGCCATTTCGAGTGTCATGACTTCCAGAAGGACCTGCAGGGGATGTTCACGCATCAGCCGTTCCCTCCCCAGACAGAGGTCAACCCGGCAGATGTCTTCCAAATGCTTGGGATGTGCCCGGACTACACAGTCTGCCACGACCATGTCGCTCCTGCTCAGCCTACCGCGACTGAGCTGGAAAAGCCCAACAACACCCCGACACCGGCCAGCTTGAACTGCTTCCACCCCGAGCATCACCATGTCCACGGCTCCTTTAAGAACCCCAACGACCTCCAGCTCAATATTCCGCGAGGGCCTCATCGCAACCATCATCGATGCCGTGTTCACCACCACCATGCTCACCCTTACTCACCATACTCTCGCCAATCCCGATCCAGTGTGAGCTCGCACTTCATCTCGAGCCCGGGAGAGACCCCGCCGCCACTGGACGGAGGTGTATCATCCGTCTTGACCACCCCTGACTTCTCTACCGAGGACAATGACTTCCACATCTGCAAATGGGTTATCAACATTCATGGCATCAAGGCCCCATGTGGTGCCACTTTTGCGGATTCGGGTGCTCTCCAGGACCACCTTGTTGCCTCCCACATGAACACAGTGGATGGTGCCAGAGGCAATGGATACTATTGCTGCTGGGAAGGATGCCATCGTCCGGATGAGCCATTTTCTCAAAAGTCGAAGCTTCAGGGTCATTTCCTGACGCACAGCAACTGTAAGTGATCTTACCTTCGATGGATATCATTAAGAATACAGACTCACCATCTACCGCAGACAAAAACTTCAGATGCTCTGTTTGCGGAAAAGCCTTTGCTCGCCAGGCGACTTTGGATCGGCATGAGCGCAGCCACCGAGGCGACAAGCCGTACAAATGTAAGGATTGTGGCAAGACATTCACGGATAGCAGTGAACTGAGTAAGTTACCTTTCTATCGTAATACGTATTATTACTCATTGTCGCAGAAACGCACTCGCGAACCCACAGTGGCGAGAAGCCATTCAAATGCACTTTCCCAGGATGCAATTTTACAACTGGAGACGTGAGTTTCCATATAAAACCTGTATTTAAAACATTCCACTCACAATTCCTCCTCAGTCTTCCAATATGTCTAGTCACAGATTGACTCATGGTGAACGGAAACATAAATGCCCTTACCCGGGATGCACCAAGAGCTTTACCCGACCTGGTATGTATAGAGTCATGGTTACGATTGTAAATCAAGGACCAGTATTAACTTCTCATCTTGCTCAGACCAACTGAAGCGTCACCAGCGAACAACCCACAAAATAGAGACTCCTTCCCTCCTTCCATCGCCAAGTCACGACCAATTCACAGTCGCCCCCTACGCTGTCGTCTAATACTTCGTTGCAACAAAATACCCCTTGTGTAATGTATGACTGTCACGCTATTACGACCTACAGAAACGGTGCTACGTGTGGCCGGGCGTATCGCGGCTTTCTGGGAAATGAATAGGAAGGGTGCCGTTTCATGGAAGGGACTCCTCTCTTCCATAAACGGGTACCCTTTTCATTTCATCCATGTTTGAGTGATCTGGCGTTTTTACTGTATGAGGAACATCGTATCACCAGACTCCGATTTATCTGGTGATATTGGGAATTGATGATTTTTCACGTACTGTTGCTGCCAGGTTTTGCTGCGCTTTTATGATATGTTCAGTGCAGCTACGATACTGGCAATGTTTATGTTAATAATGATCTTGATACCACGGTCTGAAACAATGAATCTTGTTCAATGAACTTCGACGTCGATGTCTCCCTAATTATGCAATCGACATGTCCGACACGGCCATTTTCTGATGCACAATACCCTTAAGATACGATAGCCGTACAAATCCCCGATAAAAATACAGTCCAGCTACCATCTCAAAACTCCATATCCAACCTAATCATCATGAGCCCTTTCCTCAAGAATCTCAACAGCATTCCTCAACTCCCTCACCCGCTGCCCAACCCTCTTTTTAACCTCCCCACGCACATCACCATTTACAGCCTGCGCATCAAAATTCGTCTCAACAACCGGACCCTGCTTCTCAGAACCCTTCAGCGTCTCACTCGCGCCCGTCGTATAAAGCTCATAAACAGCAATGAGCTGATTCAGCGCATCGCGCGCAGACTCCCGATCCGACGCGGCATAGATAGTCGCACTATCCGTCGAGTCCGTCGCGATCTCAAACTCGTCTTTCGCGATCTCATACAGGTCTTGCAGCTCTTCGATTAGATTGTCGGCGGTAATGTCTGTCGGCGAGGCGGAGGGCGAATACGCGCGGAAGGCGAGGTGTTTGTTGCACCACGCGGCTGGGGTGTGTCGGGTCCAGAGGGAGGAGTGCTTTGTAATCGAGGCGTTGCGATTGGTAGTAGTGATGGAGTTGTGTAGAGCTCGGGGGTTTTGGAGGTTTAGGCTTGGGAGGAGACGGGGTTGGCGAGTGCGGAGGCGGGTTAAGCGTGTTCCGACGCTGAGGGAGGACATTGTGCTTGTAGTTGTTGATAACTGCACAGAGATTTGGGAATTGTACTTTGCAGATGCAGTATTTATATTCGTCTCGCAAGTACTTTGGGTTGTGGACGTTGAGTGAATGAGGTGAGCTCGAGGCACCTTGGGGAACCAATGACGGGAACCAATGACGTATGTCACGTGTTGATAAGATGTATGCTCCGCGTTTTCCAGGTGGGCTGACTTGTCGTGCCCTAAATCGTTTTGTTGGGACTGAAACAGATCTTGAAGAGAGGCTATATTTTAGTGAAGAAACTGGGCTGTTGTTGGATCGGTGGAAATGGTCGATATAGGTGGCATCAACAGTCGATTTCTAAGCCATCGACTCTGGATCCCGAATCCCGAGGTCGCGAGGTCGCTGTGATTGAAGAAAGGAGTTTCGAGGAGGTTTAGCTAGTACGGTCGAGTTTTATAATAAAGTAGATTTGTGGTTCGTATTGCATGATCCTAAAGCTCGAATCATACGATTTTCTTAGTGCGGCTCGAAGGATCAGGCAGCAAGCCACCCTCGGCCCTAGCCCCCAAAGCTTTGGCGGGAAAAGAATATCAAAGTCACCTCCAGCAGCATAGATCTTGGGATAATTGCCATTCCTGTTGCTAAAAACAAGAATTTGTGTTCGACATAAGAGATGGAAGGAAATTAAAATCAGATTATGAACAAAGACGTATAAACCATGAATTATGAACAGAAAAGCAGGTCCGTCCTGAAGCCACCTGCCGGGGTAACTAGTGCTCGCAAAGACTGAAGCTGCCCTCTTGAAACTCCTTATTTTGCTTCTCAGCCGTAAGTCCACGCTCTTTCATAAGCTCAAGTCGGTGCGCCTTGGCTTCTTCAATAGACATGGCTGAATGACCCGGTGTATCAGCCTCTTCCGTGGTTTTCTGCCTTTTCGCAGGCCGATCGGAGGTTTCACTTCCGACAGAAGCATCCTTGGTCCTTATCCAGTCATCTCTCTGCGGTGGGACATTAGCCGAGGAAATAACGCGCCGATGAGGATCGACAAGGAAAAGCGCAAGGATCTTGCGATGGCCAGGCTTGGACCGGTCCTCTAGAGAAAACGGAGATACGCAGTGTTGAAGTGTATTGGGAAAGGTGATGATTCGACCTTCCTTAGATACCACGCTGCCGAGATCTTGCGTCGTCAAGCAGGTCACCATGTTGGACCAGTCGTCGGGATATCCATACACCTGGTACATGAATTGGTGTTGGTCTTGCTCGTAGCTGAGATCGATCATGTCGGCCATCCCGCGATGGCGGAAGGCGAGCGAGCTGGTGGTGATGTTCTCGCTGTCGTAGTAGTAAATTGCCGACGCAGCGATTCGCTCGTTCTACACCAGAGTAGGACGTTAGATAAAGGTCAGAGAATAGAGTCAAAAGGGGAATAAACTCACAAGTTGGCCCTCGATATGCCAGCTTCCACCCTCATACTCCGGCTTTTCGGGAGTCAACTCGATATTTGCCAGCTTGACAATAACCTGAAGTTTGCGGTGGGCAAAGTCTTTCCGGAAGTTGATAGGGTAGGCTGCGGGTTCGTGGGACCCTGTCTCGGTAATTTTGAATTCCCCAGGCTCAGGCAGTTTGACCTTGCGAGTAGCGTCGAATTCTTCCCGGAGTTTTTCATATTCTTCTTCGTCTCCGTCCTCATCATATTCCGGTCCATCTTCATAGCCTTCTTCCCACTCGACTTCTTCATATGGGATTCTCTCGCTATGGTATGGTTTTTCAGTTAAAGATTTCTCCCATAGGGGCACAGTTCGTGCTATGATGCGTTCGACAGCTTGGTAGAGCGTGCGGTGCTTGACTGGGTGGGCATTGTTTATGTAGGACAGAATGCGGCATTCTCCGTCATCAGTGAGTTCGATATCACACGGCATCCACTGGAACTTCGTGCTGAGCACTGGCAGGACGGATATGTCCATTTTATAAGGCCCTGATATGACCTTAGACTCCCTGTCCGGTGGAGTAGGAAGGACTTCACCTTCGCCGATATGATCCAAGCAGTCTTCAAGGCCGAGGATCTTATCAGGAAGGACCCGAGTTTTGCCGTAGAGAACGGAGAAGAGGGATGGGTGCACTAGATCGAGCACCTTGTCATCAGAGCCAGGGTGGTAGTCTTTCTGATCCTCGGGAACATCTTCAAGCGGCTTCACTGCCTCCTTCAAAGCATCTTGGAGATCTGTGGTAATGGCGGTATCCGACTTTATCACTCCGTGATCGAAGACCTCGACATATCCATCTTTCTCTAGGAATGAAGTCTTCCATTGCAACTCTTCGATGATCCAGTCCATCATCTTGGGGGTGACATCCTGGCCACTCTGGGCGACTTCTTCGCGCCATTTGCCGGTTATGGCCTCATCAAAAACCTTTCGTTCCCACTCGGGTTTGTCGGTGATGGCATTCATCACCTGCATCATGGTGATTTCTCTCTTCACGAGCAAATTGCTAGAAAATGGGAGGAATGTCAACATCGAAGAACACATGCAAGCAAATCCTGGCGAGAAACCCGTACTCGAGACTACCATTTCCCAGGTCATTTGGATCCAGCGCGTTGACGAAACCTCTCATCATAGTGGCGGTGGAGGTGGTCAATTTCTTCATCATGTCACTAAAAAAAGAACCATATCAGCATCGGCAATCATCTACAAGCATCAATCGATGATAAAGACCTACTCAAGACTTTCTTCGCCATCTTCCGGGAACCAACTGCTGCGCAGCTCGGTAACGTTTGGCTGGACGGGTTAGCAATCGCCCACAAGGGAGGCGTAGAATGAAGCTCACGTCTGGATGTGCATTCAAGGGCACATTGAACCCCGGCATCTGGGTCTGTGACCACTCTCTGACAGGAGCCATGCTGGATACTCAAGCTCAGACGAGTCGTCTTTGGAATATTTTCCTGAAGGTTGTTTAGAATGTTGCGTGTGCTGGCTTTTATTTTATTTTTGAACGCCGCCCCAGGCAGCGATTAGGCCGCCATCGGGGGATGTGGGGGGCGGCCGCCAAATGGAAGATGGGGCGGGTGGAGGAGGTTCGCGAGGGTCGACGAGGAGGCGATCGGCGCGGGTGCCTGGCTGCCGCCGCCGCTGCCTGCGCACTCTCGCAGTAGCTAATTTGGACTTCTACATTGACAGCTAAATACTACATTTGGGCAGGTTTCTAATTTAACTATGCACCTGATTTCCTCACATTCTACTTGCTTTCGCGGAAATCAATTCCAGTCCATTGAAGACCACTGAGAAGAGAAAAAAGGAATAAAATAGATTTGACCCTGATACCCTGAAAATTCCCTATTCGGGACAAGGGTAGCTTATGGTGTCAGGACTAGTAGCAGCACCTCAAGCGATCAGAAATCAGCTAGCGAAAATCTAATGCCAAGTTTATGATGATATGAGTAGTCGCTTAATGAAGTTCTGGCCCTCTCCCAAGATTTCATTCAGAAGTGTGAAAAGGCAAGTCGCGCCGCCGGCTAAATTCCTCAGGGGATGCGAAATGCGGGGGGAGTAAACAGACCCTGACCCTGACATTCCACCCTTCATCATCCTGAGACACTCCCCTCCGGCAGATCGGACCGACAACAAAAGACCAGGGCATCGCGACTGCTGATATGTGGTCTTTTGAATGTCCGCTGTCACTCGAAACTAGGCCCTTTCTCCCGTCTACCTGAAACAGCCACTGTCCCGTCCGGAGCGATGCGCGACACGAATATTATATGAGCCAGGACTATTCGCGCACTATTAATTCGATGACTTTTCTTCAGTCTCTCCAATCTCAATTGAGCGCAATTGCAATTCATAGCCATCGCAATTTTCAAAATGATGCGACTCCTACTCGCCGCACTCGCGGCCATCCACCTCGTCACAGCCCAACGCATCGGCACCCCGGAGGTCCACCCACAACTCCAAACATGGAAATGCACCAACTCAACCGGTTGCACGGCCCAAAATACCTCCGTCGTGCTCGACGCCCTCTCCCACCCGCTCCACGCAATCGGGAACAGCAGCATCTCCTGCAGCGACTGGAGCAGCGGGCTAAGCAAAGAGCTCTGCAGCACGAAAGAATCCTGTGCAAAGAACTGCGTCCTCGACGGCGCAGACTACACCTCCCACGGCGTCCAAACAAAAGGAGGCAGTCTAATTCTGCACCAGTACCAAAAATCCAATGGCGCCGTGTCGGCCGTCTCGCCGCGCGTCTACCTGCTCGACGAATCGGGCAAGAACTACGATATGCTCCGGCTGCTCAATCAGGAGATTAGCTTTGATGTCGAGCTCTCGTCGCTTGTGTGCGGCATGAATGGTGCCCTGTATCTGTCCGAGATGCTCCAGTCTGGTGGACGGGGTAGGCTCAATCCTGCGGGCGCGGAGTACGGGACTGGATACTGCGATGCGCAGTGTGGGACCAGCCCGTGGATCAATGGGGTTGCGAATACGGAGTCGCGCGGCTCGTGCTGTAGTGAGATGGATCTTTGGGAGGCGAATGCGCGATCTACAGCGCTGACGCCGCATGCTTGCAATATCACTCGGTTGTATGCGTGCACTGGTGATGATTGTGGGAGTAATGGGGTGTGTGATAAGTCGGGGTGCGGATTCAATCCGTATGCGCTTGGGGAGAAAGATTACTATGGGTATAACATGACGGTCGACACGACAAAGCGTTTTACGGTTGTCACTCAGTTCGTGACGGATGACCACACGGCACGTGGGAGGTTGTCTGAGATTAGACGACTGTATGTGCAGGGTGGGAAGGTCATTCAGAATGCTGTGGCGAAGGTATCTGGTACCGAGATTGATTCCATCACTGAAGGGCTTTGCGAAAGCTCTGCTGGTTACTTCCAAAAGATGGGAGGGTTGAAGCAGATGGGGAATGCGCTTCGGCGGGGCATGGTGTTGATTTTCAGCGTTTGGAATGACTCGAGTCAGTTTATGAATTGGTTGGATAGTGGGAGTGCGGGACCTTGTAATAGTACCGAGGGTAACCCGGATATTATCCAGGCGCAGCATCCGGAGACTTCGGTGACTTTTTCCAATATTCGTTGGGGTGATATTGGATCTACTTATACCTATGCCCAGAAGTAGAATCAAATGAGAGAGGCCGTGTTTTTATTATAAAAACGTGATATTCTTCCTAATTCTAACTAGTCCTCCACCTTCAGCTTGCGTCGCGATAACATGCCATCAGTTCTAAAGAATGTATAAAGTTAGGCCGTTGCTCATATAATATCATCAAATGCATGAATGTCAAAAACAATAGGAAACTTCTTCGATCTATTCATCCTTCTTCCTGGAGAGGTTTTAGCAGTCTGTAGAGCATGAGAGAATTTGCGAGACTCACCGTGAGGTATGGAATATGCAAACCAACAACTGATTTACTCCTTCTTGTCAGTGGAGTCGGAGGTGGTGCGGTCCTTGTTGTCGTAGTCCTTGTTGTCGATCTTCTTGTCATCAAGGTCCTTGTGATCATAGTCCTTGTTGTTGTCCAGATCCTTGTTGTCGACGGACTTGTTGTTGGTGTAGTCCTTGTTGTAGTTGGTGCCAGTGGGGATCGCAGACGAGTAGCGGGTGTCATCGTTGGGGGAGTTGCGAGTCCAGACACGAGGAGTAGGAGTAGCACGAGTACGGTCCCAGTCGTGGCGGCAGCTCCAGCCGGAGCGGTCGTTCCAGTCGCCGTTCTGGCACTTGTCGTAGCCAACGCCGCTGTTGTAGTCATAGTCATCGTTGTTGTTGTAGCGGTTGCGGCAGTTCCAGTCATTGCGGTCGCAGTTGCGGTCCCAGTCGCGGTGGTCGTCGTGGTTCCAGTTGCTGAAGGGCCAGATGCGGCGGGTGAGGATGTTGGAGACGACGTTCTCAGCGACACGGCGGTCCTCCTCGTTGTTCCACCGGCCATCCCGGTAGCCCTCGTTGTAGGAGCCGTCGCGGTTGTAGCCATGACGGTCCCAGCCATCACGGTTGTAACCATCTCGGTTGTAGCCATCGTTGTCGTAGCCATCGCTGTTGTAGTCAGGGTTGTAGTTGCGAGGAACGTGAGGAACGGAAGCTCCAGCACCCGGGACACCGGGGGTACCAGCACCAGCGCCAGGAACAGCACCGGCACCAGCACCAGCAGCGGCAAGATTTCCCTGGCCAGCAGCACCGTTCAGAGGGTTGGCACCCTGGCTGACGCCCTGGCCCTGGTTCAGAGCATTGGGGTTGGCACCGTTGGCACCGAGGTTGGTGGTAGCAGTGGGCTCAAGACCACGCTTCTGAGTAGCATGCCATTGTCCGTTGGCATCGGTCCAGCCACCCTGCTGGTTGTTGGCGTGCCACTGACCATTGGCATCGGTCCAACCGCCCTGCTGTTGCTGGTTCCAGTTGTTGTTGTTGGCGTGCCAGACACCGTTGGCATCAGTCCATCCGCCCTGCTGGTTATTGGCGTGCCACTGGCCATTGGCGTCGGTCCAGCCACCATTGTTGTTGTTGTTGTTGTCGTAGGGCCAGTTGCGGGCGTGGATTCCGGGGAGACCAACGCCAGGACGGCCGAACTCAGTGCCGTGGTTTCGGAGACCAGCAGCCTCGGCGACGCCGCGGCCGGGGACCCAGCGGCGCTGCCAGCGGCCGGCCTCATTGTATCGGCCATCTTCGTTGTTGTACTGGCCGTTGTTCTGGTCCCACTGACCGTTCTGGTACTGGCCGTTCCAGCCATTGCGCCACTGCTCGTTCTGGTAACCGTTCTCGTAGCCAGTCTGGCCGGCGTTAGCAATGAAGTTGCCTTGGCCGTCATAGTGGCCCTTGCGGTACTGGCCAGAGGGGTCCCAGACACCACCCTGGTCGTTGGGGTCGACCGGGAGAGCGAGGGCCGTGAAAGGCGAGACGGCCAGGAGGAGAAGGCCGTTGATCAGAGTGTAGCGCATTTTGGAAGGTTCGTAAAAAGGCGTGAAAAACGTTAAAGGCGTAAAAGACGTAAAGAGATCTTTTGCAGGCTTCTCTGGATCTGATGATCTGGAGAGATGCTTTGGCTTGGATGAAGACCTGAATTGCCGGTCGAAGCAGCTTGTATTTATATTCGAGCTGGCCGAGCTCCAAGCCTCGCCATTACGTAGCTCAACCAAGCTCGAGCTGAGCTCTCGTAGCTCGTGACGGTAATGTCTGAGCTCGGCGTGTACATCACATCATTGAGTTTTGCTGGTGATTGGGTTCTCGCTGCAAGGGACCCGAGGATGAACGTGCAGCAGAGAATCGTTCTGCCTTGCGGGGGATCGCAGACTCGAGCGATTGACGCGATTGACGGGCTGCGCAATGACTTCAGCAGGCTGTGATGAACAGATTATTATGAGCGAATAAGAATATTCCCTGCGTTGGATGTCTTACCAGCAATGGGGTTTTGATTATTGCATGATGAACCTCGCATCGACATGCATGCAATAGCGTGTCGGGCGTGCCGATCACCCCCGAAGGGGTTTAATTGCATTCCAGTCGATCATCTGGGGTTCGGAGGCGCAGATAGCCGCATCGCCTGTGTTCTGACGAAGATGCGCTGACGACAGCGCGTCTGTCTCGCTTCGATGTCATTCTCGGGATGATTTTGCGTGGGCGCCAACCCCCCTTGGATGTCTTGCGCCCATGCACCACGCTCACGGCGTGCTCATGAGACTTGAAAAACGTGTAAGACATACAGCGGTCATTGCGTCAGGTTGAACCAGATAGGTTGCGAGTGCGGGCTGGTGACAGTGCCGAAGCTGGGCCGCCCGAGGAATGCGCAGGCGCGAGATGGACTGGCGGTCTGCGCAGGCCTGAGCGGAGGGCGAGGTTGGCTCGCCAGATTTCCGAGTCAATCGAGAGGCCTGTTTTTATTTTTATTTTATTTTTTTTTCTACGGTATCTTACGTATCAAAGCAGTCGAATGTGTCTCCTCTAATCCTGGGTATCTTCAATTTTCGTGTTGCTGAAGATGTTCTGCGACAAGTCTCCAGATCTAGTTCACCCAGATGTCGAGACCACAAAGCGTCTCCTCGCCGAGGAAGAGGGCCACCTATGGACCGGCGATGACGACGATGCCTGCATAAACACCGCCTCAGCATTCCTCCAATTTATAGCCCTTTCTATCTGTTTCCTGGTCGGAACTCTCTTGGGTTTCTTTTGGAGAGGTGACCTGGATGGCTTGTGTGGAGGACATGTTTCGCAATACTGTGAGTCCCATGATATCTCTGTTTTCTGAAAGACTTTTGATGGTTAATGCAAATCGTAGCACCCCTGTTGAACGAGGTCGGTATCACATACACCCTGGAGGAATTCGATGGGTCACTCCTCAAGGAGAACGTATTCCGACAAAATGCAAGTCCGGAGGTTGATGCCGCATGGCACTCTCTGGGAGTGAATTGTAAGTCTTTCCTTTTGTTTTCTCTAAAGCCCCGTCGTCTCATGAAAATATATATATATATTAGATCGCGGTATTCGCATACTCGCCGACGACGCAGCAGAGGCGGATATCACGAAAGATCAAGTCAAAATCCAAGACAAGTATGGAGGAGGATATGTGGCCAATGTGGAGGGTCTCCATCACCTTCAGTGCTTGGTAATATATTCCATCTGTTCTTTTGATTCGATCATCAGTAACACGAATAATAGAATCTCCTCCGCCAGTCTTTATACTACAACTATGACTACTACCACACCAAACGCGAGGGAGTGTTCGCCAACAATGACTACATAGCTCGCCGCCACGTGTGTCAGTCATGACGTTATATCCCTGTGCTTCGCAACATCCCAACTGACATTTACTTCTCTCTCTTCCCAGCTCACTGTCTCGACATACTCCGACAGCAACTCATGTGCACAGCCGACACCGGTGTCCTCGGCCAAATCTGGGTCTACCCAGACAACCCGGAGCCGTACGCCGACTTCAACTCCCGCCACCGATGCAAAAACTTCGACGAGATCCGCCAGTGGGCCGAAGATAACCAGCTGCCCGAAAACCTGCCCGAGGATTTCCTGCAGCGACCCGGACCTGGCGATCGTATCTACAAAGAAGTGCCCTAGATTTGATGAATTTCCATGCCCCTTTCATGAGCGAGATGATCTCCTACAAGTATGAGATATGAAACGGATGATGGCATTACGCTAGCTAGTAGTAGTTAAAATGACATGATAATTCTTTTCCTCAATGCTTTGTTATTTTCTCCGTTATCCCATACACGGACAAGTCCCAATGCGACCCCTTGATCGCATAAACATCACTCTTCTTACCCCCAAAAACCTGTAGCTGTGCTACACCCCTCGCCTCCATCCCAACCTTCTCCAGTACTCGGCGGCTGCGCCAGTTCTGTGGATCGCAAAATCCAAAAACCACCTGAATGCAATGTTCAGTACGGGCCCACCCAAGCAACGCCGTCACTGCCTCCGTCGCATAGCCTTTTCGACTATACTCGGGTAAAATCGCAAACCCAACATCCGGCGCTGTGTAATGCGGGTCTGGTGGTTGCCCTTGTATGAGCGACACAATGCCGACAGGCACAGGTACTGTATTGCCCGGTGCGTCTCTGCTCGGAAACAGCGACACCACGAAGAAGCCAAGGTTGCCTTGGGCGGCGCCACAATTTGACTCTTTTGGCATCATTCGCTTCCATATAAAATCCCTTGCTTTTTCGGGCGTCGTGATGGGTGTTTTGCCGCAGGATTCGATGAAGTCGTCTGTGTTCCATAGCCTGACGAGAAAATTGCAGTGCGATTCGTCGAAGTGGTTAAACGGGTCGATTTGTAGACGCCGGGTGAGGATTGTCCGCGTCGGGCTACCAAAGGGATCTTTCTTGCATTCCCATTCCTCATTAGGTTCGCTTAGTGTTGGTCGGGATGCTCTCATGTTGTATGCGACGGTCATCTGATGTAGTTGTTGGTGGTGTTCTGGGCCTAAACGAGACGTATAGCCTGACATTGTGAGATTTGACGTGAGATGTAGTCGGATCCCAAGTCTTCTCAGGAGATTGTTTGCTTTTATGTCCTGTCCAGGTGCCCGAATGTGGCTTATCTCACATGGGTGAGTCAAGCGTAGAAAGCGGATTAGCGGCGGCCGAGACGGCCTTATGCCGACCAATTCAGAACAAACAACACATGAACCGACTGGGATCATGACGCAAGCATCGCTGTATTCCTGAAAGGCGTCCCTCGATCATTCTGTTAAAACAGGTGCTGCTATATCACATAGCGCACGTGCTTTGAGAAATCACACCATTTGTGAAATCATATACGTCTCTGAAAGCGCTTCACTTTTTGTGATGTTGATTGCGATATATATTTGACGCTCTGGTCACGCAGACACGACTGTGTCATGTGACCTGACAGTGTGATTGATCCCATGTCAAAATCTTGAAATAAAGACATAGTGTCTCGTGTTTAGAAGATACTGAGCATATTATACCGAACTCAACAATGACCTTAAAATCGCATTATGTATACAAAATACCTAGGTCAGTCTACCTACTATTTTTTCTCTGCCATGTGGGGCTTTCCTTTTTGAGCTGCCGCCCGTTTTACCAGGGCGCTCATAGTCAGACTCACTGAGTAAATGTCAGTCCGCCCTCACACTCAGTGATCTGGTCGGTGTACTCACGTGACTGATCAGAGGGCGCTCAGTGAGTGTGATCAGTCAACTCACTGATTACTCAGAGACCCATCAGAGGCATCTAACTAACTAGTGAAGAGGGGAACGCTCGATGGCAGCATGCGCTGAGACGTGCGGGTCGATTCAGCAGAAAAACCACCACAAAACACACGCGTAGCAATCAGGAAATAGCGAGAACCCCAAATGTAGGGGTCAGGTTGGGGAGGTGTAAGAAGGCGTATTCTAAAACTAGCTATACCGCCACCGTATACTGCCGGCTATGTCACATAACATGGATGGCACCCATGTAGTAGGGGGAGGGGGTCTCCCCACTACACTAGCTAGTTATTGAGCACTCAGTCCGCGCCCAGTCCAAACCCAACGAAGCACTTCGCCCCACAATATTGTTTATTTTGTGAATCACTTTTTGGTAGCTCCCATTTCCCACCATGACCCGTTTCTTGAGTGCTGCAGCCTTTGGAGGAAAAGAATAGAGATTGGAGAAATTATGCCGCAAAAATGGAAGGCACTGGAGACAAGCCGTTCTCTGGTGTTGAATAAAGATGGTCTGTGCCCAAACACTGAAGTACAAATTGGAGCTACCCCCTCACTCTTAACCTTTCACACAGCTTTCCTTCGCTCTTTACTTCACTCCCTCCCTTGGTCGCCAATTTTTTCTTAGCATTTTGTCGCAATTTTTTCTAGACATGGGTAGAAAACTCTTTTTGCTACAAAAGATGAGATCGCCAAAGAGAGGCATCGAAAGCAATTGGAAAGGAGTGAATATGTTTTCGGTGCTCATGCGAATGCAGATTCCGTCCGACACAAAGACAAAAGGATACCAAAGTCCAAGAAAAGATACTACAATGCGGTTTAAACTTTGGATGGAGTGAGTTACCGCGTAGTTACATGAAGAGCAGATGAAAAATGGAGTTACTGACTTGATTTTAGCTTCATTGAAGAAAATGGAATTGATGGCTACATATTAGGCCTACGCTGTGCGACTCCAGACCATACACTCATCCAAGAATTTCTCCGCTGGTGCTGCCATCTGGCGCTGGGGCAAAAAAGTAAAAACGGACGATCAGTGATGACATCGATTCTCAATTGTGCAGAAAGATTGTTTTTTGGTTGGTTTGAAGAAAATATGCAAATAAAAATTGTGATGGAAGACCGGAGAGAAATATTTAACGTATATCGGATCAAGTTGATTTTCTATTTTCCGGACGTAAGTCAATCTAACTACAACATAGTGGATCAGGAGAACATTAACCGCACAGGAAAAAACGGTTTAAAGTGTCGAGGATTCAGATCACGGCTTCACCAAGAAGGATTCTCCCCGAGTGGTATCCTCGATGTGGCAAGCGGATCATCGTCGGTTCATGCCCGGGTTGCTTGAGGCTATCATCATGCTAGCTCTTCAACTATATCTTTTTACTGGAGTAAGAATCGGAGCTTTTATACCGGAACACCTGGACACAGATGAAAGCGGCCTAAGATATAAGGTGAGGCTATTCCGATTGTTTCCATGGGTTGTAATGCAAGCCCCTGATTGGTCGCCCGAGAATGTATGCAAGCATGACAAAATAGACAAAATAAACAAAAGAAATCCAAAACGAACGTCGCCTCCCCTCTACCCACTCCCTTTCCACAATCAGACTTCATTCTCTGATCTACTTCATCCTCCACCGCCTTCATCTGCGCAGCCCTCTGGGCCATCGACTGCCGCTCCTGCGCTCGCTTGCATCAAGGGAGTACAGTGGATCTGGCACTGCACTCCTAACGGGCACCATCCTTCTCCCTCCGTCACACTGCCCTGAGGGGTCATCCTTTTTCGTCGCCTTTTCCGTGCCGAGAGCCAATGGGTTGACTGCTTGAAACTGGTTTGAGACCTATCCGGACCATGAATTCGGCCACAATTATGCGAACCTCTGGCCGCGTCAGGAGCTTGTCGCGTCGAAGAGCAACTCCGCGGTCGGACAGAGCGTTTCTCATACCGTTGCGCTCGTCTTGGAGTAGCGAGAATTCAAGCAAGATCTGATTGACCGTCTGGTTCCCCAGATCGCAACCAAATCTCGCTGACTCGCGCCGATTGATGCGAGTCAAGTAAGCAGCAAGGCCAATTCGTCCAGTACGAAGCTGCATCAGAATGGACGCTGTCGCTTTCCGCAGGTCGGACCATTATTCCAGGGTTTTCTTTGTTGGTCGTTCGACTAAGCGTTTCGTTGGTCGACCTGTTCTCTCTATAGACCATGACCTTTCCCACTCGATTTTGCCTCGCGGCGAATGCGGCTTTTAGCTGCACCTGTGAGGCGAATATAACGATTGTTTGGGGTTTGTGGTCCTTCTGGTTCCTGGGCCGCCTCCTTCGCGTGTCAGTCGACACGTTCATTGCCGGCCACTACTTGATGAGCAGGTATCCACCTGAAGTGGATTTGACGGCCATTGGCTGTGTGTTGCCGTAGCAGGTGGAGGTATTCTTCCAGGTAGACCTGTCCTGATGGCATCCGTGGTTGGCGGAGCGCCTTCAATGCGGCTTGGTTGTCTGCAAAGATGATAAGCCCGCTTTTCGCCTGTGCCGCCCACGGTTCCGTGGTCTCCAAGATTAATGTGAGTGCCATTACGATGACACGGAGCTCGGTAGCGTATACAGTGGACGTGTCTTCGCCGCCCATTTGGCTGTGAGCGTGGTGATCCTCAAGATCAACGACTACTGCTGCTTCAATTTTTCCCTCGATCCCACTCCAGTCGGTGTAGAGAATCAAGGGTCTTTCTCTTGGGTCTTTGGATAGAATGTGGTCGTGAGTTTTCACTGCCATCTCTCTGTCCTCGATGAACACTTCTGGCGGCGCTTGCCATGGTGCCTGGACGAATGCCTTCCGACTCTCCCAGTCCCTCGCCATAGTTCCCGGGGGAGCCGTAAGGCATCCGCTCGTTTTCCAGGCTTGCGCCTCCATCGGTGTCCATCCAGACCAATCTCTCTCGTCCACCGGTCGGCGTCGTAGCATTGTTTGTGGGACAGCGAATGCTGGTCCAGTCCGTAACCGTAAAGCCGTTTCTTTTACAAGGCGGTTCATATGGATCGCAATTGGTGGTAGGTGTAGTTCTGTGTTCAGTGCCTCCGCTGCTGTCGTTCTGAAAGCTCCGCTGATCAGGCATGCTGCCCGCTTCTGGATGGCCACGAACGGTTGGCTGATTATTCGTGCCTTTTTCTTGCTGATCACCATTGAGTGGTACCAGGCCGATACTCCGAAGAGCATGTGTGGGATGGCTACCGCTTGGTAGATCCTGCGCATAGCTGAAAGAGAGGCCCCCACGTCGAGCCAGCCAAGCTTCGTAGCGCCTGGAGGGACACGCTTGCCTTCGAAATTGCTTTTTCGCGGTGATGCTGAAACTCCAAGTTGGGATCAAGCCAGTAGCCCAGATAGCGTTCCGCCGTCCTTGTCGCAGGTACTGTGTGCCCCTGCAGTAACAGTGGTGTGTACCAAGGCTCGACCTCTTTCGTATTTACGAAATGCACGAGCGCGTACTTCTTCGTGTCGAATACTGTGGCATGCTTTCTGGCCTTCCCGCAAGCAGTTTTGAGCTTCCTGATGGTCTCTCGCTCGCTATCTCCTTTGGTGAATAGAAAGTCAACCAAGTATAGCTCAAAGGCAATCGAAACGAAGATTAAACAGTGTAAGATAATTACTAAAGCTACTCTAAATAGGCTGCTTAGATCGAGAGCTTACTCACTGACTGGGGATTTAAGGTTTAGAATCGGTATACGTGACACTAAGAGACAACAATTCGCATTCGGCTATATTCTCGTAGCTATTGCCCTCTAGCACTGTGCTCTATTTAGCATTGAAACAGTTGATGACCTCGCTAAGTTTGTCCTTTCAGGCGGACAGCCCATAGAATTACGCTAGAAGGATGAATATCCAGAAAAGCCTGGTCTCAGGAATGTCACGGCTGAGGGCCCACAAGACGTTCCACTCGATATACAACGGCTTTCTGAGTTACTACGTGAAATAGTCACGACCGCTAGATGTAGCAAGTTACACTATCCACAAAAACCAGAAGTACTGTATTCTGACAAGGAGCTTTCCTTCAATGAAATACTCCTTATTTTGGAAGACTTGAAACCTCATTGCGAACGCGATTTCGATGTGGTTTATCTTCCTAATAAGAGACCCATCCAAGGTCGATGCCTAGCTAGAGATTGCCACGAAGGTATTAAACGGTGAGTTGCTCCAGAGTATAATAATGGATTATAGGCTAATATTTTTAGTCTGAAAAAATCCGACAGAAGCGCACACATTCGTGTGTCCGACGTAAGATTGCTTTGGATCTTCGAATCCCAGAGTCAAAGTTAAAAATTTGGGATAAGTGCATGAAATGGTTTTAATTAAGTTAGTAGCGAGATCATTGCTCGTCTTACCTCTGATAACTTAGCACTACAAGGTGGTCGTATACGCTACACGGTGATCCGCCCCGGCTACTACCCCTTTTGCTTGTGGAACAAGGATGCTACCGCAGAAGACCGATTAGATTATTTGCTGAACAGTAGAAATTTGAAGCAGCACATTGAAGAATAGCATAAGAATAGAGAGCAATGTCATGTAACGTAGCTAATTTGCGGATGTGGCCAGACTTCCGACAAAGAGAGCAGCCTCCGACACCATTTACATAACGTCTATAGGCTAAACAAAACTATTTAGCTAAGTACAAATCTTCAGAGAAAGAGGAAGCGGTTTTGCAAGGCGGAAGGGCTGAATTTCTTATCAGAGCCGGAGCAGGGCAGCCCCAAGAGACCCCGTTTCTACTGCTATCCGCCAAAAAAAAATATGCACCGGAGGTATTATCAACCGCCTTTCTCATGCCTGTCCCTACGTTATGATCCATCATGGAAGAGTATCTAGAGCAATATTATCGCTCGAGTTTAAGTAATATGTCAACTAAGAACAACAGCAGTAACTCAGTCGGATCGTGCATTTCCGCAGCTAGTTCTCCCCTCAGCTCGCGCAACTCCTGGATTGGAAGTCATTAATCCCAGAATTCTCGAGCCTTTGGAAGTTGACAGAGCCCAGAGACCCTAGGTTTATGATCAAAATTCTATAGAAATGGATTTCCTCAGAATCCCTGTGGATAAGCATGATATTAAACCCATTGCAATCATTCGATTATGTAGCACATTCACAGTTTCATACTCAAGTAACGTCATTACACCTACTCCTAGTCTTGAGACCATTAGACCTGGCACATTTGACCCGGCTAATCACTACACGAAGGATGCCTACCAACCTAGTGATCACGTTGCTAACTATCTATATTCCCTTAGTCTATCTCTAACCGAGGTCAAGCCACAAAAGAGGCCACAGAAGTGGCACCCTTAGAATTGCACATTCCGAAAGTGCCCACCACAAGCTTTACCACAAGCGAAGTGAACGAGGACAAAAAAACTCGCGAAATAACCACCTGATTCTCAAGTCAGGCATCGGCGTATATTCTTCTGTGGAGAATAAGCCCGAAAGTCATCTTCCCGCCCATCGAGAACTCACCGATAGCATCACACCTCTTAGTAGGGATTCTGTCATTTATATCAGGAAACATCTTACTAAAGCCCAGGCAAGACAACAGCCGATTTAGCATTTGTTGAATGATTTGACAAGTAAAATACCTCGACAGAAGCTTTATTTAACGGAGAAACGAAAGCTACGTGAGCCCAAAAGCCAGAATTATGCCCTGAGACAATTGGGCATCATTTTACGGATGTAGATACGATCTGTCTGCGACAAGCTTAGATGGATATCAACCCTCCTCAGCGATACACTAGATCACGGGCCTATCAAAAGAGTGGCTGAGCGACTGTTATTAGATCTAAATTACAATTTTCTTGTGAATTATGCATTTGCAATCGTAGATTCTACCCCGAGAAGGTCTTCGGCCAACTTCCTAAAGGGTCTCATCTGTACAAATTCGCTATCTAGCAGGCAGTCGAGCTGGTGTAGCTTCAGTATTATTAGTCGACCCTTTTATAATTATGCCCTAGCAACTATGTCAAAATTTGAATCAATGCATCACAATTTCTTGTGTTAAATATCAAACCCTGATCGAAAGAGTCAAATCAAGATCGTAAAACAGTTTTCCTTCTACAAAAATATTACAAGAAATGTACAGTTACAGCTTTATTACGTCGCTGCACCGCCACACCCGGAAGGTCCAATTTTGTCTGAACGTTTTGTCAGTGGTACCTTACTGTATGGCATACGTCTTGTCGTGACCAGTACAGCTAAGTTACACGCTCGCACTGACCCAGTCAATGCAATAAAATTGATTCGCATTACAGCTCATTCTGAACTAACTTAGTGCTATGCCGAATTAATAATCCCATGCATAGATCATCAATACCAAGGGGTCAAACAGGCGTTGAAGAAAGCCACTTTAACCAGGCTGGATCATGAATTCTACCAACATGGGTCAGATGCAAAGAGTAATAGCCATGAATATTTAGGCGCTCAGGACGCGCAGACGCAGATGCACTTGACTCGTAAACAGAACAGGGAAGAACCTAAAAATATATACTTTCACCTATTCGTTTGAATGACGGGTAGTTTTCATATTACCATAAAACCGACCTGAATACGACGGTCTAAGACCAAAAGCTTGCTAGAGATATGATGCATGTGAGACACTTCGAGTATTCTTCCTTGGTTTGGATCACTTGTCAAGGAAAACAGAGTTCGCATGAGACAAGTTTTCATAGCTGTGAGCCTGTGCTATCTACCTAAAGAATGGGCCATATACTGCTGACTCGTACATTACCGAAAAGATCTTGCACTTCATCTTTCTGAGCTGGGTCTACCTCACCCTTCTGCGACAACTATCACTAATGTCGCAAATTAACCGAAATAGTCGGCATTTTGCGGTCCCGAGTGTTCGCCGGTATCTGCTTGGCAGACCGGTTCATATATGATTACCATAGCTCTACACAGCCACCAATGCAACCTAAGGGTTGGGGTATTTTTTTTATAACGGGCGAGGCTCCGAGTCAAGAATTATGATATTTTCTGAAAGGGCTGGCCACGGAAAATTAATTCTAAGCTCTCGGGTTGCAGTGGTGGCTGTGTAAGTGGTGTTCGTCACGTCTTGCCGCATCGGGATCCAATTAAATGAAAGGTTGGGAGTTGATGTGAGTGAATGACTCCACATCAAGGACCATCAAAAAGTCAAAGCCCACCCTTAGGACCTGCTTTAATCAAATATGCACTTTGGAATGAATTATAGACATTCAAGTTGTGATTGCAGATACTGTGGGGCGCCTGCAGTAGAAGTGGGTTGTCTATAACGATGAAATTGATGGCTGGCATGTTGCACCTACAAACAGAGCCACACGGAGTACCCATGATTCCGGTCTCTACAATCAAAATAAACAGTTTGGCGAGCAATCAAGCGCGTGGTTAATCAAACATCGCTTCGCTCCGGGCGACGGCGTAAATGTCGATGAAGCCGATAAAACGAAACTGTCGAATGCAGGATTTCTAGTGCGCTGCAGTTTACTCATAACCGTGAGTTATTTCCTTTTCGGTCCAAGCAGCAGCTGTTTCAGCAGCCCCTTTGCATAGTTCCCCATACACATCTCCCATTATCCGGTAAATTGGACCTCATTGGTCGACCACGGTAATTAGTGTACTGTATCCTACGGAATCGATAGAAACTTTGATAGAAGCAATAATCAATAACAACCCACGCGTTAAACATGGTCTCCTCGCTGCGGTCGACAATAAGGTAGACGGGCCACCAATCTATCCAATCCTCAATGCACCTATCCACATCATAATATCATAACTACCTATGAGGATGAGATATTATTGGTCTAAGCTGAGTTCCTCAGTACGAAGTTAGCGCAGAGCTAGCTGACCCAAGCGACGATCGTAACATCCATGAATGACCGCGGCATTTCCCATTCGAGTTTTCAAAATTTTTTCCGATTTCCCAACTTTTATGTAATTGACATAACAATTACCTATTTAGGATAGATTATGATGTCTTGGCATGACCCACTCCTGCCAAGACTATACTCCACTCCCAGAAAAATTTGGGAAATGCCGCGGTCTAGTAGGGAACTGCATAGCCACTCCAGTCATTTCACCGTCTGTTGCAATGGCTACATTACCGGCCTCACAGATTGATGTATACTCAATTTATGCCACAGTACCTGTTCTATTAGATGACCAGTTTGTCGAACCCATTATAATCAGGGTCAATTGCTCAGCAGGCAGTTCGTTGACGTGGCAGAAGTTGCTGAACCCTCAACAGCAACAGACTATGAGTTACGAGTGTTCTACTTTGATTTTCTTAGCAACCAAATTGAGGGTTTATAGGTTATCGACTCCGCTAATGATAAATAGATTGAGAACAAGCGAAACCTTTTTGCGAATGAAAAATAAGGGACCCAGTACATGGCAAAACCTAGTTGAAAATATTGGATTGTCAGATACTGGTATGCTCTTGCATTTAGTATGTCCCGTTGAGGTGCATTGATGTACTTTCTAGTTGAGATCACGCTGTTAAAACGTCAGATCTTAGGAGTCACCCTTAGCGTATTATTCTGAGTATACTCCGATTATCATACAAAAACAAAAAGTGAATGAGCACTCGATGAGTGAACCCTGCCCTTATTGGTAAAATACCAATCCTTGCTTCGGCATAAATCATGGCTGATCTATTGAAATACTGCACGGTGGAACTTTGTAGCACCGAGATATCTACACAATTTTTGAAGTACGTACCATATACGCTAGTCCGTCAAGCTTAGAAGATTGCAGCACTTCGTTTGATCAGCTAACATATCTTATTAGGTCTTCTCTTTCGGACCCTAGTCATCTGGGCTATCTCCCATTGAGTCTCTTATTTTCGAACTCGCCTAATTTCCAAGACCATCGTGAGTTTAGCCATGGCAATGCAGCTGAAAGTACATGGTATAAAAACCCTCGTCGACCATGAAGGGCGATCGAAACGATTGTATCCCCACATAAAACCAGTTAAGACGGCTTGGAACGCCGTATTCATCGCCTTGCACCAGATCACAAAGTCAAGTTTCCACAATTTCGTTGGTGCAGGCATGCCCCCTGAGTTGCCAGCCCAAATGAACTTCCTGACAGTGAAACCAAAGCTTGGCTATCTTCTGCTCTCCCGCTTTCGGCTTCGATTTCTTCCAGGCTTCGGTTCACATTAAGCTTGCCATCCCACTGGAACCAATCCTTGTTGTACCCCGCAAGCTTATGCAACCAGCCTTTATTGCGAGTCAGTCTATACCTCAGCAAGAAGTACAGATCACGGTATCGTAATGGCGCAAACCCGAATGCGGGGACACATAGTAGTGCCACAAGAATCTGACTATCTATCTCAATCCATTGAAGACGTGACGAATTGGGATCATCACAGGTCGGATGACACATCGCCGGTGATGCATTGCAGATTAAGAGGAAATCCATAGCTCCCCAGGCGATCACATTGAGGGCATATACGGCGGCGAGGCAGCATAATGGCGTCGAAATAAGGCGTTCCACCACCTGAAGCAATTTAGAGAGTCCGAGCAGCCCGGTTCGTTCTCGTTCCAGGCCCTGGTAGCCTCTTGAAGGCAATATACACATCCAGCGATATCTGGCCGATGGAAGCAAGGCTTCCTCATGCCCTAGTGAGGATAATTGAGTGGAGGTCTGCGAGCGTTGCTGGTCAGCCTTTAGACTCTTTACCAAATTCTGAAGCTGCGAGCTAACGCGTGAGCAAATCTTGCATACGCACCAGCGACAGACTAGGAGGAAAATTGGACACGACTCACAATTTGAATCAATGTTTAGTGGATCAAATGGTCTCAATGCACTGAATCCTGTATGGTACAGTGATTAAATTTTCAATAAACGAGGTTGAATGCTTGCGGGTAAAATGGGTGTAGATTTAGTTTCTCACAAAAGTTACCATTTTATTAAATGCAGGCAGGAGTCCCCTGGAAGGCAAGAGCCGTCTATAATTGGCAGATGTAGTGTAGTATGAACCAACGCCTAGAAAGGTTCTGCACTGCCCCCCTGAAACAAATACGCGTCCCGCTTGATCATTGGTTTAAGCCACAACGGTATTAACCCCGGTGGGGTGCCCCAGTCTGCAGGACAAAACGCGGCTGGAACATTACCATTGGGCGAGGATTTGGAACGTATAAGAATAACTTATTTCTCCCTGTCTTTAACATATCTCTTTCCCGGACAACAGGAAACCTCTCACTCACTCCTGCTTCGTTTCCTCGGAATAATTTTGAAATATGTTTGCCTCGGAGTCCCCATCATCTTACGACATAGACCGGGAGAAATGCTACCGTGCCGTGCCAATGCGGGTTCTTGTGTTGGGCTTAAGCCGAACCGGAACGGAATGTGAGTTTCACACCCCTGATGGTGCAATCTTGTTTCCCGCTTTGTCTTTTTACTTTGACCACTTTAAACCGCATAGCTGAACCCATTTATATAGCACTTCGAAAGGCATTAGTCCACTTGGGATATAATGGCACATACCATGGTTATGCAGCGGCTGTGGAGTACCCACGGGACTGCGAATTGTGGCTTCGGGCTATGCGGGCGAAGTATGATGGCACAGGAGCGCCGTTTGTCCGTGAGGACTGGGATCTATTGCTCGGTGATTACCAGGTGAGCATTTCAGTAACTAATATGTGCGAATTTATAACTGATACAGTTGGGTGTGAAGGCCGTGTGTGATGTTCCTGCGGCATGCTTTGCGGAGGAATTGATGGATGCATACCCAAACGCAAGGGTCATCTTAACAAACCGTGATACTGATGCGTGGTTCGAGTAAGTGTCTGACAGTAACATATTTTACAGCTGAAATCTAAGACATAGCCAGGTCGGTCCAAAAAACACTTATTGCTAATGCTTTCACTCGACGGGCTTCCTTCATCTCCTTTCTCGCCACGATAACGCGTAGCCCAAACCGATGGACGCGGCCAGTCATGATGTACGCATTGTCTGACTTCTTTGGTGGCAGTTTCGAGAGAAATGGAAGACAGGTTTACCAAGAACACTACGACCGTGTGCGAAAAATGGCCGCCGAGAGAAAAATGGAATTGCTTGAATATGAGGTTACAGACGGGTGGGGTCCGCTGTGTAAGTTTCTGGGCCACGACATGCCAGAGAATCCGTTTCCTCGCGGCAATGATAAGCAGGAGGTGAATACGCGAATCAAAGAAATGATAAATCGAGAAGTCCGGCGGCTGCTGCTGATTTTTGCAGTGCTTCTCTCCTGCTTATTGTTAATTATTTTGATTGTTCTCTTGCTAGTTGGGCTATAGAGAAGCTGGGATTGCGTTTGCTTCCACTAGGTGTGTGGCGCTGGGAAAAAGCGAAACTTTGATAGAATAACGGGTCCTAATCCGACGCCAGGCAATGTAAACTACAACAATAATATATAGAGAAGAAATTTGAACCTAAAGAGAGCGTATCCGGATTTTGAGGTCAGTAGAATAGAATACGGTGGACAAGAAACCTAAGCGGATTGGCAGAATGCTCCATACAGATCGGAAAATTTTGTTCCAAAGATGGTTAGCTAAATAACGACAGTCGATACTGTTGTTGACTTCACGGGCTGTCACGGATCTACTTGTATAAGGTAGAAGGCCCCTAGGTCAGGTAATATACGAGAGCTTAACGGAAAAGAAGAATATCAAACCCCACAACTGCTGAAAGCTAAAGCTGTACAGAGATAACCAAACCAAACTTGATACGTTGGGAGCGGCCGCCTATGAGAGTCCAAGATGTGACATATTGACCAACGAATCACTATTGGTGGCGATACACTCGATCGCAGTAATCCCTTCGCCTGTTTCGTCTACTGGATTTCTTGCTGATCGTTCTAGATACGCAGTCACAACCCCCTCGCTTCTTCCTTCGCCGATTCAAAAGCCGGTTTAATCGAAGTCATAAATATTCACTTGAGGGATCTTTTTAATGTATGGCTCGAGCTTGTTAAAGAACTGCTCGACAAGGCTGTTGGTATCGCCAGCTAGGTACTGTGTACACAGTTAAGTGGACAGTGTGTATGCTCCAAAGCAAAAGCCAATTGATTCATGTAGATAGATGTAGATGCGTACCAGGTCCGGTCCAAAATACCCCTGAATCCCATACGCCGATACTCGGTGATCTCAACACCGGTGCTGCAGCTTAGCGCAAGGTCACCCAGCATAGGAATGTGATCTATCAGTCGCCAGCGGTAAGTTGCCGCTAGCTTGTTCTGACAAAAGGATATGTCCCGACAAAAGCTAATACCCTCGGCCTTAGAGCGCTCGAATGGGATTGTACGGCGTGTGGTAACACTTAGATCGCGAGATAAGCGCTTAACGTATCGATAAATCCACGTTTTGCTAAGCTGACGGACTTGATCATAGTTTCCGTGAGCTAGGATTTGTTGAGCGGCTTTTTCGACGCGCGAGGGCGCTGGGAATGTTCCAAAACCATTTAGAGCTCTGTTCTGGCAGCGATTGAGCGCTTTTATATTAGGTGGACCTTTATTGAGGGCATTTTTCCTTCCAGGTCAGCAATGAATTGAGACGACTAATACGGCATATGTATTTGCAAAATAAATAATTGCAAAGTTACTCGATGGGGACCTTCCCGGGTGGATTGATAACGTACACTCAGAGGGCTTAATATATGGCCGAGATGCTACGAGGGGTTCTGCGGTGAATCAAGCTACCAGGACGGCGAGCATAGCAAGGTAATTAAGAAGAAGCGAACCCAAAATTGTGTTTGGGGGCTATTTTGCAGCCCAGACTAGCGACAGGTTCCAACTTATGCAAGGATATGCAAGCTATTCACATCACACAGGTATCTTCCGGGGGTAAGCGATATGGCGCTGGACGGCTCCATCGCTGCGCCTCAATTAACCAGTGGATCCCGAAATGATGAATTGCTTTCCCAATCTTGCCTAGATTATTTCACTAGCACGTCACTAGTCATTATCTACGATCGAAGTCTGCGTTTAAAGTGAGAATTGCAGCTCCCGAAGCCCCGGGTGATGGCAGCACTGCCTCACTCAGCTACCTAGAAATTTGACGCCATAAACTGCTCCCCTCTATACATGTGAAGCAAATTGGGAAATGGCCGAATATAAAATAGTATGGTCGTCTCGTGTATCTTTCGGTATCATCAATCTCATTGTCCGAAATCCATCACTTAGTCTCATAAATCGTCTTCATCCAGACCAAAACCAAACGTTTTCTCAATCCATTTTTTTATATCTAAAATGAAATTCACTCTCACCAGCTCCGCAATCCTCTTGGCCACCGCAGCCCTGGCCTCACCCGGCGGACAGTCCATCGTCAACGCCATGAACAACGGTAGCACTGCAGCCGTTTCCACTGCCACCGGCCAAACAGTCTCCGCCAGCAAAAATTCCACCCGGGCGACTGACCAAGTCACCCTCACCGGCACTGTCGGCCAAGCCGCCACCACTCAGACAACCAGTTTGACCAGTACGGCCTCAACCGGCAGCTCTGCCAGCGCTGCAACTGAGACAGTTTCCAACACTTCTTCCTCCACTACGAACGGTGGGCTCGCTCGTCCTACCGCTATTGGAGCTGCTGTTGCTGGTATAGCCGGCGCCCTCGGTGTTATGGTTGCTCTGTAACGGGTTTATGCAACATGTGTGTAATTCGTTTAATCTGGATCCTTCCCAATGGAGCGATATGTGAGCTAGCATATCTATATGTATCCTTGTGTGTACATCTTGAGAGATTCACTTCTTGAAAATTGATTTAAAGTATATTCATAGCTTATTGTAGCCTACATGTGTGTTTTGTCTATTGGATTGCTCGCCTAAGGCGCGACTTCGGAATCAGAATTCCTCCGTGAGATCCAACACAGCATCGACCGTGCTTGTCCGATTATTGAAAATCTTGCTACCGTCAACCGGCCAGATCCACAATCTTTAAAGGTTTCGCGAATAATTCGCTGGTTGAATGCTCTCTCTCGTACGGGGCCAATCACCCGTACAAATTTAGCCTTTCCTACTGGTTGGCCGGCCCAGTAAGATAGATCTTTATTTATTCAAAAGTGCTGTTTATGGCTCAAAAACTGCTTACCGTCGAGCGGTTGGCAAAGATGAGTCGTGTGAGGCACAAAACCGAATGGTATATGTTGGTATCACCAGCTAGGTACTGTGTACACGGTTAAGTGGAAAGTGTGTATGCTCCAAGCAAATGTCAATTGATTCATATAAATATTTGTAGATTCTCATTATAGTTGGAAAACACCCCTAGATCCCACACGCCGGCCTTCGGCGTCCACAACACCGGGGCCGCAGCCCAGCGCAAGAATGCGTACACCAAGCAAAGGATGTTATCCATCAGTGGCTTGCAGTGGGTCACCGCTAGATTGTTCTGACAGGAGGATATATCCCGACAGTATAATATCGTTATCCTCGCACTTTTGTAGGAATTCGACAATAAGATGGGAGCCGTGGCCATCGAAGATAAGGATACGTTTCTCCCCCTCTTCGTGCGACCGTCAGTTGCCTCGATAAAATATCGAGGTCATTTGAGGGATATTTCATCAGAGATTCAACCATTTGGCGAGGTTGCCGTGATCGTGTATAGTGGTAAATCTTCGCTTTCGTTAAACCAACGTCTCCATGAAGACCCTGCCGCTCTTAAAGATAAATATCGGATCCATCTGCCAACCATCGGCAGCGATACATTCAATAGCCGTAATAGTCTCGCCTCGTTCAGATCCAGCGAGATCAGGGCAAGTTTTTGAACCGATCACGTTTCTTGATTTACCCTCGTCCGATTGGAAGCCACATTTATCGAAGTTATACACTAGCTGCGCTGGTGTATCTTTAAGCACATTCGCGAGCAGATCGTACCAGTGTACTAATAGCCCTGCATCTTCGGCCTGGATACGCTTCGATTCCTTTGTCTTTTGCTTCACTGGGCCTGAAACTAGGCCCACTGGAAGACGTTGCTCGAAGCGATATGCCCACATCTTGCTAACCTGTTTCCCAGGCTTACCAACGCGTATAAGCGCCCAATTCGCCCAGGCTTGCAGTAGCCTAGGGGTCACTGGCATATTCCAATCACGCATATGGGCTATCTAGCATATCAATGTTTCCTCCTGATACCCCTCAAGAGCTTTATTAACCGGTATCCTGGTAGTACGAACCTGTGTACCCTTTTGACGCGGTCGCGTAGGTTCTGACACGGAACATCATATTCACTCACAATCTTAGCGCGAAATTCAGTTTTTCTTCGGCTGGGGTCGCTTCGTAGGCCTCGATCATACGAGATTCATCAAACTTAGAAGTCTTCGGCATGTTGTGTGGAATTCGTGAATTTGATCAAATTGGAGGTTACGGTGTGAACGGGGGTTACGCGGGACACCCACCCCTCCTGGTGTGCGTGTGGGAGGGGTGAGTGCGCTGCTAAGGCACAGATACTGACTAAATAAGTATCTTCCGGAGATAAGCCTATTTAGATACACCGACCTGGACTATCAGGCAGGGAGGAGTGGGAGCAGTAAAAGGGGAGTGTGGTAGTATCAACACCCCAAAATTAAACCTTTTAAGCAAATGTTTGCAGGGAGAATGTAAATGAGATAAATATATACTTTGAATTTGTGACTTCCTCCTTCGTCCATACTAGGGGCCGTGCCGCCCATCCAAAGCTATGATGATGCAAGCTGGATCTGCGGGTGTGTCCAAAAGCCAACCAGCTGAGCTGACTACATCAAAGTCCCATTTGCGAGATGTTGCGGCGTAGGGCCAGGCAGCATAATGCCCATGGGGAACACCTGAGTAAACGTCCATTCTGGTGGAAACGCCGTTTTCACGCAAGGCCCTTTCGTAAATCAAACCGTCATCTCTTAGGGGATCGAGACCACATACTTGAATATAGGTTGGTGGCATCCCAATATGGGGATTTGTGGCATTGAATGGCGAAAACTTGGGAGAATGTACGTCGAAAGCAGCCTGGTCGTATGCATAGCGGATCATGGCATCGTTCAAGAGTGGTGCATTTTGATTGTCCCGGCGAGAAATAAATAAGGGTTTGTACCCCTGCGGCACAATCTCCTCATCGAGGATAAATGGCTGGCCAAGCCACAAACCTGTCAGAGGAGGTGAAAATTTCTCGGATACTGATTTTTGGCAAGTGACAGCCGCCAAATTTGCGCCCGCCGATACACCTCCAAGGACAAGACCTGCCACTGGGTTTGCTCCAAGTTCAGCTGCATGACTTGTTATCCATTCCAAAGAATCCCAAGCGTCGTTTGCGGCAAATGGAAACTTGAACTTCGGCGCACAGCGATATGAGATTGATACAACTGTCGTATCATAAAGAGCGGAAATAGCGCGAGCATATGGGTTCAGCCATTTATTGTCTGCGTTAACAAAGCCTCCGCCACAGATCAAGATAAATAACGGGACTGTTTCTAACGATTTCCCTTTTTTTGGCCCATATGTACGTATCTCGTTCATGTAGCCATCGCGCATGGGAATTTTTCGAAGTTCGCTTTGGTCTACATTCCCAATGATCGATGGCATATTTGTGGCATGGGTAGCGTTCATTTGCCTCATAGATATATTCGTTGTTGGTGAAGGTGGAAGGGTTGGAAGAAGGAGTGCAATTTCGGGATCAACTTTGGAGAGGGCCGCGAGGGATTCCGGGGTCGTGTAATCAGATGCCATTCTCAAATTGATATGTGGATACGCCCGAGAAGAAAAACGCAAGGTCTGTAACAAGGGTGCCGTACAGTGATATAATCTTTTCTTTTAAACCCTCAACCTCAACTGGGACCAAAATTCCTCGGCACGGTCTCTAGCCTTTTTGTGGGGCATGAATCTGACGTTGATTTAGTGGCAGATGTCAGTTATGCAAATGGCTGTGTACGTAAAACTTTTTAGATGCGTCAAATACAAACGAATCCAATTCTTCAATCAACGAGCTATTCAATTCGACATCACGCGTACTAATCAGTACGTTGATCAGCCTGCCTGAAGAAACCCACAATCTACTGGGATGCACCGCGTCGCAAGAACCCCCCATGGGATAGTCTCATATCCATTTCTTTGGCCCGGAGTGGGACACTAGTTTATCTACGGCGTCGGTTGGTCTGATCGGCGACCTCAACTTCGGAAGGCTGTTTTCGTTCAGTCTCATGAACAATCCTTTGGCGGAACGGGTGTGCTGCCTAACGGCCACAGTCCCAAGGATTTAGTCCCATGGCGCTAGCGCCATGGGGCTTCTTGGCAAAGTGGATCATGTCCAGCCTGATTTATGTACATAAATTAGCCTAAAGGGGTAATTTTTGCGTTGTGCGTCGGACCTGGGACTGGGTTTTGTTTTAGTCCCATGGGAATTGAAGAGGTCTAGCCGCAGTTGACTTCTGATTTTTGGGCCGAGACAAGCCGATGAGGGAAGGATGCCACCTATGTGCCGTGGTAACCGGCCCCTGCCGGTAGTCTATGAAAGAGACCGTACTCAGTCTATATTGAATTGTCGGCATTAGCGGTCCTGACAAGGCCTTGGGATGATCCGCAGAGACCCGAACCGCATCTAACCATTACACGCCATGAACGGGTATTGTTTCGCAATCTAGGACCCGTGGGTCCTCAAACAAGACAAACATAAAAACCCTTGTCGCCTACATCCTATTCAAATTTTTAGCTGTATTTCGTCGAATGAAACAGGCCTACGGTAATTTGATTACCGGAATACCTACAGTCATGTTACAAATATTTTGCACACCAGTACTTCGGCCCCAATAATTTTTCTGCCGGTCGAAAGTTCAACCTTCATGTCCAGGAGAAACCAATTGCTAATCGGCACGGACTGAATTGCATACCGAGTTATTCTGGGTGCATGATGTCGGGCACCGGGGGTGAAAGTGTAGGTGGTCGAAGAAGCTGAGCCGGGAATTGTCCAAGGGGTAGGGAGTTGTACTCCATATAGATCAATCTAAATGGTGGTGGCGTCAGCTAAGCTCTCGTGGCTGACCCTGGTCTTGGGGCGGGTCCAGCTCGGTGCTGTCTGGCTGTCGTCGGCTGTCATTCCCCTGTCTGTATCCTCCAATGCCAGGGCCTAGCCAAGTGATCATTTTTTCTCCATTGAAGAGGTTCATCAGCTAATCTTCCAAGGATTGTCTTTGTATCGCGAAGAGTGCTGATGCATGGACTGCAGATTCAGCAGACACTTGGCTACAAGAAAAATGAATCCACCACGGAAACAATTCGCTGTTTGGAATACGATGGCCACGACGTGAGTATGGAGCTTGATCGTACCGGCTGCCATTTAAAGGTCCTGAGCAACCGTCGTTAAATGCCAGACACGAATTGGGCGACTCCAAGGAGATATCGAATGCTGCCGATCATAGCAAGTCGACTACTGCAGAAAATGAGTTTGTAATCATGAATTCAAGTGTTGTCAGGCGTTGCAGGAACACTAGCACTACGGAAGGTGCGGCAGAATGGTGGTGGCGGAGCTGCTCCCGGGCCTCTGATGATCCTGATGCAGTTGTATGGCTCTGGTTTGTCAGTAAGGTATTGAATCAAAGTTCTGCTGAAGGAAATAATATAATAGGTGAGCCCAGTACTTGAAAAAGCTGAGGCCAGACTTGGGTCGCCGCCTTCCGAGTCAAATTCAACTTCCATGTTTGTCAGCGATCATTCGCCTTTTTCCTCGGTCGAGCCTAGCTTCCGTTGGAACATTGGGGGCTTCTCCGACCCCGCAAAATTACCCCGCGGGGAAAAGAGCATGGTCACTAGCCTATGCACATTTCTCCGGGCTCAACACATGCAAGCCACAGGAACTAACTAACCGCACGTAATATTGGTACAAACATTACTCGTCCCTCCCATGGTGAGTCCGCCACCCAAAGATTCGCTTCATTCTGTGAGAGCTGACCCGCAGAAGTTCTGGCGAAGAAATTGGCTGATCAATACCGACCAATGATTTCGTGGCCTTGTACCCCGTACTCCGTACACGTAAACCATCATCAGCTTGCCCACAATTGATATAGAGATCTACATGTGCTTTTATTCTACCCTGCTACCTTGATGTTGCAACCACCGAGTATCGGAGCATCACAGCGATATTTCAACCCCCCTAATTTCTGTCTTTCATTTCTTCGGAATCAACAATCAGATCATTCATTTCACCTGATATAAACCTTCTTCTTTCGCGATTCCGTTGCTTATATTGGCCAGTTCACCTCCTGGCATTTCATGACTGATACGCTGAGTTTCTGTCAAGTTCACTTCGGGTATGATTTTGAACTGGCCTCGATTTAGGTAGTGTAGTGGGGAAACCACTATAGGTGTATCATGGAGGGTGCTGAAATAATAGAGATAGTCTAGTATGCATAGCTACTGAATTAGATCAGGTGTAACCAACAACATGAGCTGATTGATTGGAAGAAAGATCAAAGAGTGGAAAAGAGTGGGCATGTTAAATACCCATTTGTATCCTCCGAGAATAGTAAAAGAAGCGGGGTATCCGTGCTGCGAGACTCGGAGTAAACTGGTCCAAGTTGCTGCTCACACCCAAGTTTACATACAAACAAACACTAATAATATGTAGTGACACGGGAGCGACCAAGAAGAGGAGACTGTAAGTAATTCTCCACTTTTTTGGATATGAAACATTTCCTGTGTCCTGTATCTTCCATCTGCGAACGGGGATTGGGTGGATGCTGAATCAATCACCCCTCAGTTCGCCATCAAATATTGGTAATACACTTTAGCCAAAGTACGGTGTTACATCATCATTGACCTTTGCGCTCATATTTAACCACAAATCTGCTGAGCGCCCTTTTCCATTTGCATAAAATCATAGCTCTAATCATAATGGCCACTTCCAGTCAATCTCTTCACGGTGTTCGTGATCGGGCAAGGATCGTATGCTGCCAGTGTCACGCACGCAAGGTTAAGTGTGATCTGCAGACTCGATTACAAGGCACTTGTTCGAATTGTTATAAACATGGATTGGCCTGCCAGTAGGTATCATGAGGTGGTGAGATGGCTACGTAATTGCTGACCATTTCTAAGACCTCGCCCCAACCGAAGAACGACTGTCAAAGAGAGATACACAAAGCATGCGCCCGGATCTCCTAGACCTCACGGAGCAGCTCCTCAAGGGTTTGAAAGGCCAGCGACTCCAAAAACATCCACCGTTCGGGAGCAACAGGACCAAGTGGCTGCTGTTCCAGCACCTGAAGCGTTACATAAACAGTACCTTGGTGCAATGACCTGCATATTGCATAATGCTCCTAGCATTCCCCCAAACTATCTGCGCATCACAGCCATCTCAAATAGCCGGAACCAGGAGATCTTGACAATAATAGATCCTACGTCATCACCACCGGCAATTTTATTAAATGCATATGTCGACGCCTACTTCCAACACATTTTCCATCAATTTCCAGTTGTTGATCATGCCGATTTATCTTCTAGCAGACCTTCGCTAGCTCTTCAGCAAGCGATTTGCATGGTGGGAACTATGCTGAGGCACCCCAAAGGACCGGATATTCTGGCTGAGAATGAGAAATATTATTACAACGCCAAGACCCTCATCAACATCAACCACGAGCAGGACCCTATTACCGTTCTGAAGGTTGTGTGTCTTTTGTCAACACGCAACATTGCTGGCCCTGTGTTATTGACCGTTGATTGCGCGTGGCATTGGTTGGGTATAGCAATAAGACTGTTGCAGCAAATGGGTCTGCATCGCGAGGAAATGTGTGTTGCTTTTGCCAGCCCAGGAATTGCACGCAGGATTTCATGGTGCCTTTTCGTGCGTATCCCTGAAATCCAACTTGCTCATACTAATAACATCAAGGTCCAAGATAAGCTTTTGTCCGGTGCATTTGGACGGCCTACATGTATCAAAGAAAATGAGTTTGACGTTCGACCCCTGACGGAAGAAGACTTCGAGTCTCCCGACATTCAATCCTTGATTTTCATGCAGCTAGCCAAGATAGCTAGCATTCTGGGTAGTATATTAGACCTCCGATGGCGGTCTCCTAAAGATGTGCAAACACAGGTATGTACGCCTTAAGTCATTTAGCATGAGTATATTATTTTAAACAGATTTTCATACTTGCTTTTGCTGCCATGGCAGCATATAGATATCCTCCGTTCACTAAAAGATTGGATCCGCAATCTTCCGACAGCTATGCACATTTTTGACCGCAATGGTTTTCGAACATACCGACGGGATGTTTTTGAATTACACATTGTGTATTTTGCCACCATTATATTATATTTTGACCTATTCAACGACCAAGACATAACATCTGTCCCGAACATTGTATCTCTGATCGCCTCTTCATGCATTGCCCGCTTATACCATGAGATTGACTGCAGGGATGACCTCAGTTATCTTCTTGGTATACAAAATTGGTTTTTGATAGTAGCTGCAATGCCGCAGCTTCTATACAATGCCGCTGAATGCTCGCTGGAATTGGATAGCTACTGTTCGGAAGAGCTTGACATTCTTGTGTCGTCCTTGGAACAGTTTCAAGCAAGAATTCCCGGTTCAACGGTGGTATTGAACGCAATCAACAGACTCCGAACTTCACGCAATAGCGGTCGAGTCCGAAATACGATAACAACCTTTGAATCGCGAGAAACGGTCTTGTTCAGTGAAGGGTATGATATTCTCAGCTTCCGCGACTTGTTTCCATTTCCGAATTCACTGTCACCAAGGCTTGCGCTGTGGGAATTTTATGCTGGAGACATATTCCAAGGCCTGGAATCTCCCATGGCCGCGCCAGAGGACCCTGGCTGGATCTCTGGAGAGTTCGCGGATCTTTCTCGATTGGCGTTTGCCGGTATACCACAAGCTTTTTCGTAATATCCTGCTACCACCGCAGCCAATTCCACCCGAAATGATCATAAGTCGTCTAGAATTGGAGTATTATTAAGATGTGTTGAGTCTTCTGAGAAGAGTATTTTTCATTTTATATGCTAAGAAAGCTTGGAAAAGGGAGAACGCGAGGTTGGAAGAAGCCAAGCTGATACTTAAATACACACCACTAGCCACCCAACGCCATCATCCATACGTGGATTCTGTTGAGGTTCCAGGATAAGGCACCGAATTGATGCCTCATTCCCAACCTCTGTCGGCATGCCTGTCCAGGGAAACCGGAGGCACTGAGTTTGATATACGCTTCAAGCTCTCTTGCCACCATTATATTCTACATTCGGGAGATCTTCATGGAAGAACCCCGATCGAGACCGATTATGAGGGATTTACCACTGTCAGGGGCTTGGCGCCCGTTCAGGAATAAATACCCCCAGAGTCGCATGTAGACAGTTTGATGCAGAAAAAGTTCAAGTTATGTCAATTCCATTAAGGTTGATTTGTCTAGCAGGCCCTTATTCAATATTCAGTGCTTCGTCGTAGCCCAATCTCAACAAATTATTCGTGAAAACCACGTAGTTCTAACTGTGCACAGAGAGATATATATCTTGCAATACCATTGTGTTGAGATTGGATACGATGAAGCAATGAATATTGAATAAGGGCCTGCTAGACGAATCGACCTTGATGGAATTGAACTTGACTGTATCGTGTTAAACTGTCTACATACATTCTGGGGGTATTTATCCCTGAACGGGCGGCAAGCCCCTGACAGTAGTAAACCCCTATTATCGGTCTCAATCGGAATTCTTCCATGAAGATCCCCTGAATTTACAATATAATGTCGCACAAGAGCGTTTGAAGCGCATATTAAGCTCAGTGCCCCAGGTTTCCCTGAACAGGCATGCCGACAGAGGTTGGGAATGAGGCATCAATTCGGTGCCTTATCCTGGAACCTCAACACATTGAACGCCGTATTGTCCTTCTATTCAAAGAGTTCCTCCTAGCACTAATAAATCTCGTCCCTTATTAAATAGCTTTTCCACCGACACAATAATACAGGAATAGCTAGATAGTCTCGCGTAGGGCAGCTAGTCGTGGATATTATTTCCTATACGCTCTCCACTTGTAATGGGTCAGACCCGCTTGTCACTATATGGCATTTCCCTGCACACTCCCGTTCTGCCTGCCACCGCCCTGCCTTCTACTTCTACTAGTGTTTGCCTGTCCTAAAAATACTAGTTAATATTAGATAAATACCTCTTCTTAGATTATAGCCTCTAAAGGAGACGAGCCTCTATACTCATCTCTAGGCTTAGCTATTGTCGGGATATATTCTCCTGTCAGAACAAACTGGCTGTGACCCACTGCTAGCGACCGATGGATAACATCCCTTGCTTGGTGTACGCATTCTTGCGCTGGGCTGTGGCCTCGGTGTTGTGACCGCCGAAGGCCGGCGTGTGGGATCTAGGGGTGTTTTTCCAACTAGACTGAACATCTACATCTATCAACACAATTGACTTTTGCTTTGGAGCATACACACTGTCCACTTAACTGTGTACACAGTACCTAGCTGGTGATACCAACAGCTATACCTTGGAGGGTTTTGTTACGGTGCATGCCTGGGTCACATGGCTGTATACTCTGGCCGAAGGAACACTATGTCAGCCGTCATCAGGACCAATACATATAGTAGCGCACGTACATTGTTACTTCATACATTAAAAAAAAAAAAGTACGTGTATCTACAGTGTAAATATTCACGCGACGCATTTTTAGAGATGCGATAGGTAGACGGTGTGTCGCTATACAAAAGAAGTCATAGCAGAAAATACGAATCGAATACGACTAAACCCCCCAAAATTGTTGAGTATCACGGTGGCTGAACCTTATGGCAGGGATTGGGAACAGATATATAAGAGGCATCTGGCCCCTGTAATAGATCACTCCTTAAGTCAACCAATAAGATTCAATCAGACAATCACATATCTCAACAAAAATAGCGAATACGAATAAGCAAAATTCTTATTCGTGTGTACCCCTACGTTTTAGTAGGGGCTGTAGCAGGTATCCTCACATCAATTGCAAATACGCAAACTCAAGTTAGCCTCTTTCGCAAATGCAGACTGGGGCCTTGCACAAACTCGAGCCCATCATCAAGGTTCCCTTTCCTCGCGAAGCGAATATCCTTACCATAGTGATCACGCGGCTGCCAAGGGCCCCGATCCGCCGCGCGAGGCAGAGCATGGGAACCGAGGTTAACGTATGTCGACTTGAGTTTCAGCAGTGGGCGCTCCTGGAGATTCCGGGCATCCTGGGCCTTCAAACACGGGACAGCAGCGACTAACTTGCGCGACTCGAGCGTCTTGAGAATGCGGGCGATGCATTGCGCGATGGCGTCGGCACCCAGTGTCCATGAAGCGTTGGTGTATCCGATCACGAAGGCGGCGTTGGGAAGATCCTGCAGCATGAATCCGTTCCACAGGTACTTAGAGCCGACGTCGATCTTCTGCCTGTCCACGCTAAGCGCGACGCCGCCGCCGATCTGTAGTTTGAGCCCAGTCGCTGTGACGATGATATCCGCGTCGAGCATCTCGCCCCCGTTAAGGGTGATACCCTTCTCGTTGACGGTTTTGATGGTGTCGGTGCAGACATCCGCCTTGCCACGGCGCAGGCTAGCGAAGAAGTCGCCATCTGGGCAGACGCACATTCGCTGGTCCCAGGGGTTGTAGTGAGGCTTGAAATGCGGGTCGTAGGAGATGTGGCCAGGCAGTTCCTTTTCCAAGCCTCGCTTCAAGATCCAGGTCGCGAAGGAGGGGAATCGCTGACAGAAGAGGAAGAACATACGCTGTCTTAGGATCCAGATAGCGCGTTGTACTCCGTGGTAGATGCCTGATGGCAGTAGGTATGATAGCCTACCGTGGGGTTTTTGGTTGGGGACTGAATAAATGTAGGTCGGACTACGCTGTAGCATTGTTACATGCGCCGCCTCGTTTGCCAAATTAGGCAGGAGCGTGATCGCGGTAGCGCCACTACCGATGATTACGACCTTCTTGTTCTTGTAGTCGAGGTCCTCGGGCCAGAATTGCGGGTGAATGACTTTGCCCTGGAAGTTATCTAGATCGGGGATCTTAGCCTGCAGGGGCTGATTGTAGTCGTAGTAGCCGGTGCCGAAGATCAAGAAGCGCGCGGTCATGGTCTTGGGCACACCGTCCACATTGACGGCCAGTGACCAGGTATTGTCTGTCGTGGACCAGTCGGCAGACGACAGATGGTGACGGAACAGGATGTGCTCGTCGATACCATACTTCTGGGCGGTGTCGCGCATGTATTGCTTAATCGCGGAGCCCTCTGCGATGGGGTTGTTGTGGTTCCAGGGATTGAAGGCGAAGCCGAAGGTAAACAGATCCGAGTCTGAGCGAATGCCGGGGTAGCGGAACAAATCCCAGGTACCACCCAGGTCCTCGCGAGCTTCGAGGATCGCATAGCTGAAGTTAGGCAGCTGGTCTTGGATGCGGTAGGCGGCGTTAATGCCGGAGATGCCTGCACCAACGATAATCACATCGAAGCACGACTCTGACTGGGCAGTTGCGTGGCCATTCATTTTGAAATGAGATGGAAAGAAGAAGTGTGGATGAACATCAGAATCGGGGCGCAACGTTTCTTAAAAAGAACTATGCCTCGGTCTCAACGTGATGGTCGTGGAGATTGACTCGTGGTGCATACTGCCAGGTCCGTGTGTCCTCCTTCACGCCGGGGAGGGGGGGAATCGGGGAGATGGATTCATCCTAGTCTGCGATGCCGAAGACATACTATACTATGCCGAGACGAACGTGCTTATGTGTATGACTTCAGTCCATCCATTGTTGCAGCCAAGGGAGTCTCCACATCCCCAAACCAGCTCGGTATCACCCAAGTAAAAGAAGGACCAATGGTTTCGCCTCCGATCTGTATTAATAGGATAGCACTGTGAACCGGGGTTCTGGGGCTGGCCAGGCTCGGTACTGCTCGGCTGTCGTCGGCTATTGTTCCAATCTCTTTGCATATCTCCCGTCTGTGCATGGCTTCAATACCGAGCCCTGCCAAGTGATCAATTTTCTTCTCCATTATTTTTGTAACGTGGTGAGTATCCCATCGGCAATTCTTCCTCTATCATCGCAGATTATCCGTTAGATCGTATAGACAGCTCTCTAGGGTAGGTATATCTACGCTTACAACTAAGGGGGCTAGACCTTGAAATGGGGCAGATCAGGATTAGAGGATGACACTACCCACTAACTATCCCCCTATGTGTCGGGCTTTGGGTAGGTCTCTCCTATCCACGGTGTGTAATCGGGTGCCTAATTGGGTATATCAAACAGTGCAAATGCTAGAGACTTACTAATGCATATTTTGAGCAGATTTAGACTGTAATTCTGTTCTGAGTATTTCTCTGATATAGGCCTACTATAAAAGTCCTTCGCAAGTAAGGAACCCTTTGAAAAAAGCGAGATCCTATTTTCTTAGATGTTTCAGAGACTAGAGGTCCTTGTCATATGCGAAAAAAAAAATTTCCTGGTATGGAATAAAATTAGGAAATCCTTGAAGCTTTGACGATTCTGTTCGCGAGATATCCTCTCCCACTCCTTTGTTAAAAAAGAATTTGAACTTATTCGATGGCGCGAGCGTTGTATTTATTGCACCCAACCAGGGGTATTATCTGGTTGGGTGCAATAGTCGCTTAGTTTCTGCTGAGCAGCTTTAAATTCTTAATGCTTGAAGCGTATTCCTCTTCCATGGAACCATCTCGTTTGAAGCCGTGTTGTTGCAAGCTCAAGATGCAGAATGAGCTTGTCATTGACCTTAAAGATATGCTGCGCAGGTAGTGACATCCTGTGTCTTTGAGGGTTCAAGTACATGATCCACATAAGTTAGATAATCTGACGCGATCCGTCTTCATCAAGCTCAATATCAGTACGATCATATTCATCGCAAAAGGGAGGAAATATAGGGCGAAGTCTCCTTGCCCGGCGAAGCGTTAGGCATGTGGAATTCCAATGTGTCTTCACATCCTCGATTGGCACAAGCTTTGTAGCTTCAGTTTGGGGGCTCCAGAACGTCCCCCAGCGCTGTGAGCTTGCATTGATATAGATAGCAGAGCTTATAATCTACAAAATATAGTAGTATTAGATAATATTATCAATTAATATTTACCTTGCTTAATGTATTAGCAATATCTCGTTTTCGCGCACTCTCACGGGCTGACTTAGATCGTTGTTTCGTTGGAATGATCAACTTCCATTTTCCCTAAATAGGGATTGGCAGATATAGCACGTCAGCTCTATTGGATGGTAGGATCTGCTATAAGGGGGCAGTTGTGCCAACCACATTACGCCAGGTAGGTACTGTTCGTTTATAATTTCCTTAGTCTGGTAAACAAAGCATTTTTATGAGTGCGGCCGTATCTCTTGTGTCATTCGCATGCAGAATCTGTACTCTATCGATATATCTAACTCTGAGGAACCTGACGCTTCTCGATGAACTTCTTCTCGCCAAAAGCCTGCTTGACTCCATCGAGGGCAATGACGCGTTCGTACCAGGCGACGGTGACCGGGCACTTGGCGCGCATCTCGGCGTCGATGCCCATGGAGAAGCCCCAGGCCAGCGCCGAGGCGAGTGTGATATCGGCCATGCTGATCTTGTCATCACTGCACACCCAGGTGCGGTTCTTCAGGTGGAAGTCGAGTAAGGACAGCGAGCGCTCCAGGCGCTCCAGGGCGGTGTTCTCGGTGGCTTCGTCGTATGGCTTAGCCCCTCGACGCCACAACGCCAGCTGCACCACGTTATCCATGACCTCACCCTGGGAAAAGCAGATCCACTGCCGGATAGTGGCCCGCTCGACAAGCGTGCTGCCCATCAGCTGCTCGGCGGCCGGGCCACTCAGAGCGACATATTCGGCAATGGCATCCGTCTCGAATAGGTTGGTGCCGTCGGCGCCCTCAAAAGTGGGCACCTTGCCGAACGGGAACTTGGATAGGAATTCGGGGGTGCGGTTGGTCTCGCGCATGACAAAGTCCGGGATGGTCAGCTCCAGGCCGTTGAGGTTGGCTGCTGCCTGGATCTGTTGGAGGCATGAATTAGCAGCCATTGGGAATGAACGAGCATGCAGGACGAACTCTCATGACCCGGGGGCTAGGGATATAGGACCAGATCTTGCCGAATGGTGCCATTGTGTCTGGGGGATATCGAGATCAGTGGTTGGTGGGGAAGTGATAGTACGATAACCCTTTATATATCTGTCTTTTCTACTTTTTTGCATTTGTAATGACTTGCCGGGAGGGGTGGAAGCGGCATGGTATGTCGATTTCTAATTATCATGAAACTTAGGAACAGACAGGGACTTCTCGGCAATGGAAGGCGGCCAGCCAACCCCGCGCTCTACAAGCATATCCCGCCGCTATCCCATGCCGCATTGCCCGAAGCCGAATCAACCCAGTGGGGCCGCCGCCATGGTCCAAATACTTCCGAGTGTGAATTATCATGCTGGTGGTAACGCGACTCGCGGCGGCGGGAGTGGGGAAACCAGCAACCGAGGCGGATGTCATGCCTGTGGAGCGTTCTGCCGGCGTAGCTACCAAGAAGCAACTCGTACTCCCCAACCGAGGGTATGAATTTCTGCCCCTCTCTCAGGTCCTTGGGTCGCAAGGACAATTGACCCTGGGATCAATAACGACTGAGTCCAAGACCCGGTATTCCGTACTCGTCGACCAAATGTAGCACAGCGTATCAGTCTTCCTCGAAATATAATTTTCAATGTGGAGGCCGGCCCTGAGCCACGACGTTTGTCTTCCACTTTTAGAACCAAGAAGAATGATTTGTGGATCCGTCGAATCAGCTATTCATAGAATACCGATCTGGTAGTCATCTGACCAAAGGTTCGTAAGTCGTGCTGGGAGTTGCACGCTTACTATTCTTCTGCGATGGAGATGTAATTGGCCTGACCATCAGGTTTGTTTGGAGGATGACTTTGTAGTATCACAGCAGATTTCAGAATGTTGTTGGTGCCCTGGCCACAGAGATTTGACTATGCTTATTTCCATCCAGACGAGCTCCTCGGTCCCTGAAAACGAAGGATTATTTCCATATTGATATCCCTGAGGAGTAATTGGTATGTGAACGGCGATCCCTGAATCCATCAGTATCTTAGCTGATTTCTGTTACGAATGGAACTTCATACCGGTCGCAGGTTCCTAATGCCGCCCTGTTGATCTCGAGGGGAAGAGGGGTTTAGAGGCAAGCCGCAGGAATGACTCTTTGGTGGCTGAAAGCCTTCTCCAAAATCGGGTCAAACTTGTTTGAAACCAGGGTGGTTGAACAGGATGTGACTGTGTAGTATGATTATTTAAACACTAGAAAGTGAAAAGACCATGTACGTGCCGCTAGAAGTAAAATGCCATGCTATTATGTTGAAAGGGAGGTCAAATTTAATCGATTGTTCCAATTATTCGTGGACGTAGTGAAATGGCAGGTTGATAATTAATCACCCCGGCCATTCCCGAGGTGATAAAATAACCTTGTAGACCCATTAAGGGAACTGTCGGGATATATCCTCTTGTCAGAACAATCTAGCGGTGACCCACTGCTAGCCACTGATGGATAACATCCTTTGCTTGGTGTACGCATTCTTGCGCTGGGCTGCGGCCACGGTGTTGTGGCCGCCGAAGGCGGCGTGTGGGATCTAGGGGTGTTTTCCAACTAGACTGAGAAGGAACATCTATCTACATGAATCAACTGACTTTTGCTTTGGAGCATACACACTGTCCACTTAACTGTGTACACAGTACATAGCTGCTAATACCAACAGGAACAGTGCATAAAGTCACTTCATCGCGACATTTGCAACTTTTCTCTTAATGGGCAAAGTATGACACAAATCCTTGATCTGCTAGAATATACCTATGAGCAGACAAGTAGATAAGAGCTAGATAGATGTTATTCCCTTAGAATGTTGGTTATCCTCTATATCTTATGTTACCTTACCACCCTGTCGTCGATCACGACGCAGCTTATGCAGAAGTATGATGGAGATGAAGGGATTATTGGCGTCGATGACCTAAAACGCTGGCCAATCAGTTCGGCCGCCGTTAGCATTTTATCCGCCACCGGGACAAGAAGATCGATCAAATCCTTAAAAATAGTAAGCCCCCCCCGGGGGATGAGTTACTCAAACGTGCCAATCACCGCCCTAATAGCCAGGAAAATCCCCTAGACGCGGCCAAATACTATGCAGCTATTGATCTCGTCATTTTAGTAAGAGCCGCGCTGCGTTTCAACTAGGTCAACTCCATATATGAAGACGAGAACCCGTTTGTCTCAGTAGATAGTACGTATTATAACTCTCAGGGGTTTTATAGAATCGACATTAATGTGTAATCTTATTTAACCAACCTATACAACCCTGTACCACTCTGTGCCCTCTTCACAACTCCATCTCGCCCCTTGAATTCTTCCTTACCATTTTACTATTATTTTCAAGTATTTTCGTATATCGCTATTCACAAAATTCGTATTCTTCCAGTGAGCCCAATCGATACAAGTCTAATTCTGCGTACCGCACGTCACTTGCGTCTTCATTGACCAGCCATTATTAGATCTTTGTGAGTTTATTCGTCAGGGTAGAATTTTTGCCTCGAAGTTTAAGGCGCTCCACTCTGTGGTCCCGGATATATTTGAACTGAGGTCACATTTGTCGATAATTTTTACTGCGAAAGACTGTGGTTCCGATGGGTAGTTCGGAATATAACTAAAACTATTTAGAAACAAATTGGAAGTGTGAGAAAAAGGTCGTGGTTCCAGAAACGTATTCGTATGGCCTGATACAGATCTGATGCCTGGCCGAAAAGTGGGGAATAACAAATCCGTGGTGCCCCGCGTTCAATTAACGTAACCCACAAGCGAACCGCCCACACAAGCGAACCGCCCACCCCATCAATTTTGATCTGAGTACTATAACCTCTCTTTTATAACCATCCACCATGCCACCAAATCGATCTAGTTCTGCCCGATTTTCGCAGGATAGGCAGGGCAGACTCTCATTAGCCCTGCATGCCATTCAAAATGGTCAAATTACCTCTATTCGCAAAGCAGCACGCCAATTCGACGTCCCCTGGTCCACTCTACGCGATCGCGTCAACGGTCAACAAAGTCGCTCAGAAACACGCGCCAACAACCATAAATTGACAGAAGACGAGGAGAGATCACTTCTACAATGGGTGCTCTCTATGGATTCACGTGGATCAGCTCCTCGGCCTGCTATGGTGGCAGAAATGGCCAATATTCTATTAGCCGAACGCTGTACGCAGACTGTTGGCGTCAACTGGGTCTACAACTTTGTTAATCGCCATGATGATCTTAAATCTCGGTTCTCTCGAAAGTACAACTACCAACGAGCAAAATGCGAGGATCCAAAGGTCATACGAGAGTGGTTCGACTTGGTTCAACGCACGATTAATGAGAACGGCATCCAACCTGACGATATATATAACTTTGATGAGACTGGCTTCGCAATGGGTCTTATTGCTACTGCAAAAGTCGTCACCCGTGCTGAATACTACGGTCGGAGATCTCTTAAACAACCTGGAAATCGTGAATGGGTCACATCTATCGAGTGTATTGGTGCGTCGGGCTTCAAATTACCACCTTGTCTTATCTTCAAATCCAAGACACATCACCAGGCTTGGTACGAAGATAAAGGGGTAGGACCGGACTGGAGGATCGAAATCAGTGATAATGGATGGACAACTGATGCTATTGGCCTTCGCTGGCTGAAAGATCTCTTTATTCCGAGTACGGCGAGCCGTACAAAGGGTAAATATCGTCTTCTAGTCCTTGATGGTCATGGTAGCCATTTGACACCTCAATTCGACCGACTTTGCGCTGAACATGATATTATACCAATTTGCATGCCAGCGCATTCATCTCATTTGCTACAACCACTAGATGTCGGGTGTTTTGCGAACCTAAAGCGCGCATATGGTGGCTTGGTTGAGCGAAAAACTCGATGCAATATCAACCATATTGACAAGCTTGATTTCCTTGCCGCCTACCCGCACGCTCGCGAGATCTCATATCACTCGGATATAATTCAGAGCGCATTCGAATCTGCTGGTTTAATACCCTTTGATCCCGATCGGGTTATATCGAAGCTTAATATTCAGCTTCGAACACCAACCCCCCCCAGGAAGCCGACCAGGAAGCCGATCAAGTGAGTGGAGCCCTACAACACCACTCAACACAAAACAATTATATTGGCAAGAATCTTCAGTCAAAGCTCTACTCAAATATCGATCCGTGAGCCCTCCAACGCCTACAAAGCATGTGGTAGAGCAGACTCTTAAAGGCTTCCATGTCACGCTTCAAAGGCTAGCGATGTTGGAGAAAGAAATCCGGGATTTGCGCGCTGCCAATGAGGTTCGGAAACAAAAACGCAAGAGGTCTAATAAACGCATCGACCGTACTGAAGGCATGTCAATTCAGGAGGGAAGAGACGTAATATTCAGTTCGAACCAAGCCGTTGAATCTCTGGATCCTGTTCATCCAGAACTAGCTCCGGTCGCAAATGAGACTAATACACCACGACAACGGGCGCCACCAAGATGCAGTGGTTGTGGAGGGATAGGGCATAAGATAAATAGATGTCCGAAGCAGTGATATCAATAATTTAATGGCGTTGTGGTTATTTTATATGCAAATCAAAATTATAGGTTGAGATGGGTGGGCGGTTCGCTTGTGTGGGCGGTTCGCTTGTGGGTTACGTTACACCTAGTTTCGATCTGTCAGCCAATGACGATGATGTTTTCCCATGCCGAATCCAACAGAGCCGAGCAGAGCCGACGAGAGGGTTTGAAGGCTGGAAATACGAGACATCATTGATCCCTCTACCCCAAACGAAACAATATTGAATATTATTTCGACTAGCCATCAGGGTGGGTAGACCGGATGCAATGCTTCCCGGGTCATTCTGTCATTCTATGATTTCATAGAATCCACTTCCACTAACACGGCAACACCCAAATGCCATATACTGCCGTCTTCTCCCCTCCAAGGTATGGGCCATTGAAGGGGGGGCAAAATCGCCGCCTCACATACTTGGTCTCCCCGGATGAGTGTTCTCAGCTGCGGGCATCAGGCCATAGCGGGCCCTTACCATTATTAGCGCCCTTCTCGAAGCTGTGACTCTCGAATACACCCCAGCAAGGTACACCCGCATTGCCTGACCTGCTCGGCCTGTATCTATAAAAAGCCTTGGCCCCCGAGGTGTCTCTTTCATAGCTGGCTCGAAGTACACCTTGTTTATTATCATTTAACTCTGAACCTTTTTTGTTTGGTCTTCACGCGACAGAACTACACCTACACCAACCTCGACAACTACCACACACCCCGTCTCCGATCAGTGCTGTACTTCATACTCCATACCCCTTAAGTCACCGTCACCAGTCTCTTAGTCAACTCCTCAAACACGCCTCACTCTACAGCCGACCACCATCTACCATGGCCATAACTATCGCTCCTCAGCTCGCCCACCCTTCCGTCCGACACTTCTCCGGCCATCGGCCGCGCCCCCATAGTCGCACAGTTCGCGTGTTTGCCATGTCCTACCTCATCTCCGGCGTGGTAGTCCCTTTTATCCCGCCGGCGCTCGAAAGCTTGCGGCAGAAGAACTCGGACTTCCCAGACAGCAACAAGTGAGTACCACGGAGGCATTCCGAATGCATGCCATCCGGCCTGAAGCATGTCTGCAGGGATCCACGACTCTGACACGATATAGGCCCCACCCCCCTCTCTGCTTCCACGCACGCTAGGGCAGAACTAACCATATCTCCGACATGTATTCAACATTAAAACCCGTCGATTCCATTGCTTCTTTTGTTGCTTTGTGAATGGGCTCTGATTCTAGGTACCGTTGCCGACACGGGACCTCCGATACCGTGCATTCGGTCGAGGGGTTTTGGGACCTGGCGTTGCGTTGTGTTTGTTTTTCTTTTCATTTTTCTTTTCTTTCTTTTTTTGTGACAAAGCCTCATAGAATGCGGCGGATTTATTCATGAGGGGATAGGAGGTTTATGCGACATCCAAGAGAGCAGCTGGTAACTAGACGTCTCGATGCCGCGCGCGGCTGGATAAATGATCCTGGATTGCGCCAATGTCTTCATGATAGCAACCAGAAACCAACATCAATAGACGTTGTATACACAGATATCGAGATTAACTGCACGAATCTAACGAGATACTATTCATTTCCAGATAATAAGATCCCAGTACACCACACACGGTGTTCCATGTTTTACACCATCTACTGTACAAGGGAACCCCAAAATTTGGTCCCTCAACTGAGCCGGTTCCGACGAGGTGGCCGAAACGACTCCGCCGCCTCATATTTCCCTTCCTCCACCACCCGGTCATTGGATGAGCCCGATTAGACAAACACATGAAGGATAAAAAGGCTTTCTTGTCAGGGAGCCATAGCCCAGACGTTCAGGTTCATATATAGGCAAAGAAAGCAACCTCTCCGAAGATCTTAATCTGTCTGTGCATTTCTTCGACCATTCTCTATACGTCGGAGGAGGATGACTACTTATTTTGAGTAAAAAGCCCCGGGGGTTTGCGCATTCTATAGATAGCCGATCAAGAACGTAAACAACAATGGCTGTGGTGAACACGTTCAAGAAACTTTCTATAAAAAAATCCACGAGGCAGAGTGCTGCCTATAGACGAATTGACTGCGTCCCTAGATAGACACCTACTTCGCACAACGGTTCTTCTCGCTCCTTCTGAGTTCGCTAGCAGTATAACCTTCTCATTTCTCTTGAATAACTACCAAGTCATTGAATGTGATAAGGTATTGATTGTTTTTCGTTTGTCGTAGTGAACAAAATACCATCCGTGTAAAAAAAAAAAAAAAAAAAAAGGAATTAAAATAAATAAATTTCCATGACTGGCTAGCACAGAAAATGCATCCATTCACTTAATGGTTATCGGAGTTGGCCATTCTATCAATCTTAGCACGAGCGCTTTGGAAGAACTGCTCTGTTTGTTCATTTGTACGGTCAACGTGAGGCACGTCTGCGCCCTTCTGCACCGCAGCCCGCTTGCCGATCTCATCGACCCACTGCTTGAGAGCCGGAAACTCAGACAGATCGATCTCCAGCAGTGCAGGACCACGGCGTACCCACGTATAGCTGGCGATGTCGGCAATTGTGTACTTTGAACCAGCAAGATAGGGGCTTTCCTTCAGACGGGATTCCAGAACCGAGTAAAGTCGCTTGGTCTCGTCAATGTACCGCCTGATACCGTAGTCGGAGCGGACACCGGCGACAAGTCGGAAGTGGTTTGCTTGGCCTACATAACGACAATCGAATAAGACCGAGAAATATATTCGCTCTTTTCAACATACCCTGCATGGGACCAATGCCACCTATCTGGAACATCAGCCAGGACACCTGCTCAATGTACTCGAGAGTGCCAGGCGCGTAGCTGATCTTGCGATCGGTGTCATATTTGTCGGCAAGATAAAGCATGATAGAGCCGCTCTCGAAAACGCGCTGTGAGCCGTCGACGAGTGCCGGGATGCGGCCATTGGGGTTAATCTTCAAGAACCACCTATGTTTAATCGTCGTTAGCAGGATGCGCTTCTGAGCTACGGATGCCGAGGATAATCGTACTCTTCCTTCTGAATGTTTGTTCCAATATCGATCGGCTCAGTCTTGTAGGGCAGACCAAGCTCCTCCAGGGTGATGGAGGCCTTGATGCCGTTTGCAGTAGGCCATGTATAGAGGGTGATGTCAGAGGACATTGTGAAGGAGGTGTGGATTGCGGATGACAAAGTATAGAGTCGCAAAGCGGCTATGAATTATCTGGCATCGAGTGCAGGAGAGTTCATATGCCCCGCGACTTGACCTTGAGCTTTGGGGATCAATTTGTCAGCTTCATTACTCCGATCACCAATGATGTCTTTCCCGAGGCCGATGCCGAGCCTGAGCCTCAACTGGGAAGTTTGAGGTTTGTATCGCGATCGATATAGCGTCCGACGTTATCCTGTGCTGTTGATGCTAACTAGGTAGGTAATTAACTTATTTCCTGGATGGCGATTATTAATCCCCAATCTTGCGGAGTTCGGCTGCCGAGCCTGGTCGTTTGGTCAAAAGTATCCGTGTCTGACCGTGGCCCACTTAATCTTTCGGCCCTTTCGGCCCTTTCGGCCCACTTTCGGCCCACCTTAGCCGCAAGCCGCAAGATTAAGTGGGCCACGGTCAGACTAGGATATATTCGCCGCCGCGACACCGAGTCATGCTCGTCATACTGGACAAGAGGAGGACACAGATCTATCCCCCTGGCCGAGGAGCGTAAGGGAACGGTTAGTCGCGTATTCAATGTAGTGAGAGGGTGCACGGAGAACCTGTTACCGTTGGCAGTCGAAGTGCCAAGCTGGGTTGGATCACCGATTGTCGGGATATATTCTCCTGTCAGAACAAACTGGCTGTGACCCACTGCTAGCGACCGATGGATAACATCCCTTGCTTGGTGTACGCATTCTTGCGCTGGGCTGTGGCCTCGGTGTTGTGACCGCCGAAGGCCGGCGTGTGGGATCTAGGGGTGTTTTTCCAACTAGACTGAACATCTACATCTATCAACACAATTGACTTTTGCTTTGGAGCATACACACTGTCCACTTAACTGTGTACACGGTACCTAGCTGGTGATACCAACACCGATAAATCCATTCTGCTGCTGCATTGGGCCCACCGTGCCTTGAGGGAAGCCAGATACAGATTGACAGGAAATAAGGCATTCCCTTCATTTTTTACGCTGGATAAACCACTTCGCCAAACCCAAAATTGGTTGTGAGAAAAGCGTCATCATTGCTATTGCTTATAGAGAATCGAATGAGATATGTTTTTGGGAAACGATCATTCGGCGTGTATATCACAGAGGCAGAGCTACTGTTAAATCTCAAGGGACGATGCACAGTGTTCATCGCCATTATGATGGGCTGCCAAAGCCGTGCGATAGAGAGTAAAAAAAAACCTGCTAGAATCGTAAGCCATTTAACTTCGCTCTGACTAGAATGAAGTTGGCGCTGCGTAAAAGCACGTTCTTACTACCAAGCTGACGGAAACGAATTTGGACTTATAGTGGGCTAGTAGGAATTCAATGATTTGCTCTCACATTACGATCCAACTTTGCGGGTTCACCCATGCAAATACCTATGGGCTTTTTTTCACCACTGAGACATGTTCTTTTCATATTAACAGCTGTACACCTTCACGCGTCTCTCTTCCACACACAAAATCACAATCAAATGCAGGCCATTGTCTGGGGAGATGTAGAGAGATATCATACTTAAGCGAATCAAAAACAAGATAATCACGGCTTTACGGACGGGCCTCGATGTTTTCCTTCAGCCTCTGCTCGACAGCGGCTATGTACTCTTTGGTGGTGACCCAGGCCTCGCGGACCTTGCAGCCGCAAGCCAGAGCCAGATCCTTGGTCATGATGCCCTCATCATTGACGACATCAACGCAGGCGCGCTCGAGCTCCTCGGCGAAGGCGATCACGTCGGGAGTCTCGTCGAGCTTGCCGCGCTGGACCAGACCACGGGTCCAAGCGAAGATCGATGCAATAGGGTTGGTCGAGGTCTCATGGCCCTTTTGGTGCTCACGATAGTGGCGGGTTACGGTGCCGTGTGCGGCCTCGGACTCAAACACCTCACCCGTGGGGGTAGACAGGGTCGAGGTCATCAAGCCGAGGGAGCCGAAGCCCTGGGCGACGATGTCGGACTGGACGTCACCGTCGTAGTTCTTCAGGGCCATGACAAAGCCACCCTCGCTCTTGATCATCTGAGCAACCATGTCGTCGATCAGACGGTGCTCGTACCAGATTCCCTTGGCCTCAAAGTCCTTCTGGTAATCCTTCTCGTAGATCTCCTGGAAGATGTCCTTAAAACGTCCATCGTACTTCTTCAGGATGGTATTCTTGGTGCTCATATACAGAGGCAGACCCTTCATCAGGGCCATCTGGAAGCTGGCATGGGCGAAGCCCAAGATGGACTCATCGGTGTTGTATTGACATTGAGTGACACCACTACCCTGGAAATCGTACACCTGGACGTTCTCAGGCTGGCCACCCACCGGCGTGTAGACAAGCTCCAGCTTACCGGGGCCGGGAATCACCCGGTCATGGGCCCTGTACTGGTCTCCAGAGGCATGACGACCGATGATGATGGGCTTGGTCCAGCCACGGACCAGGCGGGGAACACGGGGGATAATGATGGGCTCGCGGAAGACGGTACCGCCGAGGATATTACGGATGGTGCCGTTGGGCGAGAGCCACATCTTCTTCAGCTTGAACTCCTCCACGCGGGCCTCATCAGGCGTGATGGTAGCGCACTTAACACCTACACTGTACTTTTTGATGGCCTCGGCGGCCTCGATGGTTATCTTGTCATCAGTCTGATCGCGGTATTCCAGACCAAGGTCGTAGTATTTAAGATCGATATCCAGGTACGGAAGGATCAACTTTTCCCGGATTTCCTGCCATATAATTCGAGTCATCTCATCACCGTCCAGTTCCACCACCGGGTTCTTGACCTTGATCTTACTGTAGGACGCCATGGTGCGGGTTTGGGTGCGGGTTACTGAGGAAGCTCCGGTCCAGCGGGAAGAAGCAGCAGCACGGGAGAGAGAGAAACCGAGGAGAGAGATATCTGAGCAGTGAAGGAAGGAGAAGAATAAGAGGACAAGGAAGACGAAAGGAAGTTAAAAGAATTGACGGGAGTTCATTATTGCTGGAAGGGAAAGAGAGGAATTTTTAAATTGTGCAAATCTGGGCCTAAAGGAAAATCAGCGACAGCAGTCTTTCGGTTTAGTTTCTCGCATGCCGTCGATTGCCCGAGGTGTATCGGGTCAAGAGAACGGCGAGTTCGTTGAAATCAATCCGGGAGGGATAGACAAGGGACAGGAAAAAGGGCTAAGCCCCCAGGATGTGGCGCGAATCAGACTCATCTTGTCCGAATTTCGGTGGGGTGCCCCGTAAATCCTAAAACCTTCCCCACTAGAGTTACATCGATAGACTTATTGTAAGGCTAGAGGAGTTAGTTCCTTTAGCTATGCCCTCGAATCTTTATTTTCGGCTCAGTCAGTGTGCCGAGCTGTACCGAAAAAAAAAAAAAAGAATGAATACGCTGATCCCCTCAACATCATTCCCCAGTGGGGTTAGACGGCGGCAGAGCCGGCCCCCTACACAACCCCGAACCAACACCTATTTGGGTTGGGCTTTGGGCCCAGTATCCTCTGCGTTCCCCTTCAGGGCAATAAGACAGCTCTTAATCTGGCTTTCCTTCAAGTGTAAAATTGCAAATCAAATTCGGGACGCCGTTTGTAGATTTTCTTATATCACCAGTGGCCTACATTCAGATGCTACCACAATCGCACGAAGCAGTGGGCCACAACAATCTGGGCGTAAATCGCAAGGATCCACGATTTGGGCGTGGTGGCCCGGTGCTACATCTTAGCTCTGACAATTTCAGTTTACGTCTGTCAATTAGACATCTTGGCTTTGAGGTGCACAGTCTGCTCTTGAATATTTATTTGACTATACACCCACCCAGTTGCTGTCCGGGGCATTCGACCCAAGGCAATTACGATGAATTTCTCGGGAATGAATAACATGACGAAACGCGCATTGAAACCATAATTGACTAGAGGCTCGGAGAATGTATACACTACTTTGAATCATGGAAGTCAAGCACGATGGTATTTGGATTGAATGAGAGAAAACCATGCTGAAATGCTGTAAGATATGAAACAAAATAATCGTTGACGTATTCTTTTCCATTTACTGAAATGGCCAATTACAGGCAATCTTTGGCAATCGCGTTGATAGAGGATAAATGGTGGTGATCACTTTATTCGCCTTTCTCCAGGGCTACTTCCTCGAGTGCTTCTTTCTCCAGCGCTTCCCGTCTTCCAGTGCTGCTTGGGTCGTAAAACGGCACTTCTCCAAGACCGACGGCGCGGTGGCCAGCCCGTGGACCAATATCTTCGTAATCCCAGGTCGCTGCGTGATATGTGGATCGATTATCCCATATCGCTATCAAAGATGTCAGCTGTAAGCTGTTTGCAAACATAAATTCTAGATGACATACCGAGATCATTCGGACTTTGCCAACGGAAGCGCACTTGCAGATCATGATTCTCCATGATCAAGTTTACGAACCAGTCGGTGAGGTGTTTGCTCTCTTCGTCGGTCAGTCCGTTGATTTTCTCCACATGAGTGCCCACGGCGAAGACACTCTTCCATCCTGTAACAGGGTTGGTGCGGATTACTGGGTGCTCAGCTCGCAGATCTTCCCCAAAGTTCTCAGGGGCACCGCGAGGGCCCTTGAAAACCTCAAAGCCGCTATCCTTCGCAAATTGGTTGAACTGAGGCTGCGAAAACGCTACAGTCAACCCTTCCAGGAATTTGCGGTAAGGGGGGTGAGAGGCGGTCATATAACTCGTATCCCGAAGCCCACAGAGTATCTGGACTTATGCATGAGCTCTGCAAGATGATAAGATAAGGAGGATTAATGCTTACCTCCGCCAGTCCTTGGGAGAACGGTCAAACGCAAGATTGTATAGTCGCTCGGAATGGGTTCAAACGTAATGTCGCTGTGCCACTCCTTTCTGGCGGTCTGGTGGCGGATAACACGGGATTTGTACAGCTTCTTCCCCTCCTCTGAGTTGATCACGCTGATCTCATCATCCTTGACGCTTATCTCTCGGCGTGAGTTGGCAACTGGGTGAATATGTAGCCCGGAAGTCTTCGGCTTTCCCGAAAGCTCTCCAAGTCGCTGAGCCAGTTCCTTTTGCAAGTTGTCTGTCAGACCATCCTGCTTGCGGAAGAAGACTACTCCTCGCTGGGAAACTGGAAGAGGGTTATTAGCCTGGAATTATTATCAGAGATGAGGACTGACTGGTAATGGCAAGATCTCGAAGCAAGGCATCAGAGTTCGGAGCACACAGGAAGTCCTTCAGATTTGCGTTGGGATATTCCCGTCCAATGACTGGCGTGACATCAAATGACTCAAAAGCGTCCAAAGCACCACTTAGTTTCAAAGGTACTCGTCCAGGGCCTTTTGCAGCAGGAACTGCGGTCTCGGTGCAGACAGATGGAGCCATAATGGTAGAGAGGAATGGACTCGTAATCCAGAGAATTTAGAATCTTGAAACTCAGTTGTAGCGGTCAAAACGGAGCAAAGGCATTCAATTTATACCCTATTTCCCCAGATCTACCGGCATTTCTATCCCGGGAGCTGGCCTCGGCTACACTGTCCTGGACACGTTTGACCGCAACCCCGCTTTGGATGAATACACATATTTTGCACATTATCTCCAGGGCCCACATTATGATGTCAGTTATTGAGGTTCGACAATAGTGTTCTGTATGCTCTATGAAAAGTGGCTGGGATTCGCAATCAACTACATCTAATATTGGCTCATAAGTATCGGCTGTCATGTGCCGATGTCCCGTTGAACGGGATGGCACAATACAAATATTTGTATAGAAGTGGAAATTTAACTTATCTGCGCTAAGGCCTTCGCTTTCCTTGCCGATGCCATTCATTGAATGAAGCGGACCTGTTAGGTTTGTACTAATGCTCCAAGCACGCTATACAGAGCAGGGAGGAAATTTTTGTTACAAGTCTGGCATGGAATACGCCTGAACAGCAAGACGATGCTTACTTTGGTTGACATCTATGATTCTCAACTAACTCCGTAACGCTGATCAATAGATAAACGGGTAAATAAAAATTATTGTGAACCCGAGTGCCACCAGAGCCCGATTACCTTCGTCATTCGGGGGAGCATCATCTACACCGGTTTGAAAAGATGGAGAAGGCTAGAGAACAAAGCACTTGTCACGGGTTCAGCAGAGGATGTTCTTCGCCTACTGTGTTTGGGCCCCTCGGGTCGACTACACGAACCGGGATGTATTGTAATAGGCGGGCGAACTCGACATTGATTCTGGAAATCGAATATCCGCCCTTCACACACAAATGGCGAGCCAGGATGATAAGACGGTATTCTCGGCAGGTTGGAATCTAACACCATTCCCACCATTAAAAAGTTCAGTTCGGTGCAACAGCAAGCCTTTGAGTGTTGCCGGCGACTAGAACACCAGAGGATCATCACCATACGATCAGACACCAAGGGGCTCGGTATAGGTGCCAAGTGAATGACACCCGAATATATGTGCCTGTCCATATCCAGACAACCGACACCTACCGAGAGAAATCCATGTAGTGAAAGATTGAGAGTGATTTGCCGTTATGTCAGCACTCTACCGACGCCATGCCGAAAGCCGAAACCCGCCGAGACAGCAATCCCGGCTTTCCCAGGGCTAAATGAAAAAGGTCGAACAATTAACTGGTCGTCAGTCTCTCTGTAGATTCAAAATCTCCGCTAAATTATGAACTAATTCGTCAAGGGATATTTGGGATTATATTTATGTGCATAAACATAGCTAGAAGGCACTGTAAACAATATGTATGAAGGACAAGTAGAACGGCACAGTATAGAGAACTAGGTTGTCTAGTTATTTGGCGCCCTAATCATTTCATCACCCTCGGATATTACCTCTACCGATGTCATGTAAGCACTTTTTAGGGTTCAGTATTGGGGGGATTTTGGTCCGACGCCGGAGTTTATCCTAAACTATACTATAGATGACAAATCCAAAAGTGGACTATAAAAGATAGCACATAGGACTCTACTTTCCATGATCAATAACCAATGAACCGAAAAAAATGTGCAAGGGATTAATCTTCATAACGGGGGCCTCTGGCTTTATTGGCAGCGCCACTGCCGTGGAAGCTCTAAAGGCTGGATATCGACTACGAGTTTGTCTTCGTAGGCCCTCGGACCAACTGCAGACCTTGTTATCAAAGTATAGCAAGCAAATCGAATTTGTCGTCATTCCAGATCTTACGGATGAAACGGCGTTCAGTGACAAGCTGGACGGTGTGGACTTTGTGCTCCACCTTGCATCCCCACTTCCTCATGGCACAGACAAGGAAACGTACTTCACTCCAGCGGTGAAAGGGACCACTGCCTTACTGAAAGCGGCAATCAAGGTACCGAGCATCAAGAAGGTCGTGGTTACCTCATCCATGGCTGCTTTGGTTCCATTAGCTGGTATTCCACATGGTGGAGTCATCCAAGGTAAACAATATTCTTTTTTTCATTTCCACATCGGCATCTTATTGACACCATTTTCAGAGAGCAATAACTGGGACTTCTCAGTCAATGAAAATGGAAATTTCGAGGATCCTACGAACCCGGCTGCAACACCCATGGTACTGTATATGGCTTCTAAGCTGCTTGCAAACACGGCAACCTGGGACTTTTGGAAAACAGCCAAGCCGCAGTACGCCTTAGTCACGCTGCATCCAGCATTTGTGTATGGCCACAATCTTATGCAGGCATCCGCCGACGGAATCAAGAGAGGATCCAACGGGGCTTTATGGGGATTTATCATGGAAGGCAACCCCACGGGATTTTTGACGGGAGTGCATGTTCAGGATGTGGCCGAAGCGCATATCAGAGCGCTGGATCCGAAGATAGTGGATGGC